CCCTAACCCTAACCCTAACCCTTACCCTCTAAAACTCTACTTTTTAAAGCTTTTCGATTTTTCCTAAGACCGCTAGATTTTTCTAGGCTTAGTACGACCTTTTCTAGTATTCTCTAACTATATAAAAGTTCTAGAAAAGGTCGGACTAAGCCGAAATAAGTCCTAGTCTCCTAGGAAAAGTCGAAACCCTTCTAAAACCGTACTTTTTAAACGCTTCTGGATTTTTCCTTAGTCTACTAGATTTTTCTAGGGTTAGTACGACCTTTTCTAGTATTCTAGCTATACTCTAGATACTAGGAAAAGGTTCGAGAATACTAGGAAAAGTCCTTATCGAGTAGGAAAAATCGGAATAGAGCGAAATTAACGAATTTCTCGAATTCTAAGCTTATCTTTAGTCGGATTAGATAGGTTTCTTAATAAGAAATCGATAGCTTAACTTTCTCTATCGATCTAGCGAAAAAAGAGTTTTCGGTATTCCTTAAAAATTCCAAGTTGTGTTATTAATAGGATAGATAGTAGGACGGGGGTTTTGGGTAGGAGCTTCGGAGGGGTATACTTGGTGTCTTTGCTATAGTTAATAATTAACTATCTTTCATCCCACGTCTCATCCCAATCCGGCAGCGCTAGTAGGAAGTAGTGAATAGCCGGCAAATCCATCACCTATCCATTACCCTTGGCACTTGGCATCGCCCGACGTACACCGCACTTACACTCAATTCTCACCGCAAATCTACCGTGTATACACGGTTCAAAGGCATGTTACGCCTATTGCATGAACGCGCTTCATTGTCGTCACGCAAGATTGTATATCACGTGTAGCTTTGTTTACGCTTTTGACGTCTCACGCAAGACTTGAGACAAGGGATGTAATGTTGACGCTTGCTGCACAACCCGCACGTTCTCGATACACGCTTTCCATGTAAGACGTGTTGCGTACACTTACTAAGCCTACACGGCAACTACAAATACACGCAACAGCAGTGTAGGTACGGTACACGTACCGCTTCCAGGACCCTGGGATCCCTATAAGATAACCTCTAGGCCCGGTCGCAACACATTGAAGCTAATCCTCTCACCCTAGTGTTTTGTTCAGCCAGGCAAACTGGTACCTGTTCCACTCCTGCCCAGCTCCGACTTGGACGTGATATCCAGCTGTTCCGTTGAAGAACTTGTAAGTTGCCTGGTCGCCGAGTGCGTCCTTGACAGCCTCCGGTTGGCCAGCGAAGAACCCTTCGAACTCGGAATCGACGACAAGGACGGGTACGTTGATCTTCTCAACAACGTCCGCGAGAGTGTACCGCTTGAGCGATTCGAGCCATAAGTACGGGGAATGCTGTTTGAAGCACCACAGTCCGTGTGATAGACCCCAGCGCACGGTTGTAGGCACCTGTGGGCTATCCAAGAGCGGCAGGGCAGCCTCGTCAAATTCCTCTTGCTTGCCCGCAGCGAGAAGCTCCTTCAGGTCCGGGGTCAGCTGACCGGCGTATCCCTCGTAGACATCCCACACGCCGCCATTGAGAACAAGAGCCTTGATCCGAGGCTCAAACGCAGCGGCACGAGCGGCTAGATACCCACCCATTGAAACGCCAACAAGAACCAGCCGGTCTTCATCGACGAAGCAGCCTTTGCGATTCAACAACTCGTCGATCACTGGCGTGAGAACCTTCTCCCAATCAGGGATGAAACCAACGTCATCATTGCGGCGAACCGTGGGCTGCCCTGGCCCTTCGTAGGTCATGACATTCCAGCCACGGGCCAAGGCTGGTACGACGAACGAGTGGTAGGAATCTTCTTGGCCGGCATCGTATCCGTTGCCGATGACCAAGGTCGGCCGTTTGACCCCGTCGGCTACGGCTGTGTACCAGATTGCTTCAATGGTGAAGTTGTCGGTCGGGATCTGGACACGTTCCCCAGGAACGGGCAATGCAGCAAGCGCCTTGTCGAACGCAGCGCGTTGCTCGAGCCAGAAGCTATTGATACGAGGGTCCGTCCAGTTCGCATGGTTGTAGAAGTCGGCCTGACGGTAGTAGCTCGATGCTGCGAACCAGGCTTCCCGGACGTTCAATGGGTCGTACGCATTGTCCGCATCCTCGGCTTGCTTCTTGGTGTATTCGGCCAATGCGTGGAAAGTCTCCAACCAGCTGGTGACGTTCCCGGCCTCGATGCCTTTCGCTGCGGCCAAGACGTCGTTGACGTCGCCAGCCCCGAATATGGTGTTTCCGAGGGTGAAGAGCAGCTCGAAATGGAAGCTTTCATCCTTGCTCAAGAGGATGATGGGATCCTCCGGCTCCCTTGGCGAAGATGATGGCCTAGAGTCGCGGGAGAGAATGGAGCTTGAGGCTACCGTCGCCCCCAGCAGAACAGCGCTAAACAGGGAAGTTGACTTCATTTTGAAAGGCACTCAGAAGTGTGTGTATGGTAGGGAAGATTGGGTAGAGCTGTTCACGTTACAATCTTCCTGGCGATGCACTGCCTTTTATCTTCATTTGCTTGTTCTCGCAATCTGTTCCAGCGAGGGCGAGCCCCAATCAACCTACACCTACGTCCGTATGCTATGCATTAGCCGTGCATCGGGCCTATTTGCGATTGGTGTCTTCCCTGTTGCGCACTCCCGGGAACGATGAGTCGTCGAGAATAATACCGCGACGACTAGGACGGACAAGGCAACTTCTTTGCGATTGGTCGCCTTGTCATGCTCCGCCCCTCTCCAGTTCCAGCCACCCCACGACTTTCGCAACTCCCATCGCAAACACTGCCATAGTAGCATAGCCCAGCCCACAATATCTATAACTCAGTCCTTGGATGCGGCGAATCGCAAACAGAACCGGCCACGTGGCAACTCTCAACCAGAAGCGACATCAGTCTTCGTGATTGTTGCGCAGTAGACATGGTCAACCATGGCCCCTCAAAGGGCTGCTTGACGTGTCGCAAACGACGCGTCAAATGCGACGAGGACAGGCCAAGCTGTCGTGAATGCCTCCGGCAGCGACGGGTGTGTGGAGGTTATGAATCAGAGAAAAAGACAGGCAGGATTCGGTTCAAGGACCAGGGCACTGTTGCAGGGCTCCTTTCGCCGACATCACGGTCCAGGAGCCCTCGCGGGCCGACAACGCCAGAACGGACGAGGCAGGCTGTCATACCAGCAACGATTACCCCCAGCGACGAAGCATCCGCGGTCTGCTTCTTCCTCACCTCGATCGCGAGCTTGGGACGCAGCTTTCACTCGACCCAGGGCTTCCTGGAGCCTCTCTTCCCTGTCGTGGCCAAGGAACGTCCGGGTTCTGTCCTCTCGACCGTCCTGACCGCCGTGTCAACGAAGCTCTGGAGCATGTGGAAAACCCCAACAAACAGCTATCGAACGCCTCATCCTCCGTTTACCAGGGCGTTGAGTCGCCTGCAAGCAGCTCTCAATGATCCCCTCGAGCGGTCAAAGGACAGTACCGTCCTCGGCGCTATCTTGATGCATTTCTACGAGAGCCTCGCTGCTCGGTCGACGCACCAGCGTACTATGCGCGCCCATCAGGACGGGGCTCGTGCATTGCTCGAACATGGCGCCGGGAGCGTCCCGGACTCGGATTGCCGCGCATACTTGAGGAGCTACCTGCGGCACTGTGATGTGTCGACTTATATGGAAGTGCAACCGGACGACATTTCGGGCCTGGATGTTTGGTTCGATGCGGGGAGGGACGACTCTATGCCAGCTAACCCGACTGCAGTCTTGGACCTGATCGGGCTCTCGATTGCCAATTTGCAGAAGAGACTGTCCACCTTCATGTGCGGGCTGGTTAAGAATAACCTGGATCGTCTGGCCCTCGCAACTTGGTGGCAGGACGCTTCGTCCGTTGACGCCCAACTCTTGGATTGGGTTCAGTTGGTGCCGGCCTCATGGCAGCCTTATGTAAAACCCGAAGAAGACACCTTTGCTTACTTCGGGTTCTGCGATATATACCCGACTGTCCAGATTGCCACGATCTGGAATGTATGGCGCGTTTGCCGGCTCATGGTCCTGCGGATGGAGCTCTGTCTGCTTGCGAAAGCGCCCCCCGAGGCGCTGCAGCAAACCATATCGATTGCTACCGAGGAATACAGATTCCCAGATCCCAATCGCGGCAGGGAGTTGGTGGACTCCATCTGTCGGTCCATGCCGTTTTACCTGGGCAACCGCCGAAATCACGGAGGCATGCACGACTTGGCGGACCCAGCGATCAGAATCCCGAACTACCACGACCAAGACTTGGACGAAGGCGTGCGTACGCAGTATCTCCGCGGGGATCAGGTAATGAGTCTTTTCGATTACAAGCGACATATACTGGTTCAAGGCCCTTCGCACGCACTGCTTCACTTGAATAGCCTGATCAAAGTGCTGTCAAAGGAGGGCGGAGAGCTTATCTGTCGTGGGCTACGTAAGGACCAAGTCGTGTGGATACGGGAACAGTTTCTTAGGGTCTACGAACTTACTAACCCGGTTAGTCGGTCTGACTAGTAGTGAATTATACAAGGGACGTTGTAAATATTACTATACACTTGGAGCAGACTAATCTTATCTATCGCCTTTCCCTCCTTCGTCGAGCTCGTAGCTTTCATCCTCGTAATCGCTCTCGAGCTCGGTACCCGCAGAATCGAACAGAGCGTCATACTCTCGGGTGTCCGGATGGCCTTGCTGTCGCCACCGCGGCCATCGCAAGCTAATGCCATCCCTAGGCCAGCGCATGGTAAGGTCCCTCCGGCCCATGCAGCGCCAGGTGATCCAGCATCCAAGCATGGTGAGAATGCAGGAGATCGTGGCGATGATAAAGACAGCACCTGGGTTAGTGAGTGCGCGCGCCAGCGCGGAAGACCGCTCCGGCTTCTGCTCCGCTTTGAGAGGGATGGTCTTGAAGACTTCTGAAGTGCCCAACACCGTCCCATTCCGATCCCTCGCCTCCATAACGACATGATCCAGCACCCCGTCATACACCACCATCGTTTCGAAGCCATCCCTCTCCACCGAGCGGAGGTGATGCTTTTCCTGCCCATGCAACGGCACCGCCTCAAACAAATCCCAAGTCGCCACTTCCGTCGCTCCATTCCAGCTCACGTGCACGACCGTCACCAACTCCTTTTCCGTCCCTGACTTCAATGGGGGTAGACGTTGCACCTGCGCGTGCACAGCAGGCGGCTCAGTCGGTCTCCCCACCCACGGGAACTTGAAGCTCCGATACGACTTCAGTTCTGGAATCCACTCGGCTTCCATCAACACCCTGTCGTCGGCGGAGTGCTCGCTGATAAGCGACCTGGTCCACCAGGCCGCGAAGGCGTTGCCGTTTGGCAAGAGCTGGAAGCTGCCGCGGCCGGGCGAGTAATCTCCGTGCGGGTGGTTGTAGGTTCGCAGGACCTCTGCGGTCATCGGCGTGGTGTCGGTACGGAGAGCCATGATCATGCCTCGCGACTGGTCGTTGGTGGTGTGCGGCTCCCCAGGGCGAATGGCGTTGTCGAGGAGAGAGAGCAGGACGTGTGTCGAGTTCTGCGACACAACGCGGGAGTGATGCTGGCCGGAGAAGTGACCATCGATCTCGAAGTCGGACGTCTTCCCTCCCAGTCGCCAAACGATCTTCCCAGTCGTGCCGGATATCTTGTATAGCGTGTCTGTATGCCGACCGCAGAGCAGGTAGTCGCCGTCCGGGAACTTATCGATGGAGTTGGCGTGGATGAAGTCCCACCTGTTGTTACATTTGGTCTCGAGGTAGCTCTCGGTGATGGGGATGTGGTCCATGGCGTTCCACTCAAACAGCACCTCCCACGTTGCTGTGTCGTACTCCTTGAACCCGGACGTCAGCACGTCGTAGGGTTCGTCGCAGCCCACCGCCTTCGACTCCTCCAAAGAAGCCTCGTACCGATGCAGGTTCATCGACAAGGCCCGCGTCCCATTCTCGACGACATTGAAATCGTGCATGTTAATGTCGCCTTTCGTCAACACCACCATGTTCTGGATGTCGTAGTGGCTGTTCACCATTACATCGATGGCGTCGTGCTTGAAGACGCCCGTGAGGACCTGCTCTCCGTTCACGGTCTGCACACGGAAGTCGTTGACATTGTAGCCTCTGAAGAGCGGCGCTCCGCTCCAGATGAGCTCGCCTGTGCTGTCGTAGATGTGTGGTCCGATCCATGCGCGCGTGTCCTCGTTCTTTTGCTCGACCCACTCGTACGTCGAGACGAAGAAATATCCGGGCGCCAGGGCGTCTTGATCGTAGATTGTGATGTCCCATCGTGGAGCGTCGATGTCGGGTCGCTGTGCTCATCCATACAACATTAGTGGCAGTTCAAGCATAGTGAGGAGCAGTGCCTTAACATTACCGTGACGAAGGTGAAGAACTCGCGGCGATGGACATCCACATCTTGGTCTATCTTGGACTCGCCGGTATCATACTGTCGCTTCACTAACGCGGCGCTGGCCGGCTGGGTCGCAGCTTCCACAGGATGGAGCAGAAGAAGAGACAGTAGAGAATGAAGGACGGTGCTGAGCGAGCGACGAGGTTGTCGTTTGAGAAGCATTACCGCACCACGGTCGACGGCGTTCAGTCAAGAAGCGAAACATGACGGCAACGGTGGCAGAAGACAAGACCTGTCGACCAGAGTTCACGCTCCCGCGGGTGGTGGAACCAAGGATTCCCCCAATTTTAGCAATTCAAACGTTCCTGGTCCTCCGCGGAGGGTGAGATGGGGTACATGCATTGCAGGCCACATCAAACCCTCCGACTTCCACTCGCGGGCTTATTCCATCTTCACCTGATGCCAACGTGAGGTCACAACACACACAGCCAGAACAGAGCTCCTATGCCTCGTCCTTCCCAGAGAGAGTAAGTCTCGTACCGTTCTCCTTCTACATCCTCTTGCTTCACGCACAGCCATTTCGAGCAAAGGCAGGTCTGGTCTCAGGATGGTGCAAACACGCGCCCAGCAAGAGAAGGCGGCGGAGAGAGTAGACGACACTACCACGGAGGGGCAGGGAGATGGGGCAAAAGCAGCGGCTGGCACCAAGCGAAGCAAGCCGTCAGACAACGGTGCTCTTGAGGAGAGCGCAGGAGGAGAAGCAGCGGATGAGGGCGAGCTTGCAAAGGAGCAGCCGCCCGCCAAAAGCGCAAAGCAATACGGCGACAGCAACGAGAAGCACCCCGTCCTCAGCAAGCTCCTCTCCTCTTTCGCCTCATTCCCACTTCATGACTGTGGCCTCAGCAAACCCACAGACCCGACGGCCGAGACCATCCTCGCCCACGTCCTGCACGCACTCCTCACCTCCACCCGCATCTCGCATCAGATCGCCAACACCACCCTGAAGAAGGTCATAGAGGCTGGTTACGCGCAGTTGGAGACGCTGGAAAAGAGCACTTGGGGACAGCGCACACAAGTTTTGACAGATGGCGGCTACACTCACTACCGAGAGAAGACCAGCACAGAACTGGGCGAGCTGGCTAAGCTGGTACGAGAAAAGTACGACGGTGATCTGAACAACCTCCTACGTAAGGCGAAGGAGCAAGGCGACGGCGGCGGTGTGCGAAAAGCGGTACGCGACGGCATCGGGGAGGTCAAAGGCATTGGAAGCGTAGCGCTGGACATCTTCTGTGACACCGTGCAGGGCCTGTGGACAGAACTGGCGCCATTCGTTGATCCCAGGAGCGAGGAGACTGCGAGAGAGATCGGCATCCCTGTTGAGGTGGAGGAGTTGTACAAGGCTGTTGGAGAGGACGCTGTGACAATGTGCAAGATTACTGCCGCGTTGACGACCGTCAGACTCGAGGGGCTGCTGAACGAGTTCTCGGCGTAGGCGCCAGTGTTTGCCGAGCGTACACGGTTATTTGGCCCTGCGCTCTAATGAATCCCATACTTTGAATTGCTACAGCCGTACGTTCAGGCAGCGAGCTGATGGCTTCGGTCACGCCATCTCCTTACAACACCCCGAGGCAGCAGGATACTGAAAGACTCTGCGGTGATATATAAGAGCGCGATGCACAGTTAGGCATAGAAGCAGAAGACAATCGTTCACCACCTTGCAACAGTCGCAGCAATGTCGACATCCGCTCCCGAAGGCACTTCGCAGAACGAGCACATCCTCCCGCTTCCCAACAACCGACAGCTGCACTACGCAAGTGCAGGCAACCCAGCGTCTACTGTGGTAATACTCTTCTTCTCTGGGTACTTCAGTGTCGGCAGCGCTACCACATCCTCCCTACCAAAGGCTCTCGGCGAGGCACACTACATCGCACCGACGATCCCCGGCAACGGCTTGACAAGCAGCACGTCCAAGGGCGTCCCGTATCACAATAACCTGTGTGAATACATTACGGCACTGCTGGATGAGCTCCATCCTGCCGACGGCTCGAAAGGAAACGCCATCACCCAGCTGTGGATCGGGGGAGGCTCTTATGGAACGGGGCCTGCGCAGATGCTCTTCGGCGCTCCGTACGCCCAATTCGCATACGGCGCGAGGATTTCCGGCATGCTAGTAGCCGCTCCCTTCTCACCCTTCAAGCAACACAAGGAATACACCAAGTCACTGACGTGGCCTGACTGGGTGAGTGTAGGACCACCAACACAGTGGCTGCCGTTTCGTCTGGTGCAACGCCTACTCAGCACATTCATGGCAAGTCGGTTGAAGGATTTGAAAGGTGCTCGTTCGCTGCTGGATATGGCTCTGTTCTCGAAGATGGATGAACCGGAGAGACGGCATCTCGAAGCATTTGCACGATCAAACCGAGGAATGAGCGCAGAGGACTTCAAGAAGGAGATGTCTGAGAGCGTACTCAAATGCGTCGTCAATTGGGATGGCTTTCTAGAGGGCCCGGATGTGCTACATTCTGACTGGGGGTTTGAGCCTTCACAGCTGGACGTAGACCATCGCAAAGCTGTCCTCGTGGTTCTTAGCAACTCGGACGACCTTGGAGCAGGAATGGGTAAATGGTTGGTTGAGAACTACCACAAAGCTGTCTTGAAGAAGTTTGATGGTGGTCACATCGCTGCACTCTACCATTGGCAAGAGCTCTGGACAGACCTGGTGCACCAAGCCGGCCATGACAATCCGGATAGAGGCTCTTGAGGCGCCCGATCATCTCCCATAGTCGGCGGTCAAGGCAGCAGCTTGGCCAATCCAACATCTTCCGTTGACCGATATGGACCCAGCGGGATCGGGATCACTCCAGCATATCCGAACGAGCCCTGTGCCTGTTCGAGCTTCGCCGCAACCTTCCCGACCAACTTGGCAATCCACCCATCATTCACCACGCCAACGATGATTGCCTTCTTCACGCCGTCCCGACTTGCTTGGTTGACGTCTTTGGCGAACTCCTTGATGCTCTCCAGCTGGCCTGTGGTACCGTCCTTGACATTTTGACGAAGGTTCTTCGCGAAAGTCTTGAAGCGTGTAGGGCTTTTGGACTGCTCTTTCGTCGAAGCAATGAGGTCTTGTTCGGCGGCCAGCTCAATTGAGTCAGGTGACGTCGGCGTGGGAGGTTCAGTGGCGTCCGAAATGGTGTCTTCTTCTCCGTCGGAGTCCTTCTCGAGCTCGATGATCTTGCTGGCCTTGACAAGTGCGGCCACAAAAGAGAGTAGGCTGTTATCCAGACGAGCGGGTAATGCGGCATGCACGTTGTACTTAATCTGGGCCATGTCGGTCTCACTGTCACCATTCTCGTCGCTCCCCGGCTCAGGTATGATGTGCTCATGATGTGGGAGAAGATACATCGGTAGAGCAATTGATCCGTCGGCACCATCCAGCTGAGCGACCTGAGAAGACTGACTTTCCTCCCCACCCGCAAAGCTGCGGTATGCGGCGATGCCTTTGACCTTCATCTGTACCGAAACCTCTGCGGCAGAACTGAAAGGCACTTGGGCGACCGCCTCGAAATCTTCGCATTGCAGGCAGAAGCTGGCATCGGTGAGCCAGCTGGAAATCTTCTCCTCAAGGCGCCTGATCCCAGCGCTCGTCTCCGAGTAATGCTTGAACACTTTGGTGGTCAGTATTGCCGAGACCCAGCATCCTGGCAGTCCTGCAGTGACACAGTGGACTGTGATGGGGTGTAGGTAGCTGATGGGCGCGAGCACAAGAGTGCGAAGCAAAAGCGGCAACCGATGGAGAAGGCGACGCACGCTTGGTGGTGCGAGGGTTTGTAGCGTAGTGACCCGGACCGACTGGCTCGGAGGGTGTGGAACAGATGGTAGAGCTTGCAATTCAGCGACGAGTAGAGCTCTTGCGCCGTCATAGTCGTCAAGTGCAGAATCGGTCTCATCTGAGACCTTGGACTGTGCATTTTCCTTCGCCTTCGACCGGCCTCGACCCACGGCGCTTGTTCGGCGGATCTCGTCCAGCGCGCTCAAATACCGGCCTTCAGCGTCCGTGTCACTCAGCTCGACCAGTTCAACAGGCTCTAGTGCTGCCGAAGCGGAAACGTCTTCGATGTGGCTTCCCCCAGTCATCTGTTCTCGTAGTTCCCCTTCCTTCGTGAACTTTTCGGCGCCTGCGATAGCCGTCTTAAGGGTCTGTGTATCGGACAGAAGGACAGAACGATTCTTCATTCCCGCATCCGTTTGAGTGTGACTGCTCAGTGTATCAAACATCATCTCCAGTCTGTCGTTCTTGAGATTGATAAACACTTCGCCAATGGCAATCCGCCGGAAGAGGGATATCTTCACTTCGTCAACCGAGATGGCAAGCTCGATGTCGTCGGTGAGCCTGATACCTTCAACATGGTCAGCATCGCGAGTGGGATGATAAATGGGTCGCTGCATATCTACCCAGTTCGATGCCATGAGCGACAAGGTCCAGCGTTGACAATGACACTGTCACCCCGCGGACGACCAACAAGCCATTGACATCCGTGTCAATCTCCAACGCAGGCAGATTGAATAGCCCAATCTTGTCTTTGGTGAAGTGGAGCTGGTGTAGCGACTTCCGCAGAGTCCTTCGAGCCAGGTTGGCGAATGGCTGAAACTGGCATAGGCAGGTGACGAAGATCAAAGGATAGCAGGCCGCGGTGAACAGGCCAGAGAGCAGCCATGAGGTCGAGCAGACGGCATACAGCAGGTTGAATGTTGTGAGGAGGGACCAGAGGTGGATGGAGGGCAGGATGCGAGAGCCCAGTCCGTGGCCGTAGAGAAGTACGAGTGTCTCCAGAGCGCAGCCAGAGTACGTCCAACGCCGAGACCATGGAAGCCAGGCGAGCAGTGCGGCGAGGATGGATGTCGCGAAAAGTGGCAAGGACAGGCCTGTGAGGCCGCCCGGCGAACCCTCGTGCGCGTGGTTGCTCGTCATCCCAGCAGGTTGCTGCACTTCCACCGTGATCACGACAACTCTGCTTTCCAGTTGTTTCGGAATGGGAGAGCAGACATGGAGCAATCAAAACTCGCTGACCGTGTGGTATGCATTTTGGTCTGCACCTACCTCAATTCCATGAAGGTTTAACCCACTAGTTCCAGCAGTTGCATCTCGGAGCGTCGGAGAAGCCGTGATGTCATTGCTTCGCTTCACGTCTTTACCTAGGTACGATTGAATGTGGAAGTCCAAAGATGTCACCATTCGTGAGGGATAAGTCCTGCGAATGAATAAGACGATCAAGCGGGAGAGCAGTTGTCACTCTGCGCAATAGATCATGCATACATCGTATTCCAAAGGATTGTGGACATGCAACGACTGTTCAGAGATATGTAGTCCTCTCTACCTTTGCCCACCACCACCCTGGCACGTAGTCGCGGACGACATAGTAACAGTACATTGGACGCCCTGACGCAGACCCCCCTCACCCTCATCCTCGCACCGTGACATGCCTGCCGTGGCGCGACTCATCTCCCACTGCCACATCAATGCCCCTCCCAAGCTGTATGCAATCCCTCGTGGTAGATCATACTGAGCCTCGTCTTTTGAGTCTACAAGTCACTTGGGCGCGTCGCTGGGTTGGCATTCGTGTCGCAGGAGGCGACGTTGACGTTGTATCCGTCGGTGAACAACTGACCGGAGAAACCCTCGTGCATCCCAGAGGGACCATCGTAGCACGTCTGTCCGGCATGCGGATTAGCTCTTAGCTGACGGGGGTGGAAACCCTCATCCTTGGAAGAGATGAAAACCGGCCTGGATACGTACGTTTTTGATATCGGAGGCCAAGGATCCGACGTCTCCAAGGTCGACCTCAATGTCAACGCTTTGGTCGTTGCAGACGTATATGCCGCTGGCTTCCTGGCGAAAGGTCAGCGATTGGGAGCTCGTAGGATGTACCACAGTCTTACCGAGCACCCAACCCTGCTGCAAGCTCCGGCAGCTACAGTGGCCGTGTCTCCCGAGTTAGTCCACGGGGCCCAGACGGCCGCAATGTCGATTTGGTCGGCCGGTGCCCATCCGTTGCACAAAGTTATGTCGCGCTTCTCAAGGGCGCGCTTTGCCGCAAGAAAAGCATTGGAGCTGCCAAGTTTGCCTGTCCTGAGAGGTGACGACTCAACCTGAAAGTCGTTAGCATTCCCAACGTAACATCTAGTATGGGGAGACGCACCACAGCCGAGCCAACGGCAGCAATCAGTGCAACAGAGCGGATGCTGAAATGCATAGCGTTTCGAGGCTGATTTTCTGTCGATAAGATGCTGGAGAAGATGGCGTGGTGACGGAAGATGGATATCCTGTAAGACGAGAACGGAATGGACACAAGTCGGAATGTCTGGCAGGCTGAAGAGTGAGTTGAGAACTATCTGGCGGTTCCCATCTTATTTATGGGAGAATCATCTGATCAGAGTAGCAGTGCCATGTCAGTGGCGGCTGTGTCGCAAGATAGTACGCCACAGGAGGAAGAAATCCTTACCGTGCTTGCGAAAGGATGGCGAACACTACCGCCCGTCACTTGGCTTGAGGATGGGATCTTCCATCGCAGGTTGCTGGACTCGCTGGAGCTATAGGGCTGAAAGCTCCAGCGATCCACCCTCGAAGACAGACCCGAACGATGGTTCTAAACATGCTGCCGGTATAACACTTTCCAGCGCGTAGGAGCTTAGTGAGGACACAAGGGGCTACAATGTAGATAAGAGTGCGCGCAAGCTGAGGGAGAAGATGAGAAATTGTCTTTGCGCGGCCATCCCGACGAACGTCTGATACTGGTCCGGCCATGTTGCCACTGTCGAGGACTGCGCCGTCGAGAGGATCAAGGATGAAACCGAAATCTGGGAAGGCGAGGTCGGAGGAAGGCGCAAGATCCATGGCTTCTTGGTATCGTCGCATCGTGAATAGATGTCATCCTGAGCGGTTCATCGGAGACTGACTCGAACGATCAACAGTGCATGTGAGGCATCATGGGGTCCAGCTCGAGTCAATTGTCTCATTCCATCTAGAGGCATGGAAGAGGAGGGCAAAGAGGGCGAAGTGGCTCGCAAAGGGGAGATGCGGATGCGCCGGCTGAACCCCGGCTAAAATTGGGCCATCAACAAGGGCGGCAAGGACAACAACTGCGATTGACCGCGATCAGTGTCCATCCCACACCGTTACAGCTCCTCCTACCAATTTCTCTTCCGCGCCTTCCAGCCTTCCATGTAGCGCCGTGTACTCGCTGCTTCCCACCCAACGCGCTCCTTCACCCCTACCCACCGCATCCACCCTCCAGCCAGCACGGTGGATTCCGACAGCGACTCGGTCCATACCACCCCCTCTCTCCGCGGCGCCGCCCACACCGATCCCACTGCGGGCAAGCCTGAGGTAGACAACCGCTTCCGCCTGGACCACAGCCTCGGCAGCAACACCACCGCTCGCGCCCCCGAGTCCCCACCGCCCTTCGCCTCCCACAACTTCCCCTCGCGCTACTTCCCAGCTCCCTCGCCCGCCGACCCCTACCGCGCTCTCGTCACCACCGGCAGTGCCTCTGACACCCTCACTGTACTCGCACCGAGCGGGCCAGTTCCATCCTTCGAAGAGTCGCAGGCTGCTCAATCCTCAACAGCCAGCTCAGTTGTCGCTGAGACCAAAGCTGCGCTTCCTCGAGACACCAAAGACGGGCAGGGTAGCAAAGATCTTGACGACGGAGAGCCACCACCACCATACACTGAAGGATCCAGTCCGCTCGAAGGCTTCACGTACGTCATGGCGGCAGCGGGAGGTGCTACTAGCATCATCACGCAGGTGCAGCAAGGTGGACCAGCTCCGATCAACACAGCGTTGGGTGGTATGTATAGCCACTGGCTCTCCCTACGACCATGTGAGGCTTATATATCAGCAGGCTCGGATGAGAACATCACCCTGGAACTGCGGTATGGACCAGCCATCGCTATAAAACAGTCGTTCAATGCTAACAAGAGCAGAGGCTCGCGCTTCACACTGTCTCGTGATGAGCTGTTGACCCTACCGGAGTTTGTGCTGCTCTCACTCTTCCCCAACGGCCTCCTGCCAGAAGGCCACATGAACAGCCACTATGACGGTGGCGACGTCTACCCAGTCGACGTAAGCAGCACTACCCGCCAAACCACCATCCAACAAGTCCCCTCCAGACATCCTGTCACTCTGCAGCACATCACTCATATCATGACCAACCAAGATGTATATTTATCTGACATCATCTACCCTTCACAGTACGACCCCATCTCCCTACAGTACATGCTCGAGTTCTTCCGCAATGTCGCCCAAACCATTCCGCAAAACTCTGCTTCCGACCCTGAGCAACAAGATCCGTCTGCGCCGAGCACCATGCCGATCGAGCCAATGCCGGGTAATGCACGCGACATGCTGCAGGACCGCGCCGGCATCATTGTGTTGCGAGAGGATCTGGACTTTTACGCCATCCCACCGCGGAAAGACATCGAGCAGCCCGAAATGATCGAAATCAAGCGGGCTGCTGGCAAAGCACTGCTGGGCCAAGATGGCATCTTCTCTGGTTTGAGGAAGAGCGAGGAGCCGGGAACGACGGAGCAGCATTTGATTGAAATGCTCACTGCTGGGTAATTACCTGCCACTCATTGCCGAACACCCTCGTGGTAACTCGTGCTCATGCTAATAAACCCTCAGGGGCTTCGACCACTCCGACACTTGGGGCCACCGTGCCGCCGAGCCGAACAAGGCCGTCATCTGCTCCATTGCTCTCGCCCGCCTGCGCACCGACATCCGCGGCGAAGCGGCGAACAGCAATGCCGTCGGCATGGCACAGAAGCTTCTGCTCTTCTGGCGAAAGCCAGCGCGGAGATGTTGGTGGGAAGGCGTCGAGCTCGACAATGTGGAGGGCGTGGAGGGGAAGCTGAAAGTTTGGATCAGGAGGGTTTGGACGCTTGAGATGGTGAGTGCCTCTGTGACCCCTCATGGGCCTACATGTTGCTAACACATCCTGCAGAGCGTTATTGGTCTGCGATAATGACTTGACTCAGTCGATTTCAGGGTTTCTTTGGGTCAGCGTGGATTAGTTCGAAAGTTGTGATACCAGCAGTCCGTGCGCGTTGTTTCATTGAGTCTGAGCGGAAACATGGTGCGGGAAACAGCATGGGCATACAGCGAGCGTTTGATGGACGGGTTTTCAATATCAGAAGCCTGAAGTGTATAGGTCAAGCATGCTGCTGTACAGTTGTATATGACAGCTAATTCTGAGCCGAGTCCCACCTGCATGCCCCATGTTTGCAAAGCCTAAGTTGGCTCCGCAATGTCCCATCCGGCGGTTCCTGTGAACGCCTTGCACTGCACCGAATTGCAGCGTGACTGAGGAGACGCACTCTGCACCATGGTGGCGTGAAGTCTGCGATCCTGTCGAGAATCGAAGGCGAGAAGGCGCAGCTGAGCAGGTTGCTCATGAGAAGAAGAATGAGAGCCGCCTGCTCTTTCACTGCCATTCTCAGCTGTACCGTCTAGAAGCAGTCTTGATGGCCTGGTCTCCCCTCCATCTGCAAACAATACGCTGTGCAGAATGCTGGCAAACGCAGTCCGCCCGCCGTCCACCTCTGCCGCCGTCCCTCTGCCCATGATCACGCTCCCGACTTTGAAATCCGCTTTCGCCACCAATCTGCTCAACGGATCCAGCATCGCCGCGTGCCCTCCCTCCCACTCGGCGAGCGGAAGTGCCGTGGTATCGATCCAGCTAACTATCACCAGCCTCAAGTCGTCCGCCCGCAGTAAAACATCCACTGCTCGCTTGGCCTTCCTGCCGACTTCCTCCTCGATCCGTTTCTTACCCGATGGACGACTGGAGGAATTATGGCCACTGAACCGTGAGCCGCCATCCCAAGGATCGAAGAGAAGGATATCGCAGTAGAAGACCACCTCCACTTTCCTCAGCCTCCGCAGACCCGGCCAGTGTTCCAGGCCTCGCAAGTCCGGGTCGACGCGAAAGAAGTTGAAGGCATGACTGAAGATGAGTTTCCAGGTCGCGGTGGCGTAGAAGTAGTCCCGTACTTCCGATGTAATCTGAGAGTTTACCAACAGGAGCGACAGAGGCGGAGGGTAATGCGAGACAGAGGTGATGCCGACGGATGGGATTGGGTGAGATATTGGCTGCGGATGGATGAAGAAGGAATATATCACGTGGCGGAGCTCGAGCGGGAGAGTGAGGAGCGTTGGAGATGTCATTGTTTTTAGGTCTCTAGGTGATGGAGTAATACTTGTAGGGGACGTAGTATGTTCGATGTTCGATACACTAGATGATATAGATATGATAGGGTCATGTCTCCCCCTTCCTCTTGCGGAATGCCTCGGCATCGGTTTCTCCGCGACGCGTCGGCGCGTACAACCGCCGATCTTCAATGGACCTCTTCTCTTCACAGTAACAAAGTTCATTCAAGTGACACGATTTATGTTTATGATTACGGCCGGACGATGACATCCTTACGATAGCACGAACATGTTCATTGATAGCCCCAGCAATGCATCCTTTCCAACAGCATCAGACACCGCATCCATTCCCGCGAAGAGAAAGAGAGACGAGACAGACGAGACAGACAAGACAGACGAGACAGACGAGACAGAGTTGGACACCCGCCCCTTCACCATCAGAGTGTGTACAGCCGAATACCCTGTCCGCTCGAAACGACAGACTGACACCTCCAGGACCCTGCCGACCCATTTGTGAAGCCAAAGTCGTACACGCCCATCTGCCTACTCTCCCGCGCCCAGCTTCCCCTCGCATACCTCGACACTGCACATCCCGGCAGCAGACTGTTCTCCGCGCATATCCAACCGCTCGAAGCCAGTCATGAGCATGGAGGCGACGCAACAGTGCTTTTGGCGCAGGAGGATAAGGAGAGCAGACTGTACGCGGTTGAGCGCGTGCAATCCCGAACGTATGCGCTGTGCAGATTGCAGGTGTGGGTGACGGAGGAAGAGATTCTGCAGAACGTGAAGTCAGTCTCCACAAGCCACAACATGACGAAACGGCGGGCGGTCGCTCCAGTGGGAAGGAGCGCGCCATGGTGGACCTGTGCTGCTGTGGAGATGCCACAAGTCAGCGGTAGAAGAGCTGGCAGACCTGTATTGCCAGTCTCGGCTATGCAGAGAGTGATGGATGCGCCGCCCAAGCATGGACCGACTGTTTCCGTAGCACCCACCGAAGCACTTTCACCTATCCAGCCGCCGGAGGATATGGATGCGAACTTACCACAGTCTTCAAAGACAGCTTTGTCGCCAGACGAACTATTCCAGGACCTTGCGAAGCACTACATGGAGACACTGTACCTCGAGCGCACAACGCTGGCCTACTTCACCAAAGGACCGCTGTCGCGAGCGAGGGCCGCTTTTTCGTCGCAAACTCCTACTGCGAAATTTACGCATTTGGCAGACTTTCTTCGATCGAGCACCCTCACGTCATCTGTGCTTGACAAGAAGTACAAAGAGAGAATTGCTGAGCTGGTGAAAGCTCTGCCTGCCCAGCATTCGGAGAGCGCGGCAGACTTGACGAAACGGAAGAGGAAGAGGAAGTGGAAAGCTAAGCGGAGCAAAGCTGGGCTGTTTGCTGACGAGCAGGACTACGTCGAGCGGTGGTGGCGCGCCGATGATACAGCCGCCAACACCGAAAATACAGACGCTGGATTGCGAGCACGTCTAACGAGGCTCCGCATCCGAGAAACGTTTCTGCAAGTCGTCCTAGTTCTGGAGGTACTATCGCTTGAAGCCTCATCCGCTCTCTCAACAGAAGCATGTCAGCCAGCCTTCCCGGATGAGGTTCAGGACGACGAGTCGCAACAGACGGAACTGCAACTCGCCGCAGAAAAGGCGCCTACAAAGCCCAAGAAGAAACAGGACCTACCTGCCCTGCTCGAAAATCTTCTCGACAAGCTCTGCATCTGGCATTCACTGGAAGGCATCTCTCCTACGGCACCACAGACAGGCAACGGTTCAGCAGCTGCAGGAAGTAACGACTTCCTCAAAAACTTCTGCATTGAAGTTGTCCTACCCTTCTTCATTCCACGCATCCCACAGCATGCGACGCTGGTCAACAAAAAGCTTGGTGGGCCGGGCGCGCAGACACCACCCAAGCGCAGCTCAAGCACGTCACAAAAGCCTGGCGATCCGGCTGCCCGCCCAGAGAAGAAACCTCGCCAGCCCCTTGCACGAGTATTGACGGATACTCTCAACCGCAGTGTCAGGCATCCACCATCGCTCAATCGCTCAGCCACTGACACCGACGCCTTCTCCCGCATCAAGCGAGAACCCAGCGAGACACCTCCCTTGGCATCCGTACCACTCCACAGCGTAGCGGAACCGGCCAACCCTCAGCGGCGGCCCCGCGTCAACCCTTTGGAGCGGATGAACTCGAAGCCTCGATTGATCGACCTTTCCGCCATGTCCCAAGCCAGCGAAACCAAACTTCGGCGTAAAGCTGAGAGCGACAGGGCGATCAAGGAAGCCGTCGAAGGCATCAAGAAGCCGAACCGCGCGCTTGCTGTCAAAGAGGTGGCTGACAGTGCGGATCAGAGCTTTGCCAAAGCCATGGCCAAGGGATCAGTGCCACGCCAACGTGGAAGAAAAGCCGAATCTGAGAAGGTTGGCAGGCCCCTCCTCATGTCTCATGAAGAGGGCTTGCAGAGCGCAAAGGTGGCTGCCACGCCGTCAAGCTTACGGAAACGGCAGAAGCCGGACACAGCGGTCATCCTTAAAATGCCACCTTCCTCGCGTCCGCCATCATCGGCATCAGTGGTACCCTCCTCCTCAGCTCGCGTTCGAGCTTCACGGCCCGCATCATCCACCGACCTGCAAGTCCCTTCTGCCTTTGCGGTTCCTCAAACAGGCCACCGACAACGACGGCTTGACGCTCCGAGAAGTATCGGCGTCGAGGAGACACCATCTCGAGGCTTTGCCAAATTCATGCCGAAAGGCCTTGCTACGCAGCCTGGCACCGGGACGCTGGACTCACCAATCGCGAGACGGACGGCTATGGTGGTGCAGTCGACACCTTCTAAGCCAAATCCGGTGCTCAAGCTGCCTGAGACGGCGAACGAGACACCAAGACAACAGAAAGCGGTGTTGGCGGCTACTCCTGTACGTCCTACTGACCACCAGCGGCTTGATCTAGCATCGCCGTTCAAGGGGACTGGAGACATCAAGCCCAGGAATGAGGGCGGAGAGGCTGCAGTCGGCGAAGTATCTCTGTATGCTTCGCTGGGGTGGGATGATGAAGGCTATGAGGAGCTGACGTAGGCAGCCACCTTGGAAACTATCATGTCCACCACGCACTTAGAACATTCCACTTGATCGTGAACGCTTCATCAACAGTGCTCAACTGCCTGGCTGTTTCAGCCAGGGACTGACTAGCCGACGTCACTTGTTGCATTGTTACTCCTGGCATCTTGACCAATTTCGTCTTTTGCTCACTCTCCCCTGCGAAGGACAGGTCAGTGACACGCAACGGACGACCAGCGGAACGACTCACTGCTCTCCAGCTTGCTAATACTGGAACAAAAGGATTGGCCGAAAACTGGTGTGTCTGACCCCCAAGTCCGACGACATCGGACGGAGGTTTCAGGGCGCTTCGAGAGGCTGCAGAACATCTCAAGGGGCGACAGTCCGCTGCGTGAAGTCTTTGCTGCTCTGGAGGAAGCTGAGATCACCCGCAATGCATCATGAACCAAGTAGTGGCGCCAGCGCCTCGAACACCTGCCTCAAGCCCAAAGTGGTCACTCTGCCTTCGCTATCCATGGCTCTTAGCAATGCCCCTATGCGCGACACAAGCTGTACCGGGCGTCCCTCCTCATTGGAAACGCACAGCCGACAGCCCTGGCTCCCCTGACCCCAGTACGTGACATGCCGCGTACTGCCAGCGTTGAGGTTCAACTCGAAGATGATGAAGCATCGCGGGTCAGAAGGACGTGCTACCAGGATGTTCTGCGTTGCGCCAGTTGTTGGATGTGCATGTTTGATCCGGACAACTCGAATCATCTTGATGGCGTAGTCGGGAATGAAGTCGACCCAGTCTTCATATGCTTTCAGATTGGAAGGGCCATCAGCAACGAGAAGGACGGTAGCCCGATCGATAAAGTATGGTAGAGTTTCCGATCGCACTTGAGTGCAAGTTCGAGAGAGTGCTGACGGGACTCCTCGCGCTCCCTTCTCTCCGCTGACTGTGATCTGTTGACCGATGCGGCTGTGGTGACGATACACCAGCTCGTAGATTTGGTTCCGTGTATCTGGCGTAAGGTCGAGAAAGCTGGAGTTTCCTGTGTAGCCGCCGTGTCGTTGTGGATATGCAGCGCTGGCAATAAGTGCTTGCTTCGCAAGACAGTGTCGAGCCCAGGATATGTGCGTGTTGCTCATCGTTCCAACACTCTGTGGTCAATGGCCGGCTCGCATGACTGTATGATCTCCGCACCTACAACAACGTGGTTAGCTGGTTCTCTCCCGCTGCAGTGGCGGCGCTGCACTCTGGAATTGACAGATCACTCAAGGCGGAATGTGACGTTCTCGACAGCAAGACCGTAGAAGCCGCCGTCCAAGCGGCCGATCGATTACTCCCTACGTGAGTGGAAAGAGGAGAAGAGGCGACTCACCACTAAAACCGTCGCTGTCATCCACCAGCTTGTCAATCGATCGGACATCGATGGTCGAGAGATATCATTCATCAATGTTGATTGTTGCCTGCACTGCGTTTGAAGAAGGCATCGCCGCTAGCGCCGCCACACTATGTCATGCAGCATGGCATTTCGAGAAGTGACTCTTCAAATTCTTTCTCTTCGAAATGGTATCATTAAAAAAGACATGGACACCGACCGACCACAAGGTGACCCGGTCGACTTGAGTACCGACTGCATCTTTCCACCACATGAGAAGATCGCTGGAAGCCTCGTTGAGCTTCTCCCACTAAAACAAGAGCATGCCGATGGGCTCTTTCCAACGATAGGAGGCGAAGAGCATCCTTCACTATACGACTACATGGGGTATGGCCCTTTCAACGATCTCGACGCCTTCCGCTCGCACATCACGCACCTATCCAACGGCAAAGATCCGCAATTTCACGCCATTGTCGACAAGGAGACCTCGAAGCTCGTCGGCCAGCTATCTTACCTTCGCATCGACCCAAAGAACCGAGTGATAGAGATTGGCCACATCATGTACTCGCCCTCTCTGCAGAAGACGCCGCAGGCGACGGAAGTGTTCTACCTTCTGGCCAACAAGGCCTTTGAGAACGGCTACCGACGGCTGGAGTGGAAGTGCGACGCAAACAATGCTGCATCACGAGGAGCTGCTGGGAGACTTGGCTTCACTTTCGAGGGCGTCTTTCGCCAGCACATGATCGTGAAAGGCCGGAACCGTGACACGGCCTGGTTCTCCATTCTCGACAAGGAGTGGCCGGCACGGAAGAGGGCTTTTGAGGCATGGCTTGATCCCAGCAATTTTGATCAAGAAAGGAAGCAGGTCAAGGCTTTGAAGCAGTTCCAGGACGCTTACAGCTGAGGAGAACAATACTTGAGTACATGTACCAGGTAGGTAGGATGGATGGAACAAATAAAAGTCCATGTCTGATTGAAAGAGAGTACGTAAGCCCGAAACTGGCGGGACGTCACACCAACAACTGCCTCGGCTCGCTGTCCCTCTTCTTCGCGATGCAGGCATGCCATCGCTAGCTCTATCGTTTGTTGCCTTTCTCATTCACAGCTAAAGAGGAGAGATTGAGCCAACGGTAAGAGTATGTAGGCATTTGTGTCGTGCTTCCTCCCTTGACCACCTCCCAACTTCTCGGAGAACACTCTCGCAAATTTATTGATGCCAATCAACACATCCCCATGGGGCGAGCCCGCATGGTCGCACGGCATAGCATCGCCTTATTACAACGACTCTCATAGACGGATTCGGGATGCTCTCCGAGAGTACAACGATAAATATGTCGTGCCGTACGCTCTTGACTGGGCCGCCAAAGGCGAAGCGCCACGAGAAGAGGCACTTCGATGGGCGCAGTCGGGGTTTGCGTTCGCAGACGTCCCGCCAGAGTACAGGCCGAAGCACATACCAGATCCCGCCGGGATTCCAGTAAACGAGCTTGATGTCTTCCATCTGCTGGTCTCGACGGACGAGGGTTCACGGATCGATGGAGGTATCGGTTCCAGCTTGGCAGGCGCAAGTGTGATTGGTATTCCGCCCATCATACACCATGGCACCGAGCAGCAGAAGCGGCAATGGCTGCCAGGACTTTTTGATTGGACAACCAGCTTCTGTCTCGGCATTACCGAGCCTACAGGAGGCTCAGATGTAGCGAACATCCAGACAACTGCTCGGAAGTCCGATGATGGCAAGTTCTACGTCGTCAACGGTTACAAGAAGTGGATCACCGGCGCCCCCTGGGCCACGCATATGACGACGGCCGTTCGTACCGGCGGTGCCAGCATGGGCGGCGTCTCCGTCCTTGTCATCCCCATGAACTCAAAGGGTCTGACCCATCGTCGCATCCCCAATAGCGGCCAAGAAGGCGGCGGTGCCTCATTCATCGAGCTGGACGATGTCAAAGTCCTAGCAGAGAACCTCATTGGACGGGAAGGCGAAGGATTTAAGACAATAATGGTAAACTTTAACCGCGAGCGGTACATTATGGCAGTCGGCTGCAACCGCACGGCTCGGACGTGCTTGAACGTCGCATTCGAGTACGCCAACAAGCGGGAGACGTTCGGGAAGAAGCTCATCTCGAATCAAATCATCTCCAGCAAGTTTGCCACGCTCGCACGGTACCTGGAGTCGCACTGGGCGTGGTTGGAACAGATTGCATACGCTGTGCAGCAGTCGCCGAAGGGATGGCAAGACCCAGATATCGCTGGACGGATCGCACTGGCGAAGGTACAAGGCGGTAGAATCCTGGAGATGGCGAATCGAGAAGCTCAGCAAGTGCTGGGGGGTGCTGGCTACCAGCGAGGTGGACCTGGTGCCGTGGTGGAGCAGATCAGCAGAGACTTGCGCATGATGGTTGTTGGCGGTGGCAGCGAAGAAATCATAGCTGACCTCGCGGTCAGGCAAGAGACTATGCTTGCTAAGAGGAGGGGGTGGAAGCTGTAGTGTTCTGATACAGTGCGTGATCCATTGTTTGTTCGCTTGCCGGGACTTGAAGAGCGTTTCCTGGTCTCCTGAGCTGTTTCCTTGACGGTATAGTCTCCCCGTGAGTACCTTTATAGCATGGCGATGTCACTCCTTGATCATGTACATTACATGCATGTGTACATGTAGATGGTGGTATTGCTCTTGGACTGGAGCGAGGCGCAACCGCGATCAGCCACACCTTCGGAGCCTCCCGCGGATTAAGGTTTCGATCGAAAAGCTTGGCCGATCCTCAAGTTGTCGAAAGCCGACGGGCGTTTGTCAACTTCACACGTCCACATTACCACCACCAGATCTCGCCGCGCCCTTGCTGTACGACAACCTCACCACTTCTCGACGGACATATCCCACAAATACGCGTCGCCGCCTTCTCAACGACACCTCCACGCGCCTCATCACCCCCTAGATCGGCAGCCTCACCCTCAGCATGCCGCGCTACAAGCGCACCGCCGACGAGGCCCAGCTCGACGTCCCCACCGAGCCTGCTGTCGCGCCGGAAGATGTCGAGACGCTGGAGAAGCTGCGGAACATGTGGGAGTTTGCGGCGCTCATGCAGTACATCTACATGTTCGGCGATGCGCTCAAAATCGACGACAAGTTCGAGATCGAGGTACGTCTCTTCCATTCACCCTGTCACATGCCCGAGAAGGATACGACACGTGGTGATGGGATGGTTGCTGATGACTTCGCGATGGCTGCAGAATCTTGAAAGCGAATGCCTCATGTCCGAACCCTCCCCCAAACTGGCGCAAATCGGGCTCCAACTGCTCAAACAGGTCTCAAGTCACAAGCCTCTCAAGTAAGTCGAGACGATGTGACGGTCGCTATTAATTCTCTGCCGTACTGACTCTCCTTAGCCTCGAACTATTCGACGAGTACACCCGCCGCCAATACCTCGCCAAGGCACCTCAGCGAAATCCCTTTGGTGATGATGAAACGGCAGTCAGGTTCAACGACCTAGACGCCTTCACAAGAGTGCGCGTACTACATCAGCTCAGCACATGGACTCTGGTCAACACGGAGAGGTTGAGGGGCTTGATGCCAGCAGACTCCGAGCCCCTCGATTGGCGCATGGAGCCTCTTGGCTGGGACAAGGAGGACAGGGCATATTTCGTGCTCGACGACAACCGCCTGTACCGACGCGCGGACATACCACTGGCGCCTCCCTCGCCTCCACCCAAGCCGAAGGCTAAGAGCAAAGCTGCGCCGAAGAAAGGTAGAAGCAGAGGTACACGGTCGAGCAAGCGTCGGAAGGTCGAAGAGTCGGAGGACGAGGAGATGGAGGAAGTCCCAGAAGGCGTGAAGGATGAAGTTCAGGAAGACACGGAGGCCGGCGCGACAAACGAAGACACCAGCGAGGTTGACGAGGAGGCTGGCTACGGCTTCACGAACAAGACCTGGCGGTGTATCGCCGTCACCCTGGATGACTACAACGACTTCCTGGCCACCATCTTTCGATCACGAGATCCCAACGAGAAGCACCTCCGCAAGATGGTCGAAGAGAGCATCATTCCCGTCATGGAAGAGCGGAACGAAAGACTTCAACAGCAGAAGTTGGCGGAGCTCAGGAAGATGGAGGTGCAGGCTCAGATGGCGACGGCGAAGCGCTCGGGTCGGCTGGCTGCCAAGCAGGAGCGCGAGCAAGAAGAGCAAGAGAAGCGCGACGCTGAGGAGAAGCGGAAGCGGGACTTGCGGGAGGCTCATGAGGAGCAGGAGAGGCTGAAGCGGGCTGAGGAAGGGCATGAGTCACGTCGGCAGACTCGCGAGCAGCGGCTGAAGGAGCGGGAGATGAAGCGTATCCTGCACGAAGAGCAGCTCGCGAAGCTGGAAGAGGACGCGACTCGTGCATCTTCACAAGATCCTGCCAATGATGTCGCCGAGCCCGAGGGTCCAAAGCGCGTCTCCAACCGTCAGAACAAGTCAGAGAGGGAGCGCCACAAGCAGGAGCTGGAAAGGCTTGCGCAAGAAGAGGACAACTGGTACTTTGACTGCGTCAAATGCCACAAGTACGGCGACAACTTCGATGACGGCGCTCACAGCCTTGCTTGCGAGAAGTGCAATGTCTGGCAGCACAGCAAATGCCATGGCATTGAGCCAGAGCAGGCTGAGGATCCCAACTTCCACTTCATCTGTGCGAGGTGCAACCAGAAGGAAGAGGATGCCAAGAAGCCGAAGATTGCACCCCTCAAGCTGGGAAAGAATCGTCAGAGCAGCAGCCCGGCTGAGAAGAAGAGTGCTAGTCGGCCGACAAGCTCTCAAACGCCCAACGGTACGCCAAAGGGTAGCCTGCCAGATCACATTGCAAGGCAGCTTGACCGCGTGCATGAGCCGCAATACCAACCGCCTTTCCAACACGGTCATCCTTACGGCCAAATGAACAACGGGCCAAGTCTGTCGCCCTACGGTCAAGCGCAAGGGCCGCCTGGCAGCCGGTATCCTCCGGTGGGCAACTTCGCACCACGTGCCCAACAGGTATCGCCTCCACAGCAGCCGTGGCAAGGCAGCCATTTCCCACCACCACACAGACCGTCTTCGTCTGAGTACGCCGGGTCGCCACCGCCTCACATGGCCAATGGATACGGATCGCCCTTCCAACATCAGCAGCACCACCAAGCGATGCACCAAAATGCTGTATCTGGTGCGGGCGGCCATCCAGGCTATCAGCATCAGGGCCCAACGTACCAGGCCCCGCAGATGAATAGCAGCAGTCCTGACATGAGCCCGTTGAACCGGCCTCCCCAGATGCAATACCACTACTACCAACCGCAGGTCAATGGATATGCACCCCAGCCACAGATGCAACCGGCTCCCCACCTGCAAAGACCTGGCTCTCAGGGGCAGCATCCTAACGGAGCACATCAACAGGCGATGCAGATGAACGGACGACCAGGCACATCGCCTCAGCCACAGCTACAACCACGTCCACGCCAGCCTTCACATGGACAGCAGATGTACCAGGCTCCGCAAGGATACACGCCATCGCCCTCTCAGCCGCAGGCTGTCCAACCTCACAATGTCACGTCACGAAGCCCAAGTGCGACCTTTCCTCCTCGCCCAGCGCAGCCCCAGCAATATGCGCCGTCGCCGGTCAAAATCTCACCTCAACCGCACCCGGCGCAACCGCATCAAGATCAACCGCAATACCAACAACGACGGCCTTCGTTCCAAGCAAACCAGACACCAACTGCACCACAAGCATTCCGTTCTCCTTCGTCCAACGGCTACGGACCCTCTCATGCTACACCACACCAACAAACGCCCGTGGTACCTCCACTTGCGTCACCACAGACTGCTCAAGCGCATCCCAGCCCGGCAGGCTCAAACGCTAACGCTGTGGCGGCGGACGGTATGTCTGGCCCGTGGCCTGAAACAAGCAAGGTCATCCCGCAAAAACACGACCAGAGTCCAGCTGCAGCACCTCTGCCCGAAACCATGTTGCACGGCGCATCCCATGGTCGACCCTCTTCCGCTGATCAGCGTGCTGTCCCTGTGCCAGCCAGCAGTCCGCAAACGGGAGTCGATGCTAGCGCCATCATGCCTCCCTTTGCGTTGAGTCCGACTCAGCAGATGCAGGACCAAGCCCAGGCGACTGGCCCGGGAAGTGTGCCAGTGAAGAGGTCACCAGTTGTGGGTAACGACAGCACTTTAGCACAGGCGCCATCTGCACCGGAGCAGATGGCAGCGAACGGATATGTTGGGCAACAACAAGAGGTCCCGGGGCACTCATAGGGGGACTGGACTCGAGTCGGACAGCGTTATTGTTGCAATACATGGGATTGCAATGGGATCTGCTTCAATGATTGGATGTTGGGTAGGAGATGTCGCGAGGCAATGGCGAGGCTTAACGCACCTACATGAATCTCACACCATCAAACTGTTTATGGCCTCACAATCCTGACCTCAACGCACCCTCAAGGAAGACAACACCACTCACAACACCATCTACAATCTTGACCCTCCTTCCTTTTTCCTCTCCCAAAGCCTCAAGACACCCCTCCCTCACTACCTCATCCATGCCAGCCATTCCCGCGCAGCCCAGACAGATCGCCTGGACATCGCCCTTGCCCACCAATCGCTTCGTAGCCTCCTTCATTCGCCTATCTACTTCCGCCTTCGGCGTCGAGTGCAGCTCATCAGCATTCAGCCCTGTCGTCTCCGTGCCCGCATACCTCGTACTTCCTGCCACTCCCAACAACTCTGACACAGCATGACCGAGAATCTCAGTCCATTGCGCGCCGGTCGAGACGATTCCGAACTTGGCCTTGAGATCGGTGGACTGGAGACATGTCGCTACTGAGGCTTCGAAGATGCCCGTTACTGCTTTTCCGTGGAATCCAAGTTTGGCGATCTCGCTGCGTAGCTGACCCACCAGCGGGTGCTGGGAGTAGCAGCACACCAGAAAGCCGTCGTAGTCGTTTAGCTTCTCCTTGAGAGCTGGGAGACAGGCTTTGGCGGAGACGGCGGCATCGTCTTCGTTGTTGATACTTGGGACGCCGGAGGGGGCGGTGAAGTAGGTGTACATGGTCTACTGCACTTCCGGTAAGCGATGGGGAATGATGAAATCGTTGTGGGAGAAAGAGGCTCACTGTATCAAAGCTCAGGCTGTTGACCAGGGGTTTGAGGCCTTCTGTCATTGAGACAGTGGTGTTCGGCTGAATGATCAGGAGTGAGCAGGTGGCTTTGTCGTTTTGTGCCATTGTGTGTCGTCTGTGTCTCGAAAATACTGCTACAGTTGCTCGAGCATCGAATACGTCTACTGTGTCTACCGTGAAAATTCTTTGTAATGTGAAGCGGTGTCGGCTTAGGAATGCTTCCGAGTTGTCACCTTTGTACCTCTGCTTCCCTCGCTGTGCTCTTTCCGAGACTACTTGGATCCGTTCACGTGCTCGAGACTTATGAAGAGGCTCGGATGGCGCGGCATTTGAAACTACGAGGCTTTGCAGAAGACTTCACCATCCTACCCGAGATATCACCAGTCAAGGGCTGACTACACGCGACCACGACGAGCTTCGAGACGGTACTCTCTCTTCCGCTACAACCAGCCCTCTTAGGTGTTCTCCCTTTTAGACCGGATCCCTCAAAACATGTGAACCAAAGGTTTGGAGTAGCACTCCACCGCTTGCGTTGCCATTGGCGTAAGGTCATTGTCTCGCAAAACACAGCATCGTTACTCCATCGAGTTACGGCATAATGTGACCATCACTGGCCGCCTTGGTTTTTGACATGGTAGCTGTTTGAGATCGCGAGCCATTGCTTCTGGACTTGGGCTCCGGTCCCACCCCAGCCACTGCTTCACGCCCGCTTCCTCCACCCTCCCTTCTATCTTCAAGCCACAGTCCAGTAGTGTATGCATCACCGTGATACAGATCTGGTGAGTCAGGTCTGCACCAAGGCACGTTTTGCACCCCGCTCCAAATGCCAGACCGAGATCCTGGGAAGTTTCGCCAGACATGAATCTATCCCATCGAAATTCTCCAGGATCCTTGAACACTGATGGGTCTCGGTTTGCTGCGACAAAGTAAAGCCACGCATCGTGGCCTGCGGGGATGGTGTGGGAGCTCGATTCGTCCGGCGCCATATCTTGCTCAAGCTTGACAGTCTCCATGCTGCGCCGCATTACGCCCACGACAGGCGGGCTGAGTCTGGCAGTTTCGAGTAGGATGCTCGATAGCATAGAGTGCCGGGTGTCGGGATCCGCTTGGCTCGCCACCAGACTTGCAAGAGATCCTTCATCGTGTTGATGCTCTGAATCTCTCCACAAGAACATGTTCATGAAATAAGCCGTGAGGAGGGATGCTAAAGCCTTATTGGCGATGCTGCTTGTGAAGAGGCGGGTATGAGAGACGATCTCTTCTTCGCTCAAGCCAGATGAGCCAGCCTTGATTCCATGCGCGAATGGACATGATTGCCCACTTTCGCTAGGCTGTTGGGATCTTTCCCACTGATGGTTTAAGTGTTTCCGCATAGCCGGTCCAAGATTACGCACCGCCTTCAGACCACGACTCCTGGCGGAAGACCAGAACGGCACACTTAGAGCGACTGGGAACAGGGAAAATTGGCCGCGGAGAAGATCTTCTTGGCGGCTCACTATCTCGCCGAAGTTCTTTTTGTTCGTATCACGGCGCAGACCAAGGAAAACGCCGAGTAATAGGTCCCATGCAAAATCTTTCAGTGCTTCATACAGGTCGAAAGGTCGGTCTCGTGGGAATGGACCAATTTGTAGGTTGAGGGCCTGTCTTGTGAGAATCTCAACGTGCGGAATGCAATTTTCGATCAAGCCAGCAAACGATGTCTTCCATTTGTTTTTGCTCTCGTGGTGGGATTTTCCATCCTGTAGCAGTATGTCCGGCGGAGGGAAGAACGCGGCCATCAGCTGTTCGTATGCTGGACCTGCAGTGAAGGTATCTGGTGGAAGCTTCTGACCATCAAGTCGGGCATCTCCACTACTGGGCTCAGCTTCGCGGGCACCACTCGTTTCATTACAGGTCAATATGGCTTTGCAGAGTCGGTAGGATGAGACTATCTGCCGTGAGGTGAGCAGATGCTGGTGGCGATTCTTTGGACTACTTACATGAACATTACGGTTCAAGATCTCTGCGGTGACCACAGGCGGGATACGCTCAGCTCGCGTTGTATCATCAGAATCGGGCCATTGCGAGCGATCGAAGATGAACGATCCTGGTGATTGATGAAAGGTGAGGCTTTGCGTGATTCTAGACGCCATGACAGTGAATTCCGCTCAGCTGTTTCCCATCGAAAGCTCCATGGCGGACGGGCTATCAACGACGTGTCGGCTGCTAAAAGGACTGTCAAACGGAGAGATGAAGTGAAAGTCGGGCCAAAGGACAAGACGATGGCTATATACGTTTGGTCTCGAGACGCACGAGCCATCTTTCCCAAGCTCCACCGGTCAGTGCTGTACGCGCTCTCCCGCTCTCCTCCTTCCTACCATCACAACAAGAACATTGGCATTTTCATCGCGTTGGTTGTATCTACAGGACCACCAGGCTCGTGACCAACAGCGCAATCGTCAAGCTACTTAAAAACGCCACGAAGCACCCAAATGCTATTACACGCCGCTTGCTGACGCGCCCGCCGCTCTGCTCATTTTGCCCCTGACGGGCTGCAATGTCACGTCGAACGGCTGGTATGGCAAGCAAGAAACCTACACCTGCGACCCAATACCCGACCGGAATCAAAGCAGCTAGGATGTCACGAGTGGCTTCGATGTATGCTTCGCTGCCAACCTCGTAGTTCCGCAAGGCGAGGCCTACAAACAGAAGGGTCAGTAAGTGTCTCAGACATGGTAGGGATTTGCCCATGGGTTTGATACCGATGATTTGGGGTGCGCTACCGTGTGTCAGCAGGTTCTCAAAGACGTTACCAGCAGTGTTCTTACGATGAATATATCAAGATGATGGTGCATGTGTAGAGGGACAAGCAGACAGTCTTGATCCGTGGTGGCAACAGCAGTGCGAGGAGGGATGCAAAGGCTCCCAGCCAGAGCTCTGCCGTAAGGTACGCTGCACTCATGCATCCGTAGACGACTCGGACTCCAGCATCCTCACTACCGCCTGCTTCTCGGGAGAATACCATGCAGATCACAAACACGGCAGAGATCATGCCGCCGATTGCGGTGATGTACAACGCCATTGCCGGTCTTCTTGGTGTCGCCGAGCAGACGACGCCGCCCAGGACAACCGCCACCGTCCCTACCACGCCGACTATGATGCCGTAGTTGGAGAGCAGATTGGCTTTGGAGGCATACCTCGACGACAGGTATGCAGGCATGTACCAGCCAAAGACGTTGCCAGAAAACTGTCGTGCTCCAGCAGACAGTGTAAGGATCCAGAAGGACTTCATACGGACGACTTGCGTCACTGAAGCCACAAGCAACGCCCTCCATCCGCTCTTCCTCTCAGCACGATCTTCGTCGTCGCTCTCTTCATCGAGTTGAGCGACAAGGTTCGTTCGTGGTGGCTCCCGCACCACAAGACGCAGCATGACGATCAGGACCAGACCAACGATCCCGATCGCTCTCAGCGCCACATTCCATGGCGTATCGGTCTTCAAGAAGGCTGTAGCGATCTGCGCACTCACTGCTTCTCCGATGTAAACGCCAACGTACAGAATGCTGCCCGACGTTTAGCTTTGTGTAATGCCGCGAAGGCTGCGAAGGTATCGTACCTCTCTGCCAGAAAAAGCCACCTCACTGGCACCAGATCGCTTATCACGCTAATACTCAATGCTTCCACGGGCGACTGGCCAATACTCATCGCCAGCCTGGCCAAGAAGAGCTGCCAGAAATTTTTCGAGTATCCTTGACAAATCACACAAGCATTCCACCACAATGCTGCAGCTGTGAGAGTCCATACTCTTCTCCCAGACCAGTCTGCTAGAAATGCAATCGGAATCGCAGTGAGCGCCGAAATGATGCCTGTGGCGTAGCCAGAGAGCAAGCCATATTGTGTTGAGGTGAGCCCCAGGGATTCAATGACCTCCGCTTGGAAGTACGAAAGGACGAATTTGTCGTACTGTGCGATGAAGTAGTTCAGTAGGAGGAGGACTATCATTAACAGGATGTGTGCGGCTCGTAACTTTGATCTTGCGGTAGATCGATGACGTTGTGTTGCTGGGCTATTGGCCTGGGAAGAGATACGTGAATGTCTTTTCTCGTCCGTGTCCATGGTCGTCTTAAAGCAACAGTATTGAAAAAGTTTCGATCTCTCCTTCGCACAGCGAGGGACAATATGTAGACAAGAATCAAATAACACATCAAAGAGCCGGCGGGATGCTCTGGCCGCCATTGTCGCCAAGTACTCATGTCGTCTCCTTTTGGTTAGGCTATGCAGGTTTCGTTCTCGTTCCACCATTCAAACAGCCGTCTTCTACTCGTTCTCGTTTCGATGACAGATATCGATTTCTTCATCCGTCGTCAGAGCCACTGTCAGGGTTGTTTCCGCGGGAGAACACCTGCAACACACTGGCTCAGTGGGATATAAAACGCGCCGACTGTAAGTGGATCTCCGGCAGTCCGACAACCACTCCTCCAACTCAACCACAAAGCATCATCATCAATTTCCGACATGTCTGTACCTACCATTTACATCCTGTACAACGCAAAGGCTTCTGTCTTGGGCAAACTCGGCTACGCCTATCGCAAGATCAACACATCTGCGGACTGCGATTCTGCCTGCGCCGCTTGCGACCTGGTCAGCATTCTCGCGATTCTACCAGCATCGAGTACCTGCTGACTGTGTGAAATCAGACTCACGGAGGCTTACGCTTGAACGAATCAACACAGTGGAAGGAGGCCAAGGCCCGCATCAACGCAAATATCGAGCAACTGCACCAGGACGAGGTTACTGACGAGGTGAGTCTCGCTGGCTGTGCAATGGTAGTTGATGTTGTATCGAAGCTAAGACGGCCTTCCCTCTAGCTCAAGGCCTTCATGAGCCGCGACAGCCTCCGCTATCCTGTCGTCCTTGCTCGAGCAAACGAAGGGCCCTTGAAGCTGCTTCTCGACTCTCAAGCCCTGAACACTGTGTCTAAAGACCACGAAGCATTCTTGAAGTCGCTTCTCTCAAGTGCCGAGCAGAACGACATCCCTCTGCAGCTTACCGAGGGATCCGCACAACCATCTTCGCTGTAGCAAGTCCGAAGCTGCTGCCGCGATTCACAATGCTCGACATACAGCTGCGGTCCGTCAAGGACAGCTTGTTCGAGCCCCTGGTCCCGCTTATACCAAATTTCATAACTCCGGACCAAATCACGCTTATCGGCTTTGTCTGTGGAGCTCTCGCTTGTACTGCGGCGACATGGCAAGACACAACTTTTGTGAGCTTGGCTCTCTGGCTGGCCAATCGTGCGCTTGACTGCATCGATGGCGCGCTGGCCCGACGGACGAAGGTCAGCTCCGACTTGGGTGCGTTCTATGACCTGTTATCCGACTTCATCATCTACTCGGTAATCCCTATCGCTGTTGCGTATGGCCAGTCCAAGCGATACGGCCATTCCGCCGCGCCGAACCATCTCTGGCTCGGTGTGGCTTTTGTCGAAGCGACATTCCACGTCAACAACTTCGTACTGTTCTATTGCGCGGCTCTCGTGGCGAAGCGTGAAGACGCAGAGTTGACTAGCGTCACGATGAAGCCTGCGCTGATTGAAGGTTTCGAGAGCGGACTTATCTTCTCTGCGATGTTTGTTTGGCCGCAGTATGTTGGTAGTCTCTGCTGGACGATGGGCGTATTGGTCTCGGTGGGCATTGTGCAAAGATCCTGGTACCTGCGTGGCGTTCTTGCAAAGCGAGCAGAGACAGTCAAGACAAGGCCTGAATGATCGCACAATACCAACGCATATTACGCCCACAACTCTTCTCTGACTTCGGTCCTGCCCCCTCGTACCTCATCTCATAGCACGGGCGGAGAACTTCTGGAGGCCGCTGAGCAGCCACCACACATTCACCATCGTGATGAGCCCAGTACCAGCCTTGCACGGAAGCTTGAGCCTCGAGACGCCAACCAAGAAGGATACTCTTTGCTGTGTTGCAAAAACCTTGATGATCCAGAAGATCAGCCCGACACGGAAGACGGCGAATGATGCCAGGTATAACACTGTCATCCCGTTGATGAGGCGTCTGCGATGGGGTTTGAAGTTGAGCAGGAACCACCGCAATGTACCGGGTACAGATGACGCATTCATCAAGTGCAAAGCCACGATGACCAGTATGCCCTTCTCACGGCCCTGCGCAATGTAGTGCTGGAGAATCAGCAAGAGAGAGCCAAGGATAGCATGGTGTATGCCTAGGTGCAGGACATTCAACCCTCTGACTTGTTTCCCTTGTGTTCCATTGCGTCTCCAGTAGGCATGTAGCAGCACGGCAGAGTCTTGGAGGAGATAGCCAGTTTCAAGCGCAGTGATGCAGTTCCCGAATGCTGAATTCGTAGTGATGATGGGCACGTCTCCGCGAGGAACCTGTACGTTTCCGTGTGAAGCTGGAGATTCAAGGCCTTTGGCGTTGCTACGCAAGCAGATGGCAGCTAGAACGGTCTGCAGTCCACAGTGGAAGATCGAGATGCTTTCTCGTGCTCGTGCTATGTGCAGGCTGGACGGTCTGGCGGGAAGAATGGCGAAGTAGACGGCCGGGTAGAATATGAGGGATCCAAGTAAAGTCTTCATCTCTGGCGTGGCCATGATGGCGGTGTTAAGGATCGCAGCCATCCATTTCTCTAATCTCCCTGACCGATGACAAGTCGAAAGTAAAGTACTTTGGCCTACACTTTCTTCAGCACGGCATGGTCAGAATGTCCCTTTCTTCGCCGTTGTGGTCAAGGTCGGGATCCCGCGGCGTCGACGTCGAGAACGTCATCGCCCTCCTTCGTTCACAACTCGCTCTGCTAAACGAAAACGACAGACTGGTCCATATTCTGCCCGTCTGACTCCGTGAGAGTACCAGTAGTAGGGTGAAGACCTGCATCTACTCCATTGACTGAGCCTTGATTACAACCTTACGAGGAGTCCGCGTCCGCCGGATCCATTGTGGCAACCACCAAGGACTTCATTACTTGCACGACATGATCAAGACACCACCCGACGGTCAGGCCCAACGGGCACAAGTTGTTCGAGACAGATCCTCAGCGCTACTACCAAGATGCCTTCTGGGAGCCTTGTTACTCACAGCAATCTGCTTGCCGACACTCTACCAGCCATTCCTTGATCGAGTCTACGCCCTTCTGTACACCTCAGATTTCTACCGCTTCTCTGGATTCGAAACGGTCCTCACGATCCTCAGCTACGCCACCATCGAGCCTTTGTTCACATACAAGTTCGGCCACAACCCTCAACTTCGGATCGATGTGCGAGGCTCAACGCAGGACCTTCACAAGCCTCGTCCACGGCTACCGAAAATGCAACGGCCCTGGCACAGATTCTATGAGATGTTCATCTATGTCGCGCCTCTCTTTTGCCTTGACCTTATCATGATAAAAAAGTTCGCCGACGTACCCATCAACGACATCAGACGAACTGGAAACTACGAGCCTGTGATCGCACGTACCGGCGGCACATACATACTGCACTCGAACAGCTCGAGCCGCCACCAGCCCGCTGGCAACATCTCTCCGAGCTTCCTCCTGCCGTCGGTCCATAACTTCAGCCTCTCCTCTCCTCTCCAGCTCGAGCGAGCCCTACCGCCTGTGCCCCCGACCTCACAAAGACTCGCACTGGAACTCATGACAGCCTTCTTCATCTACGACTTCGTCTTCTTTGCCACGCATCTGGCTTTCCACAAGATCGGCGCCCTGAGTCGTCTTCACAACCCACACCACACTCATGCGGAGATTCATCCTCAGATCACCAACCGCCTGTCCATCGCGGAGAGGCTGTCGCTCGTGATGCTGGCGAACTTCTCGCTGAACATCATCGGGTCTCACGTCGTTACGAGGACGCTGTTCGTGCCGATCTTCGTATATCTCTTGATCGAGATACACTCTGGGATGGATCTGGACTGGGGCTACGATAAGATCTTGCCGGCCGGGTGCGGTGCGGGAGCGAGGTCGCATGCGCACCATCACAAGACTGGTACGGGAGCGTATGCGCCTTTCTTCGGATGGTGGGATGCTGCGTATGCGTGGTGCGTGTCTGCGCGGAAACAGGCGTAACAGATCAAGGAGATATCTGAGATAAAGATAAAGATAGATCAACCAACAGAGCTCAGATTCATTCTTACTGTTTGACTTGTACCCTGAAGAGTGGAAGCCCCAGTGGGCTTCGCATTACCCACGAAGCTCCTCTTGAACCTGGTGCGCCAGATAGTCACAATGATCCCGACATTGGTTTCTGCGGAGCAGCGAATAGCTCGCACAAGATAGGGAATCATGCGGAAGACAACATCTCGGAGCAGTAGGCAGCCCAAACACGGTGGTCGATGTCATGCAGACGTGGGTGGATGAGGCGCTGGTCGATGTTCGCGGCCACAAAAGGCCACATCCCCCGAACATCAATAGTATCGACAGGTACGATATGTTGGAGTTGGAGAGAAGAGGAGTCCTGTTCAATGTAGGTACTCATGGCGTCTTGATGTGGAAAGCGTTCTTATCAGACGTCGGAGGGTCGTACGTGAGAAGCAGGCATCCAGCAAAACAATATCGGCAGGTGGACTGATCGGTAGTAACATGGTCAATCTCTTGATCGAGCTCGTTCGATCTGAAAGAGATTGTAGACCCTCTGACCTTGCACGACTGGACGGTCTGCCGGCTCCGCACTCGTCGCTGAGACGCTGCCATTGTGGTCTCGGGAGCAATGCAGTCGAGCCAGTGTGGCCTTCTCCTGGTATCTGACGTCTATGTCCACGCGTCTCAGGTCTCCGGTGTCATGGTGGACTTGGGTAAGCCTGCCTTGTTTCTGAAACTCTACTGTTCGCAACCTTGGAAGGGCATAGAACGCCACCTGACCTGCGTAGTCGACTGCGCCAGGAAGGCAATCATAGCAAAATTTCTTCTTCCTGAGTCGCTCGTCGGGCTTGTTGCAGCCATTCGAACAACTTTGAGGGTAACGGCGTAACCCAATCTCGTTGACAGGTGAGAGTATGAGCCGCTCTAACAGAGGGAACAGGTCCGACTGCTGGAATAAAGCCTCGTACGAGTATCCAGGTGGTCCTCCACACACCACCCCAAGTACTTTCAAGTGAGGCAGGTGCTTGCTGAGGGTTTGTAACAGCAGTGGAGACCACGGCGTCGTCTCACCAAGCCAGAGCTGAGTGATGGTCCGAAGATGTCCTTCGATGACAAATGTCTGCAGCATGTCTGTCGAGAGGCATGAATAGCCGGCCTCATTCCAGATCTCGAGTGAGTCGGATACATCGAGGAAACCAACAAAGTCTTCAAGGCCTGCGGAGACGACCAAAGATCTCAATGTCGGAAGGCGACAGCTGCGAAACGTCTTCCTGAGGGCCATCTGATTGTTCTCTCTGCTTTGGGGAGTGATGATCTCCAGCTCCTTCAGCGCAGCGGCTCCCTTCAAGGCTTTGGCAAGCCGCGCAGCATCCCGATCCAGGAGTAGGAACATCTTGATCCGAAGAGTGCGCATGTATTGCATGAAGAAAGGTGATTCACCCACATAGGTGAGCCACGGATCTATGCTAGGCAGTTTGCTTACACCGTCATGGCAGTCCGTCAGCATCTTCGGCTTGCGAAACAAAAGAGGGCCGCCGACATGGCGTATATGTTGACAGGTTGAGCAGAAGTTCAGAAGCAGAGAGTGTTGAGATTCGCTGTCGCCAGCAGACGTTGATCCGTCGAGTGCATGAAGAGTACGGCATATCTCGTAAAGCACATCGTAGTTGAGGTCGAGAAGGTGCTTTGTGCCAGAGTCTCGGGATGTTGACGACATGTTTGTGAGGATGCTAGGAGGAACGAACTGACCATGGCGCAAGAACTCCTGATATGTGGCAAGAGACATCTCAAACAGCATTCAATGCAAGTGACTAGAGCCTGGTGTCGTGCCACAAGACACAAACCTTTGGTGGTGAATACCGTCCTGAGCCTGTGGCAGGCAGCAATGCGATTGCGGCACAGCGTGTGTCCAGCGCATCTTCCCGCCGTACGACGAGGCGTCGTGTCACGAGACAGAGCCGAGAGTCATCGTCGACGAACAGCAAGACAGGGGTGGCGGTGCTGAGTCAACCTCATCTCTAGACCTCATCCGACACCTCCACCTTCCGATGTCGACTCCGCAACAACAAACAACCTCGACACCATTTCTCCACCAAAGTCTATCTGAATTCATCCATTCTTCCTCCAATGGTGCGTGGCTCGAAGCGTCGGCTCACGCGAAACATGTAATGTATAACAATGTAGCCTCTCCTACTGGCATCCTCACCTTTCGTTGATTGTCCACTCACCTTCACCTACTCTTCCTTTCTTTCAAAAGCTGTCTATCTGTCATCAACATGAGAATGCTGAGGAGCGTGGGCTTAGTGGCACTGGCTACTACGTGTGCTGCCGCTGATGTAGTGAATGGTGGGCAGAGCAAGGCGGCTCCCTTCCCAAGGCACTTTGAGCTGATGGAGCACAGTCAAGATTGATTCGACCCCAAGGCAAACCCTGACGTCCTTTGGTGCGTCCGGTGCTTGGTAGGTCACTGGTGCTCCTCAATTCAGTACCTTGTTGACCGCAAGCAGGTGGCCAAACGACCTGATACATTTCCCAAAAAAGGTACAGCAGAAGCTCGCCGAGTTCCTGTTCTCCGATGATGGCATCTACTTGTCCTCATACCGTTACAACATGGGCGGCGACGGCGGAGATGATACGCAGCAAGTCGTCACCAACGGCAGCCGGGTAGAGTCATTCCTCCTTCGCAACGGCACTTATGACTGGAGCCGAGATCACGCAGGCATTTCGTTCCTGAAAAAGGCACAGAAGTATGCTGTGCCGTACATCACTTTCTTCATCAACGCGGCGCCATCGCATATTGCTGGGAATGGGGCATCGTGAGTGGACGAAGCAATTTTTTCCGGCAGCAACACAGCTGATCAAACTCCTAGCTGCGGTTGGAACATGACCAAGCCGAAGGTCCCAGAGTTCTCACAATACATCAGCGCCGTTCTTTCGCATTGGTCGAACAACGGCATCGACATCAAGTACATCAGCCCGATGAATGAACCGGACAACAACCGAGCAGACTGCGGGCAAGAAGGCATGGCGGTAGCTCCAGCATTACGGGCAAACGTCGTGCAATCTATCCGCAGCGCCCTGGACAAGTCTGATGCTGCGCACGTGGATATCATGGCCGACGAGACGAGCCAGGTCACGACACAAGCTTTTCCGGAAGACCCAGTCTGGCTGCCTCAAGCAGCTCCTTACATGTCGACTTTAGCCGTACATAACTACGACTATCCTGACGACGCGGCTCTCTCGGAGTACTACCAGTCGATCCAGAACTTGACCGAAGGTGAGAGACTTCCACCGGTGAAGTTCACGGAGACATGCTGCAGCACGAGATCCGGCTCCGGCTCTGATGTATTCGGAGCTCAATACGATCCAACCATGAAGAATGCTCTCATCGTGGCAAGATATGTATGGCAATACCTTACCATCGTACAAGCAGAAAGCTTCGATTGGTGGACTGCGGTCACGAACTTGCCGTGCTCGCCAAAGATAGATGGACCGAAGTGTGCAACTGCCATCAACAACACGGCTGGCTACAACTCAGGCCTGGTGTAAGTCAAATCGATGGATGGAACGCCTCTCTGAGATACGTTCAATTTCCAAAGACTGCGAGCCGCTCTGAGACCTTTTAATCAATGTTCCGGCTGTCGAGACACCTGCTGACCCTTCTACCCACCACTCTAGGTACATTGACGGCAACTACAACAAGACGCATGACTACAATCTGTATACCACCAAGCGGGCGTTCATGCTGAAGCACTTTGCCTACTTCCACCGACCGGGCAGCGTCCGCTACGATGTTCCGCAAGCACAGCTACCATCCGGGATCAACGCCATTGCGTCCAAAAAGGGGCATACGTGGAGTGTTCTCTTCGTGAACAACCATACTCACGCTTCGAACCTGAAGCTTCAGCCGCCCGCGAAGGGCGCGAGGCCTGTGAGAGTCGTGCAGACGACCGATGCTGAGGACTGGGCCGAAATCAGTCCGCTGCCTGCGATGAAGAAGGGCTGTGTGAAGCTCAAGTTGCCAGCGCAGAGCTTGGTGACGATACAGTTCTCGAGTTGATAGAGAAGATACTGGCAATCATTGAGCAGCTTCAAAGCCTGACAGCGATGTTCGATATCCGTGAGATGGTTCGAGACTGCCAGCCCGAATTCTTTTGCAGTTGTCCTGAAGGTGTGCGTACGGAGTTCCTGGTGAGCACATGTTCATTGAGAAGAGGACTGCTGTTGCAGACACCCTTGACACCCCTGCACGCACTACTGCCGCCTCCGACGCCACGGGCCTTCGCCCCCATCCCTGCTGCTGTCGTTACTATTTCGGGCGCTCTTCCACCACAACACGACGAACAGCTCATGGACTTTTCACAGATCTGCTCGAGTACTCTGTGCATAACCAACGAGGCTCAGGTGTCATGGTGCATGTGCAGTAGCTCAAGCATGGTGCATTACTGCTGGAAGTACATCGATACATCGATCGAAACATGCATCTGTTGAAGCCTGCCCAGCCTCGAGCTGCAACCGATCTCCTGATGTGTCTGCTCAGCCTTGCTCAGTCGCGGTCACATATCTAATCTACAGGGCATCCTCCCCTCCTCACAAGTGAACTAGAAAAGTTATCGAGCCCAAAGCAAGTACCATGTTCAGCCCATTCGGCAACGAGACGACCTTACCGCCAGCATCATGGCACCCCGAGCCCCTAGTGCGTGGGACCTACACTGTCCTGTCCACCTCTCTATTTACCATGTTCCTTTGTGTCTGGACTGCTGTACATCTCAACATTCCGGAACACGGGAAGCGAAACTCGCAATTCTGGCGGAAGACGGGCTGGCTCATGATGGGCCTGCTGGCACCTGAAATTGTCGCTTTCAATGCGTGGCAGCAAAGGCGTGAAGTGAAGCGATTGACGAAGAAAATGGTTGAAATCCACAGCAGGCAACACTTCTTTCCTGCCGCTAAGCCGGTGCCATGGAACGACGGCTTACGCTGCTTGGTCAAAAAGCTCTGGATAGGACAATGGTTTCGCCTTCCGCAACACAAGCTTCGCCTGTTTCTTCTTCTCGAGCCCGGAGACCTCCTGGCAGATATCAACAAAAGGCCGCCACCCAGGTTCCGGGATACGGAAAGTCTGAAGTCCCCTTGGACAGACGTGCACAGCTGGTACGCCGTCATGGGAGGCTTCGCTTTCGATACCACCTCTGCACCAGAGCCATTCCTGCCTGGAGACCGTGATAGGATCGTGCTCTCTTCTGAAGGTGTTGTTTTGCTCGCAGAGCGATGGCCACATCTACTCCCAAACATATCAGCTAGCGACATCACCGACCGCAGCAAATCCGACGCTCTCGCGAAGTTCATCACATGCTGGCAAGCCGGATGGTTCTGCATTCAATGCGTGTACAGACTTTCCGAAGGGCTATCCATCAGCTTGTTGGAGCTGAATGTGTTCGGCCACGCAGTCTCTGCATTATGCATATTCATGATCTGGTGGAGTAAGCCGAAGGATATCCAGGAGCAGACCAGGATCGTGGGAGAAGAAGCCCACTCGGTGGCGGCGATGTTCTGTCTTCTTAGTCCAGTCGGGAGAGCGACAGGGAATTCGTGGGGAAATATTCTCAAGGGCTACGTCGACGAGCGTATTTGGGTGCCTGCAACACTGGACGAAAACACACAGCCGCTGCCGCCTCTCTCTGTCGCACATTATACAGAGCTGACGGCGCCTCGTAGCATCGAAGTTCGTGGGAAACCCTGGGCGACTCGCACATTGAGAGGAGTAGAAAACGAAAAGCCTCAACAGCCCCCGAGTCTTACTGACCCTCATCAATGGCACTCGTGGTACCAGCCCCCGAGCCTTGCTGACGCTCATCAATGGCTCCCGCACAATACTGTCGACTGGCTGCCTGACGTTGTCGGCGAGTTGTTGTCCGACAAACATTGGATCTCAGTCGACAGCACGGTTGCCGCCAGACTATCTGCTGTCCGGCAACATGACTTAATGCGCAGCATCATCGACAACATGACGGCGAAGGGGGGCCAGGAAACATACCATATACAACTAGATACCCTCGTACGGATCCGCAACCCAAACTGGTACATCAATAGCAGATGTTTCGAGCGCAATCCGGGGTGATCGATACTGTGGGACCTTTCTGCAATTACTCTGGCCACTATGGCGTATGGTGGACTGCACGCGACCGCTTGGAATGCAGCATATCCTTCAAAAGCCGAGCTGAATCTGTGGCGAGCATCGAGCCTCACTGTGGTTCTGACAGGGCCGGCAATTGTAATCATCTTCACGGTCTTAGTTGGTATCGCAATCGTCATGGAAGCCATCTACGAAGGTCTTGCAGAGACATACCTCGGACGGCGCCTTCGAGGACTCTGGACAAGTGTGCAGGACACGCGATCAAGGTGGTTCTGGCTCTATCTCATTCTGCGGACAGGCTGGTACGCAATACTAGTGGTTGGGTTCTTGACAACCGTGCTCCCACTGGCCCTGGCAATGTATGCGGCGCCGCTCTGGTATGCCGTGGCTCGGGGTTTCCTGGTGGTCGAGAGCTTCATCAGTCTGGCGCATTTATCGCGGGCTGCTCTGACAGTCCCCACGTGGTCACAGTATGTGCCGCACGTAACTTAGATAGATATTGCAATGCACTTTGAACTTTGGGGGCGACATGTGTCAGGAGAGTGGGTGGTCCTCACAACAGTGGAACCGTCCGGCGGGAAGCGAGGAGGGTGCACATTATGACAACACCCTGCCATCAAACTCGTAGTAGGCCGTGTGCTTCTCGGTCTCCTACAGCCAGAAATGGGTGCTAGGTGTGAAGAATGGAGAGCAGCCATTAAGCAAAAGAGGAGGACGAGGACGGAGAACCGCACGGACCTTCGACTTCACCTCTCAAAAACATCATCTCCTAGGTTTGCGCGTCTGTCACTCGAGACGATGAGAACAACCACACTATAACGTAACATCAGGGCTCATATCAGCCGGTCGGCTTCGTCAGCTACCAAGATGTCGCGCCCCATCACGCGCCCGCTCAAGAAGGATGTTCTCCCAACCGCCATGAAGCCATTAAAACCCGTCCTCTTTTCAGAGTCGCCTCGACCGTCATTGCTCGTGCCTAACATTCGCGCGCTCTCATGGTCGGCGACAGGAGGTCTTCTGGCCACCTGCACATCAGCACACATTCGGATTTGGAACTCAGAGAGGCCAAACGTGAAAAGCAGCACCGAGATCCGGAGCGGACACAATGGCAGCTTTGCTGGTAGTCCCGGCGGCAGTGCTACCGCGGTCGAGAAGGTCATGTTCTGCCCGACTACTGAGAATGTACTGGCCAGTACTGGACAGGATGGGGGAGTGAGGTTGTGGGACGTCCGGGTGCCGGGAGGGGTGGCTGGGGCCGGCAAAGGGACGCAGCTGGCAGATTGCAAGTTGGGTGATCCTGGCTTATTCCTCACCTGGCATCCGAACGGGCAGGAGATGGTAGTGGGCACCAAAGACGACAACGTCCATGCGGTGGACGTCCGACGGATGATGGACTTTGACTCGGCAAGCAACACGTGGACTCTGGAACCTTCAAACCGTACGCCACTAAACGAGAAGGCAGCATCGCCTCGCTACTACGCCATGTGCTTCTCCAACTCTGGGAGAGAAGTCTTCGCCACCACCGGCGACGGCCCCGTCAAGATACTCGACTACCCCAGCATGTCCATTCTGCACTCCCTCTCCGGCCACTCCTACGCCACATACGCCGTACAACACTCACCCCGCGGCGACTGGTTGGCGGTGGGCGGAGGTGACAGTTCTATCAGCCTATGGGATACCAACGACTGGCACTGCGCCCATAACCTCACCTCGCACACCAGCGCAGTCCGCGAAATCAGCTTCAGCTTCGACGGTGCCTATCTTGCGGCCGGAAGTGGCACTGATGCTCGAGATGGCAGCTCTGGGATCGACATCTACCACGCAGATACGGGAGACGTCGCGCATACGATCGACACCAGCAATCCTGTCACGGTGGCTGCGTGGCATCCGTTCAAGTACTGGATTGCCTACGCTGGTGACCCGGGCGGGCTGAAGCTCATCGGCCCTGGATCTCCTTCCGCCTGAAATCTGGATGAGTGACGGTATGCATGTCAAGCGTTCAAGCGAAGGAGTCGAAGGAATGGGCTGGAAGGCACTGGTCAAGGACGGCACATCTTTTGGTTTTGGCGTACAAAGCAGAGCTCACGCAATCATCTCGGGTATCATAACTTTCGCATCTCCAGACCGAAGCAAGCAGAAGTACAGCAGCGCTCACCAAACGCTTCCTCGCCAACACCAAACCAGAATCACGACGTACCGAGCTCAAAGACGTCAGACTTGATCTGAGTCCGCCGCTTCGCCGAAAGCTCAGCTATTGTCGCCGGCGTCTCGTCCACACCCAACCTCGGAGAGCCCACATAGCCACTGTCACGCGCTCTGCCCTCCTTCATTTCCTCGAGCGGCAGCAAGTTTATGTCGAACGTCTCGTTGTCATAGCAGATGCGACCTTGAATGCAGCATGTCCGATGCAGAATCACCTCACTCAAACCGTTGCCGCGATGCTGGTGGCTGATGTGTTCCAGGAAAGCGGAAAGTTTCATAGGCGGGGACTTGTGGCCGGCGAATGCACAGAACATGCAGACGAATGTGAATTGGTCTTCCTGCGGACTCTTGGCAGGCGCATGGCTCTTTGCCAGGAACGACCAGCGGTATCTGATGCCCCGGGTGAGATCTGTGATGGCACGATTACTCATAGCGCTTTGATCACGGCCGGTGAATGAGCATCGAGCTTTCGAACAGCTCAAGAAATAGTACTTCGACTGCGCCGATTGGGTAAAGTCCTTTGCTTTGGTCATCGCCTTGTCGTCTCCGCATTGCAGGTTCCACGCTGCCTTGCAGAATCCGAGATAGTTGTTGCTGCGGCTAGGATACTGGCTACCGATGATGAAGTTCAGCGGATATGTCTTGTCGACCTGCCGGACCGAATCGTGAGAGGTTGTGCGATGCGGTGACTGCCCTGTGGAACCTGACTGATCAGAGTTCATGCTCTGTCGTCTCGGGCCAGCGGTGCGGACGCTGATGTTGCGCTCGGATTGTGGTCGGGAGGCAGAGAAAGTGCTCTGTATTTCGAACTGATCCTCCTCTACCTCTCTGTAAGTGAACCGGGAGATGTTCGTGGCAGGACTGAACGGCATGACCGGGTTCTCGCCTCTCCGGCTGTTGTTCTTCGGTGGGACCGGTGGCGGATAGTACTGTTCACGAGGAGGGCTCATTGCTGGATGACCTTGCGTGGAAGGAGGACGAGCTGATGTGGCTGGCGTGCTTTGCGTCTCACGGGTCATCTCTGCTTGAGCCAGGCGCTGTCGCAGTGCGATCAAGGTCGTGATGGTGTTATCTCTGCCCAAATCGGCTGCTCGGGCCAGAGCCATAATATCAGCTTCGCCATCTTCCACATCTCGAAGTTTGTTGAGTAAAGAGTTTTGCAGCTGAATCGTGATCCGTTGCAGGGCAATTACAGCCGTGACATCTCCGCTCTCAAACTGAGGCCCGAACCTTAGGATTCCACGAAGGCGCTCCCGCTGGATCTCATCCGGCGCCTGCACGATGCTCTCTTCGAGCACTCGCGGGACGGGGGAGGCAAGGCTGGGTGCGCCTCTGCGCTTCATGCGCTCCAGGATGGCAGCGCCGCTTTGGAAGGCTGATACCACCGCGGCTATCGCTGTCTGATGCGCGCACGTTAGCTGCCGGTAGGGCCGGTGGGAGTGTTTGGAGGGTGAATTACTGACCGTTACCGTTTCGGCATCACCGCCTCCAGTCGCGGCGAAGTCGATGGCATTCATCATGTACCGGTGCCACCAGAGAGTGTAGGTGCTTGGGCGGACCGACGGAGTCTATCCGTCCTTGAGGATGGTTATAGTGTTCACCAGCTGCGCAAGGCTCGCGCGTCTGGCTTGTGCGCCCAATGAGTTGAAGTGCCTGCGGCCTGTGGCCTAAATTCGGGAATGCTGCGATCAAGCGCGCATATTACGGCTCGTGGCTTCCAGATGCATGCAGAAGGACAAGAAGGCCGAGAAGTAAAGCTTTCCAAACGGTGTGGTGACAGTCTCACAAAGCCTATCGGCGAACGATAGCGAGGCTGCGATCAGGTCCCACTCCGCACGTGTTCTATTCGGGGCGCAGTGGGTTGGAGTGGCCTAGCCTTCTGTAGGATTGGGATCCTTGTTGCGTGCATGCACGCATGAACGTGGCGTCGGGCTGTTGTGTTTCTGAAACGATCATGGACCTATGTTAAGGCTGAATGCAGATGGGCGTAAATGGGTCTCGCGTAGAGTCCAGCGGCGAACTGGTATGGGAGACACACAACTAGCACGTGGAGTACTATCGAAATAGATGGGCATGGAAGCATGTCGTCGTTAGTGCGTGGGGACCGTCTTGCCATTGAAGTGAATGGGATGAGATACCAGCGGTGGGTATGGCACGAACACGTATTGGTATGAGATCTGCCCGCATCCAGATCTCACACAACCCCTTGGACGAGCCTGGCAGTGTGAAGCCTTACGGATTGGTCGCACTGTGGTCGAGTGTGTAAAGGGTCTCAACACGAAGCACATGCGATGTCGTTGATACCGATTCCATAGCCACTACATCACCAACTGGTCGGTATCCGTCGCAATCGCGCCGTTCGTCTTGGTCTTGCCCCGGTTACTGAGCAGCGGTGAGAGCATAAAACCACTGAAGAACCGATTCAACGTCTCGACATCATCCAGCGGCCCTACGTACGAAACGTACTGATCGGGACGGATCACCACCGCGCATCCCTCCGGAGAGATGCCAAATGTTTCGTAGATTTTGCCGTGGCCCTCATGGTACGAGACATCGTCAACATAGATTTTCGTGTAGTCGTAACCTTCTTCGTCGTCGTACACGCGGAAGACGGCAGGGAATTCGAAGATGGTTGCCGAAGTGCGCGGCGCGCTATGCACGGCGAGAAGCTCGAAGACGGCGTCGTGTCGGCCTCCGGGGGGCGTGAAGTGGCGGAGGAAGGAGTGTGGGTTATCGATGGCAGTGCCTAGATCGTCCAGCCGTTTACGCTGCTCGCTTTTGGTGACGTCGCCGGTAAAGAAAAGCACTCGCCAGCGTCCGTTGCTGGGCAGCAATTCTTGCAAGTGCCAGGGCCGGGCATCGGCTTGGTTTAAAACTTTGACACTGTCGATACGCTTGCCCACTGGAATCCCCGTTGCCAGGTCCTGATGGGAAGCAACCCGGTACTTCTCGGCCGCAGCGACGTCGGTGCCATCGCCTTGGTCGGTGGTGCTTCCACCTTTGGCCACAATGCTGCTGGCGCCGTAGTCAACCGCTGCCGAGCACGTCAGTGTATGCTATATCAAGGCAAAACGGAGAGACCTGCCAATACCGCTGGCAAACATGTTGCCCTTTACAAACGCCTCCTTGAACTCATCCATGCTAATCCCTTCGGCGTCCGCCACGTCCTTGGCAGGTCGTCCGGAGAAGAGGCGAGAGAACTTGTGATCGAATTCGATGAGATCCTGCGCAATGCGTCGCCGTTCGGATTGATACGTCTTCAAAATGGAACGACTGCACGTCCCCTTGACTACGTTCGCAATCTTCCAACCAAGGTTAAATGCTATGTCCAACGGCATTAGATAGTTCGACGGTTCGCGGGGGAAAGGGAGAGAATACCATCCTGCATGCTAACGTTCCTGTCGAGAGCGTCAGTATCTATGCCAAGGTTGTGGTGAGAATGCGTCAATGTGCGTACATGCCCTGGCCTGCTTTGGGGGAGTGCGTGTGCACAGCGTCGCCGGCGAGGAAAACGCGTTCGTGTGCGGAGAAGGACTTTCCCACTCGCTGCCCGATCTGATATGCGGTCCACTGTGAACAGATCAGCCGCATAGCAACATCACTTGGTCTCCCTGCTGCAGTCAGCTCACCCAGTCGAGCACACGATAGGATAGTTTGTAAGGAGCCATGATGCGCTGCGCGGCTTCCAGAATGACCTGAGGGTTGATCTTGGAGCGATCTGCTTTTGCACCTCCTTCGTCGCCAGTCTTTTCAGTGGTTGTGAGCTGAATATACAGCCGGACGAGCTTGTTCTCTCGCGGGATGACCATGACGCTACCCGAGCTGGCTGAGTGGATAGCGCATCGCATCCTGATGTCGGGGAAGTCGGTGATGGGGATGATGTCGAGCACGCCCCAAATGTAGTCGGTCGAGTCACCTTCCAGTGTGAAGCCGAGTTGGTTGCGGACCCAGGAGTGCGCGCCATCAGCACCAAGCATGTATTTGGCCTTGACGGTCTCCTCCGTGTTGGCCTTGTCGTTCAGTGACGACGCCGCAAGGAGATCGGCCGTGTCGTCCACGGCGAGGTTACTTCGAAATAAGCCGTCATGAATGGCCTGTCCGTTCGCAGATGTCGCTGACTGCGTGGGCGTGGCTTCCTCCTCTGAGAGATGGCGGAGGTTGACGGTGATGGGATATGCACTGGCATCTTCCACGAGTGACTCGTCGACATCGAGTTTGGTGGGCACGACGCCACGCTCGACGGCGTGGCCCCCATATTCCTCTATCAGGTCGAGGAAGAAGCGTTCGATGCGGCCTTGATGCAGCACCACCTGCTGGAAGCGACTGATACCGGGAATCGTGTCCGGGATGCGGTCGCTACGGCGAATAACACCAGACTCGTCGGGATTCCAGAGGCATATCTCCAACATGTGGTTGGCCTCTCGCCACGCACGGTGGCCAAAGCCAAGAGAGTCGAAGATCTCAAGGGTGCGACACTGTAGCCCTACATGAAGCAGTCAGCATCCTGTCTTGAGTCAGACAGTGGCCGGCCGCATCGCCACACCATCGGCTTGCCCATTGAAGATCTTCGTCCCTCGCTTGTCAACGCAGCGAGCATCTACGCCGCATCTGGCGAGCCATGCTGCCATCATGAGGCCGGCTGGGCCGGCCCCTACGATCAGGACATCCGTGTGGCTAAAAGGAGCCATGGTGTCATGGTGTCTGCTTGTACTGTAATCCCCTGTACGACGGGGTTGATGTTGACCAAAATATCAAATGCGGGGCCCCTCACATCGAACGGGCCCGCGGCAACGGATGTACACTCTGTTGAAAGATCAGGGTCATGGCCGAGACGCTCAGATTCCCCGTCTGTCTGTCAGTTCGCTATGCAACTACTTGTGCAGTCCTGGTGGGCCAACTGTATCTGGCCCATGTTTTCAAAAAACACAAGATATACTTTATGCTTCCGATGTCCCTACCTACTTCCACCTCAAAATAGCTCGAGAAGGTGCTAGCTGCATGAAGGTGGCGTAAAGGATGACCCTTCAACTGTCGCACCAACAGGTCGAACATGCAATGCTGAAACACGGGAGGCGTTCCGAAACCGCATGCAGTACTCTTCTTGGAAGCAGTATCAATAGCTCGCCAAGAAGTTCACATACATGAAGCTGTTCGAGCGCAAGGCGTGATAGGAACAGCAATGGGCCCTTCCACTTGGTCGGCGAACCCTCCTTCGGGCATCGGTAGGGAAGTGCAAAGGCATGTTCATCCAGGATAGGTAATCTCTGCTATTCTTGATCAAGATCATACTCTCGTCAGCATCAATGAAACGGCATCAAGCGTAACACCGCCGAAAGCAACACCTAGGCGCCCGAGTTCCCAGCCTTGCTACGGATATAGTCGTCAAATTCCTCCAAGTTCCTCGTCTGGATGTACACCGTCCCGGGCCCTGTGAAGCGGCAGACCATGCCCTCGCCAGTCTTCATGCTGCCCATCGTGCCGCCACCTGCCCTCTCGATGGCGTAGTTGCAGTTCCAGGCGACGAGATGGCCGTTGTCGACGATGTGCTGCTCACCCTGACCGAGGTGCTTGGTTTCGATGGCGCCGTAAGAGGTGAGCCACAGGACACCCTCACCGGAGAAGCGATAGATGAAGAGGTCTTCGCCGGAGAAGAACGCCTTGCCTAGACCCTGCGACTTGGTGTCCTTCAGCACCTCGTTCGTATGCCTGGACATTCAAATGAGAGACATCAGCATTCTTTTCTTAATACGTATAGAGATGAAAATACCCACGCTAACATAGCATCCTTCCCAACGTTCCAGGTCTGGCCTCGCTCGATCTGTAAAGTCACGATGTCGCCGAACAAGGTAGGAGCGAGCGCCACGAGACCTGGGCCAGTGTAGGAGGACTCAGCCATCTCGCCGCCGGTGAACAGCTTTTTCAAGCTGACCTTGATCTTGCCCTGGAGCACAACGCTGGGAGACATGTGCACCATAGCACCGGGCTTGGACTTGATCATGTCGCCTTGGCCCAGCTGGACATTGAGCGTAGAATTCGTGTTCCTGTGCTTGACCGTCCATGTCAAGTTGCGATAGCTGCCTGTGTCTGTGGCCTCCGGGACCTGCGATTGATGGCTGGCGCCTAAAGAAGGTGGCTGGCCGTACTGCTGCTGTTGCTGGGTTGGGTATGCTCCCTGACCTTGACCTGGTGGAGGAGGGTAGTACTGCTGCTGCCCGTACTGAGGCTGCTGCCCATACTGCGGCTGCTGGGGCGCTTGACCATAGCCTGAAAGTGATTAGACTCGCATCTATGTTGCTCTCCAAAGTGGGAAACATACCTTGCTGGTATTGATCGTGCTGATAGGACATGGTTGCAGAAGGTAGGAAAGTGAGGAAAGAACACCTACGCCTGAGACGACCCGAAGAACATGCAGCCAGCAGGACACCGCCGCAGTTTTATACCAACGCCAATTCCCGTCAGCCTCACCCAAGCTCCCCGTCGACTTGCAGTAGCCAGGAACGAGAATGCTCAGGCGTGACACTACCCTGACTGCTCAGCGTGGCGATGCTGACGGCGTCGTTTCCTCCTTTGACAAGCGCGCGCTCCGGCTTCCCGCATTCCATTCCCGCCGAAACGTTCCTTGAAGAGCAACTGAGAATCGACACCAATGCCCTTTGAGAAGTCTATGCTATGGGCAGGAGAGAACAACGCGGATGCTTTCTAGAGCATGTAAACTTGAAAGAATCATGCCATTGCTCAACGCTAAATTTGGGACGGGTGGCCTTGGCCAGCTGCAGTGGAACGATCGTCATAATGGCTTCTACAGAAGAACAGTAAAGCACAGCTTGGACATTGCCGGCCTGGCGGAGCCATGCGCTGTGTCGAGGTCCAACTCGATATGCCTTCAATCTTCCCTGCCGCATGCCAAAAGGTCATCCAGGCGGGATTCCCACCTTCGATATCTCCAACTCTTCTGTTGTCGTGCGATGCCCGCTCTCTGCAATCTCGTGGTGGCAATCAACAGCAATAACTCTCAGCATTGTTCGTCGTAAGTCTTGCCCCCCATAGGAAACACCCTGTGTGCCTCGCTTGCTCTTCTCTCCTTCAAACAACCACACAACGCATCGCCTAAGCTTCGCCTTCACCCTCCTTGGCCCTCTGCACAAAGGTCCCTTGGTCCCACTGAAACCACTTCTGCAAGCGCTTGCCGATCTCTCTTAGCATGATAGGCTTGACTCTTGAGTCCGGATGCGGGCGATGTACCACGAAAACCTTCTTGCCGTTCCGGGTCTCTGCGAATGCAACGGCCAACGAAGTCATCCCATGCTATGGTGCCTTGTGATTCGTCAAAGCGGGAAAACATCCTCTCGAACAATTGCAAGCTGCTCGAGCGCACTGCGATGTCGCCGGATGTCTCCCCTTCTTGAGGTGCTTCAGAGTCGACCGCTGACGGTAGTACAGTCTCTGTGGATCTGGTCGCCTTGTCGGAGCGAGTCTTGACTTTTGGCTTCTTTGGTGATCTGCGATAGGCAGCTGAAGTACTCTTTGTGGCTATCAAGGACACGGCGAACTGCTTCAAGCTGCCGAGCCTCTTTTGTTCATCCTGGGCCTTGGCGTCCTCTGCCTGCATCTTCGCCTCTGTTGCAAAATGTCAGCCATGCTTACTTGCTAAAAGCGAGGAGAATCTTACCTATTAGGCCATTGACCTCACGTTCCAGAAGCTGGAGGTCTGCGTCCACGGATTGCTGGTAGCCAGGTTGAAGCGTCACTGCGTACGGCGCCAGCACCCGGTTCACATCCTCTTCTTACCAATCCATGATCATCTTGATCATACACTGCATGGCAGCGACGAGTTCACACCAGTAGAGCGATAAGGCCTGGTGAAGCTTGCGCATGCAGGGTACAACCTCTGTCGTAGCATTCGTGGGGGGCAGTGGCAGGTCGCGAAGGTCGAAGAACGCCCCAGCCATGGACGGGCTCATCACAGAGCTCGAAAGTGCCAGCGACACCACTTGCGCTTTCTGGAAAGACTTCTGCTGATTGGCTATCTTCTGCGCCATTCCATCGTCTGACAGGCAGAGTTTTGATCGATGGAATGAGACGGCAGACAGGACCTCGTCTACGGCGGCCATGTCGGACAGATGATCATGTAGTTATTGGTCCAGTCGTTTTTTTGTCTTGTTGCTCCCGTTGGCCATGAGCTGGTCGATCTTGTCGAGGTGGAAGCTAAACGCCCAGCTGAACTCCGTATCCATGCCTGCCAGCTGGCAGAGGTTCCAGAAGAGCGGGTCCGTCCGGTACGCCGTTTCGTTGTCGAGAACTCCCTCGATGCCACGATCGCTTCGTTTGAAGTGGCGCTTGAACGCGGAAAGCGCAGGTAGGATCAGGCGGAGTCGAGCGCTGAGCTGATGCAAGCTGAATTTCAGAGCAGCCTCAAATCTGAGCAACGGGGCTGTATAAGATAATGGCAACACCACACCCACCCGCACGGCGTCACGATGTACCTTATACGCTTGTGCGAACGCCTGAGCTTCACTCACCAGGTACCTCCAAACCTCAGACCGGATAACGCTCAGTGCCACGGGTTCAGGAAGGTGTGGTGCCAAAGTCTGCCCTGTTTGCTCGTCTATGTTGAAAATAGGATGCTTCTCAGCGGCTTCCGTGGCAGCTCTGAATAGCAGAGGGTCGGTTTGCATAGAGTTGAGCTCATCGCTCGACTTCCGAAGTCGGGATTGGAGGATTTCGAGAATGTGCGGCACATTGACCGCTGGAGGGGCTGAGTATGGCTGCTTGAGATACGCAGATCGCCCAATCAAGCGCTCCTTGCTCGCAAATTCCACTGCGACCATCTCGAACCAGTGATCGCTGCCAGCGTGTTTATTTCCTTTCGACAGAAGGAGCTTGATGTTGCGGAGGAAACACGAGAGTGTGGATTGTGCTTGGAAGATTTGGAGCGCACAAGGGTACCCAATGTAATCCCACCTATGAGCTTTGTCTTCTTGCCACTGCACCAGTTGGCCGAAGCGGTCGCCGTACGCAACGACGGCATGAGGATTGTACGCCGTGTGCAGAGCGCCAAGACGAAAGCCAGGTCTGAACTGCTGACGGTCGAAGAGGACCCAATCTTCCAGATCGGAATGGCTGCGGTGGTGTAGCAAACCTAGAAGTCGCGTTGGGTCTTGGGTGGTCAACGGAATCTCCTTGTTGACATGCTTTCTCTCTTGGGGATTTCATACCTTCAGAAAGCGACCTCAGGTCGAGGTAAGGCAGGAGGAATGTCTCATCGTGATTGTTGCGGAGTTCAGCCATAGCGGTGCTGGGATGGATTCTGCGAGTGTTCTGCGAGCGAAGAGACCCTTCCTTTTTCGCTGCGTAGAAAATCTCAAGCTCCTCATACTCATTCGCAGGGAGATTCTTCTTCATGCTCTTTAGCATGGTTGCGCGAGTTGTTTGGATCTAACCACGCTTTTGCAAGTGCATCGCTGCTCCGAGTGATGGATTGGCGCACGAATTGGAGATTCGCCCGGGTTGAAGCCAGGAGATGCTGTAAGGTCGTAGCCGCCGTGGCGTCGTCGTGCATGGAGGTGCCGAAGAATTGTGGGAATCGCTGAGCCATATCGGGGACGTACTGGTCGCAGCAGATGCGACAAGCTTCGCTGCAGGTCGGGGGCTTTGCTGCGGAGGTGTGAACGAACCCGCTGGTTGCGAAACCCGACCAGGTGTGCTCTCCACCCGCGGTGCGGTAGAGGACTCTGGACATGGACACCATATATGGTAGAAGATCGTATATCTTCTGCATCTTCTCCGGGTTGGCTTAAAGCCAGCTTTGTGAGACCAGTCGTGGGGTTCAAAGATTGAGGTGCAGAAAGTGTGAGGGTGTGAGATTAGATCGAAGTGAAGAAATAGCTTTCCAAAGTCCGCCAAGATTCATGTGACTTTGCCACCTTGTGTAACACTCGCTTCAATCCCACCATGCCTGATCAGGCAGCAGCCGTTCCAGCCGGATGCTTTTCGAACCTCACAGGTCTCCCACACCAATTCACCAAACCTCCGGACCTCACCTCAGGGCTGCGAAAAACAGAGGGCTCACTCGTTCTTGAGACCTCCCTGAGAGTATGGAACGGGATCAAAACACCCCTCGAGCGTCGTGGGCCGGCCGCAGTGGTTCCTCAATGCAGCTGGCGCCACATCAAGTCAGTGGAGAAGTCCACATGCCAGCCCTGCTCGATGTCTTCGTGGAGGGACCGGAGATCGCTGGAGGTGGTCAACAGTGGGCTCGAAGCCATCCAGAGCGTTCTCGGATACGAATCGTCCAACTGCCGCCACTGTACTCCCGGGTGTAGCCGAGCAGACCGCAGGGCATGGAGGAGGACCCAGCCCGCCGAGCTATCAGGTCTCGGTACAAAGTGCGCTTCGCTCTGATGTCCGGTCGACGGGCCCTCTTCAGGAAGACCATTTGGCAAGAGGAGGCGCCGGAGCCCAACACTCAATGTAGCCTCATCACAGTGCTTGAGAGCGAAGCAACCATGCACTTAGTCCCACACTCCGGCGATATTCTGGGGGCCGGTTTGTTGACCCGCAGGAGTCTCAGCAGAGCTCTGTGACTTCATTCTTCGCTACTGTACCTTAAATACCGAACGCTTTGAGGACACTCCGTAGGATACCCACCAGGATACAAGATCTCCGGTCCTTCCCGATGCTGGCTCTTCAATCTCGCCGCTTGCGCACCAATGCACACTCGTAGGCCTCGACAAGGTGGTTCATCTTGATGACACCATCAACTTCCCTTAGCTGGGACTGAAAGGGCGAGCGGCCTCAAGCTGTCAAGCGAGCAGTGCTCGTCATCCGCATTCAAAGGCAATCATGGGGAGACACGACATGCCTCGTCCCTTTTTCTCACATCCTTCGTTCGTACGATTGCCGCTCTGTTCCTCCAGGCAAAGCTACCAAACAGTGTTCTGTAGACCGAGATGGCTCTATGTATGTGATACCCACGAATGATGTTGTATGGTGATAGGAGACAGGAAGTGAATGCGAAGTAGCAGCTTCGAGGTGAAGTTGAGCGCCGCCGGCCCGTGCCGGATTAGGAACACGTGATTCTCACATTTCTTGGCGGGATCCATCCCAATTGATCTACTTGAATGAATTGAGGCTCAGATTCTGTGGAGGGGATTGGATTGTCTCTACATTCCAGGTTCAGTAAGAGCCTACCTAGCAAGACCACTGGCAGCATTCAAGCTGATCCAACTCCAAACATCGATGCGGTGTGAAAACAAGCCTTGCTGGCGGCAATGCCAACCTTGATCTTCCTCCATGGCCCAATCGTCCTGCGATGGCCTGTTCCAACACTCTCCTAGCAGCATGTAGTACTGCACTGACAACCCCAAGCGGTTGTTCAAGTATCCCTCAATCCCAGGAGAACGACGTCCATACCCAAATGACTTCCTGCCCCTCCCACACAGACCTTCAAAGCGCCATCCTATCGTCACCATTACCCTGCTTCTTCCTTCACTGGCCTCTGCTCGCTCAATTCTTGGCTACCGGCTTGCTCGTCGTTCTCTGCAACATCTGCGACAGGTTCGGCCGCTTCACCAGCGGGTGGACGGGTCTTGATTTTGACCTTTTCTGGAGAACCGAGATTGGCCTGCCGATCTTCCTGGCCCGGAGAAAGAGGAGCATGCAGCTGATGTAGATGGAGAGGTTCAATTCTGCCAACAGCATCTTGATCCAGGGCTCGCTCCAGAGCCAGCTCGAGCGGAGCCTTTGCCGATGTGGTTCCGAGCAGAATGGGTGTGAATAGCTCTCTGAGCCTCCAAATTCCTTCTCTATAGAGCGTTGCCATTGCTCATCCTGGCCCATCTCGTACACAATCATGATGGAGTCAACCTTCGCTTTTGGCCAGTCTGTCTTCTCCGCGCAGCATGCTCTCATCTCGTCTGTGATGCAGCGCCAGTAATGGACAAGAGACTTGTACAGATTGAGCATCCAATCCGACAACCCAGTCTCCTCGTTGCTAGATGCTGGAGACGTGGGTGCGTTCCGAAACTGCCGAACGCCGTATATACTTTCTCGCTGTACAGACACTTGGCCAATGCGTCCACCATCACGTCAGCTGCTTTCATGTAGTCCAGTGAGTCGATGATCCCGGCTATGTCGTGACGACCGGAAAGGGAGATCCGCGAACGGTGCAGCTTGATGGTACAGGGCGTATGATACATGGCAGCCATGTCCGAAAGATAGTCGCACGGCGAACTGCTTCAAGTCGTGAAGCGTAGGAATGCCGTCGTCTCTTGCGTTGAAAGTCCATGACGAGGGCACACGACACCGCTCGTGCGTTCTTCTCCCGATGGAGAACATCTGCCCTTCCAGCGATCACCCCTAGCCTGACTGGCCTTACTGCCCCCTGCCTCTCTCTACAAACATCTCCTCATCCCATTCAAACCACTTTTGCAACCGCTCTCCGTACTGCCGGAGTAGCGACGGTCGTATCGTCGGATCGGGATGTGGTTTGTGGAAGTTGACTGATGCCCGGCCATTGGAGAAGGCGACTATATATCCATGTCTTGGTTCTGCACGGCATCCCTCATCCGTCAGAGCAGCGACGAAGTCGTTCCATCTGACCCGTCCGCCGGCTCGGTCAAAACGCGAGAACATCCGTGCAAACAAGGCCAGGCTCGTGGAGCTCACGGCAATTTTGCTGCCTGCGTTCTCCTCTGCATCTTCCTCGGGTTCTGCCTCAGGTTCTGCCGCAGGCACAGGCTCGTCTTCAGCTGCAGGTCGGGTCTTAACCTTTGGCTGTTTTGGAGACGGTGGGGATCGCGGAGCGTCGGGCGGAGGTGCAGTGGCTGAACGCTTCAAGGACGGCGTCTCTGGCATAAGGGCAGTCTTGGGTACAGCGTCGGGTTCAGTCACCTTTCGCCGTCGGTCATATGCTGTAGGGGACGTCAATCATGCCGCAGCTTCAACGGGTCGGCGGTCTTACCTAGTGTCTTCTGAACATGTTCCTGGAGTCCGTCCATCTCCTTCTCTACCTGTGCGCGGTGTCGCGAAATCCTTCACAGGATAGGCCAGCATAGCTCTCTCCACGAACTCTAGACGTGCATCAGAAGGGTCCGGCAAGGGATGGAGGTTCTTCCTCATGTAAGTGCTCATTGCGGACCAGTAAGCCTCCAAGTTCTTGTGCAATGCCCTCATCCGTGGCACTGTCGTCTCACTAGCACGATCCGGTGGCAATGGCAGCTGTACAAACTTTGCGAAAGCATTTGCTGCCTCAGCACTGTTGATGCACATTCTGAGTGCTCGAGTCACCACTTGAGTGACCTGTGCAGAGCGCAGGCTGGAGCAAATCTTGCCTGCTGCTTCCACGCCCGCCAAACACCTTCTCGACCGGTGAAATTTGATGGCCGAAAAAAGCTCATCAACAGCAGCCATGTCAGCAATATGGTTGTATAAGCGTTCTTCGACGCGATTCCTGTTCTTGTCGCTACCGCTTGTCATGAGACGATCGAGTTGGTCAAAGTAGAATGCAGCAGGTCGGTGAAGGTCGGATGATTTCGCTCCTATTACGTGGGCCAGATTCGCCAGGGTCCAGAAGATGCGATCGGTATGGAACCAGTCGTCCTCCTTGAAAACCACTTCGTAGTGTCCCTCGAACGCAGGCGAATGCCTCAGCAACACGCGAAGTTCTTCCCTAAGCGAGTCATAGACGACCCACAAGGATGCCTCGGCTCTCATCAGTTCCCCGCCATACTGTAGTGGCAAGGCCGTGCCATCGCGAATCGACCTCGATGTTGATTGAACTCTGCAAGCAATAGCTCAGCATGATGGGAGAGCTGGCTCCATTTCTCGTACCGTGAGACGGCGCGCACCACAGGCTCACACATATGTGGCTGCGAAGGCATCGGGTTGAGCAGGTCCTCTGGTTTGAAGAACTTCGGTAAACTGCCCGAATTGCTAATGGCGTCTCTCAGCGCGAGGGGGTCAGTCTGCACAGACAGCAGCTCATCATCTGCCTCTTGGCGCATGGTTCGACAGGACCTTGCAATGTGCTCAGCGTCAAATTTCGGAGGGGCAGAGAAGGGCTGCTCGTAGTATCTTGACCGTCCGATATAACTCTCCCCGCTCTGGAAACCGGGTTTGGCAAGTGCTTCCCATCGATCATTTCCTTCCGGAGGCTTCGGTGCGTTTTGGATGTGTCTTTGAAGCAGAAAGTCGACCATCTTGCGGAGGATGTCGGACAGGCGGAACTGGGCTTCGAGAACCAGCAGAGCACAGGGATATCCAAGCTGGTCTTGATGGTGGTTCGCACGTATCTCCCACTGCACGAGCTCGCCTAGCCTCTCACCGAACATAATGACAGAGTGAGGGTTGTAGGCTGTGAGGAGACGGCCCTGCTTGAAGCTGATCTGAAAGTGCTGCAGATCCGACAACACCCAGTCCGATGCCTCGTTTTGCGAGCGGTGGTACATCAGCGCGAGCAATCGTCTCGGGTCTGTAGAATGCGGAGTCAGCCAATCGACACGCGCAACAAGAGCTTGAGCATCACGGCTTACCCTCGGAGAGCGATTGCTGGTCGATATACGGCAGCAGGAACGCTTCATGCCGCTTGCGAATGGCGTCAAACATCGCGCTGGAGGGTCTTCCGGTGATTGGGTCCGGTGATTGGGTCCGTTTGGAATGACTTCTTTTTGCGCTGGATGTCGACAAGCTTGTATATGCCTTCCATCTCCGCGCATTCACCTTTGGGCACGTCAGGATAAGCAGTCTTGAGCAGAGCGACGCGTTGCGTAACACTCTTGTTGGTCCACCGCTTCATCAGCGCGTTGCCGTGATCTTTGATAGCAGCCTTGACAACCTCAAGGCTGTCTCGTGTGGTGTTCTTGAAACGATCAATGCGTTGCGCTGCTTCTGCATCGCTATGCATCTCCGGGAAGAACATGTCCGGCCACCTGCGCGTCAGTTGAGACACATACTGATCAGTGCACTCTGTGCAGCTCTCAGAACAAGTCGGTGGCGGTGTTGCGGAGTGACGGGTGGCGACAGTGGGTGCGAAGCCCGACCATCCAGTCGTGGGGGCTGCCGCCGTCGCTGCCATGGCGGCACTCTATATATGTATACAATCTGTTGAAGAGGATATAGGATGTCAGATATTGTTACCAGGAGCCAGATGGACCCCAGAGCATATATAGCGACCAGCACGAAGGTAGCGCCCTGGTGCCTGACAACCGCTGGGGGGGGGGGGGATTGTTGGACAAAGGGACTTCTTACAGCTCTTCACATAGCTGCAAGCAGCGCACCGCGAGGCCGTTTGCGGCTATCCTTGGAGCTTTGTCTCAGGAAGAATACGTATCAGAACTATACTTTGTCAGTAAACAGTCCTGTACATATGATCTATGCCCCAAATAATGAGGGTAAAATGTAACTTTCTCACCTACGGAATGGGTCTCAGCAACGTTTAGCTCCAGCAAAGCAAGTGTATCGGTGTAGAGAAAGAGATGGTGTAGAGAAAGAGATGGTGAGAAACAAAGGCTGTGTGGTACAGGGTGAAAAAGGGACGGAGGCTGGTCACATACTTTCGTTGCCTGGGGTATCCACCGCCGCAATTTCCGCCACGCCCGATGGGGTGGCTGCTGATCTAAGCTGGCGCCTCTCTCACGGCGTGTCGTCCCTCCCAACACCTTACCACCGTAGCTGGCACCATGGTGCGGTCGTGGGGAACAATGTCGACTCCCGCTTGACCCGCCTTTGTTGCAGTCTACAAAGGCAGCTTTCGTCGATCTCGGAACAGGTTCAAGGCGTTCCAGCACCATCTCCAGCTCGCTGACTAGTGTGATGCTACTGTAGGTGTTGAGTCCAACGATGGGATCCGAGCGGTCGAGGAGAATGCGGTCCAGCAGAGCTTGTTGACCTTCGTATAGAGTGTGCGAGGTACGGGTATCTGGTCGATGGATGTCTCCCGAGGAACATCGTCTTGAGCAAGGCAAACGTACATGCTGCAACGCTTGCGAGATTGCACCATAAGGCTTGAAACCGAGCCTTGCCCGCCTTTCCTTTGGTCGTCTCGAGGGGGTTCATATACGGATGGTAGTCGAGACCAAGCCTCCGAGACCATTGCCGTCACTATATGTTCCCTTGCTGCAACACATTTGTCAACAAGCTCTCATACATGTCCAGATGCCACCAACGAGGGCACGCAGATACGATTAGCGCCCTGAAGTCGTTTTCCGCCTTTCCTTTACCTGCCACAGTGCACAATGTTGGACATTAACATCATTTCTCATCTTCATGCACTCCTCAACCCTTCCTACCAGGCAGCGGCGCCCTCTCCGCAATCGGCATCTCCCTCCCACTCGTATCCTTCACCGACACGAGCCGCGGCGGAGGCGTCTCATCTTTCGCAAACAACCTCCTTCCGCCGGCAAGACTACTGCCCACTTCCTCGTCCACCTGCTCCAAGCTCCCCGTCCGCTGCGCCTCCCTATGCCGCCGCCTCTGGTCGCTCGCCAGCATGGCGGAGTGCTCTTCTTCATCCTCGTCCTCCTCATCCAGCAGCTCTCCGTCCGCTGTGTCTGCATCGGGCGGCTGAATCCACTCTTTAGGCACAACACACGGCAACGCCAACCCCACGCTTGCCGCCCGGTTCAGCCATGCTGGCGCCGGCTTGCTCGTCAGCCTCTCGCACAGGGCATTGGTGAAGTGGTTGCAGTTGTTGGTGAGGAGATTGTAGTTCGTGCCCAGGAACTCATCCGATACCTCTTTCACAATAGCATCGATTTCTGCTTCTGTTCGGAAAGTAAAGCCTTGCAAGATGGAGCAGCGGAAGGTGCCTCCGGGAGGCTCGAAGTTGGGTTTGGTCCAGTATACGCCGGTCACATTCCGCCGGTTGTGGCCGCCGTATGCGTACTCTTTGTTTCGGATGACGACGCCAGAATGGAGCAGGCCGCCGCCTATTGTCCAGAGGATTGAGGAGAGGCGGCCGGGCAATGGGTCCGTCAGCATACTGTGGGCATATACTCACCGAAGGATATACATACCGGTAATAGATCGTAGACATTGATTGTGATCTCGGTCTTGTCGAGTGCTTGCGAGCGGCGGCTGCTACGGCTGATGGAGGAGGATGTGCGCGATCTCTTAGGTCTTGTGGAAGCGGGCGGCATGGTGACTGGTATGAAGATGGGTGAAGCAGACTCAGAGGTGGTTGTAGGGTATATAGACTGTCATATGTGCTCGAGCAGCCTGAGTGTTGGCAGAGCTGAGGTCTGGATGACATGTGCAACTCCCCCACGCCTTCTCCACACAACCAGAAAGCCACATGCGAGCGCTTGGCAGGGACAAACCTTCACTGAAGACTTCACTACCTAGGTACTGAATTTCCCATTCTGATATTGAAGCACAAGAGTGAATACTATTCGAAAGAACAGAGCAGCCAGCAACATCTACAGCAATGGCCGGACCAGCGAAGAAGCGCCAGAAGCGCGAGGAAAAGCAAGAAGGACAGATGCCGCAGAAGAAATACTACCGCCAGCGAGCACACGCCAACCCCTTCTCCGACCATGGCCTGACATAGTGAGTCCAGACGACCATATGAGCGTTCTTGAAGAACGAGACTGATCTCACAACGAAGCCCAGAATCACCGGCAGCCATGGACTGGTCACAGCACTACCCAGCATTCGCCACCCAGACGGACTCAGGACCAGAGCAGAACGGCAGCGCAACCGCCACCGCAGCTTCGAAGACCGTGACCGCCGACGTGACAATAGCAGACATAGGCTGCGGCTACGGCGGCCTCCTCTTCGCCCTCGCCCCCAAACACCCTTCCACCCTCCTCCTAGGCCTGGAAATCCGCTCCTCCGTCACCACCTTCGTGCACGAGAAAATCCTCGCCCTGCGCTCCCAACCCCCAACCCTCTCCGACCACAACTACACCAACATCTCCGTCCTCCGCGCCAACACGATGAAATTCCTCCCCAACCTCTTCTCCGCCGGCCAACTGCACAAAATCTTCCTCTGCTTCCCAGACCCGCACTTCAAAGCGCGCAAGCACAAAGCGCGCATCGTCTCGCCGACGCTGTGCAGCGAGTACGCGTACGTGCTGGCGCCGGGCGGGAAGGTGTACACGATTACGGATGTAGAGGATCTGCATTTGTGGATGGTGGAGCATTTGAGCGGGCATGCGAGTTTTGCGCGGGTAGGGTTGGAGGAGGTGGAGGGGGATGAGTGTGTGGGGGTGATGCGGAGGGAGACGGAGGAGGGGAAGAAGGTGGAGCGGAATGGGGGGAGGAAGTTTGTAGCGGTGTTTAGGCGGCTGGAGGATCCGCCGTGGCCGTGAGAACCTGAGATGAGGGCGGCTCAGGTATGTAATGGGGTTGAGTAGAAGGTGTAGAGAAGGCATTTCGATGATGTACATATGAACATTGTTGCGTTCATTCAAGCGAGCTATCCTAATCGCGTGGTTACCGCTATGCGAAACACCGTCTGGCCCTCTCGAGGGCGACACCATATATTACATCCCAATTCGTTATCGTGACAAAATGATTCCCGTCCTCGACAGAGTCTGGCCGCCGGTTCGCGAACCTGCTGTGCTCTGCCCCTCAGCTCAAAAGCCTTTTTCCGACGTATTATCCGGCATACTTTGTAACGCCGGGCCTCGCAATAAATGTGCGGAACAAGAAGAAAATTGATGGCTGTGCTGCGATCGGGTTGCCGAACGATGCTCCTGCCTCCTCTCTGCTGATTACGACTCGTGTGTCGGAGTCTAAAGATATGGGTATATGCGATGTTGGTAATAAGTAATAGTGGCGGAGGTCTCGAGCTCATGCGGTGCAAGCAGTGCCGCTGCTGCTAGCCGGGCTGCAAGAGTTCGTTCCCTCCCGACCATCGGAGGTCTTCTTGGCCCTCTTGCCCTCAAAGTCTGTAGGCCCGTGGTTGGTGAAGGTATAATTCTTGGGTGTCGTATCCGTTGGTCTCCGAGGGACTGAAGCACGCTTGAGAGACTCCGGCGGGCTGTACTCGTGGAATGAGAAGTCATTGCGTGGCTGTGCGGCAGTCACTTGCACATTCGGCGATCCACTGGAGCTTGCGACGAAGGAGTACTGCTGTTGCGGGGGCGTGCTCATCTGCTGTGATTGCTGTTGCATAAGCTGCGCCTGGGGTGGGAACGACATCTTGACTGTGCCTTCCGCAGTCAGCGTCGGAACGCCGTTGGCGAATTGCAAAGGTACGCCTGGAGGAGGTCCAGTCGTCACGTTGGATTGCCGACCCCGCGCGAATGTGACAGTTGGGCCTTGGGTCTGCTGGTCTGCCGTCAGGTTGTGCGCAGGCTGTTGGGGCTGCTGTACAGCATAGCTTTGGGCCGGCTGGGCTGTAGAGGCCGGCTGGTAGGACATCTGCTGGTGCATTGGCTGCGAAGCCTTGGCCCAGATGTTCGAGGGGAAGCACGACTGCCCAGCAGGTGCAGACTGAGGTGGCGTGTTCTCAGTGATGACGTGACTGCCTACTCGGCGGGATTGGAAGTGCTGATCGTAGAACGACGGAGTGTGAGGCGGCGATGTGGCGTTCTGCGCTGGCACAGACGCCGATGGCTGATACGGCATCTCGCCAAAGTTCAGATCGAAGTCCGTCTCGCTGATACTGGGCTGAGGAGCGGCGTATGTGTTCGACTGGATGTTGTTTTGGTTGTTATACAGCATCTGCTCCTGCTGCGTCAAGTCATACGGCGACATTGGCGTTGGTGGCGCAAGGTTGCCCTGTGACATGTTCTGCGCGAGATGCGGCGAGACCATCGACTGTGCAAAATTCCAGTTGACGGGTGAGCGCTGAGCAGACCCAGGAGTCGACTTCATGATGCGTCCGTGGGCGACACCTCCGTTCATGACGGCAGCAGATCTGATGCGACGGATATGCTGATCCTGCCCGAGATGGTTGACTGGAAGGCCTTGACTTGGTGAGCCAGGCTGTCCGGCACCGCTGTATGATGCACTCCTAAGTGCTGCTATGCCCAGGTTGGCAGGCTTCGGGCGCTGCCTGCGGGCGGCAATGTTGGCTGGAGGTGCAGGCGCCTTGAAAACACCTCCTTGGTTCGGTTGCGGCGTTTGGATATTGACGTTGTTCATCGAATGAGCCAACATCGACGCCTGTGAGTCCCTACGAGCGTAGGCGCCGTCGCTTGGGAAGGCGAGGGGCTGCTCGAAGGTCTGGTTTTCGCGGAGGCGTCCTTGGGCGGCTTGGCGGAACTCCTCATATTGTTTGCCAACATCGACTGGCACTGACTGCCCGGGCTGCCACTGAGAGCTAGACCTAGGCATTTGTGAGTGTGAGGTCGACATGTTGGCCATCGAGTCCTGCTGTAGCATCGAGAGCGACGAGCTGCGACTATCGGTCCAATCGGAGCCGGCCACGGAAGCATCTCCACCACCCGCCGAACCGTTCATCGACATGCTGTAGCTCTGGTCGGACACGATGGACGGCACCGACGAGTCGATGCTGGATAATGGCGCTCCCACCTGGTATGGGAAGGCAACATCCTGCTTGAAATCGTTCTGCGACATCTCCCCAAAGACTTGGCTCATGAGATCGTGATCTCCGGAGAAACCGGCTTGCAAGTTTTCGAATTGGCCCTGTCCGTTCATCATGCCTCCGTTACGGGTCATGTCGTTGAAGTTCTCTTGCGTAAGCGTCCGGCGGTTGAGGTCTTGAGTCGAATCATAGAAGTCGGCTGGCAGTTGTTGATATTGCCCCACGTACTCGTTCATCGCTTGCGGCATGAGCTCTGAATTTGCGATCAAGTGCATGAGCTCTGGGTCTGTAGGAGGCTGCGGCTGTTGCACATGCGAGATGCCAAGTCGATTAGAAGGTTGCGCATTGTCGCCGAGCTGCTGCATCATCGTAGCATACTGCCCGGATGGTTGGTATGGTGACGACTTAGGCTCCGAGTTGTATTGTGCCGATTGATATGCTTGCGCGATATTCCGCGCTCCTTGCTGCTTCTTCAGATCCTGTTTCGTCTTGGCGCGTCGGTTCTGAAACCAGTTCTGCGATACTGTCAGCAAGCGCTTCCTCGCCACCATACCCAACTACCTACGTTGATCTTGTCCAGCGACACGTTGAGATGGTTCGCGATCTCTTTCTTGACACTGGTCAACGGCTTCGCTACCTGCTGGTAATGGTTCTCCAAGTAGTCGTGCTGTTCCTTGTTCAGCCGTGGCTTGATGTCGCAAGACCCAGGGTTCGGCAAAGTTTGGTGGTAGAATGCAGTCGCATTCTTGTCTGCGGCAGTCGACGGGGTCGACTGGGGATATTGTTGCGGTTGCAGCTGCCCTCGATGCGCATTGTAATGTCCCATGCCTTCGGCGACATCCGCGAAACCGCCCGCTGGGTAGTCCATGTATTCCATCTGATCTGACCAACCCAGCTGCCGATTTTGCGAGATAGTAATGCGAGTATTCGATAATTCTGCCGGAGGAGGTGTGGTAGCGAATGTGTGGTGCGGCGGAACCGCGCGAGCGCCTGTTTCGTGGGCCTCGTCGTTCCTGGGTGCAAGAACGGTCGGCGCCGAAATAGGAGGGTGCCGCAGAGGGTGAGCGAGTGACTTGGGATTAGTTAACAACCATTTGAACGAAGGGAAGAAGACAGCCGCGGCCGTTATCGAGCGAGCGGCGATGCTGCGGAGGAGGATAAGTGGAGGGCACGAGGAGGGAGGGCGGGAGCGTACAGTGAGGGAGCGCCGGGAAGAACACGAGCGACGGGCGATCGTGTGTGCTGCTGCCGCCCGGGCCCACAGGCAAGTTTGGCGTCTTCCACGCTTCTGCTGGGTGCTCTGATTGGCCTGCACCTGGCTGACGCAGGAGCTTTGCAGCTCTGGCAGCTATTTTTGGCTGCGCGAGGAGGAGGTGGGGAAGCTCTTTCCTCTCGAGGAGAGCTGAACGCTGCCGCTCGCAACCGAGTCTTCCGTCGGACGTTGAAGCTGCTCCTTCGGCAAGTCTCCTCTGTATGATGATGGAAGAAAATCTCCAATCCGCAGATTCAGCACTACCAAATGCCGGAAGACATTAGGGGCTCAGCAGCGGCCACCGGAGGCTCTGCCGCGGTCTTCTAGCCGACGGGAATGACGATCAAGCCGGGCGAGACTAGTCCTGTTCCTGCCCTTAGCTCGGACGATTTTCTAGGGGACCACGCATCTGGGCCTCCAGAAGGTTCTGAGCGCGTTCGAGCACGACCAGATATAAGCGAGACAGAGCGTCCATCTCAACGGTGTTGAAACCTGGCCGTCCATACTCACGCTCAAGCGCCGCCAGCGTGATAGAGGCTCGCTTGACGCTTTGCAGGCGCTTCTCGTGCGACCGGACACTCGAAAATAGCAGAAGATACCCCTGATGCGGATCCTCTCGTCATGGAACACCAGAGTGCCCGTGCTGCAGCCACGAAGAAGGCTCGCGGGCGTTGGTGTGGTCGTCGACCAAGATGCCAAAGCCAGGAACCTGGGAAGATGTCTTCATGTCTCGGATGTGGTGGACATCGAGGTCGTCGACGTCTTGCCCCTAAGTTGCGGCCAGTCGACACGTGAAGGCTGGCGAACCGTTGTTGACAAGGCAGGTACAACGTTCCGGGCGACAAAGTCAATCATGAACGTTCGCATCGACTAGATCTCGACTGAACCGTTGGTAGAAGAAGAGGTGAGGTTAAGATTGAGATCAGGCAGATATGCACGCGGTCTTCACGAGGAAGGAGCGACCCACGACCGGCTGTCTTCGAATATTTTCACGGTGGTAGGAAGTCTCAACTCTCATGATCCTTTTTCCTCCTCGCCTTCTTCCTCAAATACGCCTCATGAAGCACTTGCTTCACCTCTGCTTCCCTGTCGTCAAAATTGGCCTTGCACACCTTCACCAGCATCTCTACCTGCCCCGGCGTCCAGACTTAATCAAAGTTCCCCGACTACTTCACAGTCGACCGGATCAAAACCCAGCCAGATGAAGTGTTACATGAAGTTATGCTGGTAGCAGGCATGGAGCGGACGATGGTTCTGGATCTCCTGGATGCACTGCTTGCCCCCAGAGTATGGTCATGCTCTTAACCATGGAGTGTATCGAGTTGCCCAGGAACCCAGACAGGAGGACGCGGCTAGTGATGGCGATATAAGACGTCAATGGATCAACAGAAGCACTCGTAGAAACCAAGAAGAAGAGCAAGGGACTGCTCAGGCAACTGTATCATCGACCTACCTTCCTCGAATTGGCGACCGAAAGCTCACGTCGGCACCCAAGCCCGAATCTCCTCGCATCCAATCTTATATGGCGACATCTCGAACCACGGGAACCAGGTGTTATCAGCCTTGTCTTCTTCACTATGTACCGCATTCGCACTCTTGAAGGGGTGTTCCCGCTTCATTCCACCACAGCACCCGAGCGTCCCGGTCATGGCTCTAAAGCTACCACCGCTTCCTCCGAGACACACGGTTGGGACGTCGTCGGGATGCGCATGTTCGAGATGAAGATCAAGATACTTCGCGAACGCCTCCCTCGTCCGCAGTCTCCTCTTCCCAAGGAAAGCCTGCTCCTCAGGATAGGGCTCAATCCCTCTACGCACTTCAGCAACTTTCTCTGTTCAATCTTCACTCGAGCGCAGCCATACTGCTCATTATCTTGGCATCTTCGATGGCTTCCAGAAAAGAGGGTCTGATCTGCCGTTTGAACCGTGGGAGGACGCCCTATTTCTCTTTGCCTCGCTATAATCATGCCAGATAATTTCCGCCATTTCAACTGCCGTTCCTGAATGGTCTCCGAACGCTTGATTGGCATTGTGGCCACTTCGAAACCGGAACACGAAGCATGCGTTGTCAATCATTCTGTGCCGTTTCTGCTAACGTTTTGCTAACTACTTATGATCGATAGCAACAACGTCAAGCTCCTTGATATGTGAAGTCGACCCCGACCAATCGCAACCCCAGCCGCAGCACCAGCTCGAGACGAAGGATCGGATCTCACCTGCAGATACCACGGCAGACTTTGGCTTACTTTGCGCAACTCTATCGACATTATTGCATGTGTGCGGAGTGAGATGACGTTCAATGTCAGCAGATCGAAAGCGCTTCAAGAGCTAACAAACAGCCTATGCGGCAGCTCATCCTTCGCGGCAATGCGATCAGATCAACGCGAGCCAGGCCTTGGACGACGTGGCAGGCCTGTGTGTATCTAGACCACCGATACTGCGCCTGAACGCCTCGCTCAAAGAAGAATCCATAACACATCTTCCAAGTCTCTCTCCGCCATGCATCACCCACTCGTGATAATTCCCACTTCATCCCTCTCACCATCATCCTCGCCGTCCAACACCCCTAGCGCCCTCGCATACGGCACAACCACCCTCTGCAAGTCCCTCTGCCGTCCCAACACCATCACGACCTCCCGCAACAACACCTGCCTCTTCCATCCCACAACGTCCTCTCCATCGCCCCATTCGAGCGCTGGCTCGCGCTTCTCCTCAACCCCATCCTCAGCATCGCGGTCCTCAAACATGCTTCCCGCCAGTCCTCTGAGCAACTCCTCCACCTTCGCTCTCTGCCCTTCGACTCCGATCCTCTTCGCCCACATGACGAGATACACTCTGAACTCCTCCTTCGCACCCAGCATAGCCGCCGCAGCGACCCTGTTCTCCAGATGCGCAACCGACACCGCCGTCTCAAACCCTTCATACCCTTCCGCCGACAGCAAAGCCTTAACGAGTCGTTGCAGAAAGAATGCGCGCCCCTTGACCAAGCTCTGCGACGTGGTGTTGCGCTCCAGCAACGGAATAATACCCGCCGAGACGTTCTCAGGCTGAATATCGTCCAGAAAAGTTCCCGTCGGCGCCTGCTGATTCGCATTCGGCCGACCAGTGGCTGCGGCAGAAGAGGACGAAGTATTCCAATACTGACTCCCGACCGCCCACCAGCCCTCGCTCAGCCGCTGCCAGCACCAGAGGTCAGCGTTATACGCGAAACCGTCTCCGTTACTCAACCCCACCACGACGACGCCCTGGCTGTTCAACCGTGCGAACATGAGAGACGAAGACGGCGTCAGCCCACCTCCCACATTCACCGCACTACTCGCCGCATCCAACACCGGCGCCAGACTAACCGGCGGATGCCGTCCCTTCCCCTGCCGGACGTCGAAAACGTACACCTGCCCCACCGCCGTAACGACCAGGACGTTCCACCCACGACAATCCATCAGCACCGGCTGCGCCTCAAGCACGATCGCGTTGAGCATTCTGCGACCAGCAGGCGTCCAGGTATAGAGACTCCCGTCCTCGCAACCAGCGGCCCAGAAGTTCTTGTTGCCCGTCACGAGCAGCGCCGCGCGGGGCAGGAAGTCCTGCCAGATGATCTGCGAGCGGCGGGAGAGCGTGATGCGGGTGGGTTCGCGGTCGGCGGCGCGGCCGGTGCGGGTGGCGCCGGTGCCTGGGGCGGGATTGCGGGCTTCGAAGACGAGGTTGGCAGAGTTGGGGTTGGGTTCGGGTTCGGGTTCGGCGTTGTTGAGCTCAGGCTCGGTGGGAGTTTTGGTCGGATCGAGGGGTCGGAGGATTACGCTGCGGACCATGGGGACGGCGAGGCGGATTTGGGAGACGCTGAGGCTGGGGTTGATGATGGCTGGGCGCAGGACGTCGGGGATGTCTGCGGGTTGTGCTTGGTCTGTGGCGGAAGCAGCGGCGGGCACGAGGCCGTCGACGGTGTTGTGGACGATCGGGGTGGCGCCGGTCTGCTGCATGGCTTGCACGCGCTTTTCGTTTCTCCTTCTGCCGTCTTCGTCGCCATCCGCACCGTCCACTTCGGCGTACTTGCGCTTGTTACCCAGCAGTAAGCTCGCCAGACCGCCTTTCGGAAGACCATCGTAGGGCTTGCTGAGGTCCAAGACCTTGCCAGCGGGCTCGTCTGAACCCATACCGTTCCGTGCGGCCGCCTGGAGTTGTGGACGAGGCATGTTCGCTTCGCCTTGATTCGAAGACGACACGAGAAGAGGTGCTATCCGCTTCTTGCCGTCTTTGGTGATGGTGACGCGCTGCTTCAATTTCTCAACTCTCTCAGCCTGCGCATCCTTGGGCGGAGAGACTTGCGCAGGCTCATGCGGCGCAACTCCATTCGTCGTCGCGACAGCCGTAGTAGAATCGGCCATGACCGCATCAACACCGTCTTTACCTGCACCAGAGCCCGACTGCTCGCCCATCAGCTCTCCCATCCGTTCTCGAACGCCGTCCAGCTCCCCAGCCTTACTACTGTCTTCCAACCTCAGTGCATCTGTATTCTCCACAATCCCCATCTTCCTCCCACCACCATACTTCTCCAGCATCTTGTCATTCTGAGCGACAGCGCGCGGGTAGCCCAACTCGCCCTTCTCGAAGACGACCGCGGCAATCGTGCCGTCCAGCGAGGTGAGATACAAAGTCTGGCCATCGGGACTCCACGAGAGATCTGTGATACTCTTCGCCGCCAACTCTGCCGTCGTGACAAATGGCCGTGGGAAGCTCGTGTTCCAAACGCTCAACGTGCGATCTTGCCCGGCGCAGGCAATGATAGTGATCCCGGTACCTGTAGCTTGATCGCTTATGTAAGGGTCTTTCGTGAACAGTCGCGGAGAGAAGGCGCAGACTTCCACGGGACCTTCATGGCCGATGAGGTTTACGGGAATGTCCCACTTCCCGCGCTGGATGATAGCTACTGAGCTGACAGGTCCGTTAGTGGCGTTGGCAGCTGCGATGTGGTTTCCGTCTGGACTCCAAGAGGGCCGGCGGAAGTAGGTGGTGAGGGGGCTGGTCTTGAAAGGGTCAGTGATGCTGCTCTCGAGCACGAAATTGCTCGTCTGATCTTGCGCAGAAGCGTTCGGCGGCGGAGACGTGAAGCGGTAGACCTTGATAGTCCGATCGTCGCTAGCAGTCGCAAAGAACTTATTCGCCGGATCGAACGTAATCCCCTTGACGTGGCTCTGGTGTTGGGGGAGCGTCTTCAACTTCTCAAATGTGCTCCCGCTCCAGACCACCACTTTGCTGTCCAGTCCCACAGACACCAATATAGAACTGTCGTAGCTCCATCCGAGATCCTGCACGTCGTTGTCATGCCCAATCATCCGCCTAAACACCCTCCAGTTCTCCACGGGCTGCTCCTCCTTGCTCCCAAACGTCGAATGCTGCGGCTTGCCGGGCTCGATGTGGTAGACGATGACGAACTTGTCGTCGCCGCCGCTGGCCAGGTGTTTCCCATTCGGGCTGAAGCGCACGCTGTGTACCGTGCCGGAGTGGATGGAGAGGGAGGCTAGCTGTCGCGGCTTGGTGTAGGATGGATTGGACGCGTTCAGAATGGCTTCCGTGGACCATATCCGGACATGACCGTCTCCGGCGGCGGTTGCGAGACGGGAGGCATCGGGGGAGACGTGGCAGGAGTAGACTTCGTGGTCCTTCTTCTCGTCGTGGTGGCCTAGCCAGTTCGGCTTGGTGAAGCGCATCGTGCTGATCTATGAGGGTTGCGCATTGCCTGGATGAGCGGAGAAGCGGCGGAGGAGGGGGGTTCCTAGGCGTAGCGGCAGCGGTGTCGTGTTTGAAGGACGAATGCAAGCACTTTGAAGTGTCGACGCGGTTCACGCGATGCTGGAGCTATTCACGGTGGTCTAGATCTCAAAGCGTCTCAGTAGAAAAAGATAAGATTAGATGGTCTACAGCACCTTAACTACACCCTTCCATACTGGCTACTCCAGAAAACCACACCAAAACATGGCCGAATACTGGAAGTCCACACCAAACTACTGGTGCAAGTTCTGCTCTCAATACGTCCGCGACACACCCTTCGAGCGCAAGAACCACGAAACCAGCGGCAAGCACCAGAACAACATCCAGCGCTCGTTGCGGAACCTACACAAGGACAAGGAGCGAGAGGCGCGAGACCAGCAGCGGGCGAAGGATGAGGTTGCAAGACTGAATGGGCTGGTCGGAGGAAAGAAGGCATCAAGCGTATCGCCCGGACCTCAGATCAAAGGCTTGAAGGATGTCACGCCCTCGGCTTCTGCTGGACGGCAGTTATCTGAAAGCGAGCGAGCGGCCCAGCGAAAGGCTCATGCGGAACAGCTACTGGCTCTTGGAGTTCAGTTGCCCGAGGAGCTGAAGCGGGAGGTACAGGGTGTTGGCGGCTGGCAGACGGTATCTCAGACCGTGGTGGAGGATGAGGTCAAGCCGGAGCGGAGCCTGGCGGATATCATGAAGTGGGAGCAAGACGCGGAGGCTGAGAGTAAGCTAGGAATTAAGGTCGAAGAGGGGCAGAGCAGGGGTGTAAGGAAACGGAAGATGGAGGACGAGGAGGATGTGAGGGATGAGGAGGCAGCACCGAAGGAGCGGAAGCTTTGGGGCAGCAGTATGCGGCGGTATCCCGGCGCTGAAGTTGAAGAAGAAGGGGACGGCGAGGATCTGGATGCTCTGCTAAGCGGAGTCAAGCGGAAGAAGCAGGACGAAACGGCATTGAAGGCTGAAAGGGGGCTTAAGAAGGAGGAGTCGAACGGGGAAAAGCCGCTGGACACCATCCCAGAAATTGATGCGCCATTGGCAGCGATCAAACAAGAGGACGAGGGCGGGGAAGACACAGCAGCACCTGTAGTGTTCAAGAAGCGGAAGGGGAAGAAGTGAGAGCATACGCTCGGGACATCTCTTGGACTGAGTCTGCCATGGATTCGACAATCGACTATGTACCACCTTCGGCAGCTAGGGTCACATACCCTCTGCTGGATCTCGGCTCCGATATTTCGCCGTCTCGATTGGCCTAAGATGGTCATGCCTACTTCTCACGAATCCGAGCGAGGTCACTGGGAGCGCCCTGCATTCAAACATACCGACGAAGCCGAAGTGTGCCTGATTTGGTAAGATTGGGTTCATGTGATACTGGTAAGCCTATTCTATGACATGTGCTTTTCTCCATCGCTTGATATTACTTCTGCATGCTCGTCACCATAAGTGGTAGATCCTGTAAAGATCCAGTAGCTGACGCCATCGCAGAAATGTGTATGCTCATCGCCAGCTCGCCTCAGAAGAGTCCGCCGGACCAAGCTTCCAGAAGCCCACGCTCGTCCGTCATACTCGCACCCAACCCCACGCCGTCACCACCGCCATCAGCACTCCTCGTCCCCATTAGTCTCCTCTCCCTCTCCCACCTCAGCGTTCTTCGCCCCATCCACACACCACAAGATGAACGGCCCTGAATAGACATCCTCCTCCGCCTCATCGCTCGGACTCCACCACCTCCCCACAATGATCCCTCCACCCGGCAACACCACCCCCTCATACGCCCACAAACCCTGCATGTCCACATTCCCATTCTCATCCTCGAAATACTTCATCATCGTCAGCCTCTGCCACCCCGGCACGCCCTCCTGCACCGGCAGCGCATTCAACCACCCACTCGCTAGGAACTTCTCGCTCACATCCTTCCCCTCGCCCTCGAAATGCCGGTCCTGGACATGAAACCCCCTCGTCCGCATCTGCGCCGCCTCATCCGGCTTCGCGCTCCGCCGCTGCGCCCGCGTCCTCGCCCGCCCCTCCGGCGGCACCAAGCTCTTCAGATGCTGCTCGAAGAGCATCGGCCACACGAACTCGCCATCGTCCGGCGCCAGCTCGAGCGTCAGCGACTGGAACGCCCCGTCGCTCCCATCCTCCCCGGCGAAGATGTCCTGGATCTGCTGGTTGTAATCCCGCCCGCCGCGCAGCGTGTCGATCTCATCGCGCTCGACAAACGCATAGCTGCCCTTCCAGTTCTTCCAGAGCTTCTGCGTCGTGTCCTGCGAGAGCGCATGGTCCCACCAGCGCGGCCGCTCGTCTTCGTCCAAGTCGCAGTAGGGTTCGTTGAGCGTGCCTTCGGCCTGGCGCAGCATGTGGTATTTCCAGAAATTCAGGTTGTGCAGGACGTACTCCATATCGATCTCGACGCCATAGCAGCCGCCGAAGATCGGGTGGACGGTGGCGGTAGAGTAGACGGCGGCTTGGGAGTCCAGGAAGTTGTAGTGACTGAACTCGTACATCGGGTCCGGGTTGAGGTGCATGGGCGCGAGTAAGACTTGGATGGTTTGCATGAGGCGTTTGGAGGTGGACGCGGGTGGGGTGGTCGAGCGGCGGCGTGTGCTGGAGCGGTACGGGCGTTTGAGGTTGGGGGTGAAGAGTTCGAGGAGTGAGAAGTTTGCGACTGCGAACCGTTGGAGGAACGCCAGGTTGGAGGATTCGTACGTCAAGGCGTTGGAGGCGGTTTTGGTGGAGAAGGAATCTGCGAACACCACAACGTCAGCACGCCACTTCACTCGACACATGAAGTTGGGGGAGGAGGGAAGCGACACACCCGCGACCAAATCCCGCAACACCTCCAAGCACACCTTCTCCCTCTCCCCACCGCCCTCCATAAACTCCGCCCCGTTCTTCAACACGAGCCTGCGCTTCTGGTATTCCTCCTTGAAACGCGCGTTGCCCGCTGGTCCGTTCCAGCGCGAAGACGAGGTCGAGTCCGAGCCGCGAGTGAACGACGAGCCTGAGCCACCACCGCCCGACGACGAGACGTCCGAAGCCGGCCGCTCAAAACATCCCGCCCACCGCCTCCGCCAGAAACTCGCCCCATCCGCCTCCACAGCATCCAGCGTACTGCGACACGTGGCGCGAAAAGCGCAGAGGTCGGAGTCGGTCTCGATGAAGGTGGCGATTGCTTGGGTGGTTTCGAGGGGGAGGTTGTTGAAGGGGTTCGCTGGTGGTGGCGGTCGTGAGGTTTGGGGAGGTGGGTGGTGGGAGGGGATTGGGGAAGGTGTGATGGGGGGAGCGGCGAGGGAGCGGCGGGTAGTTGTGGTGGGTGTTGGTGGGGGCGTGAGGGAGATGGTGAACCGGCGGCGCGGGGAGGTTGGGTCGGGGCCGCGGCGGTGGTTGTGGTGGGACGCCATGGTTGTGGGTGGGTGGGTGGTGGGAGGGTGAAGAATGGGTGCTGTCGCTGAAGTCCCTCCGAGATATGCCCAAAAGATTGTCGAACTGAAGAGAGCTTGCTAACCGCAAAGATTATCTCAGAAGAAGAGCAACCGATATCCCAACAGCCAATGCTGAACCGCCCATGTGATGTCGGTTCACTCGGGTGTGGGTGATACGTGAGTTTCAGCTTTCTCAATGGGAGAATGAGAATGTGAGAATGTGAGAATGGTGAGGTGAACTTTCCCATGAAGTGATGTGATGTCCCATCAACGCACCTTCACATCACATCCACCTACCTCCTGCTTTGCTACTGCGCATGTGCTTGCAGTGGTGCCGCCGCAAAATCCGCGTGTATGGAGGGATTGTCTTTGTTAATGTGAAGCATGTATGTCGTTGCTGCAATGTGCATGTGGTGTGCTTAGGGTGGTATGCTTTGTCAAAGACCACTTGCTTGCTTCACTCACGGGGCGGGCAGCCTGCAGCCTGTCTCAGATTCGTCGGACGCAGGGCAGGGCGTGGGATCATATGCATTTGCTCACTGCGCGCACGTTGGGAATCGTGCGTGCGGTGGTCAGGAGGGAGGTAGATGTGGTTGGCACGGTGCTGCGGTGGGGATCTGTGAATGTGATGAGTTTGCTATGCTCATATGGTAAGGTCGGCGATAGCGTTCTCGAGTCAAAGTTTCTCGCAACAGCCCTTTGAAGTGGGAGGACAATGTGAGACATTCGGAAGTAATGCAATGCAAAGTTTCATATGTGCATAAGAAGTAGTAGCGCAGCAGCAGCAGCAATGCAATGATGCGAGTAGTCCGGCCCACCATCCTACCAAGTACAGACAACATGGGGGTATCTTGCGAGAAACCAGGTCCTTTCTTCAGTTCAGTAATAGCAAAGTGTCCTCCCTCGCTCGAACGCTGCAGTCTTCATCAGCGTCTGATATGCAGTAGTAATTTCAGAAATCGTCCTCCTCTGAATCGGTGGCACTCCATGCTACCGCCGCCGGAAGACGAGACCGAGTCAGGTGAAAAGCCGCTTCTTCACGCTTTGGTCCAGATTCTCCGACATCAGCCCCGGGAAACGCGGCGTCTTCTTCGACGGCGAGGTGTTGTTGCGTCGGTCGCTGGGTGAGACAGGAAGCATCGGCTCGGAGGCGTTCGAGACCTGGCGCAGCTTGCTGGGGGTGGTCGTGCCTTTCGAGGCCGCTTTCTTCGCCTCCGCACTGACAGCTGCTGACTTGCCGACTTTGAAGGAGTTCGTGAGTGGCTTCGTGTTGGCTGCCGCTTGCGCTTTCTTTCCAGGCTTGGGCTTCGATTTCGCGGTGGAGGTCGATTTCGTGGTGGTGGACTTCTTCGCCGGCTTGACATACTTGACGTTGCTTTTCTTTGGCTTCGCCGTGAGAGTGGATTTCTTCGTCGCCTTCGAGCTGGCCTGCTTTGCCTTATCCGGTACTTTGAGGCTGAGCTTCAGCGGCGCAACCTTCTCCGGCGAGCTCTTCTGCGACTTGGTCGGCGTGAGTAATCCAGTACCCTTCACCTCGATGTTGTCCTCTCCGACCTCGATACTCTGTACTATAGAGTTGTTGCGACTCGGCATCGGACTCCAATCGACTGGTGAAGAGAGCGGCTTACGCGGCGTACTGGAGACTGAAGGCGGCGGTGGGAAGCTGTTGTTGAGATGCTCCTCGGACGGAAGTCTCGCAATTTCGGCGTGCGGAAGTGTGCATGCTGGTATCCGGACCTCCACCCTCACACTCGAAGACTTCCGCGCTTGCTCATCGCTGACCTCGGCGTAGTTGTCTTCGTCTGAAGGCTCATCCCACCTGGGCATCGCCGCTTTGCTGGCCACTTCATCGCACTTTCCTTGCACAACAATATCAAAACACTCTTCCAGATCCTTCGCCACCGGCGGCAGGTCGTTGTTGATCCAGATTGCGACGCCACCCCTCCGATCTCTGACTGATGCACACATTTCTCTCACAATACGGCGAACACCAGGAACTTTCAATGTCGTTCCAGCAACAATGACTGCATCCGGTCGCTTTCGCAGGTCATCTCGCGTGACTGCACCAATCGCGATATCATCTGGATTGTGCTCATTGTACAGCACCATGCGCGGTCGTAGCCTTCCGATCCCGTGACTCCGCTTGCCCTCATGATTGGTGCGGATATCGTTAATCTCCTCACATCTCGGGCACAGCGGTGGTACGGGTCCAGAAAACAAGGCGGCATCAAAATCCGACAGATCGTGACATTTCGAGCACACCATCTTGTCAAGGCCGCCATGAAGCTGAACAGTTCGTGGCCACTTTCCAGCCTCGTCCTTGCGCAGCGGAACGCGACTACTCAAGGGCGGCAGTGAGGTGTCGATGCCGTCAACATTCTGCGAATACAGTCGTAGTAAGCGATCTTCTTTGGCGATGGTGGCGAGCATGTGGTGGAAAGCAGTGGGCTTGGCGTCTCGCGTAGTTCGCGACATGGAGCCGATCATCTCGTGGAAGGTGGAGGTGGACGTGTCATCCTTGTACACCGATGCATCGAAGAGGTGTTTGCCGGAGCCTTTGAGTTTGTGCTCGTCCTTGAGACTTTTGAACAGGCCGGTGGAGGAGCGGAAGTCGGGGACTGAGACGTGTTAGCGGCGGTAGAGGCGCGTCAGCAGTACTTGGAGATGTCTCACTTCCTGCAGATACAGATATGCCGGCGCCAGCAATGACGACAATCTTCTGGCGGTTGTGCAATACATGCAGTAGTTGATCCAGCTGGGCTTGTTGCTCTTCTTCAATCTCACTGCCTCTCAGATCCAGATACTCTGTGGTGCGCTCTTTTGATATTCTCCTCCGCTTCGCGGGTGGTGGGCCCTCCTTGTCGGTAGAGGCGCTCGAGTCCATGCCATCTGGTGTCGGGGTGGTGGTGTTGGAGGTCTGTCGAGAACCTTGCGAAGTCGGGGGTGAAGGGTAGTGTCCGAAGAGCAGGCCCATCCCGGGCGGTGGAGGCGGGGTGTTGCCTGGCGAAGACAGCGGGGAGGAAGGAGCACTCGACAGCGGGCTCGACAGCGCGGACGAGTCGGCCATCGCGTCCACGTCCATCTTCGTTGTCGGTGTTGATGTTGGTCGGCGGCAAGCTGCAGAGGAGAAGCGAGCGAGCGACGGATGCTTGCAGGAAGGGGAGGATGATGTTGGAGGAAGAATGGCAATGGCAATTAGTCCTATGGTCGCATGGTCGGATGGGCAAACTGCCGACAATTACACTGCACGCGTTGAATAGCAGCGACAATAGGAAAGCGACGTGTAATGGAGGAGGCAGGTGGAGGCTCGACGTCGCAGATGCGAGAGATGCAGCCAAGCGGGCACAGGCGGAGATGCGGCTCCTTCCCATTGTTTACCGCGAAAAACATCGGGGACGGACACCATTCCGCCCATTCTTACTGGCCAGCTTCTCCATTCACCTAGAACCACGCCTTTCGAGGATGACCATCGGGAGCATTTTGCTGGAGCGGTAATAATTCATCATCCAGGCCATATTCCAGAAGAAGTACTCAATAATGGCTGGTCCTCCTCCGCCCCTTCCGGATGTCTAGGAGGAGTTCTGGTTTGGTGGCCGACGCATCTCAGTACCACCGCCAAAAGAACAGACCATGGACGACAATATGGATATGGACATCAAGGACGATGCCAACGACATGGACCTCAAGCCGGATGCAGGTCTGGGAGACCAAATGCCCGACAATGTCCTCATGGACCAGAACATGGACGACCTCTTCGGCGAGGCGGCGGATGGGCTGGGCGTTGATGCGTTGGGTGTCGGCTTGTCTGTTCTTCCCATTCCGCCAGCGCTGGTGAACCGCATAGAGGAGAAGCAGGACAGAGGGTGTTGCACGTGAGTCAGTGTCGCCGTCGTTTCTTTCTTGGCGAGCAACGAGGCTGATAGGCCCGGGGCAGTAAACTGGCCTGGTCCACCTCCGGCAGCATCGCGCAGATCACCGACCATGGCCGCAAGGTCGAGTTCAGATGCATGCTTCGGAACCCCAAGACCAAGGAGTGGAGGCTCACAGAGCCGTCCAAGACGCCTATTGTAGCGCCGGAAGGGACAATTTTCGAGCATGTCCACTTCAGTGGCGTTGGCATAGATCTTGCTGTCGCTGACAACCATGGCCATGTGCGCGTGTATGCGCTTGTTGGCAACCTTGGAAAGATGCTGCTCTCCCCCAACAACTTTTCACAGGAAGTGGATAGTCAAGGCGTTGACGTCGCAGTGGGACTACATTGGTTGCCAGTGTATCCGACTGAGTTTAAGGTGAGTCGCGAGTTCATTCATACAGTGAGTGACAGAACTGACGCCCATGTGAAGGTCCCATACATGTCACCTGCCACCAAGATTGGCGACAAATGGATGACCGAGCTACGAAATCCCAATACAAGTGACCCTAAAGTGCATCACCCAGCTGATGGACGGTCTAGCTTGCTCTACGTTACTCGCAATGCCAAACTCAGGCTCATGTATCAGAATGATGGCGTGTGGCATGCTGCGTCCGCCGAGCTAGAAGGTGGTTCTTCATCGAGCGACCAACTTACACACGCTGCTATGGCAGAAAATGCCGACCATTTGCTGCTTGGGACTCACGACACACGCAAGCGATTCTGTCTATACAAGATCGCAATCACTTGGAATGCTACGCAACACACTCGACCTCAGCAGCCGCCGTCCACCATTGTCGCGCCGACTCTGGAGATCGCGCGCTTGACCGTGCTCGAACATATCTCAGCTCAGCACGCTGACCTTGCCACACTATCGGAGCTGCGACTGGTTCCTCCTATCGCGCCAAACGTGGCGCAAACCGATCCACCCAGTCTTCCGACCATCATCGCAGTCTTTACCCGTGTCCCCTTGCCGGTGGATCCAACACAGCAGCACCAAGAGGCTTTCAGCATCATCGCCAGATGGCAGGTGGAGACGACAACGGCGGTGCAGCATGAAAGCTTTGCGAAGCTGAAACCCAATGGCAACACTGCACCACAGTCTGGGGTCGCAGTCTTGAGAAGGCAGGAAGACAACATCACCAGCAAGGTCGTGCTGTCCGTGGAGCCACAATATCACAACACTATTCTGGCACTCTGCGCGAGCGATGGGACTATCGAGTTCCGTGATCGCGTGACAATGGCCAGTCTGGAGCCATACGGCGATACTACTACCGTCTCTAGCCTACCCCAAGCCGGTTTCGAGCATGTCGCTGGCGACCACGTCCCCAACGTGGCGATGTCCCCGGACGGGAGCATGCTGGTTACGACGAAGGCAGATGATACGGTCTCGACAAAATCGATGCAACTTCGTTACAGCTGGCACCCTCTGGAGGACGGCATGAGCGACCCCAAAGGTCTCATCGAAGCAGCTGTTGTCTGTCTTGCGAGACAATACGGCATCCTCTGCTGCGCCAGCGCCGCCAATGACGATTCTCTGGCTCTGCTACCACCCGACCTCAGCCCGGAGCTGCGGTCTCTTTACATCCGCGAGGTCATAGAGATGACCAATCGTCCAATGGACATGGCGACATGGGAGCTCAACAAGCAGCAACAAAACGTCATCCGCGAACCCATCCTTCGCGTTATCGCCAGCGCGCAGTTCGTCATCAACAAGAAGCCTGGAACGCAGAAACCAACGCTAATGGGCAAGTTCGCCTACATCTATCTCAATGCCCGACTCTGCTGTACGGTTCTCGCGCAGGTCATTGCGAACAAGGAGACCCATCTCCACCCCTCGCACCTGCATTCTCTTCGCGGCGTGGCGAAATGGTGCTGCGACCTCCTCTGCTGGGTGGCCGACAGCCTCATCACCCTCAAACGCGCCAGCAAGACCGCTGCACCGGACACCCCACCACATCAAGCGTTCATGTATGCAGTGTTGGAAAGAGACTCCCCCATCCTCAACCTCTTCCTCTGCACCTACACCCGCGTCTTCCTGCGCTTCATGTGCGTGACCCTGAGCCGCTACCAGATGGCCGCCCGGCAAGCCCTTCCCACCGCCCGCTCCGTCACGGAACACCGAGAACTCGAAGACACACTCGCCTACTTCACCGAACTCCCCTTCAAATTCCCCGCCTTCGAGGCCCTCATGTCCGACGTCGACGCTTCGGTCCGTCAAGCCATCACTTCCCGCTCTCTGCAGCACGAGCGCCGCGTGGAGTTGGAGTTGAGCGTGATGACCTCCACCACTATCCCGGAAGAATACCTCCCTGTGATCCAACACCTCGTCGGTACCGCCCTGCCGAAATTCATGGAGCAGATCGACTTGCCGGAGCTCTACTTCCGGGACACGACATGGCTGGGCATTGAACCCACTCGCGAGGAGGAGGGGGGGAGGAGGGAGCAGTACGATGTGCTGCGGAAGTTGCGGATTGCAAAGGGAGCGAAGCTGAGAGTTTGTAGACGGTGTGGGAGTGTGATGGAGGATGTGGAGCCGGGGGGGAGGGAGATGTGGGGATGGGTGGTGCATGCGCAGCGGACTTGTGTTTGTGGGTGTTATTGGGTGATGGCTTAGATTATGATTTTGTTTGGAAAACGGTGGGTGGGGAGTTGTGGGAGGGACTGTAGGCCAGGTTAGGTAGAAATCTTGGATACTGTGGAGGAGAAGCTCCATACGCTTGGGTTATAGGTGATCAATATCGTCTTGTACAATGTCTACGTCTTGTGCTCGAATGTATGTATCTCGCCTTGCTGTGCGCCGGACTTAGCGGACTTACTACTTTGGTCAGAAAGCTTGAAGTGCGGCCCGCGGGGAAGATCCACTGAAAAGTTCGACTTCAAGAAAAGCTATGTGCCTTTGCTACGATCTCCACCTGAAGGACCTCTACCACGTATATCACGACGTGAGAATAGATCAAAATGGGCGGCATAAAGAGAAAGGACGCCCCGAGCGATGCGAAGGTTAAGAGCAAGAAGTTGAAGAAGGAAGATGTGAAGCCGGCGAAGGAGAGGAAGAGCAGTCGCAAGGTCGAGGTTGAGGCCGACGGCGGAGAGGATGGGTTTGGTGGCTTCTCGGACGAAGAGAACGGTGGCGTAGAGTTCGAGGACGATGAGCCTGTGAAGACCAACGGCACAACCAAGAAGGTCGACGGTGCGCCCAACGATCCAAAGCAGTTCAAACCCGACAACACCTCTTCAGCAGAAGCGCACGCCAAACAGCGCGCCCTCGCCAAAGAGCGCAAAGCCAGCAAGCCCCACGCCGACGCCATCCAGCGCAGCAAGAAGATCTGGGAGCGCTTGCGGCGAAAGTCCCACGTCCCGGGTGAGGAGCGCAAGCAGTTGGTCGCGGAGCTATTCGACATTATCACGGGACGAGTGTCGGATTTCGTGTTCAAGCACGACAGTGTGCGGGTGATACAGTGTGCGCTGAAGTATGCGAACGCGACGCAGAGACAAAATATCGCGCAGGAGTTGAAGGGCGATATCAAGACGCTGGCGGAGAGCAAGTATGGGAAGTTCTTGGTGGCGAAGATGATCAGTACGGGCGATGAGACGGTGCGGGATACGATTGTGCCGGAGTTCTACGGGCATGTGAGGAGGTTGGTCAATCATCCCGAGGCGAGCTGGGTGGTGGATGATATCTACCGGCAGATTGCTACGCAGCAGCAGAAGGCGACGATGCTGCGGGAGTGGTATGGAGCGGAGTTTGCGCTGTTTCATCGCAAGCCGGGCGCGAACGCTGCGGTGGCTGCTACGACGGAGGATACGGCGGATTTGGTCATCATTTTGGAGAGGAATCCCGAGAAGCGGAAGCCGATCTTGCAGTATCTACTGCAGATGATCAATGGGCTTGTGCAGAAGAAAATGACCGGCTTCACGATGCTGCACGACGCTATGCTACAGTACTTCCTCGCCCTCAAACCCAGTTCAGAAGAACACACCGAGTTTCTGGAGATTCTGAAAGGCGACATCGACAAGGAAGTCGAAGGCGGCGGAGGCGACCTCTTCCGCAACCTCGCCTTCACCAAATCCGGCAGTCGCCTCGTCTGCCTCGCCCTGGCCTACGGCAACGCCAAAGACCGCCGAACCATCCTTCGCGTCTTCAAAAACGCCATCGAAGTCATGGCGCTCGACCAGTACGCCAAAATGGTGCTCGTGGTCGGGCTCGACGTCACCGACGACACGAAAACGAGCACCCGCATCCTTGTACCTGAGCTCTTCGGCCAGCACATCACCGACTCCGACGAACGCCTCAATCGCATCGAAGCACTATCGACCAACCTGCACGCCCGTCTCCCAATCCTCTATCCCCTATCAGGAATGGCGAAATGGCTCATCCCCTCCCCGTCACCCGACCACGACCTCCTGACCGAAATGCACTCCATCCGCGCCATCACGTCCAAAAAAGCCCCTGAGACCCGCCGAAGCGAATTACTCGAAACCATGACCCCTCCCCTCCTCGACCTCGTCGCCGCGCGAGCGGATTCTTTAGCGCGCTCGAGTTTCGGATGCCAGGTCATCACGGAAGTCCTACTGTCTTCTCCACCGTCCGAGCAGAGGGATGAAGCGAGTAAAGCCGTCGCGGAGCTGGCTGCGGGAGAGCCGGGAGCGGAGGGACATCTAGCGCACGACGCGGCGGCGGGGAGGATGCTGAAGAGTCTTGTTCTTGGAGGAGCTTTCGATGCTAAGACGAAGAAGGTGATTCTGCCGGAGGAAGGGCAGAGGTTGGGTTTTGCGGCGCAGTTGTACCCGGTCATCAAAGATTCGGTGCTGGAATGGGCGTGTGGGGAGGGCAGTTTCGTCATCGTGGGCTTACTTGAGAGTGAAGACGTGGAGGGGGAGTCCAAAGCGGAGGTTAAGAAGTTGTTGAAGAAGGGGAGGAAGAAGTTGGAGGGTGCGGCGAAGGGGGGGAAGGGTGGGGAGGGGGAGGTTGTGAGGGGGAATGCTGGGGCGAGGATTTTGGGGGGGTTGGTTTAGGATTTTGGTTCGTTGTGTAGGCTATGTAAAAAGAAGTGGCCAATGCTATGGTGGTTTGTTTATCGTCCGCTGTGATGTGCTGTTGGTGTGGTGTGTTGATGTCGCTGTGTTGTGATGCTGCCGTGTGCATCGCTGAGATGTCGATGATAATGGGGATTGCTTCTCCGTCTGCCAATAACGCGCCAAAAGATTCCTCAACACTGATTCCACTTCCCTCGATCTAGGCGAAGATTCCCTGCTCCCAGTCCTTGAGCCTCTCCTTCGCGAGCAAAAACAGTATCAATAGCAAAGGGTAATAAAATGAAGGCAAGGAAAGCAATCGCAAGATTATTTAAACCTCCATCCTCTTCGCGTAGGCTTTGCAATCTCCACGGACTTCGCGGCCTTGACGTTGCACCTCCTCTCCGTCGTGGACGCAATGTGCTCGATCTCTGCTGGCTGAAAGGGCAATATGCAGCTGATGGGAATCTCATGCTTCTCTCATCGCAGCAGCATTTCTGAGACTCTCAGCTCTTCTTCTCCCACCTATGCAGCGCACTTCAAACCGCTGCTGTGCTTTGCCTGCTGCTCATGTGCCATAGTCATCGTGATCTCCTAGCCAGCGCTCACACCAAGCCCAACCATCAACCGCTCAGAACAAGCAGGCAGGATCATCGAAATCATGCTGCGCGAACATCAGACCCGTATAACTATTCCCAGGCGCAAGGGAAGGATTATAGGCGTAGTGGAACAACAACGATGCGCACCCCGCAAGAGGACAGTTCGTACCGCCAGGAGCCCGAGCGTTGAAGGCGCAGGATGTTGCTTGAGCCTGGTTGTGTCCTGTTGCGATTGCGGTGCGTAAGTCTGGCACTTTCTCGCCTACGACTCGGAGGTGCGGGCTCTTCAGCATGCAGGAGGCGCAGTTGCAGATGTCGTTCTGGAGGAGGTCTTGTATCCAGGGCTCGAAGGCGGGCGGTGCTGGTTTGACGTCTTTGTGCTCCTGGGAAACTGTGACCTCAGCGACGACACTGGGTTTTGTGCGGTCCTGGAATTTTGATTCTGCGAATCGGCCCAGGGCGGTCATCGGCTCAGCTGTGGTTTTGGTGGTGGGCTGCTCCGGGCTGCTGGGCCGTGAATTGCTCTCAAGAGACTTCTTCGCGTTGCCAGCATCGATGTCGCCGCTGTGGCTCTTTAGATCCGTGGTGTTGGCCTCCGAACCATCTTCGGATGCTTTGACGGGGCTCCTCGTGTCGAAAAGATCATTCTCATTGGCGCTCTCTGTACTCCAGAGGGCTCTAAACATCTCTTCATTGGCCGTATGGCACTTACCGTCCTTGTAATCCTTGTCCTTGGGTCTTAGCGGGGGTGGAACTTCTCCGTGATCTTTGGACCTCGCTTGCGCTGGCGAAGGGACAGTGTCTGTAGAGCCTGTCAAGACCACCTCCGGCACCATAGAGGTCTTGCGCTTGCGGATGACGGGGCTCGGTGTAGGCGTTTCGAACGGATGGCGCGCCATGCTGCCGCCGCCTGAACGGATCTGACCAAAGGTGTAATCGAAGATCTTGTGGCGATCTCCTCGAGGCTTGACGGCGTTGCTGTATGCCTCTCCTCTCACTTCCAGGATCGAAGGGGCCTCGCTGCGAAGGTTCAAGCCACAGTCCCAGCCCGACGGAGACGGCGACTTCACGTCAGATTTGGGCGGTGGTACACCCCAACTCACGTACTCATATGCCGGTGATGCGCATTCTGAGCTTGCGCGGGAGGCCGATGAGCCCCAGCCATTATTGTTCTGCTTCGAAGGCTGCCCGTACCCACAGTCTGCGTGTCGGCATCGCTCGTTAATTCTGTCCCAGAACTGTTGGCACGGAACAGTAGCATCCGCCTTGCCGTCAACTTGACCTAAGCGAGAGCGAAGGTCGTTCAGGAGGTCGTGTACGTTTGTTCGGTCACGCTCTTGGACACGAGATCGTGAGAATTCCGCAAGCCTGGCCCTGAGACTGTTGAGCTGTACTGCGTGGCTGGCAGGCTTGATGTACCCGCAGTCGGCATGCCTGCATTTTTCGGCAGACCAAGATTGCTCGCAGTGTACCAAAACATGATGGCGGCCAATGAAATCATCGATGTGTGTCACACTATCCACGAGCTCATTGATCCGGGCATGAATGGTAGCGTTGTCATCGTCGTGTCTCTTGAGAGGGTGGTTGATGCTCGAAAGCTGTTCATCGATGTTCTGCAGTCGCGTGGGTTTGTCGTCGGGTTTATGCATAGTACTCCGATTGCTGAAGTTCTCAAGCTGGGGTGTGTCCCGAGCTGCCAACTCCTCCTCGATCCGAGCAAGACGATCCGAGTCCTGCTGCATACGCTGATACTTCAGCATAGCATGAATCTTGATGTTGGACTTCGAGATGTCGTACATCATGCTCACCGGCAAACTGCTCTTCTCCGCAAGGCTCGCTGGGCTTGGAGGTACGGCGCCGCTGTGAGCGGGCTGTTGCTGTGCTGGAGAAGTCCTCTCTGCACTTGGAAGCTCAGTTTCACTGGCCTGGAATGTACTCAGGATACCCAGAGCCCTGTACTTGTCCTCCTTGAATGCAGCGGAGGATGACAAGCAGCGACGAAGAAACGCATGTTCTACTTCATTGATCTGCTCTTGGGTTCCAAGGGAACTGATCATGCCGAGAGCCTTGTACTTCTCGTCTCTCCAGAGATCGGAAGACGACAGGCAGTGGCGGAGGAAGTCGAGGTCAGCTGGCGCAGGATCGAACCCTCGAACAGAGCCGCAGGGAGGGGTTGGTGGAGGCCCCCAATTGGTGTGGACGAAGGATGGCGGGGTGTGGTTTGTGGTCTTGCGTGCTGGCGGGAAAGGCGGTGGGGTTGGCGGTAGCGTGAACTCCACCCTGCGAGCCTGTAGTGGACTCGCCCAAGCACCGTGCGGCCGAGACTGAAACCCAGAGTGGTGACCACTTTGAGAAGGCCATTCGACCGTTGGACGCGACGTTGGTGGGTTCGGATACGCGAGAGACGGCATCGGCGATGGGACGGGCGGAGGGCTCTTCCACCCGGGGCTAGGCGGGAAGTCCATCGGCGGAAAGGTCTTGCGATCGCCATGGCCACGGTAAGACGCCTTGGAGGAGCCTGCATCATCAGGACAGTGCAGCTGTGGGTTCCTGACATCTTCGATGTACGGCGCCTGGTAGTTTGCTAACTGTGGCTGCATGCCGACGGCCGAAGTGAGCTTGCCGAAATTCATCGCATGGGGTTACCTCAATGGTGGGCTCGGCTGAATTTGTTGGTCCTCGGGCATCACACCTTGCTGCGCTTGGTTGGTAGTCGATGGGCCTCCACTAGCAAGTGCTTGTACGGAGAACATCCCAGGGATGTACTGATCTCTCAACACGGGACCGCGCTGCAGGACAGCCGGCGGCTGGCAGAAGAACTTCGTGGAAGGATTGAAGGAAAGGTCTCCTTGGCGCGACTGAGGAGGACGTGGATCACTCACCCAGCGCTGCTTTTGCTTGGTACTGGAGTGATCGAACCCCTTCATGCCGTCGAGGTGGGAGAAGAAGTTGGATGGGTCCAGAGGTGTTGGCATGGCAGCTTGATACGTCTTCTCCTGTGCTTTTGATCCTAGGATAGGGAGTGGTTCAACATCGGACGTTGGATGAGAATCTTGGTGCCCCGGAGACTGGTTGGTAATCACCGTCGAACCCACCCTGGTGTTGGCCGGAGCACTGAGATGAACCGACGATGCAAGCGACTGATGTCCCGGACCTGGGTTCAGTATCAGGTCCTGCTCTCCTGGTGGGGAAGTGCTCGATTGATCGTCCTTGCTCGTATCGGTGTCGCTGTCGCTGCTGAAGGCGTACTCCACTACGCCCTCGGTATCGCCGCTCAGATCGACGAATGAACCGTTCCCAGAGCTTCCGCCGGAAATGGTCGGCAAAGGGTTGCCGGTCGTGATGTCGTAGTGAGTTGCTGGCCCGGAGGCGGTCTTCACGACATGACCGGTGGATTTCCACACAGGCATGGTTGTTGAAACGTTGGCTTGAGGAATGGGATTGGTGTCGGAGCTAGTAGATCTTGGGATGGGTCGAAACTGAAGACTTCTGTATAGCGGGTGGTTTGTTGTATTGGTATAGGCGTTGCTGTGTGTGGAGCTGAAGAGCAAGAAAGGGGTGGATGGTAGTCAAATTGGTTGACTGGAAAGGAGGAAAGGTTGATAGAGGTTGTTGGATGGAAGAGAAAGGAAAAGGGGAATGAGACAGTGTTATATACTGGCTGGCCATGAGCTGTTGAGGTCACCACCCCTAAGGTGCTCCCACGTGAGCGAGTCATATGAAAGCAGAGCCTCAGCCAACGCTCGTGAAAGAGGGTAGTGAAGCCGGCGACACCCATACCTGGCGACCAAGTGAAGGATCGGACGCAAGTGAAGCGTCCAGTCAGTTCAGAGGAGAATGAAAATGTTAGATGGAAGTTTGCCAGGTGAAGTGAAGTCGGTCGAGCGTCACTCCTTCCCTTTGAAGCTGGCGCTCGTGCTGTACCTTTTGGCACGTCTGCCTTACCTTCAACCTCACAACATTACCAAACTGAAGACTTTCAACCTTCTAAACTACGCTCACCTAGCATCGTCGAAGTGTACGCAAGCAAGATGTCGTACGGCAGGATCCCCATCATCACCCTCAACAACGAGACTGCGGTCATTCGCCGTGACAGCGCCAGCCCGCGCACACCACCCGTAAGCTCACTGACTGAACGCTGCACATAATATTTACTGACACTAGCCAGGGCGGCTCAGCACAAGATCCATTAATCCTTCAGGAGGCCGTCGAGGGCCTCATTCGGAAAGTCCAACAGGTCAAAGGCGAATGTGAAGACCTGAGGGCGGAGAACTTAGAGCTGCGCGCGAACGTCAATGCCTTGCGACGAGATGCAAATGGCGACGGCAGAAAGGTCAACGACTCAGTGAACGGCACCAGCAACCTCGCCGGCTACGCTTCTTCGGATTTCTCCTCGAATTCTTCTGTGGACGCCACTGATGGTGAGGGTACGTCTGTCCTCTTCTCCAACGTCGCTCAACGTGCTAACGCAACCGCAGCCGACGAGCCCGATCCAGCCTTCAAGCAGGAGATGGCAAGGTTCGAAGAACGTGTAGACAAGAAGCTCCACACCATGCACCAGATCCTGGTGTTGTTGCGCGGTGGTTCTGACTCCGAAGGCGCCGAGCTCAAGAAGCTCCAGGAGACCGTCGGCGCCACTCGTGCGGATCTCGAGTTCCTGAAAAATCGGGTGGAGTATCTGGAAGGACCGTCGGCAACATATGGTGCCAAGGGGAAAGGAGCCGAAGCTGGTGGTGATGGTGGCGAGGCTGGCGCAGCTGACCCAAACATGTTGGCTGTCTTGATGGATCAGGTGGTGCAGCTTGGTGAGGATATGACAAAGCTTCGCAGTGACCTCCGTCAACAAGAGCGCCTCACCAGGGTTGCCAACGAGCGCTCGTTCAGTGACACTGAGAACAACAATGATGGAAAGCCGCGCAGCGGTGGCTCGGAGGTGGCTGACGGCTCGGAGGTGGTGAGTATCATCCTCTACCAAAGGAGGAGTAGCACACAATGGCTGACCATGACCTTTCCAGGCTGCTCTGAGGCAGGAGTTGAGGACTCTCGGACAGTGGACGCGGAGGAAGGCTCGGCAGCAGCTCAAGATTGACGAGTGCGGCATTAAGTACGAGCTCTACGTGATGTTCCATCAGATCGAGCACGACATCTTCTCACCCGAAGAGAGACGCAAGAGCCCCTTCATCGGCGACGAGGACGAGCTGTGGCGACTCAAGCTTCGCATCCTTCGCCGTCTGGCCGACTTTGAGGCGTGCGGTAGAGCTCTGGACGAGGCGAAGAAGGCGGATGTTGTGTTGTAGGATGGCACTGCGAAGGGTGCTTCTTCCGCCATGGTGGACGACTCGTTGGAGTTTGTCTTGTGCAGCACAAAGTTCCAGCGCATTGAAGGACATGTGTAGGAAGGACAGTTCATTGCTGGCTTCCTTATGCGGCCTCCTTCTCAAGGATGGTCATGGTCCAGAGGCTCAGAAGCATGTACCGCAGAACAATAGATGTAGAACAGATTGAGGACTGTGTACGCAGAAACATAATAACATGATGATGCTCTCCTCCCCCTCCCCTCTCCTTCGCCGTCAGGCCAGCCTTACCAGGCTATTTCCGGGGGTAAATTAAGCTTCTCGGGCGGCCGTTAGTGGAGCTTTCCTGAGAAGGAACGCGTGCGCTCAACTCCACCCAAGAAACATTTGGCGTGAAGTGAACACCTCAACGCTCGCTATAACAACACCTCCTTTGCAACACGTCCGACCTTCTTCATACTCACCAGATCAGCGAGCCACTACAACGAAGCGGCGTATTTCCAACCAACTCTTATCCATAGCTGGACCTAGAGAACGCGACACATCAACCTCGAATGCGGACGGTATAGGGCGTCTACATAAGATCCCGATGACGCCGCGATAAGCACTACCACAGCGACCGCATGGAGCACCCACCCCATCCATGGCCAACAATGACGACCCTGCGCACCGCCGAAACCAATCCGCCAACAACATCCCGCTCCAGGACCTCAGCCAAGAGGGCATCACATCGCAAGAGCAGGACGGCAGGCTTAATACCGGCGAGCACAGCAACCACCGGCGTACGTTTAGCGAGCGTATAGCGGAGCTGCGGCACTCGCGGAGGGACAATGCTGGGAATGCAAGTACGCGGTATGCGCCTCTGTCGGCGAGGTCGCCTAGTCCGCCTGGACAGCGGGCGCCGTTGTCGCCAGTTGCTTTCGTCACATCACCGACGGGACACCATGAGCGCATACCGGATGAGGATGACGAGCAGGCGTATTCGCCCGTGACGGACAGAGGCGCATTCCAGGCAGCGATAGGGTTCGCTGGACTCAGCTTCAATGCTGGTGGAAGCAGCTCGTCGGAGGACGAAGGGGTGGAAGAGACGCCGCCGCGGCCGTCAAGAGTGAGTCAGGTTAGCAGGCCATCGTTGCCAAGCTTGCGGACGAACAGCGAGGATATGGGGGATATGGTGTCGGTGCAGCTGGATGATGGGCCCGCGTTCTCGCCTGCTCCTGTGGGTGACGACGATGATGATACGTTGCCTCTGACGGATTCAGCACGACTACAGCCTTCGACGAGCAGAGACAGCGGGAGATTGTCAGGGCAAAATCACGACAGAAATGGAGGATTCAGCTTTGGCCGGAGTTCTGGGCTGAGCGCGCGATTCGTGGGTTCACGCGGTGGCAGTCCGAGCAATTCAAGACTAGGGGACAGTTTACATGCGCTTGAGACGGGGGAGTCTGGACTCAGCAGGTCGCCATCAAGTCGGAAACGATCGTTGTCGCCTTCTTCGACAGACTCACCACTTACACGGACGGGAACAATGCTACGCAACATGTCGCAGCGAGTGGTCAATGTGTCCAACGAACAGGTCGATTCGATTGTCTCGAGGAACATGAGGCGAAGATCAACGATGCGCCGACCATCACAATTGGTACAGCCTCCGCCAGCCATCAGCGAGACAGCAGTTACGGACTTTGCGCATACCGATGGACAAGTCTCTTCAATACATTCGCGAGGTTCGGAAAAGTCAGCATCTTCAATCATCGAACCCGAGATCCCACAACACCTCCCGCCTATAGACCGGAATCCGCTCAGAGGCAAGTCATTAGGCTTTTTCTCGCCAGAGAGCCGCTTGCGGAAGTCGTTACTACGGCTAATGGTCCATCCGTTCTTCGAACCTATCATTCTCATCCTGATCGTTATCCAAACCATCATCCTCGCTGTGGACTCAGCAGAGAACGTCTACACTAATCCACGGCCCAAGAACTGGGGTGGCCACTGGACGGATTTCGCACTGTTCGCCATCTTTGTAATATACACGGTCGAGATCGCCATCAAGATCGTGGTATCGGGCTTCATACTAAATCCGAAAGAGTACAGCACGATTGATCGGAGTGTTGGGACGCGGCAAGCTCTTGTCAACAAGGCGAATGAGCTTTTCGCGCTGCATCGACAGCCATCGAAGAGGGATGTACGGGCGAATAGGGCGGAAGTGCCGCCTTCACTGCTGCGGTCGTTCACAGCCGAGACGTTTGAGGATGTGCCCGGCGCATCACGGCAAGAGATGAAGAAGCGACTTGCAAGGCGTGCCCTTCTGCGGCATTCCTTCGGCCGGCTGGACTTCGTGGCAGTGGTGTCATTTTGGGTCGGCTTCATGCTTGGTGCCTTCGGCATCGAGAAAAGCTACCACCTCTACGTCTTCCAGATGATGTCGTGTCTGCGCATTGTCCGGTTGCTCAGCATCACATCTGGAACTTCAGTGATCCTGCGGTCGCTGAAGCGCGCCGCACCTACGCTCCTCAACGTTTCGTTCCTGATCGGTTTCTTCTGGCTCCTCTTCGCCATCGTCGGCGTGCAGAGCTTCAAAGCCAGTCTTCGGCGAACTTGCACCTGGGATGGCTCTCTCGCCTCACCGCCCTTCGACGGCAACTACACACAAGACTACATGAATGGTAACGGGGCCATCCAACACTGCGGCGGCTGGCTCGCCTCGAACGGCTCCATGATGCCATGGCTCAAATCCAACGGCAAGAACGGCACAGACACGCACAAAGGTTACGTCTGCCCACTAGGCTCCTACTGCGTGCAAGGCGACAACCCATACAACGGCACCGTGAGCTTCGACAATATCGCTAACAGCCTCGAGCTCGTGTTCATCGTCATCTCGACCAACACGTTCTCGGACATCATGTACAGCTTGATGGATACGGATTACATGGCTGCGGCGCTGTACTTTGCCGTAGGCATTGTGCTCCTGACGTTTTGGCTTATCAACTTGTTGATTGCGGTCATTACGAGTTCGTTCCAGGTCATTCGAGAGGAGAGCAGGAGCAGTGCGTTCATGGCTGCTGAGACGGAGGCAGAGGAGGAAGGGCTACACGATGATGATGACTCTGACGAGGCGTCACCGGAACGGCGAGAACCTACGCTGAAGCACCTGTACCGGAAGTCAAGGTGGTTCTGGATCGCTGTCATCACGTTTGGCCTGATCATCAACTGCTTGCGGCATGCGTCGATGGGTCCATTCTTAACGAAACTCATCTCCATGTGCGAGCTTGTCGTAACACTGATCCTGCTCGCCGAGATCGTCATTCGCTTCGCAGTCGACTGGCGAGGCTTCGTCACCGGCGGCAAGAACTGGTTCGACCTACTCCTTGCCCTCGTCACGGCAGCCATCGAGATCCCAACCATCAAGCACGCCTGGCAAGGACAAGTGTACGCCTGGTTGACCGTCTTCCAGATCCTGCGTGTCTACCGCGTGGTCCTGGCCATCCCCATCACCCGCGAGCTCATCATGCTGGTCCTGAAGCACGTATCCGGTGTGCTGAACCTCATCCTCTTCGTCTTCCTCCTCACCTTCCTCGCCGCCATCTTCGCCGCCCAGCTCTTCCGCGGCACCGTACCCTCCGAAGACCCCGCCGGCGCATCCATCTACGCCAACTTCTCCACCATCTGGAACTCCTTCCTCGGCATGTACCAAGTCCTCAGCTCCGAGAACTGGACCGACATCCTCTTCACCGTCACCTCGAGCGACGTGACTTACGGCACCGCATGGATTGGCGCCACGTTCATTATCATCTGGTTCATCTTCGGCTTCTTCATCACGCTGAACATGTTCATTGCTGTCATTCAGGAGAACTTTGACGTGAATGAAGATCAGAAGCGGATGCAGCAGGTGCGGATGATGTTGCTGCGGAAGGAGCTGGGGGAGAATCATCAGGGTACGCTGAGTTTGTCGACGATCTTCAAGCTCGGAAGGGTGAGGAGGCAAGATCCGCTAGAGTACAGTGCTGCGGCGGAAAACATGCTGTTCGAGGAGGGCTTGCTGCAGGAGTTTCTTAACGCGCAGTTCTCGCAGCCTGAGATGAATGGAGGGGCGCAGAAACCTGGTGTCAGTCAGGCGAACACGTTTGATCTGCTGAATAGGAGACAGACGATTGTGACGACGCTGTGGGGTAGGATCAAGAATCGTCTCATCGACACCGAGCCCAACCCTTTCTACACCCGGCTGCAGTTCAGCAAGCAGTACGAAGAGCTGGACTTGCCGACGCTGGCCAAGGAGTTCAAAGAAGCGACCGAGCGGCGGAAGCTGACACAGCGAGAGTACTTGCGCAAGCATCCCACGTACAACGTCTCGCTGTTCCTGTTCAAGCCGGACAACCCCGTCAGGAAAGCTTGTCAGCGGGTCGTAGGACCAGGCCGTGGCAGCGAGCGTGTGCAGGGTGTGCGGCCAAACATCACAGTCTGGTACACCTTCTCCGCCTTCATCTACCTCGCCATTGTTGCCATGGTGCTCCTGGCTTGCTACACCACACCGCTGTACCAACAGCAGTACTTCAGAGACCACCCTTACTCGCGCTACAACTGGTTCGTGTACTGCGACATTGGCTTCGCCGCCCTCTTCACCGCAGAAGCGACTCTCAAGGTCATTGCGGATGGCTTCTTCTGGACACCGAATGCCTACTTCCGGTCGTCTTGGGGCTTCATCGATGGCGTCGTGCTGCTCACGCTCTGGGTCAACGTTATAACACAGCTGTACGATCCAGGCAGTGGATCTCGCGCCGTCGGTGCATTCAAAGCACTCAGAGCACTCCGTCTGCTCAACGTCAGCGACAGCGCACGAGACACCTTCCACTCCGTCATCATCCTGGGAGGCTGGAAAGTCATCTCCGCGGCCTTCGTCTCCATTTCTCTGCTCATCCCGTTCGCCATCTACGGTCTCAACCTCTTCGCCGGGAAGATGACGTACTGCAACGAGCAGAACGGCAGCGGCAACCCCATCGACTCGCCGTTCAAACCATACAATCTGACCGACTGTGTTGGCGAGTTCTACTATTCAGCTTACAACTGGGAATTCCCTGCTCCACGACAAGTCCGCAATAGCTGGTACGACTTTGACAGCTTCGGCGGGGCGCTGTTCATGCTGTTCCAGATCGTCTCGCAAGAGGGCTGGGTGGATGTCATGTGGAGCGCTCAGTCGATCACTGGAGTCTTCACGCAGCCGGCGGACTTTGCTTCGCAGGGCAATGCCATCTTCTTCGTCATCTTCAACTTGCTTGGTGCTGTGTTCGTGCTGACGCTGTTCGTGTCTGTCTTCATGCGCAATTATACTGAGCAGACTGGTGTGGCGTTCTTGACGACGGATCAGCGGAGTTGGCTTGAGTTGCGGAAGTTGTTGCGACAGGTCGCACCCAGTAAACGGCCGAACAATCGGAAGAAGCGCGAGAGTTGGCAGGAATGGTGTTATCGGCGTGCTGTTACAAAGACTGGACGGTGGCAGAGGGCTGTGACTGCGGTGCTCGTGCTTCACTTGATCCTCCTCTGCTGCGAGTACTATCCGGAACCCTGGACGTGGGCGCGCACTAGAGACTACATCTACCTCGCCTTCACGGCGCTGTACATTGTCAACATCATCGTCCGTATCATCGGGCTGTCCTGGACCCGCTTCCGGAAGAGCGCTTGGGACGTCTACTCCGTCTTCTCGGTCGGCGGGACATTCATCACCACCGTTCTCCTCCTCTCCAACTTCAAGGAACGCTACTACTCCAACCTGCACAAACTCTTCCTGGTCTCCGTCGCACTCCTCCTGATCCCCCGCAACAACCAACTCGACCAACTCTTCAAAACCGCCGCCGCCTCGCTAACCTCCATCGCTAACCTCCTCGCAACCTGGTTCGTCCTCTTCCTCGTCTACGCCATCGCCATGACGCAAGCCTTCGGCTTGACCCGCTTCTCCTACAACGAAACCGGCAACGTCAACTTCCGCACCGTGCCCAAAGCCCTGATCCTCTTATTCCGCATGTCCGTCGGCGAGGGCTGGAACATGATCATGAACGACTTCGCGCGCGTGAAAACCCCTTACTGTACGACAGCGAGCGACTACTACAGCGGCGACTGCGGGAGCGAGGAGTGGGCGTACGCACTCTTCATCTCCTGGAATATTCTGTCCATGTACATCTTCGTTAATTTGTTCATCTCGCTCATCTACGAGAGCTTCTCGTACGTGTACCAGCGCAGCAGCGGGATGTCGATTATCAGCAGAGAAGAAATACGGCGGTTCAAGCAGGCGTGGGCGGAGTTCGATCCGAATGGGTCGGGGTATATCTCGAAGGAGATCTTTCCAAGGTTCCTGGGTGAGTTATCGGGCGTGTTCGAGATGAGGGTGTATGATGGGGATTTCTCCGTGAGGAGTCTGATTGAGGATTGCAAGCTGGCGCCGCGTCGGGCGTCGGCGCTGCCTTTGGATGGGGCGGGTGGAGGGGCGTATGAGATTGATTTAAATAAGTTGAATCGACGGTTGGAGGAGCTGCCGGTGAGGGAGATCCAGAGGCGGAGGGCGAGAATGCAGGAGTTCTACGAGGAGGTGCTGGTGTCTGCGGATCCGGACAAGGGGATCTCGTTCAATGCGCTGCTGATGATTCTGGCGCATTACAAGGTCATTGACGACAGCAAGGCATTACGACTTGAGGAGTTCCTACGACGAAAGGCCAGGCTGGTGCGGGTGAAGCAAGCCGTGCAACGAAGCACCGTCGTCGGCTTTTTCGATACAGTCTACTACCGCCTGCGCTTCAAGAAGCACATCGAGAGCCGCCACCACGCCCGCGTTACCGCCGTGCCCAACTTCGGCGTCCCAGAGATCTTCGTGCACGAAGACAGCGACAATGAAGACGTCACAACTGCAAAGCGCTTCGACGTGCCCTCCGTCGCCGTCACACCGGTCGACTACGAAGGCCCCTCCTCTGCCGCTTTCGGCACCGGACGCGCAGGAGCAAGCGGCTCCGACGCCAGCCACCTGCAGCAATCCGGCGGGTCTGTGATCCGCAACCGCAGCAACTCCATACAGAGCTCCGCGCCCTCCTCGCCATCAGCCTCCGAATCGCCCTACCTCTCTACCTCCCGCCACCGGCCCACGCCATCCTCCAGCAGCATCCAACCCGACTGGCATTTCGCCGCGGCCATGGAGAGCGCGAACCCCGCCGGTCTGTCGCCGCCCGGTAGTCCCGGGATGTTCGCGGCGGACATCGAGTCCGGCGGAAGGAATCGCGCGGGCAGTGCGGTGAGCCAGACGGAGATGTTTGGGATGTTGCAGGATAGTGCGTGGGGGCAGAGTATGCGGCGGAGCGTTACGCAGAAGAGGCGGGTTAGTGGGCGGAGGCCTTCTGCTTCTGGAGGCGGGTGAAGGATTTGGGGGTGGGACGATGATGTGGTGGACGGGGATTATGCCAGGATACGATACGAATGGAACTGAAGAGGGTATGAAGATGTTTTGGGATGGGGTAATGATGCGGCGTTACAGCGGTGTTACGGTTGATGTTGGAGGTCCTGTCTGCGACGCTCGATGTCGCGGGCGTGAAGCATAGGCCTGCGGATGTTGGTTTCATTGATTCACGCACGTCTTTCTTGTCTCTACTAGATACCCAACGTCCCTAACCTGTACAGAACCATACAGCTTCTTCCTTCCCACCTCGACAAACCGTGCGTCTTATCGCTGACCTCATTCCTCCTCGTCGATCAGTCGTCTACCAAAGATTGCGATATCCCCCAGCCGCGCGCATCAAACATTCCACATCGTCAGCAGGACATCCTCGCCAATCTATACCCCACGAATAGCGCAATCACGCTCGGCCGCTAGTGTCTCACGGCCAACACATCCTTCCTCGTTCGCTCTAGCACGCTCGCTTGAGTATCCGAAGGGTCCATTAGCACGACCTCCTGCTTGGCGATGTGTTTCACTTTCAATGCGGCTGCCGAGTCTGCTATCTTCACGACTCCTTCAAAGGTCTCGTGATGGTGTCAAGGGGGTCAGATTGCGGAGAGGGGATATTTCAAGGGACGCTGGGATCAGCGTGACGGTAGGGATGTCGCGGTGGTGGTGGTGAGGTAGGTTTGATATGTAAGTGGCTTCCATCTCGTCTCTTCTGTCTTCTTCACTCTTGCTTGTTCAAGATCATTCGACGATTGTTTTGTTCATTCTTTGCATTGACGACGTTCGTTCTCCATCCAGCCATCCCTTCTACACGTGGTTGGAAGACCGCATTCCTTTGACTACTACAATCGGGCTGGACTCGGCATTTCCCACGCTCATTTCTCTGCGAGCCATCATTTCTTGTGCCTTGCACGACAGCCATCTCTTGAAACAATACTTAAGAGTGACTTGAACGACTGGAGATCGAAAGTTCTCCAGCAATAACTACATTTACAACCAACGACTTCCACAATCTACGAACGACATACACGAACAATCCAAACATCTACGAACAATCATGACGACCGCCCGCTTCCACCCCCTCCACCCCCGCGCCTCTCTCCGCCGCCTTCGAACAACATTCACCTCATCCTCACTGTCGCCCACCACTTCCCCATCAACAACCAGCTCAACATCCCCCCTCTCAGCCGACAGGACCCCTTCATTCTCCGGCTTCACATTCTCCGACAACCTCTCCACCGTCTCCCTATCATCAGCACCCAGCCCATCATCCGCAACGTCCAGGGGACGGGTAATCCGGCGCAAGCAGAGTATGGCGGAAGTCGAGCAGGAAGAGGAGAGGAGGGCGTTTACGGAGGGCTTGGTCGGGATCGTGGAGCCCAGGCCGAGGGTGGGGATGGCTTTGGGGGGCATTGAGGAGGTGATGGAGGGGAGGGTGTGAAGCCATCTATTCGTTGAGTGGGGAGGTCTACCGTGCTGGGCTGGACTTGGGGCAGTCATGTATTTCATGGGATCGCGGGAGAGACGGCTGTGGTTGATGGACATGCGTTTGCCGACAGACGGACACAGCGGCCCAGGCAGGCAAGATGGGGGTTGGCCTCATGCTTTGAGCGCTTGGGGGACGAATGCTTGATACCCCTTACCGATGAGAGTTGAGCCTGAGCGTACGACATTTTGCTCATACGACAATTAGGGACGGCGGCTACCCCAGCTCTAGCTTTAGATATGCGGACAATGTACATCACAACTTCAATATCGTTGATCTGGTCAATTGTCCCGTCGCCGTCTTCGAAAGTGGCTGCAGCTCACCTCGTTCTGGTTTCGAGGCGCTCTTCGTGGTATGAGGGTTAGGGTTGGGGTTGTAGATTTGTAGATCTGAAGACATTCGCGCCGACAACGACGACGAGGTCGATGGAGTATCGTTTTGGAAGCTGTGGATGTTCGCCGGTATATCTGTACTATTTCGCGAACCTCGAAATCGTTTGCCTGTTCTTTATCGCCGTCGAAAGCGCGTCTCCCATGACTTGATTTCGATATCAAACGAAGTGTCGAAGTAAAGTTCAGATATCAGTTGACATTCAGTTAGAACTATAGCCACCACAGCAACATGATGTCTTGCGCGCTTGTGTGAAAATGGGAAGTTGGCAATGCCAGTGTAGACCTTGGACATGCAACATGATACTCATCGCTACGCTGCCATCCATACAAGTAGCCTTCTAACCATAGCCTCACCCGTGCGCACACCACCGCTGCTTTTGCCTCGGCGCACCGACTCCATGCGCCAGATGCTCCTCCCATGCCTCAAAACTCTGCCGCTTGTGGTCCCAGACATACAGTCTCGGGTTCAGCAAGGACCGTCATGGCTGCCCATACAAAGCCCGGGTTGGCTGGGCACTTTAAATCGCCTCTCCAATCTTCTGCAGCCCTTTGAGACTCCCCAGACTGAGAGCCAGGCCCTGCGATCGACTCCGTATCCGCATAAAGCCCGTCACTGGACCGGACGTACCCTCCTGCTCGACTGAAAGATTCGCCAATGCGTCCTCGCCTGCATCGCCGTATTAGCAAAATCCTCCGAATGGCCTCATCCGCGGCTTTGGGGGAAGGGTAAGACTCACCAAACACACTCCTAGCATACAAATTCGCGCTCAAAAACTGACACTCCCCGCTCAAACTCGCCTCGGGCGTGAGACAAGCCATATTCGTCACCTTCATCAACCCCCGCAAGAAACCCCTCAGTCCAGCACCCTCCGGCATCACCGTGTTGATATTCACCTTATTCTCCCACTCAAACTCCGTCCACATGGTGCGGAACTGCGTCTCGGTGCACTGGGCCGGCTGGATGTAGTCCATAATGTCGACGTGCACGTCGTTGAGGATGACGACATTGCTCTCGGTGCTCGAGGGGCCGTCGTAGACGACGTTGCCGAAAATGACGCCCGTGTCGGTGCTGCTGACTTTGATCGTCGCTTGGACGTTGAGGAAGTCGAGGCCGCCCAGATTCTGTGTGGTGGGGCGCTCGACGACTTTGAGGTCGCCCAGGGTGGCGAACTCGACGGAGAGGTTCTGGAGAGTGTCGCGGGTCTGGTTGACGAGCAGCACGTCGAGGATGATGTCGAACTGGTGCACCTGCACGTACGCCTCCGCATACACAGGATCCGAGAACCCAGTAAGTTGCACAACGCGGGATAGCTTGGAGGAGAGGTCTTCGGTGGTGGCGTCGCCGCCGGTGGCTTTTTCGAGGTCCATGGTGACATCCATCTCGCCGTCGACGGCATTCTTCTTGTTGAGCTGGCGGATGGAGAAGACGTCGTCGACTTGGATGGCGGATTGGGCTTTGAGGACGGCGTCTTTCTCGGCGCGCTTCTTCTCTTCGACTTGCACCATGTCGCGGAAAGCTTGCCGGGTGTCGTCGAGGAATGCAGTTTCGAGGTCTTTCTTTTGTGCGAATTCTGCGAGTGACCGCACGCAAGACATGATGCGGTCTACTGAGTCTTCGTCGATGGGCTGCTTCACGAATTGGCTTTGACCAGCGCGGATGATGGAGATCATGATCAGCATGGCCTCTGCTCGCAGAGCATTGGTTCGTGCCTCGTCGTTCGAGATCTCTGAATGTCGCATGACCAGCTTCGTGAGGGTGGAAGAGAGTACAGTCGCAAGGTAAAAGTCGCCATCGAGAATGAGCTGTCGCAAAGGAGGTTTCTGCGCGGCCTTGACAGCGTCCAGTTTCGCCTTGGCAGACGACTGGCTTGTGAGCGCACTCTCGGTCGCATACGTACCATCAGCCAAAACCTTCCTGCTTCCTGTGGGCGCAGCGGAAGGCTTCGCATGACCGTTGACCTGCTCGTTGAGTGGTGGCTCGCCATCTGGTTGCTCCTCCAGTAATCGCGCCTCAGAGGCAACAATAGGGATCTCACCAAGTGACGCTCGTATCCGCTTCCACGCCCCTTGGATGTCCTTCTCTTCGAGCGAGTACTCGCCTACAATCCACAAGCTGCCCCTATACACCTTGCCGGCTCGTACTTCGCTGAGTGTGCCAACCAATCTCTCCACGATCGACCCGCGCATCTTCGGGAAGCGCTCAACCACCTCCTTGACGAACGAAATCACATCGATGGCTGAAGCATTATTGAAGTCCGCGATGAAGTCCATGAGCAAGCCGACCACACTTTGTGCGATCTCGGAGAATTTGATGGCGCATTGGTGGATGGAGTGGATGAGGAGTGACCGGTATTCGTTGTTCTTCTCATATTGCTCGTCCACCGTCTTCGAGAGCTCCTTCTTCAAAAGCAGCACCACTTCTTCCACGTTCTTGCTGCTGACCATGTCCATTGCCAGCTCCAATGCTTTTCTTCGCACGTCCAGATCTGGGCTGGAAAGAACGCGCAGTATTTCCATCGTAAGATCGTCCAGTATGCCCTCATTCTGTTTCCGCAGCTGATTGACCCTCTCCAACACAATGAGCTTGACATTGTTGTCCGACTCTTTGATCGCCAGCTCGATGAACTTGGCCGCGGCCGCCTTCACCGCAACCGGGTTGTTTGTGAGTGCTGTGAGGGATGAGGCCGCCTCGTACACCACTGTGCTCTCTTTTGCCTCCAGCAGGTCGAAGATCAACCGCAGATACCGCGCCTTGTTCTGCTGATTCTGTACTGCGTCTTTTCGGATGAACTCCATCTCCACCAGTTGCAGCAACTCGCTTGCGTTGGGTATGCCCTCGAACACTCCGCTCAGATACTCCAGCGCCTTCTCATGGCTCACGCTCATGAGCGCGGCGAATGCATTGCGCTTACAGGTGTTGTCCGACTCCGACTCAAGGAAGTTCTGCAGCAGCTCAGGCGCATCAGGCATCAGCGCCTCAGAATGCTGAAAGATCGAAGCAATGGCGAAGACAGCATTCTTCCGCACATACGAATGTCGGTGCTCGAGGCAGGCGCGTGTTGGTGCGAGTAAAGGTTCAATGAGTTCGGGTTCCCGTAGCTTGCACAGAAATCGCAGCGTGTTCCCACGAATGTACTCGTTGGCGTGTTGTAGATCCATTCGAATGCCATTGCACACCAGAATCATCTCCTGCTTCAGCTTCCCGCTTTGATCTAGCTTGGGACATATTTCGTAGTACAGGTATAGCAGCTTCTTCAAGGGCTTGCTCTTGCTGGGCATGACAAAGCGGATGATGTGCATGAGGAGGGTGGGCATGGGGTCGCCATTGAGCATGATAGTGAGGATCCTCTTCATCGTGTCGACCTTCGACTCGTCTGTGCCCTTCTCCAGCTGGTTTCGGAGGTCCTGGAGGGAGGGTGTGTCGGAGGTGTTGTCCTGGTGCACCAGGCTGTACGAGCTCTCCAAGAAAGTCGCCATGTTGGGTGGAGTGAGGCTTGTCGCCGAGCAGGGGGTGGGTCGGTGGTGGTGGTGTTGCTCGAGTCCTCCTCCCCAGCACGGGTGTGCTCAATGGGAATCCTCCTTCCCTGAGCCTCGTGAATGCGTCACGCGGCCGGTCCGGTGAAGTCGGCAGCCAGTATCGGCGCTGTAATAAGAGGCTGCGGAGAAGGAGGGGATCAAGTTGGATGTGTCGTTAGCGAAGCATTGCAGGTGTCGTCGTCGTCGGCTCACACTCGAATCGCTCTGACAGCTGGCCATCCCCGTGTAAATTCTGGGACCGGTCTTGGCGTCTTCAAACTGCCACTTCAGCCCTACGAATACCGAGACTCCTCCACCACCACGACACGGCAAGCACATATCAGCAGCCATGTCTGCAACTACGGGCGAACCATTCTACCTAAGATATTAGTACGTCCAACGAATGCACCACTCAACCTCTCTATCTCGCCCCGTTCATCAACACTACCCGATCTTGCGATCCGTCTTCAAGCCGACTTTTGAATATGTGAACTAACACATTTCCAGCTCAGGCCACTCCGGCCGCTTCGGTCATGAGTTTCTCGGTCGGTCTCTCAATCTGTAACAACTCATATGTTGTCGTGTCTAACCATGTCCTACAGAATTCGACTTCCGCGTCGTCGGCGACGGCAGGACGGCACTGGCACGATATGCGAACAACTCCAATTACCGCAACGACTCACTCATTAGGAAAGAGAGTGAGTAGTCGTACCAATCATGGCGCTTCATCGAAGGAAGAGCCGAGCTGACGGAGTGTGCAGTGTGCGTTAGCAGTTTGATGATTCAGGAGATTAAGCGCATTATCAAGGACAGCGAGATCATGAAGTGCGCTGGCCATCTCTCTTTGCCAGTACTGGAGTGGCTGCTGACTTGCTGATCGAATTGTAGGGAAGACGACACCAAGTGGCCGCAGAAGAACAAGGACGGCCGGCAGGAACTCGAGATCAGGCTTGGAAGCGAGCACATCTCGTTCGAGGTGCGCCTTGCCAATGCCACTTTGAAGTGGATGGAAGTTGCTAACATCTTTGGTGCTTACAGACGGCGAAGATCGGGTCTTTGGTCGACGTGAACGAGAGCGAGGACCCTGAAGGCCTCCGTGTCTTCTACTATCTGGTGCAGGATCTGAAGGCGCTGGTGTTCTCGTTGATCTCGCTGCACTTCAAGGTACGTTGAACGAATTTGGGATGTTCGACAAGCTGAGCTGATTCTATCTGCTGCGGACAGATCAAGCCGATCTAGACAGAAGCATGCAAAGGTCGAAAGCCGCAGAGCATGGGAATCACCACGAGGGCACAGCGAAGGAGTCTGGCGTCTGTTTGAGTGCGCTTTAGTGCAGGCGTTCCACGTGCAGGCGTTATACGAAGCAGCGCCGAGCCGTCCCTCGCATGGGCAGAGCTTAAGCGAGACGGGGCTGCATGATCCTTCGCAAAAGCTGCAGACCTTGTCTCCGTATCAAACATAGCGGAAGAGAGTCCAACAAATGCACATCCACCTGACTTGACATCCACACCTTCAGCGTTGCCGGACCTACACGCCCAACCATGGCAGATGACAAAGCCAAAAAAAACGTCAGACAGTACATGATAGTAATCCTGGGAGACGGTGGAGTGGGCAAGACCTGCCTCACCACACGAGTAAGTCAACAAGACTCTCTTGTCGTCGATTGTACTTAGCATGTCCAGATGACTCTCAACCACTTTGTCGACCAGTATGACCCTACTCTCGAGGATACTAATCGAAAGCAATTGGTACTAGATGGACAAACCTGTCTGCTCGACATTCTAGACGTGCCAGGGCAGCAAGAGTACCGGGCTTTGGAAGAGCAGTACGTCGAATCGGGCGAATGCTTTGTGGTGGCATACAGCATCACATCCCGGCCATCATTCGATCGGATTCGATACTATCACGAAGAGATCACGCAGGTCGGATAGGCGCAATACCCCCAATCGGACGCTACATGTATCCAACGATGTCCGCCGGTGTGTATTGTGGGCAACAAATGCGACCTACACGATATGAGAGAGGTCTCTACCGAAGAAGGTGCAGCAGTCGCCAAGGAGCTCGATTGCATGTTCATCGAGACGTCGGCCAAGGACGGCACGAATGTCGAGCAGGCTTTCTGTGACCCGGTGCGTCGGCTGATAGAACTGCACAAGCAGATACTGGAGCCTCCGAAGGAAAACGAACTTGCTCCCAAGGAGACAGCTGGGGTTCGAAAGTCGTCTTTCTGGGATAAGTTACGGCGCCGCTTCTCTCATGAGCGCAACGATGACCGCTAAGGTACGGCCGACTCTTATCTATCGATTGGGAGATTGAGCCAACGACGAATGGCGTTCGGGCAGAGGGATTGCCGACTTTGGGCAATGAAAGCACCGCTCATGACTGCGGTCAAAAGTCATATCCAAGAGGCTACGTGAGGTCAATAGACAGCTTGAGGGCGATAGTACGGTCAATAGCTCCCAATCTCACGTGCTTCCTGTTCTCCCTGCTGTCGTCGAAATATAGCATATTGCTTGGCGAGCTTGGCTTCTCCAGAACTGCCCCATTCGGACGCGCACGTGACGACATCCGGGGAACGTCATTCTACTTCACTCCATCAACAAACCCCAACCATTGAGCTACCGTCCAAGCCAACAGCCAATTCACTTCTTGTCGATTCATTTGGGCGGCATTCACTTATCATGTTATACCAGTAATAGCTATCGCAACCGCAACTCCAACTCTCACCCTACCCTCACTCCCTTCACACCGAAGCAATGCCGACACCGCACGAGGACACCTTCACGACCCAGACTCCTCCACCAGAGCTTCCCTCCTCGCGCGCAAGCTTCACATCATGTCCGCCGGAAGAGGAGCGAGAGACACATGCGCCGCGCGAGCCCAGGGAAGATAGCGCGCAGCCGGCCGCAACCACCGTACCAGAGCCCATGCGCCGCGATGAGCACGTGTCCGAACAGATCGCGACCCCGGAGTCGGATGTGCAGCCTGGAACACAGACTGAGGGTGATAAGGCGGAGCATGTTGAGGACGCCGGGGTCGTAGTGGCAGGGGAGGCACCGCCGAGTCCAGTGAGCTCACCCAGAGAGATTGGGAGCGATAGCGATGTGAAGGCGGCGCAGGCTTTGGTGACCACAGAGACAAGCGCAAAGTCGCGGCGGAAAGAAGAGGAGGATGACCGGGCGCCTTTGTACCTCTACTACCCGCCAGTCGAGCGGAACAGGGTAGGTTGCACAGCATGAGGTTGCGGTCAGGGTGGAGGTGCTGACGTTCTATTCCCGTAGCTGAAGACACATTCTACGACTTCCTTTCTGCGATCCGGCAGCAAGTTCCGGGGCACACAAACATCAGACCGGCAGGTGTATGAGGTACAAGTCGAGATTAAGGATGTCGATCTCGCCGAGTCGTTCTTGTGCGGCTACCTTCGAATACAAGGTACCTTTCCTACCACACAAAGACCGCGCGACGCCTACTAACACACACCAGGCCTAACCGACGACCACCCCACTCTCACAACCTTCTTCTCCGGCGAAATCATCGGCCCCAAATACCTCTTCCGCACCGAACACGCCTCATGGAACTCGTCCGAGAAAATCGATCTGCAACACTGGGCGCGCTTCCCGGCTTTCAAACCCATGGTCAAAGCCGCCAAGGCTTCGTCCAACTACACGCTTAAGAACCACTTGGACCGCGAGCACCTGTTCATGCGCTGGAAGGAGTACTTCCTCGTGCCGGACCATCGGGTGAAGAGCATTAGTGGTGCGAGCTTTGAGGGGTTTTATTATATCTGTTTCGATCAGACGAAAGGGACGGTGAGTGGGATTTACTTCCATGCGAAGAGTGAGAAGTATCAGCAGTTGGAGTTGAGGCATGTGGATGATGGGGGGAGGATGGGGGCTGTGGAGTTTCGGTGATGGTGTGACAGGAAGGAATAAGAAGATGGCGGACTGTAGATATGGGTGAGGCTGTTCTGTGGTGTTTTTCGTGTGATTGTGATAGCGTTGTGGCGTACAATATGGGCGCGACAGCTGGCCCAGCTCGGGGTGCGCAGCAGCCCCAGATCAGAACCGAAATGATTATCTTCGTCCACCAGGACCATTATGCACTCATCAGTCTCAGCCGTGTTTTAGCACCAGAGCATTTCAGTACCCGCAGGGCTTTCCATCCTCAAACTCATGGATGAGTTGGTGAGCTCTACAGCTCGAAGACATGCTGATGGTTTAGACATAGTACCTTCTGTCCTTACGAGGATCCTTCAGACGAGGATAAGACCTTACTCGAGATGTCTGAGGTCTGATATCCAAGGTCGTCCATTCGCCAAGCAGTTCATCAACCGCTGCAATGTCTGTCGCCGTAGCTGCGCCCATAGCGTCGGTCTCGCTGCCACTGGCTTCGCTTTCCCCCGTCCGAGATCCTGACCAATGTAGTCCCCCCTTGTCGACGGCCGTGACGGGTAACCAAGTCCTCAAATTGATAGCCATCAGCAGCGATATCGTGCGCTGGGACGTGTTCGCGCTGCGGGACAAGCTATTAGCGAAGCACTCTGCTAGCTACTAAAGATAAGCTCACCATGTTAACGCTGGATGGCCCAAAGGGCCCGGACGGCCCAGCAAGCTCAGTCCTATCAATCTCAGAAGGCCCAGGAGGCCCAGGAGAAGGCCCAGAAGGCCCAGAAAGCTCCCACTTCAGTCGCGATTGGCGGAAGTAAAACCAATACACCGGTAAGATACCGCACGTCGCTATCGAAGCGAGGAGAAACCCGAGCACAACGGCCGCCCTCCAGAGACAGGTCATCAGTGATCTATACCATGGCTCAGGCTCCGCTTCTGGTATCGTGACACTGCTCTCAGGATCTGCAAAACTGGGTGCGCTAGAGGCAGGCGCTCGCGTCTTGCGCTCCAAGACGGAGTTATGCTCAAGACTCAGTGTCCGTGCATGTAGGGCCAAGGAGTGCAGTGCTTCCCGTGTCAGCTCGAAAGCATCTGGGAGATTGGCGGCCTTGTAGTTCTGCTCCTGTCGCCATTGCTCGAGAGTATGGTTGATCGCGGTTGCGAGAGCGGTGACTTCTTCGGAGCATTGATCTAGATGGTGTAGCAGGAGAGCTTTCTGGTGCTTGCCCAATGATAGCGTTTTGCTGGTGGTTGGCAGCGTAGGAGGAGTGCATTTCCGATGCTACGCGTTGCACTGTGTGGAGATGTCGCATCTTCCTGGATGTCTCGTGAGGCAGAGCCAGTCTTGTTATTTCCTGGAGGATCCACTACGGCAGCAGGACCGTCTTCATCAATCCGGGGGAGGGATAGTTCGCTGGCAGTCGAGAGAACAGGCGGCGTAGTATTTCCAATATTTTGTGTTACGTTCCGCTGCGAACTTGCATCTTCCTGGACGTGTCGCGGAGCTGGGACATTGCTGTCAGCCTCCAGAAGATTCGCTACGGCAGCAGTATCAATTCCGTTGGCAAAGTCAGGCGTGCCATCTGTCTGCGGTGCCGCTTGGCTCTGGGACTCAGCGGTAAGCTGCGACTCCTTCAGCTTCATCTTTCGCTCTGCTATCATCAGCCCCTGTATATCAACCTTCATTTCCAGAAGAGCCGCGTTGTCCTTGGCAGTCCTATCGCTCGCATAGTCAGCAGCCTGTCCACTCCCGTCCATACTTACGCAGACGTCTTACTTCGTCGAAAACGCAAGGTGAAGAACACCTAGAATGAGATTAAGAGAACTCTTAAACCGCTCCAGATGCGCCTGCAACACATCCAACTCCTTCTGCCGGAAGCTGAACATCGCCTTCGAGGCCAGGGACAACTTTCCACTCTCATTCTTCACAAAGCTCGCCGTAACAAACTTCTCAAGGTTGTCGAATGCGGTCTTGCAGCCATCGAGCGCATTCTTCGTCGATTCGAGGAGTTTGGTAGTATACAGCCGTGTCGTCTGTCCATCTTCCAAAAGTGTTCCTAATGAGTTTAGCACGACGGAGGTCAGTTCCAATTTAGCATGACGGAGGTCAGTTCCACATGGGCTGCGATGGGTTTCAGCATCTTCTCGGCTTCGCGGATGGACTTTGCGTATTCGTAAAGGGATGTGGCGAATTCGGCGCCCGTTGCTGCGAGGCCGATGTAGCCTGCTGCGATGCTAAACGGGTCTGCCATGTCTTGCGGTGAGGATCGCACTGTCTCACAATATTCTTGACGGTCGCACGATGTTGGGTCGAGAGCCATGTGATCGGAGTATCGCCAGGAGGTTGCATCGTGTTAGCTGAAAACCTACTCTTTGCTGTGGTGGTGTGATGTTGCGCCACTGCCCAAACAGTGTAGCTCTTTCGAAGAGTGGTGTGATGAGGCTCTGCAATCGCTTGTAACATCCTGGGCCGTACGACAAGCTCCTAAGAAGATGGATGGAGATGTTTGGAAGGTGTTTCTGTATGCATCGAGAGAACCGCGATTGGCCTCGATGACTTCAAGTACGGTCGAAGCGAAGACGATGCGGCAATGCTTAGCTCGTGATCGTTCAACAACCGACAGATGGCCAGCTTCCGTCTCATCACGGGCATTCCTCAGTCCTAGCAGCCAGTCGTATCTCCTCATTCCCAACATCGAATACAGAAACAACGTTCTTCAAGAAAGCCACCCCAAGAAATGCAATATCGACACCCAAGCTCGTCTCCGCACCCTCGACCGTAGAGTAACAAGAGCCGTCCCAATCGCGCCAGATCATGTCCGCACTGTTTATCGAGAACTTCTGATTGCCAATCTCAAACTTCACATCCGCGGGCGGCGTAGCATCGCAATCGACTTTGAAGTAGCCGGACTTCTTGTCGAGCTTTCCCGGGGGTTCGAAAGCGGCGTTGATGCGTGAGGCCAGCTTCGGCGGGAGCACGTTGGCCCAGTTGCCACTGTCGATGATGGCCTGGAAGGGCTTAGAACCGGTTTTGTCGTCCCAGGACACGGACTGCACGGTGACGGTCCAGAAGCTGATTTTGCGTTTGCCGTCGGTGAAGGAGCGAGGGATGGCCTTGGTCACTTCGTTCGGCACTGTGATGAAGGGGCCATGGTCGACCGGAGAAAGGGTGCCGAAGGAGAGATAGCCACCTGAGATGAATCAGCGATGTAACTATGGTTTTACCCAGGATTGAAGATTTACCCTTTCCAGTCTCTTGCCCAAGTGACCCGCGGTCCAACGCAAGAGCGTAGTATGGCTCCACTCCTCGGTCGATCATGTGCCAGAAGACAGTATTGTACGCAATGCGATTCACAAGAAGCTCGGCGCCAGACGTGGCATGATAGCTGTTCGGGTGAGCTTGTGCGAGGATCGGATGGCCTAGTCCCATGATTCCGGTGTTCACTCGGTCCCCGACGGTAGTCGAGCTGTTGATAACGCCGAAGATCTGGTTCGGGATGGTAATGTCCCCGAGTCTCATGGTCTCGCGCCCGAGCGGTCCGATGACATCTCCGTTGCCGTAATGTTCACCGAGCCAGGCATAGTCGACCGGCTTGTATGTCGACGATGGAGAGTACGTCTCGGTGCCGAAGTCACAGCCCTCTCGAGCATCTGCTCCCTTTCGGATACATTCCCAATCATCGCCAAGGACCCACAGGTCGGCGCTGCCGGTGTCGACCAGCAACTCGAAAGACTGGTCGCCCAGGGTGACTTCGGCATTGAAGGTGTTGCCATAGTAGGCGGCTTTGAGAGGCAGAACTGCTGATGTCTTACCATTTTCGTGAGCTTGAACGTGAAGAGAAGGAAGCAACCCCGAAAATGCGACTGATGCGACAGCAGTTGCGAAAGACTTTTTGATCGTAGGCATTGTAGAAAGCGAAGTGTAACGGAAGTGAAAGATGAAATCTGGCCCATCCACCAGCATACTCATGTAGCGGCCCTTCCATAGGCAGCTGCATTTGAAAAGTGGTCTCGCATTGTGAAGCCGCCTTGTCCGTTGCGTAGTCGGTCTGCGGACGACCTTAGCCACAGTGCGGACGCGACGAGCAGCGTGTGCAGTGGGTAAATCTCGAGGATTGAGGCCTCATATAGTTGAGAGCGGTCCAGTGTGTAGCGCTGGTGACACGCCGAATACGTAAAAGCTGTAATCGGTGACTCCTTGACAAAGCACTGCGCCTCCACCAATCGCTTGGCCACGAGCGCCTCATTTGAAGGACATTTTGATGTCGACCGTATTGCAGTATTCTTTGGGCGCTTTCCGTAGGCTGCTCTACATGGCGTTAACGCAGCTACTCCCTCTTCTTTGACTTGCATTCAGCTGTCGAAGAGTTTGACGTGGCGTTGAGAGATGAGCCACTTCAGCTCAAGGTCCGGATTACTTGGTGTTCGCCGTTGCAGGTGCTTCGGCATTGCGTGTTGTTGGAGACGGCGAACATACTTGGACCCTCATTTCATGGTCCAGTTGATCCAAGCTGGCCGCCGCCACAACCCAGGTCGAGAGGTGGGAGTCGAACATCTGATGCCTCGTCGGGCTGGAAGTCGATCGCCGAGGGGAGTCCCATGAAACATCCAATGCAGCCCTGCTATTCAAGGTGCCTGTTGCTGCCATAATCATGGTTTGGTCGGTAATGTTGCTGTACGATGCGGAGTGAGATTGTATTGATGGTACTGACAGCTCCTGACTGATTTCCAAAAACGCAGCCGATTTGCTCGGAAAGCCAAGGAGTTAAGCGGGAGGTCAGGGCGCTCATCGGAACATCCCTGGAGCAAATCAATATGACTTATATGCCAGGCAGTCTGTAGAAGAGAGATTTGGTCAAACAGGCCCGGATCCTCGAACAACAACAATTTGAACCCTTACCCAGATGTTTCACGTTTCTTGAACACGTGCTTCGGATGCACACCACGGGCCGGCGCCTAATGGGCCGAGTGCCGAAACGTTTCTATCTTGAGCTTTAAGTTGACCTTACCTTCGAAGTGCATTGCATTCAAAGTCAGCATGAAGTCCTGAAGGCCATTATTCTTACAATGTGGCATCGACATAAGATACAGAGAAGACAGAGCACTTCCGCGAAAGGCTCATTGGCTCATGGCAGTGTCTTCATCAATTCGACGGCTTCAGATAAGGTTTCAAGACTCAAGAGCCACAAGAACTTCAGTCCCACGACTTTTCGGGTCACCTTAGTCGCTGTGCCATCGGACACGATGCTCTACGGGCTGTGAATTGATAGACCCATCCCGATTGCCAGCATTGTGAAGGGTTTCCAAGTTTAAAATCGCACGAGCAGCGATGTTTGGCCGTCTTGAAGCTCACCGAGGGCTTCGCAGCCAAACTGCGTTCATACTTGCGGAGCCGACGTTGAGGGCAGCCAGTGGGTTTGATTTTGCACCTCTAGACCCTGCTCAAGTTTTGAGCTATGAGACACAATTGCCATCGCACCCAAGGCGTGAAGCTCGCCGAGGTATGGCGGTTTGGACGCATTGAGCTTGACCATGAGTACGGTCACCCGAAAATGTCCATCGTTGATGGTCGCTGTGTCCGCAAGGGGTTTCGTGCCGCGGCAAAGCCAGCCTCGCGCATGTCGTGCTCGTTGCCTACATTGGGCTCATTCTTGCTCGTCGTGGAAAGTCACGATCGAAGTCAAAACTCGAGCTGTCGGCGATGCGCGCGCTAGGTCCGATCGCAGGTGTTGAATTACAGTTGCGCGTGACTGCAAAACGATGCTGAAACTGGTGATGAGCTCCGGCATCGAGACAGATCGTACCATAACAACCTGTCATGTGGATTGTCCGCAAAAGCGTACCGACGTTGAAACGTCCGAAAGTAGCGTTCTTGACCGAAACGCATGTTTCGCAGCCCGGCATTGGTCCACGCTGCGTCCGCGTGCCCTCGCTGCCTCGCCGAGCCCTGAAAGCTTGCCCTGAACCAAACTTGAGCCCTCTCTTCACATCCATATCGCTGAAGCATGCTGGATGTAGAATGATTTCGCGGCCTTCGCTTGAGGCCAGCTGGCCGACGGAGGAGTGCATGAAAACCCTTCTCCCTCCCTTCTTCCTCCATCTTCCTTTCTTCACAATTCCTCCTTCGCCTTCCTCACCTTCTGGCATGGTTCGCCCTCCCCATGTCGTTCTTCCTTACTCCCTGGAGTCTTCCCCTTCTCCTCCTCTGGCATGGTCCGTCCTCCCCATGTCACTCTTCCTCACTCACCGGGACCTTGTCCCTTCTCCTCCCCTGACGCAGTTCGCCCTCCCTGCGTCGCTCTTCCTCACTCTCCGGGTTTCTGGCCCTTCTCCTCCTCTGACACGATCTGCCCTCCTCGTGTCGCTCTTCCTCACGCCCAGGGGTCTTCCCCTTCTCTTTCTCTGACACGATCTGCCCTCCTCGTGTCGCTCTTCCTCTCTCCCCGGGGTCTTCCCCTTCTCACCTCCAGCGCGGGTCGCCCTCCCTGTGTCAGGTTTGTCTCTCATCTGCTCTTTCATTTGTTTCTCCTTTGTCATCTCAACTCTCTTTTCTTCCTTCTGCTCAGGTAAGCTTGTCTCGCCATCTCTTTGGTCAAATTTCCTACCTTGACGCTCGGAGTGCACCTCAACGCTGGTGTCAAGGTGACAACGCCCCCTTCTGTCCTCGCCTTCTGGCTTGCGGCGGTCGGGTCGGCGGCCAAGACACTCCGTTTCCTTCTGTTCGTTGTCCTACCCGTTCTCATCATTCCTTCTGGCAAGACTTGATCGCTTTTTCGCCGCCATCATCTTCATCACATCACCATCCTTCCATCATCGTCCTTCCATCATCATCCTTCCATCATCGCCCTTCCATCGTCATGCTCTCCAAGCCTGCCTTCTCAGTCTCACCGTCTCACCGCCTCACCATCTCACCGTCTCACCTCTCACCTCTCACCCCTCACCTCTCACGTTCCATCTCTCCAAGGCAAGTACACCCACCTTCCCGCCGCCTCGCCTCTCTCCCCCTCACTTCCCAGTTCCCACGTCTCACCCCTTCCAGCAAGGTATGCTCCCGTCTTGTAGGACCAGTATGCTCACCTTCCCTCGATCATTTCCTTCCCTGGCGTCAGGAGTGCACCTCATCGCGGTGCCAGGGTGACAACGCAGCCTTCACGTCGACGCTCTCGTTGCGCCCGGCAAGTCGTGCTGCGGCCAAGACACTCCTGTTTGTACATAGGTCATCAATGAATTGTTTCTTCTGTGCCAACGCCGCCTCCACTGTTCTTTCAGTGATTGAAAGTGATGTGAGCTCTTGTAGATTGTGATGTTTGATGAAAAGAAAGTAATGCGTGAACATCTGTACCTGCTGTGCTTGCCTTCCCTGCCATGCCTCGCTGGCTGGAGCGCTGTTGCTGCTTGTCGATCGCTTGCCTCCGTTCACACTTGCTCCATCATTTGTAGAAACTTCGTCAGCCGTTACCTGCTGCTGGCGTCTACTGCCACGATTTCGAAGCACCAGGGCAGTTGGACGACCACGTCTTCATCGGCACTTCGGAAAGCTTCCGGGACTAGGACATGGGTGTTGCGCACAGCCATGAGCAAGAGGAGCTTCCAGTACCCGCCGTCAATGCAGGCAGTCAATGTACAAAGCAGATCATGATCTGGAGACTTGCGGACAGATTGCTAGCCTCGACCACCTTGCCACTCTTGCACTCGATACAACCAGTTCTTCACGAGGGCTTCAAAGACAGTCCGCTCGTCCACCGGCAAGGCATGCGTCTCACGATCCAGCACCGCAAACGTAGACCTCGGATAGAACTCGAGAAGCCGTAGACTGTCCCGATAGCCCGTCACTTCGTCCTGTCGACCGGACAAGATCAGCGTAGGCGCAGGAAATTTCTCACTGCCAGCATCCAGCTGCGGTGAGAGGCGGTAGCGCTTGACATCAGACCGGATGGGATTCAGGACCGCTGCATCGGACTTCAATATCGCTGCACGCACACCGCCGTCCACCTTTGACTGCAAGTTCGACAAGTACTCTGGTGTTTGGACGAGCACGTCTCCGAGGTATGTTCGGTCGGAGTGTGCCACCCCTGCCATGAGCTCCTCGTTCTCAACGAGAGCTCGGAAGGGATCCACATCACGCTTGCTGTTCTCCGGCTCAACGAGTGGGACACGCAGTAGCAGACCATCGACCTGCTGGCGATATCTGTCGGCCAGCGCGCGGGCGAGGTAGGCTCCACATGAAGATCCGATTACAAGGAATCTCGACGTTGAGATGGTCGTGTCGACGAAGTGGACCAGCCGCAGGTACATGTCGTCCAAGCTTCGAACATTTCCGGCTGGTGTTGCACCCATGCCCGGCAGGTCCACGTAGATGCGTTGGAAGCCGGAAAGCGTGGTAAATACGAGCTCGAAGTCCAGAGCTTCGCAACTGCCATCGAGTTCCCAGCCGTGGATAACAAGCACAGGGATGCCTTCTCCGACCGAGTGGGCTGAGAGGAGTGGCTCCGCCATCTTCGTATGTTCTTCCAGGTTGAGTGTCAGGAGAGCAAGGTAGTATTGATGGCTGTTGGGGAAGGCTGAGCTGAGGCACGAAGGGCGCAATTGCTACGCATTGAGCTTCAGCTCAGCTCATCCGGCTATGTATTACTCTCTCAGCGCGCGTGGACAATGCAATGCTTGGAGTCATACAGGAAGACGCACGGCATGTGAAAATTGAGAACGCGGCAAGCCGAAAGCGGCAGCTCCGCCGTCCACATCCCGACCACCGCCGACACGCTCTTGCTCTGCTCAACAAATACCTTCACCAACGATTCAAGATAAGTACGTCCTCGCTCCTACCGGTAGGTATATCATTCCTCCAATTCTTCTCTGTCTGTCCACATAACCCCCAACAACCACCAAGATGCCTCACCAAGTCTCCACCTCCTTCTCTGCGCCACCAGAAACCCACGACTTCACCGCTCTGCTCTTCGATATGGATGGGACTATCATCGACTCTACCCCAGCAATCGTCAAGTACTGGCAAGCTCTCGGCAAGGTAGGTGTTAATCCTTTCATCTCAATATTCGCCCTTGATTCAAGACTTTGCTCACCCTTCCACCTCAGGAAATAGGAGTAGACGGCGACCTCATCCTCCAAACCTCCCACGGCCGCCGAAGCGTAGACGTCCTGGCCATCCACGCTCCGCACCTCGCAACCTGGGACTACGTCTGCAAAGCCGAAGGCCGCATCCCGCTCGAGCACGGCCAGGATGCCATCGAGATCCCCGGCAGTAGAGCACTACTCGACTCCCTCGAGAAGCGAAGCGTGCCGTGGGCCATCGTCACTTCCGGCACGAAACCGCTTGTAACTGGATGGTTGAATGTGATGAAGTTGGCGTTTCCGAAGAACATGGTCACGGCCGAGGAGGTGAAGCAGGGGAAGCCGAACCCGGAGTGCTATCGCTTAGGTGCGAAACGCTTAGGTCAGGAGAACGCTGACCCGAGTCGGATTCTGGTGCTCGAGGATGCTCCGGCGGGTGTGAGGGCTGGCAAAGCCGCTGGCTTCAAGGTCGTGGCGCTGGCGACTACGCATGCGATTGAGCAGTTACGGGATGCTGGCGCTGACTGGATTGTGCGAGATATGCGCAGTGTCACGATGGCGGGTTGGAATGTGAAGGCTGGGGTGGCGAGTATTGAGATCAGGGATGCGCTTGTGGCATGAGCGGACAATATCATGGGACGGTAAAAGCATATAGATTGTACTGAGCGTTTGAGCGAGCATCTGGGTTATACTGGAGTAGAGATAGAGTAATAGAGTGTCTGCAGTGAATGTTAATGCAATTCTTCTATCGAGGACGGGTTCTCGTTGATCTCAGGCTCAGATGTTCAAGAAGTCCTGCGCGAAGTCAACCATCCCTCTTGACGCACTCGCATCACCAACGCCACCCTCCGTCACCGTCGTTATCCTACCCCCCTGCCCACTTCCACTTGCCGCACCAGCCAACAACCGCTCAATCTCCACCAATCTCCTCAACGTACCAAGCACCGCATCCCCATACTCAAAGCTCAGCACGATACAACACCGCACCGCAATCGCCGTAAGCCACTTCCTCACATCCTCATCCTCTCCATCCCGCTCTTCGTCCAACAGCGGGCCCGGGCTGGCGGTAGCCCCAGCGACTAAACTTGCGAAGAACAGGACCCCAGCGAGATGGTCCCAGCAGTTGGACGTATCGGTACGCATGAGGGCTTTGTTTAGCATGATGGGGAATGGCGTGGAGTTGTCTGGGAGGATAGCCTTGGTGGGTCTGGTTTTGGGGTCGCTGAGTGTTGCTGCTGCTTTGGAGAGAGACTGTTTGGTTGAGAGAGCGTGGGCGTAGAGCATACCGACTAGCCGGAGAGATTCGTAGGTGTATCTTTCGTTCATGACGTTGAAGTCTGTATCCCAGCCTGGAGGGAGGTCGAAGATCCTGTCGCTGAGGGACGAAACTCTGTCCTCTCCTCTACCCGAGTTAACCTCTACCCCATCGTTGTCTAAAAGGAATCGGTCGGTGAGCTTTCGCAAGAGATCAAGCAGTCGCATTGTATTGCCCTCTGACGGCAGAAAACGGTCGATTTGACAGTACCCCGTGGCACGACAGTATATTGGCGACTCCGGGAACCTCGCCATCCCATCCGGACCTCCGGTGATCTTGCTTGCTGCATAGTTCACGTAGTCGGAATGCGGCGTAGTCTCGCGCAGCGCAGCAAGCATGTACATGGTAATGGTCGATATTCGTGCAATCTGCCCGTTCACACCCAGCTTCTCAAGGCCACCTCTGTCACGGATCATCTCATGCAGACCCTCTTGATGGATCCGCATGCTCAGATCCGTACACCCCATGATTTCTGAATTTAGAACATGCAGCACAGCAATGATAGTCTCATCCGACGTCCGCGTCTCAGGATCGTTGATGCTCTCGTTAATCATAGCGATAACCGCCGTTCTTACCCGTATCCGCTTCATCAGAGATTCAGTGGCTCGCTTGTCAGGCGGTAAGAGGTTTCGTCTCATGATGTCGTCGTGCGCAGCTGAAATGCATAGGCTGCTGAGGAACGCGTGGCGAGCCTTGAGCATGGTAGGCATCCAGTGCACCGAGAGGCCTCTTGTACCAAACCGCTGACTGCAGCTGAACTTGAGCTCTTCTATGCCAAGCAATGGGTCGTCGAAGGATGGCAGAGATTCGAAGGGATCTATTCGGCTGCCAAGTCGGGTCGTGCTGTGCAGAAACGTACTGTCGTTCACACCAGCCTGGATGGAAAGGTTCTCGTATCTTGCACCAAGGCCGGGGACGAGAGGCTCTTCATCGTCAGCTTGTTGACCTGATTGAGCTGGTTTGGTCTTAGAAACGGTTATACCGCTCAGTGACTTCCGGAGTGCTTTGCGCTTCCTTTGGCCACCGTGGTCGAGCTCGAGACCGTCGTTTGAGATGCCATTGCTGTGGGTCAACTCTTGGGGTGTCAGTCGCGAATTCTGGCTTTCTGACACCCGATTCGGATTCAGAGCAGCTGTCCGTTGATGCGAGATATGTCGACGAACGCGAGAGTCCTTGCTGTCCGGCTTCTTCGATTCCTTGTCAAGGTAATCGTGCATGACGTGCTTCCGATTCTTCCTCAACTGACTCTTGTCCTTGAGCTGGCCGGGATCAGTCACGACAAAGAAGCGTAGAGCAGAATTGCTGGGACCATCTCCAGTCTTTGGAGCCTTGGTTGGCATGGGACTGGGCTGTGACTGCATCTCTAGTAGTCTTTGCGAGCCTGCCAAAGACTGCATCTTCCTCTGTCGACGCGGCCGCGGGAAGATACCAGAGGCGCTAGCCGTCAAATTAGAACCGGTGTCGATGGCTAAGGCTTCTTGCAGTACGGAGAGTGTTACGGGTTGGTCTCGGTTCCGCCTTAGCCGTCCGAATGCTGCTGAATTAATGCTATTCGCAAGGGTTGTGGCGAACAGCGCCGTCCTAGATAGAAAAGTATCCTGGCCGAGCAGGTCTTAATCCCAGCTACACAGTCTCATTCCTGACGACATTCAAGAAGGTGAGAGGAGTTTTGTCAGTCACAGCCGCGAAGTCTGCGAGTGGGCGAAGGAAGTTTGTCAGCTCAAGGACCAAGAGAGATTACCAGATACTGGCTTATAGATGCGGCCGCGTCTTGAAGTAGGAACAAGCTTTGCGAGAGTACCTAGGACAACGTTGCTTGACCGGTGGAGCGTCTATGATGCGGTGCAGTGAGAAAGGCTGAGACTCTCAGTAGCAGGACAGTACTCTACGCATTGCTTGTACCCCAGTGTGACCAACATCGCGGAGACATAGCCAAATGCAGCCAGTGTCTGCGGCAATGGCTTACTTGACACCGCTGCGCCGGTGATATGGTTAAGGTGGGGTGGGGTGGGGTGGGGTGGTGGTGGTGAGGCTGAGTCTGAAGTGTTGAGATTTTGGGGCGGATGTCACTTCTGGGCTGAAAGTTTTTTTGAATACAATGGATACCAAGTAGTCCACTTGCGTATGATTGTAGTGTGTAGTGTATGCAACAGGCCTGTAGATTTCTCTTGTCTCTGGGCGAGTAACACAAAGCGTTCAGGTCCCAAACTCGCTTCATCTCACCACGTCATGCGGAGAAGCTCGAGGTCAATAGTAAGTCAATACAATGGCCGAGGATAGCATTGCAACGTCGCTTCTATACCATTCAATTTCATATCATCGCTCCTGAAGACTGAGACACTCTGTCGAGAAGCTCTTGTTTTCAAAAGCAACCTCTCTCAAGATGGCACCCTACCCAACCAAAAACGAGATCGAACTCTTCGCCTCCTCTCTGTCAACTTCAGATCCCTCACCGTTCTTTGACCGGGTCTCGCCTAATGTCGTCTGGGATGTCATGGGCACTCATCCAGCCGCTGGCCACTTCACCTCCCTAGGTACCTTCCTCCACAACACCCCCTCCTACTTGTCACCAAGCTAACCAAACGTCTCAGAGTCCTGGAAGAAAGGCGCTCTCGGTGTAATCAACGATGTCCTCAAATCCCCGCTCCAACTCCGAGTGATCAACGTTATAGGCGGCGGCGATCAGCCATGGGCGACAGTGGAGCTGGCGGCGGACTCGGTGTGTAAGAACGGGATGGAGTATGGGCAGCGTTATGCTTGGTTGTTGCGATTCGACGAGACGGGGACTGTTGTGCAGGTAAGCCACCGATCGTTCGATGCTTTTCGCGCCCGAAAGATGGATTCTTCTCATGAAATAGCAGGCACGAGCGTACCTCGACTCGGCTCTGGTGCAGAAAGCAGTGGACTCGAACTCGTGAAGTTTGGGAGGATGGGCTGGGTCGGGTACGTCCCATCTGTAGCTGTACATATGTATACACTTCTTTCTGGCCTCCATGCGAGCCTTAGAACAAGTACGAGCGGCTCGCCAACGTACATCCCGTCGCTCAACCCAATCTTCTCGGCTTCTTACTTCTCGGTCCGCCCTGCTTCAAGCGCGTCGCATCCACCACCGCCCTTACCTTCCCCCGGACCCCTCTCCCTTCTGTTCCCAGCAGTGCCTTCGTCACCGCTTCTCGTCCTGCGCCGAAACCTCTCAGCACGACCTGTAGCTCCCGAATTTCATTCGTCATCCCCTTCTCGCCCATCTGCCGTAGCACAAACGCCGCCAGCTGGAACGCAGCATCAAAGCTTCCGCGTCCGGCCTTCTTAAACCCAATATTCCCTGTCGAAAGCGATATGAGCGTATCGACAACTTTCTTGCCTTCCGTAGCGCTCTGCTTCGTGCCGGCAACCCGTAATGATGCCGTCTCTGAAGCAGCGCGCGGAGGCTGGACGAGCGTGAGGTGGGTATTGTGCTTCGTGGCATACACGTGCAGGCGATGTGCAGCTTGCGGTCGATTGATAGCGTCAAGATTGGCAGCAGTCTCATTCGTGAGCAGGCTGTTGAAGGAAGTGTCTTCGAGGGCGTTCATGAGTTCCGAGGAAGTGCTGCTGGCGCTGCCTGGGGAGCGGCGCGCTGCCTGGTCTCTTTGGTACTGGTTCTCGGGGGAGTTGCGCAGATTGGCGTCGCGTCGATTGTGGCGTTGGGTGCCGATGCCGCTGAAGATGTCGTCGACGCTCGAGGGGCCGTCGTCCGCTAAGGGTCGGGGGGTGGTCGTGGAGAAGGGGCGGAGGGCTTGGTGTCGTAGTTTCGTTCGACATGTGTGGCAGACATAGTTCGAGATAGTTCGTATGGGCGTCTTCGAGGCCATCGTCGCTGATGTGGCTGCGCAATGGTTTGGTTGAAGTCTGGATGGTTTCGAGAGACGAAGTCGCATTCCCGAGCGCCAAGACCGGCGGCAGACCTCATGCCTTCAACAACAACAACACCTCCTAAGGGTCAGATCGACACAACAAAATCGTCCCAGAAGATCGCGTATCGGGCAATCGACTGAGCGCGACAATGCGATCGCCTCAATGTCCCACCCCAAGACCACGATAGCCCTGCCATGTACTGGCCCATTGGAGCGCCAAAAGTATACGCTCTATCAAAGCATGCTACACCGCGCTCGGCGGTAACAGAGAGCCATGATGGCGCGGAGAGCTCGGAGCCATCGGCCAGTAGCGAGGCAAAAGAGTCGATTGACACGGGAAGCGAGAGCCGGGAGAGCAGTCAATCACGATCTACAGCTACCAACGGGGAAATAGCGAGCAATGGGAACGACGTGATAGCTCGCGAGGGCTCGATACTCGACGCCAAAGTCTCACGCGGAGGGGCCATCTTTGCCACGATCACCCGCTCAAGCTTGACGATATGGCAGACCAAGCCTACGGTCGCTCTGGCCAGCGTAGTCCGGTCCTCGCGGTCGATGAAGGCATACGGCCTCAATACTGCACTTCTGCTGCGTCCTGATGCTCTTGTGGCAGTGGTACAAACCTCTGGAGGGTACATGATCAGCTATTCCCTGGCGACAGACCCGAGTGCTAGGGTATATGCAACTCAATTCCCGACGAACAGCAACCGCCATGCTCGCAAAGATAGCATAGACGGCTACAGCAGCTACCAACGTTCCAATCCCGCGGTCGCAGACGGCGGCCCTGCTGAAGGGGATGGCATCAAGGAAGTCAATGTTCGCTTCCGCATGGTCATACGGATTGATGCTGGCATCAATAAGTCCCTCGCTTTGGACAACGAGCTCATCATTGCTACTCAAAGACCTGCAGCCCTGCAGTGCATCAACTGGATCACCGACAAGCAGCGCGCGCAAACTAGCACTGAGCTTGTAAGCAAGATGAGCTGGATTGTCGAAAAGTGTTCTATCATCGAAATGGTGCACGACCGACCCATGAACTTGACCTGCTGGATCACCAGCGATGGACGAGCTTATGCGGTCCAGCGTCGCTCAGCTGCGAATGTAGATATGGACAATCCATCCAGCTTGTTTCAAGGCTTCTGCTTTCGCCATCCGGAGACAACAGAAACTGCCGCGGGCAAGGCGGCTATCAACGCGCGGTTCTCGCTTATTGCCGTTGGATGTGCTAACGGAGGTATCGATGTGTACACTGTCAAAGACTACATGGGGAACATTCCTCTCTCGCACAAGCTCACGTTATCAGTCTCTGCTGCCTCCGCTGGCGAGCCAACTTTCCTCAGCTACTCGCCGGACGGCTACTGTCTATTCGCTGGCTACGAGAAGGGCTGGGCAATGTGGAGCGTCTTCGGCAAGCCACTGTCCAACTCTTTCAATGCGGACCGATCTGTCTCCGCCGCCAATGTCGAAGAGTGGCTTCTTGGAGTCAAGTCTGGCTTTTGGACCGGCGGCGGCTGCGAGCTTGTTCTCCAAGGATTGGCCGACGATCGGCTTTGGGTTCTGGATGTAGCTCGCAACGCTCTCTCGGGTTGTTACTCTCCCTCCAGCATCTCCCGAGGTCTACTGCAATCCAGTACTGGTCTCATGCTGTACAAAGGCCACGACGTCCCCGATCTGACGGCCGTGCCGGCCGATATGGGTCTTTGGCAGACGATCCAGATCCCAGCATCTTACCTACTCAGCCAATGGCCCATCAAAAGCGCCGTGGTGTCGGCAGATGCTAAGTACATTGCTGTTGCCGGGCGCCGAGGCCTTGCACACTACAGCACTGTTTCAGCCCGCTGGCGGACCTTCGATGATCCCGAAGCGGAACAGGAGTTTGCTGTCAGAGGTGGTATGTGCTGGTACCAGCACTTTCTCATTGCTTGCGTGGAATCTGGTAGCAGTCACCAGATCCGCGTGTACTTTCGTGAGAAGTCACTGAGTTACTCCAACATCCAGTTTTCAGAGGAACTGTCTGCGCCGGCCATCTTCCTTACGATCAGCAGCACCGACTCGTTGCTGGTGTATACGTACGACAACACGCTGCTGCACTTCATCATCGTTTCGACTGCCTCGAGTGTGAAGCTCGTACAAGTGGGACAGATTGGCTTTCACGGTATCATTCGCGCTCCACCAAGAGTGAGGGCGATCAGCTGGATCTTGCCAGCAGCTCAGCTCGAGCATGGGGATCCTTCTCACGACGTCGCAACGGCCAGCGTGCTGTTCTTGGTCGATGGAAAGCTGGTCTTGCTGCAGCCGAGCACCAATGAGATGGGTGAGCTGAAGTACGATATGCGTGTCATCGCGCAGAATGTCGAGTACTACATCCTGCTCCGTGACTCCCCTCAGCATCTCCCAGGAGGTCCTGGCGAGGCCGGCTTTGCGACGACACCTGGAAGCGCTTTGGATCTCAATAACGACCTCGGCCACTCACTTCGCGACAGCCTCTGGTTCTTCGACGGCACGCACATGAATGTCTGGCCCGACGTCCAAGACGTCCTCGCCTCCGCACCTGCCGATCTAGGCCGTGACCTCCCGCCGACTGTCCGACTACCACTCGACTTCTTCCCCATCGCGCCACTGGTCGGCAAAGCTATCCTTCACGGTGTCGATGCCGAATTGGTACAACGCCGTGACGTCAACTTCTCACTCTCCCGCCTCGGGCCACGCACCTCGCTCTTCCTTCCGCAGCTTCTACGCCAACACCTCGCCGACTTCAACTCGCCAGCCGCTCTGCATCTTTCGCACTGCTATCGCCATCTGCCCTATCTCAGCCATGCACTTGAAGTCCTCCTACACGATATCCTGGACAACGAGGTCGACAACCCGCCATCGCCTCCGGAAGCAGCTCTGCTGCCTACCGCCCTCTCATTCCTCTCCAGCTTTCCAAGCTACTTGGACGTGGTGGTCAACTGCACACGCAAAACGGAGCTGCGGTCCTGGCGCACGCTCTTTGCGCAACTGCCGCCCGTCATCGAGTTGTTCGAGCAGGCGATGCGGGAAGGGCGACTGAAGACCGCGGCGGGGTACTTGCTCGTGCTGCATACGCTGGACGAGCAGCAGGATGGCGAGAAGTTCCAGGTTGCTGAGTTTGCGCGGTTACTGAGACGGGCTGTGGGTGAAGAGGAATGGGAGCTCGGGAGGGAGTTGGCGCGGTTCTTGGTGGGCATTGACGCTAGCGGTGGGACTCTGAGGAAGGCGCTTGAAGAAGCCAAGCTAGGAGAGAACATGGAAGCGGGTGAGCAGACCGCGGATGGAGTTGATAGGGAAGACTTCGCGGGAGGTCAGGGGAGAGTGTCCGATTACTTCTCCCTAAGACGCTAGGAAGTGACAGCAGCAAAAAGGCATAGCCGATAACATTAGATCAGATTATGAGTCGCCCGCCACATCACCCAGGGCGTTTCCCTTTTCGCCACAGTCTCCCACTCATCAACAGGTTTGCTCATGTCAACCAGCACCAGGTACCCGCCCATACACAACGTCCCACCACAGCAAGCAAAAATATCGCCAATGGCGAAACCAATCTTCATCTCAACAAGCGGGATCTTCTTCTTCACCTCGTCCGTCGGTACATCAGCATGCAACAGCCCAAAGTACGGCTTAAATTCCTTCTTCGCCCACGCCTGCGCCTCTTCCTCGCTAGCTGAAGTCCCATCCCGTCTACACACCGCAGCCAAACCCTGCAAATTCCCATCCTCCTTGACCGAGATACTCATCTTCCTTTCAACCGCATCATCCGCTTCCACTTCATCCAGCGTGACAACGACCTCGTTGAACTCGGCTTTGAAGTCCGGGAGTTGAAGACCATCGAGCCATTCTTGCGGCGACTTGCCACTTGCGGCTTTCTCGAGGTCGATGTCAGAGGTGAGTTCGACGTGTGGACTGACGATGTGGGATTTTTGGGAGAAGTTCCGGGGGATGGTGTCGGAGATGAGTTCTTGGAAGGCTTTTGTGAAGGGGTTGCCCGAGTGGGGGATGAGCCAGAGGGACATGGGCATCGTGAGGGCTGTAGATTTTCGGGTTGAGCCTGGGGTATGGGAGGTGCCGGTTGATGTCGGTTGGGGGTCTTTCAAGGGCCTTGGAAGTATTCCAGAGTATTGTTGTAGTTGCAAGCCTAGTCTTTCGATATTACAGAGTTTGTTTACTCTTTTCTAAATGTCGCTTCATGGAAGAAGCAGCGGGCACGGTCGGGCGGAAGGGGAGGGGAGAGGGTGGAGAGTTTGGCTGCTGGAGGACATCTGATACTGTGGCTGCGTAGCTGTGATCACGCTGTCCTGCATCCTTCGTTATACCATCAAACCTAAATGTTCCTCTCTCCTTCGACCTCAGAGTTCTTACACTGCGTTTAACACCAACGCAAAGACGTCTTTCAACTCGGAGCTTGGTGAACCACACATTGCGGCTAGTTTACCGAGCATTGAGAAGCTGTGAGGCTCGAATGCTGTTGCCTACCCAGAAATCCGATCATGGCCTTGTCCCGACTGGCCTGACCGGGGGAGTTCGACGTTATGCTGACTGGGGGGAATATCGAAGGCAATGGAGCGCTTCCGGCAGACGGGGTCGATCGACCATTGAGGAACCGCAAATAACCCCGGACGGGAGGCCTTCTCGTGACCTTTGTGATCGAGCACACTGCTCGCTTATCGCTCTTCCCAACACCGGTCCAATACCGCTACTCACCACCAGCTGGCTACACTATCGGGCTCCTCATGAACGTGCCCAACCCTGTATAGTCACTGTTGCCTCGGACAAAGACGTGGGCTGCTCCAATCCGCCCGTCCAGATCTTAGATCACATCAGTGTCAACGGGAGAGCCCACTCTGTTGCAGCAAGATTGTGACACGGAACCAGCATTACTGCTCGATTCTTACGACTGAGGAACCCCAATGGGTTGCTGACGCTGACGCGTACAATGGAATACGAGCTCATGCATACATCTACCCCGCATGGCTAAGATACGGCGGCCAACTTCGTGCTCTATGCTCGTGCAACCGGGTTGTTTGATGCAGCCCGGAACAGTGCAGCTGCAGGTTCCGCGAGTCATATCGACGAAAATATGGCTGCCTGGGACGCCTTCTCCGTCAATGGAGACAGACATCGCTTCCGAGTTCATGTCAATGGGCGAGAACAGACGACGATCCGTTGATCAACGATACTGAGCCGTCTTTTGATGTTTCAGCCATTCTTACATTGCAGAAGTCTAGGCATCAGCTTAATACTTAACGGTAGGTATCATAACATTGAACGCTTGTTCAACTTGCACATACTTCAAGTCCAAGAACAGTCGGTCCCTCGTCATCGTCGTCAAGCCATTATTCAACCGTTGTCAACAACATGCAGCACTCAACATCACTCGGCCGAGGAGTCAAGACCCTCCTAATCGGTCGCGCGATTCAATTCTTGTTCGCCATTGTCACCATTGTCCTGCTCGGCTACTGCTCAGGCATAATCACCGACCATCGCTGGTATTCCGACCCTCCGGCGAGACCAGAGTCAGTACCAATGACTTCTGCATTCTTCACGGCAGGCTTTAACGTCATATTCACAATCTTTGGAATCATTGCTGCGCTCCAGCCCGAGAAACTGCACTGGAAGGTCATGACTGTGCTCGACGGTGTCTCGCTGGGATCGGTCATTGGTGCATTGGTGGTAAGTATCCTGTCTTCAGGTACCGCTTGCCAGTCGCTAATATATGCAGTGCACCGTCTACACAGCCTCGGTGTTCGAATTCCAGAAGGGAGTTTACTGGTGGACATCCATTGCTACGTCCAGCTGCGCCGTGGCATCGACTGCGACGGTCATGGGCCTCAGTGTGTACATGCACGCTGGGAGAAACGCGAACTACAGGCGCGAGGGATGGCCGGCTGGGACACCCAAGTATATTGACGATGATGTCTATCCGGATGTGGCACGGTCGCCGGTGAGGGCCCATTCGACGATGCCTCCGTCTACTTTGGGTCGGTCGACTCTGGCGCCGCATTCAGGTTACGAGTATGCTATGAGGGACTCGAAGTGCTCTTGAACCGAATACATCCATTGCGGAGGCAGCGAGGCTGAGGTGGTCTATGTTGGTATGCTGGCTATGTGAAGAGTTGACGAGGTAATGATCGATGGCGGAGTGACTCTGGCGTGGCTGCTATTGATATGAAACACGACAATGTTGCAATGATGATACGGAAAGGATCAATGTGGCTTGAACTGGACTGGGCTGGGAGCGGCGTGAGTTGTAATCGCTCATTCATACATAATCACAACTATGCAACACTACTTTGTTTGGGTTTCGTTATCCAGCTTGTAAATTCCTGTCATGCTCACCGCCGACCTCATCTACGGGCGCCAGGGCTTGTTGTGATGAGAGAGCTGCGATTTCGTGCAGACGGCCAGCCTTCCTTATAAGCAGCCGGCCCAGCTGAGAGGATACACACACTCGAACGCCATCTTGCAGGCCACCTTCTCCAGCTCAGGGGCTTTTCTCATGATCATTGTCGACTGCATCCACTGACGCCAGGTCTGGCTGCGATGAGAGGACCAACGGGTACTTTGGAGGGAAATTGGAATCGTTATTCCTTAGGCTAGGCTCGACCGGTGAACACAATGAATGTGGTCGACGCTGTAAGCTAGCCTGGGTCGCTAATCTTTTGCTTTACGGTGCGCTGGTTTTCGGGTGGTGTTCGTGCTCAGATGCAGTCTCAAGGCCACAAGATGTCGGGTGCTACCAACCCGGCCTCTAATGTTATGCACAGCCTGGAAGGTTCGGTGCGGCGAGAACTCGTTACCAAGCGTTAGCTCCGATCAACGAAGGTGGGCTGTCGAGAAATAGCTTGATGCAAGACCATCAGCAACAACGAGTGGAGGGTGTAAAGACAAGAATGGGCACCACGAGGCGCACGGGAGACATCCCTTGGTCATTCATAAGCCTGTTAGATTTCATAGCATCGATCTGAAAAGCCCGATCATGCACAACAGCTCCTTCCTAATTTCCTCCGGCGTCCACGAGTCGTCATTCGGAACGAGGGCTGGGCCAGCAACAGATTGTCCTTTCGCGATGCGCAATGCCGATATCGCTACACTGTTGTTTACTTGGACTTGCAGGTTGTGCTTCGGTGGCGTATGGCTCGTCATCTGTAACAATTTGACTACATCAGCCCAACTGCACAATAGCATGGCCACGGTCTCAGCGTACCCTCTGCATATCCAAACGGAAGTTGGTGTCTTTGTAGATCGTGTTGTAGATCGTGTTCTGGCGTGTTGGGAAGTAACGCAGCTTCTCGGAAGGAATGTCCTCGATGAAGGCTGCGATCGCACTTGGGCTTTTCCCCATGTTGGTAGGGGTAGGGATCGGATCGTTGGCGAGCTATGTTTTGCAGCGCTGTGAAGAAACTCGGTTTCGGTCGTGGGAGTTGTGGGTATATATGCTTCAGACAATGGCTACCGTAGAACTTTTGCGAACCATGCTAATCGAGACCGTGCAACAGCCTGCCTTGTGCAGCATAATCTCAGCGCCTGCTCGTCCTGGTTCGTGCCCACAGTCTATGGTACACAGGCCACAGGCAGCAAGTGCGACAGACAAGGGGCGATGATTTCGTCCAGTCGTCAGGTTTACACCGCGTTGCCTGTGCCACTTGAGCCGTCCGAATCGCAGTGCACAGTCTCAAGTGTAGATCGTCCGGGTCTGACATCTGTGCTGAAGCCCACACCATATGCTTTCACGTCGTCTTCCCATCCTTCCAGAGCCGACCCAGAGCTGAAGTGTGGTGATGTGGTTACTCAAAGAGTCGGGTTTCCCACGCCAAGGGGTCCTCATCAGCATACCCATCAAGCCACCTCTTCATGGCTATGAAGGCCCACGGATTGTCGCAATTCAAGACTGCTTGTTCCAGGTTGCATTTGAGGACACTTCCTTGATGTATCTCTGTCCACTTTGGGCACAATCGTTGCATTTCTTGCCAAAAGATCTCGCGAAGTTGTCCCCGTTCGTACTTTAGAAGGTCCTCCTAGTACAGGTCCCCTATTCCATACTCCTCGATATCCGGTTTCCTGTGCTGGATTGTGCCGGTGAGAAGTTGAGGGTATTGGCATGCACGCAACAGAGGTAGAGCAGAGACACACTCCCAGTCCACAACGGCGATCGGATCTCCAGCATCGTTGATCAGGATGTTGTTCGTGGATAGGTCATTGTGGACGATGATTGACTGCTCATTGTCTTCTGGTGGAATTATGGACGGCAATATGTGAACCAGTTGTGCTGCGATCGACTTTGAGTCCTCAGCATCCTCCATGGCGTCTTTGTCCTTTGTCGTAGCGAGTATCTTCGCCTTTTCTTCAATCACCAGACTGAGTCGAGTCAGCAACCATTCATAGCTGTTCTTGAAAGGGCCACGTGCGAGTCGCTGATGTCCTCTGTCGCCCCAAAAGAATGCGACTTCCACCATGGCGCCTAAAGCGTAGCGTGCCGACTCTGACTAAGGTTGTAAATTCCCAATGCTAGAGAATCGGTAGTCGAAGAGTTGCGCCTGGTAATGTGCGAGCTTTCTGACAATCTCCGCCTTCTTCGACATGGGTATGTCTCGCCATCCCGACTCGAGCGGCCGTCCTCGTACATACTCCATGAGAACCCATTCAAAACCAAGAATGTTCTGATTGGAACAGTCAAAGGCGAGGGTGTTCGGGAGCGGCATGTCTGTTTCCTGGCGGACAAACTCTATTGTGGCGACCTCGCTGGCAGTCTTCAGACCCGGGTCGACTGGCAACGCGATACGCATCAGGCGGGTTCCGTGGGACGTCTCGAGTCTGTAGAGCTTTTGAATCGGCCCTCGCTGAAGAAGAAACAGCGCAGGCATCCGTCGCTGTCAGATGCAAGTGCTTTCTCGACAGTGACTCGATAGCATGTGTGTCTGGCTCGACTGCCCACTGAGGCTCTAAGCCAAAGACCTCATCCACCCAAATGAGACCGTGCTGTAGCGCAACATGTTTGCACCTCCCACTAGTTCGGCTGCCCCAGAGGGTCTTGACGGCTTTGACCAGGTCTCTCCATCTCGGACAGCGCTGGCGCAAGTATGCGACAAAACGGCTGCACGACATGCCCATTATGGTTCCCCGAGAATCTTGCCGGATGCGCAAAGCGTGGATGGAGTTGAGCCGGTTCGCCGCTATCTCTGAAGAGCTGGCAGTCGACGTTCTAGCAGTGGCAGTCTCCGTTATCCAGGTTCAACCAAGGTGTACTCAGAAGCAGCTAAGTAGGCTTTGGGTCAGCGGAGAAGAGGTCACAGCACGCCTCAGAGAGGTGATCACTTCCTCGAAATTGTGTTGAGTCCACGGGTTGCACGAGCTGTGGCTCATCATCGCTCATGTGCAATCATGATGAGTCGTTCCACTGCATCACACGTGCGACGTTCCACCAACCAATCTTTCGCGAGTTTGTGATTGGATCTCGTTTCCGATGCCTCGACAATTCGTTATCGTGAGGCTGCGAGGCTTCACGGCTGTACCAACGTGGCTTCAGCAGAAAGTTCCACAATGTTTGGCAATCGTCTCCAGTACAGATTGCTTCCAAAAAGCCTTCATCGCTCTCTTTGCCTGGTTGTCATGATCTGTGAGGAAGACCCATGCACGGCTCACTCTCGGCTCGTGAGAGGCGGAGTTCTGACATTGCAGCAAGATCTTGCGTATTGGGCTGTAATCGGCGGATACCACGAGAAAAGCTGTCCAGCTCGGTACGCAGAATGATACGAAAAATGTTCGCGTCCGAAGCGGTCATGGTGATCGGTTCGTAGAGAAAGCCTCTTGACGTGAGGAACAGTGCTGGTCCTCATTCCCGGGGAGTGAATGCTGGGAGGAAACGATGTGCCGCCAGGAGAAGGTAGGGTTGGGTGCTCTGATAATGGCATCTCGCGTGATGTTCTTGCCCTCCATTTCCAGTTCAGTCTGCATGAAGTGCGACGGACAGACAGCATGAGGATCGCATCCTAAGGACATGGCGACCAAGATAATTTCTTGGCGCAAGATATATCGCCCGGATACATATGACATCGTCTCCAGGCTGTCCGCGAGTGTCATTGATCGATGTGGCAGTCTTCTCGATGCCCGGGTCTCCTCCATTCTTGGATGCAGTCGGCGGTGACCACGACAAGACTTCCTCAGCTGGAGAACACAATCTGCCATCGGCTCCCCTCTGGCAACTCTCACAGCTTCGTCTCCTTCTTCTTCCCCTTCCCTGGCTCCTCCACACCAAGCTTCTCCCTCCACAACGCATTGATGCCCACCCTCTCCTTCCTACTCAAACCAGCCACCGCCTCATCCCTCCTCTTCTCCCTCGCCTCCCACCGCTCCAACTCCTCTTTCAGGAACCCAGCAGTCACCTCCGCACACTCCTTCGGCTTCTCCATGCCCACCAGATGCCCGCAGTCCAGCACCGCTTCCTTCACCCGTCCCTTCTGCGCGCCGCCACTGCCACCAAAGCCGACGCCTGTCTTTTGCATCTTATCCTGCCTAGACTCCGGTGGAGAAGCCTCAGACTTGCTGCCAAAGACGAACTGTACGCTGGGTTTGATCTCGGGAAGTCGTTCGTACAGCTGTCTGCCCTCCGGCATATCGAACGGCGGATCCAAGTTCTCTGGCAACTCCTCGTCATCCTGCAACAACCGCCGATCCCGGTAGTAAGCTCTCAAGTAAAAGTACACCTCCTGCGCTACCGTCGTGGTCAAAGTAACTGGCGGCTCATCCTTGTGTGCTCCTGGAGGCAACGGGTACTGCTCCGTTGGCAAGTCCCGCAGACCGAACTCGATCCACTTCTCGAGCACACGAGGGTCCCATTTCTGGTAGAACTTGCTGCCGCGGAAAGCCTCAGCTGCTGCTTTGCGAGATGGCCAGATGTCTCGGCGGTTTGTTGAGAGTCTGGCTAGTGCTGTATGGATCTTGACGTCCGGCTGCATGATCGGATCGATAAAGACGAGGCTGTGAAGCAGTCTTGGGTGCAGGAGTGATAGATGTGCTCTGGTCACATCCTTAGCCCTTGTCCACCTGTATTAGAGCATTTCAACTCACAAATGCGAAGCCCCGACACTATGTCCCACCCCAACAATCGGATGCGGCAACTCCCTCTGGAACTGATTAATCAGAAACAGCAAATCGCGTCCATGATCCCACCAACTCTCTACCGGCCTCAAGACATCAGCGAAAAGCCACTCCTACACCAAAGTTGGGACGAGCAGGATAGACTTACGATCCGGCCCCAGAAGAGCTTCTTTCAATACACCACTCCTCCCCTGCCCAACCATATCCGCCACCCAGATGCCTCGTACGCCCTTACCTCTCTCCCTCAACTGCTCGCACAAATCTTCCCAGAAAGGCTCATAGCACTCCTTTGGGAAGCCATTGGCCTGGGCACCGATGATCGTGACGTCTCCGAACCCCGTTTCGAGTTTCCCAGAGGGCTTATTAGAGTTGGGGATGTAGCGTTTGACGTGCATCCGCACCTCATCGTCACGAGAACCGGAGGCGCGGTCGAGTGTGGCGGGGCGTTCGCGGGAATGTTGGGTTGGAACGGTGAGCTCTTCTATGCGAAAGTAGGGGGATTGATGGTGGAGGGAGCGGGTCATCTTCAAGAAGGGAGATGGCGGTTTGAACGGGCGTGGCCGGAGAATCGGAGTAAGGACTGAAGACATTGCGGCCGGCTTTTCAATGGTGCCTCGTCATTTCCTCTCGTCATCTCCAGATTTCCAGGAGCCATTCGCTGTCGACAGAGGTGATTTTCTCAACTGAGAGATGGAGCAACGAAGAGGTGAAGTCAAGCTTGGTCAAGATGGCTCAGCACCTCGGCAAATCCCAAGTCCTTTCGCGTGGACGCGTGAAGTTTTGTCGACTTCGCCAGCGTGTGCACATCATGTCAGCTACCTTATTGACAGGGATGTCTTATGTGGAGGCTTCCGTATCCATACATTCTGTCGTCTACATGCATATTCCAATGAAGGTGAGGCGTCGGTAAACACAAAGCAACGTCGATCAACAGGTCTATCCATACGACAAGGAACAAACACCTAGATACAGCGTAGAGCACAGAAAAGAAGCGACACAAGAATGCGTCGAGACGACTAGATACACCCTAAATGCACAGTCCCAACGCCACGCTATTCAGAAATCACATGCCGCTAGTAGCCAAAATGCCAACACCCCTCCCTCCCCCGAAAAGTCTCCCAATCACACCCTTCCCCCCACTCACCGCTTCCCTTCCGCCCCGAGTCCGCCCCCCTAAAACGTAACCCCATGCCTCACCCCCTCCCCCCCAGGCGTCTGCGGCGTCACCGGCGTCCTCGGCTCCCCCTCCACCCCAAGCTGCCGTCTAATCCCCAAAATCCACTCATGCTGCAGCAACTCCGCCGCGCTCGCTCGCCTCCCAGGGTCGCGCTCAAAACACCGCTTCAAGAAATCCCTGCCCTCGCTGGATAATTGCTCGTCAGTGGGCAGGTTAGGCGAGTTGCCCTGCGCGATATTATACATGATGGCGTAGTCGTTGTCTAAGCCGACCCAAGGACGGCAGCCCGTGGCCATTTCCGCGATCACGCAGCCCATTGACCACACGTCTGCGGCCCCCAAACGGGCGCTGGGGTGTTTGCCGCCTTTGATGACTTCGGGGGACATGTACATGGGCGTGCCCTGGATCGTTTCTTTCCTCCCGCGGCCGTCCGGGCCTTCGGCGACGACAGTCTTGCCCTGTTTCGCGATGACTTTGGCGGCGCCGAAGTCGACGAATTTGATGATGCCGTTGTGGTCGAGGAGGATGTTTTCGGGCTTGATGTCGCGGTGCACGACGTTGGCTTCGTGCAGGTAGCCAAGCCCTTCGAGCATTTGGAGCGCGTAGACTTGCACGACGGTCTCGTCTTCGATGCGGCCGTGTTCGAGCAGGCCGGCCAAAGAGCCGCCTGAGCAGTATTCCATGAAGATGTAGACTTTGTCGCGGTGGGGCTCGATGCCGTAGTATTGGACGACGTTGGGATGGTCGAGGACTTGGAGGACGCCCATCTCGTCCCGGATCTGTGCGACGATCGTGGGGATCATCTTGGGATCCTGCAGACGAATCTCCTTCACGGCCATGAGACCGCCGGAGTCGAGGTTGATGGCCACGTAGACAGACCCGAAAGTGCCGCCGCCGACGAACTGGCCCTGTTGCCAGCGGAGGTGGACGTTGCCGGCGTTGGCGGAGAGTTGGGTGAGAGCGCGGTCGGCTTCGTTGCTTTCTTCCAGCACTCGTCCCAAGGCCTGGCGTTCGGCTTCGCGGTCCTTGCGCGCTTGGTCGATCTTGTTGAGTTCCTCGCACCATTGGTTCTGCACGAGGCGGGAGGACTCCTCGTCGTCTTTCAGTTTGCTGACGTCCAGCCGTAACTTCCCGACCATGTTCTCCAAGCGCTGCTTCTCTGCTTGCGCGGCGACCGTGCTCCTCGCGCCCATGATGTCGAAATGGCTGATCAGCAGACTCATGCACCCGGCCACCTTCGCTCGTAGCTGCGCATACTCTTCATCAGAGATACTCAGGATGTTCTGACCCCGCGTCATCACCATCGCAAACTCCAGCGCCACCACCGCCCATCGGAACGTCTTTCGATCGCTGGCAACGCAGTCGTCGCAGATGAAACTCACCCAGTCCAATGCCAGATGCGTGAGCTTCAACTGGTGCATTACTCTGCGCTGAGCATCCATGTGGATGGCACTGCGCTGTCCAAACTCCGTGGCGAACGCAAAGCACGTCTGGATCAGCTCCTGACATTCCAAGCCTTCAGTCTGCTTTCGCACAATCTCAACAGAGTCCATGATGGTGTTGGAAAGCTTGTACGCCGTCTTGCGGATCTTGGTCAATTCCTGGTTCACGCGGGGCAAGTTGGCGCGCTGGTCCAGCAGGACGTTGAGCTCGAAGCCGCCGAGGATGTTGAGGAAAGCGGCATTGGCGTTGGCGAGACGCTGCTGGCTGCCGTCTGCTACCAGGCGTAGGCGACCCATCTTCAGGTCGAGGTGGGGTTGACGGATGTTTGAGTCCAGGCGCTGACCCTCCCACACTAGCGGGTGTTCCGGCTTGAGGATCAGAACGTAAGGATTGCTGGCGTCTTCATGCAGGCTCTCTTCCGCGTGATAGCAAGTACCGAGCATGCTCATGATGTCCTTTGGCCTGTCCTTGAGCGCCGGGCTGGCGATGACAAGTAATTTCCCTTGGTCCCTCTCTGCCGTGACCGTCGTAGCGGAGCTGGGCGTGGTTTCGATGAGGAAGTGGCCAGAGTACACCAACGACTCGATCAGCTCACTATACGAGTCGTGATCGATGTTGATGTTGTATTCCGTCGCGTTCTCGAATCGCTGACTCAGAATCCGGGAGAAACGGTAGATCTTCCTCTGCCTCACACGGACAGAGTCGAGAATAGCCTTGTACCGCTTGTCCATCTCCGCACCAGCGACTTCATCCGGCCGTCGCTGCAGTTCGCGTTCAAAAGACGCCGTCAGCCGACCCAAAGACTTGCTCGTGAGCGACGAGAACTGCTCCGCCACCTCCACATCACCGCCATCAAGATGTCTGCCCAGCTCGTTTGAGAAGTCCCACTCCTGCTCCAGAATCTCAGCCTCCTTGAATGTGTTCTTGTTCGCCATGAGCTTCCAGTTCAGCATCTTGAAGTAGAACTTCAGCGCCTCCAACACAACGCCATCGAAGGCTTCATCAATGCAAGGCGGCAGTTCCCAGCCCGGCTCCGGCTGTGCGACGAGGAGGTAGATTTCTTTGATCGTGACGGCCAGCTTGAGCAGGATTTGGAATTGCAAGATCATCTGCTCGGCCATCATGACGCCTTGCTGAGCGGGATCCTTCATCTTCTTGGCGTAGGAAAGACGCATGCGGATGATCTCCTGGATGAGGCGGGATGGGAAGTTGATGAGCGTGAGCAGTTCTTCGATGTAAGGAGGTAGATGGCGTTCGGCGAAGGCTGCGGCATTGGATATTAAAGTCTCCTTCGCCTTCGTGATGACGGTATTCACACCAGTGAGAAGGCTGTTGTCGCCCTGCAACGATTTCAGGCCGTCCTCTTTCAAGATACGGTCGATGAAGGAAGAGTCGTCGAAGAGGTTGCCTTTGGCGACATCCGCAGGTCGTTCGCGCGGTTTGGTGAAGTCCAGTTCGACGTTGCCGACCCACTTTCGCAAGATACCCAGTTCGGTGTTGATGAGCTCCGTAGTGTTGTGCCATGAGATGACGGCATCGCACATGCTCTTGTACGCCTCGGAAGCCGCTCGTGGATGTGCTTCCTCAAAAGCCTCACGCTGAGGGTACAGACCTTCGATCTTCTCAATCTTCTTGACGATTTCTTGGACCTGCTCTACTGCGCTCTTGCCCACTTCTGCTTCGCCTTTGATCTCGAAGCCGATGATAGCTTCGATAGCCGGCTTGATCTTTGACCGTCCGTCATCAATCAATCTTTTCTGTGCCGTGACTGTCCTGCCGCAAGTCTTCGCTCTCACGCCCATCCACAGCTCCGTCCGCAGAGTATTTCCGCCCTGCTGCTCCGGCCCTCCGATCAACCTCTTCTTCTCCTGTTTCACCACGTCTCCCGTCAGCACATTCGCTAGCATAGCATGCCACTCCAATCTCTCCCGGTTCGCGGGTATTTTCAGCTCTTCTATAGACGGTTCTGCATCGTCATTTCCATAGTACAGCATCACCTCCTGATCATACGGATCATTGTCGACATAGTTCGTCTGCGTCGGACTTTCCTCATCCGACTCTGAGCCAGTGCTGTAATCCAGGCTCGGCGTGCGAGGTTCGCCGTAGAAATCGTTGCCGGGCAGATCTTCCTGCCGTATTCGCTGCACGTATGCTTTCTCTTGCGCTCGATACTCCGCATTTGGATTGCGTTTATGTCTCCCCGCCGAGCCCGTTCTTTGCCGTGATGAGGTGTTGAGGGAATACTGATGCGGTCTCCGCGCTGGGGCATATGCGTTGGACGGTGTGCGGGAAGCGGCGGGTCTCGATGTTCGCGTCTGAGCGGAGTGCATCCCATTCGACGGGAGGGTGGTACTAGGCGTGGCGGCAGCCATCTCATACTGCCCCGACCCCTGTGCGCTGCGCGTACTACGCATCGAGGAGCCAGGAGTCCAGCCATAGGTCGAGATATTGGTCAACGGCGTGATCTCGTCAGTCAGCGGCGTTATCCGATCGTTCATCACCACCGTGCTGGCAGGCGTGAAGTTCCTCGAGCTGACACCACTGCTGTCGCTAAGGGCGTTGGGGTCGTCGTTGCCGTCGGTGCCGTCGACAATGTAGTCCTCGACGTCCTCGGAGCTGCCGTTGCCGGAGGAAATGCCGTAGGTCTGCATGTCGGGGCGCCCTTCGACATCGACGTCCTCCATGATGGTCTCGACGGGTTGGCCGGTGGAGAGGCCGCTGTCGGAGAGGCGGGCGCTGCGGGCGGATAGGGGAGGAGAGCCCATCTTGCTCTGCTCGACGTCGCTGAAGTTCACCAAGTTTGAGCCACTGCCCGGATTGGGCCAAGTCGTGGCTCAGGCGATGGATGCTTCCACTTCACTCTTCACTCGCCCAACCTTTCATCAATTGATCGAAGTGTTTGAAGGAGTGACTGGTGGTCTGCGGTAGTATTGGAGAGATGTTGTTAATATCACAGCAGAAGTTGGCTATAGGTAGTTGGCGCATGCGTGTCTCTTGCCGGGAAAAAAACAAGAATGGACACGCGCCTGACTGCTCTCGATCCGCGCCACAATCCACGATCCTGGTCGACCTCACTTCCACCTTGACATCCCTGCTCGCCTCTCTTCGGACAACACTTCCGGAGAGTACGTACCTATCCCTTTGCTCTACATCTACACCTTGACATGGCTGATGATGCGTCTTCTCACCGCAATGGAAGGCAACACACTGCTACGACACCGCACCTTGGTCGGCACTCGTGATCTGGTGGACCACAATGCAGCCTTCATTGTCTCCTAGGATTATGCCAGTACCCCTGGCGACCATGGACGAGTCACGAGAAGCGCTGCGACAGGATGCCCTACTTGAGGACGATGCGTTGTCTTCGTTTCGGTACTATCAACCAGCTGCCCACGGATGCCAAGGTATTTCCTTCCTGCGAAACGCTGAGAGTGCTATGTACAGACACTTTCACTGCATGCAGCACTGCTTCTCCGCCTTCGATCCTTCCCAAACTCATTCCCGTCTGACACATCGGGTCACTCTGTCCGCTGCCACTCCACGTACCGCTGCATGCCCATCTGGCCCGAAGCAAGCAGCCGCTCGAACTCCTCCTTCGCCCCCGTCTGTCCCGGTCGCAGTTTGATGCGGAGCGGCCACTTTTCGATGATCGTATGAGGCTCCTTCATCGCCACTCCGCACTGCTCTTCAATCTCCTCGAAGTCGAGCAGTTCCATGTACCTGATAACGTCAGCGTCGACACAAACCGCGGGTACCTGGATCTTGAGCTTACCGGTTGAAGTACTCATCTCCGTCCCTAACAATTCCAACAGCATTCAGCAGCGCCAAAAGGCGAGCATCGAACCGGAACGTTGGCGTGCTTGGCGGCTTCCCGTCGTACGCGAACATGCGCCGCAGCTCATCCTTGTCGCCTGTGGCCTTTGCGGTCATCTTATAGGTCTCGGTGACTGCGGTCAAGAAGAGTGTGATGAGCGTAGCATGTGGATTCTCTTGAGGTGCACGCAGAAGCGGAGTCATTAGGTGGACGGTCTGATCTGGACCAAGCTTGCGGACACCCGACATGTTGGCAACCTGTGAAATGACATCAGCGATTGAATCCGGTACAAGTACTTTGGACACGTTTACCTCGATACGATCGAAGCTGAACAAAGGCTTGATGGGCTCTGAAAGCTCAGCAGCATCATCGATGGAGTATAGCTGAAAGTGACATGCGTGGTGTCGCAGCCGAGGATGGAAGAGTGTGAGTTGGTTACGGATGAGGTGATACAACATTCCTTGAAAGTCGTTGCGAGCAGAGCCGCTGTTGCCTTGCAGGACGTCTGAGAGCAGCCAGCCGTCAACTGGATTATCGGAGGCGATCATTGGCCAGGACGGCTTCTGGAAGATGGTACTTCACGCCGGGTCAGCAGAAATCTAGGCGGGAACCATGCGACCGACTTACGGATTCGGGACGGTGAAGATCTCACGATCGTGACTAAACGGCAGCAGGATCCCATGCCTTTGCCAGTCTTCGAACACCATGCGATGCTGCGGTGGCTTCTGTAGGAATAAGTGGCGCTGCCTGTCGTCCACACGGGACCGTTCAGAAGTCACGGCTCTCCGGACATTCCTGGCCATCTGTGCATTTAAGCCGTTGGGGACATCAAGATACCGCAGCAGCATCAACCATTTCTCCCTTGGGAGCACAGCTCGCACACTGCGAGAACCCGATGACCATGGCCTCCGCACCACACTGTCCCAGACACTGTTGCCGATCCCATTGACGGCGTTTGCGACCAGTGGGCGGAATTCGCTGGAGATCTCAAGACGACAGTACAAAGCCCAAGCAATGAGACTGCGCCAACGCTCGTCCTGGCCTTCAACATGCCGGCGAGAAGCAACGCGCTGGATGTCTCAAGACGACAGTACAAAGCCCGACACCGCGAAATGTCTGAACATGCTGCTCGCCATGTCTGGAACTTGCAAGCACCATTTGATGTCTCCCATTGTGAAAGGGTATCGACAGAGCACTTTGAGCTGGTTTTCAGCAGCCTGGAAACTTGTAGACACATTCAGGTAAGGACAAGGACAGTCAGGCTACCTCCCCCTTCTTCGCACTTTCAATTGCGCAATTCTTCTCGCCATGTCTCTCACAAACCTTCCAGTGGTATCGATCTGTGCCCGTTGCGGTGGCGGGGACTGCAAGTTGGTCTGTGAGAGCTGTCTCCTTGTCCACGTACGCCGTCCTGAGCATAACTGCATGCTCGCATTCGAAAGCGCTAACAGATTTAGTACTGCACCGAAGCGTGTCAGGTCGCACACTGGCCGGTCCACGAGGAACACTGCAAAGCGGACGTCAACGAAGAGTCTTGGAGGCCGGCCTGGATGACGGAGGACCGGCAGCCGGCTTTTCAAACTCTCACTCTGCCTTCTGTCAACGCTGCGGGTGATCATTTCCTGTATGGCGAGGTGCCAGCCACCGCTACCCTGAAGACCGAAATCAACGAGGGTACAAACTACTCGAGAGACATGAACGTCCTATTCGCAGGTATGTTTGAATGCTGGTCAGTGACATCACCAGTGGTTCTAACTGACACCAGTACCTCTGTAGCCGCTGGAGATCTCAGGAACGTGGTGGCAACCTTCTGTGACCTGCCGAATGACAAAGGTCAGACCGTGACCGCAGTAGTACTGGACCGGGACGGTACGGTGATCACACGAAACCTCATCATACTGCTCGTTTTGCTCTACGTTTCCGACGAAGCGATAGCGATGGACTGCGTCATCCACATCTGGTATTCTGCCTTCCTACGCCAAAGCCATGTGGAAATCCTGCAGACCCAGATCCGCCCACTCATTGAGGACATGATCAGTCGAGTCAGGGATCGCAAGGAGAAGCCACTCCAAAAGAGAGCCTGGTTGCCGTTCAAGACCAGCTGCGTGCGGGCAATGTTGCATAAGAGCCAATGGGTTTCAGTACTGGCGCACCTCTCCGTAACAGAAGAGTTCGATATGGCCGGAGCTATCCAGATCATGAGGCAATCAAGAATCTTACCTGGGCGGAAGGACTTCATGGAACGCAGGGTGCTGATGCTACAACGGCCGCGTCGTGTTCCTTACTTGGAGTATCGTTGGCGTGGAGTCTTGCTTCCGTTCGGTCACTCTCGTGAGGCTTTCACGGTCCTCAACCCGTGAGTAGCACACGTTGCCCTCCTGGTTGCATACATTTTGCTGATAGAACAGGACATTCTTCCACAATGGCCAGTGGCGGATGGGTGACTTGTCTGATCCCATAGACGGCTGGCCGATGCCAAACCTCGAAGCAACAGCCAACGGCGACGCAGAGCACGACATTTATGGAAAGATGTATCATTTCGTGCGCGATCACTTCACGTTTCTACATCGACAGCTTCGCAACCGCAATATCAACATCGATGTCCTGTGCCAAGATGCTGCGGATTTCAAGCATTATTTGAAGCCTCCCGCATTCCCTAGGGACGCACGGTTCGACCGCATTGAGGCATGTCAGTCAATCATTGCCTAGCGCAGCGAGCACTAACCGAAATCTCTCATCCAGTTAGACTTCCAACCTCGCCGACCGTCACCTCATGGGCATCCGCCAAACTATCAAGACCTTTTCCCACCTCCTTCGCGCACCAGAAGAAAACCCGCACGCTACGCTCATTACATGTTTCCTCAATGCCGTGCTCCATTACAACGACAAAGCCCTCCTCAACGCCGAGCTCAAGCGCGCCTACGCTTACATCGGTAAAAGGGTTCCGGTGATGCGGGGAGATGGGGTATCGGAGGTGTTCATGAGAATGGCGCTGACGCACGTGCGAGATGGGGAGCGGTATTTCGGAGAGTCGGAATCTTCTGTTGATTGCCTACGTGAGCTCCTTCGCTAACGGAGACGCAGTTACATGGCCGTTCACGACTTTGATGCCATCGAGCGGGAGTCTGGGGTGGCGATGAAGGATCCACACACGGTCATTATGGAGTGGCCTTTCGGCCTGGAGAAGCGCCCTGGGGAGGAGGGTGCGAGGGAGGAATTTGAGCGGGAGGTAGGATCGAAGCGACATGGAGTCGAGAGGTTTGTGGAGTGGAAGTGGGCGGTGGGGAAGGGAAATTTGAAGAAGCAGTCCGGGAAGGAACAGTCGGGGAGGGAACAGTCGGGGGAGAAACACCTGGTGAAGAAGAAGTCAGTGCAATTTGCGAATCCGCAGATACAGAAGTAGGTGTGCAAGGACGGTCACTTCTGCACTCAGGCACTGAACACACAAACACATACCTCCTACAACCCAGCATCTTTCATCAAAATCTCATTCAACCCCTCCCGCCTCCCACACTCCTCAAACCGAAAACTCCCCGCCAGCGCATCCAACTCCTCCATACTCTTCCCCTCAAAATAACTCGCAAACTCATACGTCAGCAACTCACTCACCAACAACTCCCGCACCACCCGATGCACATGCCCCTCCAGGCCCCAATGCTGCGGATACCGTCTCCGCTGGAACTGCTCCGGAATTTCCTCCTTAAGATGCTGGATCAGCGGTTCGTAGATGTGTTTGACGCGCGTGTCGTCGCGGCCCCATTTGTCGACGCCGAGACGTTTTTTCTTCTCGAGGAAGGGGGCGAGGAGGCGCATGTAGGGGCTGGAGGGGGAGGCGTAGACCATTCCCTGGAAGCCGATGTCTTTGTAAAGCCAGATTGACCAGCTGATCTGGTCGGCTTTGTAGATGCGGAGTTGTTCGCCGAGCAGGTTGTAGCGTTCTTGGTTGATTTGTTGGTGTTCCGGTTGGTCGGGGGAGGCGTAGACGGGGCCGAATTCGCCATTCCAGATCTATGTACATTAGAATTTGAGGGATGGGGTGTGGAGGTGGGCAAATGACTTACGGGGACTTTGTGCTTCCGCATAAACTCAACTTTCCGCTCATACTGTTTGCGGAGGATCTGCTTCTGCTCGTCGGTGCCTGTGTATCGGTTGCCAGCAGGGAAACCCATGTTGCTGTAGTCGTGGATGGCGTAGACGCAATTGGGTAGAATGTCCTTGAAGCCGGAGAAGTCCATTGAGTAGGTGTTGCCGTCTAGCCAGAGGATGTGGTCGGGGTCCACAGAGCGTATGGCCTTCTCAACTCGAGCGTAGAACTCCTGAAGATTGGTGTGGTCTGGATCTGCTGGCTCGTTCATTGGATTGTAACCAGCGACCTGTGCACGTTGTTAGCTTTATCGACACATACTTTGGCAACTGCAGAATCACCAACCCATTTATGGTTCCGATAATACTTCGCAATCTCAACCCACATATTGATTGCTCGATCTTGCAAATCTCTATGCTCCCAGAACAATGCTCGATGAATGCCAGAATCCGAGTGCCACCCCTGGTTCTGGCCACCTGGGAAGGTATGCATATCGATGATCGTGTAAATGCCTTCAGCCGCACAGGCATCAACAATCCGATCAACGAAGCGGAAGCCTTCCGGTTTGATGACGCCGGGGTTGAGGTCGTCCATGAAGTGCCTATGGTTGATGGGTATTCTGGCGCAGTTCAGGCCCAATGATCGGAGGAATTTGGCATCGCTTCTGGTGAAGAAGTATTCCAGGAACTGCTCAATCGTGATTAGGAGGTGCTGCCCTGGGGGCTGTTGCTACGTCCGGTTGGCTTACCTTCTCGAAGAAGTAGTCATACTTCTCTTGCCCTAGCACCTCCAGCAAGGCTCTTCGGACTTCATGCTCGTGGCCTGGAAAGCCCGTGATGAAGTTCTCCATGTTCGTTTGTCCGCCAGTCGCACACTGCGCAAGAAGAGACCATTAACAATTATCATGTTTCTGGAAGCGATATTCATCGACTCACACCCTTGAGGATGACTTTGCTGCCATCTCCATCAACAACATCCATGCCATCAACGCGAAGGAACCCCTTCGGCTCCTGAACGTTCGCCATGTTTGCAGGCAGAACTATCTTCCTTGCTGCGGATGTTGCTATCTCTGGACCGATCTGTTGAACAGCGAGCGCGGGAAACTATCGCCGAATGCTTTAAGGCCATCTTCAAGACTTCTCCTAGCCACCGATGCCGCTGCAAACACACGACTCTCGAGAGACGTCCGGGTAAATTGGTATCCCACCCAAACAGGAAGGTCCGTTGACTCGGCACTCTCCGACGTCTCGGGTACTGCCTCCAAGAGGCTCAACTGCTTATTCTTGAGCTTGTTCTATCAAGTTTAGCCGCCCCAATCTACCCTGACCCTGTCCTTCTCCAATGCCGACCCGTGGGGGCCCTCAATCTGGACAAGTCGACGATCATCAAGATCCTCAAGCCCACATGGCGTGTCTTGGGCTGGCGACGGCGGCCTGCGGCATTAGAGGTGGGTGCTATTGCCGGACGGTGCATACCGCTGGAAGGGCGACATATATGTACGCGGAGCCGCTGCATCTCCCGGTGGCATCTTGTCCAGCTGCCCAACAATACCTCAACTGATATCGTCCGTCAATATGGCGTACGCTAAGCAGACTGATGTGGCGAGAGTGGCAGAGGAGTCTGAGGTGAAGAGGCTCCTCGCACTTGATACGGTGCCATGGTACAAGCGATCCAACCTTCGAAGGCTTTACTTATTCTTGATCCCGTCTGTGCTGGGCTGCGAGATGACATCTGGATATGATGGATCTATCATGAATGGGCTCCAAGCGGTTCAGCCGTGGCTAGATTGTAGGTCGTCTAGACATGATCAAGTTACACATAGCTAACACATTGACAGACTTCGAAAACCCGAACGGAGCATTGCTTGGTGTCATCTCGGCGGCCTTTAGTATTGGCGCAGTCATTGCTCTGCCTATTGTACCGTGGACGAACGACCGCGTCGGAAGGAAGCACAGTATCACCATAGGAAGTGCCATCATTCTGGTGGGCGTAGTTCTCCAGACTGCAGCGATCAACGTCGCCATGTTCATCGTCGCTCGACTCCTGCTGGGCATGGGTATACCATTCTGCATCTCAGGCGCCTCTCAACTAATTGCCGAGTTGACCCACCCACGCCACTCCGCCCCGATCAACGGTCTCTTCAACGAGAGCTGGTACGCTGGAGCTATCATCGCGGCTGGCGTGACGCTGGGGACGTTCAATATGCCGAACAACTGGGCCTGGCGGATCCCATCTCTGCTTCAGATTGCACCATCCCTTCTGCAGCTCACATTCATCTGGTTCATTCCTGAGTCACCGAGATGGCTCGTCTCCCGTGACAGACACGAAGAAGCTTTCGAGATCTTGGTGAAGTACCATGCTGAGGGCGACCGGGACAGCGCTCTAGTGCGAGCAGAATTTGCCGAGATCCAGGAGACTGTCAAGTTTGAGATTGAGAACTCTAAGCGTCGCTGGGTCGAGCTGGTCATGACGCCCGGTAACAGGAAGAGGACGCTCATTGCGGTCTGCGTTGGCACGTTCTCGCAGGTGAGTACTGTCCCAAAAGCACGTTGTGGAGAATTTGCTAACCCAAACATAGTGGTCTGGTAACGGCCTTGTCTCGTAAGTCTACGAAGGTATCATCCAGATCACGCGCTCTAATATTCGAACAGCTACTTTCTCGCCAAAGTCCTCGCCACAGTCGGCATCACCGATCAAGGAACCCAGAACAAGATCAACTTGAGCCTGACCTGCTGGAACCTGATCACGGGTGTCAGCTTTGCCCTCCTGACGAAGGTCCTCAAACGACGGACACAGTACCTGACAGCATTTATCGGAATGACCATTGTATTCGCATGCTGGACGGGTGCAAGCGCCAACTACGCTCAGACTGGCAATCAGCAGGCCGCTGGGGCTGTGGTGGGAATGATCTTTGTGTATTACATGTTCTATGTGAGTTTGAGGAAAGAGTATCTTGCTGGAGATACCTGCTGACTGATTGCGCAGACCATCATGCACCCACTCACCTACTTCTTCATCACTGAGGTCTTCCCGTTTGTGCACAGAGCGAAAGGTAAGTTGGATGCTGCAAAGCCATTTCATAGTCCACCTCAAATCAAGACCATGCTAATCCTTCTCCATCACAGGCGTCGGCATCACCCAGGTCTTCTCCCGCGGAGCGGGAGCTTTCAACCAATTCGTCAACCCCATCGCCATCGAAGCCATCGACTGGCACTACTACATCGTCTATGTGGTGTGGCTGGCCATTGAGAGCACCATCATCTACTTCTTGTCAGTCAAAGCTTCTTCCGCACACATTATCCCGACACGTGCTGACTTTGTTGATTCAGGTACCCTGAGACTAAAGGCCCTGCGCTTGAGGAGCTCAGCAGGCTGTTTGAAGATAGCGACCCGATGGTGAAAGGCCAGCTGGATCTGCTAGGGAGGTCGGAAGAAAAGGGCGAGGTTGCGCAGATCGAGGCTGGGCCTGGAAAGTAGAAGTGCTACATTCAAAGGCTCCAAAGTGATTCAACACGTCATTTGATACCTCACGATTTACCAATTTCAGAGAGCTACGAATGACGATACCGCAAATTCCAGATTGCCATTTGCTTCCCACTACCACGTTCCATAGAGCACAATCTGACTCCTTGTGTCTCCGCATGGACAACCTCCCACTACCTCATTTACGCGAACCACTGCGACCTTCATGAGCCGTGCACCGGAGAAACACGGCGCACTTCGCTAAGGACCGGCTGGTCGTCATGGTAAGGCTCTTGCTCCACTTCCCTAGGCGTTTCGGCGAGCCAACTGTGCTTCTTGCTGGAAACGCTGACATGCATGTGCACGTATGCCATCACGAGGGCGGAAAAGCCCGTTGCGACCGCCGCAAATGAGGCAAAAGCGATGGTGGCATACCAAAGACTCGCAGAGTGCCAGCCGAATCCGATGGCTCCCTTGATAGCACACTAAATAGCGTCAGAAGCCATCACCTCGAGAGCTGTGGAAGACGCAAACTCACCACCAAAGCACCAACACTAAGCGCGACCCCTCCACAATCAAGCGCTATCATGATCTGCCAAGCCAATTTGTCCGGTCGAGTTGCAGCAACGATACCAAGGAGACCAAAGAGCATGCTGAAGGCGGAGTTGTAAAGGCCAGAGCACATGACCATCCCGTACGGTTTCCAGGCCGTCGAAAAGCTTCCGTCAGAGGGATGAGTCCACCTTTTGAGGTTGGCACAGGCGCCGAGGAGGCACATTGTTGCTATTGTGAAGACGATTTGGGAGGCGCGGGCGAGGAGGAGGAGCTTAGTTTGGCGATCCATAGTGGTGTTCGAGGGAGCTAATCTGGACGTAGAAACGGTGCGAAGTTCGAATGTTGATGTGGTTGACGTGACTTGCTCGTGTTGTGCTGGTGGCAGAGCTGAAGTACAAATTGCTGCCTAGTCAGACTTGATATCTACGGTCCTCCTGGTGACGATTGGTTCTGAACGCTGTGCAAGAAGAGACGCCGTCTTGTTGCACATCTCATCGAGTACCTGCATGGACCTGACCTGAAACGTTCTGAAGGCAGCCGTATAATGATTCCTGCGATTGGCTGAAACGGCAGAAAGCGAGCACGATCAACAAGGTCCATAATAAGCGATGTTTAGATCATCAGCGTCGCTACGGTGATAGCAGAACGATCTGGCTGGGTTGTTGACATGTGTTCGCGCTCGTGCAGGCGGTTGATGAGAAACACAACAACTAGATTTGGCGTTGAATGACATGTAAGCAACAACACAAAAAGGTCCTTGGGTATAATCTTGTCCAGTCTCCCCGCACGCCTGCGCAAAACAGTTCCTGCATCCATCTCACGTCCACCTAGCATCCAACTTGCGGCCGCTCCTTCACCCCTACTCTCCAACACCGACAAGGTGCTCGTTCGCCGGCCACAGCTTCGGCACGCCTCTCTTGACGCCAGGCTCTCCCCAGCCTGGAATAACGTACGGCGCCTTCTTCTCCGTCGGCAGCCGAACAATCGGGAAGAACTTCGTAATAAAGTGATTCGGTCCATAGGCTTCCTCGACCAGGTAGACGGTCACGCGCCACCAAGCTGCCAACGACGACAACATCCAGAAGTAGGCCGCTGCTTTGATGCCGTTCGTCACGCCGCCTTCCAGACCGTCGCCGGAACCACTCTCGCTGCTCTGCCCGCCGTTGTAGGCAAAGAGGCAGCAGGCGATGGTGCTTCCGATGGCGAGGCTGAAGAGGCAGATGCACAGAACGAGGTCCCTTGCCGTCGATGCTAGAGCACCGGACCAGGTGAAGACTGACAGTACCACGAACCATGAGGCGAGCTCGGGGAAGTGTGTGTGGACTGAATGAGGCTCCAGCGCGCCGGCAGCGACAAAGGCGTACAAGATCCCGATAGCGATCCAGAAGGAGCCCCACATCGTGTTGCTGCAAAATTTGTCAGATCAGAACATCTCAATATAGATTTGAGCACCATACATGACAGAAACCAGTGTGTCTCTAGCGTTGAGCCCATAGATGCCGGCCACGAACTGCGCGACACCGCCGAACATGCCGATGAATGGGAAGAAGATGGTCGGAGATTCTGGGTTACCAAACCAGTCGGCGATGTAGGCTGATGTAATCCATGTTGAGCCTGCGAACCCGGCTAACCCAAGGGCAGCTGGCGGAGCGAGAGGCTGCAAGAAAATGCGAATGCCTGGACGATCAGAAGAGAGTGGCTCGTGAGCCTTCTCGGTGGGCGAAAGGCTGTGGGTGGTACGACCGTTCGTTTCCGCTGCCATAATGCTTGTTGTTCTGAAGAAGCTTGACAATGAGAAACAGAAGCGGAGGGGAAAAAGGGTACAGTTGCCCGCATACTTATCTTTCTCGACTTACATCATTGCTGATTTGCAATCATGGAAATTTGCATCAGCGATAGGTCAGTGGTGTCGGATAGCGGACGTTCGCCCGAGGAAGATGCAGACCGGTGCAGACTTTATCGGTATGCTTTGCATCATCCCCCCCACGTCGGCAAACTCAAAACTTGGCATCCTTGGCGTTACTCTCCTACCGCAACAGCAACGACGCGGGGCAATGGGGTACAGCCCTTGTCACCCTGCTGCACATCTTCGGATGCAGTTCCGACTGTGCAGTGGGGAGGCACTTCACTTGTCTGCTTTGGTGTCGCTTGGATCCGAGGGAAGAGACAGATCCTCGCCACTCTGGCCTGGAGAGATGATCAGCACTGCAACGATTGCGACAGCCATCAAACGAACTTGTCATGTCGCCAAACCAGGGATACTTGTCTTTGGAGTAGAACTCCATCGTGGGCTGCGTCTTCTCCTCCCGGATCGACCCTTCGTGCAATGCGATGAAGTCGGGCACTTTGGAGTTCTTCAAGAACATTGGGCAACCCTACGCATCACAAGCCTTGTTAGGAACGTCGAAAAGGCCCGGGTGGAGCCTTACGCAGTTGCTGCAGAAATGCCTGTACAAGACGTTGCCCGAGTCTGTCGCTGCATCCGCATACTGCTTGACGACATTCTCTCCACGGAGGAATTGTAGATTTGACTGGACAAACCGATGGTTGTGTGCGAATGCAGAGCCCGTCGCTCGTTTGCAGTTAAGGCAGTAGCACTAGTAGAGATATGTCAATAGATATCGAGCCTGGCTGCTGGCGATGGACTTGCGTGGACGGCGCTTTTGTCGACGCCGCTTACTTGTATCTCAACTGACCCGCAGTTGCATCGTGCTGACCTCGTTGTTCTTGTCTCCATGGTGGCGGTTGTATACAGACGTGAAATTGATGCCCTGGAGATTAGCCAATGTTGTCAGTAGAAGGAAGCGGTAACGGAGCTCTCCATGGCCGAGGTCCTGATGGGCACTTCGGTGCAAGGCGGCGCGTTGTATGAGGGACTGGTCACCATTGTTTGGCGTCCCCCAATGGCACCGCATCTGCTTACACCAAACGCATGGCCTTAAGATGCTGCCGTTGAGACCAGGTCTGTCAGGAATCAAGATCGAACGCGCCGACACGCGTTTGGTAGCTTAGTCATGACCCACGCTAGGACGAGTTTCTTCATTGCAACATGTTCTTCCTGACATACCCAGCCAGCATTCAACATGTTGACGCGATGGCCCAGGTCAGCATAAGGTAAGTGATGCGCCACCAATAGTCGAGACCGTTCTCTCAAATTTCGGTCAAGATACAGCTGACGTAGCTACGCCTCAAAGGAGGATCACTTCAGAGGACAGACACCCAGTCGCCCTGCTGAGCCTTATCAAGTGGCGTCTTCATGGTATCCTCAAGGGGGAACATTGCTTTCTGGTCTTCGAACCAATGCCCGCCAATGCAGAAAGGCAGTTGGGCAGAGCGAGAATTCAGGTGAGCCCGATGCTTAAGAACGGCAAGCCAAACGCAGTTGCGAGAACGACCCGGTATGGAAGAAGGCGACTACGAAGAAGTACGCAGGCCCGGGCATCAAGTGCCACATAGCATCACTCCAATGAAACAACACCAAGTCGGCCTGCGGAAACATGCTGGAGCTGGACAATGCTACGCAAGCCCGAAAATCCGGCGAGACGGAGTACCTCAGGAATCCTGCTCCACGATGGAACCGTTGTACGGCCCATCAGCTTCAATACCCGAGCTCGTCTAGTAGAGAGCCTTGAGAGTCTCGACAACATAAGCGAGGCATGTCACGGCACTTCAGTCGATGGCGAAGAATTGCGTGCTCAAGCAGACCAGATTCAAACAAGCTTGGCAGCTTTTGGCGTCAGCACTTCACGCTCACCAGCTATCCACCTCTACACTTGATCGGGTCTAGGAAAGGTGCCGTGGCTGCTCCTACTGGCAACATGCCATACCTGGTCAATTCACGCCATCGCTTCTGCAGGAGAACGCTTCCCACGACGAATCGTCTCTGAAAGATCTTATCACGCTTTCATGCAGGCTCCTCAATCACCGTGATCTCGCCCTGCTCCCTCTCGTGGCGACCATGCGATAGATCACTTCGAGAAGCCGGCAGCTCAGCATGAGGATGCCGAAGCATTCCTATAAAGCTACCGTGCCTGACCATCTCAGTCCAAAGTATCTTAAGTACCGTCCGCTTTTCTCTTTTCTCTTCTGTCCAGCCATCAAAGATCCTTCAACATGGGCGTCGCAGAGTACCATGCTTCAGAAAGCCCTCGGTCGGAGCTTGACCAGCCTTTCGATGGCAAACCTCTCAGTATGAGCGACGCGAAGCATGCGTTCGCCGAAGCTGTCATGGTCGATCCAGTACTGGCAGGCCGACGTCGATCCCAAGTTGGCACCTTCGACAACGACTCTCTCGAAGATTTCTACAAGCCCATCGGTGCCTTCGAAGGTTCACACCGCTACGACCCTTCTTTCCAGTGGGAGAAGAAGGAAGAGATTAGAGTCCGACGAAAAGTATCGTACCCTTTCTCACTCTCTGAGTTCTATACTGAACGGTCTTCCAGATCGACATGCGTATCTGCACCTTCGCCTGCCTCATGTTCTTCGCCTTGCAACTCGACCGCGGCAACATCGTCCAGGCCTTGTCAGACGGCATGCTCGACGACCTGAAGATCTCCAGCAACGACTACAACTACGGACAGACCATCTTCTATCTATGCTTCCTTTGCGCTGAGATGCCGTCACAGCTTATTTCGAAGAAGCTGGGTCCTGACAATTGGATCCCGATCCAGATGATGTCGTGGTCGCTGGTGGCTAGTATGCAGGCTTTCTTGTCAGGACGTGCTTCGTTCTGGGCTTGCCGTGCTCTGCTTGGTCTCATTGAGGGTGGTTTCATCCCGGATGTCATTTTGTGAGTGTTCCGACCTGGTGAGGTCACTGCCGTGGCGACCCTAACTTCGACCTCTGCAGATATTTGAGCTACTTTTACAAGAGCACAGAGTTACCCAAGAGACTCTCTTTCTTCTGGGTCGCCTACCAGAGCACGAACATTGTGTCAGCCGTACGTAACTCATCATAACGCTTCGCAAGGGCATGCTAACCACGTCTTCGAACATAGTTCTTGGCCTACGGCATCCTCCGCATGTGAGGCATCAATGGCCTTCCAGGCTGGGCGTGGCTGTTCGCTCTTGAAGGTACCCTGACCGGCATCATCGGCATAACCGCCTACTTCTACCTACCCCCGAGCCCATACCAGACCGCGTCGAAATTCCGTGGCAAGGACGGCTGGTTCTCCGAGCATGAAGAGAAGATCATCGCCAATCGTGTCCTGCGTGACGACCCTTCAAAGGGCGACATGCACAATCGTCAAGGCCTCTCGCTCTTAGCCTTCAAGGCAACTGCTGCGGACTACCACATGTGGCCAATCTACCTCATTGGTCTGACCTGGCTTATCCCTACGGCTCCTATGCAAGGCTACATCACTCTCAACATGACTGAAGTGGGCTTTGGAACGTTCGAAACCAATCTCCTCACCGTTCCGGCATTCGTGCTCTTCATCATCGGACTTCTGTTCTGGACATGGCTGTCAGAGAAGTTGAACGAGCGGTTCTTGCTGGCTACCGTCTCACAGATATGGGTCCTCCCGGGGCTCCTTGCGCTTGTTATCCTGTCATCTGACCGGTCGCCGTGGGCGAATTACGCACTTTCAATTGTCACTTATAGTAGGTTGCCGCAAATGATTGTGTGAACGACATTGCTGACCAGCTCAGGCATGCCCTACTTCCATGCGGTCTTTGTCGCGATCACGAGCAGAAACGCTGGAAGTGTCCGCACCAGGACTGTTGCTTCTGCGCTATACAATATGTGCGTCCAGGCTGGGAACATCATCGGAATTGACATGTAAGCACAGCGGTGGCTCTCCATGACCGGAACGGTACTGACATCCATCCTCACAGCTACCGCACCGACGATGCTCCCTATTACTACCGCGGCAACAAGATCCTGATCGCCATCGCCTGCTACAACCTGGTTTTGATGGTCGCCACGAAACTCTTCTACGTCTCCGTCAACAAGAAGCGAGCAGCGAAGTGGAATGTCATGTCGAAGGAGGCGAAGGAGCATTACCTTGCCACTACGACTGACCGTGGCAACAAGCGTCTGGACTTTAGGTTCGCTCATTAAACTACCACGTCCGGCTGACCAACTTGGAGGGAGCTGATTTCAGATTTCATGGAAGATGAAGCTAAAGTGAAAGTCAGACCAGCTGAAATACGAATGTTACGATATGTGCATATTCGACCCGATCATTTATATCGTACATGCAAGCAGCGGCCCTAGCAACTGCCCTCGCCATCGTACTTTGCTTCTCCGAGTCGCACAGGAGGGCTGATGCTTTCGACAACCGGGCAAAGCTTCGCTGCCATCACAGCAAAGCGCATGCGAGCAGTATTCCTTCCTCCATCAGCCGTACTCTGCCTCATGGTGCGGACGCTGACGCCTTGCTAAACAAAATTCCAGAACCGCCGTCTCATTTCAGCAAATCATAATGCGTAGCAAAACTCGTCTCCGTACTCTGCTGGGTCTTACAGACCATCTTCGCATCCAGCCACGCCTGCACGGCCTCTGACAAAGCCGGCCACTGTTCTCTCGTGAGAACGTACAAGTCACTGTGCTGACTCCGCGACAGATCCTGCAGCTGACGGGACAGAATCCCGACGAGCGTCATCGCCTGCAGACCACCAGTTGGACCGGAACACTCTTGTTGAGTTCCCGCGCGGATCTCAAACTTGCGGTAGCCGAGCTGGTCGAACACGAAGGGATTCATGTAATGGACGCATTCGGTACCTCGCTCAACACGTTCTCTTCGCCGAAGGAATGACGCGGCTTGAGTAGTCGAAGCGTCGTCGGTGTTGGTACGCATGACCCACCAGCCGATAGGTTCCCGAGTGGGCTTGTCGACTATGGTCCAGGTCAGAGACTGCGGCCGGATGTGGCGATACTCGAGGATGAATCTCAGGTCGTTGCTGGAGTTGCAGGTCCGGCCGTATGTTTCCTTGAACAGGCTTACGTTCTCTTCGTCCTCGAGGAGGTGGTAGAGGTTGGGAATGTGTTCGGGTTGGATGGGTATGAAGTCGAGTGTGAGGCCTTGCAGTATGATGCCAGAGTCGTCGACTGAAACTTCTGAGCCAATCGATGAATGGGGGGAGGCCATGCTTATGTGGAGAATGTCGAGACGCTGTGAGATGGTTTTAAGAAGCTCGGCAGCCTTGGTGATACTGGACAGACTACTAGTGAGTTTCTAAGCCAGCAATCAGTAGACCATGGAAATTAGGGCAATGTGATGGATCAATTGATAGCTTGACGGCGCGGTCTGATCATCTTAGCTTAGCGAAAGCGACAAGATATACACTTTACAACGGGAACGTAGCCTAAGCAAAAGCAGGTTCGTAGCCTATAGCCGTGCCAGCTATTTTGAGCATCATCTATTGAAGGTAGCGGTCTGCGGCGTCTGTTCTACGTGCTTGTGCGGATCTAACGCGGCTCAGAAGCTTGATTAGTGCATTGGTGCCACACGTGCGCGCGGCTTTGCTGCATTGCGGCACTCCATAGTGTTCTTTTACGGTTACAATATTTCGGGCTGCAGTAGTATAGTCTGCTTTGGTCGTCTTAATGGTCGTCTGCACATCTGCAGGGATGTTAAGCATGGATGTTGTTCTACTTCGGTTGCCTTCAGTTGCCTACAATTGCCTTGGCGAACAGCCATTGACGTCTTCACAACTTCGAAGGATGCGCAGGCCCGAGCACATGCTCAATGGCCCTAGCAGCTCTCTCCACAATGAATCCTGCATCCTTCTCCGTGATATTGTATGCAGGCGTGATGACCACCACGTCACCGTTCGTACCATCCGCAACTCCTCCGCCGGGGATGAGACTGACGCCAAAGTTGTTCAAACCTGCAGCATGGATCGAGGGCGCCACCTTGTCTTGGGCAGGGTAGGGTTCCTTCGTCTTCTTATCTTTCACCAGCTCGACCTTAACATCAAGTTAGCAAACATGGGAGTTGCCAAGAGCACATACGAGGACGGATGCAGATTACTTACACCCCACAGTAAGCCTCTTCCGCGGATGTTGCCAACGTTTGGATGAGCTCCAAGTCGTTCCTGTAGTAGCTGGCCCAAATACTTGCCCATTTTGGCGCAGTTGGCTACAAGATCCTCATCCTTGATCACTTGCTGTACTTCGTACGCAGCTGCGCAGGCGAGCGGATGGCCATGGTACGTCTGGAAGTGCATGAAAGCTTTCGACCCTGTCGTGAAGACGTCAACAACGGACTTGTGGACGAGAAGCGCACCAATAGCCGCGTAGCCTGCACCAAGTCCTTTGGCTACGGTTTGGAGATGACTGTAATCGATGTAGACGTCAGCAAATTCTGACGATCGAGACATTGCTGCAGAGGTATTGGATCCGACGTACGGTACGACATCTTCTTGCTCCCAGGCATGCAACGTTCCTGTACGTCCCATGCCGGCCATCACTTCGTCTAGGATGAACAGCGCCCCGTGGCGATCACATACAGCTTTCATGGCTTTCATGTAGCCTGGGACGGCGACTACTCCACCCAATGTCTGCTGAGGTCAGCATGGTCGTCCGCTTCCAATTGCCAACAGGCAAGACAGGTTAACCCACCAGACCGGCCACAGTCTCCGCCACAAAACCACAGACAGTATCTGGCCCGACTCGCTGGAACTCCTCTTCGACCTCTTGTGCCAGTCGAGCTACATACTGCTCGTCGTTCTCTCGTTCCAGCTTACCCCTATATGGGTAACATGGCGAGACGTGAGAGAACTGCTGAGACAGGATCGGCTCGAAAGGCATTCTTCGGGCTTAGGCATCGATCTATGAGCCTCCCGCATCTTCTGCGTGGTTGATTGGAGACACTTACCCTTGTGACCAGACAACGACAGCGAACCAATGGTATTACCATGATATGAGCGGTCCCTTGCAATGAATCGAGTCCGCTGTGGCTGTGGCGTGGGAAGCTCCAGATAGTACTGTCTGGCCATTTTGACAGCGGCTTCAACTGCCTCAGCCCCTGATCCCACGACGAACACTCTCTCCATCTCGCCGTTCGTTGATGCTGTAAGATATTGGCTTAGATTCTCGTAGGCCGCTGTTGAAAACCATGGCGAGAAACAGTAGGAGATCTTGTCAAGTTGGTCTGCTACTGCCTTCTTGACTCTTGCGTTGTTGTGTCCGATGCATGCCACTGCGGCACCGCCAGAAGCATCGAAGATTTGCCTGCCATCCTCGAGGTATAGATAGTTACCATTGGCGGATTCGATCTTCGGCGGGATGGCTCCAAGATTGGCATACAGCACGGAGCTTTTGGACGTCACTGGAGTCTCCATGGTGCCAACGAAAGGGTCATCCGGTGATCTGTCAAACCAAACGCAAGCAGCCAACACATAAGACGTCGTTCATCCGAGAAGAACACTTAGATATCGGACTGATAGCCATGCGGAACGGCGACTTAGTCATCAACGGAATTGGGTTTGATCGAGCTCGGGCCGAAATTGCTTATCCCAACAGCCGACTGTCTCCAAAGATGACTACATCAGGGAGACAGACCTGAAGACCAAGAGGGAACGTCGTTTGGAAGTTCGAACGCCATGAACGCAGATGTTGTAGCAACGTAACACCAACTTCGGAACATCATCACCGCGTGGACGGGTCACCCGAATGCCAGCCTCTGCACGACCCGAGATGCCACACTGTTGGTACCACCGTTCTCTGTCCAATCTTTCCTTCTAATTCGAATGGAAGACCCAAGACGACAACTCCCTCGGGATCCCAGAGTGTTTCTTCTGGGTGGATCGTGTCTCCCAGGAGTGTACCAACAGGCCGCTGAAGCTCAGCTTGTGAAGCTCAGCTTGTATCTCCTGCTTCTCCGGCAGGACTTCCTTTGGCAGCATTCGAGACTGGCTAGCCGAGCATGGCCTTCACCAACTGTACTCGGACGTGTTCGTTCAGGAAGCGCCGGAGATGGGTCCTGTATCAGTTTCCGCGCTCCCGGGTCAACAACTCTCTCGAACAACCTTCCACGCCACGCCACGAGGAGTGGTGGGTTCCAAATCACTCCACTGTTCAAGCACGTTCGCGCCTTGTCGACTCCACGATTCTGTGGCTTCCTTAGCCTCGCTAAAATGCTTGAAGCGTCTTGTGCCCGTTCGTCCCACGCTTGTTATCTTTGTCCTCGGCGCGCCTTATCACACGCTAATCCGTTTCGGGTGGTGTAGCACAGATAAGAAACATTCGCCTAGATCTCAGCGAACTCAAACAAACGGAGATACTTGGCCCTTGTAACACTCGCTTGGCCTCTGAATGGACTGCTCGAGACATTTTCGCGATATACTTTCAGCGAATCATTTCGCCTCACAGCCGAGCCAACCTCGTGGGGACACACGAGGCGTTGAGCCATGCGAGCACCCTGCGCCAGGTGGGCGCGGCCATCACGCCTGCTCGGATGTTATTAAGATGCCGTGGTCTCTCCCTCGATCTTCTGCGATCGTAGGAACCATCTCCAAAAACCAGGCAACATGTCTACTTCCTTTCCTGTGAGTCTGACGACTTAAGCTTCGACAGTCAGCGCTAATGTTGCATACAGCCGCCTCAGCCAACCTTCAACCCGTCTCACAAGGTGGGAGGGAACCCCCAGACTACCGATGTCAATGCCCAGTACTATGGCTGGGAATGGGTGAGCATTCATGCGAACAACGCCGATGTGCGGCGAACACACGGCTGACTCGGTGCTTCAGGAATATGTCTTCCAGGTCATCATGGGCTGCTTCGTCTTCCTCATCGTCCCCGGTATCGGTCTCCTCTACGGCGGCATGACCCGGCGCAAGAGTGCTCTTGCAATGATCTTCCAGTCGTTGACTGTGATGGCAATGGTAACGTTCCAATGGACTTTCTGGTATGTCATACCGCCTGATCACGGCCCGCTTGTCTCTTGTACTGACAGAAAAATCAGGGGCTTCACACTGGCCTTCTCGAGGACCGGCGGACCATTCATTGGTGACATGAGCAACTTCGGCTTGATCAACGTAAGCTCAGCAAGCGTTATCAGCGTAGTACGGGTTACTGATCAATACAGACCATGGCTGCGCCCTCGTGGGGATCGACCGTCATCCCCGACATCGTCTTCTGCTTCTACGAGCTCATGTTCGCCGCATGTGCGACTATGATCGTTGTCGGCGGCTCGTTTGAGCGCGGTCGCGTCCTTCCATCCATCATCTTCGGGTTCTGCTGGGTTACGATCTGCTACTGCCCAATCGCATACTGGACGTGGAACGCCAATGGGTATGCTGAACGCTCGATCCCACCCTCTCAAGAAGCACCCGTGCTGACTTCGACCTAGATGGCTCTACAAATTCGGCGCCCTCGATTTCGCCGGCGGCGGACCCGTCCACATATCCTCCGGCGCCGCTGCACTCGCCTATGCACTCATCCTCGGAAAGCGCAGCCGTCACGGCGAGAAACACGTCTACAAACCCCACAACGTCACCATTGTCTTCCTCGGCACCGTCCTCATCTGGTTCGGCTGGTTCGGCTTCAACGGCGGCTCCGCGCTCAACGCCAGTATCCGCGGCATGGTGGCCGTCTGGAACACCAACCTTGCTGCTTCGACGGGTGTGCTCGGGTGGTCTATCTTTCACTACTGTTTCCGCGGACGGAAGTTCTCCGTCATCGGCGCCTGCGAAGGTGCAATCGCCGGGTTGGTCGGCATCACGCCGGCTGCCGGGTTCGTGACGGTCTGGTATGCGGCGGCCATTGGCTTTATCACGGCGATCGTCATATGCTTGTTCGAGAACGTTAGCGATTGGCTCCGCATTGACGACGGGCTGGCGGTCTTCAAGCTTCATGGCATTGGTGGCATGGTCGGCGCTTTCTTGACTGGTATCTTCGCGACAGCCGAGATCAGCGCACTGGACGGCATCCCAACCATCGTGCATGGCGGCGTCGACGGCAACGGCGTGCAGATTGGCAAGCAGCTTGCTGAGATCTGCGCGATATTCGCTTGGTCGTTCGTCATGAGTGTCATCATGTTGTTGATCCTCAAGTTCATTCCGGGCATGCACCTGCGTGTCAGCGATGATGTGGAGGAGATTGGTCTGGATCTCGACCAGTTCAATGACGAGGTTGTGGGTGAGTGGGGTCTATACGACACAGAGGACGGGCATGAGAGGAGGGGCTCGATGATCCGCGGCGTTGCTGTTGCGGCTCCCGCCAGCGCTACCGTTGAGACTGGAAGCGACATGACGCCGGTCGAGGAAAACCGGGAGGAGAAGGAAATGAAATGAGATCAAAAGCACGTACTTGTCTTGCTTCGTTCGTGGTGTGCAGGGCAACTTTCAAACAGAGTGAGGGAGACGTTTTTAGCTAGATACCCAATTCTTTCGACACAAGATCACCTTACTTCCTAATTTGCTCACCACTTCTCATCGCGATGGGTACTGACGAACGCAGACCTCGTGATCCACCCCATATCCATACAATGCAAACGCCACCTGTCAAGGTCACTGCCAGTAACTCTCGATTGAATCGAAGATCTTCTGCAACTCCTCTTCCTGGATACCTTCCTTCACGCTCGCGGACAAGCGTTGGGAGATTTTCCACGACTCATATGACGGAGCATGATCACCAAAGTATCTCCTCGCCGAATCGGCCGTGTTTGCATTGCAACTCGTAGGAGCAAACGACCGCCGTTCCTCTCTTCGCCGGATAAGCCACACGTTTGGCCCAGCGTTTCAGCAGGTCCTCCGCCATGTAATCCGAACCATCCTCCGAGAAGGCGAAACGTACGATGATGTGTCGTGTATTGGGGCCATGTCTCTTTCCAAGAAGACTTGTGTTCGCGGTCCGAGAGGCGGTTGTAGAACGTGACGATGTGGCGGAAGTCGAAGTCGAGCACTGGAGCGATGATTTTGCCGGCTTCGAGATACAGGACGGACAGGAACTCTTCATGGATTTGGTGGTTGGTGAGCATGACGTTGGCTGAGCAGATGAGATTGGCGCGGTTGCGTTTGTGTATTGTGGCGGTCAGGTCCTGGGCGACGTAGCCGTAGATGTGGTCGCGGATTTCGCGTGCAAGGGTGAGCAGCGGTGGCCCTTTTCAGACTCTGGATTCGCTGGGGACGACTCTCTGGAAGTCATCGTGTGGTTGTCGTTCAGGTCCGCGGCCTCGTCAGGGTTGGAGGAGGCTGTCGTCAAGTGTCTCCCACTGTCGCTGGTGTCTTGCTTTGATCGCTTGTCTGCAGCGCGGAGTGGCTTGTTGGTTGTGGCATCGGCTTTACGCTTCGTCCTCGCCATGCTGGTCGGGCGGAGGCCGAGAGTCGTTCGTCAAAGACTTGCTGGCGAAGAGAAGGTCAGTGAGGTCGTTGCGAGGTGATTTCTGGAAGACTGGCTGGCACAGTCAGGCAGCGAGCCCCGCTGTTTTTGCCTTGCCGCCTTAAAGCAAACAACCCTTGCATTCACTTGCTGAAGTTGGGACAGATTAGTCAATGTTTCGCTGTCCTTCGTCACCAGCACAGAGAGCCTACCCAGGAAGTGGTCAAGAGGGACAAGATGAGCGGTAAGTTCGCTTGCTTTAGTAAGGTGTCTCATATGTCTTCGTAGCGGTCGTGAAACATGTTCGAAGTACGCATCACCTTTCCCTGAGTCCTACTCAATAGTGCTTCACACCAGCACAAGACTTCCACCATTCCCAAGGTCGTGGAAATTGGCCTGCTTCAATATGGCATCTTTCTCCTCACCAATCTTCTTCGCATACTCTTCCGCAACATCATCTAGCTTCTGCCAGTCGTGCACCAAGATCCAGCTGGTAAGTCCTTTCTCTACCTTCCTCTCATCATGAGTGTGGATCCAATACTGCGACTTCAATAGCCGGGAGACTTCCAGCCCGTTGCGTGCGCCCAGATTCGCCGGTGTATTAAAGTACCTGAACCCGACGCCCACTCGAAGGCAGCCATGGAGGAGAGCAAGCACTTTGACAGGCGGCTCGGCTTCAACGAGGGCAGATATGTCTGTAGGTAAGATGCCGTGGGGTGTGTACATGATGCATTCGGCTTGACTACTTCCCGGTGGCTGCCAACTGATGATCTGGGCGGGATGTAGGCCCGAGATGTCCCACCGGCTCTGGATGGCAGAGATGCCGATGTCCTTTGGTAAGGGGGCAATGCTGGTCTTCTCCCAGTTGCCAATGAAGTCGGGAGTTGCAATGACAGTCTCAAAGTACTTCCAGCTTTTGACCATACTGGCGGTACCAATACCATAGCAAAAGATGGGAACACTTGGAGGCAGCTGGAGCAGAGTCTCTTGATGTACATGGTCCGTTTTGGCCAGACTCAGGGCGACCGCATCGATGTAGCTTGTTGGCTTCGTGGACTCGCCTTCTACAGATCGGAACTTTCGTGCCAGCCGTTCTACGTCGCCGCAGAACCTCTCAACATCAGCAAACGATTGGGCAGCGCACATTTCCGTGTGAGCCTGATCATGCACCCAGGTGGCGAACTCGATTTGGTTCGTGGTGAGCCAAGGGTCAAGCACGATGTTGAAGAACATGCGGTCGCCACTTGAGCGAGGGAGCTGTATGAGCCTTGAGAATGGAGTTTTATATCAGCTTTCGTCTCGTCTTGATGGGTTCCAAGCTATGATGAGGGCTTACCAGGAGTTGTCGGCCGTAAGATGTGTGATGATGGGTCTCTTCGTGTCGGCCTCCGAGCGCATGGCGTCTTCGGGGCGCAAGGCCGCCATCTTCGCCGCGCCCTTAATGATGGCGCCGGTGTTTATTGAGGTGGCAAAAGTATGAATGTTGACGTGAGGGGTGGAAGACAGATTTAGATGGACTACGGCTGGTCAAAGGGTTCCAAAGCCCAGGCTCGGCACCTCTTGCGAAAGCGATTCGCTTCAGGCCTTTTATACGACGTATTAGGAATGTCTCGAAATTCGGTGTCATTAGAAGACATATTGAAATATGGCAACGGCGATAGATTTCAAACGCTCTGAGCAGCACTTCCATCCACATTAGTGTAAGTACTCGTTAGCTTGTATCAATTGATCGATCTAACGACCGGCAAAGCTTAACTACATTAATCCGAAGTTGCGATTGTAATGATGACTGGTTATAGTTGTGCGTACTTAGACCTAGCCGACTTCATCGTTGTCGCAGAGGAAACTCAGCTGGTGGTTGTAGGAATGGGGTGCTTGGAGCCATCGAAATCGACCTTGAACAGAGTTCAGAGCATCACAGCACTCGCCTTCCACGCCTCCATGATACCCTTGTCAACAGCCTCCTCCGGAAAGCTCACCCGACCCCATTGCCAACTCACCCACCTCCTTGCCATCACACCCTCATCCGCCCTCATCAAGCCGGCGGCAACGTTGGTAATCTCCGAGCGGTCGTCCCTTGTGTAAAAGACTCCCGCTCCGCAAGTCCCACAGAAAGACCGACAAACGTCCTTGCGGCTCCAATAGTGCTTAAGAGACAAGCCGGCGTTCGAGTCATCAGCCGTCGAGCCAGTCATTGCTCCGTGGTGTGTCGCTACCGGCTTCCCAGTATGAGGATTGATGATCTGAACGGGAGGGACATAAAGCCACGGTGTGAGAGATGCTCCAAGGTGGAGGCGGCAAGATCGGCAGACACAGGTGGAAGCGAAGTGTTTGTCGTTCTCGACCTTGCCATCATGGTCTCTCGGGATGTATCGATCAAGCTGAGGGATGGTGTTGTCCCCATGGTCGGCTCGTTGAATGCGAAGAGACACGCCGCCGCATCGGCATTCGACCTTCAACAAGTCGCCACTTTTTAGCGAGGCAGAGGAGCCTGCAGCGCTGAGAAGGCCGTCCAAATCAGCGTCAGGTATCTCGTCTGTCGAAACGCCGTAGCAAGGCAGCCGCCGATCGCCCAGCTGCCTCATCAGAGGAGCCACGCCACAATCGGCAGTATCAGATAGCCACATGTGAGACTCCACCTGTAGCACATCTGCATTCGCATTTTTCGGAGGGTCGATAGCACTCGCTACGACAAACCAGGCCTCCGAGTCATCTCGGTGTCTCCCGTCTCGGAAGTGGTGGGCATTAACGAGGAGTTTGGTACCGCATTTTGAGCAAAAGTACCGCGTGTGAGTGTCAGAGGTGTGGTACGCAGTGCACTTATTCAGAATCTCGGCAGTAGGCGGTGAAGGGAGATCTGCGAAGCCGGCGAAGAGCGCTCCGGTCGTATGTCTGCACGGCTTGCAGTGGCATAACTCAGACGGTGTTGGTAGCTCCTGCTGGTGCGGAAAGCTGATGGCTCCGCAGAGGCAGTTGACGCTCGCCGATGACATGGTGGACCCCTTTTCTTCGGTAAGACCAGAGTGTTCCTCTAGGTTGCGTGAAATGTCCTTGTAGTGAGGTTCTCTTGCTGGCGGGCTAGTCACTTACCTCTGGCTGTGCTAACGGCGCAAGCTGTCACCTCTTGAGGTCAAAGCAGACTCGTTCCAGCCAATACGTAAAAGAAGCTGGCATGAGGTCGGTAAGCGATACTGTAGGAGTCATCAGAGATGTGAGATAGTCGACTTGGCAGCCATTCTGGAGGTCACACCACCACCTGAGGCTGTGGTGGATGACCAAGCGGCTACCGGCGTTCGGAGTTTTTACTCGAGGGACGACTCGTCTCCCAACAGGTTCCTTCCATGCTTCTCGGCTCCGGCATGAGAGGCACAGCAAGCGAGCTGCTGGAAGGAGCCGTTGTATGATTGCTGTACTCACGAGAGCGGATTACTGTCTTGTTTGCTGGCGCTGGCTCGCGAAAGCGCTGGTTTGCTGAAGGCTAACAACCTCTTGCACGATGAAGCAATGTCATGATCTGACCACATGCCACAGCTGGCCATGAGCCTCGTCTCGAAATTGTCGAGGAGAACAGAAGGACGAGGAAACAATCACGAAGTCGACGCGGTGGCCCGAGCGTTCTTGATTTCAGACTTCACTTCACTTCACTCTCCCTTTTCCTTCCCTCCTCCCCCAAACGACAGCAGCTTCATACTGCGCTGCTGCTTGGAAGCTACACGCATTCCAACGATGGTTATAGTACGGTCGGCATCGAGACAGTGTGAGTATTTGGAGGGATCAAAGGCATGGCTATCGCGGTACAACAGCCGTTCTTGTGTGCCTCTTTGAGGATGTCATGTGAACATGATCAACGTTAGAGAGAGTTGCGAATTTCGTCTGGAGTTCAAGGTAGATACTATCCAAGTCCGGTGTTCACACGCTGCAGACTCGGGGCATGCACATCGGTACTGCTGGAAGCCATTGCTGGGGATCTTGACTAATGACACGCTCCGAGTTCCTTCATCCGGAGGGAGGGACATTCAGGCCATCGCCACTATAGGCCTCATCCTCAAGCTGGTCACGCTCATGGTCCCTGGCCTTCTGGAGTGGACCTGTGAAGAAGCATGGTCTCAACGCTACAGCAGAGTCGCGGCAGTAGGAAGTTCCTGACGAAGGAAACGAGGGCTTCTGTGTCTCGGACCATTGAGCGGAAGGGCTCTTTGATGCATGGTGAAGCACTCTGCTGCGCTTTATATCATTCTGCTTCTGATCACATGCTCGGCACCTGCTCGTCCATTACTGCGTGGCAATCCCACTGGAACGCTGTCAAGACTCAACCGGCACTTTAAGATCCTTCTATATCAATGCCGAGCTCGAGAGGCTTGCTGGCCTTTCGTTTGTTGTACCGATCACATGTCGTGACGCTGAACTTTCACGAGAAGATTGCTTTTGAGACATGAGCATGTGATCACATGTTCAGCATTCATCTAGCTATCCGACCGCATTGAGCCTAGTGCTCTCTGCTAGCCGGACTTGTCGCTCTATAATAGACGAAACTTCACCGATATACAGATTCTTCACCTACGTCGACATCCGCTGTCGCCGGTCCCACTCCGCAGACCCAAAAGCCGCCAACACAACAGTCGGTACACCTACGACGCCTCTGGTGCAGCGCCAGCACCATGCGCTATATCAAGCCAGCAGCAGGCGGCAGCATTGCAATTCACACCCTTCCTCCAGCGACGTTCGACTCCAGTGTCCCGCAGCTCTGGTCCGACGTGGCTGCCAGTCGCAAGAGCACTCACCCAGATGCTCCGGTGAAGCAGGTTTTCCGGACATTTGAGCTACTCGAGAATATCCTCCTGTACCTCGAACCCAAGGACATCCTCCGAATCCAGCGCACCTGTCGCACACTCGAGGAGGTCACGACAAATTCACCGCCCCTCCAGCGCAAGCTCTTCCTCGCCCCGGATGAGAAGCTGAATGTCCCAGACTGGTATGATGCGGATCCTCACCATGCGGAGCATCTCTGGCAAGACAGTGTACTCACAGGCAAACCGGCGCATGATCACCTCGCAACATCACTCGCACGCAAAGTCGATCCTGTCCCCTATCCGACTGTTGTGTTCAACACTCTAATCCTAACTTACGATCTCAACAACACTACTGACTTGACCATCAGCGTTCATTCCGGACATGACCTAGAGAATAGGAAGTTCGACTGCCTCGAACCTGTGCACTGGATTCACGACCTTCCTCGTGACGCAGGATGTCGCAAAATGTTCCTTACCCATCCCCCGGTAACACACGTTGTTGTCGAGCATGTCTGGAACGACAGCGGCCACGCTCTCGAAGAGAAGACAATCCACGCACCAGAGGGTGTTAGATATGGGCAAGTGATCGACGTCGTTCGCGAGGCCTGGAAGAGATGCAAAGAAGGGCTCAGCTACTGTGAAGGCTGGGATTACTGTGAAGGCTGGAGTTACTGTGAAGACTGTCGCGGGCGTGGCCGGAGACACTGGTGTTGCTTCTGGGTGAATCACCGAGCGCGGATCCGCGTCCCGAATGCTGCGATGATGAGAGTGGAAGATCGCGAACTTGTGAAGCAGATGACGACGGACTCGGCGAAGCCGCAGGAGGATCAAGTCTATGATCACAAGGTGGCACGCTGCAGTTGTTCACCATTGGAAGATGAGTATGACAAGTACTATATGCCCGAACTACCCGAACTACACGAGAAGCCGCCAATTTGGACTTTCAAGGACTTGGCAATTCTTTTCGGCGATGTGGACCCAGGATGGTAGAAGTGGTATGGTTCAAAGGTTGTGGCTTGCCGCTTGGATGATCAGAACGTCAACATTGCATGGATGGCCTCTGGGGTTGGTGACAAGGGACGAAGCGATTATATGATGGGGCTCAGCAGGATGCAAAGGTCTGCACTGCCTGCAACATGATCAAACATACATTACAAGCGAATTTTTGAGAAGGATGGGCAACATAGAAGCGTACATCCAACGTACACAAGGACTCTATGACTCCCCTCTCTCAGTGTACGCTCTAGAACGTGCGAACAGTACATTCACCCCAACTCGACTCGATGCTAGAACTGTAGCGGTTCAGTCGGATCTTACGTCTTCTTCTTAGCATTCAAAGAACAAGCAAATGTTCATTGACCAAGGCAGACTTCGCATTTGCCTATCCAGCTATTCATCTAAGGCGACTGCGGATAGATCCGGCAGATTGCCGCTTGCTCGCTTTCTGCTTTCTTCCAATGTCCTTGCCGCTCAACCTCTCCTCATCAGTCTCTCGGACCAGAGGAGGAGGCGAAGTACCTCAATATCTACTGAGATTGCGGTACACACTGTCTTCTGCGTGCGGCGAGATGCACACTACGTATGGTGTTCCCAAGCTGCGTATACTTCCTGGTGGCCACACGATCCCCAGCTCGTCCCTGCACGCGCCGTCTTCGTGATACGCGCATGGAACCGAGGCTGACATTCGAACTTTGCGACCATAGCGATTACCTGGCCACCCGCGATAATGGAAATCTAGAATATAACACCTCGAGGAACATCTGCTCATCTTCCAGTACGCGGCCTATCAGTGCTGGCCTGCAGTTCTTGCCCAGCAGTTCCGGCATCCAACTCGTACAGCTGAGTCGACATCAGCATCTGCTTGGTCGAATGCCCATGCAGCTCAAGCAACTCTTGAGACTGTGCCTCTGATGGATGAGTACTCTCATGCCACAGCTCTGTCGGAGCCTTTTTGTCATCTTGGAACAGCTCTGCTGGACCTTTCTTGTCCTCGTCCCACTCAAGAGGCTCTTCGATCTTTTCCGTGGTGCCAGCTTCTGTGAGCCTGGACTGTTTCTGCTTCCTCCTTCGGAAGTACCAAATGGCTAAAACTATTGCCGCTAACACAACAAGCACTCCGATGACGATGCCAGCAATAGTGCCAGCGCTCAACCCACTCGTGGCCTTGGGATCTTGTTGACGATGCACAATAGGCACAACACGAGGCTTGGCCTTTTCATGTACGGCCTGGCCTAGTGTGAAGTTGCCCAGCTCCCAGTCAACGACAAGATAGGCCTCTTGCAAGAACGTCCGCCCAAGCACAAACTGCGATTCATTCGCGGCGCGGCGAATTGGGAAGTAATTCGTGCTAGTATTGAAGATGGGGATTGTTGCTTGCAGGTCAAACGCTGCGTATGGGAGAATGATGTTCGTCGAGGCCGTTGAAGAAGAATTGGGCGCGATGGTGAAGGTGAATTGCGGATTGCTCTGGAGCAACCTCGAGTGTATGGTGTTGTTGACGGTGTACAGTCCAGACGCTCGGTCATATTGAAGACCAAAGCTCTCTTCAAGAAAGTCGCAGACGGTTCTGGGCAACCAAAGCTGAGATGTACTTGAGTCGATTGTCATGTTCAGGCCAGATCCAACAGGCACCGAAGCTGTTCCCGCAAGGGCTCCATTTACCCCGGCGAGGGTGCCAGTCACCACGATGCTTTCCACCATCACAGAGAGTGCATGGTTGACATCGCTATTGATCGGAAAAGCCAGGCCACTTGGCTCGAAGGCGGACTCGTCGTAGCCACCCAATATGAGACTTCCGACATCAGACCCTTGGAATGATCCGTCAGTCGTGCCGCTTCTGCATGATCCTTTGCCACTTACTATACGAAGCTCCAGCAGCATACCCAAAAGACAGGCTCGGTGAATCGTTCGCCTGCTTCACCGAAGGCACCAAGCTGGACACATTCTCAACGACCGTCTCAAAGCCAGAAGGATTGGTTGCAAGACCTAAGCTGCCTAGCCAATAGTCTTGCGTGGCGATACCAGCGATGAGTTGATCTGGTATTCTATAGCCAGCCAGGTCCGGACCAAAGCTGACCGTGTCGAAGCCGAAGAGACCAGCCTGCGTTGTAGGTCCGTACAAATTCTGTCCTGTACCAAGATACTGAAGGCCGATTTGCGACCATGTGGTCGACCTGTTCGTTTGAAATCCCAAGCTCCCAGAGTCCAGCGCACCTCTTGTCGCTCCACAATTGGGCAAAACAGACGACGGGATCCAGGTACAGCCTTCTGGGACTGGGATCCATACCTCACTGCTGAGTACAGAAGGCAGGACTCCGAAGTATTGCGCAGGCGAGCCCACACCAAGCAGGAACGTCGACCAGTTCCCATCATTCCCAGCCCACAGGGATGGCTGTACCACGACTGGAGCCGGTGTATTGATCATGTTGGGCGACACACAGAAGAGACACAAGCACTGCCCGTCCGGCAGAAGAAGGTGTTACGATGGATGAACTCTTAGCTTGCGACATGGTCAACAATGCTTGAAATACGTGCCTTGACTTCTTCTGCCAACAGATCGACTGCAACATCCAGCCACAGGGTCCTCGCTTTCGCTTTCGAGCTGCTTCTTGGGCAGGCCAACGGATCGAAGCCGAGCCTTTAACACCGGTTTATGCAAAGCGTTAAGTATAGCCGTGGAATTGTTCGTGCTAAGTCTTCTAGGCCCTGGAGGGCTATTCGAGAGCATTGCGGGAACCATTCCACCGACTTGCACAGCTGGGCGCCGACAAGTATACACCTGCACCCGCATTCGACTTGCACACGACGGGATAGCCTTGTCGCAGCCTTGCCTTGGCGGTCAGCCCATCTTGAGGAATTCGTACTAGTTCCGCTGCATGGGATGTTTTAGAGGCGTTTACCTGTCCAACTCGCTACCGACCCGCTGCAATTGGCCAATTTGGCGAGGAAGCTAGGCCTACAGTACGAAAGAAGGAGGCCAGCTCACATGTTGCTGCGTTGGTGTATGTGCAGAGGCCGAGTTCTTGCATGATCAGCCCACCGCGAGGCTCGTTGGATACTGCCATATATGATAACCACCATGCGGCACACGACCCTGGACGTAACCTCCGCCAGCCGGACAGATTCCTTACAGCTATCTGAAGCTTAGGAGCCTTGGACTGGGAGGTCAAGCGATCTGTCAGGATGGCAAATGGTGAGCTTCACTTGACAAGTTGAGATTTCCATCGTGCGAGAGGTACTGACTTCATTGTCTGGTAGCATCTCTGGCTGCAGTCCCGTACTGCAAACCTGCACTTTGTGTGCCGTGCTATCTGGGTGCAAGCGTCGTGCCATTGTCGTTTCCATACACCGTCCGGGAGACAGTAACAGTCGTAAGTAGCTGACCCAACGGAACTCCTAAACAGCCGATACTCACTTGCAGTTTCAATTTGACGGACTTGGTCTAGGATGTCACTCCCTATGCTTCAGTGCTGCCGAACGGGAGGACTTCGACATGGTACTCAACAGCAACCGAAACCTTGCGAGTCTACAACCAGTCTGGAAGCGATGCGATTTTCACAGACGGCGTGGAGAGGACATGGGTAGTGGAGGGCTCAGTGACGCTGTAAGTGGATGTGCCGAAGTGAACCCGCAGCCGCTGGGAGCTGACCATAAGACAGGACGTCTCCAACTACGTACGCTCAATATACAGACTTCTTTGGCGCTCCCGCGGTCCCCATAGGTCCATACGAGTGTGCTGAACTTTCTGACATCTCTGCATTGACGTTCCCGGCCGCTACGGAAGCCGCTTCACTCATCACCGCCCTCCCTGCCAAAGCTTCTGCGCATTGGGTTGGCGACGACGTTAGACCGATACCTCAACAAGTATTGCAATACGTTGGATCATTGGAAGATGTCCTCCAACAACTCGATGGCGAGGCACCGTCGTCCTGTGACCCCTTCTCAGTCATCGACGGCTTTCCATCGCGGCCGTCCGTCACTACCGATGCGCCATGCATTATCACGACGACAACGTGCGTTACTCTGAATGTCTCAACACTCTGCGAGACAGCTACTTCGACACAGTCTCCCGTCGAGGTAACTTCGTTGCCCGCGACCTCCCAACCCCCGGCCGCAAGCACGGTCTTTCATACACCGGCAAGGGCGCTGAGCTTCTCCACGGGTCCGACCATCTGGGCTGGCGATGGCGCCAAAAAGACGAAAGGTACCAAAAACCCGGAACCCGAGGGTACAGCTCAGCAAATCGACAAGCCGAGCAGTACTACGCGGCCTGGCCGCGAGCCAGAGACTAAGGATCCGGACTTGCCGACTAGCAAGACGCCAAAAGAAACAACAGCAGACCATACTGACGGGCCACAGTCACCTCAGTCCGAGGGTGTGACGGGACAACAGCCAGAGCGAACAACCAATAGGCCACATTCATTCCTGTCCGAGGGTGTGAAGGGACAACAGCCAGAGCGAACAACCGATGCGGCCGGTAATCCGCTGCCTAGCCAGACGGGTGAGGAATCAGCATTGCTTGCTGGAAGCGCAGCACAGAGCGGCACGCCTACGACAAGAACCCGAGATCCGGTCGGAGGCTACATTGAATCGGGGCTCCATCATGGCTCGCCAACGACGGCTTCCGAGAGCAGCAGCTCGGGCGTGGCGCCGGCGACAGGAGACAGTAGCCGTATGAGCCAGGAGGGCTGGACTCTTGGCTTGGTTGTCGTACTGGGATGCTTGCTGTGAAACCTGTCGATGGCTATCCAAGAGGTGTATTCCAATCTTTCTATGTCTATAATCTAGACCCCAAGAATATACATCCACCTCAGCTCAACGCCATGCTAAGACCAAACATCCACCCCAATGCAACCGCATCTTACATCACATCGTCACCATCCACCTTATCTCCCCTTCTATTAGCCAAATAGATCCTCCCACTCTCATACACACCCAAATACAGTCCGCTCCCCAGCATCGTCCACACTCCTCTCAACAACCCACCGCGAAACAGACCCTTCACCCCCGCATCCGCCACAATCTCCCGTGCAATCTGCATACTCCCTTTCCTACTAGGCGGCTTCGTCACATTCCGCACCGCATCCTTCAAACCCTCCTTCGCCTCCTGCACCGTCCTGCCCGTCGCATCCACCACTCCTCCCTTCCCAGGCTTTTGGTCCTCCGCCGCGCTTTCCGCGGCAGCAAGCATGATGCGCGTCTTGACGACATCCACCGGTGTCGTCACAACCGCAGCAATACTGCCACCAGACCCTGCGCTCGCGGCGGTGATCAACCCACTCTCCAGCAAAGTGTTCGTCCGTATACCCTTCTCGTCCCGATACCGCCGTATTCCCTCTTTAATCTTCTCAAACAACGGGAACTGCAGCGCAGTAAACGGCAAATTTCTCCCCGCGAGCGCTGTATACCCTCGCCACAATGCCAGAGGATTTGACTGAAATCTTCTCATTGTCTGCAGCGTAGCGTTTACTCTCGGCTTCCCATTATTGCGGGAGTTGTCGACCATCTGCGCATTCTGCTTAATGACCTCCGCGGGCGTCAAAATCGCACACGAAACCAACTCTGCCGTCCCTGAAGCAGCCGCATGTATCAAAGGCTGCGGCAGCAACGCCTTGCCATTAACCTTCGGATTGGAATCTGCGATCGTTGCTTTGACACCTTCATACGTCGTAAAGAAAGCTCCAGACGAAGGGAGCGTGGCTATAATAACACTCCCAACTCCTTGATAGACACCCCGGAACAAGGCGCGGTTGACGGTTTTCTCAGCGCCATTGGTGTAGAGCCGAGCGTAGTTGGGTGATTGGAGGCGGGTTTTGATCGTGTCGAGAGGGTAGACGATGAGGTCGACGGTGAAGGCTGCGAAGGCGCCGGCGATCCAGATGTCGAGGGAGGAGTTGTTTGAGGAGGACATGGGAGGGGTGGGGAGCGAGGGGGGTGAGAGTAGACGGGATGGAAGTGGTGATGTCGTCCCGTGTGCGTTATCGCAAGGATCTTGATCTTATCTTTTTTGGATCGGAGACAGGGCCGCTCTCGGAGACTATTTCCGGGCTTCCATCTGGTCTCCGCCCGTCTGTCATCAAAAGCCGTGTCGCACATGGAGTCGTTCGACCTCGTTATGGGCGGCAGGCATGTCGTTTAGTCAAACGTATGGTCTAGACCATTCTAAGAGAGCCATCTGCCCGCAGCGAAGTTCGACAACACCAGACCGGCTGAGAAGGACGTGATGATCGATCGTGAGACTCTGAGCGTTCCGCCTGATCGACTGCGACTCGCGACAGCTCCTGCACATAGAACTATGATTGAAGCCTACGATGGCACGACAGATCTCTGGCGCTCGTTCTCGTTGTTCGACAAAAGTCACGTGAGGAGGTGGACGTACGCAATCACTGCTCCGTGGGCACCCGTGGAAAGATGACAGCCAAGCCTTCGCAGCCCGTATGCACATATTACAGATCTATTCATGTGGCATCCATGGAGACCCATGGACGCAGTCGGTCGCCGGCCATTGATGAGAGTCAGAGAGACGCTCCAAGACCGTCTGCGCGCACGGCTCTCCTAATCAAGTCAAGCTCCGCCACGCATTTTCACTTTTTCGCATTACGACTCGACCAATCACAGGTTCCATCCTCTCTCGAAACGGCTTCAATGCGCTTCCGCCTCCGCTTGTGCAGAGGAGAAAGTGGATGCCTTCTCGATGAGATCCTTCAGACCCGCTACGGGTGACGACTGCGCCCGGAAGCTCGTTAAGATCTCATGATAAGCCTTGCGAAACACCGTCCCGCTGTCACGATGTCTGAAGCGGGTGCCCATTGCGCTCTGCCACATGGACGTACGAGGGTGGTATAAGTTGTGAGTCGCGGTACGTCTTTTACTATCCATCATCCATCTGTCTGTCGTTTGTCGACTTTTCACCCTGCGTCTCTTGGTGTATTCTCCTTCGATCTCAACAAAACGATCTCTTCCATTCGCACCACTCATCATCCGCCCCGACAAACCACACACAAACCACAACCATGCCCGTCGACCCCTTCGCCAACTGCAACTTCTCCCTCAACGACACCTCCACCTGCACCCTCGACACCTGCTGCCTCGCCCAATCCTCCTTCCTCTACATCCCCACCTACGGCGGCAACCTCTTCTTCACCATCTTCTTCGCCCTCTTCGTCCTGCCCCAACTCGGCCTCGGCTGGTGGTACAAAACATGGGGCTTCGGCATCGCCATGGCCGCTGGCCTCATCCTCGAAGTCATCGGATACGCGTCGAGACTCATGCTCCACGATAACCCCTTCGACGGCAACGCCTTCCTCATCTACCTCATCACGCTCACCATCGCGCCCGTCTTCATCAGCGCAGCCATATATCTCTGCTTAACGAGGATGATGGTGCTGCAAGGCGCGCACCTCGCGCGAGTGCAACCGCGCTGGATCGCCATCGGCTTCATGACATCCGACTTCATCTCTCTCTTATTACAAGCCATCGGCGGCGCCATCGCGGACACGGCCGATGACCATGATACCTCGCAGGTCGGCATCGACATCATGATAGCGGGACTCTTCCTGCAAGCCCTGTCCCTCGCGGCTTTCATCGCCGTCTTTGCCGACTTCAGCTGGGCGTGTCGCAGAGGCGTGCTCGATATGGACCCGGAGAAGCAGCGGATTCGCAACTCGGCGCTGTTCAAACTCTTCACCGCCTCGCTCCTTCTCGCAGCCGTCGTGGTGCTGATCCGGTCCATCTTCCGCGTGGTGGAGTTGTGGCAGGGATTCGAAGGCGAGCTCTGGAACAACGAGACGGATTTCATGATCCTGGATGGCGCGATGATTGCGATTGCCGTCATTTGTCTGACGGGCATGCATCCCGGCTTTGCGTTCGGGAGGGGCATGTGGGTGGCGGCGAATTGGACTTTCAAGACGAGGAAGGATGGGGCGGGGTATGAGATGAAGGGCGCGGAGAGGGGGATGGATAGTCGGTCGGGGATTGTGTCGACGGAGGAGAACTCTTGATGGTTATGCGTACGTGTTGTGGATAGATAGCTGCTAGAGATGGATTTTACATTGTTCTTCTGCCAACACCGACCATCTCGCCATCACTTCTCGTCGTCCCCTCCTCTCTTCCTCAACCACCCCTGCAACCCCAAGCCTACCAGCCCGATCCCCATCACCCCCACCACTACCGTCAACGCCCACCCCACACCCAAAGCCGTGATCAACCCCTCCACCCCCGCCGTCCCTCCCGCCCCAACCAAACACCTCGCCAAATTCACCGCCGCACTCGCACTCGCGCTGTTTTCGGGGAAAAGATCAACCATGTACGTCGACACCATCGCTTGAATTGATACAGCCGTCCAGCCTGTGACGAAAGTCGCGATGATGGGGACGGAGATGTGCACGCCGTATTCGAGCGTCCAGCCGAATGTGAGCAGAGCTCCGCACTGCGCTACCGCGAAGAGAGGCAGGAGACGGAGACGTGCTCTTTCAATCGGGAACAGCTTCTCTTGCTGCGCTTCACCTTCACTGCATACGGAGTGGACCGACTGAGCACGGCGGTACTCCATATCCAGCACCTTCCCCGTGACGAGGGTTCCGAGCATAGCGCCCACGCCGTTCGCGATGAAAGTCAGGCCGATTTGTGTTTCGGAGAGGTGGTATATGCGGGTAAAGAGCGTGGACATGGCGGTGATGCTCATTTGCCAGGTGGTGTAGTAGATTGCTAGAAAGGCGATGGGGAGGATGGCGCGTTTGTTCGCGAGGATGCGGAGGGGAGCGAGGAAGTCGATGGGTTTGTGTGGCTGGACGGGATGGTCTTGTGGTTTTGAGGATGGTGTTTGGTAGCGCTGGTACAGGGCGAGAGGGTGCCGATGGAGCAGGTTGGTTGGTTGGAGTGAGCCGTTGCCGACGAGCGATCGTAGCGTCTCTGGAAACGCAAGCAACAGCACGATCAGAAACACTCCGGAATACATTGTTAAAAACCAGAAAATCGATCTCCAGCCCAAACTACCGGCCAGCGCGCCTCCAATAATGGGTCCAGCAGCGAGGGGCACCAGCAGTCCAGCCTGGAAGACACCCATCATGCCTCCGCGCTCAGCACGGGTGGTAATATCACCTATCACGCCAGATCCAATGGCAATCGTACTTGCGCTGCCTGTACTCTGCAAACAGCGCAACACCAGCAGTGTCGCGTAGTTCTGCATATTGGCCAGCCCAATGCATGCACCCAGGAAGACGATGAAAGTGCACATATACGCCATCCTTCGTCCTTTGACGTCTGCAACCGCCCCCCAAATCGACGGTGCGAGACCTTGGAAGATCATGTACGTCGTCACCGTCAGGTTGACCAGCGTAACAGAGACGTCGAGGTCATTGGCGATGGTGGGGAGAGCCGGGAAGTAGATGTTGCTGGCGAAGCCGGAGAAGGTGGCGGCTGTTGAGACGAGGATCATGAGGAGCCATTTCTGGTGGTGGGTGAAGGTGCTGTAAACTTCGTTGGGCGTTGTTGGCTTCTCGAGTTCGGCGGTCGGGGATGGACGTTCGGGTCGAGCTGTTTGGTCCTGATGGCTTTCTGGTTTCATGTTGTGGTTGCTGTGCATGTTTCTTGTTGTTATGTCTTTGTGCGTTGGACTTGGGCTGTGAAGGCGGAAGTTATATACCTTGAGACGCAAGGCGGAGAAGAAGGCGACGAGCTGAAAGGCCGAAGTCCGGTCTTCCCGAACTCCCCGATTCGGCCGCCATTCCGAATGAGCCACCTGTTTATTCCAGCATTGCCGTCTCTCTTCCACCCTTGATGTAACTGTCGAGAATCTGTCGAGAAGGTTCCGAATATCGAGCAGCTCAAGCACCATGCGTGCAGCTCGTGACGGCATAAAGGAAGACTCCGTACTCGTCCACGTCTTCAAGCCACTGATCAATCCTCTCTCTCCTCAAAGCAACCGCCTCAGGTGTGGCGCCATCAGGAACCCGCCAAAGCTCATCCAGACGCAGGCCGCCGTTGTTCCAGTCGGCCAGATGCATGTTGTAAGCTGCTTTCCACTCCTCTTCAGAAGGAGCCCGCCAAAGATGCTTCCCAGCTGGCGCCGGCAGCCCTGCAAGCTCGGTGCCCACGAACACGGGGAGGTCGTCGTTGACGCAGAGCAGGTTATCGAAAAGGTACATAGTGTACAACGTACGCCTGATAGATTCGGCAATGATCCACGAAGACCACCGCGGGCGGGTATGGTCCAGTTCAGAGGAACAGGCCACACCGCGAGAGCAGGTATCGCAGGCGAGCTGTTGGAGGTTCATCATGTATTGTCGCAAGGCCGGACTGTCTTTCTGTCCTAAGTGGAAGTAGAGGGTCATGACGTAGATGAGGTATGCCTGGAAAGCTGCAAGGAGGTCCGCATGGTGGTACGTAGATTTCAGTCCATCAATCTTTGCCATTTCTTGCTCGAACAGTTGTATCGCCAGTGCCTCGCTGCATGCTGGGCCTTTGGCACAAAGCTTCGCCAAGTTGATGCAGTTGTGCAAAGGCGACGCTTCGCTTCGCGCCTCCAGCTGTTGTTTGTGTGCAAATGGTGGGAGAGTGCCGTGCCGGATTAGTCCAGACGTATGAGCCTTGAGCATGCGATCGACGTATTCGTGAGTCGCAGGAGGCGAGACCTTCGGACGCTGGTCGACGTCAGGAATGAAAGCCTTCAGCCATCGGTTTTGGATGGCGCCGGGCTCGATGGTGCAGAGTAGCTCGGGTGAGGTCTGCTGTGAGGTTGTGGTGCCATGCGATCCATCTGCAGTGATGGTAGGCCCATCAAGCCAGTGTTGTGAGGCAGCGTTGAGGCCAGAGAGTGAACGCGTCTCTGGAGTGGGCCAGCCTCCAGCATTCTCGCCAAAGCCAGAAGGCTCAGGCTGTCTGTCAAATTCAGAAGGTCGTGAGTCGTCTACTGCCGGGGGCCTGGCAGCGCCTTCTCCTGGCCCAGCCGACGAAGTATCCTCCCTCGCCCGACTTGTCCGACCTCCTGGGTACACACACCGAACTCCCCGAACCTCGCACCTCGAGCACCCCTCAGCCTTATGATCGCATCGGACTTTCGCCTGCGAACAGGCCTGACAAGCCTTACGTCTCGGCAGAGGCGTGCGCTTGACTTGCTGCTGTTGCTGCGACATGCTGAAGGTGAAGAACTTGAAGTGAGGATGTGGATTCCGGAAGGTAGGGTAAGCTCTGGAAACGAGATTTCCAAAATACCTACCTACTCCCAAACACTACATAAGAAATGGCCGCCCTCAGTCCAGCAGCCCCCTCCAACACAATCTCGGAGACCACCTTCCCTCAAGCTCCCCACACACTTCGCTCGTCCTCTCGATCAGAGTGTGCGTCATTCTAAACCCCCTCCCAGACCAACCGACTCGACACAGAAGCGAGATTCGAGCCGGTTTTGCACGTGGCGTTCAGAGCTTCCGCATATGTGCGCTGGTGGAGGAGATGCTGTGAGGCACCTATTACAAAATGACCTCGTGTGTCCGTCGGTTCCAGACGCCGCTGGCGAGTCTGGAGTGCGACGTTCATTGAAGGATCGGAAGGGAAGGGGTTGGAGTAGGAGGTAAGCGGGTGCTTGATACGGGTGGACTTTGAGCTTGGACCAGGTGGTGAGTTCAATGGTCGAGTCAGGCTTTTCATTCGGATGTCGCGGTACTCGTATGTATATGTAAGTACAGAGCTAGTATGATACAGAGGGTATTACACAATGCACAAGCCCAACCCATATCCACCCCAATCACCGCTAACGCATCGCTAGAACGCTCAAGTTAGACCACCACCTTCAACTTCTCCCTTTCAATTACCCTCCAACGCCCTCCTCGCCCTCTCCAGCCTCCGCCTCAACTCCCCTTCCTTCACACCCCCACCCCTCTCCCCACCCTCCCCCAACCCCCTAACCACCCTCCCCAACCCCTCCACAACCCCAAAAACCAACGCCTTCTCCTTCAACCCCAGCCCCTTGATCCCTCCACCACTTACACCAGCTAACAGCGCGTTCACCGCGACCGTCGTCGGATCTGCGACCATGCTGGGAGACATCGGCGGGCTCGCGACTGGAAGCGAGGGTGATGTGGAAGGTCGGGAGAGCGATTTAGGCGCGGGACGCTTAATGCTGTGTGAGCGGTGGGAGAAGCCGCCGACGCCGGAGTCGGCGCGTTCGGAGGAGGAGTCGCTGCGCGCTGCGGAAGTGAGCTGGGGGTGGGTGAGTTGGATCGCCGTGCCAGGCCGGGAGGAAGGTCGTTTAGGGGAGGAAGGGCCAGGCATAGGCCACTCGACTTCTTCATCCTCGTCCCATCCCTCCGTCGCAGTGGCGAAAGTGGCCACGGTGCTTGTGCTTTCGGTCGACATGGTGCGTTTGTGCAGACTCGCGCCTAGACTTCTCTCAATCTCTCTTAGTCGCTCTGGTGTCTCCGGTGAAGGAGGCGGGTAGTGCACGCGTTCATCATCCGCGAACGCATCGTCGCCGTCTGCGATCGCGCCAGCGGCGGCAGAAGGTCCGCGAGCCGTAGCCGTTGATGTCGTCGATGTCTCGCTGGACGTCGACCCCCGGCGCCCGTAAGTTTTGACCGCGGAGAGGAGGAAGAAGTTCTTATAGTCGAAAGCGTCCTCGCGGTCTTCGTGGGCGACGACGGGCGGCGGTGGGTCGGAGGAGGCGTCTTCGTAGACGCTGTCGCCTGCTTCGGAGTGGGTGTCGTCGATCGGTGTAGCAGTCACACTCCTCGTGTTCTTGACGCCGTTCGCCAGATCTTTAGATCGCTGCTGCTGCTGCTGATGGTGCGAGTACCGATGCTTAGAAGACTGAACAATAGCCGTCCCGCTCGTCGTCCGCTGGTGCGAGATTCCTAGGCCCGTATCCAGAAGATCCCTACTCGGCCGCCTCCCCTTCCCGGCATCCCGCTGCACACTTTCAACACTGCCTCTCCTCTCCTCTCCCACCGTGTGCTGCTGCGCCATCCGCTCCTGCTCAGCAAACGCATTCCTACTCCCCGTAAACCCTTGCTCAGGAGGCGCCCAAACCTGCTCCACCCCCTTCGCCACAACAGGACTATTCTCCTTCGATGACCACCCCACGCCCGCATTAGTATCCAGCGCCGGCTGCCCGTACGCCGGCGACGAAGTATAGAAGAGCTCCGGCGGATACACCGTAGCATTATTCAGCGGCGAAGGTTCGCGCAAGTTGAGCATGCTCTGCCGGCGAAGATTATCCTCACGTGCGCGGTCGCGCAAGCTCGAAATGCGGCCTTTCAGACTGCTCATTTGCTCCCGTAGATCTTCGGTGCGGGATTCAGAGCGGTTAGTACCGACGCTGCTGTCGGTTGAGCCACGGCGATCGAACGGGGTGGACATGGCGTGGTACTGCTGTCCTTCGTCTTCGGCCAGTGGTTCAAGACTGGGGTCAGGTGAGCCTTGCATTCGCGTTTTTCGAAGCTGGAGTTTGCCCAGTGAATCGTAGCTCCTGCTTCCCCGTAAAGGGTTGTTCCGAGCAGACTCTGGCATCTTGTTCGGAGTCCGGCCGTTCGGTATGATGTGGTCAGCGTTCTGCTCAAAGGCTGTGTACGGTCGGTCCGGTATTTCGGTCTCGCTGAATCCACGTGAGTGTCCCTGGTGAAAGTCTTCTGCCAAGTGAGGAGCGCTGGCTTGTGCTGAGAGTCGTTTCTGCTGTCTCGTGTTCGTGCGCTCGTAGTGAGGCCGGTCGTAGATGGCTCTGTTCCTCGCCCCGTAGCTTTTCGTTGGTGTCACGTATGAAGATCCGACAGAAGTGGCGCGCTTGAGATTAGCAGTTGTTAATGGTGCGACCAGATCTCGTGCGCCTCGCAGGTTGCCTTCCATAAGCTGCTTTACCGTTAGTACAGTCCTCCATGCTCGTGCGTTGGACAACATACGTTCAGCCTCTTCTTCGCATTCGCCAGAATCTGCTCTGCCCGTTGACTCAACAGCGCCGAAGTATGCTCATCCTCCTCCTGCTGTCTCCTCTTCGCTTCCAGCCCATCCTCAAAACTCAAACCGTGTTGCGGCTCAGTCGGAGTCACCACCTCGTCTTCATCCTCATCGTCCGTACTCGCCGCATCCTGGTTCTCATACTTTGCCAAAAACTGCGGCAGCGACGCCATATCATCGCTCCCCGTTGAGCTGCCCCCAACACTCACCCGCCTTAACTCCCTCTCCTCCGGCGCAAGATTCCCAACATCCATCAGCGTCGGCGACGACCCATACGCCGAGTCAAAGTTCTCAAACTCGTCCTTCACCGGCTCCTCCTTAGCAACCTGCACCCCTCCGCTCGCCGTCCGACTCCTCAACAACATCATCTTCCGACTCATCAACCCCCGCTTCTCCCTCTTATCCGGCGTGACCATACTCCCCATACTCCTCGCACTGCGCAGCTCGTTCGCCGTCGAATCGCGCAGGTAACTCGGACTCGGCGGCCTCCCATACCGCGGCGGAGAATTGACCGGCGCATACGAGCGCTGTTCGTTCGGCAGCACCATGTCCGGGTTCGTCAGGGTGGGCGAGGGCAGCGCGGGGAGTGGTTTGCGCGCCATTGCGTTCTTGTCGAGGGACGATGGGCCCATGGCCTGCATGGTTTGTGTCGCCATGCCGGCAGGTCCTTTTTCATCTGGTCCTCGCCCGCGCCCGGCCCCCTGGTAGCGTGCAGCTGTTCCCGCTGCAGCGAGCTGGGGTGGGCCTGGTAGGAATTTGCTGCCAACCGGGTGGAAAATGCAGCTAGCGAATGCTCGTCACGGGGGTGTCCTATTTTCGCTTCGCCTTATATCCTTAGTCGATGTCGCTGCGATGTCAAGCGTGGTTTGGTGGGATCTACAAAATACAGCACTTGGAGGACCAAACAAGACGAAATCTCGTTTTCGGAGGCTCCCAGATCCTCGGTCGGAGGCCCAGGAGGAAGCCGTAGCTCTACGAGCGATCCAAGGAACAGGAATAGCGTTGCGTCGTTTGCAGGGGACTTGCATAAGCGGGGTGATAAATTCAGCCAATGTGGAAATTCCTCGCATGTGACTGGCCGTGAATGCTGTCTTTTGTCGAGAGATGAGGTGGAAATCTGACAAGATCTCACTCTCTTCCTCAATCCTCGATCACGGACAACACAATAGTCAACAAGTCAGAGCCATACCGACTGTCAAAGAGACTGTCGCTTCTCGCCGCCGTTGTGAGCCCAACGGCCGTCGCTCCGCTAACCTGGGCTGGTACAACCTTAAGGAGAACTCAATTTTCAATAATGTCTCGGAAGGGCTGATGCTGACAACAATCCCATTGTTCATACCATATCAAGATTGAATAATCCCATACGGAGAACTTCGTCGATGCCCACCGCGACGACGACGACGGTTTATCCACCTTGGAGTGACGACAAGTATTAAACAACAACAGGATGGTTGCCGTCCGCCTGTGAACGTTTCGCGGGTCGTACAAAGGCTGGAAACACGAAGCCGTAACCATCGACGTTTGCCAGAGGCCGTGTCGCTTCACAGACCACACATACCAGTCGTCCTGGAAAATAAGGTACAGCTGTCAGCGCGGCCATCGATTCGAGCTTACTGCAAGCCAGTCAACGCTACCAAAGCTGTGCAGTACAAAAGGAAAGCGGATCTTCTTGCGGCTCTGCTCCTCCACCCCGGGCCATCTACGGCTTCACTTGTTCCCAGGAGGCCACCCTGTCGGTCGGTAATGGTTTAGCGAGGAGAGCTCGAAAGACCTTCCCGAGATCTCTCTTCTGCTCATCAGCAGGACACTCCAAGCTCTGTGTGGAGCTCCACGTTCGCAGATAACTCGGTGGGCAAGTCGAGCGACATCCAACTCAGACATTGATGGCGATCGAACTTCGATTGTGTCTTTGGAAAGCATTCGGAACGTCCGCAGATGACCACTCCGTGTACACTGCTTGCCTACGAAGAGATCTGGCGGATTCAACATCCATACCATCTAACTTGTACAATTCCGACAGAACAACCGCTTGTCAAAGGGGCGAAAGGGAGCTTCAACTATCTGGGCCATCTACCCCGCCTCCATCTTAACAAGCCCCGCGCGTTCATCATCACGCCCAGACGAGCAGGCAGTGCCTCGGCGGGACGGTACCGCAGTAGCAAGGTATAAGTACTTTTGGTTCCGTCATTTCGGTTCTCTCGTAACATTCAAAACAATCTATCCCATACATCTTCACTACTACAGCAATCCAATTCAAAGACAGCAGCAACAATGGCCGAAGAAATCCCCAAGCAAGGCAAGGCCGGCGTGGTGGTGAACGAGGGCTCTGACTTCAAGATTGAAGTCCAGATGGTCGATGTGCCCGAGCCGAGTTCGTTCTTCCAATGCATCCTCCTGGCTCTCAATCATTCTAACCTCTTCCAACCGCAGAGGACGACGAACTCCTAGTCCGCCTCAACTGCACCGGCCTCTGCATGAGCGATGTCCACTTCATGATGAACGACTGGGCTCTCCCACCCATGAGCGCTTTCGGCGTCCGCTGTGCCGGCCACGAGGGAGCAGGTGTGGTGGTCAAGGTCGGCAAGGCCGTCAAGGGCTGGAACGTGGGTGACCGAGCAGGAATTAAGCCGCTGTCGGATGTCTGCCACAACTGCGAGGAGTGCTGGAATGGACGTGAGTCTCGCATACACCTGGCACAGTAGGGTGAGCAGCCAGGAACGCAGTGGTGCTAATGTGTTCTGGACAGGCGAGAACTACTGCGCCGGCGGCGTCTACACCGGTCTTATGAGCGCCGGCACCTACCAACAATACCTGACCTCACCCGCCATCTACACCTCTCGCATCCCCGACGGCGTCGAAGACGCAGTCGCCGGCCCCATCATGTAAGCAACCCGCCCCTTTCCCCCACCCTCTCCAAACCCTACCAACTCACGAATCTCAGGTGCTCCGCCTCAACCATGCACCGCGCCCTCGTCGACTCGGGCCTCAAACCGGGCAACTGGGTCGTCTTCCCCGGCGGCGGCGGCGGCGTCGGCATCCAAGGCGTCCAGCTCGCAGCGGCAATGGGCATGCGTCCCATCGTCGTCGACGGCGGGGACCAGAAAAAAGACCTCTCGATGAAACTCGGCGCGGAAGCCTACGTGGACTTTACAAAGGAGAAGGATGTCGGGGCGAAGGTGAAGGAGATTGCGGATGGGTTGGGGGCGCATGGGGTGTTGGTTACGGCGTATCAGTCGTATAAAGGTCCGTCCTACCCTAATAACCTCTCCACTCTGCCGGCCGGCGATTCTGACAACGTGCTGCGCAGACTCCATCAACTTCACCGGCGCCCGCAAAGGGGCGAAAATCATGTGCATCGCCCTGCCACCCGCCGGCGCGGTCAACCTCGGTGCCGAACCTAGCACCTTCGTCTTCAACAACCTCTCCATCATCGGCACGCTGGTCGGCACGATGCAGGATACAGCTTCCGCGCTCGACTACGCGAAGCGAGGTTTGTTGAAGCCGATCCATGAGGTGCGGGGGACGTCGAGGTGGGATGAGAGTGTGCAGGCGTTGAGGAAGGGGGAGATTGCTGGGAGGATTGTTATTGAGTGAGTGCTTTCCTCTTAATGTGGTGAGGTGAAAAGAAATGCTGTGCTGACTTTGAACGCAGTTTCAACAAGGACTAAGAATCACGAGATGATGCGATGGTTGTGGGTGAAGTACCTTTCGATGGCTGTTCGGCTGATGGCGAGCTCAGTTGAAAAGGGAATACCTGGCCGGCCCAGACCTTGAAGGACGAGGCGATTCGAAGTGGCGTGAGGCATGATCAATTGATATGTAGTCTGACGATACTAAATTTCTCATCAAACCGCCGGCGCTGGCACCACTGAGTACATTCATCAAGCGTCAGCTTGGACTTCCACCCTGTCCAAACGCCACCTACCACCTCTTCCATCAATGGACATGGACATCCTTACCCTACGCATGGCACGTGAACCCGGACAAAAAGGTCACCTCAAAACTCATCCCCCGTAAGATCCTCCCAGATCTGGAACGCAGCCTCCTCCATCTGCTTCTTGCCCGATATCACCTTCCCAGGCACCTTCATCCGCCCTGCCTTCACCGGACTCCTATTCCCAGCACTCGCGGACTCTTTCAGAATCCGTGTCGACTGCGTGCCAGGCTTCTTGACCGGACTGCGCAGCTGCGGCTTCCGCTTCACCGGACTGCTCTTCACCGGACTCGCTCCACCACCCAACCTGTTCGCCGGACTCGACACCTCCTCCACCGACACCGCACTAGCAGTCTGCGAACTAAACTCAAACGCATGACACGTATCCGCCCCCATCAGCAAATCCATCGACCACCGCCTCTCCTCCACCAAATCCACAAACTTCGCCAAAAGCTCATTATTCCGCAAAGTCTGCCTGCTCCCCAAAACGATGAGCTTCGACTTCGCCCGCGTGAGCGCCACGTTCACCCTTCGCCAGTCCTTCAGCAGCTCGCCGACCGTGCCGGAGGCGTTCGAGCGCACCATGGAGAGGATGATGCACTCCTTGTCGCGGCCCTGGAAGCGGTCCGCGGTGTCGATGTCAACTTCGCGGGGGATGCTGGCCATTTTGAAGAGACGTCGCATCAGGGCGAGCTGGGAGCGGTAGAGGGAGATGACGCCGATGTCTTTGGCTGGGACGCCGACTGCTAGGAGGCTGAGCACGAGTTGCGCGGCTAGTGTGGCTTCGAGTTGGTTTGTAATGTTCTTGCCGGCGTTGAGCGTTTCGAAGGCTGCTTTGCCTGCTGGGTCGATGTTGGCGAATGCGACTTTGCGCTCCGGTCGGCTGAGCTCTGTGATCCAGCACTTGCCGCCGAGCGACGAGGCATTGCAAGCGCTACTCGAGCCGTGAAATGCTGAGAGAGCTGCGAGGTCAACGTGTCGCAGCTGTCTCTGCGCAACGGCCTCAGTACCGCATCTGAGCTTGCCGTCGTAGATCAGGACATTAGCCAACGTCATGATGTCCTCGCACATGCGGTACTGCTTCCCGAGAGTCGCGACAGCTTCCGGATGCTCTTCACTCAACTGCCGGAAGAGTGAGACGTCCATACCACCTTCTCGCGCCCCTGCGTTCTGGACCAGCGGTGGGAGCTGGTAATGGTCACCGACCAAAACGAACTTCCTCGCGTGGAGCAGCGGTCCAAGTGCGACAGGCAAGGTGATCTGGCTCGCTTCGTCGACAATGCAGACATCGAACGCTCGACGGCTGAAGAGCGTGTGGTTGGTACCCATACATGTAGTCGCGACAATCTGGCAACCCATGTACGCGTCGTCGATCTCCTGAATACTCTTGCGTGGCGTCTCGCCGAGCTGGCAGAACTGCTTGACCTGAGCATTGATCTTCGCCGTGGGACCCAGTCGGAGGATGCTGTTTGCCGGAGCAATGTCTTGAATCTTCAGCAGAATGTTGTCGACGGCGGTGTGGGTGAACGAGCTCACGAGGACCGACTTCTGCTCGGCGAGCAGCGCCCGGATGATGTGCGCAATCGTTGTCGTCTTGCCAGTGCCGGGCATACCAAGGATGAGAGCATAGTCCCGTGCATTCAGCACTTTGGTGACTGTGGCCCTTTGGTCCTCGTTCATCTCCCCAAGCTGGGATGCTGGCAGAACAGGCGTCGACACACTGTGGTCAAACTCAGGCTGCCTGCTGAAGATGACTTGGCTCCGCAATTTCGTGTGGATCGGGTGGGTAGACATCAACGTAAGCAAGTTCCTGCGGACGCTTGCCAGCCCACTGCCGAATTCGTCCTTGTCGAGACGATAGAGCATGGCTATAGGAGGAGTCGATGCAGCATCACCGTCTTCGCCAACCGCCATCACTCCTCGGAAAGCCTGGTTTCGGTCATGGTCGAAGCCGCGCAACCTCTGCCTTGCATGGCTGAGCGTCCGGTCCATACCCACGGTGATCATGTGTCTTGTCAGACCAAGGATGTAACCTTTTGCCAGGTTCCACTGCCCGCATTCCGACGACACAACCACAGGCTCACCTGTCGTGAGTTGGCTGCCTTCTGCGAAAGACTGGGAGAGGCCGTCTGCCGACCGCACAAAACTATACTGGAAGCGAGTCATCCTACCGCCCTCTCCCTCTATACCGTCGGTGGCCGACATGGTGTTGTTCATCGCAGTTGAGGACATATCCGGCGCAAGTGTCAGGCTCCCAAAGCAACGCCCGACAGCCTCACGCTCTTTCGAGGTCATGGTCCACAGCTCGCCTTTCAGGCTGTTGACATTACCCTCCTCGAGCGTGAGTAACCCGTCCCACTTCACAAACCACCGCTTGAGGACATCAACCTGAGTCGGATCTCGCAGCCCATGCAGTAAATGGCCCACCGCATCAGACCAAACTGCGCCGTTATTCGTCTTGCCGTCGTCGATCATGCCAGCCGAAGTCGAAGAGCCGCCCTCCGCCAGCGCGTGGTAGGAGAAACACGATGTTCGAACAAAACACGTGCTACAATTTCGTGGATTGCGCACCAGACCTGGCAGCCCGGAGTCCTCGACGTCTTGTGTCGAAGAAATGAGCACGTCTTCGGTCTTGGAACGGGCCCTCGCTTGATAGAACGCCGCGACCAATCTGTTCCGCTGCTGTAGCAGGTCTCGTTTCTGGGCAATCGGAGGCTCAATCAGTGACATCGCAGAGCTCCTGAGATAGTACAGCACGCCAGCCGTGACATTCGTGTCGTAGCGGTCTGAGAGGAGCAACGTGTACAGCGCCGTCTGAGCCTTATGATACGCCGACATTGTCGTCCTCCCACTCTTGACCTCCCAAGGATAGAGAAGCCGCTTGTTGCGACGGCCGTGCTGATCGGCGACCGTGACCTGCACCGTGGCGTCAATCTTTCCTTGGAGACCGTACCTGGGCGACCACACGTGCTCCTCGATAGCAATCAGTCTGCTAATGCTCAAGCGGACCTTTTCGCCACGCTGGCCACTGACAGTAGCATTCTCAGATGGTTCGTCGGCAACAAAAATCCGGGCCCAGGAAGCCAGCTCGGCCAGCTCGGTTTTGATTTCTTCGATGGCAAGCACACAGTCGCGCATTCCCAACGCCCACAGCCCTTCGACATGATTTGCGACCGTCTCTTCCGCGGTGGTGCCCAGGAAACTTTCGTCCCATCGATTTGCAGCAAGAGCCTTCTGGAAAATCTCGTGTAAGATATTGCCGTAAGTCATTGGCTTGTTCGTCTCGCCATCTCTCACCCGTTCCTGGAGGACAGCCTTGCGCATGCAATCCAATGAGTCGCCAACCTTCAAGGCGGAGAGCAGATGGTCCGGGTGAATGATGAAGAAAGGACTTTCTGGTTGATCTGATATTATCAGGTCATATGGAGCAACCGACGGTGGCGCTGCACTGCCTGCCCGTACAGCAGGAGTAATGTGTACAACAGTGTTTCGTACGAGCGGCGTCGTGATCCAGCTATCCCGCAGCTTAATGACGACTGCCTTCGACGATCGGTGGTCCTCGGCAGAAATGACCTTTTCGTAGCAGCGGCGTCCTTTAGAGTTGGTATCTTCACCATCTGCGATGTGTTTCACTACACAGCGTCGAAAATCGCTTGGCTCTCGCAGCAGACCCTCCTGCTGTGAAGTGGCACCTGTGGATCTCGGACTGCGGTCGTTGCTTACAGGACGCGGAGAGTACTACAGATACATGAGCTATCTGCTTCTATGCCGAGTAACATTGGAGTTGGATTGACTTGCCCTGATTGCCTGAGTAGCTTTGATCTCGGCCTGCGCGAACGCTGCTTCATCCAAGCCATCGCACCCAAATTCGTCATCATCGTCGTCCCATTGGTCTGCATTAATCGGATGCCTCACTTGTCCCGCAAGAGTATCCTCAAAGTCCATAGGCCGCTGGACTGGTGGATCGGGATGCGCGGGGATCTGGTGCAGCGGCCGCTGATTCAAAGGAGGCGGCTGAGACATCAACTCGTCAAGGTCCTCCGCCGACAGCTCTAGATCGTCGCCAAACTCGTCATAGATGCCACATGATGCGGCAGGCAGCGGTGTTGGTAGTGGAGGCGTACGCTGCGGGTACTGCCTGCCTCCGCTTGTCGTTCGAGAAATGGTCGGTCGTCGGTACGCCGGCAAAGGCGCCTTGCTGTGCAACTGCAACGGTGCGGATGTCGCAGCATGTGAGGTGGGGACTGTTGGCTGAGCAAGTTCATCCTTCTTCGCCATCGAGCCAGTCGTAGCCTTCAGCGAATAGCTTTCCTGAGACTTAGACATCGCAGGTTGGACCCGCTGCGCTGCCGCTGGGTGTGTAGAATCTCCTACGACGAGCGGTTGTTCCTCGTCACGCGGATGAGCAGGCGGAGCGTCACCCACAGTGAATTCACCTCCACTTTCTGGGAGCGGGTTAGAGCTCGAAGGCGCGTCCACCGTTGTCGCAGGTTTCGGCGCTGGATTCGCTAGTTTTTGGGTTGCAAGCGACTCTTGGAGTCTTTCGACCATTGCAGCGACTTTACTTTTGCCCATAGAATCGTCGCCGGGCTCCTCTTGCAAGACGCCAAAGCTCGCTTTTCCATGCATCCGCCTCCGCTTCGTCTTGCTCGTAGGCCAGTCGTTGCCAGTGCTTGCCCATCTTCGCAGGCCGGCGCTTTTAGCCGGTGTCTCCAGCATTCTTGGAGAGGTTTGAAGGATGAGTTGGTCAAGTCCACTTATTCTGGTACCATCGTGGGTGGGCTGACCTGTTGCGTAGCGCTTCCACAGGTCAGCGGCGGGGTCTGCCTCGGGTGTGGTCTTTTCGCCGACTTCTTTCGCGGTGCTACGGTTGAACGCAGAAGCCTCTTGCCTCTGCGAAGATGTATTTGGACAGGATGGCGAAGAGCTCCTAGCTCGTTTTCGCTTTCGACTTGGAGTCAGCAGATTCGAGGAACTGTTTGGGATCCAGCCGATGTGCTCCTCTGGAGTTGGCTCTCGTGTTGTCGCTGGCTTTGCACCGTCGTCAAAGTCCCCGACAAGATCCGCCAAAGGTAGTCTTGTGCCTGGTGTGCACGGGAAGGTATGCGCATGTGGCAGTTGCGGCGTTTCTTGTTTTCGCTTGGAATCCAGGTCATCGTAGTTTCCTGTCTGGTGGAGTGCTGCAAGCTCTCTACTGGAGGCTCTAGGAATATTCCCCCCTTCACCATAGCTCTCCAAGTTGACCTCAGCGCTCGTGCCGTCCAGACTGCCTTCTTTCACTGCTCCTTCCGACTGTCCCGGTGCGAATTGAAACGTTCTCAGCTTCGTTTTCGCTTTTGACGTCGCTGGAATTGGCGGCTTGCACGGTATATTGTTCGTGCTTGTCTCGGCAAGTGGCGCTCTGTTCTGCCCGGGATGCCTCTGACCGGGTCGCGGCTGTTCAGTCAGATATCATGTCTCATTCCCATTGTCCGACTGGTGGCTCACCTTGTTCCCGTGGTCATTCTCGAAGAAGCTCTTAGTCTTACTAGCCATCAGAGACAGCAAGCAGCACGACGAGCAATGTGATAAGCAAAGAGTCGCCGTCTATGGTTGGTGTAGCAATTGTGGTGATGATGTTGATGCTGAAGTGAAACGCGCTGAGGCGCGAGAACGCGTGAGCGATAACACGGATCTAGCCGAGATCTGTCCGCTTTCGCCAAAGCACGTGATCGTCAGGAACTATCTTTTGAGTTCAGCTTGACCACCTCGACGACACCGAATGGTCATGTAGGTATTACAGTACCTGAACATACTTGTTGATGACCTCTCATCCTGACTACGCTGCTGACCCTCACGACCAACTTGTCGCCGCTGATTGGCAGCACAACACGCATCCAAACACCTAAGCGTAGGTCATCCATTATCATATTTGTATAAGTATTCCCCCTTTCCCCCAGCATATATTCCCCTTTCTCATTCATCCCGCACCTCCATTCGCTCTTCACCTTACTGCTCTTCTCATTCATACTATACGAACCCTTTCAACACGCTACGCCTAGCTCAAATCACAACAACCCTCCAACATGGCACGCATTACCTTGTGGGCCACGCTTGGCCTCGCAGCAGTATCGGCTGTGATTGCTCTGCCAGCTCCCCCAAGTCATGCCGTACACGAAGAAAGATCTGCCCCGCCGGCGAGGTGGCTCAAGAAGGACCGCGTTCCTCCGTCGGCAAAGCTTCTGGTCCGGCTTGGTTTGACTCAGTCGAACCTAGACATCGGTCCTGAATACCTGCTGGACGTCTCTCATCCAGAGTCGCCAAACTATGGCAAGCACTGGACCGCGGATCAAGTCATCGACGCTTTCAAGCCCAGCCAGGACACCGTTGACACCGTTCGTTCATGGCTCGTTGATTCCGGCATCAAGAACCACACCATAACTCACACGAAAAACCAAGCCTGGCTGGCCTTCCATGCGTCCGCCAAACAGCTCGAGTCGCTGTTACACACTGAATACTTCGAGTATCACGATCAACACACAGGAGCTGTCTCGCCGTCGACCGACTGCTACCATCTTCCGCAGCACATCCGAGAGCATGTGGATTACATCACACCTGGTATTACCCTTCTGCCGCCCATGCATAAGCCAGGGCAACGCCAGCAGTCCACCTCAACTCAACTCGACAGACAGCGGAAGAAGTACTATGTCCAAGGTTCCAAGCGTTCGACAAGCCGGCGCTCCCCGTACCACGATGAACAGGGAAGCACAGACTCCTGCGACCAGTCGATTACGCCAGCCTGTGTAGCAGCACTCTACGAAATCCCGCAAGCTCGTCTGGCAGACCCCAGCAACAGCATGGGCATCCTACAGCTTGGAGACGACCGATGGGATCAATTCGATCTTGACTTATACTTCGACGAATTTGCCCACTGGATACCCAAAGGTACGTCTTCGGCATCTCCTGGCTGCTGAACTGGCACATACTCACAAATTGTCTAGGTACACACCCGCGCAACGGCGAGATCAATGGCGCCGTGTCCTATACGGAAGACCCTGCCAATGTCGGCGTGGAGGCTATGACTGACCTTGCGGCGGCTTACCCGATTGGTATGCTGTTTCTCCTGGCCCCTTGGGAATGTCTGGCTCGGATGCTAATTACTGGCAGTTTACCCTCAGAACATCACATTCTGGTCCGTGGACGATGAGTATCACTGGGCACACTTCTTTGATCCCAACACCTGGTTTCCCGGAAGACAAGGTACGTTGAGCAGTGAAGCGCGATTGATGCCTTGGAACAAATCTAATACATATGCCTGACTGTAGAAGGAACCATGTACATCGGTATGAACAATTTCCTGGATGCTATTGACGGATCTTTCTGTACCTCTTGCGCTTACGGCGAATGTGGCAACCTGGACGGATATGATCCGAGCTACCCAGACCTGAACCCGGGTGGATACCGCGGTGAACTCCAATGCGGCCAATTCAAACCCACTAATGTCATATCTATCTCCTATGGACTGGCCGAGTTTCAAGTCCCTGTTTCCTTGGCGAGGCGTCAATGCGCTGAGTACATGAAGCTCGGACTGCAGGGAATATCCTTCGTAGTCGCCAGTGGGGATGATGGCGTCGGCAGGTGGGATCCGAATGCTAAACATCAAACCAGCCAGGAGGGAGAAGACACCGTCTTCGCACCGGATGTCATGAATACCTGTCCATGGGTCACGAGCGTTGGGGCTACGCAAGTGAGTCCTGGACGAACAGTGTCTGAGGCCGAGACTGCGGCACAAATTGACGGGCAGGGCTTTAGCGGCGGCGGCTTCAGCAACTTGTACCCCAGGCCGGCATATCAGAGAGCGGCCGTCGATGCTTTCTTTGCAGAGCACGAACCGGACATCCCATCGTACAGCGGCATTGTGCCCAACTCAACAGAGCTGAAAGCATTGCCTGACATCGGGACAATTGTTGGCGACAAGGCAGCTGCAGACATTGAGCTGCCGGATGGTTCTCACGTCACCGGTGGACAGATCGCAAGGAAATACAATCGCATTGGTCGCGGGTATCCTGATGTAAAACCTGCCGTGGATTACCAGCCGTATGAATCTGGTGATCCCGAATGTTCAGGTTGCTGCCAACGGTGCTAACGTCCCTAACATCTTGAATGGCGAGGTCATTCCAACCTGGGGGACCAGCTTCTCCGCTCCTGTGTTCGCGGCTATTGTAAGTGCCTCTCTTTTCGAAGTCTCAAAACTCCGATGGCATAAGTTACTGGTGTACTGACGCGAGAATGACAAGATTACCCGCATCAACGAAGAACGTATTGCCGTCGGCAAAAGCGCGCTAGGTTTCCTCAATCCTACCCTGTACGCTCACCCAGAGATGATGAACGATATCACGGAGGGGTCGAACAAAGGAAGTGGAAGTCTGGGCTTCACAGCAGGCTCGGGCTGGGACCCAGTGAGTCTTGTTTCGCGACTTTCTCTCGTGCATAAAGAAGCTGACATCGAGACCTACAGGTTACAGGGTTGGGAACGCCCAGTTATCCGAAGATGCTGAAGCTGTTTCTTTCGCTGCCCTAGGCGAAGGCCGGCTGACGGCTAACGTGGCGAGAGGTAGACGCAGGACAGATACAGTGAGTTTGCAACGTATGTTGATTGGGTGTGGTCTGTCTATAGTACAATTCGAGTTTAACTGTTACGCACGGCGGCTTCTGAGGCCTTCAAGCTTCCCACCACGGTCAGAAAGATCATTGGTGAAACAGCGTACTCAATCTTTAGATTTTGTCAGTCAGCCAGATGGCATGTTTCGAAGTCAAAGCAGCAGACTTACCGTCAAGAACTTTGCGATCCCCATCTTCTCTTGTTCATCCGCCCCTGCAAGGTCCGCCAACGCAGTCAACATCAGCGCCGGCGGCCCCGTCGGGGCCAACATCATCGCGAACCACAGAATTGGATCTGAACCCAGCACACTCGTTCTGGAAGCCAGGAAGTAGACGGCGGTAATACTGATCGCTGGCCAGATGAAGAAGCGGACCAGGGTGATGAGCACGAGTGGGATCCAGGGAACGGTGCCGCTCTCGTCGCCTTTTTTCATCCTCAACAGCGACGTCGAAAGTTTCACACCCACGATGACAACCATTAGAGCCGGGAACAGCTCGCCGATGTTGGAGAGGGCGGACTCGAGCCAGGCGTTCAGGTAGCCACCTTCCTCCTGCGTGTTGAAAAAGAGTCTGTGCAATGCTGGTACCAACCCTGAATAAGAAAAGGACAGAAGAATTAGCCAATGGTTCAGATATTTGGCCCAGCATGAAGTTACGAGGATCGCCTCGCGTGATGCGGGCGGCTTGCATCTATGTCCTCCACTTACCAATCACAACTCCGATTATTGCGCCAACGACAGGTGGATTGACAAAAGCGAGGACGATGTTGAGCGTCTCCTGCACCCACTTCGGAAGCCGTTTCCAGAACTTCCGGCCGCGAACGTAGGTTGCAAGAGTCATACGAGCTCGTTTTCGCGCTACGCGATTAGGGAGGAGTGAGGTTTCCTCGTTGTCATGCTCGGCCTCCTGCTGCTGTGCTTCGAGACGGCCATCGGCGGCTTTGGGATCTTCGTCGTCATCATCGTTGTCGCCGTTAGCCGCTTCCTCCCACACGTTCAGCAGCTTCGGTCCGAGGGCGAACGTGAGGGAGTTGCCGACCATGGCGTTGACGAGGAAGTAGGATTTGGCTCGGTCGACTGCGTTGCCGGAGGAGTCGAGGGTGTCGAGGAGCTGGGTGGCGGCTAGGGACTGGATGAGCAGTAAAGGCAGGCTGGTGGTGTTGTTGAAGGCGATGGCAGGGGTGACCCATGCTGGGGTTTTGAAGATGCGGGTGATGACCATCCCCAGCAGCATGGACAGGATGCCGTAGACGAGTGCCCATATCACAATCGGCACATAGAGCAATACCTACCAGAGCGTCAGCAGATGTCAGCTCTTAGTCTTTTCCGAACTCACAGTGTCCCAGTGAACCTGACTGCCTATGTTCGTAATCAAAAGAGCGGGCAGAAACAGATTAACCCCGATCTGTGAGATTTCTTTCGAGGCACTTTCGCTCAGCAGGCGAAACTGCGCCGCTATCACTCCAAAGGAAATGGTGATTAGCACGGCGATGGAGGCTTGCAAGGCGCCCAGTAAGGGCACCAGGAAACTCTGGGCGTCGGGCGCCATTGTGCTTAGAGGTGCTTGGAACAAACGATACTATTGATGGTATAATGATGTGATGCTGGATGCAGGCACGCGACATGGGGCGGGTTTTGTTACCTACATCGGCGGGACCTGCGTGAAGTGCTTTTGATGCGAGACGTCATTGGCTGGTCTGTGAGGAGATGTTATCGTGGACTAGGAGATAAGGCTTGTCATTTCATTACTTGACCAACTGCTGCTGTAGAATGCTGCCAGCGAGAGAAGTAAAAGTTCTTGTCCCTCTCATCTGTCGGAATTGTGCTGTGCATCTTTTGACGAGCAGTTAGACGGCCAAGGCAAGCCATACGCTCATATTCCGCTTATCCACACATGAAGCACACTTTCCTCTCTCCATCGGGTGTCCGCTATGCAAACCATCTCACTCCCTACCATCTCATACATGTCGAAATGTAACCAGTATCCCGTCGTCGACCAGCATCTCCAGCCACGAGTCGAGCATGGATCGTTTGAGTCCCTCCCGAGCAGCAATGTCCTCCAGAGCGGTCTGGCCGTCGAAGTATGCAGACAACGAAGGCAGACGCTCCCGCAGAGTGTCGTCGCGGATCATGGCTCTGATGCACTGCAAGTACGAAAGATCATCGTCTGTCGGGTTTGAAGGATCTCGAACCATCCTGGCGGCTTCTGGTAGAAACTTCGGCCCCGTACCCGCCTTCGTTTTGGCCGCGGCAGGCAATCGACCATTTCCGCCGGGAAATACAGGTACTGCTGTACGCTCAGAGCTGACGCTGGCTGTGTCATCATCCGCTTGCGGTCGAAGCAAGGGCGACAAGAGAGTCGAAACCGACGGCGGCCGCTGGTTCTCATTGAGTTCCGCATCGCTTGTGCATCTTCGGGACAGTTGCGCAGGAGTTTGAAGCCAGCCAAACGTGCTCAAACGCTCAACAAGATTGTGTCTTATCAGATAGGCAAGTATGTCCATGTACGGTGCGCGATGGTCGCGAGAAGGAATAAGCTGGCCGTATTTCACTGGGCGACCACCGAGGATTTTGAGCATCTGCGGCAAGGATGGCAGGACTGCGAATCGGCTGGCGTAGTCTGTGGCAAGCCCTTCCAGGCTGTCCAGAGACGTACCTGGATGAACAACATAGGTATTGCGAGGTTGCAGTGGTGCGATAGCGCGAGCGTTCTTCCATTTGATGAGATGCTGCGCAAACTGCAACAGATGTCGAACCGGCGTCCCCAACTTAGCTGCTTGCTTCTGAAGACTCTTGGTGGGTGTAGAATGGCGTATGAAATATGCCAGTGGCGATTGTTCTGGGCTTGAGAGCTCGCGCAATAAGGTGTCCCGATCATCTAGTAGCAATATTGCAGAACACTGGCTGAGATTGTGATCTTCCACATGTTGAATCTGCAGCGACATCTCCATCCCATTCAAACGAAATGTTGCAACGCTCGCGTTACGCACTCTGTCATATATGACTGACAGTGCCCAAGCCAGTTCGCTGCCTTCGATCGACCGCGAGCAAAGCATTCCATTGCTCGCATTCTCCTGCTTCAACCTGCTCTGCATTTGCATCAGTCTTCGGCTTTCGATGCCGACATAGCTCGACTGCTTCTGGCAGTACGTTAGAGCTTGACTTAGCTTTTTAGCAAGCTGCTCGTAGAAAACGTTCACCCGATCGGGTTGTGACGGAGCAGAACTGTCGAGAGCGAAGAGTACGTGGAAAGCAGTCAGAGGCTCCGCAGTAACAGCAGACGTAGTGGAGCCACTGTTCTCGGACACACCAAGGCTAAGGGCATTGCCGGATTCGAAGCTTTCTGCTACATGCGAGAAATCGATGTTGTTCTCTGGAGGTTCTGTAATGGTGATGTCCAGATCGGCAGTAGCCTCGTGTTCGCCATCTCTGGCGGTGCTCTGGTCGGCGAAATTCGCTGCGGTGGACGAGCGATCGTTGGAGGCTTCAGGAGAGGCTTTTCTATCATGGCGGCTCTTCGTCCAGCGGCCTTCTCTGTCGGCATATACAGGATGGCTCACGAACGTCAAACCACTCAACGAGACTTCGAACTTCTTCCTGTCCGACCAACGGCCGGGAGATAGTACCCTCTCGAGAGTGTCCACCGACAAGCCAAAAATCTTGCCATCTGTGGGATTGGAGATACTCTGAGATCGCGTGGCCTTCTCTACTGTCGACCCTTCCACAGCAGAATTTCTCTGCACGCTGTCAACTCCAAGGCCAGTGGTATGCCCATGACGCTGACCATCTTCAGCGTGCAGCGGAGTCTGAACCTCCGGATTCGCAGGATATTGGAACACCAGCTTCGGACCAGGCCTTGAGTGTACGATGAGGAGTATCGCCACCAGTGGCACGCTGGAGTTCGACATTCCGTCTGGGAATCATCGTTCGAAGTAGTCCATCAGTTCTTGTGCCTGTCGCAACATATCCGCACCTGCCAACCATGGTACAGTGCAGCGCAGGTGTTGACTCTTCGACCAAGCCTCCAAGCTCGACGGGTAGTCCGGTCAAAGTTCGGCACGTCACGGCCCGGGCCCGTCGCCATGGACGACACGAAATACATCGAACGGCGGCATCTCACATTAATATACATGTACAACTGAACGAGTCCAATATCTTCGCCAGCAGTCTTACGCCCGGCCGATCTGGCTGTTGCTTCTTGTATTCACCCACAACTAGGCCTACTACAAAAATAACCATACGCAATCGATCGACCACACCACCTTCCAGGCCTTGAGCCTGTAGCACCATGCGCCTCTTCCTCTTCCTCCTTTCGGCAGCCGTATCGTGCGCATTCGAGATACGGAACAATTTCCAATCATTCATATCGGCCTTTTCGATCAGTCTCGAAGACTACATCCCCCCAACCTTTACACCGAACGACAACACATCCGAAACCGATCAAACCCACGAACTGCTCAAACGTCAGTATTCCAACACCTGCCCGACGCACTTCTCGGCGTGCGCGAACCTAGGAGCACCCAATCTGTGTTGTGCGAGCGGCGCCGTCTGTTCCGCGGATGCCGCAGGCCATGTGGCGTGCTGTCCTGTAGGCGCAGCCTGCAGCGGGACCATTGGTGGGGTTATAACAGCCGGTACTGTGAATGACGTGGGAAGTTTGATGGGTGGGACGGCCACAACAACGAGCAGTTTCGTGCACGCTGGGACAACGACGACGACCAATGGCTTGGTCGCAGCAAGCGTGCCGAGCACAACTGCAAACCCACAGACGAGCGGGAACGGATTTGTAATTGACGGAGGGAGTACGGTTGCAACGCCTGGGGCGGCTGTGAGGGGTGCGCAAATTGTGAGTACATTTGCTAAGAGTCGGTGGCTTGCGACTGCTGATGCTAACGATCTGCAGCCGCTCGTCGCGAGAGCCATACTTCGTCTGTTGGAGTATCTGCCAATTTAGAATGCCTCGATGCTATGACGTTTGCGAAGCGATGGAATGGCATGGATGTATATGCTGTATACATATGTTGTCTTCTCACTCGGACCTGCATTTCTCCAAGCACAGTCTGAACGGAAGTCTACGAATGACCCTGGACAGCCCTTGTGACGTATGGCTCCTCGAGATATTTCTCCTCCTCCTCAGTCAGGACCTTGCCTCTCGCATCGAGAGCCTCGTCCATCCTTGCGACGGAACTGAACCCAATAATCGGGCTGGCCACTCTCTTGTTGATCCATGCCAGCGCAACATGGCTCATCTTCCAGCCCCTCTTCTCGGCAATCTCCTGCACCCTTTTCACAACCGTCTGGTCGCTCTCAGTCTGGCCGGTGCTGAACATGGTGGATTTCTTCTCGCCCTCACTTCTCACGGTATTACCGAATTCAGTTGGTGGCCGTGCAAGGTGTCCTCTGCATAGCGGCGCCCAGGGGATGAGTCCGACACCAGTCTTGTCACAGAACGCGTTCATCTCCCTCTCCTCCTCGCGGTACAACAGGTTGTAGTGGTTCTATGGTGGACCATGTCAGCTTGTGGTCAGGGCCAAGGAATGACATGCGCTCACCTGCATGGAAACGAACTTGGTCCACCCGTTCTTCTCCGCGACAAACTGGTACATTGCGAACTGGTAAGCCTGAACAGCAGATCAATAATGATTAGCGCCCGATTCGACTTCGAGAAGCTCGTTGCACTGGGCCCACATACCCACATGCTGCTGGCTCCAATGTATCGGACTTTGCCCATCTTCACCAGATCATGCAGCGCCTCCATGGTCTCTTCTTGTGGGGTGTACGGATCAAATCGATGAATCTGGAGAAGGTCGAGATAGTCCATGTCCAGCCTCTTCAGCGAAGCTTCGACGGCTTCGAATATGGCATTGCGTGATAGACCTCCACGATTCACATAGTCTTTGGACTCCGCAATCTTTTGGCCATACATGATTCCACGGACATCCGGCGTCTCGCCAACATAGCCATAACACTTGCTAAGAATCACGAGTTTGTTGCGCGGTAGCTCGTAATGCTTCACAGCTTTGCCGATGATCTCCTCGGAAATGCCGTTACTGTACACATTGGCAGTGTCCCATGTGTTGAGGCCTTTGTCATATGCTGCCTTCAACAGCGGGAAAGCTTCATCTTCCTCGATGACCTAAGCGAATGGCAATGTCAGTACGTCTCGTAAGTCACATGCAGATGGATGTCATTGCATACCCACGGTTGCCATTCCTTAGAGCCAAAGCTCATTGCACCGAGGATTGGAACAGAAACTCGCAGTCCCGAGTTGCCGAGACGTTTATACTCCGCCTTGGTCTCATTGATGGAGCGGATCACGGGATCATTGTTGTCGTTCGACATTGTAGGAGATTGATCGGGGCCTGTTGATATCAGTACACAGATGCTGGAAGTATAATAAGCCAGTCCCAATGGCCGCACAAAGGCTAAGGATGAAGAGGAAGTGTGCCGTTTTTTGTTATATAGCTGACAACACCTTTCTCCGCAGAAGATGAGCCGACGTCAGTTTAAAGCCAGGTACCTTCCTTGTTGGGCAATAGATCGGCAGTGCAAAACTCTTTAGCGGCAGTCCCAGCCAAGCCAGCGCCTTCGTCTTCACAACATCAGGCTAAGTTGAGAGGACAATCGAGATAATGAAAAAGGCTTTGTCGTCCTTGAATGTTCAGATATGGCCAGAGCAGCTGCGGCAAGCCTTGCATTGAAGCCGTGTGCCAGTTGCCAGCCATCCGCCTTGACAGAACACTAACCCTTCAGTAAACCCTACGCCTTGACTGCTATCTCACTTGATGGCCACGACGGAAAGAAGTGAAGGAAACGTGAATGAGACGAAAAGCAACCCGAAGTGACATTGCCCAATTCTCAGGACATGTGGGTATGTATATGTGTCCTCCCGGATGCTGCAGCTCAATGCCACCCCGATTTCGCACACGACCGGACTGTGCTTCGCTCACGCGCGTGCTACTGCAACGGTCTAGAAGCTGCTCCTGAATCATGGCCAAACTGACATGAAATCTCCAGGTGAGGTCATCGAAGGTTCAAGACGACGCCACAGGGCCGGTCTCACGTCCATTTTCAAATTCACGTGACACAGAGCATGAAGTGTATATGCTTCCTCTGAGCAAGCGTCAGTACTCCATTCTTCTTGAGGAACAACTCATGCATGTCGCGGAGCTGGAGATGAGCACAGTAACCCAGCGGTGCGCTCATCCTGCTGCACCAACCAGATACAAGCAGATATTGCGAAGATGGCTGCCGAGTCGCACCTGTCGAAGCGTAAGTCATTCGATACGACCAAGAAGCGGATGTGAGTTGTACTGCCTATCTTAGGCCACAGCGAAGACCAAGAACGGGCGTGATTGCTGGTTTGGCATCGACAGCACCAGCACTCTGAGCAGTCTCGAGACTTCTTTGGTTTCGCTTACCTCCACTTCCGCGAATCCTTTTTGCCATAGCGAAGGTGCAAAGAGCTTTTCGGGGAAGGAGAGGTGGCAGCATATGCTTCTCCGGTCCACGGTCGGCCTCTCATGCGATGCTTGGAACGCAATAAATGCATGGTCTGGCCGCCTTGTCCTCCTCGTTCTCCCGGACAGCAACGAATTTACATGCGCACCGCATAGACTGCGCTGGCATGAGAAATGCGAGTTTTCGAGAAGACGTCGTGCTTGCCCTTCGGTGCTCCAGCACTGCTCATCACCGCCACGCCTCCCTCGACTCGACAGGCAGGTGCACGGGTGCTGTTGCGCCCTCATAACCTCAGCTTCCTGTCGTCTTTTCTTCTTCTCCTTCACATCAACATCCTCCAAACACTGCATCACTGACTGCGCTGCCGCATCTTACGCCACTTTTCACCGAGAACTTGTATGTCCGTCTCGCCCACACTGTGCAACCTCACTGACCTGTTTCAGACCACCAGTATCCTCTCCGCCGCCACAGAAATTCTCGTGGTACCGTACAGCATGGCCAGCCCATCCCACTCCGACTGGGTCGCTGAGAAGCCAGCCCCCACCGACTTCATTGCCCGCATCGGATGCGATGAGCACCTGATCACCAACGGCAGCGCAACCATTGACGGCGTCACCTACGTTGTTGACCCTCTCTACAAGTTCCGTGCCTGGGATCCCGAGACCAACCCGGCCGCCCCGACTGGCTCCTGTCGCGTCAAGCCTGGTCGTGAGTCCATCCGAGAGGACAAGCCTCTCTACACCAGGAACATGACCGCCACCGACTGCGAGGTCCAACGCTGCATGTGGGAATTCATGAGGCCAGTTGACATGGTGGTCATCCAAGATCCCAGCGACCACCACAATGACGTGTTGACCACCTACACCACTCGCCACCCCATGATTCCTCACAACCATATCGTCACTCACATGCACCCTGGTCCGGAAACCATTCTTGTCGAATCCTCTCGCGTCACCATGACTGAATCGACCTACACCACCCACATCAGCACAGCTCACTGGGGTGTGTACGGTGACAGCGTGACCTCCGTGGTGCATCCCGGCCCGGGACAGGCCTCGATGAGTCCTCCCCGCCACGCGCTCACCAAGACTGCGTGGGTCTATCTCCCCGGGTATCCGGTAACATTTCCAGAGTATACGACACACGTCACGGCATGGCAACCACCAAAATGTACGTCGCTGGACAGTTGCTTCGACGCCTGTTCTGTCGACAGGGCGGTCGAAGGCCACTCTCACAGCAAAGCAGACATGATCGGCGGCATCGCAATTGCGGTTGGAACACTCGTATTCATCCTCCTGGCGCTCTGTGTGAAAGCTCTTTGGGACCGTACCAGACGCACTCGCACTCAAGCCGATCGATCGCGAATCAATGCTCAGGCCCGTCAGGCCGCCGCTTCTGATAACGACCCAGCCACCACCACCGAGCCGATGTCGGAGAACGTCGCCGGCCCAGCTGCTGGCACCCTCTCACGCCGCGCCGAGGAAGGCCGTGGCCAGGTCAGCTTTGCCGAGCCAGTGGAGCAGGGCGGCGCCGTCACGACAGCTGGCGCCGCGAATGACTCAACAGCTGGCGCCGCCTCCACCACAGGCACCACCGCTGGCATCACGAATGCGGGCGAAGCATCCACCACCCAAGCCACCGACCACGCCACCGGCTCCGAGCACGCAGAGCACACCGAGCACACCGACCCCGTCCCCGTCCACGACGGCGCCACCGGCTACAACGCCACCAACAACAACGGCAAAGGCACGCTCCGCGGCCGCCGCCCCGGCCGCTCGGACATCTGAGCACCCCTTAGCCCATCACCGCACGCACGCCGAGCTCATCAGCATTCTCTCTCACACCGCCTTTGGTCCCTTCTCCTAATGACCACGAGGCATGATTCACCGACGGCATGATGCGGGATGCAGGAGTATGGAGGGGCGGTGTCGCTGCTGCAGAGGAGCAGTGATGATGATGGTATTGTTCTGTTCACAACAACACACGGGAGTACGGGAGTGGGGATGGCGCTGTCGATTGAAGGAGGAGCAAGCGAGCGAGAACCTGAGGATGAGATGTCATGGCGTTGGAATGTTTTTGTTGTTGTTTGCATGCGTTGGTTCGGTTTGGACTGGTTGTCTTTTCTTCCTGCTGTTTCTTCTCTGTTGTACTGTACTACGATGAATGGATGGCTTTGCTTGTTACTCCGCCGTCCCAGTCTGCCGTCCTGTGCCGTGTAATGTACACTGCCACTCCAGCCTCGATGTCACGGGAGAGCCCATGCTGCATGCTCCACCACCCACACCTACCTCACACTTCGCTGCTCCTCTGCCGGTCCTGCATCCAGAGCCTCACTGTCGCCCTCCACTCCTACTGCCATCATCCTTCCGGCATCGCAATATACAGTCGTTCCAACGAACACGCATCAGCACAACGCAGCATCACGCCGTGCGACACCGCGCAACTTCCTGCTCCGACCATCACACGCCATTTCCGGCTTTCCAACACCGTCTACTACACCAGGGTCTCCGGTAGTGATCACGTCGACGGGGCGAGATGCATGAGCATGGATGGGCATGGGTATTCTACAGTTTTCCGCCATCGCCACTTCACTTCCGCTCGCACCGCAATTCTTCGCTTCCGCGCTCCTACACTGACCTCCCCATCAACGCGGACTGACTCAAGTGACCTCACGCATTCACAATGACTCCAGCGCCGCGGTGGGATCGGAAAGGTAAGATCCAAAACACGTGGAACAGGATATCGCCCAACGGGCACACCAGGGGACCAAAGCGCGATTGTACGAGAATCTACTTGGACCCGATCGCCACCAAATCGCCAAACAGCTCTCATCTACAGTCCCCACCCCTCACCATCCTCCACAACCCAATCATTCCACCCTACATCTTCACACCCCTCCGCCGTCCCCGTCTCCCCCTTTCCTCCTCCTCTTCAACCTCCTCCCTCCCCTTCTCCAACCCCCACTCCCCGCCGGGCAGCACCCTTAAATCCTCCCCCCGCAAACCCAACCCCTCCACATCAACCCAATCCTCTCCATCGCTCATCTCGGTAACCCTTTCTCCCCTCGCATTAGTCTTGAGATGGCCTTCCGCGCGCGTCCAGCACCAGACCGAGTTACGCAGGCGGTCGGCTTTGAGCAGGGAGGTAGAGAGAGCGGAGAGTTGGCGCACGATGTGGGATTGTTTTTGGATGTAGAGGAGGAGCATGCGGCGGGTTTCTTCCGCTTCGGGGGCGGGGAGGTCGAGGTCGCGGGCGGGGATGGCGGTGGCAGGGTGCAGGAACCAGGGGTGGATGGGGGGAATGTCGGTGGGGGAGGAGGGGGCGGGAGAGGTAGGGTTGTCGTTGTCGGCGGGGGAGCGGGCGCGGGCGCGGGTCGTCATGGCGTGGGTGTTGGTTGTCGGAGTGGATGTGGGGTCGGAGGTGGATGGTTCGGGGTCGAGGTTGGTGTCGAGGGGTGGTGGGGCGGTGGGGGAGGTGTCTTCGGGTGCGGTGTTTGTGGGTTGCTCGTCTGCGGGCTTGGAGTTTTCTGTGGTTCCGTCGAAGGATGCGGCGGTCTTCTCGGCTTCGGCGGCTGCTTGCTGCAATGCCATGTCCGCTGCTTCGACACCCTCTTCTCCCATGCCGTTTCCAGTATCGTCTACCTGCATCTTCTCCGGCACACCCTCCTCAGTTTCAGACTGCATTGCACCACTACTCCCCGCATCCAGCGCCACACTCGGCACATCCTCCCCGTCCCCTGTACTAGGTACCAACATCCCCTCATCACCCTCTCCCTCAAACGCCTCACAAGGCATCCACTCCCCATCTCCCCTAAATCTCCTCAACAACCTCTTCGCCCTCCACAGCACCTCCCTCTCCCTCCTCAACATCTCCGACGCTTCATCCGCCATAAGCGTCAACGCTCTACTCTTATACGGCAGACTCAAACTCGGGTGATCGCTCAACTCCGCCGCGCTCGTCAGCGGACGCAGCAACTCTTCCAGCTTCACATCGCCAAACGGGTTCTCGTCGACCGCCTCGCCCACGCCGCGCTCTTCGGCGTCCGAGTCGGTGGGGGAGACGACATCGCCGTCGGGGTCGTAGAGGGTGGGGTTATGGGAGATGATGGGGCGGATGTAGCCGGCGTGGGAGACGGGTTTGCGGTAGGCGGTGCGAGGGAGGGTGGTGTTGAGACGGGAGGGGTGTAGGTTGGCGGAGGTGCGGTGGTGCTTGTGGCCGCGGTTGGTGGTGGGGTTGGCGGTGGTGGGGTCGTCTTCGGAGTCTGGGTCACGTGGTTAGCCTTTCACATGCTGTTGTGGTTTTGTTGGAGGTTCGGGTTTGGGTTAGGTGTTGGGTTGGGCTTGGGGTGTGGTTATGGTTAGGGATTGGAGTGGCATACCGTCTGCCCTGCGCTTCAACGCGACTTTCATGGAGCGAATCGTTTCCGCAAACTGCGCTTGCTGGTTGGCCATCTTGTCAGATCTACCCTCCTGTTGCTGTCGTCTGGCGTGGGCAATGGCTGGAGAACGCGTCGAAGTGAAGCTTTCAACGTCACGGCGGCATCAATTCCGCAGTATCGTGCCAAGCCTCGGAGACGGTGAACTGGCCGTCTCTTCTTCTTCTCCTCCTCCTCCTTCGCAGTGGCCATTCCTCCTGACGTCTGGTGAAACCATCTCCAGAGCCACACAACGACGAGACAACTGTGTATCCTTCTGAAGGGTAAGGTGTATACATCGCCGCCGTCAAGACGGCATGCCTCGGAGCCTTTCTCGGGCAAGGCTGTGGAGAGATGATGATGATGCCCACAACCGCTCCATCGATTCTTGATCCTACTGCTCGGTCCGCTCCATGAAGAGTCAGTGTATCTTTGCAACCTGAAAATTTCCTCTCTTACACTCTTGCTCAGCCTTCAGTGCACTCATATCTCATTTCGTTGATCCAGTTAGTTGTTCAAGATGTCATCGAACACCTTCTCCTCCCCCGCCTGGTGGAAGGAGTCCTGCATCTACCAAATCTACCCTGCATCCTTCAAGTCCTCCCCCAACAACAAGTCCGGCTGGGGCGACATCAAAGGCATCACCTCCAAGCTCGACTACCTCAAAGACCTCGGCGTGGACATCCTATGGCTCTCTCCAATCTTTAAATCTCCCCAAGTCGACATGGGCTACGACATCAGCGATTACAAAGACATAGATCCCACCTACGGCTCCCTAGACGACGTGGACGAACTGATCTCCAAGCTCAAAGACCGCGATATGAAGCTCATGATGGACTTGGTTGTCAACCACACCAGCGACCAACACGCCTGGTTCCAGGACTCCCGCTCCTCGAAAACTTCCTCTAAGCGCGACTGGTACATTTGGCAACCTCCCCGCTACGACGCCGATGGAAACCGCCAGCCACCGAACAACTGGGCCCTCATTCTTGGAGAAGCCAACAGCGCCTGGTATTAAAACCCTACCATGTCCGAGACTTTCGCTAACCCTTTTGCCCTTTTGTTTGTAGGACCTGGGACGAGCACACGCAAGAATACTTCCTCGCCCTCTTCACCCCCGAGCAGCCCGACCTCAACTGGCGCAACCCGGCCGTCCGCGAAGCCGTCCACGACGTCCTGCGCTTCTGGCTCGACCGCGGCGTCTGCGGCTTCCGCATGGACGTAATCAACCACATCAGCAAAGTCTCCGGGTACCCGGACGCCAAAATCATCGATCCTTCCGCCCCTTACCAACCGGGCCACGCCCACTACGCCAACGGGCCCGAACTGCACAACTACCTGCAGGAAATCCACTCGGAAGTCCTCAGCAAGTACCCCACCATCACCGTCGGCGAGATGCCCTTCGTCAAAGACGACTCCGAGATCCTGCGCGTCGTGTCCCCCGACCGCAACGAGCTCAACATGATCTTCATCTTCGAGCTCGTCGACGTCGACAACGTCCCGGGCTCCTTCCGCCTCACCCGCCACGAATGGCACCCGCGCGACCTGCGCCGCATCGTCTCGCGCTGGCAGAACGTCATGCAGGAGTGCAACGGCTGGAACAGCGTCTTCATCGAGAACCACGACAACCCGCGCAGCCTGACGCGGTATGTCGACGATTCGGACCAGTTTCGCGATTTGGGGGCCAAACTCCTCGCGCTCATGCAATCCACTCTTTCGGGGACACTGTACGTCTACCAAGGCGAAGAACTCGGGATGCGCGACCTTCCCCCGGAGATCCCACCGGAAGAGTACAGGGACATCGAGTCCCAAAACTTCTGGCGCAAGTCCCTCTCCCTCTACCCGAACAACGAGAAAGGCGGTCTCGACGACGCGCGCAAGACACTCCAACGCAAGGCGCGCGACCATGCTCGGACTCCTGTCCCTTGGTCGCCCGAGGGCCCTAACGCCGGGTTCTGTGATGAGGGTGTGGAGCCGTGGATGTGTCTCAACCCCGACTTCACCTCCTACAACGCCTCCGCGCAGCAAAACCCACCCGAAGGTAGTGGCGAGGGATTGACCGTCTTCCAATTCTGGCGCCGCGCCCTGCGTAACAGGAAAGAGCACGCCAACACCTTCGTCTACGGCACCTTCACCGAGCTGCCCTCAAACGCAACGGAGGAGGTCTTCGCGTACACGAAGACCGCCGCGGATGGGAAGGAGGCTTTTGTGGTGGTGCTGAACTTCTCCGGCAAAGAGGTTGAATGGGCTGTGCCTGAGGGTGTGAGCGTGGAACGGTGGGTAGCTGGGAACTGGGATGATGACGGGGCTGACAAGGGGACATCTGGTGAGATTAAACTGAGGGCGTGGGAGGGATTGCTTGGTATGGTCAAGGTGTGAGTGGTGGAAGTATTGGTGTACGGGGGTGGTGGGGTGAGTCGGGTTTGCCAGATGCATGGGCAGGGGCTGTACTGGCGGCGAGACTACCGCATAGATCGAACGGTCCGCCGCCTCTCGAGTACTGGAACGGTTTAACGTGGGAAACGCCGTCGCTGCAATGGGATCAACTCGGCACGCGACGAGAAGGCCATCTCGTGGCTCCGAGCCACCGGGGCGATTGCTTGAGCCTGTGGGCCACCCAGTGATCTCGTTTGCCTCCCTCTGTGCTGCTAACGAAAGAGTCGGTTTAGAGCACCGCCACCCGCTGTACCTTTTGTACATACTTCAACACCGTGTTGAGAAATGTCATTGCACGACTGAACATACAAGGTATCTGCTGCTTCTCGAGTACTATAACGAGACAATAGGGGAAGATCAGTCGCTGTAGTGGGCTCGACTTCACTGCTTGTAGCGAGAAGATTCGCAGGGTCATACCCATGGTGGCGGAAAATGTTAAATGGCTAAGGGTGCCGGCTGTGATTGATGCTGTTGTCATATTGGCGGCCGCTGTCTGCTATTGTGCCTGTGTGTGCTTTTTCATGTACTTTGGTTCGAGGGAGGAATGTACGTGTAGACGCTGTCGCTGCGAACATGGGATAGGTACGTGCCATGTCGTTGAGAAAGTAGGCACTCACGATCACGCGGGCGTAGTTCTCAGCACGCTAGTAACTACACTTCTGCGAGGCTGCAGCTGCAACATCACACTACCTTACTTGTGCCTCTTCATCAACAGGTCTCACAGAAACAATCAAGCAGAGTTCATTGAACGAATGGCCGAGTCCATAGAAGAATCACCTTGCTATGCGTCGACTGGAGAGGGTTTTATCGCTCGCACACCGCTTGCATGTTTACCACCACATGCAGGCAAGTGATGTCCCTACCTTACCAGACGTAATGGGCTCATCAAACGAAGCCAAAGTATATTCCTTTGATGGTCCTGAAAAGCCCGCCAAACCGCAGAAACGCTCCAAGCAGATGTCTCGATGGCACAGCATGGGACCGCATGCCCGGGTCGATGCCTTACCAGGAACATTTGCAAATGGCCGGCCGCTGATGCTTTGTCGTGGCAGCACAGCAGGCTGCCGTGACAGGCTCTGAAGAAAGTCAGACGACGGCTCGTCCGATGGCTGCGTTGCTTCTGCTCACTTACTCCTCACTGTCTTTTCTCTAACCTTGTACCTCCAACGCCGAACAGCTCCACGGACCAGAATGGGAATGTCTGCACCGCTTGCACAACACCAAACAGATCGAGTGCGCTGAGCTCGGATCCATCGGAGTCTTGAGTGTAGCAGCCGAAGAAGTAGGCGGCGACGTGACTGATAATGGTCCAGACGAAGTAGTGACGCATGTACCATCGACTGGATACGAGATGATCAGCTTTTGTTGGGACGGCGCCATTTAAGACTGTACTGGGCCTTACTTCTCATCATTGAACCTGCCCAGCGACAGTCCCATCCCGCTGAGGACGACCAGCAAAACCGCGTTGGCGATCTGGAACCCGAATTGGACCTTGGCGTGCGACTTCAAGAAGAGCGACGCAAGCCCAGTGAAGGTGTAAAGTACCGCCGGAACTGATTTTAACAGTGCCCACGCGAATTCTTTGCCGGTCTGCGATGTCGCAACCAAGTCCTGCTGGCAACGAGGCAGGACCCATCCTTTGGAAGTGTTGCCAAGCCACCACCTCTTCTTTGGCCGACGTGCCCACTGTACAGCTGCGAGGCCACTTGTCCGGCCTGCCCTGGCCAAGAGAGTCGAGCTGTTGTTACCGGCTCGACCGGTGTTGTTCGAGACCATCCGACCATCTTCTAGCGTTGATGGAGGCAAGTCCTCCGCTCGTGCTGCTTCATTTCCTGGCGTGGTCTGCTTCTGGACGATGGCTCCATCCGACTGTTGCAGACTTGAGCCTATCTGGATGAGAGGAACGGCTGTTGTTTCTTCCGTCATTGAGCTCGCCTGGCCACGGCGTTTGCGGTTACGGTGCTTTTTCTTCCTGTCGTGAGGCTGGACATCCAGACTCGTGTCTGGATGGCCGTTGGCCTGTGTATGTAGTCTGGGTTCATCCTTCGGCATGTTGGAAGGTTGTTTGGCAAAGATAGTAGGATTTGAGAATTAGTCAGTGGACTCAAGGGTATCTTGGACAAGTCTGGTACGCCCATGGAACGATGTAGAGCACCCGACATCGACAGCATTGCGAACAAAGCGCGGCTCGCGAACCACGGCAAGGCGATGGTCAGCCCAGCTCTGACGTGGCAAGGCTCGCAGCCTTGCGTAGATTCTTGTTTTCTGCATGAAGTTGCCAGCTGAAGCTACAACCGGGAGACCAATCTTCGGAGACTCGACAAGGCTGTGAAAGCTGCAGACATTGTGACAGCCCGTCTTACTCTTCTGCACGTACAACACGACTTGGGGACTCGAATACTGCACCAGCTGCCACCAGCATCTAGGCCATTTACACCGCAGAACAACCATCACCGTCGGACGATTACTACCAGCAGACCGACCGCTTGAGCTTCGAGACACGCAGCCTCGCTGTCGGCCCAAATATGAATCCGGCGCGCGAGCACAAGATGTTGAATATCATCAGAGAAGGCGAGACTGGCAAAGGGATAGATCCAGGCAGCGGAAAAGAAGCGATAGAGTACAAAAGCGGCGCCCTGGCTGTCACGGAAGGAGAACAACTGAATGACAGTTTCGAGCGCAAAGTTCAACCTCGGAAATTTTTCACAGTTGGCAGAGTCCTCATGGTTCTGTGGGTAGAGCCGGCTGGCGAGACAAATAAGAGCGGAACAGCCATGAACCGCTTCGAAGGAGTTATTCACTCCAAGGCCAGACGATTTGTGGTGGTGAAGGAGAACAGCAAATCATGCGTCGCAGTACCAATCAAGACGTACGGCGACAGAGGAGTAGCGCGTCGTGGACAAGAGCTGGACGAGAAGACACAACGCAGCGTTATCTACACTGGTGCGGGCAAGGTCGATCGAGAAGACAACAGTGGAAGTTGCAAAAACATGCCACTCCCGATCCGTGTTGAGTGCGAAGAAGAGGGTACCAAGCTTGATGCCGTGTCTCGATTGTCAGTATCTTCGGATTTTCCAGAGACTATCGTACTGACCGGGCATAGAAATTTCAATACAGCTTACGCACCCTACCAAGCCATTTCCCACAATTGGTTGCCAACGATTTCGAACGGCGTGGAAATCAGCTCCACGAGGCTGCTTTCACGGCTCGGCAAGAGCGAAGGTCTGCTCAGACTGAGTGCATTCGCAGCATTGTGCACCCCAGCATACTCAACTAAAGTCGCCAGAATGCCAGGGCTTTACAGTCCGCAAGAGGTAAGTTCTCCCACCGAATCAACAATTTCAAAGCGCATATCCTCAGACAAACAATCGACAGTCTCTCCGCGCCCAATTCGACCTCGAACACTGGATCCCAGACCTCGGCCACTCGTCCGAAGGCTGCGTGGTCGCCGCTCTCGCTGTCATGATGTGTGAGCTTGCGGTCATGTATCACCTCCGTCCATTCGACAGGTACAAGAGTCGTGCTGCTGGAGTCTGTCTTACTGGGATCTTGGTGTTTTGTGGAGTCTTTTACGTACCGGTGGAGCAGCTCGTGACGTTGGTCTGGATGGGACTTAACTTGACACTGGTCTTGAGCGCGTTGGTCCATGGCCTGTCTGTGAACCCGACGGAGCATGGAGACTGCAAGGGCGAGACGGAGAAGCACAGACCCGGAAGCAAAAAGTTTACGACGTAACGACATTGTTTGCGCGACCAACAATATTACGTCAGAAGATTCATTAGCAGGCAAGAGTGGAATGAAGGGATTCGTCGAGCTGGAATAAGCTAGTAGTCCAGCGTTCTTATGATAGTGCAAATTTAGTGGAATGTACTTAACTCATCCAGCAGCTGTAAGGTAAAGACCATCCATCCACATCTCCACCATTGTAGCCTTGAGAAACCTTGAATGAAATGAGAAGGCGTACAAGCACACATACAGACATCGACCGTGCGTGAGATCTCGTTCATAACTCTTCCCTACTCCTGCCTAACCCCCTCGACCCATCAGCCTCCGCCATCTGATTCAACGGCTCATAAACCCCCATTTCCCCCTCCCCCTTCCTCCTCCCCACCATCTTCTGTATCGCCCTCCACGCCCCCCAACTAGCCGCCACCGCCACTAGCGAGGACACTGCGCCCGCAGCATAAGCCGCCCACGACCATCCCACCACCTCCACCGCCTCGTGCTCGTGCTCCGGCTCTGTGGTTGGGTGTGATTGCTCCTCAAGCCACTGCGCCTCCGCCACCACGGGGGCACTGAAGCCGTCGAATCCTTCTTCGGGTGTGGTCGCTTCGATGACGGATGAGCGGCCGAGCTCCGCGCCGTGGGCGTCGAGGGCGGATGCGATGACGTGTTTCGCGTAGCCGTCGTACACCAGCACAGTCTCGAAGCCTTGTCGTGGGGTTGACGCTACGAGTTCAATGGTTTTGCCTGAGGGGTCCGAGTGGTAGAGCTCCCAGGTGGAGACTTCCGTGGCGCCGTTCCAACTTGCGTATACCACCGTCTGCATCGTCTCGTTCCCGGCGGCGGCGACGGCGGCGTAGACATCAGGTCCCCGCGCCGGCTGGCCGACCCAAGGGAACTTATAGCTACGATAGCAGTGCCCCGGTAACTTGAGCGAAGCTTCCATGATCAATCGTCCGTCGGCCGTGTGTTCGGAGATCTGCGTGTGGTATGTCCAGCCCATGAACGCGTTGCCGTTCGGGAGAGTCTGGAAACTACCGCGGGAATTCGTGAGAGCGCCCTGCGGGTGGTCGTACTGCGCGGCGATACTGGCGGTCATCGTTTCGTGCTCCAGGGACAGTAGAAGACCGCGGGAGTTGCTGTGAGTAGCTACTTCTCCCACCGCGGCGGAGCCGATGGCGTTGTCGAAAATGGCGACGAGGGTGTGGGTGGAGTTCTGGCCGCGGACGGTGGCGTGGTGTTGGCGAGAGAACTTGACAGACTTGCTAGCGAAGGAGAAGGAGGAGTTGGTGCCGCCTAGACGCCAGACGATTGAGCTGTCGGTGTGGTTGACTTTGTAGAGCGTATCCGTGTGGCGGGAGGAGACGAGGTAGTCGCCATTCGGGAACTTGTCCACGGCGTTGAAATGCATGATGTCCCAATTCCTCTGACACAATTCTTCATAATTGGTCGGCGTGAACGTGACTTCGTCCAGACCGATATGATCACGCCCGTCCCATTCGAAGACCGCCTCCGAGGTCGCGGTATCTAGCTCTCGAAAGCCTTTCCATAACGATTTGCAGGTCTTGTTCGGCCCAATTCCAATCTCCGCCGCCTGCTCGATGGTGGAATGATGCTCCGTCGAAGTGACCATGAGTGAATGTACTCCGTCATCGACCAGATTGAACTCATGCATGTCCACTCCCTTCATTTCCACCCTGTTCAGCTCGCTGTATGTATTGTCCAGTATCGCACCAGCATCTTCATTCGGGTACATCAAAGTCAAAACATCCTTGCCCTGGTACTGCTCAACCCTGAAATCGAAGGTATTGTAGTGGTCGAAGGTCGCCGCGCCGCACCATACAAGCTCTCCACTGTCGTCAAATATATACGGTCCCACCCAGTGCTTCGCCGTGGTATCCTGATCCAGCTCATGGTACGGCGCAACGAACCAGTATCCCGGCGCAAGCGCTGCGCGGTCAAAGACATTCACTCGAAACTTGGGCGCCTTGATATCCGGCCTCGAAACGAACGTGTGGAACTTGTCTCCAGGGAAGTCGGCGTCTGCTTCGTCTTCTGCCGTTCCTATTAGCTCTCGAGACTCGACCAGCGAGTATGCGGTGTCCGAATGCGCTGTCCCGACAGACGTGAGAAGCAGCAGGATAAGCAGCGGAGCGGATTTCGAGAAGGTGCTCCAGGCCATCGTTGCAAACGGGAAGAGAAAGACCGCCCGTCAACGGACCTCGTTCAAAGGAAAGTTGCAGCAAAAGCAGGCGCAGAAAGCAGGATGACACGAGCTGATCAGCGAAAGCGATACACGACCACAATGGAGGGCCGGTGTCAGCTTACTGTTGGGTACAGAGAAGAAACACCTTGGCGCAGAGGTAGCACCCTTTTCTGTACCTACCCAGTGATCGCACCGTATCGCTATCGGTATAGTAGAGCGCAAAATGGATCAAAAAGCGTACTGCAGGCGTGGCAGGAATCAAGATGGGATGAAGCGATCGCCGTGTCTCCCCTGTCAGGCTCGGCAGGCAATTGGATAGCAGATCCCTCCACCCACATGGCGATATCACAGGCCATGTTTGGCGCGATTGGCGCGCTGGTGTGCATCCTTTGGCCTTTACTTAGAGGGACCGTGAGAAGTTGGTGTAGCCTAGGCGTTTCCGGCGAAGGATGATGGTGTGACAGATGCGTTACAGCTGCCGGGAGCCGAGATTGGGCCGTGCTGCCATCAGCAGCTACAGAAGATCAGATCATATCGTTTACACAGGTACATGTACGTTGTTCGAGACGTTCTCGAGGAGGGAAGGTATGGGACATAGGACGTTGACTGTGCAGGGGGTGGACAGCTTTTGCCGTGATACCTCCTACCAGTTCTCTGGAGAAGTAGTCTCACGCTTGGGGATATCTCAGCACGCGTCACTAGAGCCATTGCAGGACCGCCCTGATCTCAAGCATTACTTGACCGCAAGTGTTAATGGCAATGGCGACGTTTACAAAGTACGGAGGGAAGTCAGTGGAATGGGGAGGTGAACGTCAACCGCGGCATTCGTTTACACGGGTGATGTTGAGTTCTTGAAAAGATCTGGGGATTCAGAATCCTGCTCTTCACCTTCAGTCGAAGCGAGTGATCCAGTGGTGGTCTTCGGGGGACATTAAATTGCTCTGAACGCCAACCCTCGGGCCAGCAAGGCTTTCTGTCCTCTATCGAGACCTTCACGGATTGCCGCCGGATATGTACAATGCTGCGGCCAGCTCATCCATCCTTCGTAATTATCGCGCAACAAATCAGCCAAACACGCGCCTATCTTGTCTTCTCTGGATCCTCCAGTATGCCCTCTGCTTCCAGCCTTCGCCGCGCCTCCTCGAGAGCCCACGTCTGTATGCTGCACAACAAGTCAGCATCTCATCTATGCCCAAGCACTCCCATATCCAGGCCAGCCTCAGGTAGGAAAAAGCTCACTCACCTCGTATCAGGCTTATAGCAGTACCCCACAACCCCAAACAGTATACTCCCAAAGAATCCATAGTACCACACATTCTCCCATCCCTCGTTCTCGTACTTCTCCCCGGGCTTCACGCCGAATAGCCAGCCGGATGGTGAGTCGTAGTGGTCTTCGTGTGCATGGTCGCCGGCGCTTCGCGAGGCGGTGGATGTGAGGTTCCTCCGCGCGGTGAAGGAGGGGTTTGTGACGATTTGGAGACGGGCGCGGGGTGCGGAGAGGAGACGGGCAGCGGGGCGGAGGAGCGGCATAGTTGGGCTTGCTACCGCTGTGTGGGTGTCGAGGGAGTGGAGAGTGGTGGGACGTCTAGCTTCGGGGGAGTGGAGGTGTGGTGAGGTTGGATTGGGAGGTCCGGAACCGGCTCTTGCCTGAGGAACGAGGTCTTGGCTGATGCGGCTCTGCGAGCTTCATTCGTGTTTCTCGATTGCCTGGGACTGTACTTCTCATTAACCAACACAACAACACACTACACAATCAACCGAAGACACCAAAATGGCGGACTCCCCCCTCATCACCTTCAAAGCAGGCCGCTGCGACGCCGCCGGCAAACGCATCACCCCCGAGCAAACCCCCGGCTACCTCTACCTCTACAGCGAAGACGACCTCATCCACCTCTGCTGGCGACCACGCTCCCAACCAGTCGATCAACCCGAACTGGACCTCATCACTATCCCCGGCGACGCCACCTTCACACCTTTAGTAAAAGAGGCAGGCGCCGAAGACGTCCGCTCGCCGACAAACGGGCGCATCTTCGTGCTTCGATTCTCCAGCTCGGGCGAGAAGCAATACTTCTGGATGCAGGCGAAGACGCAGCATCGGGAGGGAGATCTGAGCTGGTTCAGCCAGCGGGATCAGCGGCTGGGGCAGATTGTGGATGCGCTGTTGAGTGGGGAGGAGGTGGATGTGGAGCATGAGGTGCAGGAGATGAGGCAGAACCGGGATGGCGGCGGTGGAGAAGGCGGAGGGAGTGGTGGCGGGGACGAGGATCTGATGGATCTGGACAGGACGGAATCGACAGGTGGTGCTGGGGCGGATGCTACGGGTGGCGATCCGCGAGAGGAGGGCGAGGCGAGCAGGGAGGGTGGCGCAGACGGCGGAAGAGCGTAAGTGATGTGTGCTTTTGCGAGACATTGTGGGCAAGCGAGGTGCTCTGGCGTATGCATCAGGTTCGACGGGAGACCTGGTGGGGGCGAGGCGTCCCGGGAAAAGCATGTTGTCCGCATAGACTTGCATACCTCGACAGAGCTACTACACCAAGCGACCTCCTTTTGCGCCTTATCCTCGAACAAGGTAAGCTAACACCCTTTCTTCCACCTCTAGTGCCTCCTCCCAGCAACCACAAGACACATCCTCCCTCGTCCAAAACTTCCTCAACTCCCTCGGCACCTCCTCCCAGCAAAACCAACAACAGCAACAGCAACGCGCCGACAAACCCTTCACCACCCTCCCCGATCTCCTCACCCCCGCCACCATGATCTCCTACATCAACACCTGCACCCCAGCCCAACTCGACACCCTCTGCACGCTCCTCCCACCCGAAATTCTCCTCCTCAACCAAGAATCCTCCGACTCCCTTGCTCCCTCCGCCGCTACACCCGCCGCAGCGCAAGCGGCAATTGAGGCGCAGACGGCGGAGCAGAAGCGGGAGACTGTGAAGAGAGTCCTGCATAGCCCGCAGCTGCAGCAGAGTCTGGGGTCTTTGACTGTGGCGCTGAGGGACGGGGGACTGCCGATGATTGGCGAGGCGTTGGGGTTGAAGGTGGAGAACGGGGGATTGATTAGGGGTGGGAGTATGCCTTTGGGTGGCGGAGAGGCGGTGGAGGCGTTTGTTGAGGGGGTGAGGAGGACGGTGCAGGAGGAGGAGGGGGGGAAGAAGTAGGGTATGAGGCTTGGATGTGGTCTAGGGCTTCGCTGGGAAGTCCTTATGAATACAGCTTGCTTAGCGTAGCATTCATTGCAGGTTTATGGCTCTTCGCTCAGCGCATGATTGTGTATGTACCTGTACCTTGTTACTGCAGATCGTATCCCGCCCGAACGGTCGGGTCGTAGATCAACACAAGTGCTACCTCGCCAGAGTCACCGAATCCAGCGACACTGTCACGACATGGAGACGAATGAACCGACCTTTGGCCTTTTCTACAGATATACCTTGTACACTGTTTCCAAGTCAGTGGCCTCGGCTTTGACTCTGGACGCTTCGCCCGTCGCATTCGCAGCAAGGTGACGTCCTTGCCGCCCGGCTGGCTGTCAATGGCGCGGGCTAGACACAGAAATACGGGATGATCTACGCGAGAGGCTCTAACGGTACCATTGTACTGCTGACGACTACCAGCACCCAGCCGCTTCTCTGCCGTCGCTCTGGCCCTCAGGCCGCGCGGTTACGGGTTGGTCTCGCGGACAGGCTGCAGATTCGGCGCCATCAGCTTCAGACGCATGGACGCCGTTTTGTTCTCCAGGACTGCTGTCTGCCATCTCAGCAATCAGTTGCTGGGCGTTCCATCGATGTCGCTGTTTTGCTCTCGCAAGTCGCAACAAACATGTTATGATGCTCTGTCTTCCGCTCGTGTTTCTGTCCGTCTGGCCGCTTCATCTTGAATATGCCTATGCGCATGAAGCTGTATCGCGGCGCTCAACACCAAGGCTGGGCCCAGATGGGCGCGAAATATCAAAACATACCGGGAGGGACGATGATGACGAGCAGAAGTTCTTTGAGTTCGTAACGGTATGTTCTCTCTGCTGGTCATGCAGACCACAGACTGCTCCAGGCTGATCCGCGGACTATAGCGACCAGACATTGGAGCTCCGCGCTGGAATATCCAGGTGTATGATGAGGAAGCCTTAGCACCAGGATACTGGCTCGTGGCCCCTTATGCCAAGCTCGATCAGAGAGAGGAAGGGAGCAAGTGGAATGGCCCGCATATCTACGACTCCACTGGCGAGCTGGTATGGAGCGGTGCTCCCTTCTTCGACCACTTCAATACATTCGACTTTCGCACGGTCACTGTGGGTGGGAAGGAAATGCTAAGCTTGATCTTTCCACACAAGCAGCATGGCGAAGGCGTGGTGCTGGACAATAACTACAGCATCTACACTGCAGTCGATCTGTTGGGCGAGCTCAAAGCAACAAACATGCACGACTTTACAGTCGTCGATGACGGGGAACGGGCTTTAACACTTTCACATGTGCCTGGCAAAAGCACGATTGGACAGAGCAAAGCGGTTGGGTTCGATGGAAATTGCTCAGCTGGCTGGGAGGTTAGTAGCTACTTCCGAGCAGGAGTCGACGGATTGTAAATTGGCAAGATCTACGCTAACAGGTATAATGGACTATTGCAGGGCTTCAACGAGCTCCGTGTTGAGGATAGCGAACTTCTCTTCGAATGGAGCGCGAGAGACTGGCTTGGTCTTGACGAAACCATGTTCATCCCGGACACCACCATCGACGAGCGATGTACCCACAGCTGGGACATACTGCATCTAAACTCAGTCGACAAAGCCCCAGACGGAGACTATGTGATATCATCACGGCATATGAACGCCATCTATAAGATTTCGCATGTCGACGGCCACATCGTCTGGAGACTGGGCGGAAAGAAGTCAGACTTCGAGTTCGTCGACCCGGCGGCAAAGTTTTCACGACAGCATCACGTGCGAGTGCGTTCACAGAACGAAACACACATGATCCTCTCCGTCTTCGACAATGCCATGGGTGACCATTCGCCCGCTGTCGAACATCCCACGAACGACATCTCCCGAGGCCTGATACTCGCGCTCAAAACCACTCCTCCCATGACCGTGGAGCTGCTGGCGCACTATGACCATCCACAAGGTGGCATTACCAACAGTCGTGGTTCCACGCAAATCCTGCCTAGCGGGAACATCTTCATGGGCTGGACATACTCCTCCCGCCAGTCTGAGCATACTCCGGACGGCAGATTACTCATGGAAGCGAACTTCAAAGAGGGCTCAGCACATTCGTATCGCAACTACAAATTCCCATGGGTAGGCCGTCCCTCCGCGCCACCGGACGTTCATAGCGCCGCTGTGGATAACGACGACGGGAGCGTCAGCACAACTGTGCACGTGTCATGGAACGGGGCTACGGAGGTAGCGTCGTGGAATCTATGCAAATCGTTTGGAGATGGCACGACTGCAAAAAAAGTCGGTCTTGCCTCAAGACAAGGCTTTGAAACGGCTTTCACGTTCGACGGGTACGCGAGTTATGTCGTGGCCGAGGCCTTGGATAAGTATGGCGAGCCGTTGGCCTTCGGCAAGTCTCGCGTGGTGAAGACGGTTGAGCCAAAGAACATGGAAAGCCCAGACGTTGTCGCCGAGATGGAGTGGCTCGAGGAACCCGTGACGAGCTCGTTGCCCGCAGAGTCACCAGAGATTGCGCGCAATTCCGTCGTTATTTTCGCTTTTGGGTTTGGTGTTTGCGCCGCTCTAATGGGCGTACTGGGCTGCGTGATGCGTGGTATACGCCGCTCTAATAGCAGCGCGGCGGCGTGGTGGAAGAAGCAGGCCGGACCGGCGTATGAGCTTGTGTCGCAAGGTCCGAGGAAGGTGTATGATCAATTGGCGCAGAGGGAAGATGACGATTACGAGGACTATATATGACCGGAACTTGCCACGATGAGAAGCAGTCGGTGTCAGTCGCACCATCGGCTAGTTGGACAAAGTACTGTAGAGCCTGTCTAAAACTCTGTACATTTCGCTACCAGGTGCGTACTTCAGCCCAACTCCACCCTCTGCCGCGGCGCATCAAGTTCATGCCTCATGACCCCTTCAGATTCCAATTCCCGACGCGGTGAATCCGCCGGCACCTCCGCCGGCGCTTCAGCAGTCGGCGACAGTTCGCTCATGGACTCATACGACTCGACAGAGGACGACATTGCCTTTGCCAGATCAGAACGTCTTCGCCGACGTTTCATGGTGAAGAATACTGCCGCTGCTATGAGCGCAAGGATGGCCATGGCGCCAATGGCAATGCCTGCGATTGTGCCGCCAGATAGCCCCGCTTGCGAACTATACTTTTCGCTGGTAGCGTTGTATTCGAGTCCAGTGCCGCCGCCCACGCTGCTGCCGCTATTCTTGACGGCGCAGTCCTTTCCTACCGCCACAAGGTCGCTGGCAGCGTTCTGTACAGCAGGCGAGATGAAGGTGTTGGCCTCGTAGTCGACGAAGAGCTGGGCGGCTGAGAAGCATTGGCGGCCAATTACTGGACTCATGCTGGCATCTGCAAAAGGGAAAATCAAAACTTCTGCAGTCAAGAAATCTGTATCGATAGCGCCACTGGGACCAACGTCTTGCTCGAAGGTCACGAGCATGGAGTGGGTGAGTTCGATGGTGACGTTGGGCGAGAGTCTGATATGAAGACCGCCGCGGTAGCTGTACTCGTTAGTTGCAGTTTACCATGCTGAGGGTACTAAGGGTGTATGAGCTTACACCATATCGGCATCATACAGGGTTCCAAGGTCGTTGATCACGCTGCCTGAGTAACCCCGCCACCCGGTCCCCACGTAGTCCGCGAAACGGTCACAGTAAGGACCAATGGGGACCGACATGATGTATTGCTCGCTCACTGACACGCATGCTCGGAGAAGCTGTTGCTGGGACAGACTTGGCATCGTGCCGTTGGCGAAGGTGAGGAGTAAGTCTTCCACATCGACCCACATACCGATAGGGCAGCGCGGTGTAGGCGCTACCATCGGGTTGCTAATGTGTGGGCCGCCGCCATTGAGGGCTGCATCATACCCGCCGAGAACGACCCGGCCGTCGACGCTTCTGCTTGGGTCAGCGACATTAGCATGTCCATTGAAGTACGAGTACGACGACGACGCAATATGCCCTACGCTTTGCAGCGTGTTCAGAAGCTTGGAGCGTGCACCGATGCCGAACGAATTCTGAGGGTAGGCTTTGCTTCCGAAGTCATGTGTAGGCAATCCAAGCGTATAAGTATCCAGCAGTATATCTCCGTTGAGGAGACCTAGACGGACATCATCGTACATAGCAATACCTGAAGGGTTGGTAGTAAACAAAGTAGTCTGGGTCTGTGAGGACGGCTTTGTTGAGTTGATCCATAGGGGCTTTCCGTGCGCTCGAGGAATAAGTCCAATTGTACTGGCCGCCTCGGTCAGTCACGCATGCGCCAGGCGTCAAGTTGTTGTCGCAGATCGTAGCATTCTAGTAGTCATGGAGGGTCACGCCGCTTTGGTAGACCCAGGTATCGTTGAGTGCTCTGGAACTGGTAAGTGAAAGCTCAAGATCGCTTCAAACAGCCCAGCTTACGGATTGATCGTAAAGGAGAACTGCAGCGCAGAGTTGCCGATAGAGACGCCGATACCTCTCAACGCAAAGCCATTGGAGAGCGATACATCTCGAATCGGGAGGGCGAGCGGGCCGGGACACGCAGCGTGCGCTGTGCGCTGTGCGCTGTGCCGGAAGCACCGAGTACAAGCAAAAGCCAAGTTCTCGCGGTCGTGAACATGTAGTTTTCGAGCATCGCGCGCGGTGTCCTGTCGTCCAGAAGCTAGAATGAAACGGAAAAAAGGCGGGAAACACGACGGAATGAACAGAGCGAGAGACGAGACTGAGTTTGGGAGAAGGCAGATGCGGACCTGGGAGTGCCAGGCCGCCTTTCACCAGGCATACTGATCACCTGGACCTGCTGGCGCTCGAAGGCGACACGACATCGCGCTTTGCCAATCGTTGTGATCCTTCGACAGCCGATCATCTCCTCTTGTCTCTCCGCGTGACATACGTCCCGACCTGAGTTTTGGTCTCGTGGTATGGACCGCTAGAGGACAGTATACTACCGTTCATAGCGGTGCCGGAGCCCTCACGTGTTCCAGAGGAAAATTGATCTGTAATGAACTTGTAGACAACAAGAACGAGCAGAGGTCGTCACACGAGCCAATCGGCTGTCTCCCGGAGCTAGACTTTAGCTAAACCTTAATCCATCAAGCTCGAGAAAATAACCTTCCAAAAACATAAATTTCACATGCAACAGTCGAGAATAAGAAATCTGCCATGGCACCCGCAAAGAAGAAGCAGCGGCTGTCGAACGGTAGTGCTGCTCCTGTAGAAGCAGTGCATGGCGACAGCGAACCACAAGAAGCAAAGGAAAAAGCCGCGGAGAAGCCAGACCAACGCCGCTCGCTCTTCGTCCGCTCGCTACCACCAAACGCAACTTCAGAGTCCCTCACCGAGCTCTTCTCCGAGTCGTACCCAGTCAAGCATGCCACAGCAGTCATCGACTCAGCTACAAAGCAGTGCAGAGGCTACGGTTTCGTCACATTCGCCGATGCGGAGGACGCAGAACGAGCACGAGCCGAGTTCAACGGGCACACCCTCGATGGTCGCAAGCTGCGGGTAGAGCTCGCAGAGCCCCGCCAACGTGATGCTGAGAAGAAAGGCAAAGACCCCGCCGCGGTAGTCAAGAGCCAACGACAGCAAGACATACCACAGCCTTCGCGACTCATTGTGCGAAATCTGCCATGGACGGTCAAGAGCTCTGATGATCTGGGCAAGCTGTTTCTAAGCTACGGAAAAGTAAAGCAGGCGTACATTCCCAAGCAGAAGAATGGATTGCTGGCTGGGTTCGGATTCGTGGTGTTGAGAGGGAGGAAAAATGCTGAGAAGGCTCTAGAAGGTGTGAATGGGAAGGAAGTTGATGGGAGGACGCTTGCTGTTGACTGGGCGGTGAGCAAGGGTGAATACGAGAAGCTACTGAAGAAGGGCGGGGATGCGGACGAGGATGCGGACGAGGATGGGGTGGAGAAAGCTGATGAAGGCCAGGATGTTGATGGTGAAGATGAGCATTCAGACGAAAGTGAGATTGACGGCGACGATGCGGAGAAGGTGCCAGGCGAATCAGACGGCTTCGAGGACTTTGACGAAGACGCTGATGTCGATGTTGATATGAACGACGACGAGGAAGCCGAGACTGACGGGGACAAGTCTGAGGATCGCTCGTCCACTCTGTTCGTGCGCAACCTTCCATTTACGTGCACAGACGAGGATCTCGAAGATCACTTCTCAGCCTTCGGCGCTACCAGGTATGCACGAGTGGTGATGGACGCGATCACTGGTCGATCAAAAGGCACAGGATTTGTCTGCTTCTACAACAAGCCAGATGCCGACGCTTGCATTCGAGCTGCGCCGAGACGGACACTGCCAGCTACTCCAAACGATGCTAAGGATAGCAAAACCCTTCAAGCACCAAACTCGATCCTTCAGAACGAAGACGCCGACCCATCAGGACAGTACACAATGGACGGCCGAGTGCTGCAAGTCTCGCAAGCACTCGACAAGTCGTCTGCAGACCGTCTGACCCAGGAGGGCGCCGCCCATCGACACAAGAGCAAAGAAGACAAGCGACGTCTTTACCTGCTATCTGAAGGCACGATCTCAACAAAATCAAAACTGTACGAAAAGCTCTCACCGTCAGAGCGCAATATGCGCGAAGCCAGTGCGAAGCAGCGAAAGCAACTCATCGAAAGCAACCCCTCCCTTCATCTCAGCCTAACCCGCCTCTCCATTCGGAACATCCCGCGAAGCATCGGCTCGAAAGAGCTCAAAGCGCTTGCGCGTGAAGCCGTGGTCGGGTTTGCGACAGATGTCAAAGCCAGCACCAGAGAACCACTCTCGAAAGAGGAGCTCTCTCGCGGTGGCGAAGAGATGCAAGAAGCCGAGAAAGCTCGGAAGAAAGCGGGCAAGGGCGTGGTGAAGCAGGCGAAAGTCGTGTTCGAGGGCCAAGGCGGGAGTAAGGTCAGCGAGGACACTGGTGCAGGTAAAAGTAGAGGTTATGGGTTCATTGAGTACTACACTCATCGTAATGCGCTTATGGGGTTGAGATGGCTGAACGGACATGCTGTTGGATATCAGGTGAAGGACAATTCGAAGGCGAAAGCTGCTGCGAAGGAGGAAATACAGGATCGGAAGAAGAGGCTGATTGTGGAATTCGCGATTGAGAATGCACAGGTTGTCATGCGAAGGAAGGATAACGAGGTGAAGGCGAGAGAGCGCAGTAAGGCGGTTGAGCGCGGAGAGCTGCCTCTCCATCAGCCTGTTGAGGGTGAAGAGGATAGTGGGTCACGAAAGAAGAAGAAGAAGGGGTCGCTCAAGCGGAAGCGTGATGACGAGCGCAGTGAGGACTCCACCAAACGACCGCGGCGGCCACGCGAGAACGGATCTGAGAAGGGCAAGCCAGGACGACAGAGGGATCGCTTTGGCATGATCAGACGAGGGACCGGGAAGGGGGTTGAAGGTGACAAGGGCGATAAGGCAGTGCCGAATGGCGGTGCCGAGAAGAAGGAGAAGAAGGTCGTCGATGAGAAGCTAGTGAAGAGGAACCAGATTATCGGGCGGAAGCGGGCAATGCGGAAAAATCGGGCTGGAGGCAGCAAGTAGGGCAGTGTTCAGGAGTTGTACAGGGTCCACAAGAGATTGTTCGTGAATTGCGCGATACCGATCGTCCAGGCTTTCCAGAGAGCAACCCGAGCGGCCGTGAATTCGGTACGTTGAGGAGGAGCGGGTTCCACAGGTGTACGCATGCAGATGACTGGAGGATTCGGCAAGCCGATGAAGCCGGGTTGGAGCATGTTGCACTTTTCTGCTGCTGTGATACGGGGTTCAGAGTGTTGCAAGGCTGATGATGTGTAGCAACAGTCGAGCAACACCAATGCAGGTGTGCGCGTACGTATGGCGAGCGACAAGCTGTCACACTTCGTTATCACCGTTGTCAACTTCATCGTCCATGTTCACTTTTCCTGCAGTCGACGTTGGTGATGTACTCCAACCAGACAACGTAAGAAATGCTGTCCCGGCGGCGTGGTGGCCTGTCCCATTCATCGGGTCACGCTCCCAACAATCCAATTATCACAAACCATACCACCGGTATCCGTGGGACCAGCAATCCTCACCCCAGTCCTCGGAAGCATCTCCCACACAGCCGGACCCGACCCATCGTCTCCCCCATGCCACCGTTGTGCACGAGCACAGCCAAAAGCCCGGCCCGTGCCTCCAGCGGTACAACCTCACGTCGTGCGATATCACATTGTCCTCCCTCCACGCACCCTCAGCCTTCGGGATCTCAAGCTGCAAGCAGGCGCATAACACCCGGCAAGTGGGCCAAAGAGCGGTGAAAAAAGTGACAGATAGCATATAAGCCGACCACTCCGTCCAGTTCGCCGCTCTCTTGTCAAAGACTAGGGTGACTCCGCCCTCCAAGCTGGTTGTGGCGACGACAATGGTAGGTCCGTCATCTGCTCGTCGTACGACATTTCTCCGCATCCTGTCATTGGGTGGAGTTCCAATCAGTGCGCGAGGCGATGGTGATGGCTGCGCTTGGACGGCGGCGGCGTCACCTTTGCGAGGCAGAAGGGAGATGTTTGGCTCGTATGGGATGTTGACGGCTGGGGATGGTATGAGTCAAGAAGCGCCGACGGCCGTGGGCAAGGTGGAGACGTTACGAGCTACGACATGGCCTGTGTATCTTGGGCTGCTGACGGAGGGCTTATAAGGTGTTGCTACTTCGCCTGCTGCAGAAGAACAGATTCGAAGCACTTCTCCAAACAAGCGATCTAGACGCATTGACAAAACTTCTCCTCGCTCTTTGGTGGTTCTTTTGCTTGCGCTTTGGTCGTCCTTTCTACACCGTTCGTACAAACCGCCATATCTGAGCAAGGCAGGTCAGTAACATGCAGCAAAGCCTTACCTTGAGCCTGACTGACATCTCAAGCAGTCAACGATTACCTGCATCACCGGCAAATTCCTGTCATATCAACATGTGCCAGGTATGTCGGACCTGCTCACAGAAGCATTCGCGACCTCTGTAACGCCTCTGCCAGTTCGAAGTCGTCCACTTCCACTGCGGACACGCCGGCCGCCGGCTCATCAAGCACTGCCACGCCGCCCGCAACGACCCCAATCACCAATGTCTCGGAGCCTGGTCAATCAAGCGGGAATGGATCAGCACCAATCAAGTCTGTCAGACTTGCGAGCGGAATGTCATGATGCATCGCCAGCAGCAGGGTCATCAGATTCGACTGTAGCATTTGAGTGAGGGAGCTTTGTTTCGGTTTGCACTTAGCTGCGGCGTTGGGAGTTGGTCGGACAAACCCATTGAGTGAATTTTTGCTTGGGCTGAGTTTTTGGGGTTGCTGTTCAGCGTAATGATTCACGAGTGGCATGGGGAAGCCATCGGAACATCCTGATATGAGAATGTGCACAGTTGTACTGAATAGCTGGGAGTGAGGCTATGTATTCGTAGCACCTTCGACTTTGCCCTTGATGTTGTACCGTTTGCTGAAATAGGTGTACCAGTCGTTGAGCGTCTTCTTGGAGGTGTCATCGAGGTCTTGCCAATCTGGCCGACAATCCTCTGGCTTCAAGGAGGACTGAGCCAGCGCTCTCGAAGCATCTTTGCCAGCGAAGACTGGTGAACAAGGTCAACATAGCGTCATCTTGAGACCAGAAGATCAGGCAAACATACCCTTGTATCCTCCTTCAGGACCATACGACTTGTTGCCACTCACGTCGAAAACCGTGCCCTTGCCCTCGGTCAGTATTCCAGCAGGCTGACAATCAGGTATATCGTGGCACACCTTAATCGCAACGTAAGTTGGGTACTCAGCGTTCGAACCTATGTAAACATTCTTGTCAGCACGAACTATGCAGTTTGAGTGTACTTACTACTTGTACTCACCATCGCACTTTGAGAGATAATCCTGGCTTATGACATCGTCTTTTGGCGGGTCGAGCTCGACCTTGTGCTTTGGTTCGAATGGCATGATGCAAGCAGCTATTCTTCTCGTCGAGTCAAGATGCAATGGCAATGAGTTTTTGACCTGATCGATAGACTACGGGATGGTTTGATGTGCTCGAGGAAGTCACATCCATCGCAGGTTCGGGCGGCCCTCTCCCGGCCGAACCAATCCCGAATCGAAGGACGAGAGGGTCTCCGGCTGGACATGTATCTTGCGGAGCCACGTCCTGCAACTACAACATCCATTGGAATCTCGATCAATCTCGCAGCGAGCGAGCACGGGCTGCACACCATCTCTCACAGACATGCGCATGCCAGGACCCCTCCAGGCTTCCAGACTCAGCTGGACTGCAGCCAGAACCCACGAAAGACCAGCTCCCGTAGAGCCGTCTGGACATTGTACCTCACCATTGGACATGTGCTGGCGGGGCGCTCATAACAATGGTTCATCCTCCTCAATGTGGACAGCCTGATGCTCAGAAGAGTGCTGCCATTGGACGAGACGGGAGATGATTGGGCCCCTTGACCCGTAACAAGGCTGCGATCGCATGCGCGAGAGCTCGGGTCGTCGACTTGCAGCCAGACAGCCTTGTTGTTCGCCAATCTTCCGCGAAAACAACCTAGCCTAGTGCCACAAAGTATGCACGCCGTTGTCGCAAGGCTACGAGGCTGTGGTGAAGTAATGGCGATCTCCCAGGAGCTCGAGCGCATGGCTCAATGGCATGGTTATCTTGCAGTCCTCGCCTCCCGTCGTCGATCCACTGGTCTTGACATAGCAGTTCTGCGTTGAAGATGGCACTCATGGCTCATGGCAATCTTGCTATATGTGTTCTGCTGGCGACCATGCTGCACTTTGCAAACGCTGCATGTCCAGCGCCGATAAGCCTGCCCGTGAGCAATGTTGACTTTTTCGGCGGCAGTTCGCGGAGGGGCATTGCGATATCCATTGGCAGTCCTGTGCAACAATTTTCGTTTGCCATCGATGGGTAAGAACACCATGGTCTCTTGGCTCCATTCGATCACTCTGACAGACGTCCAGGGCCCAGAACAATTCGTGGGTCTACCGGCTAGGGGATAATTTCAGAGATCTCGACACGGGCGAGTCACGCTGCAACTCCCCAGCGCAGTGTACAACTTTGAGAGGAGGTCTATATAACCCGAACATATCATCAACTGCTCGAATACCTACAGATCAGGCCATCCAGGAAGATCTCTACTTCTCCAATGCTGAGCAGGACGCACCCGAGGTGATCAGCGTGTTGAATGGCACAGCAGTTCAAGACGGCATCCGTGTGGGAAGTACTACGATCGAGAAGTACATGTTTGGAATGATATGGCAGATCGTTTGGGCATTGCAGTGGCCGCAGAACACTCTCGGTCTTGGGTCTGGCTCGACCCTGTTGAGTGCCCTCAAGAGCGCGGAACTCATTGCATCTTCTTCTTACGCGTATTACAACGGATTCATCACCGATAGTGACGACGACCGGGACGGTCAGATTGTGTTTGGCGGGTATGATGAAGCACGTTCAACGGGTGCTAATGTCACTCATGCATTAGAGCCCAGCACAGAGCAATGTCCTACCGGTATGTGGCTGGATCTCCACGACCTAGTCCTCACCTTTCCGAATGGAACATCACCAAGTCTTCTTCAAGGAGTAACAATAAGGGCTTGTGTGGTCCCCCAGCTGTCGGCTGTGATGGCACTGGCGACAGATCCGTACTGGATACGTTTTGAAGAGTATACGGAGACGCAAGCTGAAGGCTATGTGGAAACAGCGATCAATTGGGGTACCACCACTTACGACTCGAACGATGTGTAAGCGTGAAAACTTGCTTTGAATCGTCAGGACGTCGCTGATGCTGAAGCAGTTACGATGGCGGCTTGCGCATCGATCTCGGTTCTGGAGTGGTTGTCGATATCACGAATGACATGCTCGTCTCGGTTGGGAAAACCATTGCACCAGGCGGCGGACTCTACCTAGATGATGAAACTTCTGCGGTGTTGATCCAAAATGATGACGCTTTCATTACACCACTCATCGGAAGGCAGTTCTTTGCGGCAGCCCAGCTCTTCGTCGACTATGAGGCCGGGACATTCACCGTGTCGCCCGTCGAAGACACCACGGACAGTAATCTGATCGCCGTCGGCAAAGACTGTGCTGCGGCAAGCGATGTCAAACCACCGGACGACAGCGGCGGCAACAATGGGAACGACCAGCAAAATCACGAAGACGGGACAGACGGCGACAAGCATGTCAAGCCGAAAGGTCTCACCGGCGGCGAAATTGCAGGAATCGTCGTCGGTGTCATCGCTGCACTCGCTATTGTCGCCGCTATCGCCTTCTACTTCTTCAGACGCCGCAGGCGTACCGACACAAGAGAATCGTCGTCCAGCTTTCCGGAAGCTGTTGGTGCATCTCCACAAGGCGCAGAGCTGCAGACGAAACCGGTCAGACAGTTATCGATGTCGAAGACTGCCAGGTCATGGTTCAGGTCATCTGAGCCGAAAGGGGACTTCAGTCCGAGTACGAGGGAAATGCAGGGGTCCGGGTTCTAGTTGGCATACGACGGTTGTATTGAGGGTGAGATGAGGTGGGATGTCATGTTGATGCGTGTGTTACAGCTGCTTTTGATAGGTGCAATGGATGCTTCGTAACTACCAATCTCTAGATCTATTGTTTCCACAAAGCTATTGGTGAGCAGCCATGGTTATCATCGCCGCCACGTTGAACTTACATGCTCACGCTATATATACCATGTTCCCGGATGAGAGACGTTTCAACTTGGAGCAGAATCAGCACACTCGACGTATCAACCATGGCTCTTCACCGGCTTCTCCACCATAAGGCCGATGAGCGAGTGCGCTACTTCGGCCGCCGCAAGTACCGTCGTCTCGCCTGGGTTGTCATAGATGGGAGCAACTTCCACTGCAGAATGATCAGCATAGGCGTTCATGGTCAAGCCCAGAGCGCTGAGACGGGTCAAGGGGTCGAGTGTAGCCTACCAACATCCGCCCCAATTAACTCAATCCCCTCCAACCCATCCAGGATCGTCAGCAGCTCCCTCGTAGTCCAGCCGCCGACCTCTGCCGTCCCAGTGGCAGGCGCATAACTAGGATCTAGCACATCTATATCAACGGAGATGTAGACCTTCGACCCTGCCACGCGCTCCTTGAGCTTGTCAATGATACCTTGAGTTCCAGTCTTATCCAGCTCACGGGCCGTGATGATGTTGAATCCGCAGGCTTTGTCGTGCTTGAGGTCGTACTTCGGATTCGAGACCGGAGCGCGGATGCCGGCGTGGATGGATGTGTTCTTGATCAGACCTTCTTCGTGGGCGATGTGGAGGAAAGTACCGTGGTTGACGCCGCTGTGTTTTATCAGTGATCAACCTGCTCTAACGGATGAGGGGTGGCTTACGCATAGTGGGAGAGGCCTCCACCAAGGACATCCGGGTCCCAGGTGTCGAGATGGCTGTCAAAGTGAATCACGCTTACTGCTCCCCAGTGGTCGTAGGTCCCGCGTAAGGCGGAAAGGGTCGTGGTGTGGTCGCCACCAAGCGTTATGATACGAGGAGTTGAGTACTCGGTGTTGTTCGCTGTACGAGCTGATACGACCTGAAGTAGCTCAGCATCGCCGTCTTGAAGCCTGACTGAACGGGAGAAGGTACCTTGTGAGCCTTGTCGAGCTGCTTGAGGGCGACTGTATTGTCCTACGAGGCGTAAGCACCAACACATGGGCCACCGAGATGCATGAGGCGTACCAAGAACGTCAACGGGGCATCGCCGCAATCAACCACCTTGAAACCCTCGAGGAAGACGTTCTTGCCTTCAGCAAGTTGGGTCAGCCGTCATTCGTCCTCAACGGTGGTTCAACATACCAGTATAGACGCTCCACGAGAATGCCGGCGCCATCCTTCGAGAGCCTTGACGGATGCCATTGGGGCCAAATCTCGCACCTGGACGCGCCGTCACACCCTGTACACATCAAGCAGTTAGCATGCTATCTTCAATGTGAATGCCAGCGGCTGAAGAATGACCCAACGACTTACCGTATCAAACGGCGCCCCCATAACCGCGATATCATACTTCTCAACCTCCTCTCCATCGTTTGCAAGACAATGTACATAAGGCAAATTGGCATACGTAGCGATCCCAGACATCAACTGCGAGATGTCAAGACTGGCGGTGTCTTGGTCCACGCCATAGCCAACGATGGGATGCTGGATTCCAGCGACTGGCGGGAAGGTGATCTCGCGGGCCAGAACAGCTCCGACCAGAAAACACGCGGGCAACCAGGAGAATAGCATGTTGACCTTTGCACTCGCGACAAAATGACGACGTGAATGAAGAGAAAGTCGAAGGTTGGCCGAATGGCAATGTTTATCTGAGCTCCGAACTCCGAATGCGCCGCCGGCGAGCAAGTTGGCCGCTCGTTGAAATGATGCATCTTATCATTCGACCTGGAGGATATGAAAAAAGGTTTTGCTTCATGCTATGCTATCCGCCACCCATTGCTCATGCCTCTAATCGCGTCAACCGTGTCCTCATCATTCGTCCTGGCCTCTTTCCCTCAAATGTAATCCCGATCAACAAAACTCTGAATCATCCCCGCCGGCGTAGCCTCATACTCCTTCAACACCACCTTATCCCCCTCCAAGACCGTATTGGCCTGCACAAACACCTTCCTCGGCTTCGCCTGTCGAATCACCTCCGGCCTCACCTTGTTCGCATACCACTCGTCCACGTTGGTCATCTTCATGTACAGATCAGTGCCGGCCTTGAGATCCGCTGTCGACTTGGAGACGTGCAGCTTCTGCAAGAAGTCGTTCACAGCCGGTCGGCCGTGCGATTGAATCTTCGTCCTGTCGAGGTGGATCTTAAGGTCGGAGAGGTCGTCTTTGCTAGAGACGAGCTTGCAGAACTCTGGGCCGGCTGATAGGAAGGATTGGAGGATGGCGAAGCGAGCCATCATGTGTGGTTGTCCCCATTTGCGCGAGTTGGGATCCCAGAACTGGAGCGCAGCGATCCCGGCCCTTGCCATCTGCAAGTAGCAGACGAAGAGTACGTCTCCGGCCTCTCCATTGATGTCCTGTCCAAGGTCAGCACAAATATCGGCCAGAAGAAAGAGCTGTAAGACGTACCTCTTTGCCATCCCCAATGCCGAATATCTGAAGAATGCCGTAGTCCGGACACAGCGACATGGCAACGCACTCAGCTCGACACTCCTCGTACGACGGTCCCATGCCGCCGAACACACTGCCCCAAGTCTCGCCAGGCTTGTAGTAGCTCGCGACCTTCTTGCCAGTCACAGGGTTGATGGGAGGATTCTCAATGTCAAAATTGTATTTTCCAGGCTCCGTCTCCTGCAACAGCTTGCCGCAGCCATGACCGAGCAGCTCGTGAAGCCCAACTTGGACTTCGAAAGCTTCGTCCTTGTACTTGTCGTACACTGCTTGATCTTCTTCTCGGATGAAAGGCGTGGGCTCGTTTGGTGACGCTGCGCTCAGCACATTGCCGAGTGATACGTTCTTGAAGCCTTCGTTTTGTCGCACATCATCGTAGTTGGGAATGTTGATGCCTGCCGGTATGCCACTCCCAGCAAACGACAGGACTTCCAGCGAGGTGAAATCCGGAGCCAGGAATCTATCCTTCTCGAAGTCCTTGGGCCAAGGCAGCTTCGGAATCTGCTTCGGTGCCGCCTCGACAAGCTTGCCGAAAGCCTTCGTCCTCTCCTTGTTCACCATGGCGGCGAACTAGGTGTGGCAATGCTCGTCAGCATGGCTCTTAAACATTGCTGAAGATGACACTTACACCCTCCCACTCACCACGCTCACCAGACGGATCGCGGTAAGTCTCAATGAAGCCGATGTTACTCTCGACCATCGGACCTTTGTCCCTGATCCAGTGCCGTTGCGAGTCCTTGTGGGCATTCATGGAGCCATCATGGAACGCCTTCACGTACTCTGCTTGCATGGCCTCTTCCTCGCTATTGAGAGCGTACTTCTTGGCTTCTTCTAAGTTCCGCGCAATTTTCGACATCGCCGCCTGGTGGTCGCCGTAGACAATACGCAGCTTCTTGCCTTTCAGGGGTCCATCCAATTCGAAGTTGTCGCCTTTGATGTCACGAGTAGCCGGATCCGTAACGGCCGATGCAATCAACAGCTCGTAGTCACTGGATGATGTCTGACGCAAGCGCGTGTTCTCGGGCATGAGCTTCTTCTCCTTCAGAAAAGCGGAGATGTACTCAATCTGCTCCTGAGTAATGCTGGGCGAGTCTGGGTAGTACGTCGAGATGTGCCCCTTATCTGGGTAACCGAGATGCATGGGCGCCGTGTTCTTCGATTCGTACAGAAGGTCCTTGAAGGCATCGTAGTGACGCTCTGCCGCCTTGGACGTCTTTGCCAGTGCTGCGACGCTCTCCGGTTTGATCCTGGGAATGAACTTGGAGTCACCGAAAGACTTATAGTTGCCAGTGTTGCCCAGGAATTGTGCCGCGTAATTGAGCAAGTGTGTCAGGTCCTCCTCTGAAATTCCAGCGTCCGACTGTAGCTTCTTCCAGTCGCCTGAATGGAATTAGCACAAGACATACGGCGGATGCGCGCAACAGTCCATAGAACCCAAGAGGCAACGAAGAGGCAACGAAGAGCCATACCATCACAACCCCTATGCAACTCCACCACAAAGTCATAAATCGCCTCACTCTCCCCGCTAACCTGCCGCAGATTGATCCTCGTGCCCGCAAACGCCGCGCGACTGATATAGTGCGCATACTTCTTCTCCTTGTCGTTCAAGGCTTCGAAGTGGGGTTTGATGGTCAGAGGGACCACAGTGGGCGGGTCGTCGGCCAGGTATTGTTTGAGTGTGGTATCGTCCATGGCGTTTTCGTGCATTCTGGTATGTCCGGTGAGGTGATTCGAGTGAAAGAGGAAATGTTGTGGTGTCGTGTGAGATGGGGCGTGCGGAGTGGACTCGGAGATGCCTTGCATATGCGCTAGGGAATGCAGGTGCTACCGGATGAAGGTTTGAAGCTGACGGCGTTGTGGGTGTTTGACTTGTTTACATTTTCGAGACTATTATCTGCCTATCCTAACGACGCTCCTGTGCTGAAGAACGCTCGCAAGGGTATCTGGCCGCTAACCGCGCGCCGTTTTATTTCGCTGTGTGCACCATATCCCCCAATTCAAATCATGCAAGCATTATAGCCAAACCCTCCTCAGATATCCAATTGATCCCAAGACTTTTCATCATGAGCGAGGCTCTTACAACAGAGCAGCGAAGAAAGCAGCAAGACCGACGAGGCCACCGGAGGCGAGGTGCATGTTGCTCGCAGCGGCGCCAGACGAGCTGCTAGCGGAGGCAGAGCTGGAAGGAGAGCCAGACTGCTGCGAGCCGGAGCCGCCGGTGGTCTGTGGGCGTCCGCCATTGCCGTTGCCGTTGCCGCGGCCAGTGGTCTGGCTTCCACTAGCGGCGCCAGACGAGCTAACGACAGTGGAGAGGCCAGGGGCGTTGCCGAGGACAGAGGTAGTCGTGTTGCTGCCGTTGATCGTGAAGGAGGTGACGCCGGCGGTACCGTTGTATGTGAGGGTGTGCAGTCCGCTCAAGCCTGCTGGGATGGTTGCGACTGGGGCTTGGGTGGTGACAGCGCCGGGCTGAGTGGTGACAACGCCGGGCTGAGTGGTGACGGCACCGGGCTGGCTAGTGACGGCCGTAGCAGCCACAGCGGTCTGTTCGGGCATGCCGGTCACGACGCCATTCGAGTCGGTCTCGGTGAGGTATTGGGTGTTGGGGTTGGAGTACTTGTAGGTGCTGGTGACAGTGATACTGCCGCTGAGCACGGGAATGAGCTGAAGACTTGTTAGCGATTACTTTTCTCTTGGAGATATGTTCAACATACAGTGTAGCCCTGGCTGCTGGAGTCTTGCGCGAGCGCGGCGGCCACGAAGGGCAGGACGGCGATGGCGGAACGCATTTTGGCGGAGGAGTGTGTTTGTTGGCTTGAAGCGTATTAAGCGACTGTAGTTGTATTAAAACGATAAAACGCTGGAAATGCGAGAATACACTCGAAGGTATGGATTGGTCTTGAAGTAGAGAAGTGTGCGAGAAGGCAAAGTTGGAGACGAAAGGAGAGACGTCTCGTCTTATTATATTGTTGCATCGTAAAGCTCGAGCCTACACTCATCCCGGTCCATGAGAGCCGCAACGCCTTTTAGCGCATCTGGTTGTGAAGAGACCTAAATTTACCTGGCAACGGTTGTGGTGTGGTGTGTTTTGCCTCTCTGCCTCCGGCGGGAGTGCTTTGAACAACAGCGGCAAACCAGACCATTCGTCGCCGCAGTGGAGTCGTGGCCTAGGTGCATTGCAAGCGGCGGAAGAACAGCTGATGTCCGGAGGGAGAGAGCGTTGTCTGCATGAACATGTTACGACCGTGACGCGTCCAGCTGGCTTGGGGCGGCTTGCCGATCAGCCTCGATTCCATCTCCACTCGCAGCCGAGCTTAAATCCTATACAGATCTGGCGCTGTGGCAAGGCTAACTCGCTTATTGGGATTGCGGTCTGTTGCCACGCGAATGTATCGATATTCGCCAGTTTTGTAACAGATCCCGCCTCGGCTCTATTGGTGAAAAGGACGAGATGGAGTCTTATCGGCCCGCTGTAGCACGTTGTACACAATTCTAGGTCGCCTCCGCATCCACCAAATCGCGTGTGGCGTTTGTATCTCCAGAACAACCATGCAGGGCCAGGCCCACACACCATGCGGGTCTCGGTTGGTTGGCCGACTGAACTCTGAGCTTGTGGATGCTCGAGTAACGGATGAGGGCCGGAAGTCAATAATACCTCCGAAGCTTCAACAGGTCGTACAGTACACAATGGAGCGGTGGGCTCTCGAAGCTGCTTAATCCTTTTCATACCAATAATACAAGGTTTGACCAGCAAAGACACCAAGTCGCCTCCACCATATGAGTCCTCAGCAGTCGTGCCACATTTTTTCCAGGGACCCTTGCTGGCATCAAAATGCTCGCTCGCGGTACCACTCGGCACCAGAGGGTTAGATTACGGACGGATGGAGGTTATCTCGCCAATTGATCGAAAGGCATAAGCAACTGTTAACAGGAATGAAATTGAACTGCAGACGGGAAGACCTTGACGATTGGGCAGCGAATGAGGCATAGAAAGAGTCAAGAAAGGTAGCATATCTTCGTGTAAACTTCTGTGATGAGGCCGCAACATGCATGAGCAGATATGTACTGCTAGGTAGTCGTACAGCGTTCATAAAAGCTGTCCTGGGCTCTTAAACGACGCGTTTGACCTATGAAAACCGGGTCAGTCAATAGCGTCTATAGCAGACAAAAGTCGGTAGGGCGTTCTTACCTCAAAGAAGCGCTTCAACCACCAGACCTGAAACACACCCTCTCCTATGAGCACGCCCAACTGGAAAATGCTCCACCATTTGACACGAGAGTTGGTTGACTCGGCGGTGTTGCGGTGCGTCCGCTCGCGGACAACGATGTAGCCCTGTTCATCCTTCACCTGCTCCAGGAGCTGTGACATCTGACGAACTGTTTTGACGTGATCAGCGGATGCCCATCCCATGCAGAAGACCTGCTCAATGCTGCCCCGTGGAACAGCTGGGTATTACAACTTACCCTCCTTCTCCAACGGATCCTGCGGTGCCTCGGACTCCGGCACGTACACTATCCCATGCACATTGAAGCTCACCTCCTTCGAGTTCGCCGACCAATGTTCATTGCTGAAGCAATACATGTACCTCCCATCCTGCGTCGCATCAAACGAGTGATCCCCCGACGACACCGACGTCTGGTGAATCTGGTATGCGCCGTTGGGCTGCTGAATCCAGAAGTCGATGTCCAGGTTTCCGCTGCCACCGAACTCCCTATCGCCTACTTGGAACGTCACGGTCATTTTGTCGTCCTTGTGGAGGGATTCGTGGAAGCATTCTCGCGAGTGCGCGCGGAGCTGGATGTTGTGCGCGTGGGTGATTGTGAGACAGGAGAAGACGAGGAGGAGGAGGTCGAGGAGGGACATCATGGCGTCGCGCTGCTTGCTCGGTGTCGTGGTGCGCGTTAAGGAGGCATTCGTGTTCGGTGGGTTGGATCGTCGAACATTTCGAGATTCAGGGACTTTGGAGGAGACGTTGCGGAAACGCTCCGTCGAAGTCTTGGCAGGGATGGACGACTTCACTTCACTTCATCTCGAGCACAGTACGATTGCGATACATCCATGCATATATTTTTGCTTGCCGAAGTATTGCAGGCATATCGTCGAGTAACATCAGCACTTGGGACTACGACAGTGGAAAAGCCAGCATCGTATCGAGATCCGTGTCCCTTGCGGAAGGCGGTAGTGTACGAAAGCAATGTTGAGCATGGTTGAAGCACGAAAGAGTATGTTTTTGAGTCCGAGCATGCTTCATGTGCTCCTCAGTCCACCTTTGTATTACGGGCTAGAGTCTGCACAACTCCAGCCATCCTGGATTACCTCCGACTCTTGTTCATCCCCTCCAGCGGTCTTCAGGGTCGGCTAGCCATGTCCCTCTCTATCCTCGCATCCTCCCCATCTCCACGAACTTGTCACGAATATCATCCGGATGCACCTTCCTGCCCGTCTTGTCCGCAAACCTGCTCGCAACACGCAGCCAGCGATGGCGCTCGTCCTGCACCAGCAGCTCCGAAATGCACTGCAGCTCGCCAAAGCTGAACATGTCATCCTCCATCAAAGTCGTCCATTCGCCTTTGGTGAAGCGGGCGTCGCTGCCGGCTTTGGAGGAGGGTGCCTTGGAGACGGACGGCTTCTGGTCTCCACCGGCTTTCTTGTCGCCTTTCTTGTCGCCTTTCTTGTCGTTGCCCTTGTCTCCTCCGTCTGCTTTGGCCTTGTCGTTCTTTGCTTCGCCTTTGCCTTGGTCACCGCCACCTCCAGCCTTGGTGAGTTCCTTCCAGCGGCTGGTGGTAGTGCTCTTGGAGCGACCGATTGCAGCACCGATCTCAGCCCACGATTTGCCGTCTGCCTTCATCGCTAATATCGTTTTGTCCTGCTCTTCGGTGAACTCCTCGCCTTGATCATTCTACGATAACATTAGCATGTATGAGAGTAACCAACAGCTGCAGAGGCATCAAATACCTTTCCATCGCCACCTTCACCCTTCTCACCGCCACCCTCCTTCTTCTCAGCCTTCCCCTTGCCTCCACCCTCCTGCTTCTCCCCCTTCTTACCATCACCCTTCTTCGCATCATCACCCCCTTTCTTCCCATCACTGGCGCCCTTCTTTCCACCTTCTCCACCGCCCTTAGCCTTCTCAGCTCCCTTCGCATCGCTCGCCCCCTCGCCATCATCGGCATGCTTACGCACAACAAGCGCCATCTTCCCATTGTACAGACGCTTCGCGCTCGGCATGGTGTACTCGCGCTGCTCGATCAACGTCATCGGCTCAACTGGCTTGTACTGGTCAGCGTCGTACGGGGCAATGGCTATCAACGGGCGGCCGGAAAGCTTGAGGCTCAGCATGTTTGGTGCATGTGGATGGTGTAAGATGGCGGGATATGGCTGTGATGTGGCATCTGATGTTCGTTGGTGTTGAGAGGGCGCATATGGGAAGTCTTGGTAGTGTTGTGATCTGGTCGATCAGGCGACGCAAACAGCGAAGTGAAGTGAAGTGAAGTGACAGGGGTCATGGGGTCAAATCGACCTCACCTCATGCCAGTGCAGTATCAAATGGCTTACCGCTGTACATACCTTGGTCTTCTTCTGTGTCTTCGGACTGCCGCCCCTCCCTGGCAGAAACGCATCCCACAGCGAGATCTCTGGAAGCTGGTCTTTCTCAGGCAGATTGTTAGCATTGACCGCTACAGCGGCAATGTCTCTGGCTAGGCGACCCATGGTTTCGATTTTGGCATTCGTGGTCTGCTTGACTTTTCGATGTATTTCATGTGCGGATTAAGGGGATGTGCGAAGCTTGTCCAGATGAGGCAGGAGTGGGTCGTCATGGCAACTTCTCCAGCATGTGATAACGCTCGTACCACTTTCTACCAGGGCTGGATTTCTTTGACCGATTGTCGACCACCGTTCAGAGGGGACTGGCCCCATCGATGCACCAACACATTCTTTCAGACTTCAGCGACGGAGCGAATCTAACGTATCCGCGCCCGGACGAGAGATCCTAGGAGCTTCTGATCGGACATCGTTACAAAAGCAAGTTGTCAGCGAGTTCGCAGTCGGTCTTCCTTTCGTCCCACCGCCACTACCTCCGGAGGTATCCCTCCGCCTAGGACACCCGGGCATGGAGCCTCCGTTGAAAGAGCAGCCTCGGAAAAAGGCAACCTTCATCTCCTAACACGTTACCATGTCGATTCACATTTGCATCATGTCTGGATGGCAGCTGGTCTTTCCGGACGCAGAGCAAGCGATCTGCTGGTGCCGAGTGCTCTGCCCTTCCATGCTTCGCATCCACCCGCAGATGGCGAACACCGGTAGGGACCAGCGAGTAGACGTCAATCGAGCTAGTCAGAGGGCTCGGGACACGATTTAGTCGGATCTCGTGGTTCTGCTGGGAGCTGGTTGGGTGACTCGGAAAGGAGATCACGATTGGCCTGGCTCAGTGCTCAGTTGTAGGTTTCTTGTTGAAGGCTGGCAGCGGAGTCTCAGGCATTTCAAGTGTATTCTTCTTTTCTTCTCGATTGGCGGTCGGGCTCAGGTACGCAGTACCGTTGGCATTTGGGTCACAAAGGAGGCAGATTCCACCAGAAAGATGAGCACGTGCTCCTTCCCTTCGGCGTCTTGCCCGGATCTCCGCTTCGACGGCAACGCAATCTGCCAAAACTGCAGGACAACGAGCATTTCCTCTGAGGCCAAGGACATGCTTTGTGATGAGTGCGCTGCGATCTGGAGTGCTCCTTGACCAGAAGTTCTGGTGTGACTCGGTGTGACGAACAACAAGCTGAGAAGCAGCCCTTGGCTTCCGCAATGGAGAGAAATGCCAGTCCGCTTGCATCCAGCTCTTGTCGAGAAGGCCCTTCTCCGCCAGCTGGACGACCCTCGTGCCGCTGGGGTGCCAACCTGTATTGTCGTTGACCAACGCTGGGAGTTGAGAACGACCCCACGTGCTCCTATTCCCGCACAAAAACGATCGACCTGCAAGCCACCACCACCTGCCGAGACCCGGCGCGCTCATTGGCTCCTTGACCACAATGTTGCGCATGCCTCGAGCAACCTTCGCCGCGAGAGCCAACCGCAGCTGACCGGCCGAGCACGCTGTCGCGTGCCCTTCGCTCAGTTTGTGAAGAGCGTAGATAGTCGCCCAGCATGCATGCGACTCTTGCCCTTCCGTCTGAACCCACGGTAAGTGCTCTCACGGCCGCCGCAGGTAATGCATATATGACTTCTACGAGGCACGATTCACGGCCCATCTTCTCGCCCAGTGTGTCTTCTTATACCCAGCATTTGTTCCACGCTCGACGGCCGAGTGCTCAGAGTGGAACGATCATGCCACGGCCAAATCCCCCGCCTACTCCAGGCTCGTCAAGCGATATCAGAGGGAAGGAGGGGGCGCATGGAGCGCCGGCATTCAATCTGCCACCTACCGCATATCAAGAAGCAGATCGTGCGAGTTCGAGTTCGGGGACACCGTCAGCCAATGGCTCGGACTCGTCGTACCGTCCGGTGTCTCCAGCACCACCAGCTGCTTCTCATAGCAGGAAGCGTTCGGCAGATCAGAAAGGACCCGTCGTGACGAAAGATGACTTTGCCCTGCCGCCTCCGCCTACACGATCGAGGAAGATCATACAGATGAAGCCACAGTCGAGCGAGAGTGTGGACCAGTCGCATACGGGAGCAAGCACTTCCCCTCAAGCCAAAGGAAATGGCACACCTCAAACAAACGGCAAGAGGAAGCAGAACAGCGGTGGAACCACTGCAGCAGGACGCAAGATAGCTCGAAAGACAGCACACAGCTTGATTGAGCGAAGGCGCAGATCAAAAATGAACGAGGAGTTCGGCGTGCTCAAGGACATGATACCAGCATGTCAAGGACAAGAGATGCACAAGCTCGCTATCCTCTCGGTATGTGATCTCCAGGACGTTCGTTCTCTGTAAGCACGCTAACCATCGGCAGGCCAGCATAGAATACCTCCGCTACCTCGAAAAATGCGTCTCCGACCTGCAAGCCCAACAAACCTCTCCCCGCCCACCACCACCGCCCTCCGCCCCCCAAAGCACTCAAGACGACGACCCCTCCAACGACGAAGACGAAGAAATGCAAGACCCCGACCCCCCCACCACCGCCTCCACCCCCGTCACCACCGCCCCAGACCGCAGCGCCTCCCTCATCTCCCTCCCCTCCCTCTCCCAAATCACCACAGCCTCTACCACCTCCCCCTCAAGTTTCCCTTCAGAACGCCATTACTCCGTCTCCTCAGCCTCGCAAGCGAGTTACTCGCCTTACTTCCACTCGACCCACACGTCTCCGGCGTTCGGCCCGCAGATCTCGCAAGGGTCGTATAGGGAGGTGTTTGGACTCGGGAGTCCGGCGCTGCAGCCGTTGGATTCGAGGAAAGGTGGTGAAGGTGCGCTGAAGAAGCAGCGGTCCGAGTCGGGAAAGGTGGCGCGGAGCGAGCAGGAGCTGGACCAGGAGGCGACGGCGGCGCTTTTGATGCTGAATCACGATCGGAGGAGCTGGAAGGGGAGGCAGTCGGAGGGTAGTGGAACGGGGAGGAGCGGGACTGGGATGAGTGTGCGGGATTTACTTAGTGGGTGAGAGTTGTTGTATCTTTCGCGTGCCCTGTCTGGGACTGTTTTAAGATTGGGTAGAAAACGTGGTCTGGTCAACAGAAATGGGTTACCGACCTGAAGACGCGGCGTTGACTGTGTTGCATCAAATGGACATGATTTTATCTACGTGCTACTTGTGTACCAAAAGCATTGGAGCACCGTAAAGTGATGGGACTGTGCTGATTGTCCCGACGACTTGTTAGCGACGCCGAAATGAAGTCAGAAGATCAAATGTAATGATTGTACAGAGCAAACTCATGATACATTCTAATCTCATCCCCGACCGTCATACCAACGGACCGTTAGAAACTAATCACCCCTTGTGTCCACCCGAAACAACAACCGACGAGCCTTTAAAAGTGCGGCGTGTTCAGGGCCAACAGCAGAATGATCCCGGAGATCAGACCGGCACACGGCAGCGTCAACACCCATCCGCAGAAGATGTACGCCATCTGGCGCCAGTTGACAGCCCCGAGGTCGTAGTTCATCAACGCCACACCCAGCGCAGCACCAGTCAAGCACTGAGTAGTCGACACCGGCAGCCCGAGACGCGAAGCCAGTAGCACGGTGATAGCAGCACCCAACTCGATGGCGAAACCACGCGTAGGGCTCATCTGCGTGATCTTGTTGCCGAGCGCGCGGACGATGTGGTAGCCGAAGAACCAGAAACCCAGGCCGAGCAGAAGACCGGCGACGACGAGGAACCAGACTGGAGTGGGCGACTCAGTGCTCACGACACCGGCGCGGAAGGTCTGGTAGACGGCGGCCCAGGGGCCGACGGCGTTGGCGACGTCGTTGGAGCCGTGGGCGATGGACATCATCATGGCCGAGACGACTTGGCAGTAGGTCCACATGTGCTCGACGCGGACGTCGTATCTGAGATGGTGTGTTAGCGGGTGTGGGATTGAGATAGGTGGATATGTGGCAGACTCACTTGTGGGCCTTTGCGTGGACAGCGCGGAGGAGGTCGGAGTCATGGGTCACAGCGTCGATGGTCACGCCGTGGAGGAGGAAATACTTGAAGTAGCCGAACCACTTCCTTGGATTGCCCCACGAGAGGTGCTCAACGGGGCCGATGAAGCGCTCGCGCGGTGGCAGGTACTTCCTCTTGCGCTCCCGCATTGCTGGGGTGTTCTCGGAGGCGGCGATGACGTGCTCATCGTTGGGTCGAAGAGTACCATCAGCCTCTTTGACGTCGCGAAGAGAAGTCTCTGGGGTGTCGTTCGGGGAGCCGTTGAACCGCTTCTCCTCGTCCTTCTTGCCGGCGTGAACCTCGCCGTATGCATCCTCGTAGTAGTTGGTGACAAACTCATCACCCTTGCCTGGGAAGTAGAGCGGTGGGTTCTCCCTAAGGAGCAGCGGGCCCAAGGGAATGTGCCAGGGGCGGATCCGGGGGTCCTCGCGAACCAGCTTGGCTTTGAAGAAGGGGATAAAGAAGACGTAGCCGATGATGGTAACGCCAAAGAAGACGGCAAGAATGACACCGGCGATGGTTCCTTGCTCGGTGTCGATGTCTGGTCCGTTTGGCACCTCGATGACGATGAACAAGGTCAAGATGCCGAGCGTCATGCCCAAGTACCATGGGATCATGCGCATGGCCCATTTGAAGCTGTCCTTGCGCTCAAGGACGGAGTACTTCAGCGTGGCGAAGAGGATAGCAGAGAAACAACCGGCGAGCAAAGGCGCAATAGCCCACGATGAAGCAATCTGCGAGATGCTGCCACTGGTCCAGCGCCAGGTGATGGCGGCCTGCGAAGCAAAGCCGACCTGTGGTGATAAGATTAGCACGGTTCGGAGGACGTCCAAGCATATCACGACTTACACCGATCAAGGAGCCAACAACGGTCTGCGTCGTGGAGACGGGGAATCCGAGACGTGTGGCAGTGAGGAGCCACACAGCATTGCCAACCTCAGCGCAGCCCATGGCCAGCATCAACGCGCCTGGGTTGCCGTCGAACCGCTCAATGTTGAAGATGCCGTTCTTGATGGTGTCGGTGACACGAGACCCAAGAGCCACGGCACCTAAAAACTCCGTACAAGTTGCCAGGAAACCGACCTGCACCATGGTAAGGGTCCTGGCGGCCACCGAAGTGGCGTATGCGTTGGCAACATCGTTCGCTCCGTTACCAAAGGCGGAGAAGACGAACGCAATGGTGGTGAGGGCGAGAATCCAGTCGTACTTGGCAGTCGCTGCGGGCGCCATCTTGAAAGTATGGCCGAAGAAGGCGCTTCAGGTACAGTGACGAGATGTAGGAGACCTGCAGAAGGACAAGGACGGGAATACAGAGAGCGCCAGGGCTATATAGCACTTACCTGCAGGCGAAAAAGCATGTCATCCTGCCCTTCGGTCTCGCCTGGTGGAGGTCCATCGTTCTCACTGCCAAGGGCGTCCGTTCCACCTACGAAGTTTCTGCGATGCACCGCATCCAGTGCTTCGGGCCATGCGTTCGAGAATAAGACTTGTTCCAAGAATTGAGGACCCTGGTCCATCATCCCATCACTACTCCTCCGAGGTAGTGGCCGCGAAGGCGTTAAGCTGAAGGCGCAGGCCAAGGTCTTGGACGGGGGCGATGAAGCTCAAGGCCCGAGGCCATTGTCCTCGTGGTCAAGGAGCCAGAGTCTTGGGCAGATGCGCCAAAATCGACCTCACCTGTCGCGCTCTGCCGGTGGTATGAAATGAGTAGAAGTTCGTGCTTTTCGAGTGCTATAGCAGGCCATTGTGTATGTGAAGGTGAAGTTGGGATATTCCTTCCAAGACTACAGCCAAGAGGGTAAGAGGTCTTGTGCCGTCGTGTGCATTTAGGTCGTCGGCGTTGGTGTTCGACAGCGACCACGTTTTTGCTGCCCCCGCCGTGATTGGCTGGAATTTGGACGTCGCTTTTGCCGTCGATGAGCCTCAAGCCAAGCGCCGACCTCACACCAACTCGTTCGTGGGATGATGGATTCCATTTCATCTGCAGATTCGAGAACCTCGTTGTGGACAGAAGTGTGACACGTGGGCACGTATCGAGACGAGTCTGAATTGGAAGGTCGTGAATGAGCGACGGCAGGCAAGGACATCGGAACGATGAACTCTATCTCCACCTACGAGACTGCCCATCACGAACATTGATTCTTCTTGCTATTGCCGCGATAGGCATGAAAGCCGACGGCTAGACGTTCACACTGCTTGTGTAGAAGGCGACTGGCCCAAAAGAATCTAATGTTGACGGCTGACGAGGAGATAGAACGCGAGTGGTTTCATCCAATTACCATGATCCAGCATCTAGAAAGATCAGGCTGCCTTAGTGCTGTCAGGTCTGCGTATGGTTCCTTCAACGACTTCACGTCCTCTCGAGTTTTGAAGCAGGGCTGCTTCCTCTGCCGATGAGCTTCCTATGCATTACCCTCTCATCTCGAAGGATAGCGTACATCGTGCACTCTAACATCGCAAGCAAAATGCCGATGGCGTAGACGTGGTATGTTGTTGGGTAATGGAGCAATCTCAATTCTGACGAACCCTGCCGCACATCCTCGCCGTCAATCGTCGTTCGCATTAGCCTGCCCAGTCGGCAAGGCAGGGCCTGCCAGAAATACCCGCGGTAGCTAATTCGAATAGCACCCATGTGACGGATTGCCCAGGACTTCGAGCTGGAGATGAATGTTGGAGGATCTCAACATCTTCCTGCGCCGTTGTGAACGTAGGATTCGAAACCGCTATAGTGCCATCGTTGGCTTGGGACTTGACTGTCGCGGATGTACTTGCAAATCAGGCGCACCACCGCCGAGGTTAGCGAGAGGAAGCGTCGGAAGGATGTCCGTGGGCAACAAATTGTACGAAAGTGTGCAAAGGGTTGCTCGCAGGTTGAAGGACCTCAGTGGGCTATCCTCGCGCACAGTAGACAGACGACACGTTCTGAGGTGATGACCGATCGGGACAAAAAGTGCAGCAAGAAAAAAGAATCCTGATTACCTGGAAGATGGAAAGCGAGTTGAGGCCAGCAAGATGCGCTTCGCCTCGAATGTGCTGAAAGACAGCAATCTGCCTTTGCTGAACAGATACTTACGGTTTTCCGGCCAAAGGTGCTGGATCATCCAAGATCTAGGTCCAATCTAAGGCTCTTGCCATCACCATCCAGTGATCGCGCCGGCTCCCCTCTGGCTTCAGCCTCCTTGGACCTGTACAGGCATGCCGGTCAGGGCGGAAAAATATGAAGTACTGTAGTCGCAAGGATATCAGAGAGCACAGGCGACGCGCTGAGATGTCCCCAACACATGCGGTCTGGCGACGGCGAGGAGGCACACGTATCAGCAGCGGTTGAAGCAGAGGGATGCGCCACGAAGTGCAGAAGGCGTGGTCATGCCACACTTGGTTGGGCGCCCAGGCATGTGCTGCAATGGTGCACCGGTCGTCCGCATAAGAGGCTAGCCTCGTAGATGATCGAGCATCAAAGTCCCATGTGTTAATGGAAGAGGCCCGCCAGCAGATTATGTGGTTCGAGATGGTCGTTAAGCGGGTTGATCTTTCAGCCTGCCCCATGAGATAGCTCATGTCGCGTTATACTGTCGCTATAAGCAGTCTTCTACTGCCATGCCTGCGCTTCTGTTGCCAGCTACATGACATTGCCTGTGGTGGTTCCTGTGAAGTCGTTCCGCGGCGAGGCGGGTCCAGACGCGGTCGTTCCTTGCCGTTCGCGCTTGCCCTAATTAGTCTTGGGCTGTTTTGCGGCAGCCCACCAAGCCGTCCCTTCCAAACAATTGCAGCCTGCTTCACCGCAACAACCTCCTCTTCACCTCACCACCCACCACTCCGCCGCACCACCGGGTCCATACCACCCCCTCCGCACACTCGAGAGCACCCCGCCGTAAGCCATACAACACCGCCAAGATTACAGCTATGCGCGAAATCGTACGTTGAGAAATACCACTCCCCTGGCCCGCACGCGTGCCCCGCGTCTGGCATCAACAGACTGCTAATCTCTCCTCTTTGACCAGGTCCACCTTCAAACCGGCCAGTGTGTGAGTAGAATCACGAGACTGAAAACGCGGAGAACAACATTGACACCATTTGAAGGGCAATCAAATTGGCGCCGCCTTCTGGCAGAACATCTCCGGCGAGCATGGCCTCGACGGTGCGGGCGTGTATGTTTTGAAGCAGCACCGCACGTGAAGAACAAGGCTGATGGACTACAGGTACAATGGCACGTCTGACCTCCAGCTCGAGCGCATGAACGTCTACTTCAACGAGGTATGCTGCCACTCAGCCATCTAGCGCCAAGACGCAGCGCTAACATCCCCAACAGGCCTCCGGCAACAAGTATGTCCCTCGCGCGGTCCTCGTCGACTTAGAGCCGGGTACCATGGACGCCGTCCGCGCTGGTCCCTTCGGTCAGCTCTTCCGCCCCGACAATTTCGTCTTCGGCCAGAGCGGTGCCGGAAACAACTGGGCCAAGGGCCATTACACTGAGGGTGCCGAGCTTGTCGACCAGGTTCTCGATGTTGTGCGTCGCGAGGCTGAGGGCTGCGACTGCCTCCAGGGCTTCCAGATCACTCACTCTCTCGGTGGTGGTACCGGTGCCGGTATGGGTACGCTCCTCATCTCCAAGATCCGCGAAGAGTTCCCCGACCGCATGATGGCCACCTTCTCCGTTGTGCCCTCGCCAAAGGTGTCCGACACCGTCGTCGAGCCGTACAACGCCACCCTCTCCGTTCACCAGCTTGTTGAGAACTCCGACGAGACCTTCTGCATCGACAACGAGGCTCTCTACGACATCTGCATGCGCACGCTCAAGCTCAACAACCCCAGCTACGGCGATCTCAACCACCTCGTCTCCGCCGTCATGTCCGGTATCACCACCTGCCTGCGCTTCCCGGGTCAGCTCAACAGCGATCTCCGCAAGCTCGCTGTCAACATGGTGCCCTTCCCACGTCTCCATTTCTTCATGGTCGGCTTCGCCCCTCTCACCAGCCGTGGTGCGCACAGCTTCCGCGCGGTCTCCGTTCCCGAGCTCACCCAGCAGATCTTCGACCCCAAGAACATGATGGCAGCCAGCGACTTCCGCAACGGCCGCTACCTCACCTGCTCGGCCATCTACCGCGGCAAAGTCTCCATGAAGGAGGTTGAGGACCAGATCCGCAACGTGCAGAACAAGAACACCGCCTACTTCGTCGAGTGGATCCCGAACAACGTCCAGACCGCCCTCTGCTCCATCCCACCGCGCGGCCTGAAGATGAGCTCCACCTTCGTCGGCAACAGCACCTCTATCCAGGAGCTCTTCAAGCGTGTCGGCGACCAGTTCACTGCCATGTTCCGTCGCAAGGCCTTCTTGCATTGGTACACCGGCGAGGGCATGGACGAGATGGAGTTGTCCTTGGCCGAGTCCAACATGAACGATCTAGTGTCCGAGTACCAGCAGTACCAGGAGGCGTCCGTGTCCGAGGGCGAGGAGGAGTACGACGAGGAGGCCCCGCTTGAGGAGGAGTAGGCGAGTCCACTTGGCGACTGCTGCAGCGTTGGCGCAATCGGCGAGGGAGGTATTGATGGCACTTGGGATGATAACCGAGGTATTGACAAGAAGAATGCGTGGGTGCTTTGTGTGCGGTGGAAAATGGTATTGAGCGATTGCAGATGTTTAGGCTAGCATGGCGCTTGCGTCGAGCAGAGTTCTACGTCTTGATTCAATGCTAGTTGATCTTCATCATGATTGAGAACATGCTGCCCTCATGTTCCTTCCGTGTTCGTCGTTTTCGTTACAAGAAGCCTGAACTGCGGCACTGCCTGTAATCATAATCGACTCGGCGTATCAGTGCGTGCCCTTCACATTGATCCAATTCTCGCCCACATGCGCCACATAGACACACTATGGCCTGCGAGTCTGGTCACTATAACAAGTTCCGTGCGGTGCACCACTTCGGCAGCGTCGGCTGAGGTTGAGGATTGGTGTTAACAATGCGTCTTTGAATGGTAGAATAAGTGAGACATACTCTGTAGCTTGACCCTCCCGCCTTGGATCGCAAAGCGTGCTCGTTGCTCTCCTGCATGACCTTGAAGCGGTGCTGGCGCTTGAAGCGGTGCCTTGCTGGACCGGTATGGCAGGTCTCAGCAGATCCTCCATCGTCTGCACTCAGGCAAAGCGTGCGCAGCTCCCGCCGCGTTAATATCGCATACTGCTATGCCCTCCACACAACGCAGCGCAGCGCAGCGCTCCGCCCCACCCCCTCCCAGAAAAAAAGTCCATCATCCTTCACCCCCTCCCCATCAATCACACATGCTTAGTCCCCCCCACCACACCCCCCCTAACCTTCGTCCAATCGATCCTCCCATCCACCTCCTCATCCACCAACCCACACACCACCACATTATCCCCTCTCACCAAGTACAGCCCATGCGGTTGTTCGGCGGAGGGCTCGTTGTCGTCGGGCGGGCGAATGATGCGCTCGATGGTGTCTTTGAGCACGAGGTTGGTCACTTGGTCGCAGGAGACGAGGGTGCCGGTTAGGGTGCGGCCGTCGACGGTTAGGAGGAGGACTTTTTCTGGTGGGAGGGAGGTTAGTTGGGGATATGGGGATGGGGGAGGGGGAGGCTTGCTGTTGATGTAGGCGTTGAGGGACATGGTCGTACTGTTGAGGGCTGGCGGCAAGGACGTATAGGGAGGGAGCGTGTCGTGCCGCCAGCGTTGGTGAGAGAAAGGATGCGGATATGTGAAGTCTGGCGCATTCAAGTGCCCAGCTTCGAGATTTGAAGTCGAGACGTTGATGGTCTGTGCGCACAGAGAATACATATATTCTTGACTCGAACAACGCTCATTCATTCTTTCATCCACTGATACAAGCTACTTCGCCTTCTCGAACGCCTCATCAACAAAATCAGCCAACTCCCCAATCGTATCAACTTTCACCTGATACCCAAACCGCTCCTGCGATCCCTCCACCTCCCCACCCATGAACCCCTTCCTATCAACCCACACACTCTGAATCTCCATCTTGCTTGCCGGACCATGATCATGCAGCAGACTCTGCGCCATATGCACCAGCTCGCCCTTCTCGACACCGAAGTCTTGCTTCACATGCTCCAGCAAGTAATGAAAGTTCTTTAGGTCAGGCTTATAACTCCCAATATCCTCAGCCGTATAGACAGCATCGAAGTTTACGCCCTTCAAACTCGTCGCCCTCGCTTTGTCAAAAGACTTGTGATCGATATTCGACAGCGGGATCAACTTAAACCGCCTCCCAAGCCGCTGCATCGCCGCCACCGTGTCCGGGAAAGCTGGGTACTCACCGATACTAGATCCGTACTGCTTGCATGCCTGCTCGACTTGGTCCTGTGTCAATTGACCGTTTTCCACGACCTTCAAATCGCGAGCGTAGCGGCGCAGGCCTTCGGCGATGATCTCGGATTGCGGCATAGTCGGCAACTCCTTCTGCACGGGGAGGTCGTAGGATTCGATGTCCAGCATGAGTTGTTTGTGGGAGTCTGGGAGGTAGGGGCCTAGGGCGGTGGCGCGGGCGGTTTGGGCTATGCCGTTTTCCCAGTCGATGAGGGTCTGGGAGGTGTTGGTGTTAGTGGTGGTTCTAGGATGGTTTGTTGAGAGAGGGAGACTTACGCCATAGACATCGAAGGATATGGCTTTGACTTTTGTCCAAGGGATGGAGGAGGTCATGTTTGTTGATGTTCGAACGCAAGTGTCGATCTTCGTTGAATTGGAATATTGTTCTTGTTTAACTGCAATGAAACAGACTGATTTCGTCAAGTTGCAGTCGACATATATACTCTTTCACGGACTCGTGATTCCGCCCTTCTACAATTACTGGTCCGACATCATTGGCCAAAGATCAGTGTATTGGGGAAGGCAAAGGATGGCAATGGAAGTATATCGACGAAATAGGTTTACACAGGGCGGGGATTCTAGAACTAGAAGCTCGACTGTGCACTTGTGGATCAGCGTTCGCTGGTCGAACCAACAATGCAATTAAGCCGATGAAGAGCGGAAGACACCAACCAACCTGTGAAGAGTCGAAAGGAGAATCAAGCAAGGAAGTATAGATCTCTTACCAGTTGAAGGAGGAGTCGGGGGCAGAGAATGACTCAAAAGCTTAGTCGGTACAGACACCCTGCGGCGACGTGTGTACCTAGGTTTCCAACGTTCGTTGAGGAGACTTCAGAATATGCTGCCATGTCACTGCTACACATGACCGGCAGCAAGTGCGCTGGAGATGACCTCAAGATAACGAGGTCCAGTTCTACAGCATCCGCCGATCAGTTTTGCTTTAGCGTCCTCCCATTTGAGTGCTTGCTTCACAATGTCAGCATTCGACTCTCTACCGAGCCACTTGTGGTTCTCAGCATCCCAGGTCTCTCCGGAGTTGGGATAGCACACCAGAGGCAGATTCGTGAGGGGTCTCATGTGCTCGAGTGCGCCTTGAGCGAGGTCCGAAGGGATGCAATTCACGCCAGCGGCCACAACTTGGTTGGCATGTCGCTCCAGATGTTTCAGCAGATCTTCCAGTCGGGTACCATCGCTGAGATGTTTGGCATCCTTCAACGTGCAGCTCACCCATCCGATTGCTGTGGGGAATTCGTCGCTCAGAAGCTCCAGTATCGCCTGAATCTCTTCGAACTTGGGCATAGTCTCAACGGCGAGTAGATCAGCGCCAGCGTCCACAAGAGCTGCGATTCGGGGCCGGTGGAACGCTTTGAACTCCTCCCCCGTCCTCTCGTAGTCGCCACGATACTCTGACCCATCCGCTAGGTAAGCACCAAGTGGCCCTACGCTTCCAGCCACAAGTAGCCTTCGTTCGATGCCTTGACCGTATGCTTCGTAACGAGCTTGCTGCGCGAGCTTGACGCTGTCTTTGATCAAGTTGGCTGCCTCGTCATCATTCATGTTGAAATGCTCCTTGAGGCCTCGTGGAGAAGCCTGATAGGAAGCAGTGATGGCGATGTCAGCCCCGGCAACATAGTAGTTCAGGTGAACCTCCTGGATGGCCTTTGGCCTGTCACGAAGAACAATGCCTGACCAGAGAGGATGATCAAGGTTGTGGCCGCGGGCCTCGAGTTCGGTGGCCAATGCGCCATCAATGATCAGGGTGCCCATGGCCGCTAAGAGTGTTCTGAAGTCCTCCATCATGGTGGGCCTCGTGGACGGTATCCCGCAGATTGAGTGCTTGTCGTGTTCAGATGCTGGGTGATTCGGCCAGAGATCGTCTCATCTTGAAGACGCTACAGTAAATGATCCATACATTGGAATGTTGTCCCGTCGTGAATGTTGATATTCAGTGTTGGTGTTGCCAGAGACATGATGGGAACGAATGCACGTGGAAGTGTGGTATACCTGCCAGCACGGACCTCAGTCCCGCTCAAGCAACCAGCAACCACCAAGGCCTCCAACATAACTCTTCTGCAACCCGACCACAACCCGGGGACTCAGTAAATTGAATAGCGCCCCGGTCTCGCCGCAGCGTTGAGTAGCTGTTGCGCCCATCGAGTCGCCAAAGCACAGCATGTCGCTCTTCTCCTTCTCGACACCAGTCGACATCGACATCGTCCTCGAAGATGTCGACAACCGGCCCACGGTTGATGTAAAGCTGGACAAGAACAAGCGGGAGAAATGCCTGCTATACCTGGATGGGGAGACCGTAAAAGGCTCGGTGACCATCCGACCGAAGGATGGGAAGCGGTTAGAGCACACTGGTATCAAGGTGCAGTTCGTGGGAACGATAGGTACGACTAGCAATGCCCTTCTTTCGGCGCATCCAGGCTGATCATTATGTTACAGAAATGTTTTTCGATCGCAACACGCACCACGAATTCCTCTCCCTCCAGACTGAACTCGCCAGCCCCGGCGAACTCCAACACCCCGTCACCCTTCCCTTCGCCTTCAAGAACGTGGAGAAGCAATACGAGTCCTACCATGGCATCAACGTCAAGCTACGCTACTTCCTCCGTGTCACCGTAAGCCGGCGAATGCAGGACGTTGTGCGGGAGAAGGATCTATGGGTCTACAGCTACAGACAACCACCGGAGAGCAACAGCGTGATCAAAATGGATGTTGGAATTGAGGATTGCTTGCACATTGAGTTCGAGTACTCCAAGAGCAAGTACCACCTGAAAGATGTCATTGTAGGGCGGATATACTTCCTGCTCGTCCGGCTGAAGATACGGCATATGGAGCTTTCGATCATCCGGAGAGAGACGGCGGGTGTGCCGCCAAACCAGTACAACGAGTCGGAGACGCTTGTGCGGTTCGAGATCATGGACGGATCACCGAGCAGAGGGGAGACTATACCTATCCGGCTGTTCTTGGGTGGGTTCGATCTTACGCCGACGTTCCGGGATGTGAACAAGAAGTTCAGCACGCGGTACTACCTTAGTCTGGTGCTTATCGATGAGGATGCGAGACGGTACTTCAAGCAGTCGGAGATTGTGCTGTTCAGACAGGCGCCGGAGAACTCGGCACTGGCGCAGCAGCAGGCCAAGGAGATTCAGGCGAGCTAGAAGGGACTGAAAAGAGTGGTCGTCGGGACGACTCAGAAGACGACGCGCCATAGGTTTTTGGAGAGTGCACCAGCAAGGCTACGATCGAACCGAGCGACTGCAATGGAGACTGAGTATATCGACCTAATCTGCAGAGGTAAGCCTTGCGGACTGCAGTGAGCGCTTACGACCAAGCCAGCGCCAGAGGGAAAGTGAAGGCACGATCGGACAGCAGCCATGAAGAAGTATTACGGTCGCCAGGAACTAGCCACGAAGATGCAATACCAGATTGAGGTGCAAGATCACGAATGTATGAACCGGTTCTACACCATTACCAAGACTCGTAGGAGTTGCTACCGTACAGTCCAAAAAAACCAATAATCGCTTCCTCACTTCATCTCCCCATCCCTCCGCGCGCCTTGCGAGACGACGCTATTAGGCGGTGTGGTGAACCCGACCCACAGCCAGATACAGATCGCCACATACTCCATCAACAGTGCCATGAGCGCGAACAGAACAGCTGACCCAAACACAGGACTCCAATGACCAGTCGCCCAGTCATGCTGCGCGTACTCCAGAATCCCATATAGATTCCTCACAATCAGGAACGGAGCCGTTGCGAGCCCGCCCATGAGGATCTTCCGGCTGCTTGGGATCAAGCTCGATCTCAAGGTCCAGAAGTACAGCTCCATCGCGATGAGCGCGATCAGTATCGCGGCAAAAACAACATAGCCCGCCAACGCAAGCGTGCGGCCGAGGGTTGGCTGGTCACTGGAGATGCCTCCGCCAGCAGCTAGCAGGCCACCGGCTGGTATGAAGCCGATGCGGAGGAGTTTGACCATGAGGTGGAGTCTGGGGACCTGGGAGAAGTTGTCTTGTAGGCTGTCCGCAAATTCATTAGCCAACAGCAAGACGATAAGGCGTGTGAGGGAGAAGAACGTACATCGTCCGAACGAAACCGAGCTCGTTGACAATCAACGGTATCGCTCCAACGTTCAGCAGTACGATTGTGGTGATGATTAAGGCGAGGTTGAAGGACCTGTCGAGTTCGAGGGCGATGATGCAGGCGCCGCCTACTACTCGCACTGCGTCCTGATCAGCTCTTACGTTGGGTCTTCTGGGAGAAGATGAAGGACTCACTCAACGACAGCGGAACCATAGGCCACCATACCATGCGTGGGCGGTGGTGCCAATTGCGGTACATCAGGTATATGGTTAGTGGGAAGATGGGAGCGTAGAAGACGACTTGCGCGATTCCTAGGGAGAGATGTGGCTTCATTGTCGCGTTCGTTGTCGTTCAAGTACTGTGCTGTGTGTCCGAAGAACTAATGTGTTGTCGCAAGACGTCTCATCGGTCTTATATCCCTCCCCGTCACCATGCCATTGTAGAAGCCTAATCTGCTCACTCCAATTCTCTGCGAAAATGAAGCCATACCGGGGGACAATAGACGTAGAACAGCTTTGCTTGTTTGAGAGCGTGTTTCGCTCGCTAAATGCCAGCTGCAATGCCTCCCGAAGCGGACGCAATGCGCGAGTCGACTGGCGAATGACTGCGCTCGGAAGGACGGCAGGGAGGTACATCTCGACATGTCTAGGAGCTTCAAGGCTGAAAGGTTGGCAAGTCTGTGGACTTCTTCCATGCCTTGTTAGGTCTAGTATGGAACTGGTACACTACATGTCCAAGTATCCGAGCAGCAGATACACAGCCAACGCAGCTGTCCTCATAAGAAATGGGTATCACAAACAAGCACTCATCCCTCCCTCCTTTACCCTCACCCTCACCCATCTCACCCCTGCAACTCATACCTCGTCTTCGCCAAACTAACGTCCTCCGGCATCCCCACCTTCCTCTCCGCCACCAACTCCGCAACCTCCCTCTCCGCATCCAACTCCACCGCCGGCGTATCGCCCTGCAATTCCACCGTCCCCTTAGCCGGCGGCGGCGCCACCTTCGCATCACAACTCTCATAACCAGCCACCGCATCCTTCAAATCCTGCACTTCGCTCGACAGCGAGGATTCCGCGAGCGTGCTGGTATCGTCGTCGTCGGGGTCATGGCCGATTTTTATCCCCTTGATTTCCATGGGCAGGTCGACATCTTCCATCAGCTTGTCCTTGTATTCGGTGAACATGTCTTCGAGGCCGTGGGTGATTTTGTCGATCTTGTAGCTGGCGGCCATGTTGCGGCGGGGGACGAGGCGTTTGACGCGGTGGTGGACGTGTTGGGAGTAGCTGTTCTGATTGTCAGTAATGCTCCTTTGGTGCGAGTTCCAGAGATAACCAACCCTCTCAACTTGTATATCCGTGCTGCGGAGTTGACGTCTTTCTCATTCGGCTGTCCGCTGGCCCTGAACGTAACCTCCTTGAACGACCGCGCGAGCACCAAGATGAGATCGCAGCCCGTGATCAAGAACAACCTGCAAATGATAGGTACCACATAAGTCGTATTGATCGCACCAGTGACCGCCCACGCTGGTATGCCCGCCGCAAAGACCGTCCCAGTAACTCCAATGACCTGGAAAGTATCCGCCAGCGCCAGCGCCACGTTCGAGCCAAGATTATTCCAGACATTCGCCTTCAGCGCGTCCACAGCAGCTGTAGCAGAGACAGAAGGCAGACCGAAGCAATTAATGATAGCCGTTGTAAGATTCCTGACCGCGACGTTCTTATTGATCGTGGAGCCACCCGAGACGAAAGCAGTACCCGTCGTGGACCGGAGCAGTTTCTTGTACCGTCGCATCAGATCACTCAACGCCAGCTCGACTTTTAGGTCGATGCGGGAGACTTGTGCGCGGATGTAGAGGAGGCGTCTAGAACACACGAAGATGAGAACATTAGCAGTAGTCCGGAGATCGGAGGTGCTTACCATGGAAGACGAGCTTACATCTTGTCGGTTCCGAAGCAGCGGGAGGTGGCTTTGCTGAGTTCTTTAATTGATTCCTCGTCGTCTGTGCGAGGATGGTGAGCAGGTTGCAGGGAGGACAGCCGTCTGCTGAAAGGATACTCACCTTGCGATATCGCCACACAAGCATCCAGCCGCCCACCAGGAACCGTCTGCATCTCATTTCGTATCGTCTCTACCCGCTCTTGAAGCTGCTGCTCCGCGTACTCTTCGCAAGCTTCTTCGTCGAACCGCAGTCCTTCCTTCTTCATCGCTTTCCGCCGCGCGCTGAATTGAATGTCGACGAAGTCATCCTTCTTTGTCGCAACGACCACAATCGGCGTCTCGTGAGCGTATTGCGATACCGCTAGAAACAGCTTCTCTGTCGCCGTCTGAAGCGTTCGAGGGCTGTTGATATCGATGCAGAACCTGGCAACGGTCAGCAATCATGGCTGGTACTGCCGTGTTAGGGACTTACCAAATGACGTGCAACCGATCCATGACATCGACAGCATTTGACTTCTCCTTCAAGAAAGACTCAATCGCTTGAAACTCCTCATCCGCACCTGCTTCAAAACCTCCAGAGTCGTGCAGAATCAAATCTGGTCTGCCTTCGAACCTTATCTCCTCTCGCACGTCGTGTATACCTCGTGTTCTGTTTGAGCTGGTCGTCACGCTGACGCCGAACGTCTTGTTGATTAGTGTCGATTTGCCCACGCCAGTATTACCGCACACCAAGACACGAATGGCTCCCGGGTTCGGCGAGTCATCGAGAACATCTTCTTGCCAGTACTCGTTGACCATGCCGCTCTTGTCAACCCCAAGCATCCTCTCCCTCCAATTCTCGAGGTACCGCTGAACCTTAACCTCCTTATTCTCCATCGCCACGCTGATGTTCTCGTCTACAAGCAGATATACCGACGGATGGACGATAGTGCCTTGTGGTGCCCAGTCGCAAAATCCACGCAGCGTTCCATTACCATCGAAAGATTCTCTGGCCTTCTTCTGCCGGATGGAACCAAAGCGCGTGCCTAGCTTGACGCCGTAGTCCTCGTCTTGGTTCTGCGGGAAATCATGCATGTCGCGAAGATCCTCCATGGTAGTCACGACGCCGTTCGCACTAGTGTGGACCCAGATCGCGTCGTCATGGCCAGCTTTGCCGGCTTTTGGGAAGACAGCAGCGAGTGGGTCGTGGAGGCCGGTCGCTTCGCCCATCCCGCCGTCAAAGCGAGTGAGGAATAGCCCGCACTGTCTGGCTTCGAACAGCATCCATTGTAAGGGATAGAGGGCAAGACCAGCTTTCTTCAAGGTCCCGCCCATGTCGTTGTGAGTGCCGATGAAATGCGCTTGAACGAAACTTCGGCCTTTGTCCTTCAATGCAGTCCGGTAGAAGTCGTCTGGAAAGGCGTACTCGGGTGCTAGTGCTTTCCTGTCTTCGTGAAGTGCTACGGCGTGCCGCATATGCTGGATGGAGGCATTGAAAGAGACGTCCCAAGGAGAGTTGTCGGAGCCAGCTTTGATGGTGTCGAAGGCGCCCACGAACTGTATCCGTGGAGGCGATCTTGTATGTACAGACGTGGTTGTTGACACCTGAGCCACAGATTAGAGCATGCTGCCATGAAGTACAGCGATCTACTTACCGGACTCAAAGCCAGACTCGCGGTACTCCCGCCCTTGTCAGCCTCCTTAACGAGCTTCTTGAAGTCCCTGGCAAATTCCGGCTCACCAGCCGAAGCAATAGCCCCATACCCATGAAGCAGCCCAGCTACCGCCCGAACAACGTACGCGCCCCTGCTGAAGCCGAAGAGCCACACCTCATCTCTGCTGCCGTTAAGTCGAGAACAGCTCTCATAGACTTCCTGGATCTGCTTCTGGTAGACCTGACCTCCTAGTAAGCGGTCCTTGGAGAAAGTGTCGTCCGCTGCGCCAACACCAGGAATGAAGAGTACGTGCTGGTTGAAAGCCTGTCCATACGCATTACTTTTGCAGTTCCCGCGCGCGATGCTGGCGTTGATGCGCTGGATGTTCGTTAAGCTGGGCTTGTTCTTATTACCTCCTGAGGAGGTATTTTGCTCTCCGTCCACGCAGACGATCAGTCGTGTAGGCAAGGCGTCGGCCATTTCGCGCGCCGAAGAAACGAGTGTGTTAAGATGTGAGAGAGGGAATGTCGAACTCTTCAATCAACTCATACCATTCCCGTGGAGGCCATGGGATCATAGATATCGCAATATACAGTACTTACGCCCGACAAGGAGCTGAGCTGCCGTGCTGCGGTCCTGTTCAGCGCACTCTCGCAGACCATGCCTATTGGAGCATGCCGATCAATCCACCGCAGCGTAAATATCTTGCTAGGCTCGTCGATCGCTTTCGCATCCTCGCACTCCTCGCAGCGGCTGCGGCATCATGCCAGCCTAAATGGTCCAGCGATCCCACGGCCGGGAATGTGAGACCAACTTAGAGTCGCCGAAGTGCAGGCCAAAGAATGGCGATGTTGTCTGCCGCTGGCACGAAAGCAGCCACCAACACGACCGGGGACGAGATGAGATGGAAGCTTGCTCGTTCCTGGCACGTGATCGTTGAGTTTAGACCGAGTTTAACCGCCTAGAACCTCGGGTTTACCAGAAAGTCAACACTGGCATTTACAACTGCAAGCACTCGCGCAACAATGTAGTTCGAAATACTCCCTTTGCCCTTTTCATTCGCGTGTAAGCAATAGACATACAATGGCGTCAGCAAAGACCGCCTTCTCTCGAGCGTTCCGCTTCCAATCGAATCAACATCTCATTCCACGGTCGATATACCGTCCAAACATCCGACATCTCCACGCATCCCGCCATCTAGACATCGTCAAACCCTTCCTCCTAGCAGACATAGGCGAAGGGATCACCGAATGCCAGCTAATTCAATGGTTCGTGCAACCGGGCGCAAGGGTCGAGCAGTTCGACAAGATATGCGAGGTCCAGTCCGACAAGGCCTCGGTGGAGATCACCAGTCCGTTCGACGGGGTGATAAAGAAGCTGCATTATGACCCGGATGATATGGCGATTACGGGCAAGCCGTTGGTGGATATTGATATTGAGGGGGAGATTAGTGAGGCGGATGCGCAGAAGTTGGCTGATGGTGGGGAGGAGGGGTCGTCTGAAGGTGGGAAGGAGGGAGGGGAAGAGCCGGATGCGAAGGAGGGGGTTGCTCAAGAGCAGGTGGAGCAGAATTCGACGGCAGAGGATCCTGCAAGACCGCCTCCGCCTTCTTCAAGTACAACGGAGGCTCAGCGGCCGAAGGGCCCGCACGCATCGCTTGCGACGCCTGCTGTTCGACGGATAACCAAGGAGCATGGACTGAACGTCGCAGACATACAGGGGACTGGAAAGGATGGAAGAGTGCTGAAGGAGGACGTTGATCGGCATGTGGCTGGGGGAGGACAGCAGCAGACACAAACATCAAAGCAACCAACCGCACCCTCAGCACCTGCCCCAGCGCCGTCCGCTCCAAGAGAAGACCGCAAGGTCCAGCTGTCGAACGTGCAGTCGCAGATGTTCAAGACCATGACCAAGGCGTTGAACATCCCGCATTTCCTGTACTCGACAACAGCAGACATGGGAGCAGTGACCAGCATACGTCAGAAGCTGAACGCAAGAGCACAGAGCCCGGACCAGAAGATCACACATTTGGCCTTCATTATGAAAGCCGTCAGTCTGGCGTTACAACACCACCCATTGCTCAATTCGAGCTTCAACGCCAGCGATCCGAAGAAACCCGAGCTCACCTACAAAGGAGCGCACAACTTCGGCATAGCCATTGACGCGCCTTCTGGCCTTCTGGTACCTGTTGTCAAGAACGTACAAGATCTCAGCATCGCAGAAATCGCAGCGGCCATGCGACAGCTCTCCGAGAAAGCCAGGAACAACAAGCTTGCACCAGGTGACTTCAGCGGTGCCACTTTCACCGTCTCGAACATCGGCTCTGTTGGAGGAGGCGTGGTCGCACCAGTCATATCCGAGCCTCAAGTGGCCATCTTGGGCGTCGGACGGAGCAAGATCGTTCCAGCGTTCAACGAGAACGACGAATTGATCAAGAAGGAGGAGCTGGTGTTTAGCTGGAGCGCCGACCACCGCATTGTCGATGGCGCAGAGTGTGCGAGATGTGCTGAGAAGGTGAAGGGCTATCTTGAAGATCCTGGATCGCTGTTGGTAGGACTGCGGTAACCATCGCCCGCAGCCGTCAGTACGCGAAACGCGACGTTCCCCGACAGCGACAGCGATATCGCTGCACGCCCTGTCTGTCAGTTCCAGACCTTCAGTTCGGCCTAGCAGATTCTCACGCGGCTCAGTCGAGGAAGTTTTTGGTCGCAGGCTGAAGATGCCGACTTCGGAAGGGCAGAGCGAAAGTGCCCCACCAAAATACCAATCCCAGAAGGCCGAAGATAGCCGCCAGCATTGAGAGCTTCGAGACATTTATGGGAGCTCCCTTGCGTGCTGAGAGTACTGAGGTCAAGTACAAGGACTCACAATGGCCTCTACAACTCTCCGACCTTGCTCAACAGTCCTTCGACAACACTCAAAAGCGTTTGCTTCTTCACCATCCACCATAATAGGCCCGCGAGCCTCACAACAGACGGCAACCATGGCCAACCTTGCAACGTTCCGTATACCGGAGGTCAAGAATGAGCCTAATGTATGTATGAGATGGCTGTCAGCAAGAGCTACTGTTAATGAAAACACAGGTAGCATACGAGAAGGGCTCCGAAGCCCGTCAAAAGCTGTCCGAAGCAATGCAATCCTACAAGTCCAAAGCACCTCAAGACATACCGATCGTGGTCGCCGGCAAACAGACAAAGACACAAAAGATCACACACCAACCCTACCCAGCCAACCACAAAGACTCGCTCGCAGCATGGTCGAGTGCATCCTCCGACGACGTCTCCAACGCCATCGAGTCAGCCCTTGCAGCGAAGCCAGCATGGGAGAACCTCAGCTTTGCCGACCGAGCAGCAGTCTTCTTGAAGGCTGCTGACCTGATCAGTGGGAAGTACCGCTACGAGCTGAACGCACTTACCATGCTTGGGCAAGGCAAGAATGCTACACAGGCAGAGATTGATGCCGCGGCAGAGACGTGCGATTTCCTGCGGTTTGGCGTCCAGTACGCGCAAGAGATGTATACACACCAGCCAGTACACAATGCTCCCGGCATCTGGAACAGGCTGGAATATCGGCCGTTGGAGGGATTTGTGTATGCCATTTCACCATTCAACTTCACGGCTATTGCTGGCAATCTGCCTGCTGCACCGGCATTGATGGGCAACGTGGTTGTGTGGAAACCTTCCCCGTCTGCGATGGCGTCCAATTGGCTGCTGTACAACATCTTCCTCGAAGCTGGCCTACCTCCGAACGTCATCCAGTTCGTTCCCGGTGACCCTGTTGAGGTGACACAGGCCGCTCTGGCACATAAACAATTCGCGGCACTCCACTACACTGGCTCAACCGCCGTCTTCCGAGACCTGTACAAGCAGATTGCGGTCAACGCTGCTGAAGGCAAATACCGCGGCTACCCGCGCGTCGTCGGCGAGACTGGCGGGAAAAACTACCATGTTGTTCACAAGAGCGCCGACGTCGAGAACGTCGTCATGAACACCGTCCGCGGCGCCTTCGAATACCAAGGCCAGAAGTGCAGCGCAACAAGCCGAGGATACTTCCCCAAGAGCCTCTGGAACCAAATCAAACCCCGCCTCGTCGAAGAGACCAAGAAACTCAAGGTCGGCTCACCCGAACAGTTCGACAACTTCATCGGCCCCGTCATCCACCAGCAAAGCTTCAACAAACTCTTCAAAGTCATCGACGACGCCAAAAACGACTCCGAACTCGAATGCATCGTCGGCGGCTCCTACGACGGCAGCGAAGGCTTCTACATCCACCCTACCATCTACGTCACCACCAACCCGCACCACGAACTCATGAGCCGCGAGCTCTTCGGCCCCGTCATGACTATCTACGTCTACGACGACGCGCCCGCGCAAGCCTTCGCGGACATCTGCAAGACGTGCGACGAGACGTCCGACTACGCGCTCACCGGCGCCGTGTTCGCGCAGGACCGGGAAGCGCTGCGTTTTGCGGAGGAGGCGCTGAGGAACTCGGCGGGGAACTTCTATCTCAACTGCAAGTCTACTGGTTCCGTTGTGGGACAGCAGCCTTTTGGTGGCGCGAGGGCGAGCGGGACGAACGATAAGGCGGGTTCGGCGAATTTGCTGTCGCGGTTTGTGTCGATGCGGGCGATTAAGGAGGATTTCGTGGGGTTGAGGGAGGTGTTGTATCCGAGTAATGTTGTCTAGTAAAAGTTGGGATTTGTCGTGAGGATGGGATGGGTTGCATTAAGCATTGGCGCTGAGGGTGATAGCGTGTATAGGACAGCACTTGGTATACTCCTGCATTCACTTTCAACAGCTTTTCGCTGCAAATACCGAGTTTCGGCATCGGCAATGGCACCAGTGAATGCCGAGTCCCAAATCACTTTTTCCAACGTCACTTCGTACCTTGGTACCCTTCTTGCGCCTTGCACCGCGACAAATGGGATGCTTTGCCGCTGGAATCGGAGGCCTCGTGACTCGCTCCCTGGAGAAAGATACCGTCTGGAGCCGAATTAAATCTTGGGACGTGGGACGTCAGATCTCGCCTGGCCGGCTTGCAGCGACTGATACAAGTATACTTGCTTCTCCTTAGCGTTCGTCAGGAGAAGGAGCAGTCTGTACTCTAGCCTACGTGACTGGTTCTCAGCTTCGATCCTTCTCTTGTAGTCAACCAGGCCGTCCTTGTTGGTATACTATGCTCCGGTGACCCGGCTGGCATCCTGAGCACTGCCTCGTTTCATCTCGTCGTCGTCGTTTCGGAGTATTAAAAACATAAAAGAATCAAGGTACCCTGGAATATGGCTTTAACACCGCAAGACGCTCTGCCTCCTACGCCGCCTTCCGATACTCCTGCGATTATGTCGAATACTAGAACGCCTGCCTATGTGGCTCCTCCGGCAGCCACTGCCCACAAGCATATCTGGGTCATAACGGGACCGGCTGGCTGTGGGAAGACTTCTGTAGCCGAGTACTTACACCAAACTTTCTCATTCCCGTATCTAGAAGGAGATACCGTAAGCCACTCACCCCCTCCCCTCCTCCATCCCGACCTCTGCTAACCCCCACCACCCAGTTCCACACCCCAGCCAACGTCGAGAAAATGGCCGCCGGCCATCCCCTAACCGACGCCGACCGCTGGGACTGGCTCATCCAGCTGCGCCAACAATCTCTCCTCGCCCTCTCCCAACCCCTCGGCCCCTCCGGCGTCATCATAACCTGCTCGGCCCTGAAACGCAAATATCGGGACGTCCTTCGCATCGCCCATTACCACGACCCCACGATCAAAGTCCACTTCATCTTCCTCCACGCTTCCGAAGCTCTGCTGATGGATCGGGTACGCGCGAGGCAGAACCATTATATGAAGGATTATATGGTAAGGAGTCAGTTTGAGAGTCTCGAGACGCCGACGGAGGAGGAGAGGGATGTGCTGAGTGTGGATGCTGGGGGCACGAGTGGGGAGGTGCAGCGGTTGGCGCTTGGGGTGGTGGAGGGGGTGTTGAGGGGGGATGCTGCTGGGTCGTAGGGGCCTTGCTGGGGACGTGGGGTGGTTATTGCCGACGTGAGAGAGTTTTGGTTCCAATTAGCGATGGATGAGTCGCTTCCGAGTAGCCTGTCTCGTCCTACGGAGTTTTCCTGATCATGGACCTCCAAGGCCGAAGAATATGACGAGAATGTGACCTCTTCTCTCGGACGTCGTCTTGATGGTCGGATGTCATGACGGATCGAGCCTTGGATGCTCTCATTCCCATCAGAAGGCCCACGCACCCATGCGTCATATCACTGTTCACGCACTCGGTCCATCGCCGGCTTGGAACAGAATCGATGGCTTTGGGCGAGCGAGTCGCCTTCCAAGCAGAACCGAACATGGAACATCAACAAGACGTACCAAGTCTCTGAGAGTCCGGCGATATGTAGGCGCCGTAGAGTCGCAAAGACCCGCGGAAGAAGGAGGTGGGGGACTGGTGATCGCGGCGTGAAGTTATGGAGTGCGGTCTGAGGCGCACGAGAAAGAACATGAACTCACGATGAGATCCAAGTTGGCTGTCAGCACGGTGTTTGCTTCGGCTGAGCAGGAACTGTGTGGCCTGGAAAAGGAAGCTTCGGTCTGGTCAGGCGAGCGAACTCATGACGGAGGAAAGAAAAGAGAATTTGAGTCTGTGAACCCGGTTGGCCGTTCTCGGGGCTACTATGATACACTGCAAACAAACATACAACATCCGGCCAACAATCTCGGCTTCCGTTCGCAAGACCTCGCGTCAAAAGTAAAGTATATACCTTATGTTTCCCTGAAAGTCCCACCACCATCTCCAGTAGCCCTCACTGGGGCGAACGAGTGTCCGCAACCATTCGAAAATTGACGCAACCTACATGTACCCCGAAAGAGCCTGCTCAATCGGTTAAACAGCTCGCAAAACTTATGCTTAGACATTTTTGATACTGGGACAGATATTACCACGACGTTGCACGACCAACATCTTCCACATACTCCACACTATCTACACCACCCCACTCAATCCTCAAGTCCACAGCCTCGCCACCCCATCCGCCCCAGCACTCACACACCACGCCTCCCTTGGATGCCACTCGACATCCAACACGCCCAAATTCTTCACCACCTTATGGCCCCTCAGCACCTTCAACGGCACCACCGTCGCGTTCTCCAAACTATCGCCCATCACATTCCCATGGAAGACTTGCAGAGTGCCATCGTCACTCCCGTCCACGAAGAGCGGCAAGCTAGGGTGGAATTTGACGCTTCGGATAGCCTTGCTGTGGTATCGGAGAGTTTTGTACGGTGTAGCTGCTAGGTCGAGGTCGTGCCATAGCAGTCGTTTGTCGTATGATGATACCAGCAAGTTCGAGCCGAGCGGGTGCAGGCTTATGTCGGAAATCCATTGCGCGCCAGGCTGGAGTTCCTTCTCGAGACGCTGTTGCTGGAGGTCGTAGACGCGGACGCGTTGGCGAGTGGCGACGAAGAAAAGGGGCTTGGAAGGGTGGAAGCAGACGGTTTGCGCGAGGCCTTTGAGGCGCCGGAAGGGGTGCTGGGTCTGGTGTTTGGAGAGGGTGTGGATCGCAACGGCGGTGGAGGTGGCGGCTGTGGAGGGCGAGACAGTGGAGAAGTAGTCGCCGCGACGGTGCCAGGCGAGGGTTTTTGGGGTAGAGCGGAGTGTGAGGGTTAGGAGGACGCCTTTATCTTGCAGGGTGGTGGAGGGCCGGAGCCAGTTGGCGGAGGAGGGCTTGTCGACGCCGGCGGCGGTCTTTGACGGGTTTGAGGTGGCGTAGCCGAAGCCTGAGTCGAGCACCTCTCTGCTACGGCGGTCCTGCTGCGGGTTGCAGATGTCGCCTTGTGGAATGATGAATTGGACATTCTCACCGCAGCAGGCAGCAATGATACACGTCTCGCGTGATGGCTGCCAGGAGACTTGATTGACTGCCTCTGACGAAGATAATCTGAGCCGCCGCAACTGTTTGCCGGTTTGGAGCTCCCATACTCTGACGGTACCATCGTCTCCTCCAGTCGCCAAGTACCTGCCCTGCGGATCAATGTTGAGGCTGCGTATCCGGCCGTCATGCCCTTTGAACATTGCCGTACAGATGGATGGAAACGGTCGCAGCTCATTGGGATCGGGTAGCTTGGGCAAAAGACTTTCGGGGTCGATGTTGAGCTTGCTTCGTCTGACTCGGGGCGCAAGGTACAGGTCAAGACATCTCTCAAACTTGTCTTTGACGAACTTTGCATACCCAGGTACTCGTCGCAATGCGGAGTGGTCTTGGGGCAGGAAATCCCGCTCTCGGTCTTCCTCGTCCTGCGTCTCCCACGTTTCCTTCTCCTGTTTGTCAGGCAGATATTCTGGTGGTGGATGGTAGCTCTCCTCGTATCCCGGTGGTGGCAGCTTCGGTGCAGGCACGTTCATTGGATGGTCCGGACGTGGGATCTCGTTCGACCAGATGTCGTACGAAGCGAAGTCCTGCTCAGCATCATCCTGCTCCTTGTCTTCTTCAGTCGGTGCTCGGTAGGGTCTTATCCTCCCCTCCTTGATCGCCTTCACCATCTTCATGACACGCTTGTGCTCATGCATAGACGGGACGAAACGCCGCTTGGGCTCGGGTGCGGCAGACAACGGCATGGTCATCTCCATTCCTTTGCCAGTGAAGTACTCGACCATGTCAGGGTACGGGTCGTAGCCTTCGCCAGGAGCTTCATTACGTGTGAGCTTCTTGAGTACTTCAAGATCATCACCACTGAGTTGCATGGGCTTTCCAGTGTTCGGATCAGTGAGGCCAGTCCATCCTTCAGGAATGTCTATGCTGTCCAGCAGCGAGTCGAGCGCCTCGCCTTTCGCAGGCCGTGCGATCCGACGCCCGTTGATGTCGTAGCCGATGTGAGGGTACTCGTCGTAGTATGACAGAGGTATGTTGCCGATTGTGTTGGTAGGCACAAGGAAGTCGGAGTCGTCGGAGTCGTAGTTGGGTTCAATCTCGTTGTAGATATACCGTGGTTCACCATTGGCATCCACCTCCGTTCTGAGGAGTTGTTTCCGCTTTCTACCTTCCTGTCCCAGCTGCTTCATTGGAGTTTCTGGTGATAGTGAGCTGACATCCTTTGCGGTATCGCTGCCCATCAGCTTCGCGGGTGGTGTGTTGGGTCTGTCGTTGGTCCTGAGCTTGTCGACTTGCGCCCGAACGTCTTCCTCGTCCTCCGATGATGGGATCTCGTCGCTCTCTATCTCATCGTCTTCCAGCTCGTCCTCGTCCTCATCCTCATCAAGCCCAGCCTCTTCGCTGCCCTCGCTCTCTTCTTCACTGTCGTTGTCCTCGAGCGCTCCATTGAGAGCTACGGCGTCCAGCTCGTCCTCCTCTTGCGGATCAGGCTGTGGTCGCGGGACCTCAACCACCTTTCTCTTCTGTCCTGCCCTCTGCGCCATTGTAAGGAGCTCGAACAACTTCAATACGTAAATCGACTGCAGTGTCCGCGTCGTGAACTTTTTTTTGACGAATTGAGATTTCTCGGTGCCATGTTTATCCGAGCCGGTAACTCTAACTGCGACCCATCAGGCCGTCCCGCTCGCCTTCCTACATCCCCCCTCTACAACACAACACCCACACTCAAGGTTCCAAACCGATCGCATCATGCGTGGCTTCGAAGATACTATAGCGTTCAATAGACCATCACCTTCCGTCGTCGATTGTGTTCCGCGCGATGCCTACGCCCGACAACAAGGGCTCTTTTGACTTCACCGTCTCGTCGCAGAATGTTGCCTCGCTGGAGCTCGTGGCGTCCTCCATTTCCATATAACATAGTTGGTATTGTTTCGATGTCGATCTGATGTGACGCGAAAACGAGCTGATCTGGCGCATTCAGATTTGATGACTGCGCCATCCAAGGAACACGAGTCACAGCGCAATTATGGCCGTAAGCTCCGCCAACACGGCTGGAGGTCCTGACAAAGCCACTGCCGTCGCAACACGCCCACGTTTCGGGGTTAGCCTCGCACGTAGGGCTGCAGCAGAACGCTTCTCATTGACGCTCTCTCGCAACATGTCTGCTGCCTTCTCTTTCGCAGTTGCTCAGCAATCTTGGGTGCATGTTAGCCCTGCTTTGCTCGTGGGTCTGCGAGTCTCGAGACGAATCAGAAATAGGATACGGTGTGTTCGGGCTGCCGCGCTTGGCCTCCATCCTCCACGATGCTCTACGGTCGTATGCTGCGACGGGAACGGCAGAGAGGTAAGTCTATATAACCCCGTCTTCGCCACGCTTCAATGCCATTCTCTTCAGCACCTCCATCCAACACACTCCGCACTCCACAAATCATCTCTATCTTCTCAAACCACTCAACAAATCAACATCCTCCTTCCGAAGCTGTCACACAGAAATATCCCAATGGCAGCCTACAACGTCTCGACTGCCTCAGACGGCACCCTCCTCTACTATGCACCTAATGGGCTCACTTACGCTGCGAACGGCGACTTCGCCAACTGCACCATTTCAGTGTGCCCAGTCGAGCTCAGTGTGTACGGATACCGGGCCAGCCTGCCATTTTCCGCCACTCTCATCGCTCTCTACACTCTATGCGCTGTTGCTCAGACATACCTTGGATGGCGATACAAGACCTGGAGCTTCATGGCAGCGATGCTGCTTGGTTGTTTTGTGGAGCTCCTGGGATACGTCGGCAGGATCATGATGTGGCAGAATCCATGGAACGACGGCGGCTTCATTATGCAGATCGGTGAGTGTCTACGACTCGATGCAAGAGACGACCAAAGCTAACTGTCGCGCTACAGTCCTCATCACCATCGGCCCGGTTTTCTTCTCTGCCGCCATATATGTCATGCTGTATCAAATGTAAGCCTTCTCCAGTCCTTTCTTCAGAGCAACAGCTAACACCACACAGCGCCATGTACATCTCGCCATCTTCAGCCCGCTTCTCACCAAAGATATACTACTGGATCTTCATCCCCTGCGACATCGTCTCCCTCATCCTGCAAGCAGCAGGCGGCGCCCTATCCTCCACCTCTGACGGCGACTCAGGCCCCGGCGTCAACATCGCCATAGCGGGTCTCGTCTTCCAGGTCGTCACCCTAGCCACTTTCATCGCCGCCACCGTCGACTACGCCTGGACCAGCAGGAACGTCGCGGCCGAGAAGAAGCAAGCCCTCAAGTTCAAGGTCTTCGCCGGGTTCTTCGCGCTGGCAACAATCCTCATCACCATCCGTTGCTGCTACCGAGTCTACGAGCTCAGCGAGGGCTACAGCGAGGATAGCGAGGCGCTGCGCGATCAGCCGTTGTTCATTGGCTTGGAGGGGATGATGGTGGTGCTGGCGGCTTGGTGCTTGGTGGTTGCTCACCCGGGACCAGTCTTCCGATCTCTGGAGGCGAAGATGGCGGAGAAGAAGATCGGTGCTGGATCTGACTCTGAGGGTGCCATCGTGTGAGCATAGATGGAGTTCCAACACGGGGCAGCGTTTGATGGTTGTGGGCACGATTGATGCGGGATGGTAGCGTGAGGCGCTGGAGGGTAATAGATGGGGTGTTTCTTGTTCATACAATGGCGTTACTCTATAGATATAAACCAGATGAGTCTTGCGTATTTCACGCTCACGCTCGTATCATATCTCGTCCATTACACCTGAGCATCGAGACCAGGCCTCACCCACTGACTACGAGCAAGGTGCACGTGGCCGGAATGCTAATCTCTTGGCAAAGAAGGGGGTTTAATGGTTCACGTCTGCTTCGTCTTTGCTTCCACCAAACAAAAGCTGCACTCCGTCGATCTGATGTTGGGGACGTATCATCAGCCCGTCCTGCTATGTGGCTGCCGTGCGCCAACGTGATGAACAAGAAAATGCCAGACCGCAAGGCTCCCATCTCCTGGATCGTGGCACTGCCACCACCTCAACCATTCAATCAGATACCCATGTCCAGCTGATACAGATGCGGGACGTCAATGGCACAGGAGGACAGCGAGCAGGGCGTCTACTGTGCGCTTTGCTATTGGTGGTCTGCTGACCGCCTTCTTGAGTCCTGCATGTTCGTGTGATTCATGCGGCACAGCCTTCGAGCAGCCTTGCGATGGTAAAGTACAAAGGCAAAGGTATTTGGGCATGTTCTATCACTCACATCGACCCACTCCAGGCATTTGCTTCGACTGTCGAGGACTCCGGAAATACCACAAGAACATCTTCACGACACAGGACATAACATCTTGATACCCAAACGGGACGGACAGAACCCAACGATCCACGACGAGTTTCTCGAGCAATATGTCTGCTGCAAGCTCCCAACATCTCAGCTGGCAGTCCGCCTTCGGAGGCATCAGCGCCCTGGCTCTCAACACTATGTTTCAGGAGGCTGGGTCCTTTGGAAACCTTCCGGAGCTCGCACGCTACGTCCTCCGCTCGTCCCCAATTTTCTGCGTTGCGGACATACTGCTCATCGTGGGACTATTTCTGGCTCTACTCCCTGGCCATGGGTTTCTTACCGCCCTCCGCATCGTCGCATTGCTGCGCTATCCAGCGGGATGTCGTACTCCACCTAAAGCAACGGTTGGGAACCAAGTCAAGAGCCTCTTCTTGTTCATCGCGATGCTCAGTCAGCTTGTAAAGCTGTTGACTTGCAAAGGCATCCCTTGGACACAAGCATCGGCCATCATGTACATGGTTCTGTACCTTCTGGAGGGCTTACTACGTCATATCGCAGTCGCGATTCTCGACAACACGGCAAGCGAGCTTCGAAGTCAATCGACTATCAGAATAAACCACTGTGGCCAATTTGCTCTCAGTGTGATTGCGCTGCTGCAGTATGCCTTCTGGATTGTGGCCAGCTTCCAAGCATACCCTCCTGCTATGAATCATGCATGTCTGAGCATAGACACATTGGCCATAACGGCAATATCGGTAAATTGTCTTAAATACCAAGCGCTCATGCTGGGTGTACTACCTGTCAATCTGGCTCCGTTACTCGCGCTTTTCGTTATCGCGAGGCGGCGATTCACTGATATACACACCCAGGAGTATTCAAAGGCGGTCTTTGAGATGGCCGCACTTCTGGTGATTTCGCTGGCCGGCGTCGCATTGGGGTTCGTATTGGGGTATGCGATGCTAATGTTACATCAATCTACTTGGCACCTATGTAGGTGCTCCCATGCCACACCTTTACTACTCAGTATCGGGACTGGCTTACTCCTATTCCGCCTCCTACTGGAAGCACTTACCTGGATAGTCCCGAGTCTGCCAAAAAGCCGGGTTTCAACGTGGCCCAACTGCGTATGCCTGTCATTGATGCTGAACCAAGTACTCGTCTCATTGGTGCACTACACTTTCGTTTACGACGCGGACGCCACGTACAAGCCAGCCTTCGCAGAGAACTTACCATAAACCCGAGAGATTTGCTGGTACGGTTCCGGGACGGCAGATTCATCGCAGCTGGAGCACTTACAGCAAGGCTTCGGATGATGGATGGGACTTGATGGCAGGGCGCTGAAGCAGAAGGCAACATTCTTCGAAGTCCAATCTATCTCCATGATAGCTATGCTCTGGACATGCCAACGAGACCCAGGAATTCGCTGCGCAAGTCGGACTGCTCAAGGCAACCTGAGAAGTGACTCGTAATGGTGATGGTTCCGGGCTTCTGGACACCTCTCATGCTTATGCAAAGATGGCTCGCCTCCATGACGACCGCAACGCCTTGGGGTTTGACAGCTTCCATGATGGCGTGAGCGACCTCCTTGGTAAGACGTTCCTGGATCTGCAGCCGCCTGGAGAAGATCTCAGCAATCCGTGGCAGCTTGGAAAGTCCGATGACAGCCGAGGAAGGAACGTAGCCGATGTGCATCTGGAGATGTCGATTAGCTTGCCCTACGGAAGAACAGTATTTTGGAGCAGGACACACCTTTCCAGTGAACGGCAAGAGGTGATGCTCGCACAGACTGCAGATCTCAATGTCTCTCATGATGACCATTCCGTGGTGGCTCTCGTGGAAGAGCGCCTTGTTGACGATGGTATCGACGTTCATCTGGTGGCCGGAAGTCAGGAACAAGAGCGCGTTCGCATACCGGGATGGTGTATCCTGCAGGCCCTCGCGGTCCGGATCTTCGCCAATACATTCGAGAAGCGTTCTGACAGCTCCGCGCATTCTGTCCAGCCGGCACGCGACCAGCTTTGGTTCCTCAGCCGTGAGGCTTCTTGTAGCGTTGGATTGAAGTCCGAAGCCGTCCAGTTCGGCCGCGAGAGGCAGCTTTGGCTTCTTGAGGGCTGGCTGATTATCCAGATCGTGAGCAGTCTTGCCAGGGCCATGACGAATCTCAACAGAATAAAGGGGCGGGGCACTGTTGCCGGTGAAGGGTACGGGCATGGCCGACGAAGTGTCTGTTTTCAGCTTCTCGACTTTGGTCTCTTGGTGCTTCCGTTTGCTGGACCTCACACCGGCACCTCCAACGCTGGCCATACCCGACCTCGCAGGATTACCCGCCGTCGCGCTGTGCTGCTGCTGTAAGCTGCTTCTGGAAGGGGATGAGCGGACACGCCAAACACGAAGAAAGATCAAGGAACCGGGAGGACTTGGGCTCATCATATATGCAATTGTCGCTCGGCAGCTGATCTCAAATAACGCCCTCCCCCTACGATGCCTGTTGCAGGCATTGAGTAAGGCTCTTTGCCCAGATGATTGATTGATTGCCATCAGCCGGTCTGGGCTGAGGGTGCAGATGTCGCTACCCGCACCAGATGACCTTCCCCTGTTCTCATAAACGCATTGCTGTCTGCCTTAATGATCGCGACGTCGCATCACAAATGCAAAGACCCGGACGACTGCAGCGGAAGGTTCTGAAAGTTGCAGTGGCCTGCGGCGTCATGAGATGCGTTCGGGTGTTACTGACGCCCGTGCCACCGACGGGTGGAAGGCGGAACTGCAGGGCAGAGATAAGGCTGGAGTTCCACTGCATACTTGATCTTCTATGTCGGGTGACAGGAGACAGCAATCCTGCGAGAGCTCTAACCCCCGAGCCAAGGTGAAAGGTCAAGCAGTAGAAACTACCGGAGGGTCCCAGGAGTTTTGCACGAAACACGTGATCGGAGTCAATACCGAAACCGACCTCACCTGTTCTCGGTCTTCCCATTCTTACTCCAATCTTCCTCCATCACGGCAGTCTACCACAACAGTTGTCCATGCGACTCTCCATGACCGAGAACACTCATAGCCCACGACGGCGCGGTCAGCATTCACTGAAGCAAGCAGAAATGTCTACAGCCATCTGCGGGCGTCATTCCATACGACAAAGGAGATTAAAAAGCAGGCAGAGCAGAAGAGGTTTGCGACACGCAAATGATTAGGTGGATCGTGTAGGTTCCAGTTCTGATGCCTCCGTGAGAAGAAGTTTACGTTTTCATACTCTCCTCGTGTTCTCACCACATCTTGTCTTCCATCACCATTTATTCTCTTGAAGGCACAGCCTTCCCTGCATCCTTGAAGACACCAGACCAAGCCAGGATTTTTGCGCGACCAGCAGAAATCGACACGGCTTTCGAACAATCAACATGGCCACACTCAACCTTCTGAAGTGGAGCCTGCAGCAGGAGTTCGAAGCACCAACATGGCAGGACCCAATGCCACTGGAAGATTCACAGTACGACGAAGGCTTCAAAATCCTCTTGCAGGGTCAAAGCGCATACCAAGACTTCATCGTGCCTCAGCTTTCCCAGCTGCTGACTTCTGTGCTCAAATCACGAGTGACTGTATCGGTGCTAGAAGTTGGACCGGGGCCGAAGAGCGTATTGGGCTCTCTGCCTAGCCACTTGAGGCGAAGAATCCACAGATACGCTGCATTTGAGCCTAACGCGGTGTTCGCTACCAGGCTGCAGACATGGCTCAGCTCCTCACAGGAGTCACCCCTGCCTTGTCTGGACAACCAACCCGACATTCATCGCACCCCATTCAGTTTGAACACGAAGACCGCCGTCGATCCCAGCGGCAAAGAGGATGGATCTGCGGAGACGTTCGACCTCATCATGTTCTGCCACAGCATGTACGGCATGAACCCGGAACGGGACTACATCGAGCGTGCGCTGCAGATGCTCAACAAGAAGCCAGACGAAGGTCTGATTGTGGTGTTCCATCGCGATGGTGCTCAATTCGACGGTCTGGTGTGCCACCAAACAGTCTCGTTACCTACAGGAGTAACTTCCGTAGCAGATGATGACGAGACACTGGATTCCTTCGCTCAATTCATTGCCGGGTCCGGCCCAAAAAGCTTCAACGGGGAATGGATCGATAGACAATGGCGCGAGGTCTGCCGTGCATTGGCTCATTGCGACGAAAACCGCCCCAAATGTCTTCTCTACAGCTCGCCAGACATCATGATGGCGTTCACTCAGCGAGCGACCAGGCTGCCCGAGCTGCTTGCAGAAGTATCCGAGGCGTCCAAAGAACACCGCGTGAAGAACCGCGAGGCGCTTGTCCACTATCCAGCCTCAGTCGTCGCTCCGGCAGATATTGGAGACGTCCAGACATGCGTTCGATGGGCGCTGGAACACAAGCTATAGCTGACAGTTATCAGTGGCGGCCACGGTGGTCAATGTCTGTGGCCCAACGTCGTTGCGCTCGACATGTGCGCCTTCAATCAAATTCTCGTTCTCGCCAAAGAGGAGGACAACGGCAAGTCCCCCAACACCCTGGTTGTTGTTGGCGCTGGATGCAGATCTGGAGACATCATCCGCAACACCATGGCAGCAGATGTCACAGTACCCCTTGGAAGCCGCCCAAGCGTGGGAATGGGGCTGGTATTGCAGGGAGGCATCGGGCACCTGGCCCGCCAACATGGTCTTGCTTCCGACAGCATCGCGGGAGCCGTTGTGGTCAGCGTCGCCACAGGCCAAGTGCTCTGCGTCGGCAATGTTCCAAGCCAACACCAGCCAGCCGATGCAGTACGGCTGGAGAATGACGGCGATCTTCGGTGGGCATTGCAAGGCGCCGGATCAAACTTTGGCATCGTGATCAGCGTCGTTCTGAAGGCGTGCCCTGCTCCGGAATACACAGTCCGCAATTGTGTCATTCCACTGATCGACCATGCTCAGGCGCAGCTGAAGCTCACCGATTTCAACGAAGAGATCGCCGAGAAGCTTCCACGGCACTGTTCTGCAGACGCTTATTTGTACCACGAAGCGGGAAAGCTGCATCTGGGTGTGAACACCTTCGAAGTCTCCACGAGAGATGCTATCGAGCCTCCGCCCGATACCACAGCACTGCTGGGGCCGGAAGCCAGCTCCAAGACCGTGGACGGTGTTGCTCTGTTCGACACGGAAATGTACATGTCTGCAATGCACGGCGGTCACGGCGGTGGTAAGACGTCTTCATTCAAGCGGTGTGTCTTCTTGAAGGATATCGGAAGTGCTGGTCTGACTGACAAGCTATTGTCAGCCATTGAGTCTCGTCCCACTCCACGCTGCTACCTCCATCTGCTTCACGGCGGTGGTGCTGTGCGTGATATAGCCCCTGAAGCTACTGCTTTCGGCTGTCGAGACTGGGATTTCGCCTGTGTTATCACTGGAGTCTGGCAGCGCGATCAAGATGGTCGTCAGGAGGCCCGCGCAGCCATGCAATGGGTCTACGACGTCGCCAATGACTTACTTCCGTTGTGCGCCGGAGTGTATGGCGCCGACCTTGGTCCAGATCCTAGAGATGCTACACTGGCAGCGAAGGCGTTTGGCCCAGACCATGCTCGACTCGCAATAGCCAAGGAGACATTTGATCCGCACAACGTGCTGGCCTACGCTTGTCTGCTCCCGGCAGTGGAGAGAGCACAGAGGCTCATCGGTCTCGTCACCGGTCACAGTGGGGTGGGTAAAGACTTTACCGCCGTCGTCTGGATGCATGAATGCAACACTGCCGGCTTCAGCACTGCTATCGTCAGCATCAGTGATTCAACGAAGCGAGAGTACGCAAATGCCACTGGCGCTGACATTCAACGCCTCTTCGAAGATCGTACGTACAACGAGCAGCACCGGCCCGCTCTGCTGAAGTATTACCAGACGCAGGTCCAGACTCGACCTCGACTGCCAGAGGAGCATTTCTTGGAAGCGGTGGGTCGAGCAGGAGACCTCGACGTCCTCTTCATCACAGGCATGAGAGACGACGCCCTAGTTGCTGCTTTCTCACATCTAGTGCCGGACAGCAGGGTGATTGAAGTGAGAGTCGAAGCCGATGAAGCAGCGCGGCTCGTCTGGGGATCCAACCAAGACAGCAACACTCACGCCGCCGATGCCCTCAACAACTGCCCAACATTCACCTTTCACAACAACATCGTCGATGCCGCCGGCGTCCAGTCCGCCCAAGCATTCTGTTCAAACCACTTCCTCCCTTTCCTGCACCCCAACCTCCAGCGCCTCCGCACCATGATTCACTCCACACCCAAATTCCCACACCCCAACATCACCTTCCGCGACATCCTCGGTCTCACCCAACAGACCGGCGGCTTGAAGCTCTGCACCTCCCTTCTCCAATCTCACTTCTCAGGAGACTGGAGCACAGTCTCCGCAATCGTCTGCTGCGAAAGCGGTGGCTTCCTGTTCGCTTCGGCGCTGGCTGCGCAGCTTGACATACCGTTGGCGCTGATCCGGGAGGCGGGTAAGATTCCGCCGCCTACGGTTTCTGTTGCTAAAGGGGGTTCGTACATCTCGTCCTCGGGCACCAACAGCGCAGAGGGGAAGAAGGTCGAGATGAGTCGTGAAGCAGTGGCGAACGGCTCGAAGGTGGTGGTGGTGGATGATGTGCTCGCAAGTGGGGAGACGGTTTGTGCGGTTCTGCAGCTGTTGAAGGGGGGTGGGAGCTAGGGTTGAGGATATGAGCGTGCTGGTTGTGGCGGAGTTTCCCGTACATCGTGGGAGGGAGGTGCTGTGGAAGCGTGGTCTTGGAAGGGTCGCGGTGAGGAGTCTGTTGGTATTTGATGGGTGTTAAGAATGCGGTGGAAGTTGGTGAATCTGGGACTGCATGGCGAGGGTAGATAGAGACTGTCGACAGCGTAAGCAAAAGTCAATGAGCGCCAAAGAGTAACGTCCCTCACCCATGTTCAGCAGAGTAGAAGAAAGAAACCCAGAAAATAAAAACTTCACACCAACCTCCTTCAACCCAAGGAAAAAACAAAGAAGACCCTAGAGGGTGAAGCGAAATCTCGTGGTATGCTCGTTCATTGCACTACAACCTGATCAACCTGATCAACCTGATCACGAGAATGGGCTACGGCCTACAACATTAGAGGAGAGGCCATTGACCACACGTTGGCAGGGATGCGGGAGCATGTCATCGGATACAGCGAAGGACAGTGAGATCACGTCCAGCATTGTTCTCAGCACTTCCGCTGCATTGGCGTGATGTGTACACTACCTACCAGATGCCCAACCACTTCTTCCTCTCCACAGGCCGTAGCTTGCCCTCAAAGTCGACATACGTCTCCTGCCCAGCCTGCGCCTCTTCCCTCACCTCTTCTCCCTGCCCTCTTGCCATGCCTTCCCTCCCTCCACCCACACCCCCACCCCCACCCTCCCTCATCCCCGGCCCCATGACCTCCGCATCCCCCTTCGCAGTCCACGCCCCAAACACCCCCTCCTCCCCCTCCAACCCATGTGCCCGCCTGAACTCCCCCCTCTTCCGCACATCCTCCACCTTCTGCCTCCGCCGCTCCGCCGTCTGCGCGGAGATGTAGTCCACATGCATCCGATAGACCTCCGCGTACCTGCCCAGAAAACTCCACGGATGAACCAAGAACATCGACCTCGGTGGGAGTAAGTCGGCGTAGGGTGTCGTGTGGATGAAGTCGCCTATTTGGACCGCGATGACGAGGGTTATGAGGATGGAGAGCGTGATCCAGACGTGTAGCATGCGGTTGGTGAGGAACGAGTGCATCCAGGTGCCTTCTGCCGGCATCATGTTGGGATAGCGACGGCGGTGTTGTTCGGGTGTTAAGGGGGCGCCGGGATAGGCGCGCGGGGGTTGGCGGCGGGGGAGACGGGAGCCGTGGGAGGGGGGGTTGAAGCGTTCGGGCTTCTCTAGTACTCGGGGTTTCGGGGGGGTGGTTGAGGCATGGCGGTGGGTGGTGGTGGGTACGAGGCGGTGGCGGAGTTGGCGGGAGAGGAGGTTGAAGTTGGCGCGGGGGATGACATGATGGAGAGGTGCCATTGTACTGTTTGACGGGGTGGTGTAGATGGTTCCAATGATTTAACGTTACACGAAGTTGAAGTCCCAAAAGGTGAGCTCGGCTGCTGGCACGTGATCGAGCCATACGCGCTAGAGTGCCTTTTGGACTAGTATAGCAACGCCTATATCTTCGTCCTTGAACGCGACAACCTAGGTTATCTAACCTTGGACTTATTAAGAGTAACGCTCTGTAGAATCGCTAGCTCGATGAGAATGCCTGCCGTAATACACTTGATCTATTCGTTGCTTCTCGGGTAACACCTTGCTGCATGCGCTGCGCTTACACACAAATGCCACCCTCCATCGCCTGTCTCGCGTGACCGAGACTTACTGATCCATCACCTATTCTAGAGTTGGCCTGATTCCATAGAGTCATCAATCTCCGCTGCTGAAGGTCCTTCGATAGAAGTTCTCTTGGGTAAAAGGGCACACGACTTATAGCAGTCCTAATCAACACGTCAGCCTTCTCTTCGTCGTGAGTATCCGGAACCTTGCCAGCATTCGGTAAAAGGGAGAGAGTCTTTTACCTCTTCGGTGCTCCTCCGAGTGGGAGTGTCCGCGACCACACTCGCTGTCCATTGAAGCAGCGAGTCTTGCGTCCGGAACCTGCATGTATCCTGTACTGCGAGGCATCTCGTACCCTGACTCAGTGTCTCGAACTTTTGCTGCTGGACGTGTGGTCGTGCGTGTGTCGCGGGCCCAATGACCCGGGTGCACTACGCTGAAGAGAGCGCAGGATACCACAATCATGCTGGATGAAGAGTCAGTGGGGCACGCGAATGGCCACCAAGCTGATTAACTCACAGGCCGTCGAAGATCATGAACTCGACTTCCTGTCGCATCAAAGCACCACCAACGCCTCCGGCCAGTTCGGGAATCCTATTGGAGCATCAGCACAAAGATCTCGTGTTTGGTAGGAAAACTGAATTCAGTTTCCACTCACCGGTATATGCATCGTGCTAGAATCAGCAAGAATGCCAAACTCATCGAGAGGAGAAAGAGTGCAAGATTCCCTGTCAGCAGCCTGAACGCCCCTCTGCCCTGCCTCCGGCGATAGCGCAGAGCGAAATCAATCGCAAGAACACCGGCAATGCCCATCACCACCGCCTGAAGTGTCACGCCGGTGATCATCAGGGCAACGCCGGCTGTTGCCAGAGCTGGGTTTACCTCACCAGCCGATGCCATGATGCCACCGCCGCACTGCATCAAAAAGCCAACAGTGTCGGCGGTCACAAACGGCCAGGTCCAGAATCGTTCGGCCAGCCTCGTGTGCTCCGGGCCAAAAAACTGCACCAGGGTTCTCAGAGTCATGTAGAGCGCCGCTGCTAAGAACGATGGTGCCACCATAAGCAGCACAAACTGAATCGACATCGGTCCGCCACTCCAAGGATTGTTATGCAAGAAGATCCGGGCGACGTAGCCGCCGGCTTCGCCGATGCAGCCGACGCAGACGAGGATGGAGAAGCCCTTCCATTGTCGCCAGTACTTGAAGACGAAGACCAGTTGGATCAGAGCGCAGACGGCGAAGATGACGGCGTAGATGGCGTTTCCGCCGAGGCTTGGGGCATACCCGTATGTTGTCTCTGAGACGGGACAGTCTGGGGTGACTTTTGTGCAGTTTTCGTATGGATCAGACATGTTGGGCTGAGTGGTGTGGATGTAGTGTTGACTTCGAGTGGCGGCCGAGAGTTACGGATCAATATGGCCGCGTTGTATGGAAGAAAGTGTACAGAGGGCTGAGGCGTGGTCAACGAGATAGTGTACAGTGAGGTTGAGGTCTGGAAGGAGGAATGAATGGGTGTGGTGGAGGTCCTAATACTCATCCTTTATATCTTGAACTGCCAACTCACAAGCAAGGATTTGACTCTTGAACCACCGACGTACACCATGAACAAGGGCAGAGGCAATGCTGAGGCGGTGCTCAAGTCCGACCATCTTTATCTCTGCCATCCTCTGCCGCCACGACACCCAGCACTGCGCGCAATAGCACGCGGAGGCTCTAGTGCATCCCGCATTTTCTAAAACAAGCCACGCTTGGACATGGAGCTCTGCGTTTGAGCTGTGAAGATGCGGTCGCGCATCGATAGCTGGCTTTGCGAGTGCGTGCTTGTGGTCTTGATAGGTTGATCGCAACACTCAATGCCCCCGAGGCGCCAAGGCGAGTATATGCGGGAGCGAGTGCGAGTGGAAGAGGTAAGATGAAATGTCGATCACTTCAGCTTTCCCATTTGATCGCGTTGCTCGCATCCTACCCTCATGCATGGCTTGTCACATCCATCATTTCGGGAGATGGTTCGCATAGGGATCAAGACTGATCGCTCCAATGCATTTCAGCAAGAAGCCCGCTCTAACGGTCTTCCGCAGTCGTCGATCCTACCTTTCCGGCTCGCGACAAGTCAGATCAGGATTGCTGAAGCTGAAGCCGCAGGTAGATGATCTTGCTTGATGGTGCTCGGAGACGGAGGCCGTAGGGTGAGGTGGTATGCATGTATAATTGCGCAGAAGATGAGCAAGAGCAGTAGGAGAAGATATTGGTCCATCATGGCGGCGATGGTGGAACGTCTCGGTGCTCTTGATCGGTCTTGAGCATAGTAGGCGCCTTTGCACGAGTTCATCAAGACTGTACGGTGCTCTATATTGTTTCGAAGAAGGAGCATAGATCAGAGGTGGTGTTGCTATCTGGTCAATGAGTGAGGTCCAAATTCGAAGATCTTCCAGCTCGGCTGCTGGCACGTGATCGAGCCCAACCAAGCGGCGACGCAACGACCAGCAAGCAGCAGCTGCAGACGCAGGAAGATCATGTCGATCCCGCTGGCAGCTGCGATAGTCTGCCCGTCCTCTCACCGTCCATCTTCGACTACACCCTGTCGACGTTGCTGATCGCCTACACCTCACAATATCCCAACGACATGCATCGTAGGGCTGAAACTACGCCACCACATCAGGTCAGTCTCCCCACTCACGACCAGGTACCTCGACGGTCCGTCTTACTCAAGCGTGCCTTTGGCCGTCGGGCCGCAAGATGGCTGTCGCTAGTCGCTGCTCTGCCTCACATGTGATATCCAAAGCTGATGCGCTCACTGCATCTTCTTACCGACCCTCTGATCTCGCAACGAGCTGGCCTCGTACCAAGCAGCACGACAACTCAAGGACACTTCACTAACAATGACGGTAGAAGAGAGCGACAACATGAGCTTATCCCCGCTGGAGACGCCAGTGCTGAAAGTCAGCCGGCCAGTTGCTGTATGTCTCCTTCCTTTCCTCTTCCGATGGTGACACTGACCAGTAAACAACAGGCCTGCAGTCGCTGCCGCAACGCCAAGATCAAATGCGACGGCAAGCTGCCAGCCTGTACTTCCTGCGAGAAGAACGGTCGAGCCGCCGAGTGCACGAGTACGAATGACCAGTTTGCGAGAGGTAAGGAGCGCAGCTATGTTTCGACTCTGGAGACCCGGCTCGACAGACTCAACGCCAGGCTGGAGGAAGCCCGCGCCAGGAAGCCTTCTGTGATTGATGTACCCGAGGATGAATCTGCGACTGCGGCGCCTTCACGGAGGCAGTCTCGTCAGATTCAGCCGGGTGAGCCGCCAACGCCGACCACGACCCGCTTGATGAAGCGGAAGGAGGTCACGGCTATGGATGATCTGGTTTCGGACTTTGGGTACTTGTCGGTGAATGCGACGGCGCGGGACTTCTATGGCTTTACTACCGCCATGTCCTATGCGCGGCTGGTACTGTCTGCGTGCTCCAAGGACGAAATGCCGCAAGGGCTGAAGAAGGCCCTACCGCCACGGGAGACAGCTATGATGCTGATCCAGCACTATTTGGACAACATTTTTGTGCTGCTACCGGTGTTTGACGAGGCCTCCTTCTACGCTTCGGTCGACAATGTCTACGGAAAGGGCTATAGGTATGCCGATCCGTTAGATCACTGGATGGTCCGCATGGTTTTTGCGATCGCCAACATCTCGATGTCCCAGCAGAGAGGAGATCCGCATTACATGGAAGGCATTGGCCACGTGTGCGCAGCTCTGGACCAAGCAGAGGCAGTGCTGCATCCCGGAAACATCTCTGGTGTGCAGGCACTGATCCTGCTGACTGAGTATGCTATGCTGGACCCTCACCATTTCGACTCATGGAGTCTTATCGGAGCTGCCTCCCGTGCAATGACAGATCTTGGACTTCATCAAGATCCTCCGAAAGGCACACCTATGCCTAGGGGCAAGCTCGAGCTGCGACGGCGAGTCTTTCACTGCATCTACACACTCGACAGATCTACGTCCCTCGTCCAGACCCGAGCATTTTCCTTCTCAGACGACAGCGCCAAGGTCAAGATACCGTTCCACAAGCAGCCAACTTCAGCGCCTAACTCACCTGATGCGGCCGCAAACGGATCCCAACAACAAGCGAATGCATGGCTGCATACTTATGAGCACGCTTTGGACTTGATCAACCTTCGCAAGCACCAGTCAGCTTGGTACGCAGAACTGTTTCAGTCGGGTCGGACGCAGTGGGATGAACCATACCCATTCTTGTGGGACACCTGCGACGACATGCGAAAGTGGTTCGAGGAGCTTTCGCCCACCATGCCCGCTCACATCAACCGCTTCTTCGAGCTGGATCTGTTCTATTCCTACGTCTACGTCTTATCCCCATCTCCAAGAGTGCCCACTATCATACCTTTTGCTCAGCGGCTGATCTTCGAGTACTGCATCCGCTACGCCGAGTTGATGACGGACCTTATTAGCGACCCGACATACACAGCTCCGCTGACCTTCTATGATGCCATGAGGGTTTACATGACGGGACGGCAGTTCCTGGATGTGCTGCTTCATAACATGGACATGCTGCTCAGTGGTACGATCCCGCCGCATCCGGAAGTCAAGCCCACGACAGCGCCGCCACCGCCTGTGCCGGTCCCTCAGCTTCCGCACGGAGAGACTGTGCAGCGTTTCAACATTGTGCGAAGCATTAGTTGCATCACGCAGGTCACGACGTGTCTTGAGCGACTTGGCGCTCGCTTCGGATACATGAGGTAAGTAAGACCAAGATCGACTAATGAGCCCATTGCTAACAGCGCCTGCAGCTGGAATCAGCGATACCGAAACGAGACCACAGCTACACTCGACAACTTGCATGAACGCCTGCGTGAACATGATGAGGTTCACGCACAGAAGCGGCCCACCATGTGGCATGCCGGCTCCGGCGCTTCTAACCCTAGTAGCAACGGGAGTTTCACCTACCAGTCGCCGCAACAACGTGCATCGGGAGTGAATGCCGGATACGCCGGGCATTACCCACAACTCTCCCCATCTGGCTCTGTGCGACCTGCCACCGGCTATGCCGAACCACAAGTCAGCCACCAGCAGTACGAGCAACAGCCGGCAATGCACCAGCAGTACAACACGCAACCGCAGTACCCTCAATCTCAGCAGACATATCAGCCTGTTCAGCAGCAGCAGCAGCAGCAGCAGCAGCAGTCTTTCACCGTCAGCCAACCCGCATACAACACTCTGGCACATGCCGTTCCGCCAAATCAGCAATTTGCACTTTGGGGTGGTTATAGTGGTGCTTCTGCACCTGTGCGAGAGGAGAACGCAGTACCGCCCAAATCCATCCATTGGGAAGCCAACTTGAGGTGAAACGACTGCTGAACTTGCTTTAGGCGCCTCAACCACAGAAGATGTATATGCCGCAGCCGACCCCGACAGGTGTTCTATCACCCACAAACACCAGCGGCGGCCCACGCGCTGTTTCTCCTCGACAACCGCTGAATCGTGCCGGACCACGACAACAGTCCCTCGTGTCGCCCACAGCAGCGGACCCAGGACAAAGCCGCCTGCCATCGTTAGTAATGCTGGACTCACACCCCAACATCCAGTTCTCCGACGAGCAATGGCCGAGGCATCTCTCCTACTCGAATCTACTGATAGAATCCGGATTCGAGCAAGAAGCCCGCCGTATCTCGATGCACGACGCCTCCCTCGACCTCCTCCAAACTACTTATCCGCCTACGCAAACGATCCAGAGCGTCGCGCCGCAGCAGCCTCCTGCGCCTCCACTCCCGCACTTCTACTTTGGCAAAGGCAAAGTAGGAGCCGTCGACGCCCCTGCTCCGCCGCCGCCTCCTCAACCAGCGCAACCGCAACCACAACCGCAACCGCAACCGCAACCACACGCGCACGCACGAACGCACAACCAGCTCCAACCTTGCGGGACCTGCGTCGGCGGCTTCAAACTCTACGAAGGCGTGGGCTTCGTCTGTATCGTCTGCAGTCGCATCGTACTGAAGCCGAGTTTCCATCGGACGTTGCCGGATGGGGGCGGGTGTGTGGATGTCGGGACGAGCGAGGGGAATTTTGAGGTTGGGATGGGGATGGGGTTTGGTATGCACGGGCACGGGCAGGGACATGAGCATGGACAGCACGTGGGCTCGATGGTGGGGGTGGGGATGGGGGTGGAGAATGTGATGCCGCAGATGCAGATGACACTGCAAGCACAGGCGCAGGCGCAGGCGCAGGCGGAGGGGATGTTGGGTGGTTTTGTGCCGCAGACGCAGGTGCAGGGGTTGGAGGGATATGGTGAGGGCGTGCCGGCACAGCTGCAGGGGCAGGAGCATTACCAGCAGTACCAGCTCCCGCAGCAGCAGCAGGCTCAACAGCAGCAGGCTCAGCAACAGGCTCAGCAACAGCACGCTCAGCAGCAGGCCATGCCTCCTCCTCCTCCTCCTCCTCCTCCTCCTCCGGCTGGTGACGGAGGGAACAGGAATTTCAGCAGCAGAGACCAGCAAGGACACGACGGACGGAGTATCAGTGACACCTCCGGACTATTTTTCTAGCTGACGTTGACTTTCTACCGTCGTTACCACCATTCCGAGCCCGATCCGATAGAGTGAACGAGAGGAACTTGAACAGCGGAGGCATAGTTCCAGATATGCACAATACATCCCGTTCCATAGCCACTCGGCTCTGCTATCTCTCTACTATTTGTCCCATGTCCGACCCTTTTTCGCATCGCATCCGTGGCGAGTATTCTAAGACGTTATCCACAACCAGTGGAGGGGTATAAAAACGCATCAAACAACGAGGACGAACGCCTGCTTGAGAAACCCATCATTTTTCCGCCATGTCCCTGTCCCTTGGCCGGTAACAATAACCCACCCGTTCCCGTCCCGTTTCAGCTTTGGTCCGCGTGTCGCTCGCAGAAACGCCAGTAACGATATCAATATCAACAAACCCCCCCTCATATAACCCCGCCTCTTCGTCGACTGGAGCTGCTGCGTCCCCCACGGTGGTGGTGATGGTGGTGGTGGTGAGGGAACGTGTGCTACGAGCTCCGCACCCCAACCATGCCCCCGCCAGCGCTCGCGTTCGGGAAAGTGGGTGATGTCGAGGTGGGGGAGAAGTCCTGTTGTAGATGGGGGGAGCGTGTAAGCTTGTGGTTCTTGTGTGGTGTGTTCGAGAGGTTGATGTTGATGGAGGTGGTGAGATGTGCTGGTGGTGGAGGTGGTGAGCTGTGGTGCTGTGCTCGCGTGCTCAAGCGCTTGCGTCCTTCGCCGTGCTCAACTTCGCCAGATCGATGGTCGTAGATCGATGAGGCGAGTGAGAAGGCTAAGGCGACGACTTGACCGCTCGAGAAGAGCGCGCGCGAGGCTTCGGCTAGTGTGCTCGCACGTTCAGCCAAAGCTTGCCACAAGTGTGTTCGCGGCGCGCATTGTCTGAGCAGCACTGCAGTCGCCAGCACAGCCACGGACTCATCCCACGACGCTCTTTGCCTCGACATCAATAAGCTGCACTCACCTTCCGCTTCACCCTTTTCCCGCCCCCGCCACCCGCACTGCCTCGCCTGCTACCCGTGTCGTCAAGCCCGCCGGTGCTGTAGCCGTCGTCATCATATCCCTCCCAGCTGTTCTCGTCGTACCGCCGCTTCTTGCCTGACCGCTCAGGTCTTATCTGAGCTCGACTCGGAGATGCCGGGGCAGAGTTCCTCGCTGGTGCTGTCTTGGCAAGGAAAGCTGCTGTCCCAGCCGGCGCCTTCGCAACCGCAGGGACAGGTTGCTGCTTCGCCGCTGCCGCTGGCACTGCTGCTACCTGCTCGTCAAGACCCAGCTGTGTCTTCCAGTGCTCATGCTCGGATTTCGGGAGTGATCCTTCCTTGAACCCACTAAACGCCAGCTCAAGCTTCGACATCGCCAACTCGGCATCCTCCTCGTCTTCCAAAAAAGCCTCGCTCCGCTGCTCCTCCCACAACGTCCGCCCACTCGAGCCCTCATAACTCCACGCCGGATCCAACAACCCTTGCAGCTCAAGCTCTTTCTTCAGAGGCTTATTCTTTCCGTCAAGGCCGAGCTGCTTCACTTTCCCCGCGTAGTGCTTGCGGAGACGGTTAATCTTCTCGCCCGTCACCGGATCGTAGCGAGCGACGGTGGACTGGAGGGTGGTGAGGTCGTAGAGCTCGAGGAGATTAGCGGTACCGGGGACGGAGGAGGGTGGGATAGCTGCGGAGTTTAGCATTCAATGCACATTATGAGTGTGCAAGGTGAATACTCACGGTCTGTGCGGAGTTTGTACAGCGTAGTTGCTGCAGGTAGTGATGAGTCTGCGGTGGATTGCTGTGTCTCCTCCCCTTCCCGCTCGTGGTCCGTCCTTCTGTGCTCTGTTGGGGTTTGATCGTCACTGCTCTCGACGCCTGCGCCTTCGCTGCTTGCGCCCCTCGCCATCATGTGACTGTGAAAGCTCGCTGTGCTCGGTGGGGTTGGGAACCTCACGCTGCTGCTCTTAGAATGACCTTCATGCTGCATTCCCAGACCAGGTAGTTGTGTCGTGCCTAAGGGCGGGGTTTCGGGGTGGTGTGCCATGGTGTGGTCCGCAGGAGGGGAGGCTGAGGGAGTGGGTGCGGACGTCCTGGCCTTCTTTGCCACGCCGCGCTCGTCGACCAGATCATCCCCCGCGCGCTTCAACGGTGTAGATGACATTGCGGGTGGTGAGGCTCGTGGTGCGGAGAGAGTGGTGGAGTGGTGAAAGGTGGATGGGGCTGGTGGTGGGTCCACGGCGGCCGGCCCTCCGCGGCTGCTTCACGCTGCTGACTCCTGCTCCCTCGACATACAGCGGATCCAGCGCTTCTCTGTCGTCGTCGGGAGTGTTGCGGCCTCACAGCAGGGGTCGATCGATGGTGTCGGACGGGGTGGGTGGTGAAGTTGAAAGAGACGCTGGGCTGCGAAGACAAGCCGCTCTGACGCGGGCGGAGCCCGAAGCGGGTGCGCTAGCAAAGCGCTAGGATGCTTTGGGAAGGCATGACTGAGATCGCGAGACATTCGCTGTTTGCTACGCGTTCTCCAGCACCAGACAATGGAACCTCGATAAGACCGCCGCCGCAATCATGGACCCGACCGGGCCTCGTCCCGCCGCCAACCCCGACCGCCCCTCCACCACCACCACCTCGAAATCCACCGGCGTTGTTCAGCCCAAACCGCAAGCCCTCCCCCGCCGCTCTGGCCCCGCCAGTATCATTGTCTCACCGCGTCAAAAAGGCAACCGCCTCCTCGAGCTCATCCGCAGTGTCCCTTGGGAATACGGCGACATACCCGCCGATTATGTATTAGGAGTCACCACCTGCGCGCTCTTCTTGAGCTTGAAATACCACCGCCTGCATCCGGAATACGTCTACACGCGCATCAGGAATCTGCAAGGCAAGTACGCGCTGAGGGTAGTGCTGGTGCTGGTGGATATCCCGAACCATGAAAACCCACTACGGGAGCTGAGCAAGACGAGCTTGATCAATGGCGTCACGCTTGTTCTATGCTGGAGCGCGGCGGAAGGCGCACGATACTTGGAGCTCTTCAAAAGCTACGAGAACGCGGCTCCGACGGCTATCAAGCAGCACCAGAGCACCAAGTATGCGGATCGGATGGTCGACTTCATCACCACACCGCGAAGCATCAACAAGACGGATGCCGTGGCGCTCGTGAGTCAGTTCGGGAGCGTGAGGACGGCGGTGAATGCGCGGCATGAGGATGTGGCTGGGATTGCTGGATGGGGTGAGAAGAAGGTGGAGAGATGGTGCAAGAGTGTGAGGGAGCCTTTTAGGGTGCAGAGAGCTGCGAAGAGGGGGCTGGGGAGGGAGGCATCGAGTATGCAGAGTGGGCCGATTAGTCTGAGTCGGGGTGGAACCAGAGGGGAGAGTGGGACGCCTGGTATGGGCATGAGGGAGGAGGATGCGAGCCTCTGGGATGACGTTGGGGAGGCTGATGCTGATCAGAGGCCTGATACGCGCGTTGCAGAAGAGGTCGACCCGGTGCAGGACGACGAAGGCGAAGTCGAAGCAGCGAATGCTCAAGCCATGTCTACGATTCCTGTTGTGAGGCCAAAAGAGGTAGCCAAGCCACAAGACGAGCCACCCGCGAAGAAACGCAAGCAAACCGACGACCCGGTTGGCGACGGTGTCATGGCTGCTCTGAGCAAGCTAAGGAAAGATGGAGGATGAGCAGTCTGCCAAAAGGTTTGCCGGAGAATCATCGAATCTCAACATGGCGAGGCGTATCCGCCGTCGCTCGAAAAGCGCTTATACCACGACGCCTCATTCACCGCCACACGCCCGCGCTCGACTCCAGTCATCAGCAGATTATCCACGACTTGACGCCGATGCTTCTTTAGTTTGCCGCTGAACGCAACAGGATGCTCGCCCGACCTCTACGATGGCAAACAACTGTAACTCGCAGGAGATCAGCAGGCGAGGTCGGCGAAAGCGCAGCTGGGGAAGAACGAATGACAATCTGTTGTGGCATAACAGATGTGCGGTCGAACAATAACAGCGCCTGCCATGTCAGTAGTTACACTCAGTATGAAGCAATTCGCTACATGATGATGTTCCGTCTGCTATACTCGTTGCACAAAACCTCGCCTGCACCATGCTCGTTGCAGTACAACGATCATTCAGATCTGCAGGTGCATGTGAATGTTGGTATCACGTGCTGATAAGGAACCCTACATTGCCCACGGATAAGCTGCCGACGAGGATGCGCTAGGGCCTCAGGGTTCGGCGACGCCCTGTCAGATGGATGATTAAGCCTTGAGGGGCACGTTTGATGTAACTCGAGAATCATGGACTCTTGCTGATATACCATTCGGGGCTGTGTATGAGAGAAGGGAGGACGACTGATACTGTATCGTTTCGGGCGATTGGGGTTGTATCAGGGAGACTTCTTGCAACCGAACAAAATTGCTGGACGACTTTTGGACATGGAGATCGACAGTCAGCCGCTGCAGCCGCAGACGCAACTTCAGTCTGTCAGCGGATCTGTCGCGAAGAGGAGAGCAGCTTGTGACGAGTGCAGTATGTCGAACAGCTGAACTGTAGACATAGCACGAGCTAGGCTGACTGTCCTCGCAAGGAACGAAGAAGCTCAAATGCACCGGCGAACAACCGAAATGCTCACGATGCGCGCGCGAAGGCATAACATGCATCTATTCGATCCAGAAGCAGATGGGACGGCCGAAGAAGCGGCAGCGAACAGACGACGATGAACACCACGATGCGCATCCCCATGAAGAGCACGTAATCCCCAACAAAGACCAACAACCGCAAGCCTGGGACTTCCCACCCCCAGACGAACCCTACAACGTCCTCACCCCAGGCGGCAGCGTACAACCCTGGCTCCTCGACTTCGACACCGACCCTACCCTCTACCCCTCCGACTCCGCCCTCCCCGCCCTTACGCCCGACAACAACAGCACCTCCTCCCACAGCCCACCGGTCCTCAACCTGCCACCCGAGCTCCAACAAACCCACCACCACAACCACAACCACATCGACCCCTCCCTCCCGCAACCCGACTCCACCAACCTCGGCCTCCCCGCCTCCCTCCTCCCCCCCTGCGCCTGCCTGAGCACAATGTACCTCACCCTCTCCAACCTCTCCTCCATGCCCCCCAGCTTCCCCTTCCCCTTCGCCCTACACCCGCTCCGCTCGGCGATGCAAACAGCCGCCGACGTCTTGGCCTGCGAGCACTGTCCACAACGCTTCATCTCCGCCATCCAGAACACGCAGTTAATCGGGACACTCCTGATGAGTCTCGCGGAGCGGTACGGGAAGGTCTTGTCTGCTATAAGCTCGGAGGCGGAGAGGGCCGAGAGAGAAGGGGAGAAGAAAAAATTCCGACTGGCGGATTTAAATACCGCGAATGGGCATTTACACACCAACGGCATCGGGTGCGCGGCTGCTTTCAACTTGGAGCTGGAAGCGGATGAATGGCGGAGCCTAGCCAAAAAAGTCGTACGAGCAGAAGTCTGCGGCGCAGACGACGGGGGAGAAATGAATCCATTGAGCGAATCGAACGAAATGAACGGTACAGGAGGCGGCGACCCCCACTCCCACTGCCCCTCCTTCCTGGGCATCATAAGCAAAATGGAGCGCCGACAGGAATTCTGGCACAACAAACCCATGCCGGAAGACTTTCCCAAAGACCATGTGACGGGGTTACCGATCGGGGGGAAGCATTTGCCCAAGGAGGATCATTTGTGCTTGAAGTATGTCGGGTATGCGAGGAGGATGGTTGAGGGGTATGATTGGTCGTGAGAAGGGGGAGGGTTCGGGGATATGGAGGGATATGGACGGTACTGGTACTTGTGGCGAAGAGTTGACGAGCTACGATCTGATCATGGACATGTGTCAATACCCCTCCCCACTGTAGTGGATGTGGAACTGCAGAGCAAACACTGTACACATCTTGTCATGCCATTCGCTACCCGCTATATCCCCTGACATGCTCTAAAGATTCCGGCCTCCACACGATGGTCAACGGCCTCCCAAGTCTTTCAGACGACAACTGTAGCAATATCTCCACTCTTCACACACCATGCTGCGCTATGCCCCTGCCCTGCCCATTCCCTTGAACCTCAAGTAGCGCTGCAAACGAGTGCCATCATACTCGAGTATCCGCCCATGCTTGCTTTCCATACCATGTACCCCACAAAGACAAACGCCTCGCTGTGATTCCCGTTACAATCCATGAGATGCCCTCATGCGTTTTGAAATTCCATGTACTCCACACCCTTCATCTTTCTTTTTCTGGCAAGCGAGTGTTGCGTAGCCACATATCCCTATTCGCCCGTAGCAGCCACAGCAGTCGCGAGCGTCTCACGCTTCGGCTCCGGCGTGTCGACGTCCATCTTTGACGCCTCCGGTCGACTTGCTGGACTCTCCTCCTTGATCGTACCGTTCGCATCGCTAGCCTTAGCCTCCTGCTTGACATCCGAGCTCTTACGCTCCTCCTCCTTCTTCACCCCCGCAGTCCCATTCGCAGTAGGCGTCGCCGTCTTCCCCTCGCCCGCACCCTTCACCTTCCCATCTCCCTCCTTCTCCATCACTCGTTGAAACATATCCTTCAACTTGGCACCCGGCACCCTCTTATCCTCTTGCTTCGCCTGCGGCCAATAGTGCTGGCTTACAAAGTTCCACAACCCATCTTCCATATCCTTGAACCCCTTGCCCTTGACCAGCGAGTTGATGTGCTTGCCAATCTTCAGCAGCGCCTCCTTGATGATCTTCAGCCGGGTCTCGCTGTCTGGCATCTTCTTCTTCGAGGCGCCGGACACGCGGACGAGCTGGGCGGAGACCGGGTCCATCAGGCGGCGAATGCTGGCTTCGATGTTGTCGCTGCTATTGCGGTTGTGCGGGCGGTGGTCGTCGGGATGGCGGTGCTTGTGGCGGTCGTGCTCGTTGCTCCTCCGGTGGCCATTGGGCGAGCCGTGCGTGCCATTGTGCGACCGGTGACGGTAGTCTTCGTTTGAGTGCATCTTGCGAAGGCCACTCGGCGCAGGGCTACCGTTCGTCGGTGTGGACATGCGGCCGTAGAACTGGCCGGCGTGCTTGCGGTTGTTGCGGTGATGGTTCTCGAGCGCTCTCTTGGCGGCCATGTTAGTGCCGTTGCTTGTCTTGTCCTTGAGCACGCTGAGGAGGTAGTTGACGCGGCGGACGAGATGGACCGCGCCTGGTGACTTGGCGACGACCTTCTCTTCCGCCTTGTTGCGTTCTTCCTTCTTTTCGACTCGATGCTCTTCGAGGTAGAACTTGTCGGTCATGCCCAGCTCAGGATCGTCACGAATGGGCACCCACGCACCGTAGCCATGTCTGGCGATTCCGACACACAGCATGCCGTCTTCGCGCGCACCCCACTCAGACGTGTACGTAGCTGGCTTCGACGCCTCCGGTACTCTGAAGTTCCGCCAGTCAGGGGTAGCGCTGACCACATCACGGATCATGCGCATCTCTTCCGGTCGCTCGATCAAGGTCTCTGCATTCAGACGCTTGACGCCATTGTAGTCGAACAGAACCGCCTTCTTGTCCTTCTTGGTGACCGGCTTGGACTTCTCCAGCTCCGCGAGTCCTTCCGCATGCTCTTTCAACATGCGCAGCGCAGTGTCGTGGATGTCATGCAGGGTCGCTGCAACAACTTCCTGGTCGCGGCCAACAAGTCGAGCCTCTCGCATAACTTCTTCAGGCTTCTCTTCGATCCAGCCCCATCGCTCGAACGCTTTGAGGAGATTGCGGCACTCCTTCTCGTTGAGTGGCCGCCTTGGATCCAAGCCTGTGTCGGACTCATCGTCGGATTCGCCGTCACCTCCGGCAGCAGCTGCAGCGGCGAGATCACGAGCACGTTTCTTAGCTGCTCGCTGCTCGCGTGCTTCGTCAACAGGCGCTTTCCGCTTCCTAGGCTGGTTCTGCTCGATGACGTCGTCAAGATACTTCTGCTCGGCCTTCTTGCGCTCCTCTTCTTTGATCTTGTCGAGCTGTTCCTTGGGGATGATTTCGTCCCACTCCAGGTCGATCTTGACATCTGTGTATTCGAAGCTGCGCAAGAACTCTTCGCCACCATCGGTGGTCATGCCTTCAGGTTGCTCGGTTCTATGCTCTTCGGCGTTCTCGAGCACAGCGTCGATATCGATGTCCTCAAGCTTCTTCTGGTTGTTGGACTGTTCGAACATCTTCTGACCACGGCGCTTGAGGATGCGAGAGATGTCGTCTGACGAGGTGGGCTCAATAGTATTGGCGCCCGCTTTGGCCATACGATCACCGAGCTCGCGTGCATCCTTGTCCGTGACGCCACGCTGGATTGTGATGAACTCGAGCATGAGCTTGTTGCGTGCACGTTCGAGAACCTCCTCCTCGACAGTGTCCTTGGAGACGAGGCGATAGATTGTGACAGGGTTTTTCTGTCCAATACGATGTGCTCGAGCCATGGCTTGCAGATCGGCCTGCGGGTTCCAGTCCGAGTCGAAGAGGATGACGGTATCTGCTGTCATCAAGTTGATGCCCAGCCCGCCTGCACGCGTCGACAGCAAGAAGCAGAAGTCCTGGCTGTTGGGTGCGTTGAAGTGGTCGATGGCCATGCGTCGGGGTCCGGCGGCGATGGTGCCGTCGAGTCGTTGGAACTGATGGCCACGGAGCTGCAGGTAGTCGCCCAGGATGTCGAGCATCTTCACCATTTGGCTGAAGATTAGCACACGGTGACCGTCCTTCTTCATCTTTGTCAACAGCTGGTCGATCAGCATCATCTTGCCGGAGGACGTGATAAGTGCCTTTAGCTGATCTTCTCGGGCTTCGCTGCCAGCAAGAATCCGCTCCTCGGCGTTGGGAAACATGAATGGATGGTTGCTGGCTTTCTTCAGCTCCATCATGACGTTGAGCAGAGATGTCTTCTGTGCCTTCGAGCCAGCATTCAGTGCTGCATAGTTCCTGGTCAGGATGTTCTTGTAGTACTCGAGCTGGACGTCAGACAATTCGACCCGAATGATCTTCTCTGTCTTTGGTGGCAAGTCATTCTCGACCTTCTGCTTCGTGCGTCGGATCATGTAGGGTGAGATGGCGTCGGTGAGCTCGGCCAGCTTCCTGCTCGCGTGCTCGGATGCGAGGTCGATGTTCTCCTCGACGTAGATCTTGCCCGGCATCAGGAAGTCCATGAGCGCGGAAAGCTCGCTGAGGGTATTCTGCATCGGCGTGCCAGTAATGAGGAGCCTGCTCGGTGCACCAAAGTCCATCAACTTGGCGTAGAGCTGCGACTCGCGGTTCTTCAATCGATGAGCTTCGTCCACGGCCATGAATTGCCACTTGAGCTGCGACAGGAAGCCAGAGTCGGCGAGGATGTATTCGTAGGTGGTGAGCAGAACGTGGAACTTGACCTTGTTCGGCTTGCCGTCTACGAGCATCTCGTACTCGCGGATGATCTTCCGAGCAGCTTCATTGCCGTTGTAGACGACATAATTCATGTCCGGCGTCCAGTTGTTGAAGGTGTCGGCCCAGGCAGGCATGGTGGAGAGAGGGACCACCACAATGAATGGCCCTTGCTGACCTCGGTCGTGTCGTAGCCAGTTCATGAAGGAGACGGTCTGCACCGTCTTGCCCAGACCCATCTCATCAGCGAGGATGACGTTGTTGCCTTTGCACCAGTGGTAGCCCAGGAAGTTGAGACCATGAATTTGGAACTCTCTTAGCTCACCACCCTTGATATACGATGGTTGTGTCCTGAATGGCTTGTAGTCGGAGCGTGTGGCCAGCCTTGTCTCGGTCTGATTAGAAGTCGGCAGCTTGGACGAGCGATCGAGATAGCGGTCGATCTCAGTCTGTGCCAGCTCGCCGATCAAGCTTGCACTCTCCCACGTGCATGAGTCGTAGAACAATCCCTTCCACTTGACGTAGTACTCAGTATCCTCTTCCCCATCTCTTGCACCGATGACACGCTCGACCTTCATGTAGTCGGTGAGTGAGTCGAGGTATGCTTCGCGGTCGAGGTTCCACTTCTCTTTGTCTTCGGGCGGCACATCCGGGTCATGCATGACTTGGAGATCCACCTTCACGATCTTCCTGTAGTAGTTCTCGAGCCGGCGGAAGCCCTTGTAGGAGGTGAGGGAGGCCCATGGCTCCCAGGTCGCGTGGTAGTGCGCCTGGCCTTGCCATTTGATGAAGAACTCGAAGTCGTGCTTCTCTGCCGAGGCTGAGTCGACGCCTTCTTTGAGTCTGTGGTTGAGGACTTGATCGATGGCAGGGGTCGTGTCATCCACATAGGTCCAGTAGTTGGGTGTGGTGTTCTCGGTGTCTTCGTCGCTCAGCCCAAGATCATCGTCCTCGTTGTATGTAGTAATCTTAGCAGCCCGCCGTGTCGAGAATCGCACCTCGCTTAGGTTGGGCGTGTCGCCACCAGAACCAGCTGCCTTTAAGCGCTGGCGATGCTTTTTGGCGAATGTCCGGCCGCGCTGACCACCATAGACGTCGTCTGCTTCCGAGTCCAGATCCGATAGCGAAGGCTCAGATGCGGCAGCTCGTCGTGTCGAAGCTGTAGTGTGTTAGTATGCGTGACCTCAGAGGACAGCAAGGAGCGGACAGTAGCAATACGTACTAGGCCTGGTGCCGGTGGTCTTTTGGCGCTTCCGCCGACGGCCGGTGTTAACGTCGTCTTCGTCCTCATCTTCGTCCGAGCTGTCAACCTGAGCATCATGTCAGTGTGTGAGAACCACTGCAAGGAGACATAGTGCACGTACCACTCGACGAGATGGTCTGGCTCGGCCCTGAGGGTGCGTTAGCAGCGGCACAGCTGTGGGAGGAGCTCAGGACTCACGCTTCGCCTTAGGCCATACAACTCCGGATTCTGCTCCCAGTCTTCTCCATCGACCTCGGCCTTCCGCTTGCCAGGCCTTGCGCTCTCCTCTGATGATGATCTGTCGTGTCGCATTCCGCCTGCGGCGTTTGGCGGTGGTGTCTCTTCGTCGAAATCTGCGTCTTCTTCACCGGGAGCGTCCTCTTCATCATCAAGCTCCGACGTAGCCATGTCGTGTATCGCATCATCGTCAGACGGGTCTGCTTCTTGTTGGGGCGTCAAAGACGACATGGTGGTGGTCGGCAACTCATTGAGGTCGGAGAGCTCGCTTTCGCTGCGTCGAGATGGTGGGGAGCGTTTCAGGCGACTCTCCTCGACCTCAGGCAAGTGCCCGTTTGCTATCGACATATCGCTAGTCGAGTGGAGGTGGGTAGGTAGGTGTATAGGCCCCGCTGTGGAAGTAGGAGTCAGCGGTGTTGCTCAACGCACAGCCGTCGCCTGAACGTGAAAACTGGTGGACGTGGTGTGAACAGCGAGGCGACCAGTTCCCCCGCCTGAAGTGTCGATGAACCTGAAGCAGTCACGTCGTCCGGTGTCGGTTCGTGAAATGCGGCCTGGTGATGAGATGACGGTGATGGGCTCGGATGGGCGGTATAGGCTCGCCGGCGCATCGAGAACAGCACAGCAGCAATCTCCGCGCTTCAGAGATGCCGTTTCGACTCCTATCGGCGCTCCGGAGGCCCAGGTAGATGATGGTGATGGAAATATGCTTGAATGGCCGCTCCTGTGATGGCTGACTGGCGGCTGGTATTCGACTCGTGGAGTGAAAGAAAATGGCAGCTTTGACACACAGAGAATGGAAGAGAATTACGTACAGGCCATAGCGGTGGTGGCCTCGACGGCGTGGCGATCGGGAGGGCTCGTGGTATAGGGTGTCTGGGTGTGCATGTGCAGTGATGAAGACGAAGGCCGGCTCGAACGTGCCTGAACCGATGGACTCCTTGGCAGCTCTCAAATCGGCTCCCTCACCACCCACCACCCGCCCCCACCACAAGCAACTTTATAGCGAATAGGAACAAAGTCTTTCCTTACTTCCCCCACCAACAACACATACCTCGAGTTGCTGAATTTGTTTGGTGAGTCGCTGGTGACTCGAACATCCTTCCACGGCCGTACGAGATCTGGCAACAGCGTGGTCATAGACTTCTTCCAGTCTCATATTGTTCCCCGCCAAACCAGCGAAGCCAAAATACTCGAGCAATATGGGGGATAAGTTGACCAGAATTGTATGGTTTCGCAGCACATCAACGAGAGAATTAAGGACTACGTGCTAACATTGAGACGTAGGCAATTGTAAGATACCGCAGTCGCAGTTGAAAACGTATCAACATTTGCAGCGGCTAACTTGTATACCCATTCATAGGTCAACTCTGACAAGTGTATGTACGGCTGGCCAGCACATCCCTTCCCCTGCTGACAGAAACTCCCAGGCAAGCCAAAGAAATGTCGACAAGTACGTCCTGCAAACATACACCACCACCCTCCAACCTCGAGTCTAACACCCACCACCACAGGAATGCAAGAAGTCCTGCCCCGTTGTCCGCACGGGCAAGCTCTGCATCGAAGTCGACCCAACCAGCAAAATCGCCTTCATCTCTGAGCGCCTCTGCATCGGCTGCGGCATCTGCCCCAAGAAATGCCCCTTCGACGCCATCAACATCATCAACCTGCCCACGAACCTCGAGACGCAGGTCACGCACCGCTACAGCGCCAACAGCTTCAAGCTGCACCGTCTGCCGATGCCGAGGCCGGGGCAAGTGTTGGGGCTGGTGGGAACGAACGGTATCGGCAAGAGCACGGCGTTGAAGATTTTGGCTGGGAAGTTGAAGCCGAACTTGGGGAGATACGATAACCCGCCGGACTGGGAGGAGATTCTGAAGTACTTCCGAGGATCGGAGTTGCAGAGTAAGGATATATCTACGTCATGGGAGAGGTACGGACTGATCGAGGACAGACTACTTCACCAAGGTGCTCGAGGACGATCTCAAGGCAGTCACCAAGCCGCAGTATGTCGACCAGATCCCCAAGGCTGTCAAGGGCGAGAACCGCTCGGTCGGCTTCCAGATGAAGCAGCGATGCCAAGTCGGGCAAGAGCGTCTGGAGGAGATTGCAGACGTGCTTGGTGAGTGTTGGAAGTTTGAATCGAACCGGACCACTACTGACACTCTGCAGAGCTCAACCAAGTCTGGGACCGTGATGTCGACCTGTTGTCCGGTGGTGAGCTGCAGCGTTTCGCCATTGCCATGGTGTGCGTGCAGAAGGCGGATGTGTATGTCCATCCCACTCCATTCTGCCTTGAACACGTGATTGATATTCTTATCTTCCCTCAGCTACATGTTCGACGAGCCCTCCTCCTTCCTGGATGTCAAACAACGTCTCGCCGCCGGCCGCCTGATCCGCAGCCTCCTTCGTCCGGACTGCTACGTCATCGTCGTCGAGCACGATCTGTCCATCCTCGACTACCTCTCCGACTACATCTGCTGCCTTTACGGTAAGCCCGCCGTCTACGGTGTCGTCACCGCCCCCTTCTCCGTCCGCGAAGGGATCAACATCTTCCTGGACGGCAACATCCCGACTGAGAACCTGCGTTTCCGCGAGGAATCCCTCCAATTCCGTATCGCCGAAGCCAGCGACGACTACCAGAACGAAAAAGCCCGCGGCTACTCGTACCCCAACATGACCAAGACGCTCGGCAACTTCAACCTCACCGTTAAGAGCGGCGAGTTCACCGACTCCGAGATTGTAGTAATGATGGGAGAGAACGGTACCGGCAAAACGACCTTCTGCCGCATGCTCGCGGGTGCCGAGAAGCCCGACGGCGGCAAGCAGATCCCCGCCATGCACATCTCCATGAAACCGCAGAAGATCACGCCCAAATTCCAAGGCACCGTCCGCCAGCTCTTCTTCAAAAAGATCAAAGCCTCCTTCCTCTCCCCTCAGTTCCAAACGGACGTCTACAAGCCCCTGAAAATGGACGACTTCATCGACCAAGAAGTCCAGAACCTGTCGGGTGGAGAACTGCAACGCGTCGCCATCGTCCTCGCCCTCGGCCTCCCCGCCGACATCTACCTCATCGACGAGCCCTCGGCGTACCTGGACTCCGAGCAGCGCATCATCGCCGCCCGCGTCATCAAGCGCTTCATCATGCACAGCAAGAAGACGGCCTTCGTCGTCGAGCACGACTTCATCATGGCCACGTACCTGGCGGACCGCGTGATTGTGTTCGACGGCCAGCCGTCGGTGAAGTCGCAGGCGAATGCCCCGGAGTCGTTGTTGAGCGGGTGTAATCGGTTCCTGAAGAGTCTTAACGTGACGTTCAGGCGGGATCCGAATACGTACCGTCCGCGGATTAATAAGTTGGATAGTCAGCTCGATACGGAGCAGAAGGGGAATGGGAATTACGTGAGTCTTTTCATTTCTACCCTCACCCTCACCCTATCACTCGCCTGGTAAGATCCATACTAATGCTTATGGTAGTTCTTCCTGGAAGACGAGTCCTGAAGCTCGTCCCAGTGGTCCATTCAACCCCTGCCGTAGGCGTAGGCGGCTGCTGCACGAGCGCCCTCGGCACCAAGCGCTACCGCGGCGTCAAGAGCGGCGCCGATGAGGCGTTAGAGGAAGAGGAGGGCGAGGCGGAGGATGACGAGGAGGATATCCTGGTGCGGAGCGGCGTCGTCTATCTCATGTGCTCACTCCCAAAGGTGAGAGCTTGGGGAGGGGATGTGAGGTGTATGGACGATGCGTGATGAGCTGCAAGGGCTCGTCAGAAGTGTCACTTACGTGACGCGATGGAGGGAGTGCGCGAGTCTTGCTGTTTGTCTTGCTCTTGCTAGTACAGCGGTATAGCGTTTGCTCAGCAGATTACTACCTGCGAGATTGATGAAAACACGAGAACAAAGATAGTGAGCAACGGGAAATGGGAAATGAGATCAGATTTAAAAGCATTGCATTCCATTCGGTTCAGGTTCAACAGCAGCACGCCACTATACACACAGCTCGCCCATTCAAGCTCGCATCCGTATACTGATGCGCTACCTCCATTGAACGATCTCCATATGCACATCTGCCCAGTTGAAGTGTGAGCTCTATCCTTGTGTCCCTCTTCCTTCGCATGCATACCATGAGTGGAGTGGAGGTGATTGTCGTAAGCAGTATCGATGCTGGTGGTAAATATGTTTGTCCTCGGTTGCATTGAGTGGAGTTGTTGATGTCGGTTGTCGTAAGCAGTATCGATGCTGGGGGCAAGATATACTCCACGGAAAAACAACGCAACGAGTTCTTCGACCTCCCCTTCCACCGCTGGCGGGTATGGAGGACGAGCAACCACCCCCGCCCCTTCAAAGCCAGGCCGAGGAAGAACGCCTAGTTCCACCCAGCGTGCGCTCTGAGCTCATGTCTAATCTGCTCGAGCCGGTCTTCCAGCTCGAAGACTTCGTCCTCCCTATCCAGGAACTCATCTTCCCTGTCCAGCAACTCGTCCTCGATATCGTCCACATCGTCGCGATGGTCATAGAGCTTCGCGAGCACGTAGTCCCTTTCGTCCTCGAGGTCGTCAATGGCGATGCGTCTGGTCACGGTGGCCGGAGAACCCGTTGTATCGGAGGTAGAAGTAGCCATGCTGTCCAAACGCTGCCCCGAGGTAGTGATATTGTTCTCAGAGCCATTCTATGCCTCCTCAATCTCACCCTCCTCGCTGCCGCTTTGCAATGCAGGCGGCTCGGAGGCCGGCTCGGCGGGCTCGGGGCTGCGGGTACCGCGACGTGCGCGCTGCAATCACATGTCAGCAAACACTCTCGATGTACGGTACAATGGGCAGACATACCTTCGCATCCCTCTTCCCACCAACATCAGACCCCGAAACCTTCCTCTTCCCACCCGAGCTCGGACGGCTGCCAACAGCGTCGTCGTCGCCATAATCCAACGCCCTCCCACGATCCCTCGGATCCGCACGACTTACATAGCTACGCTCGCGCTCCAACTCCCTCTCGCGCCGCTCACGCTCATACCGCTCGTCGTGACGACCGCCGCGGTAGCGATCATCCCTGTCGTCCCGGCGCTCGGAGCGCGGCGGCGGCGTGAGCCCGAACGAAGTCTTGCGGTACTGGCTCTCCCGCACAGCCTGCGCCTTGCGGCGGTCGGCCTCGTAAGCGTCGACCTCTGGTGAGCGGGAGCGGTGGCGACGATCACGGTCGCGGCGGGAGCCGTTGCGATCGCGGTCACGGCGGGCGCGGTCACGCTCGAGCTCATCTTCCTTCTCGCGGAGACGGCGGATGAATTTGTCGAAGGCGGCGCGGCGGGAGTCTTCGTCGAGAGCGCGGTATTCGTCGTAGCCTTGCAGAGCGGGAACGATATCCTCGTAGACAGTGTTTGTGCGGATGCGTGGAGTCAGATGCTTGAGAACATGGCGTAGAGCGTCCACGGCATCACGCTGGGAGCGGTCGTTGTGTGCTCTGTCTTTTTCCAGGCGCCGCTTGATCTTCGCGATGAGACGCTCGTAGATGAGAGCGAGCTGTGTAGCCGCAATACCACGAGTGCGCTCATCCGAAGCCATGACCTTCTTGAAGTCGTCCAGGCTCGTGGATATATCCATCTCGTATCGCTGATCAGCGAGCACATCCAGAGCCTCCTCGCGCTGGTCGCGGAGGAGCGCCTCTTCCGACTCCAGAACGTCCCAGAACATCTCCAGAGGGGTGCTGCCGGCGTTGCCGACGGTGTTGGTATACCGCTTGTCATCGGCGAAGATGGGGTAGATGTCGGTCCACTTGGTACCGGCGTTGATCTTGCCTTGACCACGCAGGTCTGCGAGAAGCTCCTTGAAGCCATCGCGCGCCTGACGCTCCCGACGGTATTGCATATTCTTATCATGCTGTGCTTGGTCGTTGCGCATCCGCGCGAGGGCATTGATGTGGCTTTCGAAGGTACGGAGAACGTCGAGCTTGGTGATGTTGGCGAATGCTTCGTCTGTGTTGAATCGCTTGTTCTGATTCACGGCTTCCTGCGCGTCATGCCACTTGGTGTACGGATCGGTGACCAGCGTGTGGAGCAAGTTCGCAAGCTCCTTCATGCCGCGGCGGTGCTGCTCGATTTCGTTCTCTTCATGCTTCTTCTTGAGCCCGAGAACATACTCATCGAACAGTTGCTTGCGCGTGTCATCGTCGCCAGCACTCCTGAACACCACCTCACGCTCGATCATGGGACGTGCCGTCTTCCAGCGAGTATAGTGCTTGATCTCCTCGTGGGTAGACAGCATCTTCAGGAAGTCCTCCTTGACCTTTGCGCGACGCTCCTGCTCTTTGCCCTTCTCCTCTGCACGCACGTTGCCGCAGTACTTGAAGAATGCTGTCTTCCTCTCCCTAGCGTCTTTGAGAGCTCGGAACTCGCGCTCCTTTATCACAGCACGCAGAGCATCCTCCCACTCTGTGTCGGGCGAGATCTTGTGCTTGCGGAGGAGGGCGAAGAATGCCTGCTCTGCTTCTTCGAAGGTGGCATATTCGGGCTCGTCAGTCTTCACTGGCATCGGACCGCGGAAGCCCGCGTTGTCCTGCCTCTGCTCCCACGGCATACCGCCGCCTCTTCCGCCCTCGAAGTTTGGCCTCTGCGGCAGGCCCATGTCTCGGTCTGACCTGCGCTCCATGCGACGATCCGTGACATCACCACCGAAGTTCTGCGCGCCTCCGGCGACAAAGGCGGGGGCGGCAGGACGGGCATTTTGCTGCTGCTTGAAACCCTCTGGCATGGTCCAGCTGGTGGCTTTGGTGACGGTGTTCCAGTAGTATACTTTGCCCTCGGCCGTCTTTGCTTCCGCCCATGCTCCTTCAGCGGCGCCTGGGGTGGCGGGAGTTGCTGGTGGTGCTGCATCGTCGAAGTCTGCCGGTTTGGACCAGGTGGTCTCGTTGGTGCCAGACTTGAAGTAGTAGGTGCGGCCGTCTGGCGCTTTGGCTGACTTCCAGGCGCTCATCTTATTCTCTTGTATCGTGTGGATGTGGAAGTTTTGAGAGGTATGTTGTGAATGAAGAAGTTGGTTTGTGATTCGGAGAATTTTCTGTGGTGAGGTGAGTTGAGGTCGAGTATGCGATGAAGATTGGAAAGTGCTAACCTGCTCAGGTCGCTCTTTCCCACGCGGCCGAGGCCGCCGCAAGCATTCTGGTTCTTCAGAATTGTCAGCTATTGTACGATCAGAACCTCATATCAACTCATGGCCGCCCTGCTGGCCTATGACAATGGTGCTGATCGATGCTACATGTATCTTCAAGAGCTCAGTCTTGCAACTGCAACTTGAACTTCACTCTTCACAAAGTAAAGTGGTGGTTATGGCCAACATCAAAGTCACTTCGACTCACTTGCGCACGACATGCACGTGACAGTAACACATCTAACAATCTTCTTCAGAATCGAATCGCAGCCGAAAAGGCCTCATCACTCCCGTCGGCAGGCCGTTATTATACTCGACAAGACAGATCACACCCTTCGCTCTGACCTTTGCCCGCTAAGCGAGCGACAGTGAAAGCGGCCAACCAGGGTATATCTACTGTGTGGCAGTAGTAGTCTTCTCCGGGACCCAGCTGCACTCGAAAGGCCGACAACACTTCCGTCAGCGGACTGTCGTTGTCTTCGAGAAGGTGCGCGGCTCATTGTGAACTGCTGGGCAACTTTCACTGTCTGTCACTGGACGCAGGCAGTTCCTGCATTCACAGCTACAAGTGCCTCACAAGTCGGCCTAATGACGTTTCTTGATTTACTGGAATCCAACCGCATCCTCCCCTCTCCACCCTTTCCTATACCGCTTTCCCTTTCCTTTCATCTTCTCCTTCGCTACTAAGAGCATTCACATTCGCTGTCCTACTTCGGGACGTATCAGGAACACGGTCCTATCGCAATGAGACGCATGGGAGGATGGCTAGGCGCAAAAGCCGGCCAGTCAACCAGCAAGTCCATGACCGCTCTGGACGAACACCACGCTCTCCAAGATGCCATGACCTCTGCTGCCCTCATAATCAACGACGAGGTAGAGCAAGCCGAGCTGCAGCTCAGCAAAGGAACCTCGCCCTTCCACAAGCTAGGCCGAGCGACCGCTATCTTCCTACGAGCTACCTTGGGCTTCGAGAAAGAAATCATGGAGCAGGCTGGAGCGCGGATAGCAGAGGCAGAAGAGTCGGCGGCTGAGCATCAACGGCGAGCTCAACGAGACCACTCTACGTCGTATCAGAGCCAGATATACCCGGCTGGAGCGGAGTATGCGCTGTGTCATGCAGAGGCCCAGCTCATGTCTGCTGTCATTGCTGTCTTGAATGAGAGTTTGACGGAGAGTCTAAGAGGTTTCTATAAGCTGCGGAAGGCGTTTGGCACCTTGTACGAGATACACGAGGCGGAGAAGACGTACCTGCGAGCTAGGGGAATGTCGAGGCCAGGCTCGAAGTCATCTTCTGCTGCACCTTCATCTACATCACTAGCAAGTGAGCCACCGCCGGCATACTCGGATGCAACAAGAAAACCTGCCGTGGACATCAAAGGCACGCCGGACGCTAAAGACACACCCTCTGGTGTGCTCACACCTACAAGTTCAGACGAAGATGACGACCTAGAGTTCGTAGATGCGGAAGATGGGAAAGATATGCCACCAGCTGCTGATAAATACAGAGGCCATCTAGATATGCCCAACATGAAAAATATAAAGCTAGACGACGCAGATGTAAACAACTCAACCTTACCCAACACCGCCACTACAACCCTCCCCTCAGCAGTAGAAGCAGACTCCAAAGGCGCCGCCTACGAAGCCGAGCAAGAAGCCGACTTCCGCACCATCACCTCTGACCCGATCGACCTCTTCATCCACAGTGGTACAGGCCTCTGCTACGGCCTCCTCCAACTCCTCCTCAGCATGATCCCGCCCGCCTTTGGCAAACTCCTCTCCCTCTTCTCCTTCCGCGGCGACCGCGAGACCGGCCTCCGCATGCTCTGGTCCGCGACCAAATTCAAACACACCATCAACGGCGCCATGGCCGGCCTCATCACGCTGGGCTTCCACAACGGCGCCATCGCCTTCTGCGACATCCTCACCTCCGACGCAATGCCGGAAGCAAGACTCCGCAATCTGTTGTCAGAGATGCGCTCTCTCTACCCCAAATCCAAACTCTGGCTTCTAGAAGAATGCCGCATGCTCTCCCGCGACCGCGACCTCGCCCAATCCGTCTCCCTGCTCCAAAACGCGCCCAAATCTTCGCTCAAACAGGTCGACGCGCTCGCTCTATTCGAAACTTCTCTCAGCTTACTCTACCTCCACCGGTACGAAGAGTGCGCCGACTCCTTCGTCAAATGCGTCGGCATGAATAACTGGAGTCACGCAATGTACTTCTACATCGCCGGCGCCTGCCACGTTGAACTCTACCGTATCCACAAACAGAAAGATGCGAAGAAAGCTGCTATGCACGCCGAGCGAGCGGAGAAGTTGCTAAGAGAAGTCCCCGCGCACTCTGGGAAAAAGAAATTGATGGCCCGCCAACTCCCCTTCGACGTCTTCGTCGGCCGCAAGATCATGAAATGGGACGCTCGATCCAAGGCCCGCGGGTGCAGTTTCGTGGACGCGGTGGGAGTGAGTCCGGCGACGGAGATGACGTATCTCTGGTCCGGCTTTACACGGATGCAGCCCTCGCACGTCGAAGAATCCCTCTCTCTCCTCGCCTGGTCCGAAGGCCAGTCAGGCTGGGATGCCGAACCAGCGGACGAACGCGCCCTCCTCGCCTTCCTCCGCGGCGTCTGCCAGCGCTTCCTCTCCCGCCCCGACCTCGCCCGCTCCACCCTCACCGACTCCGCCCTTTGTTATGACCTCCCCAAACTCAAAGCCTGCGAACACCCCGACACCTGGCCCCTGCCCGTCGCGCACTACGAGCTCGCCGTCCTGCACTGGACGGCTTGTGGCGGGGAGAAAGGGGATAAGGAGGGTTGGGGGAAGTGTAGTGATGAATTAGCAAAGGTGGAGGGGTGGGAGGCTTTTGAGCTGGATGCGAGGGTGGGGATGAAGGTTAGGACTGGGAGGGAGACTTTGAGGAGGGTGGGAGGGAGTGGGACCTAGGAGGGTGTTGGGCAGGGCGGTGTTGGGAGAGCGGAACACAATGATCATGCCGGTGGGAGTAGGAAGAGGCACCAGCCCAAGAGCAAGGGTCTGCTGCCGGGAAGGAAGACGTGGAGGCTCATTCGTGAGGCGGGGGATGAGCTTTGGGGCCGGTGACACTGAGTCGGTGTGGGTGGTGACGTGCTTCCACGTTTTGACGTTGGATTTGTTGGATGACACCACTTGCATGCTTCGCACCCGGAGATGAGATATCGACATTACCTACACCTAGATATTTGTTCCCAGCAACCTGCTCAACCGCAGCGGGTATTCCCAAAGGACCAGACTCCAAAACACCTCGCTGCCCCCTATCAGCACTGTATCAGCCTTATTTGGCATCATCCTCCTACCCGGTATCGTCATTATATCTGTTCATTTCCCCTTCTTCCCTCCCTTTCCACTAATCATCCCCTCACTCCCCTCAAACACCAACGCATTCACCACACACCCCTCCCTCCACCCACTCTCTTCCAACCTGACCCGCTCATCCAGCGTCTTGCCCAAAAACATCATCCGCACTCTCTTGCCCCCAATCTTCCCCTGGATAGCTCTCACGACATCCGCCACCGTCTGCTTACTCCCCACCGAGACCACGATATCCGTTCCTCTATCGCTCAAACGAGCGCGTACACGCACGGTAGGGCCAGGGTCGGGGGCTGGGGATTTGCCTTTTTCATCTCGCCTCTTTCCCCCTCCTATCCCTTCGACGTCTGGGTCTTCGGCGCCTGTGGCACTGCCCTCCTCGTCGTCGCCGTCTTCTTTCTCGCCGTCCTCGTCTTCGTTTTCGTCCTCAACCACGTCCCCCGGATCCACGACGACCCATTTCGGGACTTCGTACCCTACGCCCCGCTCATCGAACACGCCTTCCCCCTTCCCTCGTCTCCGCGCGCCCATGCCTCGGTCTTTGACGTAGAGTTTCCCCGTCGGACAGGTCAGGCCCGCGGCATCCATCACCGCCTGCGCCTCCGCCACATTCCCCTGCCTGACTTCTTCACAAATTAATCTTAGCGCTTTCCATATCTCCGGGTTGCCCGTGACGCGGGTTTCGAAGAAGGCTTGTCTTTCGTGCTCGAGCAGGGAGCGAGGCCAGGGGGGCGGGTGGTGAGGGAGGTGCGTGGGGGAGGTTGGGAGGGGTGAGGGTTGGGTGAGGGGCGTGTTCGGGAGGGTGGGTGCGGATGGAGGGGCGGTGTGGGTGTGCGCGGGAGGAGGGGGGATGTTATCGGCGGTTGTGGGGGGGATGGTCGAGGGGGGAGGGGTGGTTGAGGGGGAGCGGGTGGTTGAGTTGCAGCAACCCTGGAGAGCTGTTAGTGATATGGGGTGCTGTTTAGTGGGAGAAAGGACGTGCCATTCCTGCTCATGCTGGTGCCAGACCAGTCCTGTTCAATATCCTTCTTCCTCTTCGTGCCTCCTTGCCGATTCGACTGCAACGTCTTATGATACAGTTTCCGTGTCTTGCAGAACAGACCAGCACGTCAACGTAATGAAGTCAAGCTCGCCAGCGCTGCCTCTCGAACGCTTAGAAGTACAACGGAAGAAGAGAACGAGAACGAGCAAAAGGACTAGACAGTAAAATAGAAACACAAATACCACGCACCCTTCACACGACCAGCAAGACCAGCTCATGCGCGTTCGCAGCCAAAGAGAAGCGAGTTCATGCAAAGAGCCGCAATTCTACTCCGTCATGGATCATCCGCTTTACCAATCTACATGTACCTAGGAGGTAGGTACTCCGAGGAGGCGTGCATGTGCTTTCTTGGTATTTGATGGAACCGAGACCGACGCCGCGTATACACCTCGTTGCATGTGATCCAAGTGATCCAATCGTTGATGAGTCGTTCAGTAAACGAGGGAGTTTTTACCGTGCCTCGTTGCTGTTCTACATGTACTTCTTGATGGTTTAATAAGGAGCAGACCGGTTAGCACCCGATAATGTCGGCGAGCAGGCGGTTCAGAGACACAATCGTCGGAAATGGGAGTAGAACTCGGTGGCACACTGAGCATGATCTGGAAGACCGCAAACAATTCCATTGCCTCAATTACCCACACAAGCCACACGCTATCTAAGTTCATCCATCCCATCCCATTACAACCGCTCGCAACAAATGACAGAAAACACGGGGGGTATCCTTCCATTGCTCTGGGGTATTCGCGCCTGCACCCGGTTCGGATGCAGTAAACTCAAACAATAAGCAAGCAGACCAAAGCAATGCAGGGTGGTATCTCAATCTTTCTTAAAACAACCAACGCCAGCTGAAAGCAAAAAGCGGCCAAGTCCAGAACAGCGAGCGCAGCATGTGATGTCGTGAAATGAGCGGCAGTGGTTCGGGTATTAGTGTACATCACACGCTGCTGCTCCGCCGTCAAGAACGGCCGTGGTGCAACGACTCGAGGGGCGGAGGGTCCTGGTAATTGGTATTGATCCAGTCAGAGCTGAAGCACCGCCCGGTCCGTCCACCAGACAGCAGGACACCTCTATGCCGACGCAGCGACGGCGGGGGGCTGCTCCGTCTTCTTCGTGTCGTCCGCGATGGCTTCAGGGACGACGTCGCCGATCTGCTGTTGCGACTGCTCGGTCTCTGCAGGCGTCGACTCCGTGGTAGCGGCGGTGGCAGGAGTAGTGTTCTCTCTCTTCGGGGACTGCATGCCCTTGAAAGCCTTGGAGGCGCGACGGCCGAGGTTGGAGAAGACGGACTGTCGCTTGTCGGTGGTTTTCGTGTCGGCGGTGTTGTTCGTGGCGTCCTCCGGCTTCAGCGGGGAGATAGGGTCGACGGTCTCGGTGCCGCCGATGGGCTGCTCGGTCTTGGGCTCCTCGACGGGGGCGGCTGGCTCGGTCTCCTTAGGTGCCTCGACGGGGGAGGTCTCCTCAGCCTTGACTGGCGTCTCGGTAGCGCCGGCAGACGGGCTGACGCTGCGGTTACGTTTGCTGCCGAAGGAGAGGTTGGAGAGGAAAGTAGGCTTCTCTTTTGCTGGGGTGGAGGTGGCCTTCTTCTCCTCAGCGGCGGTCTCAGGCTTGACCTCGCCGTCAGTCTTGAGAGCGTCCTCAGCTGGCTCGGTGGTGGCAGTCTCAGGGAGCACTGGTGGGTTCTCGGCGACAGCGCCGTCCTTTGGTGGGACCTCAGGCTTGAGCTCGGCGTCCTTCTGCTCCTTCTCCTTGGAAGGGCTCTTCATGTTGCCCCAGCCTTGCATCTTGCCGAAGATACTACCTCGCTTCGCCGGCTTGGGCTTCTCCTCGGTCTTGGTCTCGGTGGTGGTGGGCGCGGTAGCGGTAGATGACTCGATAGGCTCCTCCTTCTTGTCATCGGCTATGCGAAGTTAGCATTGGTTCAGGAAGATTGAGGTAAGTATACTCACTGCTCGAGCTACCAGCAACAGCAGCGCCGGCAACGGCACCACCAGCAAGGCCAGCCGCAACAGGTGCCTCTTCAGTCTTGTGCTCCTCTGGCGCAGTCTCCTCGACCTTCTTCTCTTCCTTCTCCTCCTTCTTCTCCTCTCTCTTGACCTCAGCTTCTTCCTTCTTGCCCTTCAGACGGTCGAACACGCCGCGAGAAGTGGAGCGAGACTTCTTGTCGTCCTTCTTCTCTTCCTCCACGGAGTCGGAGTTGTTGCGAGGAGTAGTGGCATCAGTCTTGTCGACATCCATGCTCTTCTTAGGCTGGGACTGGCTGCGCTTGGCGGCAGCTGCGGCAGTGGTGGCAGCACCAGCAGGCTTGTCTATTGGAACGGTCAGTAACTGCATCTTTGACCCAAACAATGACAATACTTACTTAGCTTCTCCATCTCAGCCTTGTAGCCCTCACCCTCCCTCACCTCCTCCTTCTGCGACTTGCCAAGCTCCATCGCCTTCTCAATCGACATATACCAACCATCGCGCTCGTTGTCGCTGGTAGCCTTGAGCACATGCTCCTGGCCGTTCAGCTTGAAAGCAATCTCATGCGGAGACTCCTTCTTCAGGTCAGTGGCGTCGTACAGAGCAAGCACGTGACCGGGCGTCTTCTTGCTGGTGTCACCCTTCTTGTTGAAGAAGAGGAGACCCTTGCCCGTCTGGCTAGCCCAGGCGACGACGTGGTGAGCGATTTCAGGCTTCTCGCCACGCATGTAGGAGCTCAGGTCTTGTGGTGTGACGGCATCGTCTCCGAGCCAGAATTCCTTCTTGGAGGGGATGATGGACCTGTAGATACTTGTAAGCTATGGAGTTGCAGAAGTTGTAGAATGCCCACTTACTTCAGCAGACCAGGACCTTTGAGCGCGAGCTGGCCCTCCGTAATGGGCTCCACAGGCTTCTTCTCGGGAGCAGCGACGGCATCCTTCTTCTCCTCCGCAACGGGAGTGGACTCAATGGCGTCCTTGTGCTCGGGCGAGTTGATGATCGAGTCAGTGATTGGTGTCTCCTTAGTCTCGTGTGACTCGGGCTTCGCCATGGCATCAGCAATGGGCGTCGACTCCTCTGCTGTGGTGGGAGCGGTGGTGGTGGTGGTCTCAGGTTGCTGGGTGGCCACAGGCTCGGAAACAGGTGCCTCGGTGGCGGTGTGCTGCTGCTGGACGTCGGACATTTTGGTAGTAGTCGTGAAAATCGTGACTGGGGGTATCTCAGAAATGCAGGATGCGATTGAAAGCAACAACGGTTGTGTGAGCGAAGTGCTCGGGTATCTCAGAAAGCAGGGAAGGTGTGTTGTGTGTCGTGTGTGTGTGTGTGTGTGTGTGGAAGGAGAGAAGGGAAGCAGCGATTGCTCTTTGAAATTTTCTGTTTGCAACTCGCGGTGGCCAGACGCTTGTAGCAGTTTTGCGCGCGGACTTGCAGATGGCGCTCGCTTTTGCTGAAGCGAGATTGAAGCAACGGGCCCCGATAGATGATTCGCACGGGCACCCACGAGTCGAGACGAGACGACGAGCTATCGAGGAATCATCGTCGCCACGTCGCACACGATGCACATGATTGATCTGATGACGGGGCGATAAGACTCGTAACTGAAGGTCATGCGACGCGCGCGACATCGGTACAGTATCTCACACCCTTGCTTCCCTCCCTCAGCATCCGCCTCGCTCCGCCCGTCCCTTCCCCTCTACCCGCTGGTCATAGCGATACACCACCGCGAAAGCTACGCCGTTCAATTCAATCTCCCAGCCTCTCCCTCGCGCCTCATCCCAACAGAAACGTCGCACAGATGAAGCCGTGAAACAGACTTTCCGCCCTTCGGAGCAGTGCCGAACCCTGGAAATGCAGTGCCGTTGGCGCTAACGCAACCTAAACAAGACGTCCGAGTTGCAGGGTGCCGGGGTGGCTGGAATCGGAATCTGACTGCTCGCTGGGGATCTTTGCGGAGGCAGATATGTCAGCTGATACCGATACCTCTGGAGGTGTCAGCAAATTGCGTCGTCAGTGTGGAGGCTTTGCAGAGCGTCAGCGAGTGTGTCTTGCCGGTATCGCTTGTCATGACGGGAGGAAAGGAAGGGGTGGCGGCGGCGAGACGTCCGAGGATGACTTGCAGCGCTTGGAGCGTCGTGCTACGGGCGCTGTGCGACCTCGACTAAGACTGGACTGAGACCAACCTCCCGATCGCATTTGTGGTTGGGGAGGACGAGACGGCAATTCGTCGTAACAGCCAGACCGAGGCATAGAACTATGGGTGCGAGTGGCTCTTGGAGGTACATTGGAAGCGGTTCACAATGCTCTACACGGTAGACTCCGTGAGTAGTATATACAAGTATGAAGGCAATCTAACCGCCAACGCCACGCTCGATCTCCCGCCCAGTCGATCTATACACCCTAATGTCGCCACCATCGTCTTCCAATCCCCATAGCACAAACATGAATACCGCCATTCCCCCTTCACCCTCTCACAACGAAGCGCTCAACTCGCAGTAATCAAAACATAACAAGTAACCGCCTCCATCCTCTCCGCCGCCAACTTCATCCCCACCTTCAACAACTCCCTCGCCACCTCCCCTTCCTTCCGCTGCAACTCCCCCCACCCCTCCGGCGTCAGCAACCACGCCACGCTCTCCTGCTCGGCCACCACACTACTCGTCCGCTCCGTCTCGCTGAAGAAAGGCAGCTCCCCGCAAGTCGTCCCCGCGACGATGGACTCGTGGTAGTTGCCTTGCTCGAGATAGTATTCCGCGCGTAATATGCCCGATTGGAGCAGGTAGAAGCCGTCTGGTCTGTCACCCCGCGCGTAGAGGAGTTGGCCTTTGGTGAAGTGCCGTTTAGTGAAATACGGCACCGCGCGGAACCAGAAGGATTCGTTTTCCGCGGTCAAGTCGCCGAAAGCTTGCAGCAGGAGGGGGAGGGGCTGTTTGAGGTTCTTCCACTTCGGGGCAGTTTCGGGTGCGGTCTCGGTGATGGCGGAGTTGGCGGCTTGGTCGAGGAGGCGGCCGCGGGGGGAGCCGACGAGGCTGTTGAAGCGGGAGAGGGTGTCTTGTGGTGTGTCGTTGGAGATGGGGATGGGGGGTGAGGCGTCGCCGGTGGTGACGCCGAGTTTCTCTTTGCCGGTGAGGACCATGAGGAGGTCGTTTTCGCAGGCTTCGAGGGCGCCGTTGAGGTCTTCGTAGAGTTTTGGGGCGGGGGCGGCTGTCTCATCCTCATCTTCGACGAACAGTCCAACCATGGCCAAGCTCCTGCCTACTTCGCTCTCGAGGTTGACACCGGCCATGGTCATCTTGACTTGCCTTCTGTGAAGGATACGATTCATTCTTCCAAATGCTTCAGCTGCTGAGAAGTCGATGCCGGTGACATGCGTAAAGTCCAGAATAAGGTACCGGATAGGGTTGGCCGAAAAGGTTTCTGCATCCACCATAGCCCTCACTCTCTTCTCCACCTTGACGATAGAGCCGAAGAAGAGGTACGATCCGAGCTTCACGATCCGTATCTGTCTCCCCACCTTCCGCAGGTAGTTGCGCTGTCGAGGATGCCGCCGTACCGTCGACTCGGCCACTGTGCCCGAGAATTCTGCCCTAATGACGGTCTTGCGAGATGTCTGGACCACGTAGACGAGGCACGCTAGTCCGATGCCAATAGCGATGCCCACCACAAAGTCGTACACGCCCATGATGACGGCAATAGTGACAATGGTGAGGTATTCGAGCCGATGCAGCCGGCCGTACGTCGCCACCAGCGCTTCCTGCGCCAGATCGATGCCCAGCATGTAGATCAGAGTTCCAACAACCATGACAGGCACGTATCCAATGACGATTGGACCAGCGACCCAAAGGCCAAACGTGGCAGCCGCCAGCATGTAGCCTGCTAGTCTGCTGTTCGCACCCGTATTCATGAACAACACGGAGTTGACGAAGACGAGGTAGTTCTGGATACTGCCCACACAGCCAGAGAGGGTGTTCGAGATGCCGTGCATGATGAGTTCGCGGTTGATGCTGACGTTGTCTTCTTGCACCACCATGGCGAGGTTGGGCACGTTGATGGGGACGTGCAGGATGCCGAAGAACGTCAGCGCCAGCTGCGAAGGAATCGTCATCCAGATCGCCTTCCAATCGACTAGAGAAAACTTGTAATAGCTGTAGAAGTTGTAGAAAGGCACACCAGCCGCTGGTGCCTCGAAGACCCAGCCCGCGCTGCGGAGATTATCCATACTAATGGAAGGCACCGCAGTCGTGACTATGTAGAAGATGGCGGTGATGCCAATATAGTAGGCTGGCACCAGCCAAGGTCGGTCGTAGAAGTGCTTGATGATGAGAAGTAAGATAGCAAGAACCAAAGGTGGGATCCACAAGGCGACGGTGTCAGCGCTGAACAGTTTCCGGAACACTTCGGCGGTGAACTCCAGATTGCCATCCAGTCGAGCTGACACCTCGATGCCAGTGATGAAGAGGAAGATTCCCACCCCGCCGATGCAGCCTGTGAGGATCGAGTGAGGGAAGAAATTGACGAGTGTGCCCAGCTTCGCCGCTCCCAGGCCGAAGAAGACGATGCCGGTGATGATCGAGCTCATTGCGTAGGAAGTGATGACAGTCGCTCGTAGAGCATCCGGGTTCCCGGTACCCATTTGGCTCATGATCATGTAGGTCATTTTGTGGAAGAAGGGCACCACTTCGATCATCTCAGAGCCCACACCACCCTGAAAGATTGACCCGGTGGAGTAGACCAGCTGCGACACAATGCAGCTGACGTAGAACATAGAGACGCCGTCCGGTCCCATGTCCTTGAAGACCTCCTCGCCGAGTGGAAACAGGATGATACCGTAGGAGAGAGCATCAAGCAAGTTTAGGAGCAACCCAAGAAAGACCGCCGGTATCATACACACCGGTTCGTACACGACCTTTCGACCGATGGAGCGGAAGTCCCATTGCTTTGGGTTGGAAACCACGCTGCCGAGTCTCGTTCTCGCCACTCGGATAGAAGGATACTGATGCCCAACTCGATTCCAGGTACCGACTTTGTGCTGGCTTTGCTCCTCGAGGTCAGGTTCGTTGTCGTGCTGAGGCTTGCGGTAAGAAGATAGGCGCTCTCGTGGCAACAGCGGTGTGGTCTCATCCTCCAGACAGCCGTTCTCGTCACTGATCACAACCTCTGGTATCCGTGGAGACGGCGATTGCTGAGCTCGTAGCCCTTCGGGCCCGGTCATCGTGTCCTGCTCGCTTTCTGCTGAAGGTTGGTTCCGGAAAGCTGCAGTCAGCTCTGAAGATGTTGGAGCATCGCCGCCTGATCCCGAGGGAGACACTGGCTCTGATCGCTCCGGGATGGGATCCGGTTTGCGAGAGTTTCCACTGCTAGATACTGCCCCCTTGCTATCCGGACTGAACTGATTAGACAGTTCCGACTCGCTCAAGAAAGACGAAGAGAGTACAGCTGTCTGTTCCCGCACTCCGGTAGATGAGTATTGAGCGGGCTCTACTCAAGCATCAGTACCAATCAGTCAATGGCTGCTGCTCATCCTACTGACCTTGTATCCCATGCCCAACCTGATGAATATACGACCGACTCGGCAGACTAAAAGACGACGAAAGTCCCGCAGATGACGAAGCGGCCCTCCCAACCCTCGACGCCTGTCGAGCATTCGATGCTATGCTCGAGCCGCCATGCTGGCTCGAGGCGTCCGTAAATACCTCATCGCCGTTTGAGTTATGCGGTGCCGCTACCGAGGAGTTTGTTCGCCGCCGGGAGAAGCGACGCGACATTGTTGTAGCCGTCGTCTTAGGCGGACATTACTGCGGCTGTTGTACTTTCGTAAGAGCAGTATTGGTGAGGTGGTGGTTGCGACAATGGCGATGTGTACGCGGCAAGTTCCCCCTGGTAGAAAGTTTGTCCAAGATGACGCTGAAAGTACGCAGTGAATGATATTCCGTCTGTCCTGCCGTATTGAGCTTTTACTGCAAGTAAACCAAATCAGAAGAACCACAGCGCCCCGCTATCAGCCGGTATTATGAGAAAGATTGACCACAGAATAAAAACTTCTGCAGGTCTGCAGAGATGGGCCTCTCCAAACAAGGTTCACGGCGGGCCAATGCCGCCCCGCGGCCTTCAATCCCAGTCGTCTTCTACAGATTTGCATGTGAAGATGTACAATGATGAATATTTTGATGGCTGCGTGATCTGGACATGCAGCAAAGGAAGAAAATTCACGATGAAGCTCGCAATGGCTGCCCACATTTGCACAACGATTCGACGACTATGGCGAGCTGTTGCTCCACTCTTGTGAGGGGGATGCATTGCTATATCATTGCTTTGTCGGCTCAACTGATCCAGGACTGCACGCGTGACCTGCAAATGTTTTAAGATGGGAAGCATCTCGATCGAAACGAAGCCAACTGACAGTGTCAGAAAACGGAACAAGTATGACAAGCAAGAGCAGCTGCTGTCGCCGCTTTCAGCCGAATGCTTGTACTCTGCTACATCTCTATGCCCTCCTCCTCCGCCGCCCTCCCAATATACGCCCGTATCTTCGCATCCGGCGCCAGCTCAATCGCAAGCTTCCCCGACCCATCCCTCTTATCCGTCTCCGCGCCCGCCTTCAGCAACACCAACGCAGTGTCCCCATGCCCCTCCGCAATCGCATGATGCAGCGCCGTACTCCCATCGATGTCCGTCGCGTTGATCGGGCTCTTGTTCTCCAGCAGCAACTTGACGATCGGGACGTTGCCAACAGCCGCCGCGCGATGGAGGGGGAGTTGTCCTCGCTTGTCCTTCACTCGAGCAGATGCTTTATGCGCTATGAGTTTCCGTGCGGTGTCGAGGTTCTGTTTTGAGGCAGCGAAGTGTAGGGCTGTTTGGCCGTTGTTCGTCTTCTCGCTCACGTCCGCGCTCTTTGCTAATAGGAGGTCTACGAGCTCATCGCCGTCTTTCAGGCTCGCGGCCATCATGAGCGCCGTCCAGCCTGCGCCATCTCGAGCGTCGATGTCGAAGCCCTTCTGATCTGACAGCAGCTCGACTATCGATATGCGATTGTAGGATGCTGCCCAGTGGAGGGGCAGTCGTTCGTCGTCATCAGGGCGGTTTGCGAGGCGTTTGTCGGCGTGGAGCAGCGACTCGACCTTTGGTGCTGGACGAAATTAGTATTCATCGTGGTCACCGGTGGTTCTCGTCGTACTTTGGCCCTCGCGACATGCCGCGTGTATTGCAAACTTCGATTGCTGTTCCTCGATGTTGTCCATCGTTGCGGATGTTCGGAGGTGAGCAGCGGCGACCCTCGCGAGATACGCGCTAAAGTTGAGCCGAAGATTCTGCCAAGACTTCTGAGAGTGACGAGAAGGCAAGCAGCATCCAGTCCTTACGGGTGAGGAATCCTTTTGTGTCATATAGATCTAGCATAGCTGACTTCAACATCGACTGCTCAAGAAATTCTGACCCAGACCTCAATATTCTGCTTCTCGTCCAGCCTTACGCCAGGCCCGCCAGGATGTATCCGCAACGTCTTCTGGTAGTAAGAATCGATGACCTCCAAAGCAGGCAAGATCCAGCGGCCTTCTCCATCTGTGTCCGCCGATGAGGGCCGACTGTCCTCTTGTTCTTGCAAAGCGATTCGATAAACGACCTTGTACCGGCTCAACGGCGCAAGACTCAAGGTCCTGTACTTTGGTCCACTGAACGCAAATTCCTCCGTGGCTTCCATTGTCACTGCGAACGTGAGGAAGTGTGTCGATGGGTTCTCGATATGGTATTGTAGGATTGCATCGTATGAGTCGTTGGGATCCGCGTTGATGACAGTGCAAAGCACTCTTGGTTCCGACACTGGTAGAGTTAGTCGTGGGACGGGGAGGTGAGTTGTCACCAAGTTTCCTTCATGGCCTTCGCGAGACCAGGTGACCACGAGAGTAGACTCGAGTGATGTTGGCCGTCGATCGTCGAGCGAGTGCTTCCGCGTAGCGATCTCAGTGGAGAATTGCTCTGCCTGACCAGGCCCAAGCAGCGTTGTTTCGATAGACTTTGGATTGACCACATCTGCTGCGGAGTCGCCAAAGACTGTATCGATCACTGGCTTCGCCTCACGTATGCTCAGCTTGCTGGAAGCCAGCGACCGGATATGGCTGCTCAGTCGCCATGATTGCGGGATACCGCTCGCTTCCTTCTCTGACCCAAGATCAGGGTCGAAGTAACCAGGCCATGGATCTGGGTACAACAGCGGTCCGAAGCTGAACTTCGCCTCGAAAGGCAGGACGATGTTGATGTCCACTGTCAAGCTTTTCCGCAGTCGTGTCTGGTGGTCAGAGGCAAGGGTGTACTCAAGCTCGACGGTGACCTCAGTACTAAGAGGAGAAGGAGGTGCTTTTGCAAGCAGCACGATATTGCGAGAGGCTGCAACGGCCATACTATCGATCGTATGAGTGACTGCTGCCTCGCTCGCATCGCTCCAGTCCCCTTTCGCAGATCCAGCACCATTATCGTCATTCCATTGCAGCGGTAGTGTCTCCTCAGACTCGGCTGGAAGTGTTGCTAAGATCTTGCCTTCGATCGCCTCGGCCTCTTCATTCTTCAGCTCAAGCGCCACTCGGACAGTCTCGTCGATGTAATACTCCTTCGCAATGCGCACAACTTGCAGCTTGACCTTCGGCGGCTTCGGCAAAACCGTGACCGCCAGTGCGTCTACGTGAGGCACGATTGTCCTCTCCAGCGATCCGTCTGCTGCTCGCATGAATAGCTGATTAGCCGGAAGTAATGACTCAGAGAAGGAGTGCTCAATGCTGAACTGAGAGACTTCGATCTTCACCGATGCTTGCCGTAGTTGATGCGGACCAGCCTCACGGAAGACCAATTGGAAGCCGAAAGTTCGATGCTGACCAGGGTTAACGAGCAGATTCGCCTCGACCTCGATGGCGTCTTTGTTGCTCTCGAAATACCTGTTTAGATCCACGAAGTCTTCAGAGCTGTCGGCATCTTCTGCGACATGCTTAATCGTGATCTCCTTGCCAGGTGCAATATCCAACTTGATCGAAGACAGCGGCAATGGCGAAGAGTCCGGGTGAGCGTGGGACCTGGCAGCAAGCTGGCATTCGAGCGCTTCTCCAACATGAGCCTCGCTGTTCGCGAATGCAAATGAAAGCGACAAGGGAGATAAGCGCTGCTGATCATGGAATTTGAGGCTCAGAGGCTCGGCAGCTGCTGTGTCGCCTGAGTCTTCGCCTTCAAGACATGTATCCAAGTCAAGCTTGACGGTGCTCGTGTCCGCCGCCGGTATGCTCATGAGCTCGTATGTACTGGTGACGATAATCTCCCGGTCGTCCAGATGATGAGCACACTGCTGCAGAGCACACAACAGGTCGGCAAAAAGATCACGCCAGTCTTCCTGCCGCCACCCAGACTCATCCCAGAGGGATAGCAGGATCTGCAAAGCCTCCTCGTGTTTGCCAGCGTCAAGCAGATCACGGGCGACTTCCAGCTCGATCATGTCGCTCATGCGAGCTTGGCTTCTTTCCAAGAACTGCTCGTTAGCCATGCCAGTGAGCCGCTGGAGATTATCAAGATGACCACTTGATCCATCCGGTGGCGCTGCAGTGGCGTTGGCGCTTTCGTACTCTTTGTGCGGGTCTTTTACCAGATACATATCGTACTTGGCATTCCTTGAAGCTATGGCAGAAGCCGGTAGTTGGTCGGGAGACTGACGGTCCTCGCTGGGTATGGCGAGTGCCTGTTTCCACCGCAGCCGGGCTTCACGAATAGCTAGCCTGAGCCAGTAGCCGGCGTGATGGAGCGAGTAGTAAGGCGGTAGACGGTCTGCGCTTGCGAATGCTTTTTCGGGTGGTGCATATGTCTGCGACCTAATGACCTCCGCGGATTCTTCCAAGTCTTTAGAAGTTGGAAGCTGTAAGCTTTGCAACCGCGCCCGCTGGACCAGTTCTGCCATGATCTCTGCCCATCTGGAGTCCCAAGCGTGCCATCCGTAGGTCTGCACACCCTGACCGCGGCGCACCAGCAGATCGGCCACGCGCAGCTTGTAATTCCTCCACGACTGAACCGCAGCTGTCGTTTGTGCGCTCCAAAGCTGGCATCGGAGAACACGCAATGCCAGGCTGTCACACAACAGCCTGGCCTCATTCCACCTCGGAGACGTAGGTGGGGTAGTCTCGAAGATTGTGTCCGTGCCAAACAATTCGTCGATGGCGGTGGCGTAATGACGTTCCGCAACGTCCATTTCTTGCCGTATCTCTGCAAAGACACCCTGCTTGACTTCATAGCGGATGCTCCAGCCTGCAGGGGACAGCGACTGAGCTCCAGTTCCAAAGGCTGCCGATCCTTGCATGCTTGAGCTGCCGGCTTTGGGCTTCTTCCTCCTAGCATGTTTCGTGAGGTCTCTGTAGTACTCGACGCAGAGGGGTTGTAGAGTGGTCATGGTGCTGTGAACGAAAGTGGCGATCTCGCCCTGTGAAGACATAGGAGGCATGAAAAACAGGCCCGTCTTCGAGTCCAAACTTGTAAGCCTGCGTACTGAGGATAGTCGTTCATCCAGCTGCGGGGCATTCAGTATACTTTTGTCGCTGAGTAGAATGACCGCAAGGCGCGACTTGAAGCCTGAACGGCTGATCGCAGTCCGAATGGCATTTATGTCGGTCTTCATTTGCTCGTCGGCATCCGGCGACTCGGCTTTGATGCTGAAGCACGCCAGGAACAGAGAGGGGACCTGGTATTGGTGCTTTGCAACCCAGAGAGGAGTGAAGACACCATCAGGAAATATGGGTGATCCTGGAGACAAAGGTGATAATGGCGAATGCAGTTCTGTTCGTGATGGCGCGGTATGCTGAGGTGGTAAGCCTTCCGTGGAGGGTGACTGCGGCAACGGCGCGGCCTTTCTGGGTGGGAACGTGTAGCTCCTCTCGATGGGTCTGATGCGGTATCTCATTGTACCCGTGGGGCCGGGAAGAGATGAAGCGTTCCATGGCAGACTGCTTCCATCAATCTGGCGGAACTGGTGGAGCAGCGATTTGGCCCTTTCGCCGGAGCATTCAGGTGATTGTGTGTTGAACTTTACGCCGTTCTCCAGCTGCGAATGTACTGTGCCAGGGGCGGAGCCTTCATGCTCACCGAGGCCAGAGACTATGACCAGTGGCAGGTTATGGTCGATGTACTCCGAAGGGTAGGGCTCCATGTTGGTGGTGGAATGTCGAAATCTGTAGCTAGAACATCATGCCAACCGGCATCCGTCGCATTCTATCATGGAACAGATGGCCACTGCATCTCGATAACCCAGCATCTCTCACTCTCTTCTCGCGGCAGATAGAGCATTTGTTTAAAGCGTTGTTGGAAGCATGAAGTCGGAGCATCACGAACATGAACTCGAATCACCTCAGCCACATTGCGGCTCGTGTTCTGAGACAAGCAGATATTTGATTAAGATTTAAATCAAATTAGCGCGAAGGCGCTGAGATAATGCTTGTGCTAATCGAAGTCGCCAAACACGTGGACGCTTCTTCAACGACATCTCATCTCCAAGTTCTGAACTACGTGTGCCGTCGAGCCATGGCGACGACTTCTCTCATTCGACCCTTCCCGGTAGATCCGGATTGACCGGATGCGAGCTCAGCGGCCCTCGATCTCCTTTTCCAAGCAATGAGGCCTCCCACCTCGGGGAGACATAAGACAGCACGTTGAGCCGTGCGAGACGATGAAGCAGTGCGACGTTGCCTTGTTCTGCTGTGCTTGCTCAGACTTCCGGATTCACGGCACCCCATCTATCTCCTGGCGTGGCTGCTCGCAGAGGGGCACGGAGGTCAAAGTCCGCAGGCGAGAGGGTCTGGAGACGCTGGTGCAGGCCGCCAAACCTTTGGAGAAGTTGTACTTCCCAAGATTGCGAGTACGGAGGTAGGTGTGCCGTGTGCGTGAACGGAGGTAATGTGAGCGACCTATCATCCAACGGAGCGGGGATGTCGACAGGTCATCTTTGAGGAGGCTTGTCGCTCGGATCTTGCCTGGACGAGCGTGAACGACCGAAGGATGCCATCTGTACTTAAGACCCCGCGGTGAACTCCAACATCCAAGACGCTACAAAGCTAGGTTCAACGCGCCCAGCGCGCCATCTTCACATTCCCTCCCAGAGATGCATACCGCGGGCCGTCTCCATACACCGGCCAAGGCGCTATATCATCGTCGTTGTGGGGAGCCCGAGATGTCTTGATGGATCGACGTATATGATGAGCTCGCTGCCAGCTGCAGACGGATTTTGTCCGACCAAGCTCGCTCTCGCCGCTGTCTCGAAATCTGGTTGTAACGCCTTTCCGAGCATCTGGTTCCGTTCGGAATACGTTGATCAAGATGGATCCACGCCGCTCTGAAGAGGACATTGCTGAGGTGAAGGGCAAGGCGCTACATTTCGAGACCACCACAACGGCACCGCTTGGGATCAGTCAGGAAGACGCTGATTTCCTGGCGAACTTTCCCGACGATCATCGGAAGGCTATCTTGCGAAAGGTGAGAGTCGCATTGTTGATCGCGAAACGCACTACGTCGAAGCAACGCTGACGCTTGAGGAAAGCTCGATTGGCGCCTTGTTCCCTTCCTGGCGCTCCTATACTTGGTGGCGTACATTGATCGTGCGAACATTGGTCAGTCACATCAACCGAGAACCGCTATGCATTTCCTCTGATGCCGTTGTCTAGGTAACGCAAAGATCGAAGGCATGACGGAGGACCTCAATATGGAAGACACAGACTACAACGTTGCGGTGTCGATCTTCTTCATCCCGTACATTCTATTCGGTACATATTAGGGTGCAACACCCGTGTAAGCCGTTCACGTACTGACTTCTACAGAAATCCCCGCCAACACGATCCTCGCTCGTTTCAAGCGCCCTTCGTACTTTATAGGCGCTCTCACCGTCTCGTGGGGCATCGTCATGACTTTGACGGGTGTAGTCCAGAACTATGGTGGTCTGCTTGCAACGAGGTTCATGCTTGGGGTGTGCGAGTAGGTTGCCGCTCTGGAAACTGTCGAGAAACACTGGCTAACGACGTTCCCTTTCAGAGCTGGATTTTTCCCGGGCGCGATTTTTATCGTGGGTCGCTGGTATCTGCCGTCCGAGACCCAGTTCCGTATCTCGCTCTTCTACACTTCCAGTGCCATGGCCGGGGCTTTTTCAGGATTGCTAGCCTACGCTATTGCGAAAGTAAGTACTGATGGATCATCTCGGACTTGGCCGTTACTGATTTCCACAACAAGATGGACGGCATCGCAGGGGTTGCCGGATGGCGTTGGATTTTCATACTCGAGGGAATAGCATCAGTCGTGTGCGGAGTGGCTTGTGTCTTCCTGCTAGTTGACAGTCCCGCGCACTCTACTCGCTGGCTTACCGACGAAGAAATCAAATTCCTGGAACTCCGCCAGATCGTCCAACACGGCAACAGCATGGCGGCGCGAGACGCCGAGAAGAAGCGAAAATGGCAGATCTTAAGGTCTGTGCTGCTGGACTGGAAGATCTATACTATGGGGCTAGTTTTTTGGGGGAATACTGCACCGAATTACGGGCTTAAATTCTCGATGCCTCAATTGATAACAGACATGGGTGAGCGACAACCTGCGGGATGTATCTAAGTATCATGCTGACGTCGGAGCAGGCTTCGAGTCCGCGGACGCTCAATTACTGTACGTCTTACACATCCTCTCTGTTGCTCCCGAAAACTTTCCGGTCACCAGGACTACGTCAATCGCAACACTGACAGCTGCTTAGTACGATCCCACCATATACCGTAGGAGCAATATCCGCGATGGTATCTGGAATGTATTCCGATCGGTTGACCTGGCGTATGCCCTTTATATGCGTACCACTTGTAGTGGTGATCATCGCATACGCTGTCCTCTTCTCGCAGGCGGCCGACCTCGCGAACAACATTCCGCAGTGCTATTTCGCTCTCTGCCTCGCTTGCGCTGGCCTCTATCCGGTCACCCCTGGTGTTAGCGCATGGAACATCAACAATCTCTCCGGACCTACTGCAAGGGCCCAAGGAGTTGGGTACATGAATGCTATAGGTGAGTGACTAAACTGCTTTTCGATCATCCTTCCTCGTGCTAACATCTCCACAGGGGCCGTTGGCGGCATCATCGGATCTTACATGTACCTGGACCGCGAGTCGCCGCAATACCCAACCGGGTATGGACTGTCATTCGGCTTTGCCGCGCTGGGGATCGTCAGTGCTTTGTTCATGGAGTTCATCTTCAAGAAGAAGAACCGTGAGCGGGACCAGATGTCGGAGGCTGAGATATACGAGAAGTATACCGAGGAGCAACTTGGGAAGATGGGACATCGCTCGCCGTTCTTCCGGTTCACATTGTGAGAGCAGCAGAGGGAAATTAAGATTGCTTGTCGGGCTAAGCTCGCAGCAATGGTGATCCAGGCGAACTGACATTGATAGGTGTTGAAGAACCTCTGAATACACGATACCTACGACAAAGCAAACAAGACATTCTCCTCTTGGTTCTTCCTCATCACAACTACACTTGCTACTGTCAGATTCTTGATGTTATACAGCGATTTCCTTTTTTTCCGCTCCCTCTTTGATCCTATATTAATGTCCGAGTTGGTCGGAAGCATAATGTCCAGGCTGAGCTGGAGTTGCATTCTGCTATGGCTCGTGCCATGACATTCAGCCGACATTTGATTAAGATTTGACTCAACGATTAGCGTTGTGGCTTTAAATAAATGCTTACGCTAAGCGAACATTGAACTGCAGGTGGCCAAACGCGCATCCTCTCTTACAACAACATCACATCTTTCATGGCATCTAAATTTATCAATCTCATCGCGCAATCTTATCACGCTTCATCTTCTCCCGAATATGCCAGACGTCTCTGCGATTCCTGGATCCTCCATCCGTGGCTCTTGTTCGCGATACGAGCACTCATCGCCACTTACGCCTTCGTGGTATTGTTGACCCGAATCGGTATACAAACAACGAGTGGAGAAACAGAAGCTGCGCAACGGTCGTTCAGCTTCTTCACAGTCCTCGTACGTCCACTCTCTCGACACGACTTGACGTTTGTACTAACAGGCCTGCTCTCTGAGGGTTACTGGGGCATTGCATGCTGGGAGGCATACGCTTCAATACATACAGCATCCGTTGCACTCAGAGGTAGAGCCTGGCTAGAGTCATGGCCACATCCACCAAGATTCCTGGCATCTACGCTGTACATGACCGTGACAGTGTACCCTTTTATTGTGACAGGTCAGTTTGGAACTGGACCACAGGAGTATACCGCGCTGACATCTATCAGCCGTCTTTTGGGGGGCGCTGTCCGAGGGAGCTTTCAGGAATGAGCTCAGCACTTGGTCCAACATCTCGTACGTCCTCTTAGATCAGAGGCGTTCGCGAGCTAATCAAAGACAGTCAACATGCCTTGAACTCGGTCTTCGCCTTTCTCGAGATCTTGCTACCACGATCTGATCCTCACCCTTGGATTCAACTTGCACCGCTGATCGTGATACTGGCATTGTATCTTGGTCTGGCATATTTAACATACACAACCGAGGGTTTCTACGTGTACGCGTTTCTAGATCCGTACGTCATTGAGTAATACCTGCTGTCAACAACATCTAATGTGTTTCAGATCCAATGGGCGTGGCCTCGTCGCTGGAGCGTGTATCGGCATCCTCTTCGGGTCGACTATCGTGTTTGTGGTCGTGCGATATCTCATTTTGCTGCGACGCTGGACGACTGAGAAGTAACTCGGCCTTGTTGGAAAGTCGAAACCGCTTTCGAGCTCGAACAGCTCGCATCTGCCTGGTGGAGAAATGGAGATGGCACAATCTAAGCCCGAGACGAGCGACGGCCATGTAGGCTAGTCCATCTACTGGTCTTCAGCATAAGGTTCGCATTGAGCGCAAGGCGAAGCTTGGTTACCACCGTTGAAACGCTAGGATACATTATCTTTCGATATGCCACGTCGTTCAACCTGGACCGCTGGCCGACAGAAGCTTCTACGAACCAGAGTTCTCCAGATGCAGCTTGGGGGCATGTGTTGCACGCGTAATGTCTAATGAGGCTGTTTGAGCTGGGTTAAAAAGTTACATGCTCTGGACTCCAGCTCATGGGCATTGGGTTCTACTGCACGCTATCATGAGCCGTGGGAAGCGGTGTTATTCGTCTTGGTGACGATTGCCGCCGGTACAGGATGGCTTTCGGTGTATTGTCTGGTTCCCGATGGCCGACTTTGCGACCACGGTGAGAGGACGAGAAACCGCGAGGTCCTGAAATCGTGAGGAGGAACCTCGCGTTGCCTCTGTGGCTAGATTGGGGAAGCTTGATCGTGCATGCTATCTGACAACGGAGCGAGAAGATGCTTGGATACTTGAGGAACGGAGCAGAAGTGACGCTACGTTGGCAGTGCATCGATTCGCAAGTTGAAAAGCAGGATGGTAGGTGTATGCGATTGTAGATAGAGAGGCTTTGCGAAGAGAGCTCGCTAGGAAATTAGAAGAATGTTCTCTCAACCGTTCCACCTGATGTTCAGCATCATCATCCCAGCGAATGTCAAGGAAATACTCGCGAAGTATTGCTACAGACTGTAAATTCACAAACAAGAAGGTAGTTTGACCACGTGCAAGTCGTGATGCGGAGTTTGACAAAGTTTTCTGTTTGAAGCGCAATATCAACCTTGTTCGCTTCCACGCGCTTCCGACCAATGGCCATAGCATGGAATCAGAATCCTCGGAAGTAACGAGGCTGTGTTTCTGTTCAATACATCTAATGGAGGCCATGGACAACAAACTGGCATTTCCTATGAGCCTGATGCCGCCCGCACCCTGGCGATGACATTGATGATGGATCGCAGAACCCCGTCGTCATAACGAGGACTATCGCCCGCCCTGGTCGAGCCGTACCACGGCTATACATACAACATGGGCCGCACACCAAGCCATCCGAAGCTGGGTGGTGAAGGAACTGCAGACGTTCCAAGGGCAAAGGATCCAAAAGCCCGCCCGCCACGAGGATGGCGAGATACGGCATTCTTCCCAGGAAGGACCCTGCCTACATACACTGGCCCATATACTGTCGCTACCATGGAGATCGAAGTACCGGCCAGAAATCCCCAGGTCTTTTCGAACATCAAGCGTAACGGCAAACATGCACTGCGGCTGGAAACCTGCCTCATGACCATCTACTACCCATCAAACAATTCCGAGCCCAACCTGCAGACAAATGACCCAGATTATTCCCGCGAGCTGTGGCTTGGCCGGCCGAGAGTCGATATTGCGAAAGGATATGGTCATTTCGCCGGGATTGGTTCTCTGGCGGTACCTCTATTCCTGCCCGCGATGTTCACGAAACTTCCGGCATATCGCAATGCCCCTGTAGCAAAGCACTGGGCGCCGCGGGCAAATGTCAAGAACGGAGGTCTCAAAGTGAAGAATGAAACAGGCTCTGCACCGGATGATGCGCCAGATGAGCCATGCTTCCCGCTCATTATATTCGTAGGTCACATGAGCTTATACATCTGGCCTCACGTTACAAAGCTAACCACGGGCTTTTTCTTGTTATAGAGTCACGGTCTCGGCGGTACAAGGACCATGTACAGTTCAGTATGTGGCGAGTTCGCCAGCTACGGATTCGTGGTCTGTGCGATTGAGCATCGAGACGGCTCCGGACCACGGTCATTTGTCAACCACGCGACGTCGGGAGAAGGTAGTATGGCAGAACGTGAGGGTGATGGCGGTGTTGATCATGTCCCGGAAGACAAGGAGAAAGGATGGGAAGCAATCGACTACCTATTTCCGCTGGATAATCCTTGGGATACATCACCTCACAACGACAAGGGGGTTGACAGGGAACTTAGAGACGCCCAGATCGCTCTACGGATGGCGGAGATCGACGAGGCGTACACTGTTCTGGAGGAGATATGCAATGGAGACGGCGAGCCTGTTGCCAAGCGCAACCTTCGTCAGAAAGGCTTCAAAGGCTCCACCTCGCACGGCATGGAAGGCATTGACTGGTCTCGGTGGAAAAACAGGATCCGCCTCGACCATGTTACGGCAGCCGGCCACAGTTTCGGAGCTGCCACGATTATTGAGATGCTGCGCCACCATGATCGTTTTCATTATGTGTCTCAAGGGATCGTCTATGATACCTGGGGTGCTGGCCTCAAGCCCCCGGAGAGCGAGCCCACGCAGCACCGCATCCGCGCGCCACTGCTCGCCATCAACAGCGAAGCATTCACATACTGGCCTAGCAATTTCGATCTGGTCGAGTCGCTCGTTCGCGAAGCTCAAGACGGCCCAGACCCAAAGCCGTCGTGGCTTCTGACCCTGCGTGGGACTATCCATGTCTCCCAATCCGACTTCTCCATCATCTACCCTCATGTCTGCTCGTTATTGTTGAAAATGGTCGCCAATCCGAAGCGAGCCTTGGACCTCAACATCAACGCAAGCATGGAATTCTTGAGCCACGTACTGCCGAAGGAGATGTCCGAAGTGAGTCGCGCATACCAGAATGAGGGACTGTTGGAGTCTCAAGTCACTTCTCTGGAAAAAGTCCCACAGAACCAGAAGTTGGAGCCTCGGAATGAATGGATAGCCATGAGGCTGAAGATCCGGCATGAATGGCTCTTCCGGATCAGTCCAACGCTGTTCCGCAAGATTCGACAGCTACGAAATCAGCAGAAGGGCGAGCAGCCTGATTCTTACGACGAGGTTTGGCTGCACGTCAAGCCCAGCGCCGAAGCAATCGATCAACATATGCAGAGCATGGACAAGAACCCAGTCCTCCGGGAAAGGGTCACTCAGGCCATGCCCGCGGCGCGCACTGGTCGAGATGACGAAGGCGAGCCGGTAGACCCGCCACCCAACAAGGAATTGGGAGCTCCAGAGTCCACATCTGTCAATCCAGATCCATAGGGTCATCAGCAAAATTGCTATCTTCTTCCACCTCCGAGTCGTCAAGATCCATCGGATCCCAGCCTGGCTCTCGTTCCTCCGGCCTTATGATGGTAGCCTGGAAGCACTGCTCAAGAACATCATTCGAGTCGTTCCACGGACACCAGTCCCGCAGCATTTTCCAGACCTTCTGAGCGGTCTGTTGCCTGGCCTCGTAGCGCCCGATGCCCTCTTTGCGAAGCAGCTGGTCATAATCGGAATGGTTGTGGCGAACGTGAGCGACCACGATGGCCGTGTAGCGGCGTGAATTGCGGCGCTTGGCTTCGGAGAGATTGTAGGTGAAGTCCTTGTCGATGCAGATGTCCAGAATGCGCTCCAAGGAATGCTTCGGGATGCGAGGGAATAGGTCGATCAGTGGCGCGCGGTTCCATTCGCGTCTGCGTTCTCGTTGTTTTTCTGGAGACAGTCCGGAGAGATCTTCGCGATGTGTTTGTGGGGTCATTAGACCTCAAGCAGTTTGATGCGGTGATGGAAGAGTAGCAGTCCAAAGCCTGCGGATGAATCGAAGTTCGGCCGCTTGGCAGCCAACAATTTCCATGGAGCTGGCGCATTCTCCCAACATGCACGGTGGCGCGAACATCGACAACAATGCCGCAAACGAAACAAGACTGACCTAAGTCCGTCGGGAGACAGTTTTGCACCCATCTATTGGATGGATTGGATAAATTGGATGGACAAGACCACCCAACAATTCGCAAGATCGAATATCCCTACTGCTACATAGGCACTACAGGAAGCACCATTATCCAGCGAAGCTCAATCACTGACTCTACCCACCAAAGTCAATCCGTGGGAGTGCCTTAAGACGATCGATCTCTAAGGTCCACCACTACCTCTTTAGGCAACCTCAGAAAGCATCGGTTTTTCGTGGCAATCGAATTCGTTGATGGTCCAAGCTACAGCAATATAAGCAAGGACAAAGAGGCGAATCTTTCCACGCATCAAGCGACATCTTGCCGTCGCCTCAGCCGTAGACGACTTCTAGGTCCTCATTTTGATGATCCTCACGTCTCCCCCGTCGCAGCACCTCCACCGTTAGCCTCCTGCTCTCTTTTCCACCTCGCCGCCGCCTCCATAAGCTTCGACATCTTCTTACTACCCTCCTCCTCATCCGCCGGGAACACATAATCCATAAACTCCTCAAAGCTCTCGTCGTCCAACCTCCTCCTCTTCTTGACCCGCCTCGGCATCTGTTTAGCCAACTTCTCCTGGTCTTCTTCGCTCCCATGCGTGTCCTCGAAACTCTTCCAGGCCTGGAGTAGTGCGACTCGCTCGTCCTTCATCGCCTTGTCCTTGTACAGCTTGTGCGCGCGCTGGAAGACGGCGCGAGCGCGGGACTTGGCTTCTTCAGAGATTGGACGCGCTGTTTCCTCTTCAGTTTCGTCTTCGATGTCTGAATCTGGCACGTTGATCTCGAAGTGCGCGTATGAGATCCAGACCTTGACGTGCTCGGTCTTCTGCAGCAGGCGTTCGTAGAGGGACCTGCAGCGCTCAAACTCGCCCTCTTCCTCTTCGAAGTCGATGTAGCCCTTCCACAGCAGCTCTGGCATATCCAGCACCGGCTGATCCACCGCGAGTTCGAAGATGGCTCTTGCACGCTCCAGGTCGTCCAGACCTCGCTCCAGCTCCGCGAATTTAATCCAAGCACTGCAATTCGAGGAGTCCCATTCGATCCATTTCGAGTAAAGTGTGCGGCACCGTACGAATTCAAAGAGCTTGAGCTCAATGTCGATGTAAGCACGGAAGAGCCTGTTCTTGGGACACAGGCCGATTGCTGTGCCCATTGTTTTTCGCGCTTGATCGAGCAGATTGTGGCGGACTTCGTACTGTGCCTTCAGGATCCATAGCTTTGCGAACGTGAACTTCTTGTGCGGTACGAGTTTGAGCGCTTCGCTGTAGATCTGTGCTGCGCGCTCGTCGGCCGGCTGGTTGAACTCTTCATACAGTGCGTAGAAGATCCAGAGGTAGATGTACCGTCGCCAATGCCGCTTCTCTTGTGATGGCGGAAGCTGAGCGATGGCACGTTCGTAGACATCTCGTACCCGTGCAGGGTCGCCGCCACTTTCTTCGAGTCGCGCGTAATCAATCCAGGAGTCGTAGGATTTTGGGTTATTCTTGACCTGCTCCTCGTACATCACCCGGCGCTTGCTTATGACGACGTCTTCCACGCCCTCCCTGTCGCCATACTGCTTCTCGAAGGTGGTGTAGTTTTTGTGCAAGACAGCCGACTTGCTCCGAGGCATGCGATCAAGCGCATACTTGTAGATCGCTCTCGCTCGTTCATATTCTTTCAACTTCGACTCAAATCGCGCGTACGCAATGAAAAGCTTCTCGTCCATGAATTCGTCTCCCAGCGTCTCAATTGCCATGCCAAAGACGTCTCTGACCAAATCACTCGTCCCATTTTCCTCCTCAAATCTTGCCCACTTGATCCAGTTTCTTGCCTCTGGATGGACGACCGTGTAGCGCTCGTAGATCCCTCTCGCACGCTCAAACTCGCCATACCGCTTTTCCAGCTTGATGTATGCGCCCCACGCCGCCTCATCCGGCTCCCAGCTCATCCACCGCTCAAACACCGCCCTCGTTCCGGTAATGTTCCCGAGCATCTCCTCCATATAAACATACTTATACCACAGCTTGTCGATCCGCGGTAGAATCGTGACAGCCCGATCCAGCAGGTTCCGCGCATGATTGATATTCCTCTCCTTCATCTCAGCCTCCACATAACGCACCCATAGCTGCACGTTCGTCGGTTCACAGTCCAGCGCACGTTCGAACACACTCCTCGCGCGTCGGTACTCTTTCTGTTCGAGCTCCCAGGCGGCATACCGGAGCCAGTTACCCATGTTAAGCCTGTTGCGGCGGACATAGTCTTCGAACTCCTTGCGTTTTCGGCCTTGGAATTCATGGAGTTCTTCGAGATCAGCAAAGCGCTGGGTGGGTGCTGTGAGGGAGGGTTCCTGGCGGTCGACAGCTTCGCGGAGGAGCTGTTCGGCGGAGATCTGCTGGGGTGCGGGGGCCTTGTTCTTGACCCGGGGAGGGCCGCGAGAGGACTCCATGGTGGCGACCGGGTGAGGACTGAGGGCGGTGGTATGAGCTGGTGATGTTGTTCAAGTTCAGGCGCTGGGTAGATCCAGCAGAAGCTTTGAAGTTGAAAATGTCCCAAAGGGGAAGGTTGACCGAGGGCCGATCTCGCTGAACAATCACATGCTAAATGATGAAAGAAGTGAGTGAAGGCAAATTTACCAAGCTCTTATCTTCTTTCTCTAGTCGTGAGATCCTACCAATGTGTCCCAGCAGAGGATTTAACCCAACATGTCTGCCATACTCTCCGCAGACGACTTGAATGATTTCATCAACCCGGGGGTGGCGTGCATCAAGCCCGTCGAGACACTCCCGCAGCAGCAACCGACTGAGAACGCGAATGCCTACGAGGTCACGACCGAAGATAAGGTCAACCCAGACACTGCGCCGCCCGCGCAAATCTCGTTGACGGACTGCCTGGCATGTTCGGGCTGCGTGACGAGCGCGGAAGCAGTGCTCGTGAGCCTGCAGAGCCATAGCGAGGTGCTGGATACGCTGGACAAGCACAAGGAATTAAGACTGCCATGGGAAAAGAGTGGACATGAAAATGGAATGGCACACAGCGTGAATGGTGACGCCAGTGAGGGCAAGATATTCGTGGCCAGTGTCTCGCCTCAGACGAGGGCCAGTTTAGCAGCGACATACAAGGTATCGGAGCGTGAAGCCGGGTTGATGATCGCACAGCTTCTGAGCGGACCATATGGCCTTCGTAGCGGTGGCGCGCATGGTTCCGGCTTCAAATGGATCATTGACACCAATGTCATGCGAGAGGCTTGCCTGGTCGCTGCAGCGGAGGAGATGCAACAGGCACTGGACGCACCTAAGGACGGTCAAAAGAAGCCTGTCCTTACTTCCGCTTGTCCTGGATGGATCTGTTACGCGGAGAAGACTCATCCGCACATCCTTCCTCACCTCAGCAAGCTCAAGTCTCCGCAAGCGTTGACCGGAACGCTGCTCAAGTCCACTCTGGCCAAGACGTATGGCATCGCACCGGAGAATGTCTGGCATATGGCAGTCATGCCCTGCTTCGACAAGAAACTTGAAGCCTCCCGACGCGAGCTCACGTCCGAGACATGGCATGGCCAGGATAGCGAAGCAATCCGGGATGTCGACTGTGTAATCACTGCCCGCGAACTCCTCATGCTAGCTGAAAGCCGCAACATCAGCTTTCCTTGTCTCCCTAAGAAGCCACTCTCCAGACACCATCGCCCGCGCTTCCCGGATCCAACGATCGATTCTTTCCTGTTTGGTCGCCGAGAATCGAAGCAAACTTCCAACCAGCCCAGAGAGCAATCTTTCACCACAGGCACCAGCGGCGGCTACCTCGCTCACATTCTCCACACCCAACAACACCTCCATCCTTCGTCAACTATCTCCATCAGTCGCGGCCGCAATGCCGACGTCGCAGACTATACCCTGCTCTCCTCCACCGGTGAACCTCTCTTCAAGGCTGCGCGCTATTATGGCTTCCGCAACATCCAAAACCTAGTCCGGCGCCTCAAACCCGCCAAGCCATCCCGCATGCCTGGAGCATCGCGGAGACCTGTGGCTAAGAAACCGAGCGCTGGCGGCGGTGACAGCGATTACGCGTACGTGGAAGTAATGGCATGCCCGGGCGGCTGCACCAATGGAGGCGGGCAGGTAAAAGTGGGAGATGTTGCAACCTTGCGCCAAGTGGGAGGGACCGGAGTAGAGAATGGCAGCATGGAGCAGGAAGTACTGCCGGCGCAGCGGGAGTGGTTGGGGCTAGTCGACGAGGCGTACTGGAGTGCTGACTCTGACGCCGACAGCGAAGACGAGCAAGTCGACGAAGATGGAGATATCGACATGAACGGCTCCCAACCCCACGATAGCCCACGAGAAGCGAACAACCTCGATGCTGACCCTGGCGAAGACGTGGTCGACGGCATCAGCCGGCCATACATCAAGCGCATCCTCCAGCATTGGGCGAGCATCACGAATGTCGAGCTGGAGAAGCTGATCTACACCACTTATCGTGCTGTAGAGAGCGATGTTGGCAAAGACAGCGGAGGTGGGAAGACGGAGATGGAGAAGGTGAGCGCGCTGGCTGTTGCGCAGGGAGGGGGTTGGTGAACGCTTGGTAACGTCTGATACGCCTTGATGCCTCGAATTATTTATTCTTCTTCAGCTCTATGTTGGTATTGCTATCTGAACCTGAACCTCTTCGTGTAGTGGATGCCTGCTCTTCCGTCCATACTTCAGGTAGCGGAGTCATTGTTGGGCGGGCATGTCTACACGCATGTGATCAGTACTCTGCTGCTCCCTCAAGGTCGCAGTGGCCTAAGTTGTTCAGCAAAAGTCTGTCACGTATATGGCTCAAGCAGCTACTCTGTCGAATGCTATGCTGGTTGCACTCTATCTACGTAAGTCTACCTAAGCAACTGTCTAGACAAGAGCTGTGCTATCATCGACTTGGTCGGTGTGGCATTATTGAGCTGTTGATGACCTTGGTCGGCCGTGAGTGCGGAGGGTAAACTAGCCTGAGGCGACAGGAAGACCTCTGGATAGAGCGGTGCTGGTTGATGTGCTTGGATCGTTGGGATTGTAACCTGCGTGTCAGGCTCCTTATTCGTTGCCCAGCAGGATGCAAAAGGAGGCTCGATCATGGAGCCCGTTCGATATTAGAGGTGAAGGGGGCGATGCGAGCTTATGAGCTGTGCAACAAATGCGCCAGAGGTGATACAGATTTTGCACAACGAGAAATCATGCTTCGTGAGGAGTGACTCCTTTTGCAAGGCATGTCGTCGCTGTCAATGTGTGTCCGAGTAAGGCTCGTGCGTGGCCAGGCTCCCTCGGTAAAGCCTGCTGCGAATTCGCGGTCGCCCATGTAGCAGAAGTTGCGCAGTGCCTGCCGGAACAGTTGAAGCAGGGTCTTCTAAGTGGAGTTGCCTGACGAGACGTAGATCCTGCCGTTGCAGTAGTCGTCCTTGCTTTGATATGGGAACGGTTTGAAGGCACTCCGAACGGAGAAAAGGGCAAGCTTAGCAGAGAGAACGGAGGCGGAAGGAGCTGCTTGTCAGAAGAGGAAGGATGCATCCAATGGAGGAGCGGATAATGCATATCTGAAAGTAACGCTGGCCGTTTGTCCTCCAAAGCCAGCTTTTTCGCCCTGGTTGCCTTCCATCTCTGATGTGCTGCTGCTTCCATTGGCGAAGTACGCCCTCGTGTGCTTTCCTGCTGCTGGTCAGCTCATGCCATACCATAGGACGTACTTACCTCGAAGGTGCAAGTCAACAATGCACTGCCTCCATAGCCCATTCAAAAATCAAATCCGTCTCCTCTCTACACTCACTTCTTTTCCTTTCCTCATGATCTCGACCCAACTCTGCTTTGCTCAGGCTGCCCTGCCTTTCATCTGTCCTCGATCAGTCCAAATTCAGCCCCAGACCTCAGTCTTCGTCATTGCAGCAAGCCGTCGATCATCTCGTCCAGCAAGCCGTCTCCCGACGCATCTCATCACAGGTCTGTCATCGCCGAAGAATCCTGAGACAACACTGTCATTCCAAGAGAACGCTGACACCTCCAGAACAGGCTCCTCTCCGACTCGGACGCCGGCCCATCAGCGTCCATCGGTAGGTGACCCCCAATGATGACAGAATCGAAGGATTTCCAAGACGATGGCCAAACGGGTCGCCAGTGCGGGAAAAAAAGACGTTGCGTGGAATGCAACTTCTGAGGGATCCATGGTATTTTTCTCAGCCTGACAGCTGACGCCCTGACCCGGCAGGACTCTTCTCTCGGCTCGAAGGGCGGCTCGTCAGCCGGAAGTCCTGCCGTTCACGCCCGTTGCATTGCACAAGGCAAGTTGTCATCCCAATCATGGCCTCCATAGACTGACATCCCTATCGGCAGATCGCTGCCACCCACCGAACGCCTGGCGCCCGCACTGCACTCCACCCGAGACCTCAGCACGCCACGTCCTTGAGCGATCGACTCGCCCAGCACTGTTGACGGGATCTCATCATTGGTCTTTGGCAAGAGCGGCGGGAACAACCAGGCAGGTGTCCTTTCCACCTGAGGCTCTGTGGAGTCAATTCCATGGACAATTAGAAGAATCTGAGACGGTGGTCTTGTGCCACTCTCGTTGATGAAATTCGAAAAGCTGAGGGAAGGCCCTGCTCAGTCGCACCGCGGCTGACTTTTTTCTGCTTTCTTTAGGTTCCCATGTTCCTCGTCCGATCAGCGACAAGTCCATGGCATGCAGACAAGCTTGGCCAATGCCGCAGACCGGTCCAAGGAACATGGGCACTCCGCTTGCTTCCCGGTCCAGCACCCACGAGCAAGTCTAGCAGCTGACTCTCTGTGTTCCCTCCGGACAATACGCCCATGCAGCAAAGATGGCACCCAAAAGGCAGGTCACCTATCCCCATGAGGCCGGAGAAAGCCTCACTTTCCCCCCAACGTGTTTCAATCTGAGACTTCGGTCGTTGATGAAAATCCCGGCGCCGAGGAAGGCCCTGCTCAGTCGCATCGCGGCTGACTTTTTTCTGCTCTTTTAGGTCTCTTCGATCGCCGACGACAGCTCCGCAGCAGGTGCCGAATGCCGGGAGGTAAGCTCGTTCATGTCGCCGGTCTGTCGAACGAATATCGGCACCGCCCTCGTTCGCCTCCTCTGTCCAGATGTCGTGCCCTCCCAGCGACGACGACATCCAAGAGGTAGGTGTCCCCAACCTAAATGATTCGCATCGCTAGCAGTCAAGCTCATCTGAGACTTCGGTCGTTAATGAAAAAAAGCACTCGTTAATGGGCGGCCCTGCCGGTCACTGTTGTGGCTAACAGTTTTTCTGCTCTCTAGGCCGCTCGCCATTTCAAAGCGTCCGCCCTCCGCTCCGAGCCGGACAGTCTCCCGACGAAACCAGAACGAATCACCGTCGGCTTCGAACGGAAGAGCTGTGCTGGCATCGGGTACGTGAAGATGGACGCTTCTGGTGGAGAGCAGAAGGTTCCATTTTGCGACCGAATTGCTCTGCGGAGAAGATGGTGCTTGTAGCACAAAGGGCACTGCAGAGAAACTTTTTACTGCAATGGAATCGTCGCTTACCTCTCGCTCCGCTCTGGTTGATACGTGCACTGTTGCTTACCCACTTGTTCCCATGGCGCTGTGAACTTTGTCATTGTTGCCTGACGTACGAGCTTCACGCGAGCCTGAACACCTTGACAGCGGCATGCGTCCTCATGTACCGCAGAATCCCGTACAGTGCGTTGTTGAGGTTGTGTGAAAGCAGGACAGAGAGCAGAGGTCGGGAAAGATGAGGTCGGAGCAGGGTTTACGCTAGCCGGATGTAGCAGTGCACGTGACGTAGCTTGGCAATGCAGGACAATTGATAGAGGTAGCAACAAACACCCTTCTCGAGCTCATCATCGAGCCAAAAGCACTTCACACCGCTCCGAAGTGCCAGTTGCCATCTCGGAGAACCCAATCTCAACCGCCCTACCGATTCCCAAACTTCTTCTTCAACCTGTAGTACTTATCCATATTCCCCACCGACCCGGCGACCTTGCCCCTCGCGTACTCAAAGTCATGCTCATCAACACTGCTAGCTTCGCGGAGAATAGCGCTCTCTCCCGCCGCTCTGAGCAAAGCCTTCAGATCTGCCCCACTGAACCCCTCGCAGCCGCGAGCGATGTCGTCCACCTTCTCCAAGCTCGCAATAGGTCTGCCACGCACCAGCGCTCGGAGAATCTCAGCTCGTTCGTTCGCGCCTGGGAGATCGACGAAAAGGCGGGTTCCGAGCCGGCCGGGGCGGAGCATGGCGTCGTCGATTACGTCTGGACGGTTGGTGGCGCCGATTACGTAGATGCCTTCACGGTCGTCGAGGCCGTCGAGTTCGGTAAGGAGGGTATTTACCACTCGTGAACTGGCCTCGGAGCCTTCCTCACCTCGTCTTGGCACTAGGGCATCTAGCTCATCGAAGAAGATAACACAAGGCACGCTTGAGCGGGCACGAGTGAACACCCGACGCACGGCTGCTTCCGACTCTCCCACGAACTTGTTGAGCAGCTCCGGCCCCTTGACTGATATGAAGTTGGCCTTGCTCTCCGCCGCAGCAGCCTTTGCCAGAAGAGTCTTTCCACACCCAGGTGGGCCCCAAAGTAGTACGCCGGACGGAGAAGTGATGCCCAGCGCTGCATATTTCTCTGGATGTGTAATGGGCTCGACAATGGCCACTTGGAGCTCCTTCCTGACGTTCTCGAGCGCACCGATATCGTTCCATGAGACGTCGGGGATGGTTGCGAATCCTTCTCGTTTCGAGGAGGGGGTGATTGCAGGCAACACTGCTAGGAATGCCTCCATGGTCATGCTCATGTCATATTCGTCTGGTTCTTCGAGGTCGTTCCTGGTGGCTCGCTTGATAATGTTGTAGATGGAGTCCACCTCTTCTGAGTGGTCCAGATTCATGGACTGCTCGTAAACCTGGTTCTCCATCGCAGTGAAGTAGCGCTCCAATTGCCTACAGAGCGTCGTTAGCGCCTAAGTTGTATCGGACTCGGAGAAGGGCGAACTTACCATGAGCCAGCCTTGCTAACCAGGTCGTGGAGGTCGGCTCCAACGAAGCCTGCTGTCATCTTCGCCAGCTTCTTGAAATCCACGTCATCGGCCAGTGGAGCTTCTCGAGTTTGCGCTTGAAGGATAGACCGCCGCACCTGCTCGTTGGGAACGCCGATATTGATCTCTGTGTCAAACCTGCCTCCTCTCCTGAGCGCAGGGTCAAGGCTGTCCGGTCGATTTGTAGTCGCTAGAACCATAACAGGCTTTGTAGTGTCGCGCTCCAGTTCGTCCATAGAAACCAACAGCTGTGCAACAATCCTCTTCTCCATTTGCGACTGACTGGTATCCCGCTTCGGCGCAATAGCATCGATCTCGTCCATGAATATGAGACACGGCGCATTCCTTTTCGCTTCGTCGAATCTTTCCCTGATGGCCTTCTCGCTCTCACCACTCATACCAGAAACAATCGATGGTCCCAGTATCTCCACGAAAGGCAAGCCCATAGCGGAGGCGAGAGCTCGAGAAATCATGGTCTTGCCGCATCCCGGTGGTCCGTGGAGCAGGATACCATTTGGGAGCTTGACCTTCATGGCATTGTATTTGCCAGGGAAGAGGAGAGGCCAGACCAGAGACTTCTTCAGCTGGCCAAGCACTTCGTTCATCCCCCCAATGTCTCTCAGGGAGAGCCCTTCTGGCGGCGCTGTACTGGCGGCATCTGGCTTTCGGCGCTTGAGAACGGGCTCACCGTTCGGCAGTCGCTGGCGCTTCTGAGGCTGATCACCATTCACCGGCTGGGGACTGGAGGGGGCGGCGAGGTTCATTCTCAGAGATCGGTTCATAGCACTCGCATCTGTAGCGGTTGATAATACCCTCTGCTCAATTTCGGCCTCGGAGTCGCTCGATTCTTTGACGTCGAGGAAGTCCAGCACACGCTCTAGGCTTCCGTGCAGTAGCTTCTTTGGCCTTCGCTTGAGGGACGAGTTCGATTTTTGTATGGCCGTATATAGCACATCGACGTCTGGTTTGGCACCGTCTTGTAAGAATCTCTGAACCGCGACGTGCACTTCGTTGTCCAGCGCACCCTGCAGTCGCGCCATAATATTTTCGATGTTGGAGAAGCGGCGCTCCGCACGAATCTGGTGTAAATTTAATCCTTGTCTCCACGTGGAGCGCTAGATTAGCGAGAAAACCTTAACCCCGGCTGGCTGCATGTGACGTTGGTGATAGCCACTCGGCCTCTTCTCCGTCGTAATAACCAGTCTCTCGTGGGTGTTTCGGTCGCCTTGTGAGGTTTTCGCGAAGATGGGGAACTCGGGCAGCTCGAACAAGATATCTGCACAGGACCGGTACGTTCTCCCCGAAGCCAGTGAATCTGCCGCCAGCTCACTCACTGATAGTGCGATACTGGACATGAAGAACCAGCGAGATAAGCTTCAGCAGTACCAGAAACGCATCGCGGTGATTACCTCTCGAGAGCACGATATTGCGAAGGAATGCTTGCGGACTGGCAATAAGCAGAGAGCTTTATTGGCATTACGGCGCAAGAAGTATCAAGAGTCGCTATTGGCCAAGACAGACCAACAACTGGCGCAGTTGGAGGCGTTGACGAGCGATGTGGAGTTTGCGCTTGTTCAGAAGGATGTGGTGTATGGACTACAACAGGGCACGGCGGTGTTGAAGGAGATACATAAAGAGATGGGCGGCCTGGAGAAGGTGGAGATGATTATGGGCGAGAGTGAAGAGGCCCAGGCATATCAGAAGGTAATTGACAGCATATGGACGGTTTTATGATTGGTCTTGAGCCCTTCCTAACGCTGTGCAGGAAATCAACGAGATGCTAGGCGGCAAGATGTCCAACCAGGACGAAGACGAGGTGGAGGATGAGCTCGAGGCTATGGAGAGAGAAGCCGCTGCCGTACCAAGCATGCCGGACGCGCCAACAGCTGTCAGAGAAGACCTGCCAGACGTACCGCAGGAGACGCCAGAAGAGAAAGCGAAAAGACGGCGGAAAGAAAGGGCAGCGCGGCAGTCAGAGCCGATTGCTGCATGATGCTGGTGGGGGTGGCATGTTCTTGTTGTTAGCGCTACGTTTGAGATACCCAGGGCCTTCCAGCCTTCTGCAATGCTGTATACGAGTCCTTTCATAAGCCAAGCTCAAGAGCATTGCGCACGTGATGAGGCGCTCAATTCGTGGTTCCCCCACGTTCTAAAGTGAAAGTGAACTTCATCTGAACTTCAAAAGTACGACAATTCAGGTTCAAAGCTGCTGGCCAGCAACGCCATTCACGAGAAACGAAAATGTCCCATTGTCATGACGAGCACGATCACCATGACCATTCCGAGGGCGCGGCACATGACCACACGGACGACCTCACTCCCGCCCTCCAGAACCACATCTACGAGCAGGTCGACTTTTCTGCCATCAACACTCTCAATGAATCCTCCCCCCGCTCCGGCTCAAAGATAGTCCAGAAGACATGGACCGATCGACTCAACCCCGAACCCGAGCTCAAAAGCGACGCCGACGAACAACTACTCATGCACATCCCATTCACAGCACAAATCCGCCTCCACTCCATCCTCATCCGCACCTCCAACACCGACAGCGCCCCCTTAACGCTCAAAGTCCACGTAAACCGCGACAACCTCGACTTCTCCACCGCCGCCGATCTCGCGCCAACCCAAAAGCTGGAGCTCTCGCAGTCGAACGATGTACAAGAGATTCCCGTCAAGCGGGCTCTCTTCAACACCGTCCGGTCGTTGGATCTGTTCTTCGAGGACAACTGGGGTAGAGGCGAGGAAGACGAGACGAGGATCAGTTATCTGGGCTTCAAGGGCGAGTGGATGAAGTTAAGCAGGGAGCCGGTCAACTTTTTGTACGAGGCGGCGGCGAATCCGCAGGATCATAAGTTGGCGAGTGGGGTTGGGCAGGGGGTGGGGAGTAGCATTGGTGGGGCTGGGGGGAGGGATGGGATGTGAGGTGGTGCATGCTGCGTTTATTGAAAGCGTCAAGATGCGGGGCTTGTGTTGGGAGGCCTGAGTGTTGCTCCCAAAAGCTGGATAAGGGGGATGCGAGCGGTGCCGTACGATCAACGCAGATCCGCCACTCAGTCGTGAGTACTGCCTGAGTCCCGAGAGGCCGTGGCCATGGCCAAGTCAGATGGACAGCAGGTAGCCTCAGCACCATGCAGTCGGTAGAAGACATCGGATGGAGGCCCAGGTTGCGGAGAAGCACAGCGAACAGGGGCACGAAAGCAAGACGCTCACACCAAGCAAGCAAAGCAACTCGGGCGTGAAGGTAGGCGGCAAAGGAGGCCAAGCAAAGCTTTGCAAAGGCAAAGCCTGACTGGTGGCCAGTCGCTGTCAGAGCGACATCGTACCTAAGTCAGTAAGTAGATGGCATGAGCGTAACATGGCGCATGTCAAAAAGATACTCCACCCCTCGGCCTTCTGCTGTTTGTCAAGATGAGTGCAATGATATTACTGCTCGTAAGTGTGACCGGTCTCCCAAGTCCCTCCAACAAAAGGAAGGACCAGAAAAAGACAAAGGAACAACTCCCATATTGGGAGAGACTAAACCACCAGTGAAAGGTTTACATTTTTTCTTTTCTATGTACTAATCCTCCATTTTTCCACTGGATTTTCTTTTTTCTGGTTTTTTTTTTTTTTTCAAATACCAAGGTATATCCCATACCACATCTCTTTCCAACCCAACCTCTATCAGCATGGGGAGATCTCAAGCTTCGAACCCACTCCGTTACGTGAGTCTTCCACGTGATGCAGTGTAGGTTCGACCACTACAATGCTTCGACTTTGATAGGGGGTCGAAGGGCTTAATGAAAGCCCGATGACCTCCCTTAGTATTTGATTAGAATGCTAAGGACCCATGTCTGCCCGTTTGGGATCTAAGTGCATGATTATTTACCGCCTGCGGCTTGCTTGAGATAGAGGTGGGATTTTGGGATAAGTAATTATTGGGAGGGGAGAGGGGGGCCGAGGTTGGGCCGGGATGGAAGCACGGGATGGGCGATGTCACTTCATTTGGCTGTGTGGTGAGGGGAGTAGGGTGTGAAGGAGTTGCGGTGGGGCACGGTTGGGGGTAGAGGCTTCGTGGACGACGGCGTGGAAGCTCTGCGTCTTTGAAGGGCGGAGAGGGTGAGGCAGGGGGTTCGGTGGTTCAGGTGAAGGACTGCATGTGATTGTGAAAGCATGTTTCTACAATACTTTCCTTACTTCCAAAGGTGGGAAGCTGAGGGCTTTGAGGAGAAGGGCACAAGAAGGTCTGCATCTTTCACGAAACCCGGGGAGGGAGGCAGGAGGCTTAGGGGTTCAGGTGAAGGCCTGCACGTGACTGCGCTCCTGAAAGCAAACCACTACCCCTCTACCTAAGCCCCCCTCACACGATAATACTCCGGCGCATACTCCATCAACCACCCCTTCTCAATCTTCGTCACATCCCTAATAAACGTCTTCTCCCCCGTCTCCACCACCTCACCAAAAACAACCCAATCCGCTTTCCTGTTCTACACGCACGTCAGCAAGCACATCCCCCTCTTTCCACCTTCACTCTTGGTGGTACTCACAAACATCAAACTCCCAGGATGCGCATGCAACACCACATCCCCACTGACACTCCTAAACGTCCCATCCGCCGCCATCCTCGCCGCATGCGCGAAATACCCGCTCGTCAGACACCGCCGCACCTGCTCTTCCATCGGCATTCCTCCTACCTTCCCCACGGGCTGCTGCGCCAACGACTCCGAGACGTCGATGCCGAAGCGCTCGAGATACCGACGTAGCTGGTTTCGCACGCTGACGGCTCGCGTCATGGATTTGAAGTTTAGGTAGTGCTGCTGGCACCACTTCATGTCTTTTTTGCCCTTCGTGATGAAAGCGGTGTAGACGTTCAGCAGGGTCAAATGATCCCCCTCCTCGACCGCGAATTTCCGGCGTGCGCTCTCCTCTTTGCGCTTCTCGTCGTGGCTGAACCAGACATTGCCTTGGAGACTCGTCATCGCTGCGATCGTGAGCATCTCGCTCAAGCACCCGAAGTCCGGGGAGGAGAGGAGACATTTCGCTAGCATAGGCTCTACTGCTAATTCGGCCATGCGGGTCCCGAGGGGTTTGGTGAGTTTAGCGTAGTCGTCTAGGGCACCTAAGGAGTACAGGAGCTCGAGGGCGCGGATGATGAGGTCGGAGGGCGGCGGGGTGAGGAAGTCGAAGCGGGCTATGTTGTCTATGCCGAGGGCTTTGAGCTGTAGGATGGTGGGGGCGAGGTTGGAGCGTTGGATTTCCGGGACGGTGGTGTCGGCGAGGCTAGAGTGTGCGGCTTCCGTGCACAAGCGGTAGCACTTGCCAGCTTTCGTGCGGCCAGCACGGCCAGCTCGCTGGGTTGCGGAAGCTTTGGAGATGGGGGTGGCGGTGAGGGTTTCGATGCCAGTTTGGGGGTTGTATGCGCGGAGTTTGACGAAGCTGGAGTCAATCACATAGACGATTCCGGAGATGGTGACGCTGGCCTCGGCGATGTTCGTGGCGCAGATGACTTTGCGGGTTTGTTCGGGAGCAGGTTCGAAGACGTACATTTGCTGTTCAACGGGTAGGCCGGCGTAAAGGGGTAGTGATAGAAGTTTGTCGGTGTGTGGTGGCAGTGCTTGCATTCGCTCCGCGATCATGTCGACAGCGGTTTCGATCTCTTCGCGGCCGGTGAGAAAGAGGAGAATGTCGCCTTCTGGTTCTGAAGCATGGATTTCGAAGACTGTTCGTATCGCCCGCTCCACGTAGTTCTCACAAGGTTCCGAGAGATAGTGGATGTCGACCGGAAAAGCTCTGCTCTCGACGCTGACAATGCTTCCGTTACCAGTCGCCCCATTCTGCTCATCGTCACCTCCGCTCGAGAAGAAGCGCAGGAAGTTCTCGGCATCCAGCGTTGCAGAACTGACAACGATCCGCAACTCCGATCGTCGCCTCATGACCTTCTTCAGCACACCCAGCAAGACATCCGAGCTCAGACTCCGCTCGTGCGCCTCATCTACCATAATCACCGAGTACCTGCTCAGCAGCGGATCCACCAGCGCCTCCCTCAGAAGCAGCCCGTCGGTCAAGAACTTGATCTTCGTCTTCTCAGAAGTCACGTCCTCAAATCGGATCGAGTAGCCAACATCCTGACCAAGCTGACACCGCATCTCCTCTGCCACTCGTTTGGCGACTGTCGTAGCGGCGACTCTCCTGGGCTAAGGGATCTGTAAGATGATGCGTCAACAACACAACGACAACCTCCAGATCGAGGGGAAGATCAATTGACTTGCCTGCGTGACAGCGATGATTTTGCCATCGTTGCACCACCCTGCGCTTTCGAGGTACTGTGGTAATTGGGTTGTCTTGCCACTGCCGGTCTGGCCGATGAGGATGGTCACAGCATTGTTCTCGATGGTAAATAGGAGGCCATCTCGGTGTCGAGCGATTGGGAGCAGTGATGATGGTTGATGGAGGCCTGGAATGAAGGTATCGGTATCTGCCATTGAACCTGTATCGTTGTCGTAGGTGTTGTGGTCAAATGGGTGTCATCCTACTTGCTATGACTTTGGTGGACATTGCGAGGGACAAGGTCGTTCTGCTGTGTTTCAGGCCATAGCGGCGCTCACACGATGCAATATAGTCGGTCTATCTTCGGCGCTTGTGAAGATGGAAGAAGTGAAGTCCAAACAGACCCTGCATCTGACCGCCAAGGCATGACGAAGCTGTTGGAGCTTTAGAACATGAAGGCAACCAACGACGAATGTTTTCTTGACAGAACGACAACTTCACTGCTGTACATTGTTACCCTCAGCAGCATCTCAATCGCTCGAAAGTATAGAGCACCCGACGAAGAAGATATCCGATCGAATAGGAGAAGCGCAATGGCGGAAGCACCACCAGTCTCCCCACTGAAGGAGCGAGAGGAGTCAGCGACAACACGCGAAGAGCTGGACTTCGACGACGACGCTCCCGAGCAAGAGACCGGCCGAGTATCTCCAATGGGCCACGAGACACCCACCCAGAGACCTCACTCCGCCCGCAAGAGCGTCTCCTTCCAAGACCCGCAAGACGACGCTCCTCCCCCAGCCAAACCCCCTCGGCCACTCAGCCCCCAACAGCAGGCGGAGAACACGCTCATTGAAGCCTTCCCCTCCATCGACACCAAAGTCGTCAAGGCCGTCCTCAACGCCAGCGGCGGCAAAGTCGAGCCCGCCTTCAACGCCCTCCTCGGCATGAGCGACCCCAGCTTCGTCGCTGAACAAGAACCCGCCGCCCCTCCACGCCCACCTCGCCCAGCCCAACGCGAGCCCGTCTCGCAACTCGAAGCCGACGAGCGCTACGCTCGCCAACTCGCCGAACACTACAACACCGAAACCCCGCGCTCCCAAACCCGCTACAACCAACGCGAACCCGGGCGCCGCGGCGTCAACGCCCAGCCCCAACAGCGCGGCTACTCGCCCTCCCCCGAGCGCAACTTCTTCGACGACGACCTCCCCGAAATCGGCCGCAACATCCAACAAGGCTTCTTCGAAACGCAGAAGAAAGTCAACAGCTGGATCACCACGTTCAAAAAACGCATCGACGGCGAAGAAGGCGACGAAGACGAGGAAGACCTCTACGGTGCAGGCACCAGCCGTCAAGACCAAGACAAATTCCTCGGCCGCCAGAATTTCGGCCCCAGCCAGAGCGACCAACTCCGCGGCATCCGCAAGCAAGCCGAAGCGCAGAGCGCCACCCGCCGCAGCACGGAAGCCACGCGCTACGACGCCGACCCCCACGAACTCAACGACGACGAGTTCGAGCGCCTCGAGCTCCGCGACGAGGAATCCGCGCCCGCCATGCCCCCGCGCACTTCCTCCCGCAAAGCCCCGAACCCGGACCTCTTCAAATCCGCCCCGCAAGCCCCCTCGGGACCCATCGACGAGGTCGACGCAGCGGAGCGCTCCGCTTCTTCTTCCGGACAAGAGGGGGAGAAGAGCAAGAAGTGGCAGCCGCTGACGTCCGTGGCGCCGAATCCGGAGGAGGATAATGATCCCTTCTCTCTCGGGGATGACGAGGAAGGGGAGAAGGGGGAGGATTTGAGGAAGGAGGATAGTGCGAGGTTGAAGGAGGCGGCGCGGAATAGTGTCAGTGCGGGGGGAAGTGGGGAGGGGCCCGAGGCGCAGCAGTTGACGGGGACGAAGAATAAGGATATGGAGGAGTTGCTTGCGGCTGGGGGTGGGAAGAAGGAGTAGGTTGGTAGATTCTCATAGGGCACGGGAGATGACAGTCGTTTGGAATCGATGAGGGATGGACATTGATTGATTGTGTTCATGTTTTCATCTGTGCCGTATACGACCAAGCCTCCGCTATGCACATCGCCGCCTCGAGACCCTCCTCGTGTCTCACACCTCGCAATCAGTTCACTAGGTCTGTTCGTAATCCAGCAGGCCACGAGCCTGCGCTGCTTCCACGTCACAACACGTTCAACAGCAGCCATGGCAGCCCCTCAGTCCCAAAACCTCCTCTCGCCTTCTCTTCACACCCATCTCTGTTCCCTACGACACAACAAACACCTCCGCCTGCCCCCACCGCTCCCTCGCAGCCTTCACATACTCCCCCCTCGCCTCCGCATCCGCCTCAATCTCCCCCAATACCCGCAGCCCCTCCAGCGCTTCCTCCCAACTCGTCCCCTCCGCCCCCAAACTCGCCAACAGATCCTGCACGCCCCTCTTCCTCGCCTCCTCGTCAGCTTTAAGCGCATACCGTAGCCTCACCGCAGAGTGCACGTGCGGCGCTGAGTCCTTGTTCGCTTGTAGGAAAGCTTCGTTCACGTCTGCGATCGGTTGGGAGGGGAGGGTGGAGAGGAACGTCGCGTCCACGACGGACTGAGCTTTTTCGGGCAGCGGTTCCGAGAAATTTTGCAGAGCGAACTGCAGACGGCCGGAAAGTTCGTGGCAGCGCGGGTGGGAGGGGTCGAGGGCGCGGGCGGCGAGGAGGCATTTGAGGGCTGGGAGGTACTTTTCTGTGGCATCGTTAGCAAGTTTTGATGGAAGTGGTGGTGGTGGTGGTGGGAGGGAAAGGACTCACTCCGACGAATAAACACCCCGAACCCAGCGATCTGGTGCTCAAGCGTCTTCGGGCTCAACTCCAGCAGCGGCGCGACGTACTTCATCGCCTCCTCGAGCGGTTTGTCCGTCTTCACCAGTTCCAGCCCGTTCGGGTCTGTATCCTCCTTCTTCACTGAACCCTCGTCATCCGCCTTTGGCTGTGGCGCTTTCGCAGCCTTAGCTTTCTTCTCCGCCTCCACCCTCTCAGCCTCCTTCCGCGCTTTTTTCGCCGCTTTCTTCTTCTCCGCGTTGCTCTCCCCCGCTACGCCATTCAGATGCGACTGCGATGCGAGTTCCGGCTTGTCGAACAGCATACAGTACACCCTTATCGCCGAAAGCGCTGCGCGCGAGAAGAAAGGATGCTCCCGCAACCCGTCCTCCCACCGAATCATATCCACATACGCTCGCACCATGCCCTTGCGCAAGCTGAAGGAGTGGAAGTCGAATTGGTCGTCCGTCCAGGTCTCGAAGACGTCGTAGACAGTCTTGAAGCGTTTGAGCGCGAGACTGAGTCTGCCTTGGCGGAGGTACGACTCGCCGTCCTCGGTCAGGAACCAGACGCATTGCATATCCGTCAGGTCGCCTAAGGGGCCACCAACGGCTTCCTTGCGCGTAAAGAGGCCCATGGTGGAGACTGCAGTGTCGTGCTCGTTGTTGCGGAGTTGGTATTTGGCGCATTTGGTGTTGATGTAGCGGTCTTTAAGGTCCATTTCGCGGGCGTCGTTCATGGTTTTGGAGGCCTTGGAGACGGAGCCTTGGTGTTTGAGTATGCGGGCGCGGGTCATTTGGTAGGTGTAATCGGTTTCTGAGGGGTTGAGGGATATGGCTTTGTCGATGTACTGTTGGGCTTTTGCGAGGTCGCGTGAGAGGTGGTAGTCGTAGTGTTGTGCGAGGAAGTAGTTGACGCTTAGCTGCCATGTTGTGGTCGGATCGGACTTTTGAGGTTTGCTGGCACCATCGATGCTCCCGTTGGCTTGGGCAGGCGCTGCATCTCCGTTTGCGCTCGGCTGTTCTGACAGCAGCTTCTCGGCAAGTTCTCGTAGCGTCTGCTTCTTAGCTGGGTCCGAGTACAGCTGCTTTACGTTCGCGAAGGTACTGGGTATTCCTTTGCTGAACATGCGTCGGAGATATTGCTCTGCGTGCTTTCGGAATGCGTCACCTTCTAGGAAATCGAGTGGTATCCGTCTGGCCGCATCTATCCGTTCGCTCTGGTCCGCGAATGACTGGTACATCTGCAAAAGCTTTTCCTGATCCTCACTCTTGCTGCGATCAAGCCCCAGCGCCTTCTCGAGTGCCTCGTAGTACTCCCTCTTCTCCTGATTCCGCGCGAGCAGTAACCGGTACGCCGCCTCTGCGTCTGCCTTTCGATCCAGCCTCAAGAGGTAGTCTGCTTTGTACTCCATAACCGACGTCTTGTCCAGTGCCGACTTATACAGGCCCTCCACATGCTCCAGCGCTCTTTCCAGCTCCCCTTCTTCCGCAATGATGGTATTCTTATACAGCACCGCCTCCGCGTGCTCAATATCACTCTTCGGCGGCGGATTCTTCTCCAGCGTCTGTTCAAACTTCTGCAGCACATCTTCCGCTCCAGCCAGATCACCGCTCAAATGCAACGCCACAGCCAGCGCAGTCCAGTTCTGCCTAAACTGCGGCTTCGCCTGCAACATCTTCCTCCGCGTCTGCACGAAGCCATTGTAGTCCCGCATCTGCACCTGCAAATGTGCCAGGTCCCGCTGTATCTGCGTGCTGTCCGGGTCGAGGTTCAACGCCATCTTGTACGCCTTCATGGCTTCCTGGTAGTTCTTGATCTGCCGCCATAGTAGACCGTAGACGTGCCAGCAGACGTTGCTCTTCATGGAGTTTGCGAGCGCCACTTTGCATAATGCGAACGCTTCATCGTTCTTCCCCTGGTTGCTCAGGATGAGCGCTTTCATGGCCTGGGTGTCGCCATGTTTGGGGTGCTTCTTCAGGATTTGTTCGGCGTTCTTGAGACCCTTCTTGTACTGCTTCGATTCGTAGTTCTGGACGAGATGGCGGAAGAGCGAGGCTTCCTTGGAAGGCAACTGCGACTGCTGCTTCGCCGCCATGGTGGAGGATTGTGTGACACGTGATAGCCTGGCAGGCCAGACAGCTCAATGCGGAAGCTGTGGAGGCTCGGTCTATTCGTCCTGCAGTATTAGCAGTAGTGCGTTCAGTTGTTATCCTTGTCCGCGCGCCCGCGCTGCTCCGATATATAAATGAGCGTGGGTGTCGAAGTGAGGTTGTCGTCGAGATCGGCAAGCTCATAAAAATGTCCGCGAGCTTCAGTCCGCAAGGCTGATCGAAGTGCAAGAGTGGGCCCGCCAAGGCTTCGACATATTCTAGTCACCTCCAGGGAGAAGACAAAACCCATGATCAAGAAAGGTTGCTGCTGAGTATGGAGATCCCGTCTCGAATGGTTCAACAGGGACCATCGGCGGACGTTGATGATTGAGAACGGTACATACACGAGTAAGAGCTCACCTCCCCGGGAGCCTGTGCTATTGAGAAGAACGATACCGCGCGATGATCTCTCATAGTAAATGCGTGAGAAGATGGTTCGCTATAACAACACGCTTTCCTCTACAGTTCGTATACACTCCCATCGTCGTCAGAATCACCCCCCGATTCAAGCAACACTCGCTCTGGATCGACCTCTTCCACCTCCAATGCCCGCGTCGGCTCTCCTCGAAGAATCCTATCATGTGCTCGTCGATGTGCTCGAGTCTGGGACCGAGTAGACCGGATCTCCTGCTCCACGTTCGCAAGAACTAGAGCCGCTGGATCGTCGAGACCGATCTTGGTCGCTTTGCCTTGCATCTTAATGGCCAAGCATGGCTTGTACCAGGCGTTGAAGTCGCCACTGGCCTGCCACTGCTTAGCACTTGATACGTAAAAGGTCGAGATGAAGAGCTTACCCAGCGCACGCCGTCCAAGAATCCATGCTGCACCTTGAGTTGATCGCTGAAACTGACTGGCCTCTCGCTCGCCACCACGAACACATGAACAAATGCATCAGCTACCTCTTGCCACAAATCGGAGTCTTTATTCTCGAGAACAAAGTTCCAGCCCTTAACAAAGTCGCAGACCATGTTGGACAAGTTTCCAATGCTCGATTTCGTCGAAAGACCAACGAACATACAAAGCTTCGCAAGTCCAGCTGCCAAACGTGCGTCGAGCTGGATTCGCGCGCTTCCCAACACCTCTCTGACGGTTGAGCGAAAGTTGCCTCTCATCATCAAATCGTTCAGTCGCAGGGCCTCTGCCATTCCAGGAGTATTGCTCACAAAGGTTGCCATGTCGCTGAGCTTGAACGTGTGTAGAATGGCTTTGGCTGGCACCTGCCCAGCGGTCAGTATCTAGTCCCCCGAGGTGAAGGCAGTGTGCTGACTTTATGCCATATCAAGAACTCGTGAGGTCCTTGGTAGCGATGGGCGCCTCCGGTGAACGAATAGTGCTTTTTCAACTCTTTCACCAATGGTTGTGAGTGGTACACGGCGTTGTGGTCAAGGTGTCGCACGCCGATCACTTAAATTCGCAGGTTCTTAACACCATTCTTCGCCGACTTGAGTGCGTCTCTCAAAGCCCATGGAAAGAAGTTGCATACCGATATCTATGCTGTAGGTTAGCGGAGAATCAAATCGGATCATGGTGCAAGCACTTACGAATGGGGAGGGCCACACCGTCCTGTCTTCAGCCGGGTTGATGTGGTTCCAGAACTCCGCCGGGTCGATACTGGCAACCGACGGTGGCTCAGCCCAGGTGATGTTGCAGACGGTGTATTTGCCCGCAACGAATCCGGTTGGTGAGTTGTACCCGTGGGAGTACTCGCTCCAGAATCTGTACAGTCAGCGGGCATTAAGGGACATGGCACCTGAAGTACGCACCTGAAGAACAGCCCATCGCCCAGTGGTAGATGCACTACACTGTCTGGCGGAGCTACGTACGGCTCTTGTGCTCGATCCCGCTTTTCAGGAGTCAGATTGAGGGGAGGGCCTACGGTGCGTTCGTACCGGACTGTCGGCGAGGAAGTCGCTGCAGGAAGTTTTCAAGCTTCGGCGGCTGGCGGCAGACTTCGAAAGTGGTGTCCGTGGAGCTGCGGTGTTGGGAGCATTCCTTGTGGCCCTCGGGGGGCCTACACGCAGGACCGAAACCTCTTGCAACTCCCGGACCAGAACCTCTCGGCGGCGCTTTTGGGGAGTTGACACAATGATCTCATCTCCTTCGGCTGTATCGCTCTCTGGAGTGAGTGCTCTTTTGCCATGCTTTTCAGGCGTGACGAGTGCACAAGGGCAGTCCATTGGAGCATATGTATGGCGGTACTATTGCATTTCAGGGCAACGGCGATGGCGATGGTAGTTCAAAAACCGGGTAGAGTAGAAAGCAAGAAGTGAAGCTGAGCAGAACGCACGGTGGGGATGGTGGTCATGATGTGAGGTCGCATATGGGTATGAAAGGTAATCACGGTTCGGATGAACTTAGCTTTTGTGGTGCCCTTTCTCTTTCGCCCGGACTGATACATGTAGTCAACTCCATAGGCTCACGAAATCAATGGAGTCTCTTCACCTCATAACAGTACTAAAAGTCCGCTCGATCTGATCTTCGAGGGTGTCTTCAAGGCTTCGACCGTACCGCATAGCTATGTTCCTCGTGACAATGGCGGTAGCCAGTCACTGGAAGACTTAAACCTAGTACATTGAATGTCGAAGTCGTCCAAGGCGAAGAAGGACAAGGACAAGGTGGGATCGTGTCGTCGATTATGCTTTCTCTATAAGCTGTTCGTCTAGCCATTTACGTACTCTCGAACCTTGACGGTCTACAAGTTCTCTGGTTCCGCAGACTCGGCCACAGCCCGAATGGCTGCCAGGCGAAACTGATATGGCAATGTGTATCTGATGAGGACGAGAAGAAAGCTGTCAACCGTTCAACCGGCTAAAGAAATGCAACCACGCTAACCACGCATTAATCAAACGGACGGACCGGAGCGGGCGGCTTAAGACGCTATCGCTGCTGTCCTCGCAGGGGTATGAGGTGGGCGCCCATCGAAGCTGCACCTCACTTTCGAAGCGAGAGCGCCATCAAGTTACACCACCAATGGGATGGAAACATGTTCACATGCAGGCTAAGGTAGGTACAAGGACCAGGTCGTACAGACTCTTCTACCGAGGACGAGAGCTCCTCCAGGCGTAAGATCGCGAGTCCATTCTCTCCTCCCTCTCCGTACTGCGCTGTCCTGCACCTCAGTCTTCCTTTGCATTCTCTGTGCCTTCAAGATATCATGGCAGGACTCATGCCACGCTCGTCCGGGGAGCCGGTGGACAAACCTGTGGCTTACGCGCACCAGGTGAGGGCTGCTCACAGTGGCGAGGACGAGATGGGAGTGGCAGAAGTGATGGTCTCGGAGAAATGGCAGGGTACGGATGTGGACAGGAGGGACATGTCACAGCTGGGCAAGGTCCAAGAGCTGAGGGTATGCGGCGACAAAAGAGTGTACGCAGCGAGCTATGCTAACAAGCCAGCGAAACTTCCACTTCCTCAGCATACTCGGCTTTGGTTAGTCCTGCAAGCTGGCCGCGAAAGACAACCTTGCTAAGAACCATCCTTCATAGCTTGTTGTCTGGTCGCCACGTGGGAGGTGCTACTGACCACTATCATCACTTCGTTGACAGACGGCGGCACGGCTGGCTTGCTGTGGGGATTTCTAATCGTTGTCGCCGGCTTCTATTTCGTCTACCTCTCGCTCGCTGAAATGGCATCAATGGCCCCGACGGCAGGTGGACAATATCACTGGTCTGAGTCTCGACCCTCTAGAATACAGACATATACTGACCTGCACTCCGCCAGGGTCTCCGAGTTCGCGCCCCCACGGGCTCAAAAGTTCCTCTCCTACATCGTAGGCTGGCTCTGCTTCACCGGCTGGCAAGGAGCCATCTGCGCTATCTGCTTCATCACGGGAACCATCATCCAAGGCTTGATCATTCTGAACGACGACACATACATCCCAAAGTCCTGGCATGGCACGCTTCTTACAATGGCCGTCGCAGCGTTCGCGGTCGTTTTCAATACTGTGCTGGCGAAGAAACTACCACTGGTAGAATTCTTGCTTCTGGTGTTGCATGTGATTGGTTTCATTGCCATCATTGCCGTGTTGTGGGCACTTGCGCCTAGGGCGACTGCACATGATGCTTGGTTTCAATTTTCGAATGCAGGCGGCTGGAATTCTGCCGGCACTGCAACTATGGTAGGGTAAGTCCCCTACTTGCGAAGCGGTCACGCATACACCGAACGTTCTGTTATCGACCCGTCTGCAGCTATGCTAACAACAGAGAAGACTTTTAAGTCCGGTGATCTCTACCATCGGTACGCGTTGCCCAGCGTGGCATCATTTGATCTGACAGCTGACCGTTTCGGAACGTACGCAGGCTTTGACTGCGCCGTCCACATGGGTGAGAAGCATAGCTCTGTCTTCAAGATCTAGAGCGCTAACACCCAGTGACAGCTGAGGAGGTCAAAGATTCCAGCTCTACCCTACCGAAAGCGCTACTGTGGTCCTTCACTTTCAACGCAGTCCTTGGATTCATCATGGCTGTTACCCTGGTCTACACGCTGGGTAATGTCAACGAAGTCCTAGGAAGTCTTACTGGTACGTGGCAAAAGTCTCTAGGGCGTCGTGGAGGGAGATCGGCTGACATGTTCTAGGATATCCATTCATACAAATCTTCTACAACACCACACAGTCTTACACCGGCGCGAACATCATGACGCTGGTCGTCATCCTTACGCTGACATCCAGCGCCATCGCCGAAGTTGCCACTGCTTCTCGCCAGATCTGGTCTTTTGCAAGAGACAAGGGCGTCCCCGGATACAGATGGGTTGCGCACATCTCACCGTAAGCATTACACCACCAGCTCCTGCAGAACGTCATAGAGATGCTAATCCATGGTCGGACAGTGGATGGAACATCCCCCTCAACGCAGTCCTGCTCTCCCTACTAGTAACAAGCCTCCTCTCCCTCATCAACATCGGCAGCTACGTCGCACTCAACGCCATCCTCGCACTCACAGCCGTCAGCCTCCTCACCAGTTACATAATCGTCATATCCTGCCTGATCCTCAAACGTCTGCGCGGCCAACCTCTTCCTGCTCGACGCTGGAGTCTTGGGAAATGGGGCCTGCCGATCAACATCATCGCTCTGTGTTACCTGCTGCCGATCTATGTGTTCTCGTTCTTTCCGGTTGCGTTGGTGGAGCTCTCGGCGGCTTCGATGAATTGGGCGATTGTGATCTACGTTGGTATTATGGGGTTTGCGACAATTTACTACTTTGTGTATGGACACAAAGTGTATTTGCCGCCTGTTGCTTTGGTTAAGAGGGAGGAGTTTGGGCGATGAGCTAAGACGGCCGCACTGTGCCATCTTTGAGAGGAAAGACGTCCGCAACGCTGGATTGGGCTGTTGTGACATGAGACAAAACTTTGTTGTACGTGCGAACCCTCTTTGCGCACTTCTGAGGTCTCTCTTGGGATGCGCGTATCTGCTCGCCGCTCCGGTCGACAGTTGGACGCACGAGAGGTTCGACAGTGGTAGTATATTTATAGCACCGCCTGCCCGGATCACAATCGAAGAACTAAATGGTCTGTCGAACAAGCTGACCCAGCACAAAAGCTAGCAGGGTTTGGAGAAAGAAGAGCTCGAGTAGCTGCAGGTCGGCGCCATGTAGGACCTGCGAGCTACTGCCAACGTGCATCGTGTACCTACTGTCAATCTCACTCCAACAACTTTCCACTGTACCCTGCACGTCGACTCTCCTTTACCCTGTCGTTTCTTGGAAGCGATGTTGACGATCATTGGCATAGCAGCGCTGCTTTGCGTGCTGATCTACAATTACATCCTGAATCCAGCATTCTTTTCCCCGTTGTCGAAACTTCCCACGGCACACCCACTCTGCTCAATTACCGCCAAATGGTTCGATCGGCAGCTATCGTTGCGCAAAGAGCTGACGACCCTCCTAGTAGCCCACCAGAACAATGGACCTGTGGTTCGCCTTGGACCACAGGAAGTCAGTGTGGTCTCCCTCGAAGGTCTGAGAGCCATCTACACTGCCGGTCTGGAGAAGCATCCTTGGTATTCAACCTACTTTGCAAACTATGGGACGCCGAATATGGTCTCGACTCTGGAACATCGGCCGCATTCCGTGCAGAAACGGATGATTGCAAACGTGTATGCGAAATCTTATATCCAACGGTCGAGCGAAGTTGAGACCTTGTCGAGAGTTATTGTGCTTGAGAAGCTCTTACCTTTGCTGCATAAGTGTGCGAACGACAAGTCACATCTCAATGTCATGCCTCTGTTCCAATGGGCTGGCATTGATTTCATGACTGCATACATCTTCGGGACCGGCCACTATACCAACTTTCTCCAGAACAAACATAGCCGAGAAGACTACTTCAAGGACCGGTCAAAGATCCTGGATCTGGACAAGAGCGGAGAGGACAATGCCATGGAGAGGGTTTGCATGAGGCTGGCCACGGAGACTCTTGCTTCCCAAGCTCAGCCGCACCAGGACCACGTGGACGGGACTCGCCCAGTCGTCTTCGGCCAGCTGTACTCGCAACTAGTGCAGAAGAACAAGGCCGAAGGTGAACCGTTGTCACAGGAAGACCTAATGAAGAGATGCGCCAGTGAGATGCTTGACCACATTATTGCTACGCATGAGACCTTTGCAATTACTTTGACTTATATAATATACCGGATGTCGTTGGACTTGCGAATGCAGGAGAGGCTGCGCGCTGAACTTTCGACTCTTCAACCATCAGTCACGCTGGGTGGAGCGGAGAAGACACTGCCGCCACCGGCCGACATCGACTTTCTTCCACTGCTCAGCGGTATTCTTACAGAGACACTTCGCCTGCATGCCGCCGCCCCTGCACGCCAGCCACGAGTCGTACCGGAAGGAGGCATCATGCTCCATGGCTACTACATCCCCGCCGGTACTAAAATCAGCAGTAATCCGTACAGCTTGCATCGACAAGCGGATGTATTTCCCCGACCCAACGACTGGCTTCCTGAGAGATGGATGGCTGTACCAGATCGTCCGAAAGACAGCAGTTCATTCCCTCCATCCGCGGTCATCCGAAAGTGGTTCTGGGCCTTTGGGAGTGGAGGACGAATGTGTATCGGATCGAATTTTGCAACGCATGGTGAGTATGTCTACTGCACCTCCAACGAGCTAGAACTGACTGGTTGGCGTAGTACTCAAGCTGCTCATCGCATCAATATACACGAACTTCGAGACATCAATCGTTGATGACGAAGGCATTGAGCAATCGGAATACTTCATCGCAACGCCGGTAGGCAACAAGCTCATCATACAGCTTCATCCGATCGAATGACCAGCTTGCGAAGTGAGATACTAGGCCATTCACGTCGACGATCGATGATGATCTTCGCCTGGAGAGAACGGGACAGTGTCCGGAAGTATTGCAGAGGACAGGCTTGTGTGCGTTGAGTTGATTGTAAGAACAGCGCCAGGTGCAGCTGACCAGTGCCAGCCAAGAGCGCTACTACACTGCGAAGTGAGATGATCCCTGGCCGGTGGCACGTCTTGAAGTGGGTCAAGGGAGGCCAAGTCCTTGTACATTGTTTTGCTGCATGTCATCCACAAACATGTCCCAGTGCATCCAGGCCAACGGATCATACTCATCTCCACCGGCCATCCCGAAATCAAAGTCCAAGGCTTGAAAAGGCTTCCCTCCATCGTTCTCCATGCTGCTCGAGAGCGGCGGCATCTGAGTCATCAGGTTTGGGTCATGGTCAGTGTGCTGCACCTCGTTCTGACCTGCCAGTGGCATGGGAAGGTTTTGACTACGAGCAATCTCTGTTGCCTTCCGCATGAGTCTTGCAATTGGCTTCCACAAGTGGCCACTCTCCGCATCGGCCACGACTTGCGCATATGCATCGTAGGAAGTCTGCGCTATTATCCAGGCTTGAGCAGATCTCTCATCCCACGTGCGAGTACACAACTCGGCCAGGACAATAGCAAGAGCGTACCACTTGACCCAGGCAAACCATGACCATTTCGCAAACTCCGGACGGACCTTAAACGCGGCGCTTTCGAGAACTTCCACGGCGGCTTGCAAGACGTCAAACCCACCTGACGGTGGTCGAAGGTCATGTGGATGCCGATAAAGTGGGCGGTGCAATTGAAGCCGCATGGCGAGAAGGCTCTCGCGAGCCACCGCGATGGTAAATGCTTGGAGAGGCGTGGGTTGATTCAGTGCGTCAAAGCGATGTGAGAGCGTCATTACATAGGCCTCGTGTTCATTGACGATGGCCACTTGTCTCTCCCACCATGCATTCGGAGAGCAACCAGCGGCCGACTCGGCAAACTGATGCTCTGCCACTCTTCGCAGAGAGAGGCCAGCGCGACAGGAGACCTGAGGAAATGTCATTTCCGTGAAGTCGTCGCGATCGCTGCTGGAGGCGATTGAGCTTCCGGGATCATCTTCACAGGGTATGTCAGCATCGTTGACGTTGAGAGGAAGAACTTGGAAGTCCTTTGAACGTAACAAAGGCTTGAAGCCACGATCAATGGCACTCTGCATGTCCAGCACTCCGATGCAGTACCATAGCCTTCTATGTAAGGTGGTTCTCAGGTCATGCTCGCCGCTTCCAGCAATTTCAGAAACATTTAGAGGCGTGGAGAGCCGGACTGCAAGTGCTAAGAGGCTCCACTGCTGCGCATTGGCTTGACATGAGCGCAGGCCAGCCTCGAGCGAGGTCAGCGGACAAAAGAACTGGACAAATCTGGGTGGTCGGACGTACCAGATAGATGACAAAAGCCTGTAAAACCACGAGGCTTCTCGTGGTCAGAAGACCTGCGCTGATGAGACTAGTCTCGGCCACAGAGCGATATTGCTCAGTGATTGCACTCTTCTCGCTCACCTCATGGGCCTGCAAAGTACACACGGCGCCGAAATGTACGGCCGACCTGAGAGCTTGCTGCTCCACGAAAGAGCAACTCCAGGGCTTCGGGTCGGCCTGTGTCATCTGTGCAATTGCGGTTGGCCAGTGCAGTACCTTGAACAAAGCATCAAAGCGGTCGTGGTATATGCTTGTCAGCTGCTCATGAGACCAGTGTGCATCATGCGAAGGAGTGCTCATGGCCAATGTATAGCCAAATAGCAGAGCCTCAGAACCAACGGGGAGAGTTGCTGCTTGGTCTTCTGGGCTCGTTTGAGCCTCACCGCTCCCTTCAGACTCGTCTTCAGAGTCAATGACTTGCCGAACATCTTCAACAGCTTCAACTAGTGTTTGCCAGAAGTCAGGTGCCACAAAACTCTGCGAAGCCGGGGATCTCGTGGACAAGTTGGTGCTGCTCCGAGAAGCCTCATCTCGATCTCTATTCCCCAGCTGATCCATACACAGATTAGCGCTGGCACTGAGGAACGGTCTTCTTGTATGGAGGATTTTCTCACATGTGGCTGACCCGAATCAGGCGGTGTCCCTTGCAGCTGAGCAATGGCAGTCTCGAGGCGTGCTATCCGGTCCTTGAGTGCTGTTGACTTGCCACTGCGTCCTCGAGGACGACGTTGACGCTGTACGGCCATACAGTCCAGTCCACTCGCCACACAAGCTGAACAAGGTAGTCCTTTGTCGCATTTTATCTTACGACGCGTGCCTACAGTGATCAGATCTCAGCGGACAGTCTTGAACAGTAGTCGATATTAATCATACATTGGGCGCAGCTGAGCCGTACTCCGTCTCCGGTCATGGTGTCTCGCTATCATGTATGTCTCATCACATTAGGTGGATCATAGGGCGAGTGCATGAGAAGACAGGAGAGCAGAGAGCAACTCTAATATCCTCTTCCTTCCCAACACGGTTAGCCTCGGCCGGCGAATGCCGAAAATATGCCCGTCTTCTCGTCTTCACCTCCCCAACTTCCTCCTGAGCTCCATTCCACGACCCGGATTCTGGTCTCTCTTCCCCGTCGCAAGCCTTGACACTGACGACGATGCTATGCACGATTTGTCGATTCTGCTTCTGGCGTGAAGCCACGATCTTGGTAAGCTCTTCAGGGGGAGGGTAGGCGAACAATTACGGCCATCTATGGATCTCTTTCAACTGCGAGCCAATACACTGGCAGTCTCAGGCTTTGGAGGTCTCTTCGACGCTCACGCGCTTGTGAGTCGATTGACAATCGACAAAGCAACGCCACCGCAATACCTTCCTGTCCATGGCAGTAGCCGACTTCCCGTAATCCGATTGAACCTTTCTTGAGTCTCATTGCATCCTCTATTATGTTTGGCAGGTAGTTATTAGCAGCTGATGCCTACCAGAGCATATCACTGCCTCAGAAATAGGATCTGTGGAAGGAAATACGACAACACCGGATGCCACCGTCCGTTAGACTACGACCTCTGGAGACTCAAGCGCCGTGCATATGACCAAGTCTCCGGCAGGGCAATGTGCGTCAAGCGTTGTATCATGCCACAATGCTGGTTGCTGACTCCGAGTCACTCGTGCTGCTTCCTCTCCGGCCGGAAGCTGCCGAAGCCATGATATATCATCTGGCCTTGCCCTTCGCTGACTGTGTTTCTCGATCTGCATCGCTCGACGCCTCCATCTTCGATCGAAAGATGCGCGCGTCTAGTCTCGTCGATCATACTCTGTTTGGCCCGGACGTTGGACCTCGAAAGCGTGAGCGTGTGGCTAGGATCGACTCTGGCTCGACCACACGTAGCGGCAGCACGCCTACCTCTCCAAGTGGCTATGACGGCGTTGTCAAGCAGGCCGATAAGCTGGAGCTGCCGGTGCGAGTGCAGGTCAAACCAACATCTTCCAACCAAGTCCATCCTGTGCACCCGCTTGTGAGGCGCTGGCAGGCCCTGTGCAGACGCCCGGAAGGGATTTGGCAGCCGTCAGTCCTACAAATCAAGCCCATTGCTGGTATCATGGCGCTGTGCGTCACCATAAGCTGCGCCTGTGCAGCGCTGATGGTCTTAATCATATCGGACGGTGAACCGGTCCGTACGATCTGCTCAGGCATAACACGCATCTACTGACCTTGCGCAGATCGAGTCTTGGCCCGTTCAACCCACCGTCTACCTGGCCATTGCATCTGCTTTGGCCAATAGCAGTCTCGCACTTGCTCGCATGGAAGCTATCCCCATCTCTTGGTGGTTCTCCGCATCCCGCGGACGTACGATCGGCTCGCTCGAACGCCAGTAGCAAGTCTCACTTAGTCTAGTGCAGACGTTGTTGTACAGTCGCTACATGAGCTTGCTCAGTCTTGCTTGCATTGCCGGATCCCTGGTCATCATCGACGGGCCGTTACTCCAACGAGCGTCGTTCGTCGTTCGGCACACTCAAGAAACTAACACAACAATCAGTGTAGCTTTACCTGCTGAGCTTCCCAACGGGTTCTCTGGCTATGCAGAAGACCACATCTTGTTCGCCCCCTCTTTGACAGAGGCCATGGCGTACGATACGCTGAAAGGTTTGCCGATTGCGTTGTCAGGCACAGGCTGCAACGGAACGGTAAGCGCTCAGCAGTCATCTGTTGGATTATGATCGCTAACACTGCGCTTGTTTCACGAGTGTAAAGCGACCATCCACGGACCAGGCGTTGCCCGACAGGAATGCCGATCTGTGTCGTGGCAGATCAGTCCAGCGTCGCTGAAAAGTACCAACAGCTCCGTTGTTCGGAGCGAAACGAGCGGCAACGGAGCCACATATGCGCCAGAGATCGGCACGTTCACAACAGAAACTCTGAGCCACTTAGCACCCGGTTGGACGGGTACTCGTCTTGGCCTCGCTTTCAACGATCCAACCGACGACGTTGTCCTTGCGTACCACAAAATGATGCTGCGCGGGGCGGCCTCAACTAGTTCTTGGACAAATCTGACGCAACTCGTCGACCCTGGCGTTCCTATCTTCTAAAACGTCACTGCTTTGCAGTCCGTGACCCGCAAGGTTTTCCAGTCGAATCTGGCATGGCACGTAGGAGCTGCGATTGTACAGCTGATCGCGGTCCTACTTATACTACCGATGTTTTGGGGCTGGTGGACGCTCGGGTGCAACCTGACGCTGTCTCCATTCTGCACTGCGCTAGCCATGGATGCGCCTCTGCTACGAGAGGTCAATTCTGCCACCGGACTACGAGGGGTTGCACAGAAGCTTGGCCATGTCAAAGGCAAGTTTGGTGAGGTGAGCCCGTCGTCTGGGGAGGCTCCAGATGGCGTTGCCACTGGTCGGCTGGGTCTTGCGAAAGATCGAAGCGTGGCCAGACCTCGGAGTGGAATGAGGTTCTTGTCTTAGCAGGGGACAAGAGCGCCGCATCTTGGTAATTGCGCTTTCGTAAGTAAGTCGATACTTATTCATAGCCTCAACAGCATGCCCCGAGAACAACCCATCTTTCCCAGGATCCTCCGGCAGCTCAATCCCATACCACCGTTTCAACGTATCCTTGACCACATCATAGCAAGCTCCGTACCTCAACAACTTCATGTTCTTGAAGTCGAACATCGTCGACGAGGTCCTAGGAGTATTATACTTCTGCCTTCCATAATCGATCACAATATCCGCCGCCTCCAAAATCTGTGGCTCGATGTCTTCGACCAGACAATACAGTCCTCTGCCCCGTCAGATTAGCACTCGAACCCATCACCGGCGTTCCAGCCTCCAGCGCCAACCGCGCGAGTTCGTCCTGCAGCTGTCCCCCATTCACAAGCATCGCCATAGTTCCCTCGATCGAGCTCCGCTCCAGCGTCTCGGCGCCCAACTTTCGAATCATCGGATGGTCCTGTTTGAAAGGCGCTACAAGTCCGAGGGGTAGGTCGAGGTCGTGAACGAGTTTGGTCATACCCGCTTCCCTAGGTGGCAAGGTGTGGATCTCCTTGTGTAATGCATATCTTCCCATCATTGCATGGCCTTTGTGCGGCTTGCGCTGTTTGGTTTGGAACGCTCTCTCCAATGCGATCGAGTCGCCCGCACAGATAGCGTATCCGACGTTGACGGGAATGATTGCAAGGCCGCCTTTGGAGAGAACGTCGAAGATTCTGCGGGCGTCTCTGATGGGGTCGATGTCTGGGCCTTGTTCGGACGACATTATGGAGTCTTGAGGAGGAAGTGAATCCCTTACGGGCTATGAACCGTCAACGCCTTCCATCATGCTGACCACCTTGTCGATGTTTGGAGTCAACGAACGATCGTATACCCGACGGCTGTCATCGGCGAACGGATTGTGGGAGCTGGCAAACGGATGATGGCACGGCCTCGGAAATAATCGTACATTCTCTCCTCGAATATGATCGTTGTCAAATGGTATTGCTAGTCCTGCGACTCCGCCCCTTTGTTCTATTAACCAGGCGCAGCATTACCAACAATGCCGCCGTCAACAACCAGCTTCTGTCCCGTAATGTGTCTTGCACACTGACTCGCCAAGAAGACAATACAATAAGCCGTGTCGTGTGACTCTCCCATCTTGCCCATGGGCACGCTGCTGTCTCGCTTCTTGATCAGGCCCTCAACATCGCCGTTGTTGTACTTCTCGGCGAGACTGCCGATCAAGGGAGTGTGGATCAAACCGGGAATGACGGTATTTAGACGGACGCCCTTCTTTGCGTAGATCAACGCTGTAGCTTTTGTGAACTGTATAATGCCGGCTTTTGTTGTATTGTAGCTTAAAGATGTATTAGCAAATTGCTCAATGTTATCAAGGAGGAAAGATTCCTACGCAATCTGAGGCTTTCCAATGTATCGCAGGGCGGCAATGCTGCCTAAGTTGACAACTGCACCAGACTTTTGAGCCTCCATGATTGGCAGAACATGGTGACACATGAGGTAGACCTTCAGCGAACCTTAGCATACGTCTCGAGTTGCTTTCGATCGCCAAGCAAAGGTCTCTGAGAGGTCCTCTTCGCGGAACCACTTACGCTCTTCAAATTCACATCCATCTGAGCGTCCCAGACCTCCTCCGGCATATCAGCCGGGCCGCCGGCTTGCGACATGCCTACATTGCTGTGGATTCTCGTTAGCGAGCGTTCGAGGTGTTGATGAAGTCGACTTACTTGACTAAAATATCAATACGTCCGTATCTCTTCATACAAGCGTCGACCAATTGCTTGCACTGATCCGTCTTAGTCACATCTGCTGTCATGACCTCCATCTCGGTCCCTTCGGACTGGAGCTTCTGCTGAGTGTGCTGGGCACTTTTGATGCTCAAGTCACAACCGAAGATCTTGCAACCGTTTTGGCCGAAGACTCGAGCTGTTGCTGCTCCGTTGCCCTATATATCGAACGACATTGGGATCAGCTTTGTTGGAGGGTGTAGTTGTTCGCTTGAACCAAGTCTTACCCACATCTCCGGGTCCCCCTGTTGCCCAATACCTGTGATCAGGACAATCTTGCCTTTGAGATCTGGATATATCGGCGGTCCATTTGGGAGAGCCATCTTTACGACTTCGAGAACTGAACTGCGATCTTGGAGCTGTTGAGTCAAGCAATAGGAGTACAGACAATGGCTTCAGTGGCAAGAGGGGCTGCAATACTCAGAACAGACGCTGCACAGATATACTGAAGACGGTGGAATCTCCGTCTCAATGAGGCTACCTTGTTTCGATAATCACGAGGTCGACGAACTTCGATATTCCCATCACGAGGGTGTTGGAGAAATGGACACCAACGTGAAGTCCGATGTCGCGGACAATCGTTTTGCCGGGCCATGTTGGAGCATTCTCCACAACACGTCCAGTCGCGTCCTCTTCCTCTATCACAACATCGTCAACCAGCAGATTGATGGACAAAGATGGAGCGTGCTTGATTGAGTGAACCTAAGGCAGTACGGCGACAGAGTACAGTACCAGATGCATTCTGGTCAGGATGCGTGCGGACCGTAAAGCATATTTCAAGGCGTCTAAACTGCTCAACCTTTGAAGAACTTGAAGATATCCGAGCAGTCCTTGAGATCCCCAAGACCTCCTAACAGATCAGCAAGTCTTCTTGACCTGTCAGAGCCCAACATCTCCGCAGTCTTCTCGCCATACCGAGCGCGGACAGCTTCTCCATCCAACCACGGCACATCTGGAAGCTCTTCCTTCACGACGCTGCCGTCCTTGAGCGTAACACTGACTCTTGCCGGCTGACGTCCCTCTTTGAAGCTCTGCTCAAAGTCTTGCGCGGCCTCGACCGTACAGCATGATACCACATTGGCGATGTCTTGAGAATCGTACTGCTTGAAGAGCTCCTCAGAGACCTTGCCGTGGAGTAGCCCAGTGCTGACTCCAAAGTGAATAGCCATCTTGGTCTGCTGGACATTGGAGAAAGGACCAGGATTGTCACACCCAGGATACTGCTTCGCGCCACTTGTGCAGTCGACATGGACGCTCTTGATCCCCTTCGACAGGTCATGTTTTTGAGACAGCCAGATGGCCACCGCGATGGGTGTCTGCGCATAGTTGCATCCAGCCACTGGCTTGAACCGGACGTCTATCAGTCCTGAGCCGATCTCCGTCTGCAGCCGCTCCTGGTACAGCTGCGTGCCCTCCGAAGCCCCAAGCGCAGCGAACAGTCCAGCCCTGCCCTCCAAAAGCGTCTCACTGCATTCAAGCCCAGCCTTCGCAAGCTCAAACGCATCAATACCAGCCTGCGAAGCCGATCCCATCTCGGTGTAGATCTCCACACCACCGGCCCACGCCCACTCGTTGACGCCGCTCCCCATGTTTGCAGCAAACGCGAGAGCGTTGATCGCGACGTCTTCCGAGGCATTCGATGCCGTGATTGCTGCAGCTGCCGCACCAAATCCACCGCAGATGCCGCTTGGTCGGAAATGCCGGTTGTAGCCTGCGCTCTGCTGAACGGCGGTTCCGATGAAGGACGCAGCTTCGTAACCTCCAATGACAGCTCGCAGCAGTTGATCGCCGCTCCAGTTGTCTCGTTGCGCCAGTGCCAGAGCTGCTGAGATGACTATGCCTCCGATATGGCTGTTCGACTTCAGATGCATGTCGTCTCGGATCGCGCTATCGTATCTATCAGGACATGCTTCAGGCTTCAATCGAATGAACGAACTCACCTATGTGCCAATAGTGCGTTGACATACGCAGCAGTCTTGGCCGAAGCATCTTCCTGCAATCCCCAAGCGTGTGCTTCACGCACTCCTTGCTGGCTTCGACCATACTTGATTGCTTGAGATGCCCATGGGGCTTTGAGACCGGAAGCAACGGCTCCAAGGTAATCTAGGATTGCTAACGTGGTCTTTTCTTTGAGCTGCGGTGAAACTTCGGTCGTTGATATCTTTTTCAGACGGGCGGCCGTCAATCGGATCAAGGTATCGTTACGGGATGAGGTGCCGTTCATACTGGTTGGTGCTATCGTGGTCGAGGTAAGCTCCAGTCCCTTTGGTTCAGGTATGCTCTCGTTAACTGCTGTGAGCCGATACAAATGTTTGTTTGGGAACCACTGCACGACTACGGCTTTGTGGAGCTGGGCAGGAGTCGCTCCATACCGGCATCGGTGGTCAACTCGACTCAGAGATGCTCTTCGGCACTTCGCATCTCCACGAGCTACGTCGAAGAGCTGTTGCCCCGCTCTGGCTTGGTCGACCACGGTTCCATGTCACTTCGGAATTGATGTTCCGCTTTGATTTGGACGACATCAGCGGCATCGTCTGCTCCACGGCGTGGAGTGGATGGAAGAAGAGCTGCGGGGCCCTCACGAGACTTCCTGTTGGAGAAAAGTCCGACGCCCAGGATCAGCTTGAAGAACTACTTCTGGGACAGCGCTTGTAGACACAAACATTCGCCGGAACCGAAGTGCAAAAGGTCTTTGCGTGATCTCCCACAGTCAGCCTTGCATCTTGCTGCCGCCTTAAAACACACCAAAGGCTGAATTTCGTTGTACATCCCAATCTTGTCCCGTCGACAATGGGTTCGAAAGGCGAGACTCTTCCGCCTCCGGGCTCCAATCAGACATATGTAAAAGTGTCCGCCTTGAACGGAGGCTGGGTGACGCTGCCCGAAAGGTAAATATCATGACATCTGCAAATCCAAAGCGGTACAGCAGATCGACTAAATGCAATTCCAGGCTATTCATCACCAACGCAGACCCCGAAGCGCTCAAGACCGTCCCATCAATGTGCTTTCTAATCCAGCGTCCACGGCCCGGTGGCGGACCACCAGAGCGAATCGTCTTCGACCTGGGCATCAAGCGAGACATGAGCCAGTACGCCGCTGGCATGCAGGACCATCTCTCCAAACGCCAACCGATCACTAACCTGCCAGACACCAAGGCCAGTCTGGAGGAGGGCGGCCTTGATCCGGCCAAGGACGTCGACTATGTGATCCTCAGTCATACCCATTGGGATCACATTGGTATGCCGGCTGATTATCCCAATTCGAAATTCGTGCTCGGTAGTGGAACATTGCACACTGTCAAGCACGGAGCGCCTCATTACCCGCCTGAGATGTTCGAAAAGGTGAGCAGCCAACGCTACCTTCGCCATCAAGGACATCAAACCAAGCTAACATGCCGCAGGATCCCCTTCCTTTAGACCGCAGCACCGAATTCCCGCCTGGCCCCGACTCTCCCGGCAAAGATCTCGCCTGCGCAACTTCGCAACAGACGTCCCACCAGTGGAAGCCCATTAGCACCCTCAAACACGCCATCGACTTCTTCGGCGATGGCAGTGTCTACATCATCGACGCTCCCGGCCACCTCCAGGGCCACGTGAACCTGCTCGCCCGGCTCGGTCCAGAGAAGTGGGTATACCTCGGCGGTGACTGCTGCCACGATAGCAGAATCATTACCGGCGAGAAGGAGATTGCGATGTACCCGGATGCCCATGGGGAGATGCGGAGCGTGCATTCCAATTTGCCGGTGGCGAGGACGACGATTGCCATGATCCAGGATTTTGTTAAGACAAATGGGGACAATGTTGAATGGATCATTGCGCATGATAAGGGTTGGGCGGATAACAACCAGGAGAGGTTCTTTCCTGGGAAGCTATAGCGGCGTAGCGTTGAATGACGAGCTTTCGGGCTGCTGCTATCCAAATGCATCAGGTCTCAAAGGGTATCGTTCCGTGCCTGTTCCTCATCATCGCAGCCATGCTTTTGTATTCAGAAACAAAGTCGACATCCAAACTTCAAACACAATCAGCAGTAATAGGCGTATGGGCATCCTCAAGTTGCTTCGTATACTTCCTCAAGCTCACCCCAATCGTCGAGACGAAATCAAATACATGCGTCCCACTGAAGATCTCCGCCCAAAGCGTCGCAGTCGCCGTCCCAAGATGTCTAATCAGAGTCCGCCAGCCCTGCTCGTCGTTCGGAGACTCGAATGCTTCGTCCTTGAAGAACCCAGTCTCTTGGACGATGCTTCGGAACATGTAGATGAGCCCAACCTCTTGCGCTGTCAAAGGAGTAGTAGAGAGGGTGGTGGCGACAGTGTCGAACCACTTAGAGACAAAGATGGCGCATTCGAGGTTGCAGAGAGAGTGCTGGACACTCCAAGATAATGTTTGGGTCTTGGAGACGTAGGCTATGCCGAGACGGACTGGGATGGAGAGGGCGTGTCCTGCTTGTACGATCGGAACGGCTAGTCCAGGGTGTCTGCGAAGCGGCGGACAGCTCTTGAAAGCTTCCACGATCAGATTTGAGTCCCCACTGGCAAGACTGCGACATGGTCCAAGATCAGCGTGGAGCCGGATCCAAGCTAGTCGAAGGAGGGCGGTGGAGTTAAATGCCACAGGTCCGCTCGCCGAAACAGGGTCAATGGTACTCTCCGGACAGTTCTCCCATCTAGCTTGCCACCGCTGCAAAGCATTGCTGATCGAGTCAACGTCATCAGGTCGTAAGCTGTCCGCCGTCGTTACACATGGTAGCGTAGCACGACCTTCCCGTAGCAAGAAGATGCATTGCAGTAATGCAAAGATTAGAGCGTAGTTGGCCAATGCTGAACTCGGCGGCGATGGTGCGGTAGAGTCAGGTTGGAACAGCGAGCGGAAAGCAAACATGAAGGGGGTAGAGACTATCTTCGATGCTTGGGCAGCACCCGCCCACGACTCGGCGCTTTTGGCGTTCCACTCGTCTTGTCCGGCCGGGGTGTTGATTTGCATCTCGGAAGTCAGCATACAGGGTGCGACATTGAACGCCACACTCTGCAGATTGACAAAGGTGTATGCGAAGAGCTTTGTACGTCGAAGGCTCTCCGTACGGATCCAGTTCTGCCATGCATCTTGCTTGTCTCCGCTTAGAGTAGGACTCCATGTAGGTTCGCTCTCAGGTCCTACGCCGTCTGCTCGGACAAGTTCCGCGAGCAGACTCTGGAAAGTGATTGCTTCGCCGATGAGCTCTCGCGGGCCCCAGCCTGACAGGAAGTCCAGAACGTCAGCAAGGTACATCAAAAGTGTGCGAGGGTTGAGCAGTACTTACTACCGAGCACCATCAAGTTTAGAATAGCCTGCATCGACTGAAGGCGATCGCCAGCGATTGAATGCTGATCATCGATCGATCCGAGCGAAGTATGCTGGCTTGTCGCATCTGAGAAATCACCGTTACTCGTCCGTGGCGTCTCGAGGCCAATCAAGCTGGAGACAGCTTTTGAATCTCGTCTCCGGAGCTGATGAAGGATCGCAGCTTTTGCTGCGTAGAAAAGCGTCTTCGCCTTCGCCCCTTCCAGCTTGAACACCGCGCCAACAGCCAGCATACTCAAGGTGAGGTCAGGTGCTGCTGTTCTGACCGACCACGACGGTACGTGCAAGATCGGCATGTGTTCGTAGGTACCTCGCACGCACCCTTCTAGATATCTCGAAGCTGTGTGGCGGGATGGTAGGGCAAAGTCGTGCGGAAGGGCAGGTAGCAGTGCTGCCAAACTTGCTTCGAGAGCCGAATAGTCCGACACCGAGATCTTCCAACATGGCGCTGGCCGAGTAGAAGTGACGTCTCGGTAAGTTGCCAGCTTCGAGCCAGGCTTTGGTTCTGGTCTTATGGAGGGCAAAGGGGATCCAAACCTTGAAATGGAATTCTGCTCGACATGAGGTTCTGCCAGTTCATGCTCTCTGGCAATGGGTCCTTGCGTTGCTATATTGCCCTGGTAGTCGGCATTCGATGCGAGCGTTGGATCCATAGGAGGGTTCTGGTCCAGACCGAAGCCTGCAGGTAGGAAGAGTGAAGAGAAGTCCACGTTCTCGAGGAAAGCATCTCCTTCGCCGAAGAGATCGAAAGGGTCATTCATCGGTTCTCCGAAGGCCATCCAGTCCATATTCGTCTGCTCATCAAACGTCCCAGTCGCTCCGTTCGAGGCATCGCCATGGAGATATGGAATAGATACACTATCATTGGTGTAAAGTCCAGGATTTGGATGTTTGGCGTCGCCATCTTCAGTTTGAACAGTCGCAGCGCTCCCGCCGTTACTTTGTGACATAGATACATTGGCGAGTGAACTGAAGGTATTGTTCTTTATTCCGGCGTCATCCAGAGGAGGTGTCGTACTCTGAACCCAGTCGACGTTTGAAGGTTTTCGAGGCCTCTCCTTCTCCGGGCTAGTCTTTCCATAGCTGTATATCGAAGTCCGTCTTCTCGTCGTGTCCACATTATGAGCACTTCTCTCGTGTCTCCGCAGCAGATCGCCACGTGGAAAGGCTTTCCCGCACGGACACTGGTATGGCGCTTCTTTCGTGTGCGTCCTCTCGTGGCGCTGAAGATGTTCTAGCCTCTTGAAACGCCTCTGGCAGTACTGACACTGGAATGGCTGATCTTGTGGAGGCTGATCAGTCATCTCGCTACCCCAAGGAAACCTTGAACATTAATCTGGGCTGGAGAAACAATTAAGGTGTGGAGAGGGAGCTCGGCGATATATGAATATGGGAATAAAATGCCGGCATTCTCCGCCTCCCCCTCACTTTGGACTGACTCGCTGGCTCGGATCACGGCAGGATCAACTGCATGGCATCGCGTGGTGACAGGGATTTCTGCCGTTGTGTTCGAAAAATCTGGTGCTGATGATGATTTTATGGTATGGTTGGCTTCATCTCGCCTGACTTCAGAATCCACCACTGTCAAATAGCCTGTATCCCAACAATTCGGGCAAGCTGTCGACAAGACGGGCATATCCAGCAGACTTCTCCGATACGTGATTGCGGCCAAAAAGGCCACAGCACTCTCTTCAGCAGCCGGTCACTGTCTGTGAGAATGTCCCTTGGACGGGGCACTCCGGCCTGGTGGGCCGCTTTCGCTGCCTCATGGTTGCCGGGTAAGACCGTACCACAAGCTCCGCGGCTGAACTATAAAGTGTAGCGGAATGACGGCTCTCCCTGAATCACCATCTCTCCTCTGTCGGCCTTGCGGTTACACCATGAATAGACAATGAAGTTCTTGCAAACCAAGAAGATAGTGATGACCTGGAAGGACATGCAGATTGCAATGCCAGGCACATATGTCGGCGCATCCTGCTCGCGGAAAATATTTCCAGAGATGATACCTTGAGGGCGGGGTTAGTATGGTGTGCCTACAGGCCAGATGCTTTGAGGAGGTCTTACCGCCAAAAGCACCTCCAATCGTCATCAAAGCCGTGGTCATTGCACGTTTCGATTGTCCAACAGTATTGCTATGCTGGTAGGCGAATTGTGTCGGTACGTTTCCAGTGATGCCCAGCACACCAAGGAAAACGCCTGCGTATCGAGTGTCGAGGTCGTCCGCGAAGCCAACGCTGTCCGAGGGTTAGTACCTCAATGGGTGTTCGGTGAGCTCTGCACTTACATGCTCAGTCCAGTAAGATACATGCAGCTGTTGAAAACCATGACCGGCCCTCGGGTCCTGTAGTAATCGCAGAACCACGAGACGGCGGCCATCCACTGCAGAGACAGTCAGGCATGCCCTTTGATCGGGAGATGAAAGGCACGAACCACCAAGGACACAGCATATGGCGGGAAGGTCAACAGATTGGCACGTGAGTACGAGTATCCGAATCCATCTCGGAGAATGATCGGCAGGAAGAACGAGAAGGCGTACAAAGCGGTGTTCTGTGTAGGTCAGTGATGCTGTCTCCCGTGTTCACAGGCATTCACACGTACGTTGAACATCACATAAGACGCAAACTCCCAGACTTTCCAGTCCTTCAAGTTGTGGATCATGTCTTTCAGACCAAAATTCTCCGTAGAAGCATCACCGCGGTCTCTTTCGATATGGGCGATGAGCACTGCTGCTTCTTGCTTGCTTAGGAAAGCCGGCATTCTCAGAAGATTCCTCTTGGTAGCTGCCGGGGTGTCAGTGGCTGCGTCCAGAGCTTGCCTGGTTTGATGATGCTCTTACCATCTTCAGGGAGGTCGACTAAGACGAAGTATGCGCCCACCGCGATTGCGGAGCTTGCAATGCCTTCCTGCATCCAGGGTCAGCCATGGGAGTATGCCAGGTGGTGATACCGTACGATTATGAAGATCCAGCGCCAACTAAAGATCATAGATTAGCAATGTTTCGTACCCACCATGTCACCAATGCACAACATACCCGGCAATCCCAGCGGTTCCATCCATCTTCTCTATGCCATATGCCAGCAAGCCCGAAAGACCGCTCGAAGCGATACCGACGAGATAATACGCTGCCTGTCGTTTGTGGAACTCGAAACGAGTATACCATACTTGGAGCACTGCGACCATCATGAGACATGCTCCTCAGCTGTGGGCGGGCGACTTACGGAAAAGCGTAGCAGGAAGCAGAGCTCCCTCAAAGACACCCAGCATGACACGCAACGCTGCGAGAGCCCCCCAGCTATGAATAAAGCCTTGCGCTATCGTAAGGACTCCGAAGCATCTGATATAGGTCAGCTCTGGCAGGAAACGAGATTGCAAGGAGACATACAAGCATACTGTCGGGACCATGAACGACGCCCCAATCTTCTTCATGAGCGGTGTCGACGGTACATCCACCAGGGCATAGCCGACGAAGAAGATCATTGCCACGATACTGTATCGGTTACCGACATCTAGATTCAAGTCATCGCTCATACCGGCGATCGAGGCCTGCAGATCTCATCAATCTTGAGTTTCCTCTGCATCGCAGTCGCCTAACTTACATTGCCCAAGTTGGATCTGTCGATGAATGCACACGTGTACAGCAGAGCGAGTACCAATGTCAGCCTGAGATCTACCTTCCTCTTCACCCGTCTCAAGAGCTTTGGGTCATCGTCCAAATGGTTCTCGAGCGCCTCCCGTACTGGGATGTCTTCAGGAATCGTACTTCGCTGGTGAGCGTGCTCAAGTTCGATCTCTTGCTTGTCTGGATGGTGGCCTTCATGATGGGCTGTCGTGTTCTTCTCGTCCATGATCGCCGGGGATGGAAGTTCAAAAATGCTTCGTCAAACGCAGGTGAGATGTAGAGAAGTTGTAGCTAGCGATATGGACTAGATGCAGCAGGAACAAGTGAAATGGAAGAAATATGTCTCATCACCTACCGTGATTCTTAAGGAGTACCCCATACTCCCGTCGATGCCGGTCTCCATGCCCCAGCGACGACTGCCAAGGGCGACCTTTTTTGCCCGCGAGAGCACAAAGAGCTCTCTGATGTCTGCCTTCCACGTGCGCATACCATGGTGTGTGGGTTAGTGTCTCCAATTCGTGGGTTAGCGTCTGCAGAGTGAGCTCGAAGGAGGAGAAGGGTGGAGAAGGGGGTGGGGTAGGAGAGAGGCTGACTTCCATTGGAGAACCTGGAAAGCAGGCACTTCCCGAACATGGACCACTTCCCCGTCTTCACCCTTCTCCAACCTGTCCCGTCTTGGAACTCATCACGCATTCCACTGTACAAAGACTAGGGCCTTCCAAGATCTGTAAGAACACCGATGGTTCGACTCGGCCACGCATTGTGTCGACGAGACTTGCGAGCTTCCATACCTTGCGTCGAGAATCGACCAAGCCAGTATCGGGTACTGTAGCGACTCTTGATCTGATGGTCTCCTTTGAGTCCCTACAATGCCGACACGCAAATTCGACTTTGATGTAGTGGTGGTAGGCGGCGGCAACACGGCCCTCTGTGCTGCTTTGACGGCTCACGAGGCTGGTGCTCGAGTTGCCATCATCGAAGCAGCGAAGCCAGGGGAACGAGGAGGTAACAGTCGCTTTAGGTAAGCAATGAAGAGAGGAAGCATTTTCTTGAATGGCGTACACGAATCCTACGTAGTACAAGTCATTGCTGACCATCATGCCATGTGGTCCTCAAGTGGTACAGCATGGAGATTTGTGCATAATGGCAAAGACCACCTCCTACCCCTTTTGGACCAAGAAGGCCTTGCCGAGGCGGACCGTTGCTCAATGGGAGAATACAGTGAACAGGACTTCACCTCGGACATGCTTTCCAAATCTGGAGGAAGGCACGACAGAGATGAGATCAGAATGATAATCGATCATGGTTATGACACCATGAAATGGCTGGCCGACCACGGTGTCCGCTTCAAGCTACCGCTTAACTTCTGGGTCTCTCACGAAGGCAAAGAAGGCGTACAGGAACTTGCCTCTGGTGTGCCAGTAGTAACCAGGGACTACGGACGAGGCCTAGTCGATGAGCTGTGGAAGACGACTGAGAAGACCAGCATTTCTGTCTACTATACCATGCCAGCCCACGATCTGATCCTGGACGGCGATCGAGTCCTCGGGGTACAGGCTCGAAGTCAAGACGGCTTCTGCGAGTTCTACGGCAATGTTATCCTGGCTTGCGGCGGATTCGAAGCGAACCCAAGGTACCATGAGCAGATGCCTACCATGTCTGAGACACTCGCTAACTCCTTTGCCCTCCGTTATAGGATGCGCCGACAGTATCTCGGCCAGGGAGCCGAATTCGCCATCGTTAGAGGCAGCCGCTTCAATACAGGCACGATGCTGGAGAAGGCGTTAGCAGCAGGATCCCAAGCACACGGCCACTGGGGCGGCTACCATTGCGCTCCGCAGGATGCTAATGCTCCGCTGATGGGAGATATGAAGACCCTTGATGCTTGGGAGCGATATTCGTTCCCCTATTCTATCATGGTGAACAAAGCCGGCAAGCGCTTCACGGACGAAGGCGAAGACGAGATCAGCCTCATCTACTCTAAAGTTGGTTCAGCGATTGCCGGAGAACAAGAAGCAAAGGCGTTCCAGGTATTCGATCAAAAGACCGTCTCTTTGGTCAGTGAGAAGTACAAGATGTACGCCACGCCGATGCAGGCCGACACTCTTGAGGGCCTGGCCGAGAAGATGGGCGTCAACATCGATAACCTCACGTCGACCGTCAAATCGTTCAACGCAGCGACCCAAGCTGGGAAGAACTTCGACCCGTACTCCAACGACGGAATGTCCACTGCAGACGGCTACTCGCCACGGAAGAGCAACTGGGCTCAGCCGATCGACTCGCCGCCGTATGTTGCCTACGCTGTGACCGTCGGCATCACGTTCACATTCGGCGGGATAAAGACTGATACCTCAGCTCGAGTGCTCAACAATGAAGGCAGCGTTATGCCAGGCCTCTACGCTATGGGTGAGATGACTGGTGGGTTCTACTACGGCTATGCAGCTGGGGCATCGTTGATACGGTCTTCCGTCATGGCAAGGGTGGCGGGCAAGCATGCTGCGGAGAATTTACAGAAAGATGGAACAGCCATTGCTCCAAAGTTGTAGGGGTCAATGAGACTGCGCTTGGGTCCTGTCTCACAGGGGTTTCGAATATGATCGAGCGAGTTGTGACCCACGTTTGTACACTCTCGCGGCACGAGCTGGCCCAGCGCCTGGTCGAGCATCAAGATGGAAGACAAGGTCACTCTGGCAGCTAGGATCTCGGTGAAGAACTCAATGTCCGGACGCCAGACATCTCCAAATGGACATGCAATGCGCACTGACGGTTCGGCCGACGCTGGGTCGGAGGTTGGAATTTACTTGTGACGGGTTGATGAGAGGGAGAGGGCGTTGAGTTGCCTAGAGACACAGAGGGCACGGCAAGAGACTGTTGATGTGGTTCAGGTACGACATGATACATATAGATATTAGGATTGTATGCTGATGGCGGGCGGCATTCTTGCAGTTTCCTAGGTGAAGGAGCGGCACGATTCGTCTAGAAGGGTGATTTGTACGACATGGCATAGGAGACGCGGTCTTCGATTTGGAACAAATCAAGTTTTTGCGGAAATGAAACACATCAATCTACTCCTACTCATCATCTTCTTCATCCTTCACGTCTTCGTTCTTCACGTCTTCGTCCTTCACCTTGTCCTCTTCGTCGGCGGCAGCATTCGCTCGAGTGCGACGCCCAGGCTTGCGCGGCGACGAGTCTGATTCGACATCATTGTTCCGTCGAGTAATGATTCCATTCAAGCTGCGGGTAACCACTTCGTGCAAAGTTTCGACTACGTCGCTATAATCGCCGTCACCGTCCGCCTCCATTTGGCTGATGAGCTTCTGTACCGTTTTGCGGTACTTCTCGGCGTTCTTGTACGTAGATGGCCGTGACGGCGGTGGAGACTTCTGCTTGGTAACCTTGGCTGCTTTCGCTTTGCCGCCTTTTGTGGTTGGCTTCTTCGTGGCTCGCCTCTTCGCAGCTTTCGTGGCCTTGGAGGGAGCTGCTGTCTTCCCAGTACCTTGCGCTGCATTGGCCCCTCTTGCAGCCGTTCTCTCCGCGTCTGCTTTTCTTCTCTCTGCGCGGTCGGCCCTATTCTTCTTTTCTTCACTGTCGGGTTCTTCTTTCCTAATCTTCCCGAGTTTGTTCAACTTGTCCATAGTGAGAGCGTTCCCGCTGGATGCGGCCTTTTTCGCCGGAGCAGCACTCTTCGTCGTAGCAGCTTTCTTCGCCGGAACAGTAGGCGTCAAGGCCTGTCGGGTAGCTGGAGGAGGTTTGGAAGCAGCCTTCTTTGGCCTTCCTGATTGCTTCGTCTTTGCCATATCCGCGAGCGTGATTCGAGATAGCAGCGCTGAGCCGTGCGAACGAGCACTGTCGAGACATACCCGCCTCTTCTTGTAGGGTGACTCGGTCTCATTTCTTTGTTGCAGAAGCACTTCTTTGATTCTTTATCGTGGATGCTGCCAGTTCCGGATGCGGAAGATCGATGTCCCATTGTCCAGTCCGGTCTCACCCTCAGACTTCATTCCGCCAATCAGTATGTAGCAGCAGCTGATGAGCTCGGAGTTGACCTCTACCACAGTCGTCTACGTAGACTTACGTTAGAGGAGGAACTGTGATGTGGAGGAGAGTTGCCTCTCTTTTGCTTGAGTGTTGTGGAGCCCGGTGGCCGGTTTTGTGTAGTATCGTTAGCTCTCCAAGTATAGTTCACCTGGAGGCACCGCCGATTTGGCTCAGTCCAGCTTTCATGGAAGGTACTGAAATAGTCCAACGCAGGTAGGACCGCCCATCGTGGAAACAAGAAATGAAATAGGAATCGCTGCAAACAAGTTGTGTCTGTTCGTCTGACCTCTAATGGCAAGTTGCTGTACCAAAGGCTACTTCGTGAACTGTCAGATAGGCGCTTCGACCAGGCCATCTCAGCACGGGCTCCAATGGCAACATAACACACTGGGAGGATTTCCTTCGTCCAAGAGGCAGACTGTGCGCTTGGAAGTGCTGTCTCAGCTACATTCGTTGACCACCTCTTCTCGCTGGTCATGCTAGTTCGACGTCATAGCTCGACGGCATCGCAACGTCACTAGCTCCGGCGTCCTGCGGGCATCATGCGTTGAATAGATAGGTCGCACTCGGCTGTCGCTTCGCTTAGCCTTCGAGCTTGATTTGAGAACCTGATGGCCTAGACCTCTCCTTCGATGCTTCAGCGGCTCTGGTGGGCAGGTGTCTGGTCTGCGAAACTCCTCGCCATCGTTTTCCAGCCTTTCGCCGCAGCAAAAACAGACCATGTGCATGACACTGAGGTGCTCTTTGAGCAGTCCATGCTATCCGTGCTTCAGCCTCTTCCACTCAGGACCATCTCGACCACGCTCCTCCCTCGTTCGCCTCCCAAATACGACACCTCGCCCTCGAGCTCATCAATCTCCAGACTAGCCTCATACGCCATCTTGACCGTTCCTTCCTCTACTTTGACACCGTTCTCCACCAAAGCCCTGATACACCCGCTGATCCGCGCAATTTCAGCTCTCGTCTCCGCAGCAATCTCATCGTTCTGACTCGAGTACATGGTCGTATCAGCAGCAGCGGCCTCTTCCAGCTTGTTGATACCAACATCCTCCTTCTTCTCGTCCAGATGCTTTGCAAGCCAGATGTATCCATTGACACCAAGGATGCAGTCGACTTCGCCACCGCGGCGGGTCTGCATCGTAAAGATCTGTCGCTTTGCCCTCACTACTCCGCTACCGCCACCCATGCCACTAACGCTGAGGAAGTAGCCATTGCGGAGTTTGCCGTACTTGAGCGAGCGGGTGTGCAAGCTTGCGCTGCCGTCTTGGAAGAGTTGCTGGACTTCTGCTACCAGCAGCTCTCCCTCCGAGAAATAGGACCGGATGTTGAGTTCATCCACGCTCGTGCGTTTTCGTAGGATACCACCTGGTAGGTTGATGGATGACAGGAGCAGATTCGCAAGTAAGGGTGCGGCTACATCAACTTTCCAGCGCCGGGACTGGACCTCTACAATCCGGCCGATGACGAGGTCACCTATCTCTGGTGTGTAGCGTGCGCGAAGTGGGATGATGCTGAGGAGTTTGTTGGTCTTCTGCAGTGTTCCCGCCAAAGTGGAGCGGATGTTCACAGCATCGGAGTCATCCGCATTAAATGTGCCGTGTCCTCGCATCCATTGCGGGTCTTGCGTCACAAGCTGTCCAGGTGTGAGGATGTTTTGAGCAGTCCGCTGGTGGCCGGTGGGTAGCGAATCGATGTCCATGTCGTCTTCGTCCACGGGAGAATCGCCATCCTGGGTCTTGTGAGCCGTTGGCACCGGCGCTGGCGCGGGTGGGAGCACCGAAATGGCCATAGTGCCTGATTGAGTCTCTCTTGATAGCGTGAGGCCTATGTCCCAAGCATGCCGGCGATCATATGTTGATGGCTGCTTCTTCAAGGTGCTTTGAGGTCGATTTTGACTTCTCACGTGTTCATCCTGCAAGGCTGCCTCAGGCAAAAGCAGAAATTCCGCCAAGAGTTCGACCTTCCAAAACTTCGAGCGTGACTCCTCCACACAACCCTCCACCCAGACACAGCGACGATGAGACCCATACTACTGTCTGGACACGAGCGCGCGCTCACACAAGTGAAGTTCAGCAAAGAAGGCGACCTCCTCTTCTCCGTCAGTAAAGACCACATCATCTGCGCCTGGTACAGCGCCAACGGCGAGCGATTCGGTGCATACAAAGGCCACCAGGGTGCGTTATGGACTGTCGATGTGGACCCAACAACCACCTTCCTTGCCTCAGGCGGAGCTGATAACACCATCCGACTGTGGGAGGTACGAACGGGTAGACTGCTGAAGACATGGGAGTTCACTACGAGCATCAAGCGAGTGGAGTTTAGCGAGGATGGGAGGCAGCTGTTGGGCGTGACGGAAAAGCGGATGAACCAGTTGAGCACAGTCATTGTGTACGACATCAAGCAGGATGTGGAGGCGGAGCAGGGCGATGAGCCGAGCCTAAGGATTGTGGTGGACGAGCTGCCAAAGGTCACGGTCGCGGGATTCAGCTACTTGAACAAGTACATCATCACCGGGCACGAGGATGGGAGTGTGAGTCAGTACGACGCCAAGAGCGGCGAGATGCTGCACAACGCCTTTTCTCACGACGACGGCATGCAAGTCACGGACCTGCAGTGGTCGGCGGACCGAACATACTTCATCACCTCGTCGAAGGATAAGACTGCCAAGCTACACGCAGCCGACTCCCTGGAGGTCATGAAGACATACCCTACCGACACTCCATTGAACTCAGCTGCCATCACGCCAGACCCAGTTCAATACGTGATTCTGGGCGGTGGACAAGCAGCTATGGACGTAACGACAACAAGCGCACGGCAAGGCAAGTTCGAGGCAAGATTCTACCACAAGATTTTCGAGGAGGAGATTGGTCGTGTGAGAGGTCACTTCGGGCCACTCAACTATGTGGCTGTCGACCCCACGGGCAAGTGCTACGCAAGTGGTGGTGAGGACGGATATGTACGGGTGCATCACTTTGACGAAAGCTATTACGAGTTCAGGTATGAGGTGGAGAGGGAAAGGGAGCAAGGAATACGGTTTTGAAGGATGAACGACCTCGATGTCATGCTGGGCTTGGGCTGCGGGAGGTCCGCATAGCAAGGCGTTCCTGGCGTGCAGGTGGGCACTGTGAGTGATCTATACGAATTACTCCATAACCTTGCTACCACCACCGTGTCTCTCATGAACGTTCCTCAGCTTCGACGAAGTCCCAAACTACGTGGTCCCGGTGATCCCGCCACTCACTGAGATGTACTGTGCAGTGATCCAGCGGCTCTTGTCTGACACCAGCAGAAGCGTAGCATCAGCTACATCCTCCACTGATCCGAGGCGATCAGCAGCTCGCGTCTGTGCATACATCGAACGCTGAAGGTCAGTCGGAGACCCGTCAGGGGCCACCAGGTACGCTGTCGACATGTCTGTTGGAACCGGACCAGGTGCGAGTGTGTTGACGGTGATCCCACGGCTCTTGCCAAGCTGTGCAGCGGTTTGTCAGATGACTTTTGAGCTCAGAGAGCTGAGGAACGCCAAAGGGAGCTTACCTCGCCGGCCCACAGCGTTGTCAGAGCATCCATCGCAGCCTTTGTCGTACTATATATTGGTGGCGGGACCAGCACCTTCGAAGCGATGGAGCCGACGTTGACGATGCGGCCACCCTCCGGCATTCGACCGACGCCAACAACAGCTTGTGTCATGTAAATGACGCCGAAGACATTAACTGCAAACTCATGTTCGAGCTGATCTTATGCTACTTCCAACAGAGAGGTGTTGCGTGCAGCCGCTGCACTGTTGACTGGAAGATGTGAACAGTCAGGCATTTCCAACCATCACGAATCGACCTCACTCCGCCCCTGGACGTACCGAGAATATCGATGTGATCAACACCAAGTTCTTTCAGAATCTGCTCAACCATGTCCTTCGCGGTGTCGTAACTCTCCACCCCTCCTTGCACGACGGTGGCCTTCGTGCCGAACTCTTTGCTAATATCAGCTGCTACATTCTCAGCCCGCGCCTTGGAGTCTTTCGAGACATAATGGATCGCGGCAGCTACGCCGTTGCGGGCCAGCGCTCTCGCAATCCCGGCACCGATGCCGGTTTCTCTGCCAGATCCTGTGACCAGAGCAGTCTTTCCTGCAAGTGAGAGGGTGTCGGGCGACATGTTTGGTTGTGCGAGAAGAGGAAGCTGTGGAAGTAATGGATTGCCCGGCTCTCTTGAGTTGTGAACTTTAAACCGGCAACTACCTGTGTTTTATATCCATCACTGCGTTGACTACATGATAGCGCTTATCATCATTCTCATCGTGCTACACAGACATTGTTATCAATCATTGAGGTGTACAACGCCGAAGTCCTGAATTGTTCGTGTGCTGACGACTATGCGGACTTCGGCCCTCGCCGTGAAACACAAGATCGTACCTGATCAATTGTCAAGATCTTACCACATGGACTACTCTTCACACTCTTCGATCTAATAACTGCTTTGCTTTATGAAACCAAGCATGAGTACTTGAGCAGCCATCGTGGCACTTACAGTGAGCTTCTTTGCACTACCTTCTAGAAAGCTCGCTTCCCTGTCAAGCAGGTGGACCACTGGTGACATTGGATGGTGCTGCTTAGAGGACGAGGATGACTGGGGATGTGCCAGGCAAGATTCTGAGTGGAGGGAGTGTATTCGGCAATCTCGAATGGACTTAAACCCTCCGGCAAATATTTCGATTTACAGCATGGTCGTTGCGGCCGCCTGGGCTGAAGCGTGGTCAAGATGCAGCGTTGATCAAACGTTGCGCACATCATGCCCTTGATCTTCTTGCCCGGTCAGATAGTTCTGATCCTTTTTACATGGCATATCGCCGACTCGGTGTTTGATATCGCCATGTGTGGTTGCCCTCCGGAAGTGACGATAGCGTCTTTAAATCTCTGGAGTGCCATTTGATAGAGCTGCTCGTTCAGCAGTCGCCGAAGACCATCCTTTAGATCCAGATCAGATGACTGCGCAGTTGGATTCGCCGTCTGATCTTCTCGTTGTGTGGGCCAAAGATCGGGCCTTCCTAAGCTCTCAATTTGGCTGATGGGTTAGTAGACGTCCTTCTCGCTCCTTTTGATGCGGCTGATAATAACTTCGTTCACTAATCACCAGCGGCTGTTGAGGCTCCGGCATCCTTGCGAGATGGGTCAGGATTCTACGAAATCTAATCTCGTCCTGACTCCTGCTCGGCGTCGGTTCTTCCCAGAGCCGACATATTGTGGGTAGCGGCCCGCCTGCGGGAATGCCGCGGTCCAGGTGGATCTCGTCTGAGGTCAGGTTTGATTCTTTAATACCACAACCTACCGCCATCATGAAGACAAGGAGACCGAAGACCATACCATTGCTCATTTATCAACTGTGACCGACATCTCCACCGCTTCCTCGACGAGAGAGTGAGGTTGAGGATCAGTAGACAATCACATGCAATGTCGTCACGATTAAGCTTCGTCGCCACGGCGTTAAGGCGATCTGGTACCGGTCGTTGGGGTGTCAAGAATGTGCCGCTTAACCGGACCGGCAGCAATAGGAACCCATCACATCTGCAAGGAGATTGTCAATCAATGCGCGGTAGGCTTTTCGGACTTTCATCTTCATCCATCGTACGGACGTATTCCGTCCGTTTGCTTGTGTGGCGTGTTCCCTTTTCCTCGAGACTTCCTCTTCTTCTCTTCTTCTTGACTTCTGCGATAGAGGGGAAGCTCTGCATCAGAAACAACGATTCCTTATCACTAGAGTCTCTGAAAGACGGTGGCGGCCATGGATAAGCTTGAAAGGATCATGTCGCGGCCTGTGGCCAAGCCATATCGCTCCAAAGGCATCAAGGACAACGCGACTCCGCATTTGAACGACGATGGACTGCTCGACTTTTCTCCTGGCGACATCGAAAATCCGAAGAACTGGAGCAAAGCTCGGCGATGGTACATCACGTTCGTCTCGGTCCTTCTTGTCGTCAACGCAACGTTCGCATCCAGCGGTCCGTCCGGCGCTCTACAGGGCATCAGTGAGACATTCGCAGTCTCTAGAGAAGCCTCCGGACTGGTGATTACGCTCTTCTTGCTTGGTTATGTGTTTGGACCTTGTGAGTATCTTGTTTGCCATGATGGAGAGTCGAATGGCATCTAACAGTCATACAGTGGTATGGGCACCTTTGTCCGAATTCTACGGCAGACGATGGATTTTCTACCTCACTTTCGTCGGCTACTTTGCATTTACCTTTCTCTGCGCCTTCACGCCTACCTTCGCAGGGCTGCTCGTCGGTCGCTTCATCACTGGGACGTTCGCAGCAGCCGCGCTGTCCAACTCTCCAGGCGTGCTGGTAGATATATGGGGCCCGGTCGAGCGCGGTAACGCCATGGCGCTCTTCAGTATGATGACGTTCATTGGACCGGCTCTTGGTCCCGTCACTGGAGGCTTCATACAGATTACTGTTGGATGGAGGTAAGTGCTTCAAGAAAGCGGACTCGCGAACGCCTGCTGACTGCAAGCTTCACAGATGGGTATTCTACGAACTCATCTTCTTCTCATTCGCAACCATGATCCTGCTCTTCACGATCCCGGAAACTCTACCTAGCATGGTCCTCATGAACAAGGCGAAGCGCATCCGAAGATCCCAAATACCCGGCTACGAAAACGTGCAGGCTCCAGTCGAAGTCACAGACCGCTCACTTATCGGCATCTTCAAAGTCGCCCTTGTACGACCCTGGATCATCCTTTTCGACCCCATCTCCCTCCTCTGCGCGATCTACATCTCAGTGGTGTACATGCTTCTTTACATGCTCTTCTCCATCTACCCAATCGTCTTCCAGGAAAAGCGAGGCTGGAACGCCGGCGTAGGCGAGCTGCCTCTGATCGGGACGGTCGTGGGGGCGGTATTCGGCGGAATGTACGTCTTCTGGGACACAAACCAGAACAAGAAGAAGGTGCTCGCTGGCCATCAGCTCGTGCCGGAAGATCGTTTGCCAATGGCTATGTTAGGCGGGGTCATGTTCCCGATTACAATGTTCTGGTTCGCATGGACGGCGGAGTACAACTCGGTGCATTGGATCGCGTGTACGATGGCTGGCGTGTTCCTCTCGTCGGCCATCCTGCTCATCTTCGTTGGGTACCTCAACTACCTGACGGACTCATACTTGATGTTCGCCGCATCCGCCCTCGCCGCCAATACCGTCGCACGATCCGCTGCTGGTGCCGCTGCGCCACTCTTCACGGACTACATGTTTACAGCGCTGGGCGTTGGCGGCGGCGGTAGCTTGCTCGGCGGTGTTGCCGTCTTGCTCATGCCGATTCCATTCCTATTCTACAAATTCGGGCGACAGATACGTATCAAGTCTAAGTTTGCCCCCGCAAGCGACAAGCCCCCGGAAGGCGAGAAGGATCAGCCGGCTGGTGAGAGGCCGAGAAGCCAGCTCAGCACTTCGAGCGAGGAGGAGTTGGAGCTGGACGAGGAGATGGGTGTTCCTGCTCGTCAGAACGCGAAGGATGTTGATAATGAGAAATCGGAGACCTCCAGCCCCGTGGACGACCATACCGGTGAAGACAGATTCTTGGACGCATCGGGGCTGGAAAAGGCGGAAGCAGCCGGTGGACGCTGAAAACCGTCATGGAAACAGCGAATGCATTAATCACTACTTGCCAACATCCGGTTCGAACACCCATTCGACGGCCAAAGCCTTCTCGCAGTACCGTCCGCAGTCATGACCTTGCTGGAATCACTCCCGGTCCTGCCTTTGACATGTTCATCCTCACTTCAAACAGATTCCCGACCGACATGGTTGCACATGCGCGTGCATAGCCGGAACATGACGGCGGGCCGCATATCTGCTTCTACTGGAAAAGCTTCCGGATTGAAACGGCGTGCGATACTTCTTTTCACCAAATGCTCCGAAAAGTCTGCGGACTCTCGATGGAACTTCTGGGCGATCGCGATATCGGCTTTATGTTCGCACGATTCCGCAAGTTGCATATAGGCCTCGACCTTGTCCTCTTCGGACACATCGACGACCTGTATGCGAGCGTCTCCAAGCAATCCAACCAGGCCTGTCATAACTGCGGACTTGAAGTCGGAATGCACCACGATAATACGCATCACTACCAGCCATTTTGGCAACTTTTTGAGAGCCTCAAAATCGCGACGGTCGCCGTCGCTGAGCTTCCTTTGGGACACAGGGATTATCCAACTGGGATCAAACTCATCATCCGTGGACTGCTCATCGAAGGGATCTACCATGTCAAAGTTGGGGTCAATGCCTTCGATCCTCATTGAACCGCCGACTGACCCGTCCGATGCGTTCCATGCGAGAAAGGGAAGCGCATGATCGTAGATCGGTGGCCAATCAACATCGCAGGTAGACTCCCAGCTCGAATGAACAGTGTCTCGGGCGCGATCTCGCCATCCGTCAATGATTTCCATCGTATGGTGCCATTGAGCTTCCACGGGCCAATCGCGAGTGAAGTTCGACGGCAGCATCCCGCCAGACTTGAAAGCGACACTCCTGGACTCCCAGCATACGCACGAGACTACTGGTGGGCGTCTATTCTCGAACGTCGTCTCCCAGAGTTCGCACGGCCACGGGCCGATGTCGATGTTGTTGGGATTGTCACGGTCGTAGAATATAATGTAAGGGACCGCCTGATTCACTTCGCGGACTCGATGTGGAAGGCAGAGACACCAGATCTCCTCGCGCAATTCGGCAGGAAGCTTGGGAAACAGACGGAACTCGGAGGTTTGGGTGGACATGTTTTGAGGTTTTGTTGGATGACTTACAGTCTCCTCTGTAGTAACAGGAAAAGAGCATATCAAAGGAAGGGCGAAGAGAGAAGAGAATACCTAGGGAAGGGTGACGACTACTTAGTGTTGACTCAGAGTACGGCACAGCACGTTGCCGCCCATTCTTAAGCGCTCGTATAAATGGCGCATCTGATAGGCGTCTCTTGAAGAAGGCTTGAGGTCGATGCATGCACGTCGTACTGCTGAGCCTCATGTATAGGCGCGTATGATGAGGCGCTTAAGGAAGAGTTCATGTTGACTTTCACATGCCAATGCAAGATTGAGTGACGGCTGGCCCCGAGCGAGATCGAGCTTTACTGTATTGGGAAAGCACCTCGGCCAACAATTGTCGTTGACGACATTCAACTCCACTGAGTAGCATGTGAGCGGACGCAGGTCCAGAGCACCACCGAGCACCATCGAAGTGGCCGAGGTTTGGTCTCGTAAGCTGTACCGTAGGTCAACGTAGGAAGCACTTTAGATCTCTTCCTATTTCTCTCCGGCAATTCTATTCCATCTCGTCTACTACAACCCACATAACTCAGCAAGCAAGACAGATCGGAACAACGAACAGCAACACCCTCAGCCCCCCAACAATGGCTCCCTCAGTAAGCCCCCCTCCCTCCCCTACCCAATCTCCCTCACTAACACCCCCTACCCAGGACCTCAAATCCTCCCCCAAGAAATCCCTCAAAGACCTCGCATCCGAAAACCCCACCCAAATCGGCGACCCTGTCTCCCTCAAAGCCGAAACCTCCAACACCCAGCCTACGGAACACGACATGCCGAACAAAGCCGACCGCGCGAGGCCTGTAGGAGGAGAGGGTGCGAAGGAGGGGGAGCAGGCGAATCGGAGTCAGTTGGGGGATCCGGTGAGTTTGAAGGCGGAGCCGAGTGGGAGTGAGCCGACGGAGGAGGATAGGGGGGCGAGGGGGACTGAGGGTAAGAACGGGAAGCCGAAGATGTGAGCTCGAGGAATATTGAGGTAGCGGTAGTGATGGGACGATAAGAGGTGGGCAGTGGGTCGGAGGGGTCGTGTAACATTCTGGATACAGAAGGCAAGTGAAGTTGTCGCTTTTCAGGTGTACATATTCGACTACAGGCATACCCTCTTACTGCTCACTATCTGTTTCCTCTCACTTCGAAAAGAACTCATCTTATCCGAGCACCACTACCTTACTTCCGGTCACTCTTGCTTTGCCCTCACCATCACGATGGACTTCCCAACACCACCACCGACAAGCGGCAAGCAAATCCGCTTCATGCAAGGGCCTAAGCATCCTGAATACTATGAAGACCTCTACGGCAAATTCAACGAGGAGGAAACGGTCGAAGGAAAAGCAGACAGGTGTGAGAGCGACGAGAGCAGTGACGAAGACGTCGAGCAACCAGACTCTCCGTCGAAGAAGACGACAGTCGACCTGGGCTTCTTCAAAAGGCTCGCTGCACCAAAGTCAAAGGAGGCGCTGCCGGAGTTTGAACTGGAACAGTTCGGTGAACGAAAGTTGAGAAAGGGTAAGTTCAAACATTTCACTGCTCACTCTGACACAGGAAAATGAATCGCTTGCTGCCTGCTCTGACCTTTCCTTTCTCGGACCGGAAGTTTAAACAAACGAAACAACTTACCTGACACTTCTCCCAGGTAGAGGCGTCTTCGACTACGTCAACAAGCTCGACGCACCACTACCTCACTCTTACCACGAGGGAGGTGAAGGATACAAGATCGCACCGAGCGTGAATCCGAAGCACTCAATCGCCGCGCCTCGAAAGACACCAGCGAGGAAGCTCATACCGCATAAGAACGGCATGTTCGGTACTCCTTCGTCTGCGAGGATGCCTTACTTCGCCGACGGGTACGAGGATGGGTACGAGAACAACTCAGCCGGGGAGATGATGGACGATATGCTCGGACCCGTTTCGCCCCCTGCCGCCCGCAACGACGACCCTGCTGTAGACAGCACAGTCGCGACCCCGAAGAAGAAAAAACTCACGCGCGGCAAGAGCCTCGTCATCGACCCAGCGCTCCTCACGGACGAGCAAGGCGCCTTCGACGGAGAAGCTGAAGGTTATGAAGGCAACGTATCCGAAACGAACGGCAACACCGTGGCGATGAACCGGATCCCAAAGTCGAAGACCAAGAAGAAGTCGGCAGCGAACCAGCTCCTCAACGGCATCACCGCCTTGCCAGCCAGCTCTGCCAGCCTCCTAAGCCTGAAAGAAGAAGTCCACCGCTCCGCTGCGAACGCCTTCGCATCCTCAAAGCGCCGTAAAGTCGAAGACCAGGAACCAGCTGCGCGCACATCCCCACGCATCGCGAACGCCAGAAAGCCGAGCAAAAGAAGGAGCAAAAGGCGCTGCTGAAGCAGTTCAAAGCGTCGCCGTTGGGGCGTGTGACGAGTAACAGCGGGAAAGGGGTCGCGCGCAGTGAGAAGGTGTGGAGGTTGAGGAATTGGAAGGGGGAGAAGATCGCTAGTGGGACGGGGATGGTGGTGGTGGAGGAGGGGGAGGTGGAGGATGTGCGGGAGTTTGTGCGGTACGATGAGTAGGAAGAGAGTGGTGGTGGTGGTGGTGGTGGTGGTGAGAGCATGTGATGATGTTGCATGCCGCGCCGGGAAAGAGCCGAGTTTAGCGTGGTGCTCTAGAGTAGCGTGGTGGAGCGATCTCATCTTGCATTCACGTGCATTCACGCGCGGCTTCAAGACGGAAATGAAAGGGGATGAGTTGGGCAGGAACAACATCGAGTTGGCAATTCGTGTCACATGCCAGTAGCTCAAGAAGGAATACGTCCGACATCGTCTGTGTAACACCTCCCACAATAGAGTGTCATGTGCTAAAGTCAATGATTATTCGACGTTGGCCAAGCGTCCGGCCGTGCGCGTCCGAGTGCTGCACGCCTTGTTTCCAGCCCGTTGCTATCCAAGATCCAAGATACTGCTCTTCTATCCTTTCTCACTACAACTGCCCCCCGGACACGCCGCCATTGTCGCGCTGTCCTACCACCTCCGCCATTCGTTTCTCGTCTTAGCGGAGCTTTCCACCAAACAGGTCGCCTTCCCGATCAGCGCGCCGTCTCTGATTGTCCGTGACAGCAACACGAACGAGCTTCATAGAGGCAAAAGAGCATGACGACGAACGGCGATGCCGCGCCTCAGGCGCCGGTCAGCGGGGTGGGCAATGGACCGCAAGTCCTCAGCACGACCGCGCACCTCGAGGTTATCTGCGGGCCCCTCCTCAACTACCGCCGCATGAGCAACGAGCACTCGTCCAACCCGATATGGCACGGCAGTGTGCTCATCGTCACCACTCCTGGCCAGCGACCAGAGCCTCTGCGCTTGCGTCTCGGCGGACTGACGGGGAGCAATGATGCCAGCGCTGGGGGCGACACGCGCGAACGTACCTTTGAGGCGATCAAGCTGTACGAGGACCCGCGCAAGGCCTTCTTCAACTACGAGATCGATCTCCCTTTCCAAGAGCAGGAGTCGAGATGGGAATACTTAATCCCGGACATGGTCACTGCGGGTGGTATGCACCGCCAGGACCCAGACAAGCCCACGCGCTTCTGGGTGCCATCCAAACATGAAAGCTTCCGCATCATGTTTCACTCCTGCAACGGCTTCTCGGTCGGCACGGATATGGAGACGTGGAAGGGACCGTCGCTGTGGAACGATGTGCTCCGCATGCAGGCCCAGCAGCCCTTCCATGTCATGATCGGTGGTGGCGACCAGATATACAACGACAGCGTGCGCACGGATGGGCCGCTCAAGCCTTGGACTGCCATCGGAAACCCCAGGAAGCGCCGCGAATTCCCGTTCGACGAGGACATGCGCGCTAGGTGTGATCAATACTACTACGACAACTACGTGACCTGGTATGGTACGGAGCCCTTCGCCGCTGCCAATGCGCAGATACCGCAGCTCAACATCTGGGACGATCACGACATCATCGACGGCTTTGGCTCGTATACAGACCACTTCATGCAATGCGCCGTCTTCCGCGGCATTGGCGGCGTAGCGCACAAGTACTACATGCTGTTCCAGCACCACATCCCACCGCCTGCATCCACCTTCACGACCGCAGCGAAGGAGTCGAAGCATCACGGTGTCCACAGTGCCAAGGCTGCCGCACCCAAGCTGGAGACTGAAGGCCAGCCGCTGGATCCAGTGCAGCTGGAGCGCACATTTGTGATGAAGCCAACGCATGAAGATCCGTCCTACATCATGGGCCCTCGAGCAGGACCGTACGTCGAAGAGCGCAGTCGCAACATGTACTGTCAACTCGGCAAGCGTATCGCATATGCTGGAATCGATGCGCGCACTGAGCGGACTCGCCACCAGATCAACTACCCGGAGACATACGAATTGTTCTTCAACCATCTTTCGAAGAAGATCGGAGAGTCCAATGGCGAGATCAAGCATCTTGTGTTGCTTCTTGGTGTGCCTATCGCATACCCGCGATTGCAATGGTTGGAGAACATTCTGCAGTCTCCTCTCATCGGCCCTATCCGCTTCCTGAACAAGCGCTTCGGTGTTGCTGGAGGTCTCTTCAACCAGTTTGACGGTGGCGTGGATCTTCTCGATGACCTGGACGACCACTACACAGCGCATCAACACAAGAAGGAGCGCAAAGATCTCATTCATCGCATCCAGAACCTCGCCAAAGAGCACTCCGTCCGCGTGACCATCCTCGGTGGCGACGTCCACCTCACAGCCCTCGGCCGCTTCTACAGCAAACCCGAGCTCAACATCCCCGCTGAAAAGGACTTCCGCTACGTCCCCAACATCATCTCCAGCGCCATCACCAACAAACCCCCACCGCAAGCCGTCGCCAATCTGCTCGCCAAACGCAACAAGATCCACCACCTCGACCACGAAACCGACGAGACCCTCCTCGAGCTCTTCGACAAGCAACCCGGCGCCGGCGAACCAGGCGTCAAGCCCAAGTCCGCCGCCGCTAACAAGTGCACCATGCCCAGCCGCAACTACGCCATCATCGCCGAATCGCACCCGAACCACGGCAGCACGGGCGCCCCGAACGGCGCTCTCGCCAACGGCGACGCAGCTGAGCACGGCGACGGAACGGATTTCACTCTGCCGAAGAACATGCGCGAGCCGATCCACAAGGGTGAACTACACGCCGGCGCCGCGCACCCTGCTGCCACTGGGCTCACGCGCACCGGGCTTGCGGGGTTGGATGGACTAGACGTTACTATAAGAGTCGAGAAGAACCCCGAGGATACGAGCGGGTATACGGAGGGATATGGGTTCAGCGTGCCGGCGCTGGATAGTCGTGGCTTCAAGGGGCACGGGCGGGATTGGTAGGACTATGCCCCGTTGACTGTGGACTTTGGAGGTGCGAGGACCAGTGCTGATGAAGATGAAGGTGAAGGTGAAGGTGAGAGTGGGAGACGCAGTGCAGCTAGTCGACTTGAAAGTGGTGGGCAGCGTGGGAGTGGAGAGAGGTATGTTCCGCCACCCGAGGCTGTTTCGGAGGTGCCTGGGTGGAGAAGGATGATGAATTGTTTCTGGGGTGAAGGGGACGGTGCGATTGAGCGGGAGAAGGTGCCCGGGTTGAGGCGGTTGAGTCAGAATATGTAATATAGCCTCGCAGTGTTGAAAACACTAGAGGTGCGGTGGCTACAGAGAATCAAGGGAGGGATGAGATACCCACAGAGCATGTACTTTGGTAGTATTACAAATGGCGCTTAATGGGCTGAGAGTATCTGTGTCGCTTCTTCTTCTTTCGTTTTCATTCCATTACGAAAACAATCCGTCCCTTGATCTACCACGGGCGTTGAGATCAGAACCCAGACTTCCTCTTCTTCCTCGCCGGCCCCCTGCCCCCATGCCTGCCAGGCAAAACCTGACTAGCCACCATCTGCTCCTGGCTCATCCCCTGACTCTGACTCCCCACCTTCACCCGCTGCGTCCCTTGACTCATCGCCTGCGCCGCCGCTCTCGGCTGACTCGCGCTCACAACGTACGGCGCCTGGCTACTAAGCGCTTGCTGTTTTTGACTCTCCTCTGCCTCGCGGCGCTGGCGACGCAAGTTCCGCTCTGCACGGCGCTGAACACGCTGACGTTCGCGCTCGGTCATGTCTTCGTTGGAGAGACCGGCGTTCTCGTTTTGGGAGATGGTGTGGCTGGTGGTGCGCCAGTCGTAGGTTGAAGGGTTGTCGCCGAGGTTCCAATGGGTGAGGACGCGGTTGAGGCGGCGGGGAAGAGTTGGTGTGGTCGTTGCGTTGGTGAATGCGGTGTAGCGGCTTAGGCGGGCGAGGGATTGCGATGTTTGGGCGGTCGAGTAGCTGGTGCCCGTTGCGCTTGATTGAGGTGCGGATGTTGATGCCGAAGGGGTAGGTAGCGGAGGTGGCTGAAGCTCGGGGCAGACTTGCGATTGACTCGAACCTTGCAGCTGGCTCGAGAATTTGGCATCGATGGTCGGGCCAGGCTGCTGCGAGTAGGAGGCAGGCGCTGAACGCAGTGGCAGCTTCCATTCCTGGCTTTGTGGCTCTTGCTCCGGTTCTTCCACTGGCTCTGCGCTTTCGAGGCGAAAGACTTGGCTAGCGAGTGCTAGCTCTACACCCATGCGTTGTGCCAGGTGTTCTCTGGTGTGCCGCACCAACTCTGGGAGGTCGTCAGGCAAATGGCTTGTGAAGACTTTTTGCGCTGCCTGATCGTAGACCGAGAAGGGCTCGGAGTGAGCATTGGCCGGGAGCTCGAGAGCTGGTGGAGGTGCTACGGGACAGAGAGTTGGCCGCCTTCGAGGCTCGTCCACTTCAGCATCCCCACGCATCCCATTCACAGCAATCACCTTGAGACTGTTGAGCTGTTGATTACTACGCCCGAGGTTGGAGATGGTCAACTCGCCGTCTGTAAGCTCTCTGATCGTCTTGAGTGGCGTATCATGTACACTATTCTCATTGCGTAAAGCATCGCGCGTTTCTTCCAAGACTTCATCGACATTGGTGACCTGTGAGACATCCACATCATTGAGCTGGCGAACGCTGAGTTTGTAGCCGATCGTCCACTCATCTCCGGTGGTAGGGAGCGCTTCTGCCCGTCGACGTTGGACGTATGCAGACTGTGGTCGTGCAAGCTGGGCAGACTCTGCAGCGATTTCGACATCGTCATCATCGACCATGAAGTCGTCGTTCGCGACTCTGGTGACGCTTTTGGGGAGAGCCTTTCGCCATGTTGGTGGACTGAGATGTGGTGTAGTGGCACACATGCATTCGTGCAGTGCCGAAGCGCTATCCAGAGAGAAGATGCTGTAGAGGCGAGGCATTTCGGCGTCGTGCTCGTCGATGGATTGACCTTCCAGTTGGTCGTAGAAGCCTTCGCTGAGGTACAGATCCACGATTCGATGTGACGCAGAGTTCTCTGGTAGGAACCGCGAAAGGACGAGCTCGACAGCGTCGTCCGTGGTAACGAATGTTTCATCTGAGATGTCCAGAGTGTATACGGTAATCGTTGGAGTGGCGGTTGAGAAGATAATGACAGCAGTGTCTGCAATCGATTAGCACCAACCACGAGCCTGATCAGTCTTGAGAATCACCTTGCTTGGTCTCGACAAGGCGCAGACATAAGGTTATGTCCTCCGGGTTGCGGTAGTGACGGATCGCAATAGATCGGTGGACCACAAGGTTTGATCCAGGCCGCCTGTTGATGCTGTAGACCACCAGATGCTCTGTCGTCAGTATGCAGAGGATGCGAGGAGTCTGTTCCAGAGCGGCCATGTCCAAGATCCATCCAGACCCGCTCTCTAGGGCAACATCGTAGTTGAAAGTTTCGAAGAAGAAGCCTTCTGAGACTTCGAAGATTTTCAGCTGACATCTGTTGCACACTGCGATGAGGGTCGTATCAAAGACCCAGGCAATGCGTGCCCAGCCGTCGTCAACAGCTTGCGCATTGTCATGGCTAGCGTCATTGTGGAGCGAACCTTGGCATACGCGCTTTGGTCCGGCTCCTTTCTCGCCAGGCAGCTGCCAGACTGACCACAGATTGGTCCGGTCAACGAAAGCGATTCGGCGGGTAAACCATGGGTCAAATGCAACGTCGGCGTGAGGTGTCTCTCCGGTCTCCGGGTAGGTGAACTCATACACAGAGTGTGTTTCCAGGCGGGACTCCGTATAGCTAGGTGCATGGCTCATCACCGGTCTAAGCACCACTGTTTTAGTCGGAAGGCGAACAGCTAAATACGTGTTCCCTCGGCCATCCGGATGCCCAGAAACAAGTCCTTGTATAGGTGCGCCGGGGCCTATCCATTTCGTACTTTCGCCGTGCACAGTGGGGACACGAAGGCATGGACGGTGCACGCTGCCCCACCCTTGCCGTGGAAGCTGGATTTGTGAGACCCTCAGATCGCTTCCTGTCGATCCGGAGACATACGCCACGATACGTGCGGGCTTTCTAACGGCCTTGTCGGATACTGTTGTTGAGACAAGGAGATTCGACCTTCCAGGGTCATGGCGGTCCGTTGCTTGTGTGATCACGTCAGATACTCGAGCAAGTGGTGCAAGTAAATCAGAAGCTGCTTGCAGCTCCGGGGCTCTCGCTAGGAGAGCTTTAGTCTGGCTCACTAGCCGCGCAGATGGTGGCGCTTTGCTCGGTTCATCATGGGCTGGAAGCTCGGAGTCCTCTTGGTGATGAACAGTCCGTGGTGATCCGACCGCGTAAAGAGATGTTGCAGAGGCAGTAGAGCGCTCGAACGTCCATTGCGATTTGTCTGGTCGATACAGAGGTCGTTCATGCGAGCCGTAGCCTGCGGAATCGCGGTCGCGCTCACCCATATCCTGAGCGCTTTCTTCGATGGACGTGTGGATGTGGTCCAGACATGGTCGTCTGCTGCTGAGACGCTACTGCCGAAACTTCGAGATCTGTTCAATAGGTTTTATCGTGTTCTTGCCGGCTGATCCTTCAGAATGCGTGTGTCCGGCGGGTTGGAGCTGTACTAAAGAAAGGTGGACGTGTTTTCAGGTGAAGTCTTCATTGAACTAGCGTTGCGGGTCGGCGCGCGAGAGCCGGTCGTCCGTGCCAACGTTTGTTGACAAACTACATGTAACTCCGAATTTGGCGCTCTGCGACTGCGACTCCACCACCTTTACGTCTGCAATCGCAACAGCACCTCCTCTCGTAATCTTCCGGACTCTGCACAATCGCGAAGACAATCACCACCACCATCACCCTTCCGGCGAGATGGCTGCAGCTACGATGACACCAAGCCGCTTCGGCAACTCATTCTCTAGCTCGCAATCACAGTATGGCGCGCATACAACCTCGATGGCCGACAGCCTACCTACTATTGACTTTGGCTTCAACGATTTGCGCGAGCGCATGGCCCAGTTCACAGTGAGGTTTGACGAGTTCATCGAGAAGGGCCGCAAGCGGGTACTGGACGAGCACAACGCGTTCCGCATGAATGTGGCCGAATTGGAAGGTGAGCACCTGGCATGGTAGTTCATGTAGGCGCACAGGACGCTGACAGCAGACGCAGAGTCACGACGCGCAAGTGAAAAGGAGATCAGCAAGCTCCAATCGAAGTCAAGCACACACGCGCAGAACCTTGCCAAAGAAGCAGCAGAGACAGAGGAGATGCACGAAGCCATCCAAACACTTACGGCCCAGAAGGAAGAACACATCGCGCGCAGAGACCAGCTCAAAGACGACATCGGCAGTCTCAAGGCTACAATCAAGCAGAAACGAGAAGCGCAGTCGGCATATCAGCGGAGTCTGGACGCTCAAGCACGGCACAACGTTCCGGAACTAAGGTTCTGGGAGCACTGCTTGGGTCTGAGGATCGAGGGCAGTGCATCGGGAATGGAAGATCAGCTCCGGTTCGTGTTCGCTTGTATCGACGAAAAGGACGAGAGCAAGGAGTGCTGGTTTGAGCTTCGGCTGGGTGGGCCGGAATATGAGGTCGCGACGTCGAAGCCAAAGCTTGAGAAGGAGCGACTGGAGGAGATTGTACAGACGTTGAACGAGACGAAGGATGTCGGCCCGTTTCTGAAGGCGATGAGACGTTTGTTCGTGGAGACGCTGCCATTTGCTTCGTAGGACTAGGCACATGTTCACACCTTCCGAAGCGGTGCTCATGATTCGTTCATACTGCTACGTCTCAATTTCTCCAGGATATGTTTGTCGCCGCTTTCACGCGTTCTTGGCCCCCGGTCGGCCGGATCTTATGGTGGTTTGGGCAGTGCTGAGCAGGCTTGCACAGCCCAACTTCATCCCTCCCCGCCAGACATGCAACAAACCTGCATTCACTTAGTTAAGAACGGCGATGCTGCTCCGCACAATATCAAGTCTATGACGATGCTGTTCTCAAGACAACACTCCATTTAATCATTACAAACGGCGATTTATTCTTAGTTGCAGAGGCTCGAGAGAGGCGAAAGCGAATACGAATGACTCCGAAACAATGCGAAACACATCCACCATGATTGATCGACGGAACGAGCAACATTCGGGTTGTTTAAGATGTTCAGAGGAAGAACGGTTTCGTCAAGGGTAGGCGAGAAGGAATGGGTTGCGACATGGGGTTGCTTTTAGGGCATACGGTTAACCGGGAACCTATTCGCCAGGGTATATAGCACTTCCATCAACAATGGCCGGGAGCGATCGGCTTCGGCAGCAGCTCATACTCGCTGTCCCTCTCCGCGGACACTAGCAATGCCCTGCTGGCATAATATTTCTGAAGCTTCGCGCTGTTGCCATCCGCCTGGGCCTTCATCTGCGCCAGTGAGAGGTGTTCGCGGTGCTGTAGGTCCGGCTCTAGACCATGATAAAGCACAGCGACGCTATTGGTCTTCCACACCTGCATGTTCTGGCGTGTAGTCCTCAGGATCGTGGCAATGAGGAGCACTCAGGCCGTTGCTGAGAGCAGTATCGGCAGAATGAACCAATGCCATTTGACATGCACATACGTCCGAGTAGTGTACGCCACCCCGTGAACGCTTGGAGAGGGACCAGACGATCCGACAGAGCGGACGTAGTTGGTCATGGACATCGCTACATTCTTGAAGAGAGCATTGATATCTCTTGTCATTGTGAACAACTACATGATGTCGCTGACGTACGTGCCTGAGGGAACCAAGGCGGTATCAACCGAATTCTCACCCGCATAGGCGTGGTTCAGCCAGGTGGATAGTGAGCAGAATGGACCAGCTGGCACGGTGAATGTGGCGTTCTCCGATTCATGGCTCAAATTCCCAACAGCATCAAAATCGAGAACAATCCGCCCTGCATCTCCGCTCCTGAGATCGGATCCGTGGCTCAAAGGTAGTATGTCCACAGTCGACTGGCCATTGTTCAAGCGCCAGGCGTAGGTGTGCACACAGAAGTAAAGTGCGCATTACCAGGCGAAAGGGTCCCAGTGATAGGCTAGTGGTCGACAAAAATTCATTGGTTCCATAAACAATGCTCATTGATGTGCGCGGAAGGCCTTAGGTGATATTGAATAGCCCGTAGGTTCCATTCTCAGTTAAATTATGTCTCTTGATCGACTGGCGGACGGTCTAGTCGGTCACATTTGCGCACTGGCTGCAAACCGCGAGTGATGTGAATTCCGGGAACGTACAGTTTCCAGTGCCGCAAGATGGTGCCAAAGGGGCGGAGTTGTTGCTGTACAGACCTTGATAGATCTACGTAGAAGCATAGAGCCTGTCAGTGGGTATCTCAGAGGTCGAGCTGGGTGATCGAGTATACCGCAGCTTTCATGCCTGCTTCCGGTCCCTGCATTATGCCGGAGCTTGCTGCAAATTGACGATTATCGTATACTTGCGCACGAGGTGCCAGCGCGACAGCTCTTTTATCAGGCACTTCCCGTGGCGCATATCACACCCCCTGCTGCACCAAGGGCTCAAAAGCCAGCGCCGCAACCATGATGATGCCCGCCACAGTAACTAGGTGATTCGGCAGCGTCCGGAATGGCAGCCAGACAGCCCCTCCTGGTCCTCTTGAGGCAGCGTCGAAGAGCTCAAAGTCCGCCAGATCCCTCGGCCGGCTGAACCAGTTCCACCTCAGCTGGCCGATACATGCTGATACCGTGACGAGCAAGGCAGACTTTCCCACGACTGCTAGTAGCGATATCAGGGCGTCCAAGGTGATGCCGAGCGGCCATGGTGGTAAAGGGTGGCCATCGAAACGCTTCAGAACACCAGCATTGGCGGCGATGCAACCGACACTGAATAAGCAGGAAAGCAGCTCCCACAGCCACCAGTTATGCTTGAGTTGCACGAGGCGGTGGTTCTCGCTGGGCACTTCTTGAACCGCCTCATCCCGTTCAGTAGCACACTGCTTGTCCATCTACGCTGCGATGCTCCCTTTGTCTCGTTCTCTCTCTGTGGCCGGCTGACGAGTTTCCAGATTGCTTCCACGATGGCTTCCAGGTGCGAGACCAGTACGGGAGAGCCTAGAGGACAGCACTCCCAACCGAAAGCGCGGCCCTCGAGAGATCCAAATGAGACATTAGAAAGTGAATCCGCCTACCTTCCTGCTCGATATCCAGCCGCTTTCTGGAGTAATCTATACTAGTATGATCCTTAGCGAAATCAAAGGTCAAGAGGACCTTAACAACGAATACTCATCTCTGAGCGGAGGAGTCTTGTTGTTATCATCAATGGTGCTGTGGAGTACTTTGCCCCGTGGAGTTGCTGTCTGATGGTATCGCATTAGTGCGCTCTGTCTACGATCCGCGTGACATCAGCAAGATACAGAGTACATGTATTTCGGGCAGGTGATTACATGAGACCTGGAAGGATTCAAGGTTTCGAGCGAAGGATCGTGCATCGACAGGGGGGCAGCGAGTCTCCAACATCCGCCAAGTCTGCTTCGGTCTGCCGTAGGATCAATAGAGCTGCAGTGGGCGCATCCAGCCTAAACGGCAGGTCGGTAGGTACACTGCCTCACTGCATATTGACTTCTTCTCGTGTTCCTGGACAGGCCTTCACACTATCCGTTACAACCCCGGCACTCCGACTCCTAAAGCAACTCCACGACACGGGAACTCCAGGGCAGGCACATCCTCCGCTTCGGCATGCGTGACGAGAAGCCGCAGCATTATCTGCAGATGCCTAGTCACAGGCTTGTGTGCAGATCATAAACCTTCCTCGTCCTGCCTGCGGAGTATTCCAACCGTATATTAGTCTCCCTGCCGCAGTCGCACTTTGGGCTCAATGAGGTATCAAGTCCCGAACTGTTCAAGAATATGACCAAACCGAACCGCTCCAAGACGGAGACACCCACCGGACAACCCAAACCAAGACAAAGAAGATTTAATCCCAAAGTCAGGACAGGTACGTCCGTTTCCATTTGCTGTCCTACGATGATCTGGCTGACCACGAGACACAGGCTGCAAAAATTGCCGGTATGTCTTCTTCTGTACTACCACATAATCAACAGCTGACAAATGCCCAGGCTGCGACGAGTGAAGTGCGGCGAAGAGAAGCCGGCTTGTCGACGCTGTGTCTCCTCGAATCGTGTGTGTGATGGCTATGAACCCATCCGCATAGCCCAAACGAGTACCAGCTCGACGGGCGAGCTCACGTTGAAATGGATTCGACCTACGTCCCTCCCCGACACCACCGTCGAAGAGGACTCAGCGTTCCACCACTTTCGAGTCCATGTGGTGGACAGTCTGGCGGGGCTCTTCGATTCCTGTGTATGGCATCGCCATGTCATTTCCATCGCTATGCACGAACCTGCCGCTCGAAACGCGGCCATTGCTTTGGGCGCACTGGAGCGGCACGAGGACGATGGCAGCAACGATGAACTCGCCCTAAAACATTACAGCATGTCGATGCGGGCTCTCCACGACAAGATACCCCTACAAGGGCAGGCGGCAACGCAGCTGATTCTCGTAACATGTCTCCTGTTCGTTGCCTTTGAGCTTCGCAAGAACGGATGGTTACAGGCACGATCCCACCTCAACGGTGGAATGAAGATCATTCAGTCCCAGGACGACCCATCTCCATCCAGTGCAGGTGCCTTGCAGCCTTTGGTCGAGGCCTTCGAAAGACTTGACATTCAGGTGTCGCTATTCACCTCCGCAAGAACACAGCTCAACCGACCTGTAATGGACGAGATCAAGAGCCCGGCAAACCGAGAAGTAGTTTTCAGCAGCATCAATGAGGCCCATCATCACCTAAACCTCCGCATGGCTGCAATGTCAGAATTTGTACATTTCGCCGACCAACACCGGTTTACTGCGCAAGGAAAGGCGCGTCATGGATACGAGCCGTACGAAGAGCAGCTGCTCCAGCAACTGCGTTCACTCCGGGACTGGGAGTTGGCCATGTCACAACTGATGCTGAAGTTGACGCGCCCGAAAGACTTGTCTGCGGCAAGGATACTACAGACTCACCACATTTGCTGTCGTTTGATGGTATCGACCAGTCTCACGGATGGCCGAGAAATGCTTTGGGATAGCTACATCCCAGACTTCGAACGCATAATCGAGATTGCAGAGGAGCTTCCGCCAATGCTTCCCAAAACTGCACGCCGTAATTTCATGCTGGACATGGGTACGTCACCAATGGGCATGATCGGTATGGTTTGTGGCCTATGCTGACACACCTTAGGAATCGTTTCACCACTCTACTTCACCGCATTGAAATGTCGAGACCCCATATTGCGCCGTCGAGCCATCCAAATTCTCCAAGAACACAACTCCCAAGAAGGGGCCTGGGATAGCCGTACCATGGCGGCGGCGGCCTCTTCGCTCATGTTTGTTGAAGAGCGAGGTCTGCACGCTCCTCGGCGGGCAGCCGACATCCCTGAAACGAAGCGGCTGTACCGAGCACACTACGACTTGACGAAGAGTGAAAAGCGGCTTTACTGTAAAAGACGGCGCTTTGAGTCCGACGGTGAATGGATCGAGTATACGGAGAGTTTGGGCCTATGGCCAGGTAGTCCCATCAAAGCGGAGGAGCATGAATGATGGGTAGTCACTGAGAGGCTTCCTGGCTTTGCGTTGAGGACTGTCTTCTGCTGCCACTACTGATATCGTTGCGGTCGAGAAGATGGTGCAGAGCCATTGTGGACTTCGAGCTATATACGCATACCATACCCTTTTTCTCACACTCCACCAATGAATACCCGGACGGCAGTGAGGAGCCATTCAAGCCCTACCGATAAATTGTTACTGACTCGACAGTTCAGTCTAGCCGCGTTCAGAAATGCGAACGAGCACCAATAGAAATCACGTGCGACCTCTTTTCCTCTCTCTTCCTCAGCCTGCTCGATATTTTTGGACATCAACACCGTCCCTCTCAGTCCTTGCTCATTTGCACTGGCACAGGTAAGCTAAGTCTCTCACACAACCTCTAGTGCGACAAGCAATGCCTGCCATCGCTGGCGATGATCTTTACTTGAGCCTCCTCAGCTGGCAAGGCTGGCTCCTCCAAGGGCACGCGCGTGCAGTTTTTACGAACCCAATGACGTTTCGTTAACCACAGGTGTGGCGCCTTTGAGATGAATGTACCAAAGCAGTACATTTGATGGCGAAGCACACTGAACCACGACGAAATGGGAATCGCGAATCCGCAGACAATTTTGAAGATGGACGATCATGCGCGGCGACAACCTCTGGTGATAAGTATACAGTCGCGTGGGTCCCCTTCTTCTTTCGCGCCGCAAGCTGTGTATAGCACGACGCTCTCACAATGTTGTTCTCTTCCTTCCTTCTGTCTCTTGCTCTAAGCTCGATCGCTACCGCCAAACCGTGTCCCATTCTGGGTCCTGTCTTTGAGGCACCGACTGGCCTGGCTGATTCCCCCGTCCTAAAGGAGGCATTCGAGGTCCTACAAGCGGTCCTCGACAATGCTACAGAGACAGGCCAAACGCCTGCGGGACCTTGGTTCGGCTACAAAAACAACTCAATCGCTCTCACCGTGTTCGACACCAGCGACAGTGAATTCTTCTCGTACCAATACTCTTCATCCGTGCTACAGAAAGCCTCCCAGGGTGTCACCAAGATTACCGAGGACGCAATCTTCCGCATTGGAAGCTTGTCGAAGCTTGTCAGTGCTTACGCCTGGTTGATTGAAGCTGGTCCGACGTACTGGGATCAACCGATCACCAAGTACATTCCCGAACTGAAGAAGGCGGCTAAGAAATGCTCTGCTGCGGATGGCCCGATTGACTGCACGGATTGGGATGAGATCACGCTCGGAGCACTGGCAAGCCACCAAGCCGGCATCCCACGAGACTGTATATGAATCTCCGCGCTGCAGTCGGTATCGTTGCTAACCAAGCTGCGCAGACTCAACACCGGCGGAGCTGCTCGATCCCTTTTCGTCCGTGGGTGGAGGAGAGGGTGCCGTCGCGCTCGGACTCCCTCCATTGCCCGAATCGGCTCTTCCACCATGCGGCTTGGGCCCTACCGATGCCTGTAGTATTGAACGTATGTCTGCCCTTCCGCTCATGTCACTGACAAGACCTGACCCGACGCAGAGTGGCTCGCCGGCATAATCGCGGCAGACCCAATCTACGCCCCATTCTCGACCCCAGTCTACTCTAATGGCGGCTACATCATCCTAGCAGCTGCGTTCGAGCGCATCACCGGCAAAAGTACTTCGGATATGGTTGATGGTCTGTTCGAGAGACTCAACATGACGCAGTCCAGTTACTCGAATCCAGAAGGTCTGGACAATGCGGTCATCCCGCTTGGGGTCAACTCAGGGTATCAAGCTATCTTGGGCATCGAGTCTCCGTGAGTCGCTTCGTGCTTAATGACACCTGCCACGAAACCAAGCTGATCGTGTTGCAGAGTCGGCGGGTACTTCAGTACACAGTCAGACATCGCCAAACTCGGGCGAAGCATTCTCAAATCCAGTGAACTCTCGCCAGCAGTCACTCGCCAATGGATGAAGCCATCCATCTTCACAGAGAGCACCACAGCTGCCGTCGGCATGCCGTGGGAGATCTTTAGGGTCCCTGGACTCCTGAACGATCATGACTTCGACCTTTACACCAAGACGGGAGATGTGCTGGACTACAGCAGCCATCTCATCCTCAGCAAAGAGTACAACGTGGGCTTTGGAATGCTGGTCGCAGGAAACGATACGACCACCACTAGGAGTCTCCTTGCGGAGGTCATCACACCAATTCTGTTTCCCGCGCTCGAGAAAATTGCACGCGCTCAGGCCCATGAGAAGTATGCAGGCACGTACAAGTCGACAGGGGACGTAGACTTCGAAGTCGAGCTTACTACCGACGCTGGCAAGCCCGGTTTGCGCGTTGTAAAGTTCGCAAGCAACGGAACTGAGACTTTTCCGGTAAGTCACAACTGATGAAACAGCACTCTTGACCAGCCACCAAACATCAGAGACCGTTGCTGACCTGTCTGATTCTAGGGTCTCGACCCTGAAACCACCGTTCTACACCTTTATCCAACCAACCTCATCCACGCGACCTCCGAGTCTGAATACAAAATTGCGTACAGAGCAGTTTCGGACAAGAAGGGCAACGATCCGTCTCTCGGGCTCTTCTCGACTGGTAGGTCGATGTCAGGTACCCCTAGCATGTTCGAGATCACACTAACGCTATCCTCCTATGTTGGCAGGCTGCGAGAATTGGTTTCTTGTCGGAGCGACTCGGTATGGCGGCATCGATCTCGACCAGATAGTGTTCACCGTGGAAGATGGTAAGGCGACGACGATGGCACCACGTGCTTGGAGGAGAAACCTGCAGAAGGCAGACTAATTCGCAATGTGTGCAACACAACCAATGTCCGTTGTCGTGACTGCATTTTGTTTTTAATTCATACCCTTATCTCATCATGTGGATTTGCTGGCGAGTCGAGGCTCCATTTGCACTCTACGCTCAATCAACGCTCTATCGCAGAACCTACAATGCCAAGTCTCTTCGAATCTTGCCGCTCCCTGCGTCTTATCATCTCACTTGTCCCGGTCAGAGAATCCCGCCGTTAAGCCATGCAAGCGCGGACTCAAGGCAGGAAGAAAGGCTTGGTGTTGCTTGTGCTAGCTTGAACAGGAAGGTGCAAAGACCCAGACATCCCACGTGCTTGGAAGTGCTGAACTATTGGACAACGTGCTTGGACGCTGTCGCTGTTTTCTTCTTCCACGTGCTGCATCTCTAGACATACAGCATCTCGAGGCACAAAATGACCCACAGACCTGGACGTTCGGATACCGTGGGCCCACGGAAACGCGGCATCGTGAGTGGCGCGTCGCCTGTAGTTGAGAGGACATCGCGGAGTTTTATTAGCCTTATCTACGTCTTGTTTCCTCTCCGTCTCTTCATACTTTCGTATCGGCAAGATGAAGACCACCACGGTATCGGCGCTGCTCACAGCATTGGCGGCTTCGCAGCTTGGTGAAGCAGCTCCTCCGACTAAGCGAGATGTCGACACTCGGTTCCCGTGAGTCCATACGGCGGCACGAAGCCTCTGTGGTCTTGCGTAGTTTACGTATCGAGACCCTGCTGATATATTCTACTGCTTAGGTACACCGGACCAAAAGTTCCTGTCGGGTACGCATGCTCACGAGTTCTTCGTACACACAGGAATAAAGCTGATATGATCACTAGAGACTGGGTCAATCCTTCCGTCAAAGGCAACGGCAAAGGATTTCCAAGGCTGGTGGAAAAACCAGCCGTTCAGCCAAAGAGTTCATCGCCGCAGAACAACGTGAATGTCATCTCCACCTCCTACATCCCGAATGGAATCACAATCCACTATCAAACGCCTTTCGGACTTGGAGAAGCACCCTGTGTCCACTGGGGAGTCAGTGCTGCCAAGCTGAACCACAAGGCCACTGGCCAGACGACCAGCTACGACAGGACCCCGCCCTGTTCGAAGGTCGCCGTGACGCAGTGCAGTCAGTTCTATCACAATGTCAAGATCGAGAACCTGAAGCCTGGTCAGACGTACTACTACTCCATTCCGGCCGCCAATGGCACCACCGAGAGCCAGGTACTCTCATTCAAGACTGCTCACGAGGCTGGCAACCAAAAGCCATTCAGCATTGCTGTTCTCAATGATATGGGCTACACGAACGCACGTGGCACTCACAAGTACCTGGCCCGGGAAGCTCAAGAAGGCCTTGCATTTGCCTGGCACGGTGGAGATATCAGTTACGCAGATGATTGGTACTCAGGCATCCTGCCATGCGAGGTATGAAATCCTGATACTGTAATAATAAGAGACTGCTGACCGTGGTGTGCTTCGTTATAGGAAGACTGGCCGGTCTGCTACAACGGGTCCGATACAAGACTTCCGGGCGGTCCTCCATACCCGGAAGAATATCTGAACCACCCAATACCACAAGGTGAAATTCCAAATCAGGGTGGACCATGGGGAGGAGATATGAGTGTTCTGTACGAGTCGAACTGGGATCTCTGGCAGCAGTGGATGAACAAGATCACACTCAAAATCCCCTACATGACGCTTCCTGGGAATCATGAAGCTGCCTGTGCCGAGTTTGACGGTGGCAACAACACGTTGACTGCTTATCTCAATGACAACAAGCCCAATGCGTCCGCACCGGAATCTGAGCTCACCTACTACAGCTGTCCGCCGTCACAGAGAAACTTCACAACCTACCAGCACCGGTTCCGCATGCCGGGAGAGGAAAGCGGAGGCGTGGGCAACTTTTGGTACTCATTCGATTATGGTCTGGTGCATTTCGTCTCGATTGATGGAGAGACCGACTTCCCATTCAGCCCCGAGTGGCCCTTCGTCAGAGATACCAACGATCATGGACTACCCGCTGAAAACGTAAGTAATTCAAGACCAGGACTGATGTGTTCATTGCACGAAAGGTATTAAAGGCCGTCTGTAGGAAACATACTCCACCGACAGTGGTCCTTTCGGTGCCATCAATGGCAATTGGACCGAGAACGAATCATACGAGCAGTGGAACTGGCTGAAGAAAGACCTTGAGAGTGTGGACCGCACAAAGACACCATGGGTGTGTTTCCCCATGCACATTGTCTCGGAGATCTGCTGATGCTTACGCTTCCTTAGGTGATCTGCATGAGCCATCGTCCAATGTACTCTTCAGAGGTGTCTTCCTACCAGCAGGACCTCCGCAACGCCTTCGAAGATCTCATGCTGAAGAACGGCGTCGACATGTACTTGGCTGGCCACATTCACTGGTACGAGAGAATGTACCCAATGGGCCACAATGGCACGATCGATCACGCTTCGGTTGTTGGCAAGGATGAATACAACACAAACCCAGGTAAGACACTGCATCCCTGCAACTATTGAGACAATCGCTGAGTTCACACAGGCGTATCGATGACGCACGTGGTCAATGGCCAAGCGGGCAACATTGAGAGCCACAGCATCTTGAGCGACGATGAGAAGAAGCTACCGCTCACGAATGTGCTAGACCAGAAGCACTACGGTTTCTCCAAGCTCACGGTTCACAGCGCGAAGAAGCTCACGTGGCAGTTCATCCGGGGCGTCGATGGAGCGGTGGGAGATGAGCTGACTCTCAACAAGAAGAGCTCGTAACGCTCAGTCCATATGGGCTGGCCCGTTCGCCTCGTAGGCACCATAGACAATAATGCAAATACAGCTGCGTCAGGCATGTTCGTCCACTTCGCTTGCTAGGATGCCCAAACTCGAAGCCGTCATCATCAATCTGTTGCCATTCCCACGTCGGCAACAATATGCTAGGCCTGTCGAGAACACGCTCTCATCGACAGCTTTTGCAGCGGTAAGAGCGCCTCTCCGCGTTGACCGCACGTCAGACATGCCGCCTCCTCGCCCATGTCGTCAGATACTCCCTGCCTGCTAAGCGATAGGTGTCCTCTTCGACATAGCTGCCTCCTTGACTCTCGGTCTGTAGTACCAGATTACAGCCCTCTTTGCTGTCATTGTAGAGCGGCCAGTGAGGTAGACCCTCACTGTTTGGATTCCCGTCATGTGCGAAGTTGATCCACCTACACAGCAGAGTTAGCGAATGCCTCCAGGATATGAGGTCTCATCAATGCCTCACATATCACTCATATCATTGCTAAGAGCCCTGTACTCTGGCCATGGACCGACGCTCTCTGGGTTATTGAAAACAAAAGCAACCTCGCTGAAATGCTCGACGCCTTTATAGGCAGGAGCAAGATACGTGCTAGTATCGTTTTCGTATGGCCGAGTGTTGAAGCGGTAAATGTAAGTCGGCGAGCATTTCGAGTAGTAGCGAGCATCGTTGAGGCGAGTTGCATGGTAGAAGACGTCGCCTACAATGGCTGCCACCCTCTTGTACTGCCGTCCCTCCTTCACAAAACGTCGGTCGCCCGTATTGATTGGTACACCTTCAGATGGTTCGTCAGGGTAAAGCTCCAAGATCCTCGACACAGCGCTGGGTGGGAATTGGAAGCCTGTGTCCTTCAGTAAATACGTTTCAAGATCTTCGTCAGTATCGATGCCGAAGGGTGCATTGTCAGTCCCTTCGTCGGAGTTGCTGCCGTACAAGTGAGGTATATGCGCGAATCTGCCTTCCTCTAGCATTGTCGTCGGGAAGTTGGGTATCACGTCTCCGTCCACTGTCGGATACCAACCTGGTGCTCCAACAAGTCTGGATTGGTTGAGCAGAGGATACAGCTCCTTGTAAGGCACCGTACGCAGGCACTCTAAGGTATCGATAGCATCGGTACATCCGGCATCGTCCACGATCCCCTGGTATATCGGCTGGTACCAGTCGCTTCCGTTGTACCAAGCGGTGGCCGCGCTTCCGGACTCCTGTATCGATCGATGGAAGAGGCCGTCGGTCCTGCCGCCGTAGGACATCAAAAGTTGGCCGACAGCAAATGATCCCGCAGACTCGCCCTAGAACGATCAGTAACCAATGAAATGCCATGATCATTTTGTTCACTTAGGTTTGAAACATACCCAAATGGTGACTGACTCTTCGTCGCCACCGAACGCAGCTATATTCTCCTGCACCCAAGCTAGGCCCATTCGCATGTCCCTGAGTGCAAGATTCGTGTTGCCCGATCCCTGACAAACGGTCAGCCACATCGCCAGACAGCAAATTGCCTTCACCAGACCGTACCTGGATCTCAATGCTATACATGTTCCCCCAGCCACCCTTTCGATAATTGATCGACGCCGCTATCATTGGTTTTCCAATCTCCACCGAGCGTTGCACAATGTACGTGAGGTTGTAGTACGACAGTCCGCTGGTTCCAACCTGATACGATCCGCCGTGAATCCAGAACATAACTGGCAGCTTGCCCTGGCATTCTGACGGACGTACTATATTGATGCTGAGACAGTTCTCGCTCATGCCGTACGCTGCGTCTGCGTCGGGCTCGTTGTCCGGGCATGCGTCGCCATACTGAATGGCTGGGCGAATGCCATGCCATGTTTCGTTCAGGCTCTGCGGGATACGAAACCGATTCGCTTCACCAGTATCTGTTGTGGTCCCATTAGCTTGGTGATGTCAACGGGACTATGGAATCAACCTTGTGCGAACGGCATTCCCAAGAAGAGATCTTGTTTGAACTGTGGCAGATGCAGTCCGCTGTAAGAACCATTCAGCACCTTGACGACAGGATCCGCTGCAAGAGCGTAGCCCACGAGATATATTAGTTGAGTGATGACCAACATCTTAGCACGAATGTTTTGGGTAGAACCAACGTCGATACATGAAATCACTCAAGGTTAGACTGCGTTGCAAAACCAGTTGGGCGCCTCCTCGCAAACAACGGTGAATGCAGAGCGACCTCGGGTCACTACATCCGAAACGAGAAGTTGTGGCGACGATCGAGAACATGTTCTGGTGTAACCAGATCGCAACAGAATCATTGAGCGATCATAGGTACAATACCTTACATTTTGTTAGCTATCCTTCACAGCCAGAATTGCTACTCAGGAACAATTCCTCCAACGCTCTTCCAAAAATCACACCGCATACCACGGCCGCCCTCCCAAGTATAAGCGTTGACTAAGCTAAAGTCGTTCATCAAACCAGGACTAACGTAAATCGTCGAGTTCCTGTCTCCAATTGTCTCCTGAGAGATCTCCCTTCCACCAGTTTGGTTAAGATTGAGCTGGACAGGGTTGTAGATGTCGAACTGAGGCCAGTTTGTCGCAGCATTGCCAGAAGTGCTAGCGTTCATAGAGCCCGACGAGGCGCCGTTGGCGATGGCCGGGGAGATGGAAGGGTCGTTGACGGTGACGAAGTTGCCCACAATGTCTACGGTGTATCAGTATGCTTGGTCTGAATCAGAGTATCGAACAACTTACGCATAAAAGCTCGAGCAAATGAGTTCCCTTGCTGAGGTGCTGCTGGGCCAAAGTATGCGCTGACGTCGTAGCCGTGCAGGGCAGGCAGCACACTGTACTGGTACTTGTCTGCCGAGCAATCGATATCATCAGTAGACGTCTCAGGAATGCGAAGAGTAAGTTGGGATACGTACAGCTTGCTCGAGGCGGGTCAGAGAAAGCCTCTGCCATCCAATAACTCGGGCAGACGAAAGTGGTTTCGGCGTAGATATTCTTCGAATAGTCAGCAAGCTGTCTGGCGGACATGTGAAGTTGGACATACGTTTGCCCTCTGTTGCTGGCCTGTGCCTACAGCAGACTGGTTGAGAGCAGTAGCGCCAGTGTACCCGTTCGTGGCGTACTCGTCGGCAGATGGATCGGTCGAAGCATTGCTAGAGGGATAATAAAGCAGAACCTTTGCTATGTCTGAGTTACTGAACGTGCTGTAGCGGAAGCGCGAATTGGTCAGCAGATGTCAAACTAGAGTTTTGGGATTAAGGAGGAAGGAGTGCTTTGCTGTTGGGGATACTGACGGGAAAGTCAATTGCAGCCAGTCAAGCAGATCACCCTCAGTCGTTATGTTTTGGGGTACAAAGCCTATGAATCAAACAGTCAGTTACTGTCTCGGAGAGGGCAGGATCTTCTGATTGGTATCATACCAGCGCCTTCTTGGGCGTTATTGCCAACCAGCATTCGCTGGCCATTCACTCGCTCCTTCGTCATCTGTCTGGAAGGCAGGTCTTGGATGCTGGTAGATAGGTGAAAGGATCAGCAGATGTCTCCCACAGAATGTTCGGTGAACGTACAAAACACCATCAGTCACGGGCAAGAATCCCCAGATGCCAGTATTCGCCGACGCTGAGGTAGCAAAGCTTGCATTCTGAAGCGTCTGCGTGTCCTTGCCAACGAGACAGTTGAAGATCGTTCTGCTCTTGGTCTCGAATCCGTACGCGTTTCCACCGAAGCAACCAGCGTGGTATGCAAAGGCGTAGTAGCTCTGGGATGGGATCCAGTCACCGTATCTGAGAGACGTTCAGCAGAGCCCTCAAATGGCGTGATCAGTCATGCCTACTTGTACTGCATCGGGAGGTAAGGAGAAGCGGCGAAGGACTGGCTGCCATTAGCTCTCATCATCTTCTCGACCGTGATCACAGACATACGTTCTGGAAAAGCTCAGTGCCCAGCGATCCACCATAGGCCATCGTCTGCAACATGACTGAACCACCCCCGGCAGACTCGCCAGCTGTGCACATGTTAGCATAGTCCTTCAGCATCTGTATGGAGCAGACAAGAACTCACAGATAGTCACCTTGGTCGGATCACCGCCGAAGAGGTGAATGTACGTCTGTACCCACTTCAACGCAAACGTCTGGTCCAAGATACCGGCATTGACGACTCCATTGCGGTAGACTTCGTCCGAAGAGAGGAACCCGAAGGCACCAAGCTAACATCACAATCAGCCATATCTCGTACCAGCCGTGCAGCCAGAACAAACCCTGTACTGTATAGCAACACCGACAAAGTTGTTGCCGTTCTCGCCAATGATATACGACAGATCCTGTTGGTTAGAGCCTTGCCCGTAGCCGCCTGGTCGCCATCAGCACAAACACAAGCAAATGAGGCTCGAGGCATCTACTCACCGCCATGGATCCAAACAAGCACAGGCAACCCTTCAGCATTCGACGGCGCCCACACGTTCAGGAACAAGCAATCCTCATCTCCGTACGTCGCAGGAGCCGCAGAACCACCATTGGGACTCTGCGGGCATATCGGTCCATATTCGCTGCCGGAGATCACGCTGCTCCGGTTCTGCGAGGGCGGTTGGGGTGCCTGCCAGCGATATTCGCCCAGAGGAGGCGCTGCATAGCGGACACTGTATAGCAAGTCAGCTGCATACCCGCAGCTGTGGAATAGTATGACGATACCCTTTCCAGGAGTTAAGATCGGACGTCGAGTTGTGGTAGCCCTCGTAGACCTCATATCCAAGATCGACTTGCAAATTCGCGCTTGAAGATGAGTTGGCCTGCCGCTTGAGATGCTCGAACGGCTTGCTATGAGCTGACGGCGGTGCGGCCCATGCTAGCTGCGTAGAGGCGAGAGCCAGAAAGCTTGAGATCGTAGTCCGCATATTGCTGAGTCTGTCAAGCTAATACTGCTACTGTCTACACCTCTCCGCCAAATGCAACGAAGTCCTCGAAAGACGGCCATCGCGGATCCGGCAGGCATTTATCATCTGCGTCCGCTCCACCTGGCGTGCGTCAGTGATGCAGTGTCACAGAAGCACGGTTGTGGTAAATGCTGAAGGTTCGTCTCCCGATGTCCCGGTCATGTTGTCCCCGCTCTCCATCCTTCCCAATCGGGAAGGCATGGGTTGGTCGTTGACGCACATCCGGCACTTGTTCTTCCGTTAGACCTCTGATCGTTAATTACTCCGTGAGACTCTCCTTGGATCATAGAAGAAACAGAAATACTTTGGTTGATGGTTACTGTGCAAGTCGCTATGCTAGATATTTCAAGGGTATCTCATCATCATTAGCCAAACTCTTCCTCCAACTCGTCTTGACTCAGCGTTTCGACGAAGGCACGCCGCACGAAAGTGAACCACGCTTCATCCTGCTTTGACTTCTTGTGCTTGTGCTTGTGCTTCTTGTGTTTTTTGTGCTTCTTCTTCTTCGATGCACCAACACTGTCACTACTTGCTGCATCAGACGCAGCATCACTAGCCTTGAACCCGCCGATCCGCCTCGCAAGATCAACAAGATTGGGCATTGTCAGGTCCTCCAGTTTGTAGACATCGTCGTCCTTGGTGTCGTAGTGAAGCTCAAATTTGAACTTCTTTGGATTCGGCTCATGGTCCTTTGGCTTCGTCTTGCCCTTGTGTTTGCCTTCTTTCCATTTCGCAGCGTTCAGGTCACTTGACTCGGCTCTTTCGGAACCAACCGGGAGGCCATGGAAGTCATTGTTGATGTGCGTAAGGTTGGCAAAGTACTGCTTATAGCGTATCAGCGACAGGGTTTGCGGCGAGTACGCCGGTCCAGGTGGCGACGACTTCGAAGGCGAGTCCGGAACTTCGAACTTGTACTTGCGTTTCTTCGCGATAGACACATTTTCGTCACCAGCATCCTCTGACAGCTCGGGCATTGCTTTCGGGGCCAAGAGCTGCTCAAGCCCGGCCTGGTGGTCCAGTCCGGTGGTGTTGTACTCGTAGACCCTCAATGTTGGGTATAAGTTCGGGACAACGCTGGCACTGACGAAGGCAGCTGAGAACCTTTCGGCAAACTCGCCACCCATCTTCTTCAGATACTTCTTCTCCTTCTCCTTTCGCTTCTTCTTCTTGCTTTTCACAAAATTCGTCAGAATTTTCTTCGACTGGGATAGCGGTCGCTGATCGTGTCGGAGCTCGTCGATCTCGGCATGCAACTGGTCCAACCAGCTGAGAGATTTAGGTGGACTTGGAAGTTTCGACCACACCTTCCTCAGATCAATGAAGTAGTTCGATGACACCTCAGCATGAAGCTCATCGTCCTCTGCTGCCTCGATCTCGTAGTTCGGCATCTTGCCCTTCTTCGTGCCTTTTCGAAGATCATCAAAATCCTGCAGGATGAAGTGGTCGTAGTTGAAGTGGCCGTACAGGCTGCTAACGACAACATCTCGGTATTGCCGCAGCCAAAGCGTGTACTTCTGCCAACATGTCTCGTCCCAGGTCGTCTTGGTGTCTTCTCGTATGGGTGGCACATGTCCCGTCAGGATGGCTTTCATGCCTCGATCCCGCATGAACTGAAGCTGGATCCGCAGCCACTCCATCTGCCGATACCCAGGCTCTGAATGTGAAGCACACCCATCTGCGGCTGCGTTGCTTGTAAAGAAGAACAGCGTGTTGAGGCTGAAGACCGCAAGCTTGTTTGGTATGACCTCGACATAGAACCAGCCTCCTTGCTCAAACTGATGCTTTTGCGCCTCAGGGATGAACTGCCTCCAGAGCTTCGCGTAGTTTCGCGTCCACTTGTTCGGACCTGATCTGAAGATGTTGTGTGGCAGTATGTCGTTATTTCCGAGGTTCGGCACGACCGGTATGATGTAGTCGTTGTTCGGATCCTCGTCACCCTCATCGCCGTTATGCTTTCCGAATGTCTCATACATCTTGTCAACCATAAACTGATTTAGGCCCACCACCTGCTCCTCACTTCGAGGCAGCTCCTCGTCATTGTCATGTCGAGCAGAGTCGCCGGTCCAGACGACGAAGTCTATTTTGTCCTTCAGCTCCGAGCCTATCCATTTCATCGTCTTGTTGATCAGATCGATTGGGCTGTCGCAATCGCTCGTCTCAGCTCCGTAGATGCCGGCCGGACCCTGCCCTCTGTGGCATGCGTCGTCATCCTTTGTCGAGGTATATACTTCGTAGAAGCGGTCAGGGTGGAAGTCTGAGTCCCCAATTAGCATGACCGCGACCCCATCACTTCTGGTAGAGTCCAACCTGTGATATGCAGGAATCGGCCATGCAACGGCCTTCCCTTCACCGCATGCTCAGAAGCACCAGCTTTACTATGCAGCGACTCCACCTCGAGTAGTGGGACCTGAACTGGCGATGCGTCTGTCCACCCTCCCTCAAGCAATGCAAATAAGAACGCACATTTTAACCCGACCATGCTCGCTCATGCCTGGGATCTAGTACCACTGAATGCTGCAACTCCGTACGATGCTTTCCCGATCCTCCCTTCTCATCAGCAAAATGCTGTAATCTCAAACCAGAGGACCAAGGAAATGCTCGTAAATGTCTATCGGAGTTCTGTACGTCCTTGGTCCTTCAACGTCACGCGTGGGAGACCTCTTCCCCAGATTTCGGAGTGGAGTCCGTGGAGATCAGATGAGAGCCAAGGCGGTTATTTTGGGCCCGCGTAAAAGCAAGAGTCGAAGGAGATTGAGTCTTCGAAGACGAAGACAACAGAAGAAGTCGTATATGGCCATATGAAGCGTCAACGATGGCACCTTGATGAAAGACACGCGACACAATCTACGGATGCTGCCACCACAGATGGCTGCTCGCAGGACGGCCAAGAGCGAATCACGGCGCGTGTGGCAGACACGTTGTCAAGCCTCCCACGCTTCCTACAGCATCACATGCTGATGGTGTCTCCTGATGGTTATGGGAAACCGGTAGCTGGGGAGAAGCAAATATTGGAGCTCGAGCTGAAGCTGGATCTGGACCTGGACGGTGCGGCACGTCTTGAGTTCATTCTGAGTACGGATGAATGTTTGAATGCAGGCACATGAAGCCTGACGACCAGGTCCTCCTCGAACCCTACAGCTATCCTACACCAACTGAGCGTATCTCATCACGTGTGCAAGCCTGCTCGCGAAGCCTGGCATCGCTGAAAGAAGGCATCCACCACTCGGTTGGCCATTACTTCGTAGCCTCACGGCTGCTTCTGGAACACCCGTCCAGCTCAGGTCTTCGCGCAAGGCGTCAGCGAGCACAGCAAAGGCTTCTTCTCCCACAGCGTATAGATCTTCTGGTCCGACCATGTCTTCGAATCTTCGCTCAATTTGAGGTCAAAATGCAGGAGGACCGTTACCAGCAAGACGCGCATTTCATGCCATGCGAGATTCTTGCCAAGACAGTTTCGTGGGCCCACGGAGAAAGGCTGGTCACACGTTAGACTTGCTACTTTTGGAGTGGTTTGCTGTCTAGGCTCACCTCCAGCGCATCCAAACTATCGTCCTTGTACTCTGGGTCGTTCAACCACCGCTCGGGATGGAACTGTCGGACATGTCAGCAAAGTTCCAGACCCCAGGAAAACACGGCGCCTACCTCGTAAGCATTCTTGAAATGCTCAGGCATCCTGTACGTGGCGAGCTGGTGTACGCCAATCGTTACGTCGCCCGGGACCGGCATCCCATCGATCTCTGCGCCCTCGGTAGGCGTGACTCGTGGCAAAGCGATTGGAACCGGCGGGTACATTCGAAGACCTTCCTGCAATACAGCCTGCAGATACTTCATCTTGGCAAGACCTTCAAGCGTAACATCGTCAAAATCAGAGAAGGCACCTCGAACCTCTCCGATAAGCTTCTGCATCTAATGCGGACGAGAGTCTCGGGTCAGCAATGTCCTACATCGGTTTTGCTCTAGAGTATCTGCTTACCTTGTCCGGGTTCCGCAATAGATGATATGTCGTGCCAGACAACGCAGTAGCAGTTGTCTCGGTTCCAGCAATCATGAACAAGCTCGCATTCGACTCGTGCTCTCCCATCGTCAAACCACCATCAGCTTCGTCCTTGGCCATGATCTTCGCCCAGAGATCTTCATGCTCCGGCTCGCGCTTCAGACGGCGGTGCAAACGATCGGTGGTGTACCGCCAGTGCTCCCAGGCCATGGTGCGGACTTTCTTGCTTTTGAAGACGAATTCATCTAGAATGTATTTGCTGACTGCGTCGTGCACACGGATGCCGCGGAAGAACGTCGCGTTCTTGATGCTGCCGAAGATCGTCTTGACCCATGGTGAATAGTCGGAGCCTTCGAGCATGTTCAGGCCTTCGCTGAAGGTGAGGTCGCCTGTGCTCTACATCAGCATTCTCTCCTCAAGACGCGGGCGGCAATGTAAGCACCCATAACGTCGAAAGTGGTGAAGTTATAATATTTCACCATATCCAGCTCATCCTTTCCATCCGCCCTCTCTCTCAACTTCGTCCTCAAAAGCTGCGCCCACCGCTTCAACAGCGGCTCTTGCTCCTTGAGCGCTTTATCAGAAAAGGCATGAGCCAGAATCTTCCTTTGCCGGCTATGATTCGCATCATCCGCGACAATGATGTTCGGCGTCCCGTTCAACGACTTGCCATAGAACAAAGGATCCTTGTACGGCATCGAAGACCCATGCTTCTTGAAGCCATAGATGGTCTTCCAGGCCTGCGCGCCTCCAGCGTATGAGAGCTGGCGTGGGCCTACGCGCACGACGGGACCGTACTTCTGATGTAGCTCGGAGTAGATTTGCCCTTCGTTGCCGGAGACCATGGCTTTAATGCTGGGGAGTTTGGTGAAGGCCCACAGCTTTGGTCCTGCAGGAAGATCGTGAGCTCTTCGTCGAACGGAGAAATTTGAGGCAAGTGGTACATACCTGGGAATTTGCTGAGAGGCCCAAGGTAGACACTGGATATTGACTCCGCTAGAAAGTATACAATGAAGAGCGCAGCAAAACCCAGCGATTCTTTGATGAGATCTGGTGGCTGTATGTTGCCAACACTGTCAATGGACGGCTTCATGTTTGAAGGATTCGTGTTTCGTCTCGATATCGCAAACAACAACAGTAATGCTGGGTGATTTCCTCACCTATAAAATCACATCTCTCGTGATACAGTTGACGTGTATCCCACAGTAGCCCTGCAGCTCTCCATCCACTTGATGTCATAACATCGCACTCGTTGCTGTGCCCGCGTGCATAAATCTAAGAGATCACTGTCGGAACGAACCCTCCCGAAGCGGAGCAAGGCAAAATTGTGGCGCCTGGCCCGATCGTGCCTGACGGTGATACAGCTTTGTGATGCCTTCGCATTCAATGCGACAGATTATAGCAGGGTCTCGTGGCCACGTCCAGAGGTTCAGCTCAGCGTTCCACACAAGAGCGGAAAGTGGTCATTGCGAGCATCCGGTCGTGTTCGACAAAGTTTACGAGATATTGCACATGATTGCTTGATGAACCCTACGTCAACTGAGAACCCACCGATACAGTTATACAAGTCGAGTCTGACAACAGTGCAGCGGTAATCTTGACGGCTCTCATTCATTTCCTCCCAATCGTAATGATAGCGACCATCTCGCCGTCCCACTTCCCACCGGCATAATTCTCCCGAAGATACCTCAGCAATACCTCCTGAACCTTTCCTTCGAACTTCGAGAAGTCCTCACTTCTCCAAAGTCTGCGCATCACAACTTTGGCCAACACCGCCGTCGCCTCCGCAAACTCCTCCGCCTCAACTGTAGGTGTGAAGCTATACTCGGACACCTGCACATCCTTGAAACCGGCCTTCTCCAGCTTCTCCGGGATTGACGCAGTATCTGTCCAACCCTTGGCCGGGAAGATGGTGACATTTGGCGGTAGTGCAGGTGCGTCAGGAAGGTACGTCTTAAATGCAGGAAGAGCGACGGACGGCCACCATGAGATCGACTTCCAGGACGTAAGGCCTGCCACACCTCCTGGTACAAGCGTACGGTAGGTCTCCGAGAGCGTTGCTGCATCGTTTGGGTGGAAGAAGATGCCAAAGTTGGAAAAGATGTTGTCGAAAGAGTTGTCCGATAGACTCAAGGACGTCTGGTCCATGTGCTGGATTTCAACGTCTTTCCAATCGGAGTCTCGGCTGCGCTTGCGAACATATGCGAGAATGGACTCGTCGTTGTCGATAGCAAGGATGCGTTTGATTTTGATGTCGTCGGGTCGCTTGGTGGCCTCGTCCAGGATGAGGGAAGTTAGGATGCCCCCGCCACAGGCATTGTCTAGGATTTGCAAGGCGGAGGAGCCGTCAGAACTGGTAATACCAGAACGTCGAAGCATCTCTGCACCCGCTGGGCCAGTGACTTTCTCGTTGGTAGCTACTACTCGGCTGGCCGCCGGGACAGTGCTCAAGGCTTGTGGGGGTGTTGATGCCATTGTGCGAAGGCGACCGGATCCCTGGAGTATCTGGAGGAAGGGGTGTCTTTTGGCTTGGACGAGTGCATGAGATGAGACCAGCTACGCCCGAATACATATAGTCGCATGGAAACGATTCTTCGCCAGCCGAGAGCTTCGGTGCTCGGCCGACGCGCTCGGATTCGCTTACCTTTGTCATTGCGATGGAGGATGTATTCCTTGCAGTAGTCTGAGGTAGGGCCGGCTTGCTTTCATGTTCAGCTGAGTAGCAGACAGGGTAAGAGCCGTCTCGCGCTCATCGTGAGGCCACGACACCTCTGCCGTTCCGGTCCTCTCTTTTGGCTTGGTCGCATGCGACTACCACCTTGTCGAGGGCTGTGGCTCTGTGCCTCCGTTCCAAGAGGTCATGAAGTAGCAATGTCGACCATCTCACGTGAAGCCTGGAGTACGTGCTGTCGAAGAAGACAAAGGACAAGTTTGAGGGCATTAATGAAAGGGGCTGACCCGGTGATGACCAAAACTTAAGGCACTGTTTTCACGACTTTAGCCGAAGCTTGTTCTGGCGCGCCTTCATCGCTCGCCTTCGAGCCTGCTTGCCTTCACAACTTCGACGCCATATGTCAACCACATGCCGCCTTGCCTGGACAGCCTAGATCGCCAGTGATACTGAACTAATTACTGACAATTTCCCAAGCCAGGCAGCATCATGACAGACAGTATGGCGACGAGTGGAAGCAAGCGCAAACCGTTCCCAAACGATCCGGAGAACTTCTGGGACGACACGCGCATCTCGCTCGACCAGGCCACCCGCGGGTACAGGCTCGAAGACGAATTCGGCGAAGAATGGGAGTGGCTCGACGCGGTCAAGAAATGGAGACCTGTGGTATGATGAAAATTCGCCTGAGAAAAACTTCAAAAGGGCGCCGTCCGGCCTAACCACGACTCTTTAGACGGATGAAGCACTGTTCAAGCAGCAGCAACAGGCCTATGGTGCGCAGGATGTCGAAGACGATGAGCCGGAGAAGGGTCCGAAGAAGCGCAAGGCCGCCGACGCTGAAGGGGTTCGTGTCGCCACTCCGACGTTTTCACAGCTCATGCTAACAGCTGGACCCAGGGCAACGGCAAAACCAAGAAGCCCAAGGCTGAAGGCAATCGCCCAGAGCGCAACAACGCAATCTACGTCACCTCTCTTCCTGACGATGTCACGATTGATGAGCTCAAGCAAGTCTTCTCCCGCTATGGGGTCATCTCCGAGAGCGCCGACACTGGGCAGCCGCGGATCAAGCTCTACCTCGACGATCAGGGCAAGCCCAAGGGTGATGCTCTGGTTGTGTACTTCCGCCCTGAGTCTGTGCGCCTGGCCATCGACATGCTGGACGAGACTGACTTCCGCCTCGGCCTGCCCCTTGCCTCTGGACCAATGCGCATTCAGGAGGCCGAGAGTAGCTACAAGAACCAGAAGGAGCAGCCGCTAAAGAGCGAGCAGGCGAAGAAGAAGGGTACGGGCGCTAACAAGGACCGCGAGAAGCTCATCAAGAAGAATCAGGAGCTCAACAGGTACGTTGAAACCCCATCTTACTCCATCACAATCATCACAGATACTGACTCTCGTCAGCCGTCTCGCCGACTGGGACGATGACGACCCCCAAACCATCCCGGAGACATCGAGCCGCTGGGACAAGGTCGTCGTCCTCAAGCACATGTTCATCCCAAGGGAGCTCGCCAATGATCCAACGGCCATTCTCGACATCAAGGAAGACATCCGCGAAGAGTGTGAGAAGCTGGGTACCGTCACCAACGTTGTGCTCTACGACAAAGAGGAAGACGGCACTGTCACCGTGCGCTTCTCCAACGACACCGCTGCCAAGGATGCTGTCAAGGAGTTCAACGGGCGCACTTTCGATGGCAGAACCGTAAGTGCCTTGCCTCTTCTCTCAATTTAAAACATTCCAGATGCTAACACAGCGACTGATAGGTGTGGGCTTACATCTACGACGGCAAGGAGAAGTTCTACAAGAGCAAGAAGCAGGAGGAGGATGACGACAAGGACGAAGGGAAGCGTCTGGAGAGCTTCAGCAACTTCATCGAGGGCAAGGAGTCCTGAAGCTGCTCGCTGGTCGATGGAACTTCTTGTTGCATGTGATGTGTGTAGGATATGACCAGCGGCGCATGGCTGATAGGTCTATCGATGATAGTTATTAAGTAAGCTCAATCAGAAGCAAGATTCGAGTTGAAAATCATCCAACTGTCACGTGTTTTTCTCTCTCTCTTATGTTTTCATACTATTGTGCAGCCAGAACTCATCATCACCATCCTTTTGCTGTATCGGAGAACACTGAGCAACCAGATCCTCTCGAACGCAATCTCCGCTTTCGGGAGGAATGTTACGGGCACATAGTGGCTGCTCCTGCGATGGCTTACCCTTCAGGCTGGAGAACCTACAAGACGGCAAGGAGAAGTGTCAGACGTCTCCTGTGCTTGAACATACAGTCGGCCCGCACAATGGGTGGTCTCAGCACATTGCCTACTTCCACCATGTGAGATTGCCTCAATAATCGTGTCATATACTACATGTATCGTATCACATCTCCATCTATCCCATCGCTCCCGTCCTTCCCATCGCCTGCAAAGGATAACTCTCCCCACTCGCCTCCTTACTCCCTCTCACCATCGTCGCACGACTATGGCTGCGGTCTTCCCCGCCGACGCCAATCTCGCTCTCCCCATCATCTGCAAAGCCCACTGGCCTCACCTCCCGCACGAGCTCGACGAAATCATAAGCAAACTCTCCAATCTCGACGTCATCAATCCCCTGTTCCTCCTCCGCCCTGTCCACCCGCAGTCGCAGAGCCGGGATGAAGCGACCAACGAAAGAAAGCAGGATCAAGATGATGCAGGTGACGGCAAAGCTGTACGCCATGCCCGTAGCGCTGTCGGCTGCTTGATATCCAATCTGCACCCAGTTGCCGTTCAGCCAGCCACCGGGTATCTGCGTATAGCCGTCGAGATGGGCGATGTAGTCCGCAGCGAAGACGCCGGTGAGTAGATTCCCGACACAGCCACCGACGGCGTGTACGGCGAAGATGTCGAGTGCGTCGTCGGCATTGAGCCAGTACTTCAGCTTCGTTGCGAAATTGCACGCCACACCCGCGCAGACGCCAAATACCACCGCCGCCCACGCAGGGACGTAGCCGGATCCAGGCGTGATGGCGACGAGGCCGGCGATAACGCCAGAGCAGAAGCCGACGGTCGACCATTTGCGCTCGAGGCGGAAGTCAATTAGACACCACGTTATTCCTCCCATGCAAGCGGCCAGATTCGTAACTACAGCCGCCATCACCGCTCGTAAGTTGGCAGACAGCGCAGATCCGGCATTGAAACCGAACCAGCCGACCCAGAGGAAGACTGTGCCTAGCACGATGTGCGTAACGTTGTGAGGACGGTAATTGAGCTTCTGAGTGCCGTAGCCGGCTCTTTTTCCCAGAACGTAGGAGTAGGCGAGAGCGGCTGAGCCGGAAGCTATGTGGACGGGTGTACCTCCGGCGAAGTCGAGACCGCCCAGCTGGTAGACCCATCCTGATGGGTTCCAGGTCCAGCAGGCGATCGGATCGTACACGACGGTGGACCAGATGAAGGCGAAGATGAGGGAGGGTAGGAGGCGACCGCGTTCTGAGAGGGCGCCGAGGGCGATGGCAACGCTGTGAGGGAAAGTCAGCATTGTGTGGAGGAGTTGGGCTTCAGAACGTACGTGATAGCAGCAAACATGCATTGATACACCGCAAACAACAAGTCCGGCACCCTCGCACTCCCCACGGAAGGTCTTGCCAGCACATCCTTCAACCCAATGTTCTCCAGATTCCCAATGAACGGTCCCGCCGTATGCGAGAAAGTCAAGCTGTAGCCCACAGAAGAACCATTGGAATGACACCACAGCTGTTGACATTATGCTCAGCCATATCAAGCTCAGAGCGGACTTGCGTCGCGCGAGTCCAGAGTAGAAGAGACCGACGCCTGGGATCATGAGGAGGACGAGCGCGGTGGATGTGAGCAGCCATGCGATGTCGCCGCTGGTGTAGTAAACGTTCAAGTCTTGAGTAAGGGAGTCACCGCCGGTTGGGTTGGTGGCATTGTATGGGATCAGAGGTACGTATGGGAGGACGAAGTCGCCAGATGAAACGTCCGCGGAAGAGGGACTGTCGCGTGCCATGATCGACTGAGTTCGTTTAGGACTGAAGATGTGCTGGGAAGAGTCGTCTTCCTCAGTTTCGGCAATGGCGAGGCTTCAGCTGCAAAGTCGATGCTCTCAGGCCGTTAGTGTCACATGGGCGTCCAGTCGCCAGGCTTGTGATTTGTTGTGCTTTGTAGCATGCACTTGGTGCTCAAAGGAGACCGTGGTGCGACCTGCTTGTGCAAGTAATTCTTTTGGCAACGGAGGACATAAGAAAGCGATATAGGAGACAGAAGAAGACCGATCGCACTCCCCTCGAAGTGGATACGAGAAACATGAATACCAAATCTCACCTTCACACAGCGATCTAAGCGAGAATATCAGTCTGCAGAAGCAATAAGAATAGGAAAGACACGCTCCACGCATCTCCGAAGAACCCATGTATGTCTTCTCGACACCCCACTGTGCTGACTGCGGCGTCTTGCGCAAATGGTATCCCTCGCGCACGCGAGCACTGCTGCACGCTATCAGCACGGCGAGGCCCGATGTTTGTGACAGAGTCGCGAGGAAGTGTCGTCCTGCAGACGCCTCACACGTCGAAGCTTTTCTTTGACAGCGGAACGGGTAGCTATCGGCAAGATCAGCCAATCGTTCTTCCGCGTACCTGGATGCTGCCGGCAGTAGTGCAACGTTGACCGAGACCCCTGGATCTGAAGCGTGGGTGTTTCTTCGACAAAACAATCATCTGCACAGCGACGCAAACGGAATGCTTCTATCGTCAGTCCTCATCGACAACCACGGGCTGGTGTACCTCCAAACCCCCGTGGATTTGTTGCATAAGAGGATGCGTGCGCGTTTGCCCCTACCTCGAAGGCCCACGTCACCCCTTGTACAATTGAATGTGCATCTCCTGTCAGCATCGGAGTATCCCACGTCCCCGGCCCCCGACTCCACATGGGCGGGAATGGAGGCTAAAGAGACTGTACGGATAGCGACAGTCGTGACGACTCCGTGGGCTCCAGAATCCCGGCTTGGATGGTTGAGTGCATGCTCGGTTACAGCCATGTGCTGGAGCACTTGGAGACGCGGTGTCAGGATGTCCCATGTCCCAGGTCGCCCTGGTTGACAGCGTCTCGGGTGTTATCCTCACCAACTTTCAGTCCGCCGAGGTAGACTATCTGGAGAACGCTCTTTGGCTGACTGCAGTAGACTCATTGAGACAGCAATTTCCGCGGTCCGACTGCAGTTCAATCATTCCCTGGCCCCAGAGTCTTGTCTCAAATTGCTAACTCAAGACCCCCACTTTGGGATTTGGAAACACAACGCGTCTCCATCACGGGCGACCTTACTGAGCAGAGTGACGGGGTGGTTCATCAACAGAGCAGAAACGACACGCTCAGGACGCGTCTACACTCACGAATGGATTCCCGTACAGGAATATCTATTAACGGCTAGGCGTGGGAGTAAGCCATGCTCTTTGGCGCAGAACACGATCACCAAAGTCACCGTAAGTCATCCTTCTCCGTGTCAAACATCATTTTCAATCTACGTGTGAATGTATGGCTCCAGCATGAGTTCGCTCTCGTTCACTGCAGTCTTGAGAAACACTTGGTGAGATACCTAAGCTTCCTTGCCAGTCGAATCATACGCGTCTGCTGCTTCAGTAACGTTCTCTTTTTCTTCCGTCACGGGCCTGGAGGCCGAATTCCGTTGAGCAAGCAAAGCACTCGCCTATTGTAACATCGGCTGGACCTCTGTGGCCATGACTGTGTCGACGAACCTGCCCGAATGTCGTGGCAGCGAGCCATTTGGGCTGTGGATACGAAGTTAGAGACTACCAGCAACAGACCGGTAAATCGCCGGTCACCATGAAATCCTACTCTCGGTTGTCTGGACCTGGCCGGTGGTTTTCCGATCTACTCCTCCTCCCCGTGTATGTGGGGTTCACGTGCTTGCTTGGAAAAATTACTCCTCTTGGGAATCCGGAGCTCAAGGTGGGGTTGCCCAATGACGATTTGGTCGTCAAAACAACAGCAGTACCTTTCTATCTCTTTTTTCAAAGACTCTCATACATTCTCCTTGTAGCAAAATTGGGCCAACATGAGCACGAAACATTTCTTCCCCAGCACCGAAGGTGTGGTCATCCAAGGCCTAGAAAATCTGGTCGCTCGCAACAAACATTTGGCTCTCGATTCAGCCGACAAAGTTGTATATTCCAAAACACATAAACCCGCAAAAGTCAGTCTCATCTCTGGTGGCGGCAGCGGACACGAACCAGCATGGAGCGGATATGTCGGCGACGGCATGCTGGCAGCTGCCGCTTGCGGTGAAGTATTCGCGAGTCCATCGACCAAGCAGGTGATGGCCGCGATTCGCAAAGTACCTTCAGACGCTGGTATAATCCTCTGCATTACCAACTATACTGGCGACAACCTGCACTTTGGACTTGCGCGAGAGAAGGCAGCTGGTTTGGGGTACAAAGTTGGTGTCTTGAAGATGACCGACGACGTTGCGTTGGGCAAGAAGCAAGTCACCAATCTTGGGCGCAGAGGTCTGGCAGCCAACATGTGGGTTCTGAAGCTGGCGGGAGCTGCAGCGGAGCACGACTACCCATTCGAAGACTGCATGAAGATTGGAGGCTCCGTTAACGGCAACGCTGTCACCGTTGGCTCTTCGTTGGACCATTGCCACATTCCAGGCCGCGAGCACCACCGCGCAATCCCGGACAATGCCTACGTCCTCGGTATGGGCGTGCATAACGAACCAGGTCTACACGAAGTCAATCCCATGCCGCACGTGGATGATGTCGTCGCGGATATGCTCAAATACTGCTTAGATCCTAACGATCCCGATCGGGCCTTCGTCAAGTTCAATCCTGACGATGTCGTCTTACTACTAGTCAACAATCTCGGCGGCATGTCGATATTCGAGCTAGAAGCTTTGACGTCGGTCACACGGAAGATGCTGAAGAAGGACTGGAAGATTGTGCCGGAGAGAGTCTATGCTCAGTGCTTCGAGACGTCGCTCAACGCTCCTGGATGGTCGATTTCCCTGCTGAATGTGTCCGGAATCGAGAGAGAAACGCAAGTGCCAGTCAAGACACTGCTTGAGCTGCTGGACAGCGACACGAAGGCACCAGCATGGCCAAGAAACGGTTACGAGGATGTCGAAGAAGTTAAGCAGAAGGAATTTGGATCCACTGCTGCTTCCCAATCAGCAGGCGGAGAAGGCCCGAAAGTCGACCCATCCATTCTCGAATCCGCCATCAGACAAGCCTGCAACGACGCCATCAAAGCCGAACCCGACATCACAAAATGGGACATCCAAATGGGCGACGGCGACTGCGGTGAAGCCGTCCTCGGAATGTGCCAGGGCATCATGAAGAAAGTCGACGCTGGGCTGTGCAAAGACGGTCTGCTATTCAAGACGCTTGACGAAGCCGGTGAAGCTGTTGAGGAGATCGGAGGCACCCTGGGCGCTATCATCAGTATCATCGTTGCGTCCTTCACGGTCAACATGAAGCAGGCTTACGCCAAAGACCAGAGTAATTTCCAGGTGAATGCGAAGACGGCGAGCGCGGCCGTGGGAGGCGCGATACAGAATCTGATGGGATATACTAGTGCGAGGCAGGGTGGAAGGACGGTGATGGATACGCTTATTCCGTTTAGCGAGACTTTTGAGAAGACTTCGGATCTAGGGAAGGCTGTTGATGCCGCGCAGGAGGGGGCGAAGAGTACGTCGGGTATGAAGGCTGGGTTCGGTAGAGGTGAGTCTGTCTTGTGATTGTGACAGGTAATATCACATGCTAACGTCAAGAAGCTGCCTACGTTGGAGAAGAGGCGGCAGCCAAGGAGACACCTCCAGATCCTGGTGCCATGGCAGCAGCTATCTTCCTAAAAGGACTGTTGCAAGGCTTGAACAAGTAACAATGTTGTTCTGGATAGGTATTGAGATGGCAATATCAACGACATTTGGAAAGCGAAGCAAGTGCGTGATTTGGACAGGCCTTCAGAATTTGCCGACCACCAGGCCGATCAATATGTACATCGATCTGAATCCAATTCCTGCTTTGACCGCAGCTCGACCGGCTCTTAAACGCAGCGTCCACCGTCTACCGGCACATCAATACCGGTAAGGAAGTCTGCCTCGTCGCTGCAAAGGAAGGCAGCAGAGTTTGCGACGTCTCTAGGTGAAGATCCACGACCCATCGGGACGGTAGCCATAAAGGTCTTCTCGTTTTCAGGCTTGCCCAAGAAGAGATCGGTCCTACCCACATCGTCAGTAAATGGCGAGACTGGACGATGATTGTACACTCACAAGCCAGTTCCTAGCCCAACTACAGGGCAGATGTTATTGAATCGGATGTTGTCCTTCGCATACTCAACAGCCATAGACTTGGTGCCATTGATCGCGGCTGCCTTGGAAGCGTTGTACCATGTCAAGCCGCCACGAGGACGAATACCAGCCGTCGATGCAATAGTCACGAAGGAGCCGCCCTTGCCCTTCTTTTGTAGGTACGGAACGATCGTATGCGCCGAATAGAAGAGAGACTTGACGTTCACAGCGAAGGTCTTGTCGAAGTCCTCGTCCGTAACATCTCCCGTGGGCTATTCATCATTAGTACTCCAAACTCACGGGTGGACTGGAGACAGTCTGACCTTATTCCTGTACGTTGTCCCAGCGTTGTTGACCACACAATCAAGCCCGCCAAACTTCTCGTCGGCGACCTTGAGAATGTTCTGCCAGTCCTCACGTTTGGTGACGTCGCAGCGTACGAACTCGCACTTGAGCTCGCTCGCTGTCTTCTGGCCGACGTCTTCGACAAAGTCCGCAATGATCACCTTCGCGCCCTCTTCCACGAACTTCGCTGCAATGCCCTTGCCGAAGCCACCTCCTCCGCCCGTCACAATCGCAACTTTACCTTCGAGACGTCCTGGCATGATGTGTGGTGTTGTTAGGTTTGTGAAGCTGGATTGTTCTGCTGATTATGAGAGGGGAGTTCAAGGAAAGGAATGAAGAAACAACAATGGTGGAACGCCAAACCATATGACATAGCAGCTTCGGCCTCTACTGCTACCCCGCAGGGGTGGTCTTGAGTTCGCGCGGGGCCTACCTCTAGGACCTTGGATGTTGGTGTGGATAGCCGGAAGAGGACTGCCTCGTGGTGATCGTTATTCCCGTTGGAAGCCCCCTCCTGGGTGACCCCAAAAACCGTGACATCTCTCTGCCAAGGTCCCGCAGAGCTGTCACGGTTTTTTTGTCACACAGGAAGCCCCTACGGCAGCAGCAGCTCAGGTCGATCCATCCAAGGTCCAGGGTACCCTCCACCGGCTAGAGGTGTCACTTGAGGACCATTCCATGCAGCCGGGGAGCAACATACGAGAGACCGATGGAAGTACGCGTTAACAGGCCTCCGGAGCAAGTAGCCTGTGTCTGCTACATCTTCCTCCAAGCTATAGGAATCAACGCCTCCGGTGCCGGCGAGGAGGGGTTGCTTGGATGAAGGTGGGGAGCTCCATCAGGTGCGAAGGGACATGAGCAAGGCCGAAGTCTAGCAGTCCTGGTCGGTCGATGTTCGGCTTCCTCTCGCAAAACACAGTGTTCGAAAAGAGGTTGATGCAATCGAACACGCAAGATTGAAGCACAAGAAGCAGATCGAGGAGATGTCGATACGGGTTGGCATTCGGGAGGAATGCTTTTCCGAGTTCCGACAATCAGATGCAATTAGAGTTGGCGATGATCTTTGGACATCCCAACGACTTGGGCCCAACTTGCCAGGAATATGTTTGCTCTGGGCGGTAGCACTCCCAACGTGATGAAGGGCGGAGAAGACGAAACATGCAGGCGATGGAGCAGCGTGGTGCTCGCCGGATCAGGAAGTCGCGTGGAAAGGGGCTTCGCACTACGACAGGCTGCGCAGTAAGCGGAACTGATACAAGACAGTATCAAGAGCCATGCGACTCGATAGATGTCAAGCCAGCAAATGTACAAGAGCACCTGCTGACCTTCTTCAGGTATGTCGAAAGAGGCACATGAAGGTCAGTTCTCCAGCCATCTGACCATCAAACTACACGCACTAACGCCCCCGTCTAGTGCGACGAAGTCAAGCCTGTATGCGGAAACTGTTCGAAAGGCAACCGAGCATGCGTCTACCCAGATTCTGCGAGTCCTGCGGAGGTGACCAGTGCTGGACCGCCGACGGTTAGCGATGAGGAGGCGGCGCGTAGGCAGCGGCACATGCAACATGCAAGCTTCGCCAGTACCTCCGATGCACAAGAGATTGCGGCTCTACCACCAGGCTCCGGTCCTCCTGGAGACGACGCTACTCACACCATGAGCCCGCGGAGCAGGTACACTGCCTTTACAGCTGACGGATCTGAGATAGCACCGCTGCAATGGTTCGGCCTGCTGGCTCACGATGCTTCAGACGTCAATCTGGACTTGCCGCCTTTGGTTTCCTCCGACGGTGTGCCCAGAAGCAGCAGTGCTTTACGCACATCGACAGAACCTCCACGACATCATGCAGCAGGCAGCCCAGCAGTGACAAGTGCGCAGGATGTCCCCGTCGTCTCGGCCTCCGTTCCTAGATCCGCAGAGCTTCTTGTCGATGAAAAAAAGCGGTGGCAATCTCCAGGGCCTATAGAGCTGCAGGCCCATAAGCATGGCATGTTCCAACGATTTGTCACATGCATCAGCCTCTGGATAGACCTCTTCGACCCTCTGAAGCACTTTTCCACATTTGTGCCACACTTGGCGCTGCGAAATGAAGGGTTGATGAAGGCACTGCTGGCTCTTGGTGCACGACACCTTTCTATCAAGCCAAGCGAAGGCCGAGACGCTGGTGTCGACCAAACGGCAGCTGTCCAATATTACTCAGAGACACTTCAGTATTTGCAATCCGCCATGAGGTATACGTCCTACAAGAGCAGCCTCGAGCTGCTGGCCACTGTGCTCATAGTCTCGACTTACGAGATGATAGATGGCGCTGGCAAGGGCTGGGAGCGGCACCTCAAAGGCGTCTTCTGGATTCAACGCAGCCGGGAGATCAACGGCGAGTCAGGTGGATTGGAGCAGGCGGTTTGGTGGGCATGGCTGCGACAAGATGTCTGGGCGGCTTTCCGTGAGCGGAGACGATGCTTCAGCTTCTTCAGGCCTACTAAACCGTACAGCGAGATGAATATTTGGGATGTGGCGAGCCGCGTGGTGTACATCCTAGCACAGGTCGTCAACTACAGCTCTGATGAGGAAAAGCTGCAAGGAGAAGACGATACAGCTGGCCGAGTTGACAAGGCGAAGACACTTGTCGATATGCTGGACGAGTGGAGAGAGAACACTAGTGTCCATTTCCAACCGTTGCCGGCTCAGTCTTCAGGAGATCAACCATTCAAGCCAATTTGGGTACACCCATCAGCATTCGGAGCGGCCATGCAGATGTACCATGTGGCGCGCATACTGCTTCTCGTGGATCAACCAGCAGCTGGCGGGTCTGTGGAATCCTACAGTCGCAGTTATACCATCGGCGAGTCTGTCAACGCTATCGCCGGTATTGCTCTGACTATGACAGAAGATGCATCTCGAGTCATATCTACGCAATGCCTTTTCGCTGCGGGACTTCGTTGCACTGACCAGGAGAAGCGCGATTTTATTGCCAATCTCATCACCGACCATACTCGGCACACGGGGTGGCCGAGCAATACCAACTTGGCTGAAGAACTCCAGAGCGAATGGTCGAAAGGCTCCAAAGGATGAACGCTTCTCCGAAACTTAGCAACGATGTATATACGGTTGTGTCATGACGGAGACCCAACCGTTGGTGGAAGGGAGATAGACTATTGTTGGCTGGAGACGAACGCACGCCTCAGAAACGACTCCACACATACCGCCGCCAGCTTAAATCTCCGAGCTGATCTTCTCAAGATACTCCACGCCAGTCACCAGCAACCACCAGCTCGCCACCTCATGCATAAACCGAATCGGTCGCCGGTCAAGCGGCAACACCGCACCACTTCTGGCCTCCGTCCACTGCAGAGTCTCCGTCCTCATCGCAGTACCACCTTCTTGCTCTCTCAGGCTGATAATAAGGCGACCTTCTATCGGCGGCTGCTGGGCTGGGATTGCCATGCCAATCTCCACCCTGCCCGACGTACGCTTGACCACGCGGTAGAAGCCACAGAAGACGTCGTCCTCCCGGAAATTCAGAGCTTTGATATGGGCTTGGGAGAAGGACTCGCGTTGCTCTGGACTCTTGGCGATGAGCCATAGCGTCCAGCTCTGCGGGAAGCGTGCGAAGAGGCTCATGTTGCGGCGAAGGAGCTGGGTGAAGAGTTTGTCTAGCCTCTCTCGGGCTGGAAATGCTACAGAGTTGCTGGACCTCTCGTCGATGTCGTATATGATTTTATAATCTTCGAGATCGCGCGTGAGATGCGGAGACAGCGTTTCGAGCTCACCACGGTCCCGCATTCCTTTCAGTTCCTTCGTCGTGACGGACTTGTGCTTCACTTGCTGAACAAGACTGTGATGTAGCTGTTGAGCCCACACGTAAAGGGCTGCCAGACCAGCAGCGCCCACGCCGCCGCCCACCAAAGTGATCTGTAGCACGTGGTCCATGACGGTTCTGTCGCACTGCCTGACGCTGAGATGATGGGCTTCGCCATCTCTGCTCTTCTCGTCTGCTCAAGTTTGGCCGCAAGCGAGGTGGCGTGATCGTGAAGCACATGTTAGGTCTGGCCATGTATGCCTTGCGCCCTTCGCTTGTTCATCGCCTTTCGAGGACGACGTCCGGGTTGCTTCATTCGGGTTTCCGCCGTAGACTCCGGCAAGACTACAAGAAGCTGTCGAGGCGCCTGGTTGATCTGCCCTGGATGCAAAGTGAATGAAAGTCTAGACTGGGTAAATCCTGAAGATGGAGGCGCATGAGCGAATTCATGCCAGTGCAGCTGTTCACTTCATAGGATTACAATATTCAATACATACTTAGTACAAGGAGTCGAGAACAAGGCCAGCGGCAAGCTCATGCCTCTTCATCTTCTCTGGTAGGGACCTTCTCCCGCCCATCAGCTATCCGCTTAGCCCGATCTTCGTCTTCAGCCGTCAACTGGAATGCGCGCATCCTGCTCGCTATCCGGTCGTCCAAAACAATCTCCTCAATCCAGACGCTTTCCTCATGCTCCTTCCGTGGCTGGAAAGTGGTTTTCCACCAGTTTGACTCTTCATGCTGCAGCACCTTCGATTGTTCTGGAGCACCTGGAGTACTGTCATCGTCTGAAGCCGCGAGGCTAGTCGAGTAGGACCCGTGGGACGCCAGCACAGCAGCCGCAACATCTTGACAGATCGAGTCTGCCAGATGTCGACGGGTGAGAAAGCGGTATATGCGGATAGGGGTATTCCTGAAACCCAGAATATGCGGGAACTGAATGCCGATGCTGGGACCAAGTGTCTCGGGTGTGCTTTTCGAGAGGGATGCAGAAGGGTACGCTGTAGGTTGGATGTAGGGTGGAGGTTGTCGTGGCTTGGGCTTCTCTTCTTCCTCTTTCGTCTCCTCTTCTTGCTTGGCATCAGCTGCAGGGGATGCATCATCCGTCGTCTGGCTCTCGGGTGTGGCCTCTGAAGGCGCTGACTCTGCGCCCTGCTGCGATGCCATATTGCCGGCAGCCTTCACAGCGGCATCTCCAAGAGACGGAACGCCTGGTACGTGGTTTGCCGTCTGCACATCTGAGCCTTCCTCGGGTTCTGGCTGCTTTGGCGCATCCGCCGGACCCAGCCAACCCTCGTGCAGTCCTCTAACATACTCCTTCCATGTATTTCGGCCAATGACTAGATCACCAGCTACACCGTCGAATTCGTGTGTACCATTCCTCTCCCGCATTGCGTCGACCAACGACAGGTTCTCAACCTCTTCCTGCGACATTGGCTCTCCCTCGCCATTCTTCTTTCTTCTCTTCCGTATCCGCTCTGCAGTCTTGTACCTGACATCTCCCTCTTTCCTCCCCTCAACAACATCCCAGTCCATCGCCGCGGCCACCAGAACAGGCTTCACGTAGTTGTGAAAGTGCTCGCGTGCCGTTCTAAGGCCATCCCCCGGTGGAGCTGCCAGGTAGATGGTCACCCTCCGCGGCAAACTCTTGGGGTCAAGATGTTCGTTCGGGATGTGGGATACGAGGTTGCACCACTTTTCGCGGACCCGGCGAGTCTGATACTTGTCGTAGATGACTGCGGATGCAAAGGAGCCAGTGATGGACAAAAAGATGAGCCAGTTGCGGGAGGGTAATCGTAGTCTAGGCAGGCCTGGTCGAGCATTAGCGTGTGCTTCTCGTTGTCATCGAGACATATCTCCATACCCATCATCCTGAACGCTGGATTGCCCTGATTTGCTGTGCCCTTCGGCGCAGCCGTCGAGGACGAGCCATTCGACCGTGCATTGCTGGCAGAAGCTGATGAAGGTGCGGTTGCAGGGGGCTCGCCAGCAGCAGATGCGCTGGGCTTCTCCGACATGCTCTGTACAGTGAGGCTTTGAAGGAGAGCTCCCCAAATATTTCGAGATGGAAGACACGCGACTGCCATGATCGGCATGGCGGACCGAGCCGTCCTCCGCGGACCTTATCCAGAGAACTAGACACCGACGACTTCACTTCACCTTGCTCCTCACTCTATCGTCCTTCACTTCGTTTTCTGCTATTGGTAGACTTAGTGCTGCTCCGTGTGTCCGGCATTTCATCAAATAGAAAACTTCAAATACGACAAGCCCCCTTTCGTCACTGGCTGCAGTCCCACTGGCTGCAATGTGTGATTTTCTTAGTGAATGTGAGTCTGAAAGGTGGTGTCACATGTAGTGAATTTACTTTTCTTTCCTTGCGCCCTTTTCATCAAGCTTGCAAGTTTCTTCGCTCATCCTGCGTCCACCACGATATCCCTCCACCACGATATTAGCAACATCACCATAGAGCACCGCTGAGGGATCCAACCGACTGGACCTTGACACGACGACCCTTGCATCTCGGATGGCGAAAACCACAACCCCAGTAGCTGGCTTGAGACACAAGCAGGCTTCAAAGGACTCGACGTCCACCAGAGCCGGCGTGGTAAAAGCAAAGCGTGGACGCTCAACCAGGAGCACACCGACCGGCGGGAACCGCAAGCTGAGAGGTGAAACTCCTAAATCAGCACCTGCCGAGCCAGATGCAGCTGATTCATCCGCTGGAAATGACGGTGGTTCACGCGAGGAAGGCTCTCCATTTCTGGGTCTGCCCCCGGAGCTGCGCAACAACGTCTACGCCTTCGTCGCTGCTGAGACTCCTGCCTACCTCCGCAAAGGACACACAAGCCACCTCATCTCCGGCTCTCCACTGGCACGCGTCAATCGACAGATCCGCGAAGAGTTCGTCTCCTCACTTACGCTCGAAATAAAAGTCATTAGAACGGAGATGCGCAACTTCGACTACAGCCACGTCGTCAACTTCCTCAACCGACTAAATGACGTCGACCTTTATGGCCTGAGCAACGCCGAAACGCCGACAAGCCGCCTCATCAACATCCGCTTGGTTCTGACTAGGCTGCCAAAGTACGACAGGGAGAGCCTTCTCCGCTGGCTGAAACGACTCGAGCATCCTACAAAACGGGGCGCAGAAATCGTTACCACTGTGGATGTGAGCGACAACAGCTTGGACGCAATCAGCAAAAGATGGTTGGGAGGCGACCACATTGAGACCACCAGGCTCCGTCTGCGTGATTCGGCGCGTGAACTGGACCGTTCCTTCTTGATTAAGCTCAAGGATGGCAGAGCGAAGAAGGAGGTTAGGAGTATATTGACGGCCGTACTCAACTTTTGTGATATGTTGCGCCGTCGCCAGCTCGAGATTGCGCAGAGCAAGCTTGGGGTCCAGTCTGCCTGAACGGGAGTAAGTCGGGAGTTGGCTGAATGCGGTTCGAAAGGGAACTTGGCCAGGCACATTGTGCAGGCAGACCGACGTGGGTATTGCAGGTGGGTGTTTGTGTTTCAACAGCAGTCACGGCCGTACAAAGGATTGAGATGGCTACATCAAAGATGTCTTCAACAGGATGCATTGCATGCAGTGCGGGCGAGATTCGAGAAGTGGGGAGTATTGGTACGTTCGATGTGCGTCCTTGACGGCAAAATGTAGTCTAGATGTTCTATGTCGATATCTTGGACAGTAGGTGCTTGACCTCTTCATTCCCAAGCTTCTTCACCTTTGTATCTCTGAATTTGTGTCACATGTCTGTGATCGCGCTATTCAGCCGTCCGTGCGTAGGCCACGTGGGCCTGTTGACGTGTGAAGTCGTACTTCGAAGCTCTTCATCCACCCAGCCGTCTACCACCACTTGTATCCAATCTCCAACTTCCTCGACAACCTCCCTTATTCCATGATGAAGCGAGCACTTGAACCTCCGGACACGGAAGCGCAGGCGCCAGCGAAACGGATCAAGAACACCTCAGAGCCCACGACGCCGCAAAATGCTCAACACTGCAACCGACACACCAAAGCTGCTCACCCTGCCGGGCGAACTTCGCAATGCCATCTATGAGCTTGTGGTACAAGACGCAAAGGCGACTTTCACGCAGGATGCGAAGTTGATACTCACCTCGCCTTTCGCCTGTGTGAACCGGCAAATCCGCCAGGAATATCTTTCAATCCTCAAGACGCAGTTTCCGGTACTCACTACGGATGTCGTGCACTTCAAGTTCGACCACATATATAAGTACTACCTCGAACACCATGATATCGGCCCACACGCGTCTTCTGCCACCTTGCCAGGAGTACAAATCGCAATGCACATCAAACCAGGAAACCCAAAAAGAGTCCGATTCGGCTTGGATGAGTGGCTGGGTCGGAGAACGGGTCTCTACCTGGGCTGTACAACTTCAGTCAAGGCTTCGTATACTATTACCGGTGACACGGTGGGAGTGAGCAGAACGTGCAGCTGGTGGGAGGGGTACGCAGACAGGACTTGATCGGAAAACGAGCAGCGAGCAGACGAGGCGATGAAGTTCGTGGCGGCACGTCAAGACTACTTGAATGCAGGCTGAAGAGCGAGCGGCTAGCGATCAAAACGGACGGTTTCGATGGCACTTGCAGTACATCATGGAAGCCTTGGGCTGGGTGGAGAGCAAACGGTGGCGGAAGGTGTGGGCGAGTCATGAGGCACATAGAGAGAAGTCTGATGGGCGCAAGGTGTACGAAATGATGGGCGGCAGTATCTAGCAGAATCATGACAGAATCAAATGTGTCGATTGCTCATATCAGACTTTTTCTGCCCTCAAACGCCGTCGCTCGAGCACATTCTATCGTTCAAGTATGATCGTAGAGATCACCTTCCTCGCACAACACATTACTGCTGGCCACTCCCGCCACCTGCTCCTCGGCCTGCGCCGCCCATGCCGCCCATGAAGTTACGTGCCCTGTATTAAAGATTGATTAGCCGAGCGTCGTAACGAAGTGATTCTCAAGCCATCCAACTTACATCTCAGCAATCGCAGGATCATTCATCATCTCGCTCAAGTTCGGCATGCCGCCACCACCACCACCTGCACCATCTCCGCTCGCACCTCCTTCGGCACCACCTCCTCCTCTACCTCCACCAAAGTTGCTCGCCATATCTCGTAGTCGGGGGTTGTTCATGAGGTTGTTCAGCATGTCCGGGTTGCTCATCACATTCTGCGCCATTTGCCTCATCATCGGGTTCTGCATCAGCGAACTCAGATCTGGCATGCCGCCTCCACCACCTCCACCACCTCCACCGCCTCCCAGCATGCTCGCCAGCCCAGCGAGGTCTGGCATGCCGCCTCCCGCACCTCCCGCAGGAGGAGAGCTAGCGCGCGCGGTAGCTGTGCCGTCGATGTCTGGCTCCACGTCCATGTCCTCTCCCTCTTCTTCCACCTTCGCCTTTGCTGTCTGGTAGCCCTTCTTCATCGCCTCGCTGCCTCCATTCCCTTCAGCTTCGATACCCTTCTGATACGCCTCCATCGCTCCCTTCGCATCACCAAGTGCAAACCTCGCCAATCCTAATCTCGACCACGCCTTGGTGTACTTCGGGTCCGTCGCCGTCGCCAACTCCGCATCGTTCTTGGCATACTCATGCTGCTTGTTCGCACTGTACGCCGCAGCTCGATTTGACAAGTAGATCGGGTTCAGTGGCGCAATCTCCAAGGCCTGTGTATACGAATCGATCGCGCCTTGATAGTCCTTCTTCTGCATCGCCGCATTCCCCACGCCCTTCAACCTCTCACTCTCCGCCGAAGGCCCGCCTTTCTCGCCCTCCTTCGGTAAAGTCGGTGTGCTCGGTTTCCCTTCATTTGCACTGCTCGTGCCCTCGGTGCTGGCTGTGCTTTTGCCTTTGAGCTTCTCGTAGACGCCGTAGATGGAGAGGAGATTCTGGCCGCCGAGCGCCTCCTTCATCGCGGCGTCGTCAGTGGGGTCGACGTGGAAGCATTCTGCGATGCAGTTGCTGGCGATTTCGATGCTGTCGGCGTCTTCGGGTTGGAGTGTGCCGTCTTTGAGGGAGGTCGAGAGGAAGTCTATGACTGCGAGAGCCAACCGTTTGCGGGAGTCGTTGGCCTATTCAGGTGTCAGTGTATATCTGCCAGCGCTGGCTATGCGCAAAGCCTACCATAGTTGCTGTGTGCGCCTGGCCAGGCGGTGCGAAGTGCTAGTAATGTTAAACTATATGTGAGATTGTCTGTCGTCGTAGGAGCGTATTGGTAGGACTTGTCGCGAGTTTTATAATGTCGAGTACGTTACCTATCGAAAGTTGGCCAGACGCACATGTAAGGACCCTTTCAAACAGCCTTGGCATACGCACGTGGGGCTTGGTGGGGCATTGTTTGAAGCACATGCCAAACACATCTCGAGTTCTAAACCACCAACAACACCAGTCAATCGCTCAAGATGTTCAAGAAAGAGTCAGTACGTGCCCTCACCATCCCTCACACCAACGCTCACTTACACTGTCCATTAGATTCTCGCCCGGCGCGAAATCCAAGGTCAAATCCTCCGCCCAACGCGCCCTCCGAACCAAACTCCTCGAGACGTTCCCTAAGCTTGAACCCTACATCGACGAGATCCTACCGAAGAAAGAACAACTCGATGTCCTGAAGATTCCCGACCGCGTCTCACTCTACGTCCTGGGCACCACGCCATTGTTCTATCAGCACATGGACGACCCGCTCATCCCACACTTGCAGCTTGTGCATCGGTACCCTTGGTGCTTTCCGCGGGTGAGGATAGATCGAGGCGGAGTGCGTTTCGTGCTGTCGGGAGCGACGCTGATGGTGCCTGGGTTGACGAGTCCGGGTGGGCGGTTACCGGGGGATGATGATGCGGGGGAGGAATATGGGAACGATGGGAAGGAGTATGAGGAGGGCAGGGTGGTGGTTGTAGATGCGGAAGGGAAGGAGAACGCATGCATGGTCGGCGTCTTGAAGATGGCGACGGGCGAGATGAAGGAGAAGAAGAAGGGCGTGGCGATTGAGAACGGGCATTATGTTGGAGATGGGCTGTGGAAGCTGGAATTGCGTTGATGGGCCTTGGAAAGAGCTGAGAGGAGATTAGGGGGCATGTCCTGCCAAGCTACTCCTGCTCTATGCAGAGGTATTGACAGAGGATGTCCAGCATGGTCGTGGAGACTCTGGTACCTCAGTTTTCGAATACGTACGAGGAGAGACAGCGGCATGAGATACGAAGCTTGGATGCGACTCTGCAGTCTGCCTTTTGGCTCTGCGATGCTCGTTTTCTTTTCGAGGTCTGATTAGAAGCCAGAGTAGTATCGAGCGACTCAAAGCAGTATGAAGTTGTTCATCGAAAGTCATTCAGGACCTCGAAAGTCGTTCACATATCAATCGTTCTTATTGTACGCAAAACTGCTCGTCAGGGTCATGCAGGCTAACTTCAGGTGCGACCTCACTCTCAGGTGCAACTTGTGAATCTCGCACCTGCTCTTGAATGCATGGAGGCAGTCTTATGGAAAGACCTTTTCGTCGACCAGAGTGTTGAACAGATGCGTTCTATCACTTTTATCAACCTGTCAGACTACATTCACATCCTCAGACACTGCTGAACTTCATCATTCCTACAACGCTGTCAACCTCAGCTTTCTTCGAACGGAAGACTCACAAGATGCATCTCTTGTCCTACGCAGTAATCGCTGCGCTCGCGGCCCTCCCTACACACGCTCTCAAACGAGGTACACTGGGCTTCGCACTCGGCACAAAGAAGCCAGACGGCAGCTGCAAGACCACACCCGACTACAAAGCAGACTTCGACGCCATCAAGCTCAATACCGGCTCCACGCTCGTACGTGGGTACTCCGCTAGGGATTGCAACTGCGCCCAAGAGATCCTCCCAGCTGCCGAAAGCAAGGGCTTCCAAGTCGTCCTCGGCGTCTGGCCCGACACGGACGCGAGCTTCCTTGCCGACAAGCAAGCGCTGGTAGATCATGCCACGAAAAACACCGACCAAGTCTACGCCGTCACCATAGGCAGCGAGACGCTATACCGCGGCAACTTCACAGGGCAGGAATTGCTCAGCAAGATCAACGATGTCAAGTCTATTCTTCCAAACACCAACGTCGGGACCGCAGACAGCTGGAACAAGTTCGCCGACGGAACGGCTGATGCCTTGATAAAGGGTGGCGTGGATTTGATCTTGGCGAATGCATTCTCGTACTGGCAAGGCAAGAACGTCGGAGGTGGAGCTGTATTCACGTACTTGGACGACATTCAGCGAGCCCTTGGTCGCATCCAACAGGTGTCCGGGTCGCTGAACAGGACGGAACTCTGGAATGGTGAGACGGGCTGGCCGACTGATTGGGGTACCAATTACGGTGCTGCCATGGCCGGGACGAAGAACGCTGCGACGCTGTACTCGGAGGGTGTCTGTGGTCTGCTGGACTGGGGTGTCAACGTCTTCTACTTTGAAGCCTTCGATGAGTACGTATCCGGACAGATGATGGCACACCGTGGATGTGCTGACCTTAGCCGACAGGCCGTGGAAGCCAGTCTCGATCGGCGACAACGGCGTTGCAGCGGACGAGACACGCTGGGGCGCAATGACGGCTGATCGTTCGCCAAAGCCTGGGTTCCCATTGCACTGCAAGCAGTGGGGTGGTGCAACCTCTTCATAATGGACCCCGAGATTAATTCTGGCTGCTGGTGAGGGCATGCGGTGTTACTCGCCCTGCAATGGAGTAATTCTATTGCCTCTGATTGATGCTGGGTATCTTGATCCTGTAGACGCCGGACACCTGCGCTGAAAAGCTCAAACGGAACGAAGATGCATTAACATCAGTCTTCGAAGCCCCCGAACTCTTTATCGTCCTCGCTGTCCGCACCCTTTGTCGCCGCCGCACCATCCGGGACCCCTTCATCTTCTGCGTCCTTACTTTCTGCGTCGGAGCCGGCAGCGTTCGCCCAATCGTCCAATCGCTCATCCTTCAGCGCCTCCTGAACCCGCTTCCGCACTGCTTTCGTCAAGCTCTCGTTCCCCAGCGTCCGTAACGGCGTCAGGATAGTGTCCAGAGGTGCATTCCTCCCCACATCTACTTTGTCCAGCTCATCCACATATATATCCACAACATGATACCTCAACCCGTTAGGTATCTTCCCATCCCCAACATTCAGCGGCACCTCCTCCAACACCTCCAAGTACTCCTCCATCACACCCTCATCCTTCCACTCCTCCCCACCAGCACCCCTCACCCACTCAAATCCCTTGCCAACATAACACCTCACAAGATAGAGAAATTTATCCATCCTCAACGCATCAATCCCACCCCACTCCCTTGCCATCGTCCGCCAGAACGCCCTCAACCATCCAAGCACATTCTCCCTCCCTTGCAGTGCATCCACCAGCGCCGCAAGGCCCCGAGCAAGTCGCTGTTGATTCAGCGGCTTATCGCTCATCCACATGCAAAAAAAGAGACCTTTCCATAGCTTCAGCAGCTCGAGTTCCGAGAATGGCGTGGAGCGGTGCAGGTAGGTGCGGAGAGATTCGAGCGCGCGGTCGCGGGTGGTGCGGTTACTGGAGGCGAGAGATTTGATGAAGGGATTGTTCGTTGTGTCGGCGATCATTGCGGCCGGCATGGTGAGGGTTTCGTGCGACGGTGGAGGGCGTGTCTTCCTGGAGGCTGGACGCGAAATTTTGGAGGTGAGGTCGATCAGATAGCGTAGTCAGCAAGCTTATCTTAGCGCTGTCTCGCGCGCTTGGACTTCTTGATGGTCTGTGCTCGTAATATCGATGGTCGAAACATCGTAGAGGCAAACCGTCTATTGACGCGAACTTTCGTTATAGTCTTTCCTTAAGATATAGTCTTAATTATCTAGCTACCTAGTATAGAGTCTATGAAAATACATAATAGAAGGCGCTTAAAAGAGAAAAACGATATATAGAAGTATAGAGCTTATAGACGCTAGCCTATATAGAGCTAGTCTATAATAGATAGCGCGTCTTAAGTGTTGTTTTCTAGTGTAAATACTTAAGCTTCTATAATATCACGACGGATACTTTCTAAGCCTATCGACAACCTATTTGAAGTAAAGAAGACAGGTCGACGTCTTTCTAAGATGTTGTCGACTAGGGAGCTCGCGTTCGTCGAGATTCAAGTAACTTATCGCGTCTCTCCTTTAGACGTGGCGGGCATACTTTGTCACCGCCTTAAAGATGGGGTAAGCACCTCAAACCGGGCTATAAAGTTACTTGCTAACGCGTCGCTATAGCACGAGCAGCTCCTTATCCGGTGGCGGACTTTACCCGCTTCGCAAACGCCTTCACAAGCTATATGCTCCTGGCATGACCTCTACGAACTTACGTCATGCATGCACCTGATTCAAAAGTACCTTGAAAACAGGCAATCTTCTTCAAAACCGACACTGAAGCGGAAGCGGCCTTCACCTGAGGATGGCCTGAGAAAGTCACGTGACTCTAAGTTTGGCAACGGACACCCAACTTCTGTGAACGGCCGGTCCGATTCAACGAACAGTCGACGCTCGTCTTCAGATGCTGCTTCGGAGAAGATTGAGACGCCAGGTGTCTATAATGGAGTTCTCGAGAGGAGGGAAGGGCGGGTCGTGGCGACGCAGGTACGATGTCTCATTCATATGAAATCAGGAGCAAAATAGCGACTAACAGGCCCACCAGTCTAAGCATATGGGTGTTGTGAAAGTCGACGCAACAAGCCTCCCTACGCCAGAGATGGTGGAGCAGGCACGCATCAGCTCAACCGCACAAGCCGAACGCTACATCCGCCTTACATTCGAGCGGAAGCTCAAGAAGCTGAGATGGCTGCGGCTGGAGAACAAGGTAGACAGCTCCGCGCCATCTCTGGACTTCAGCTTCATCACCGACTACGTGACCGGGAAGGATGTCTACCGAGCAGACCCTGGATCGTACGAAGGATGCACGGAACCTTGCAAGTCGAACATGGGATCTCACATCGGGTGCGAGTGGCCACGGGAGTGCAAGTGCCTGGAGTACGCGGCAGTGAATGAGGATTTGCTGCGTAGAGAAGATCCACAGCTGTTTCAGGAGTACCAGCAGGCGAAGCAGAATGGGGACTACATCGACATCACGAGTACGCACCACCCTATTTGCGTAGTGGATTACCTGCTGACTGGTTCCAGATCTACCGAAGCGCTTCCCATACCATGTCTCAAAGGTCGAAGGCAAGCCGCAGACACTGGTGCCCTTCTATCGCGAAGAGCGCTACCCTATCTACGAGTGCAACGTCAACTGCCGATGCGGACCAGTCTGCAAGAGTAGAGTCGTTCAAAAAGGTCGCCGCGTCCCGCTCACCATCTTCCAGACCGCCAACCGTGGCTGGGGCGTCTACTGCGACGAAGACCTGATCCAGGGCGAGTTCATCGACACCTACCTCGGCGAAATCATCACCAACCAGGAAGCCGACCGCCGCGAGCAAGCCGGCCCAAAGGAAAAGCAGAGTTACCTCTACAGCCTGGACAAATTCGTCGACAACGTCGAGGACCTGACCCACGAGAACTGCTACGTGGTGGATGGGCAGTACATAGGCGGTCCCACACGCTTTATCAATCATTGCTGCGAGCCGAACTGTCGTCAGTACACGGTCAGCTACGACAAGAACAATCCGCGGATCTACGATATCGCCTTCTTTGCTGTGCATAACATTCCAGCGGGAACGGAGTTGACGTTTGATTACCAGGATAAGGATGAGGTGGAGGAGGATGTGGCTGTGAGGCAGCGTGAGGCGGCGCGGAGGGATCCGGCGAATGCTGGGAAGCAGCCTTGCAACTGCGGTGCGAGGAAGTGTCGTGGGTTCTTGTGGGAGTGAGCGGCGGGACAGTCTTGCTAGCGATGGATGGCAAGGAGGCAGCGGACCTGTGCCCGAGATGCGGTGCTGACGAGATGCCTTTGCTGCTCTTGCAGATGCGGTGCTGACGACATGCCTTGTTGATCTTGCACAACAGGCGAGAATGCTGCCACTGAACGTGGGATGGTGTTGTGTTACCTTGGGCCTTAAGCGATGGTGCAGCAGGCTTTGAGTCATTTTTGGCTTACTTTTAGCCAACTTCGGCCCTGGACATGCGGTAGAACGTGGGAATGACAAGGGATAGCATGAGAATAACTATGGAAGAGCGTGCCCGAGCACGAATCAAATTTCCAAACACATAGTACTTAAGCAAGTCCAATTATCGTATTTTCAGCTTAACCAACCCCAAGACCAGGACAGGACGTCGGGAAGCACAGTACCTTGGCGAGCGGTGCATGGGTTGCAGGTCGGGAGGTGTCGGTACAAGGCGACAAGGTAGAGAACATCAACGGGACTCTCGGTGCCGGCGCGGTCCCTCAAGAGCTTAGTCTTTAGCCAGCTGCTTTGAATTTTTGACGTCCTCCACTTTCATGCAGAGCACTTCTGCAATATCATTCCTCTCTGCCCCGCTCTCTCTATTCTCTCTTGTACAACATACCACACGACCTCCTCATTCACCGTCGAGCGTGTCCTCCCGGCGTCGGTGCGTGAAGTGACGTTGGCCTTCCTCGAGGTGCAGGGGCCCCCACCGATAGAGTTCCGCGGCAAAGGAAAGAAAGACCCGTGCTCGACGCAAAAAAATCGGCCGGCAACAGCGACCTCATTCGCACTGCACACAGACCACCACACCACCTCATACCACCCGCAACCTCACCCGAGACAACCCCCGAGCGTCCAAGGTCGAGGCACCCTCACGGCCATCGCCAGCATCTATCTCGACATCGCCCCCTCGCGGTAGACTTTCCACGAGAATCAGCTGCACCCGCTCTTCGGAACGCGCACCTCGCACGAGCGGCGGAACGTGACGACCTCGAACCGGTACGCTCCATCAATTACAACCTATCGCTCGCATGTGCTTGCGCCGCAATTGGGACCTAGATTCAGTGACAGCAGGTCTGGTTTAGTTGCTGACGTATCACGAGCTCTTCTAGGTCACAGCAGCTTGCACGCCTTCCTCGACGTCACCTCACACACTGCTCATTATTCAGTGGGTGAACTCGGCCTCTGTCTACGCTCATTCTTCGACACGACATCCGAAAGGACCATCCATCTCCTCACATCAGGTAAGACACCATTAAGCTCGGTGTGCGGAGAGGTGCGAGTGGTCCGCGACCTCTCCGGACGTAGCAGACAACAGGCAGGCAGGCAGGCGGCCGGTCGGGTGTTACTGGGGTAATTTTTGGAACGGCCCAGCAGGGCATTGGCGTGAAAGCAGTTGAAAGTGGTCACTCCACGGTCACGTACGGAGAAAGAGAGTGTAGGATTCACGATGGCAGCAACGACCTTCAGCAGTCCGGGCGGCTTCTCGTACGCTCAGGCTGCCAAGGGCCGCGCTGCGGCAACGGCTTCCCAAACACCCTCGAGTAAGGTCACGTCAGGGACGGCTACGCCTGCGACAGGTACCTTCTCAGAGCTTACTCCTGGGAGCAATTGGGCCGATGATGTGGAGTCGGGTGTGAAGGAGAAGAAGTCGGAACCACAACCAACACAACCAGAAGAGCGTAAAAGCTCGCCGATCAAGGACCCGGCGGTCGAGCAGGCCAAGTCGGAAGACAAGGTGCAGCAGGATGCGTCAGCAGTGTCATCACCGGATATTACAGCATCTTCGAGCACTACCGCGAAGGAGGACGATTCTCCCGCGCCGCATGCATCCTCATCTGACAGCACGTGGGAGACCAAATCACAAGCGTCTGAGCCGGCGTGGATTGCAGAGCGCACTCAGCGGCAAAGTCAGCACCAGCAACAGCAGAGTGAAGAATCGATGAAGCACGAGAAGAAGGGTAAAGATACGCCATCTTCGACACCGGCGAAACCAGTTGCTCTTCAGGAAGCCGCGCCGCCTACGGTGAATCCGTGGCTGAAGCCATGGGCTGCTAAGCCGGCCACTCCGTCTTCATCTCCTGCCACTGCATCACTGAAGGAAAACCAGAAGCCCACAACTGATGCCGCGGCCAAGCCGTCACGGAGTGCATACGCACCCGTCCAAGCACCGAGCAGCAGCGTCGAAGAGCCAGCGAAGTTCTCAGGCGCGCAGGTCAAGCGCGGAGGCGAAGCACGTGCTAGCAACTCCCGCCAAGGTTCCAAGCCGGTCGTTCACGATATTCGCACAGACAGTGCCTCGAATGGTGCGGCCAAAGGCGCCCCAAACGGCCGCCCAAGCCCTGTAAAGGCGTCACCAGCCCCACCATCTGTGAGCGACGGCGTCTCGTGGCCGACTCCGGATACGGCGGGCAAGGAGCGGAAGGAGTCAGTGGCGAAGAGCTCGACTGAGAAGCGTGAGGACGATGCAACGCCGGTCAGCAAGCGCAAGAAGCCAGAGTATGAGCCACTCAACTTCACGCCGACATTCAGATACGAGACTACGGGTACCTCAGACCCGCAGGGGCGAAAGCCAGGTCCATCAAGAGGAGATCGTCCTCGTGGTGGCGGCGTACGAGGTGGGCGGGGAGGTCCTCGCGGTGGTATGAATGGGAGCGAGCGCCAGGCCTCACGCCCGGACTCCACTCTGACCAATGCGCAACCTGCGTCTACTGGCGTTACGCAAGACGACTCGAGTGCGCGAGATCGCGAAGCAATGCCTCCACCACCGCGGCCATCAAGCTCGGATGCGACACAAGAGAGAAAGAAGCAGAACATGTCGGAGAGGATCAATACTAGAAAGCAGAATGCGATGAGCACCAAGCAGAACGGCGAAGTTCCTGCGGAACCTGCGAGTGCGACTCAGACGCCCAACGGCACCTTCAGCAAGCCTTTCACGACGACACCGCGCTCCATGAGTCCCAATAAAGTCGATGTCAGCGGCAAGGACGAGGACGTGCCGAAGCCCATACCACGCCGCACTTCCACTGGCACAAAGACTGAGGAGATGCCAAATGGGACGTATAAGGGCAACCGTGGTCCTCCACCCATTCGTATGGTGCCCACTGAGGGTCGCAAGGAGCATCGCGCATTTGGCGACTCTCGCGACGGCGCCTTCAGTGGACCCCGAGGTACCCCAGCTAAGCGCAGCGGTCGCGGTCGCGGCGGCGGTCGTGAGGTGCCGAATGGTCACCCAGGCGCTTCTCCATACGCTGGCGCACATTCAAGTGACGTCGCTGGGCAATTCCAGTACGGCATGCTTCAATCACCCACCAGCTACCATCCCTCTCGCGGTGGCCATCAGTATTCCCATCCTTATGCGAACAGAGGACCTTATCGTGGTAACAACACGCGCTCGCACTCGATACCAATGGAGCAATACTACAACCAGCCGCGCTACGGAGGCGCCTATCCCGACCCACAGCAGGCAGCAAACCTGCAAGCGTTCTTTCCAGGAATGTTTGACAACAACGGCTACCCAGCGTCGCCCGTACCATACCCACTGTATGGCGATCCCGACCCTGTCCGGAGCGCGATAGCAGGGCAGCTCGAGTACTACTTCTCATTGGAGAACCTTATCAAGGATACGTACCTTCGCCGGCACATGGACTCTCAAGGCTTCGTGCTGCTCGAATTTGTGGCCAGCTTTCCGCGGATGAAGCAAGCGATCAGTAACATAGATCATCTCAGAGCGGTGGCCAAGGACTCAAAACTTGTAATCCTGCGTGCTGGCGAGGACGGCAAAGAGAGGATTCGCAAGAAGAAGGGGTGGGAGGACTTCGTCATGCCGATGGATCAGCGTGATGAGAGCGCGAAGACAAACGGCCCCGAGCATCTGAAAGAGGTTGACGTACCACCGATGGTCAACACCAGCATCCCACCCCAGTTCCGCGGGCCTGCTTCTGCGGGTCTACCTTACGCGCACCAGCGAGGCGACCGGAGATCTTACGACTCAAATCACCACCACTCACCATACAACGGATACATGTACGGCGAAGGCATGCACCCAGGTCACACGAACGGAGTTGAGGCACAGAGCAGGAACCTGGCTGCACCGGCTGGACAGCAGTCAGACATCGGCCGTGTTGAAAGCAATGGTGCAGAGTACGACGCGTTCCCAGATGATCGGGTCCAGGCGCTGTTCGTGTGCTTTCGATCGGGTGGGCGTCGTCCAGGCGTCTACAGCGCAGCTTCTAGGACATTCTCCAACGGGTCGATTGACTCGCGCAGCGCCCTTCCTGATATTGACACGGCGATCAACAGCAAGTCGAAGCCTTTGACAAATGGTGATTCTCAGACCAACGGCGCCGAAGACGCTAACAGCTTGTCGCGCCACATGAGTCCGGGCAAGATGACACCTGGCGGAGATCGTGCTCAAGGGACAGCCGAGAACGAGAACATGTTCTGGGTCAAGGATCAGGACTATCCGATTGATACGCTGCCGCAAGGTCTTCAGCCCTATCCCTACACGCAGCTCTACTCGGAGGCGATGCACGAGCGCCACAACGCCAATCCAGACGTATGCCCACCGTCGCTCAGCAACCTCTACGACTTCTGGAGCCACTTTCTCATCCGCAACTTCAATACTTCGATGTACATGCAGTTCAAGCAATTCGCCGAAGAGGACGGCCTCAATCGTGCGGACTTTGAGGGCCTGCGCAACCTGGTCAAGTTCTACTCCCAATCACTCTCCAGTCAGAACCCCATCCGCGACCGCGTTGCCAAGGACTACGTCGACCTCGTCAAGAAGGAGCCTGCCAATCTGCACGGTGCCGCGTTCAAGTCCCTGCGCTCGGCCTGGCGCAACGGCGCGCTGAACCTCAAGAACCGCAAGAAGCTCTCCAACGTGCTGGACGACTCGCTTAAGGAGCAGCTTGACAAGCTTGATAGCTAGCGGCAAAACTCCATTGAATTGTCTCCAAAGTTCGATCCAAGGCACTATGGAAAGACATCCAGCGCGTTCGCATGGCAGCTTACATTGGATGCGAACCCATGAAGCATCCCTCCCGCAGTCCTATTGCTCATCGTGGGCCATCACCCTCGGCGTCGTCGACCATTCTTCTTCGCGACCATCAGCATCTCATCGACTGGTTCCTCTGGCCACGACTGTGATGGCGTTCGGTGCTTTAGCGCAGCTATTGCTTCACTTACGATACCCGGAGGGCGAATGGTTCATGGCGTCACAGCATCAAAAAAGCATGCATCTCTTACCGTTCACACGATTCACAACACTACGGCGTGTGTACACACACATGGGCTCGACTGTATGCTGGCAGGCTTTCGCGACGATATTAGGCTGGCTGAGCTCTACTCCGACTCCCAGCACATCATCACGCGATCATCTCCGGCTCCTTTCCCGTCTCATCAGCTGTACACACCGACCGTCAACCATCCGCGGCCTCACTACCGTGGAACCTTCACACCATTGATTCAAAAAGCGTTTCTTATCGACTTCTCTCAGCATGGGCATGCATATAGCAAACGGCGTTCTTGCAACTGGCTTTGGGGGGCAACACCACGTGTACTTTTCTTCTTCGAAGGACATTACTTCGCTGCTCATATGCTCGACCTGCTCCTGCTCCTGCTGCTGCTGCTGCTGCGACTGTTTCTTTATGTACTGAAGATGGATGGGGGCAGGGCTCACAGGGGACTGCAACGTCTGGGTGGAGGCGTCTTATGGCACGACTCGCATTGCACGCCTGAATGTTTGCTGGGGGGAGGGCTCGGTGAGGGATGGGAGCGTAAATAAGTTGAGTTGCGGCAAAAATGAAAATGTTTAAAAATCCATCTGCTGGTTCTTGTCTTTCACCCCGTCATCAAACATCGTCAAGTCCTCGAAGTCTGCCTGAAGATGTGGCACCCCTTTACTGCGACGTCTTACTCTGCTGCCCCTCGCTCTCCATGCCCTCGCATCCCACCGCCTTGCCTGCCATCTCCTCCGCCTTCCCAAACCCGGAAGAATTGGGATCGCGGTTCTCGCTTGCCGACTTCATGCCGTCGATGGCATCTTGCTTTTCCTGCGCGCCGGTCGCCTTCCAGTCTTCGGAGCCTGTGACGGAGCCGACGGTTTCCTGGGATGTGTTAGTATGAATGCAGGGCGAATGGAGTAGGTGGCGAACGTACTTTGGCGGCGGCGGCGACGTAGTTTGCGTGCTGGCCGATGAGGGAGGGGTTTTGTTGGTCGGACATTGTGTTGTTATGTTCTTGTTGTGTCTTAATGGAATCTTGAGTTGTGGTTGCAGCGTATTGAGTGGAAAATGGACAACATGGTAATTTGTGTGTAGTAAGAGACATTCATCGATGACGTCGGCTTTAGGTCAAATTTGGCTTCTCGGAGACGAGAACAACCTCATGTCTCGACGAGGAAGGATGGACACAACGTCAGGACTTCATTGAATGAGCGAGCGATTTCTCAAAGCAGACAGATTTTGCTATTTAACTGCTGATATGATGACGATGTACTCATCCACTGAGCTGCGGATACGTGTAGTTGTGCAGTCGAGCAAATGACATGGGAGCAAGTTGCGTAAGTCGTTGAAGAGGCCATAAATTTCGTAAAGCTTCGTTGTTGATTGTTCGTCCGAGAAGGATGGAGACGGCATCCTCTCCCTTCACGAGCCTGATCTCCATCCGATACGGCATCTTCCAGCTAACGATTCCACCAGTACCCGCCCAACACCCGGTCTGGATGGTAGGTCAAATCAGACACAGCCAGATCCTCGCTCATCAGCGCAAGCCTCTGCTGCGCGCCCTCCCATGCCTCTGCAGTCCATGAGTATCTTGCCGGGCTGCTCACCACCTCAAAGTCGTCGAAGAAGTCGAGAGGTTGGTTCGAGAAGTCCCAGCGATAGGGTTTGCTCTCGATGTCTCCGAGCGTCTCAAGGTACACGCGCAGAGAGTTCTGAGCGATCTGAAAGCTGTGGAAGCTCCGCAAATGGACATGGGCTTCTGACAGCATCTTATGTATGGATGCGTACGAAGTTCGTCCGATGATACCAAGATTCTCCAGCCGTAGAGTGCAGAGGGTCGAATGCGACTGCAGAAACTTGAACAGAACGTCTCCAGAACAGCGGACACCACTCAAGGAAAGGTTTTCGAGCCTCGACAACTGGATTCGGGCGGCGATGGCAGCGAAAATGCCTTCGGTGTCTTCCCAGCCGTTGTCAAATTCCAGGCGAATCTGACGAAGGAGGGGGCAATGCGAGAGAAAGGTGGCTAGCTGGGAGACCCAAGTTGTTGGGTCTTTGGGAGTCAGCAGTTGCGCAGGTCAAGAATGGCAGAGGGCGACGAAAGTCCGACTTACTTCGGTACAAGGTGGTGCGTGTGTCAAGCAGCAACTGTAATCGCCGGATCTCAGACAGACAGCAAACCACCTCCCTCGGCATCGACAAAGTCGAAATTGACAATCCTTCCTCATAGTCTGCAAATTGGCCCCACACGGTGCGCAGGCTCTCCAATTTCAGGTTTGCGTGCGCCGCGCTGGACAGGAGCACGGAGAACATTCGATCGGTCGAAAACCCTTCGCCATTGTGCTTGCGCCGTATCGAAGCCCTCTCTTCTCGCCCGTCCACGCAGGATGTCAACAACTCTTTCAGGTTGACGAAGCGCTGGAAAGCCAAAACGAGCATGATCCCGTCTGTAGCAGAGCGTTGAACAAACGACTTGTCTGTCTGCTCGAATTCGGCCCGGCGCGTTTGGCGTTGTAGTTTATGGCGACGCTTTGACGAAGTGTCAGAGGACTGTATTTCCTCCTGCGCCTCGTCGTACTCCTCTCCTGACAAGCATTGGTTGCGTTCGTGACAAAATATCGATTGGACCTTGAGGGTGAATTGCGGATGCTCAGAGATGGCGACGACCTGCTGGAGTCCACGGTAGCTGAAACGAAGGTGGACCATGCGAAATGCGACCCGCCCAAAGAAATCGAGCGTCTTGGTCTGGATGACTCTGGACGTCAGCCTCAGATCAAACATCTCCTGCGGTCTGGGTATCCAGCCGGGAACTTCGACCAGGTGGCCACAAATCAAGTCCAGCAATTCCACGGGGAGGTCCTGAAGACCAGTTGAGGACCGACGAGTGCTGTGGCAGTGCTTTGCTATGTGCCCTTTCTTCCAGCATTTGAAGCATCTTCCTTGGGCACGTAGCTTTGAGGACTTGACGTGCGCTGTTGATATGCCCTTGCCGTCGTCCGGCGGTGGAGTTGATGGACTGCGCGGTTCCATTGGGGGCAGTAATGGATCAGTCCGAGAGCGCAAGAATCTGCAGATGATATGAGCATATCAATCGTGTCCTCAAAGGTCGCGCGTTACTTTGAGAACAAACACAAACGCGCGATGTTGCAAACAAAAGAGGCTCGACTCTTGGCATGCGAGAGTTAGCATATGCCGTGTAACAGTACTCCCAGAAGATATGCCGAGCACCGAGATGTTGGGTGGCAGTCACACTTGCATTCCCAGGCATCTGGCTTTTCTAATCGCGCTTTGTGTATCGTTCTCAATGCTCATGTATCTTCATAAAGCAGTCCCCGTCAACTTCCCGCCAACGCCTACGCTAAATCATGTTCATCATGCTTCCATCCGGAACGTCAGCTTCCTCCCATAGCATTGAACTGCTCATCCAGTTCCATCTGCGAGAACCCCTTGTGTGGCTCCGCCCCAAAAATATCTTCCCAATGCTGTGACGCTTGGCCGCCGCAAAGCTGATCCTCACAGCAGTAAACCGCCGTTGCGGGCTCTGGACATTCCTCGCAGCCGTCTTCACCAAGACATTCGGGGAGGTCGCAGAAGCCATCCATGCCGCAGTCGTCCGTCTCGTCGCAGGGCGTAGCTGGGCCGACTGGAGGCGGGCACTGCTGGTCGCAGCAAAAGCAATTCGGGTCGAAAGGTACTGGGACGGCGGAGGCGCAAGATGCTGGTGCGGCCGCTACAGGCGCGTTGCAGCAGGGTGCTGATGGAAGGGTGGTGGAGGTGCTGTGTAGTGGTGCTCTCTGTGCGATGTGAGGCAGCATGTAGCCCGAAGATGCCGGTCTCTGCAGCCCGTATGGATGTGCCACTGGCGTTGGTGGCTCCATAGAGGGTGTCGAGATTGAAGGCGTACTGCAGTTGCTTGGTGCTGTTGAGGTATTTCGTCTGCTGCGCTGCTTCTTGACGCCGCCTGTCTCGCGCCAGTGGATCTGCTTGTGCTTCGACAAATTGGAGCTATCGGCGAAGGATTTGCCACACATGTCGCATTTGTGCGTCTTCTCTTCTTTGTGCACAGCCGTGATATGCGTCGTCAGAGCAGACTTGACGGCAAAAGACTTGCTGCACAGGTCGCACTTGTATTTCCGCGACTTGGTGTGGGTTGTCTCGTGGTTCTTCAGCTGCTCTTTGGTGACGAATCCCTTGTCGCAGTCGGGAAAGGGACATGGGAACGGCTTGTAGCCCGTATGGCTGTGGACATGCCGCATGAGTTTAGGCTTGTTGCTGAAGTTGATGAAGGTGTTGATTTGCTGCGCCTTGTCATGCTTTGAGCAGTTTTGCCAAAAGCAGCGGTAGGTGCCGTCTTTGCCCGCATGATCGTTCTTGATGTGGTTGTCGAGTGCTTCTGGGGATTCAAAGCACAAGAAGCATGGCTGATCTTCGTGTACAAGCCAGCTGCAGCAGAAATGACCATCCAACGTCGCTGATGCCCCCGGTAACCGCCCAGACGGATGATGGTGGTGTGGAATGGTGGTTTTGGTCGCCGGGGTACAGTCGTGACATGGCTGCCAGTTGGCCAACGCTGCCGCGAAATCTGCGTCTTCTCCAAAATGTGAAAAGTTCGGATCGACTGTCGAGTCCGGTGGAGTCAACTGGTATGGGTGGTGGTAGTTCATGTTGGCATGATTTTCCTCTGGGATCCGGTCCATAGCAGTAGCTACTGTGAACAACCTCTCCCGTGTGACAACCAATTCCGTACCGCTGTCTGAAGACGAGTGATGCTGATCTACTCGAGGTTGTCGCCTCGGAGGAGGATCGCGGGTCCTGCAAGGGCTATCGCAGAGTACTTTCGCTTGCCAGCCCACCCGTTCTCCGTGGTCCACGCTGCATTGGATGGTCGTTGAAGGGGTGAGGTCCGTGAGGATGAATTTTGCAACTCCAAGGCCGAGGACAGAGTTGGTGGCATTCGGTCAATCACGACTTCCTCGAGAAACACCGTGATGGCGAACGCTAATCAACATCCGGCCTAGCAGCAAAATGATAACAAAACATTGAAGATGTTGTTCTTCAGGAAATGGGGTTTGTGGTCGAAGTCGAAACTTGGTCAAAACTTATCGGACAAGATTCAACTGAACAGAGACCGCTGTCCGTAGGATGTTCGTTCGGGGAAGACCTCTGCTAAGTGCCTGACGACAGGTGACACTTCTCAATGGCATCCAAGAGGTAAGCCGCGCAAAGCGTGTGGCGCATTCCTCCTGTTCTTCCAAGAACCCCGCCGTCCATTTACCCACCCCACCTCACTTCAACTTCAACAACCGACAACAATGTCCCGATAACGACAACCACCTACGAACTACCACACCCTCTTCAGGTCTTGGAATACATATATCATGGGCAACTGCTGCGGCTCCCAAAGCAACGAAAACTTCCAAGGCGAAGGTCGCACCCTCGGCGCAACTCCCGCAAATGCTCCCCCTCAAACCGATGGAGCGCGAGCATCAGCACCACCCAAGATAAGTGGTCCGAAAGGCGGACGAACGTTGGGCAGGAACCCGCAGGCGCCGGACGATTCGTCGAGTCCGAAGGCGGCGGCAGCGAGGGCAGCAGAGGTGCGTAGTCTTTCTCCGTCGCCACTGCGGAAGCCACGAGCTAGGAGGGCGGAGGGCGGGAGGATGGTGATGACGGCTTGGATGTGATGCAGTGGGAGCAATCATGTTGCAGCGGCTTAAGAATGAGGACGAGGATGAAGAAAGCAGGTGGCGGCCAACAGCAACGGTGCATATGGCACGCCACCCTATCCGGATCTCAGCTAACGGGTCATTTCGCAGGAACGAGCCAAAGCATCTCAAGGCAAAGGCAAACTCGGCCGGCAACTCGATGCACAAAAGTCACAGACGCAGTCGGACACATTAGCTCAGTCGGCTCGCGAGAACGTCGCTGCGAGGGACGCCGATGCGTCGGCGCAAGCTAGGAACTGGGACTGAGCTGACAGTCTGTTTAATATTGCGTTGAACATGTGTGCTCACGAGTGTCTCAAGTGGGGGATTGGAGATTCGAGGTTTCAGCACTCTACGCGTATGAGGCTATCGGGGCCTGTCTTGGAGGGCTCCTAAAGGTGCAACGTGATACCCCAATATAGCGTACAGCTCAGCCTATCACTTCTGCGGATTTGGCTCGACCGTCGATTGAACACAGCGTTCACGGAATCAGGCCATGCTGCAGCCGTTGTATACAAGATTAAGTCCTATTCAACATTACCTATAACCTGCGCCAGCGCCGGCTCTCTCAAACACCCACCCCACCCTTCCTAACCTCCCTCAAAGCCCTCTGCATCCCCTCCAACCTCGCCCTCTCCCTCACAACAGTATCCCCAGCGAACTTCCTCAACATCTCCTTCCCGCTCCTCACATGCTCCTCCTGCCAACCCGCCAACTCCCCCGCAACCGTCTGCTGCGTATATCTCAACTCACACCCCAGACTCTCCAACTCCACCCTCGCCTTCGCCGTCTTCGCCCACGCATCGTGCGCGACCTGCTTCTTGGCATCGTCGAAGAGCCCGATATTCGGCGTCCACCGGTTCGAGCGCGAGATGGAACCCATGCTGCGGTCGATGGTGCGTTGGGCCTGCGACATGCTGCCGATGAGGTAGGCGGGGCGGTCGAGGGCGTCTTGGATCGCGTTGCTCGAGGAGTGGACGGAGTGGAGGTTGTAGTAGAAGGATGCCATAGGGGAGGCTTCCGTGGGAATGAGGGTTTTGGTGTAGCGTTCGAAGGCGGTGATGTGGGATTGGGGGAGGTAGAGGAGGGTGGAGATGCGGGAGGAGAGGAGCGCGGTGCCTTCGGCGAAATCGTTGTAGATCATGCGGCGGCGGTTGGTGGAGCGAATGAGCTTCTTGGTGGCAGAGATCATGCCGCGCATCTGGTCGCGGGCGAATTCGACAAAGTTTTCGACTTCTTGGGTATCGGTGACTGGTTCGAAGTCTTCTTTCACATTGTCCACCCGAGCCTCAGCCTTGCGTTTGCTTCGCTCGGTAAGCATGTCGGCGTCGATGTCTGGGACCAGGAAGAACTCCCACACCAGCTCGTGGGTCGAGAAAGTGGAGTGGGTAAGCAGATTGTGAAAGTAGTTGTTCAGGCGGATCTGGTTGTCTCTCAAAATGGCTCGCGAGGGCTTCGAAGGGATGAGAAATGGCGATGGAAGGTTGAAGTGAGTCGGGAGCCAGCTCGCAGGGCACTCCACGGCCAGCCACTTGGAGAGATGCTCAAAGTCCGATATAGACCTTCGACAAGTCGTAACCGTAATCATGCCGTTGGAGCTCGGTGCGCCCGATTTTAGCACAAACCGAATCGTAGCGTCTTCGACAAAGTACGAACGCACCAGCGTCGTCATCCGTCCGTCCTGGCCTGGCGGAGTAGACAACAGCACTAGATCGTCAATCCGATTCCGTACATCATCGTCCTTCGCAAGCTCGACCGCGGTCAGACCTCTGATATCCTTAAGCGTCATGTCAGACCGTGGGTCGGCGAACAACGTCCGCACGAGATCGATCCGGCCATACTTGCTACCGACCATGAGCGGCGTGTATCGCTTATCGTTCGCTGCATTGACATCTGAATCGCAATGACGAAGCAGCTTTAGCGTTATCTGCGTGTTGTTGACCACGTGCAACAGCGTGTTGCCCTTCGCATCGACATGATCGTCCAGATGCAACGGCTCGCCATCGCCTTGGGTCTCTGTTGCGAGGGCGATTGCGGATTCCACCATCCAGTGGTACTGCTCATGGTCGTACGATCGGCAAAAGGCGAAAAGCGGTGTCTGGCCATTCTTGTCCTTCAGCCGCCAGGGTAGCTTCTTGCCGAATCTTTGAATCAGATGCGGCTGAGTGAAGAGGTAATGGCCCATGCAGCGGCCTTTGCTGTCCTGCATGGCTAGATACCTGCGCAGCTGTTCTTCAGAAGCGTTGTCTTCGATGTAAGATATGAGCTCCTCTGTAACCGCGCGGTCTCCAGACTGAACGGCTGCATTAAGTAGAGTTGCACCGTCGCTGTTGACGTCCTCGAGCACGAAGTCGGCGCGGAAATGAGCGGGCATCGAAAGCAACAGCTTCAGTGCATTGGCTTTACTCGTTTCGACCGCCATCATCAAAACAGAGTTGCCATCCGCATCTTGTGTCTGTGCAAGTCGTTCGCCAGAAACATCGCTAGTTGCACCCATGCTGTGACTAGACTCCACACTCATATGCCTCGAATGCGAACGAGAAGAGTGAACCGAAGAAGCAGAGTGGCTCCTGGGTAGCGATGCCATCGACACCCGCTTCTTGCCTCGAGCCTGGGTCTGTTCCGGAGGCGGCGTGGGCGGTCGCTTGAACGGGAAGACGTGCTCGAGCGAGCCGTTGACCGCGACAAAGTCACCTTGCGGCTGCGGCGTCTGAGCAGTGCTTGTCGGCCGTGCTTCGTCCAGAGAAAGGTCGTTGATGCTGGACTCTTCGTCTGAAAGCTCAGCAGTATACTCTCTCGGCGATCCAGCCAGCGTCGCCTCGCTTGGTGCCATGATGGAAGGCTGCAGTATCGCCTCCAGAGCCTGTAGGTCGCCTGACCTTGCTGCCTGCCAAAGCAGTCGATTTTGCTTGCTCGCCTTGCGCAGGTTCGATGATGCATTGGTAAGGTGAGCAAGTACGGCCTCGAGAGTGGCCAGCGCATAGCCCTGCTCCCCATTCTCCACCTCGTCAATGAAGATGAAGTAGCGCATGTACAGCAACCGGGAATGCAAGTGTCTGACACCACTTCTGATGACCACGATAACAAGCATGGACACCAGGATGTCAGCATTGATGGTCAATACCGCTGAAGGCTTCTCAGATTGCTCAGCAGAGCTATCCTGGGACGTTCTCGGGGTGGGTTGTTCCTCCTCGGTGATAAGCTTCTGCGTCTTCAGCAGAATCTCCAGCATCTCCTGCGGACTGCTCGCCACGCCCATCTTCTTGAACGCTTCAACACCCTTGGCCAGTCTCGCCGCCAGCTCACGCTTCCCTCTCATGCCATCTTCGATCGGAATGCCGACTTGCGTAATATCTATGTCTGTCATCTTGCGAATCTTCGATTCCAGATCGCTGTCATCCGGTCTACGCAACGCGCACACTCTGGGGAAGAGTGTCTGGTCGTGAACCTGCTCGGTGACGTAGCGCTCGATCATGTGCTCGACCACAGGCCCAGTAAGCTCTGTGCTTGTACCAAGAAGTGACAGTTGCTGCTTGTCCACGCTCTGAAAGAGCTCGATGGTCGCGGTAACCGCACGTTCGAGAGCCGTTCGCATCGCCTCTTCTTCCGGCTCCAGCTCAATGGACGTTGGAGGAACCGTGCTGCTGCCAGACAGTGAAGACTTGAGCGACGTAATGGATTCGCTCAAAGAAGGGTTCGAGGACTGGGAGCTGACCGACGACCGCCTTGACGCTCGCTTCGGTATCGGGCTGTCGTTCGCTGATATGAGCTCGCGGATAATCTTCTCCAGTCCAATCTGCATCTGCCTCGAGATCATTGGGAACTGGGACATCAAATCGCCGAAGCTCTTGATATTCTTCTTCTTCTGCATCCCGAACCCAATCGCACTACTCGTGCTCGCTGACCCAGAAGCCTCGGCCAACACCTTCTTCCTCTCCTTACTCGGCTCGTCGCTGATGACCGCAGGTATCACCGGCGTAGCTTGGTACGATCCAACCAGTGGTCGCGAGATATAGTAGACCAGCCATTGCTGTCCGTCCGCAACGTCCGGGTAATATATGAAGTCCTGCAGCAATTGCGCCTGGTTCAACGTCTTGAAGCCCTTGTTGCTGTAGACGAACGTATCCTTCACAACCACCGTGCGCCCGTTGACCGTAGAATACTGCTTCGCCTTGCTCTTGTTCTCGCGCACACTCCCAGCATCTTTCGCTCCATTGCTGCCAGGCGGCGCGCCTCCAGGCACTCGCAAGACATGGCTGGCCAAGAACTCCTCAGTGTTTGCAAGGTCCGCATACGATGTCCCTGTCTCGCGATCCTTCGAGTTCAGCAACACCTCTGTCGTCGGTGCGAGTAAGACATGGTGATTAATCGGCGAGCATTGCGAAGGTATTGCGCTCCTGAAGAAGGCTCGTAGGAATGGATTCAGAGCGGGCATGCGCGCGGTCTTAGCCCGTTCATTCTGCTGTTGTACCAACTTCTGCGCCCTCGCGCGCAGCTCCTCCTTCGAGTACTGGGTGCCGAGTCCCTCCAGGGCGGCGGTAGTAGGTCCAGCTATGGTGGATGGTGTAGTTGGTCAAGCCTGCTATCGCACGATTTGGAAGTCGGTCATTGATAGATGTGTTCGCTCGGTGGTTCTAGAGGCGATGTTGTATTGTTATTGAAGTTGGGAGGTGTTTGAGGGGTCGGAGGTCGTTGTCAAGCAGTGCGACTGGGGTAGCACTGTGGTGGCTATGGTCTGCATGTGATTGCGCTAACCTGAACGCGCGGTGACATCTCAAGCCGCACGTTCCATGGCTTCTAGAACAACATTGAACCTTCTTCATGAATGCATGTAGCATTAGTTGGATGGTAGAATTGCACTGGATTGCGTCAAGTGCTATATGGCTACGCTGAAGATGCTTGTGCCGAGCAGTTTAAACGCTATGCCAGCTGCCAGCCTATGCCTTCGCAGCACCAGCCTTAATGAGCAGGATATCGCCATCGTCAACCACATACTCCTTCCCCTTCGTCATGACCTTGCCCTTCGCTTTAACGCCCGCTTCATCACCCTCCTCCTTGAGCACGTTGTAATTGTACACCACAGCCTGGATGAAGGTCTTCTCGAAATCACCGTGAATGACACCAGCAGCTTGAGGCGCCTTCGTGCCGTTCCGTATCGTCCATTGCCGCACTTCGTCCGTACCGGTGGTGAAGAACGATCCGAGATTCATGGACTTCCGCATCGTCGTGATGATTTTGGGAAGAGCAGACTTCGTACCGACCTTCTTGCACTCCTCCGCCGCATCTGCTTCGGTCTCGAAACGAGTGAGGCGCTCTTCGAATGAGACAGAGATGGGGATGATGGGGTCGCCGGTTGCGTGTTCTTTGACCCATTCGGCGATCTTTGGCAGGTGCTTGTTCTTTTGTCGGATGTAGTCCTTTTCGCTGAGGTTGACCAGGAACACGACTGGCTTGGCTGTGAGCAGGAAGAGCGGGTTGATGACCTCGACCTGATTTTCTCAATTAGCTTGTGAACCTATCGAGCAGTAGAGTCAATGATAGAGAGTATGTGCTTCTTTGTAGTCAGATAGGACGTTCTCTCATGGACACCTCTAGCGTTGTATGGGTGAGGTGCCTGTCGAAGAGCTGGGATTATAGAGGTAAAACCTCTTGTTCATCCTGAGAAGCCAGTGCAGGGGAATGACGAAAAGAAACATACCTCTTTCGGCTGCCAGTCGCCTTTCCTGACGTCCTTGCCAGCTTTCAGCATCTCCAGGATCTTCTCCACAGTCGCTTGCTCCTCCTTCAGCTTCTTCATCTCCAGCGACTGCCCACCTCGCCTCGTCTGCTTGACTAGAGCTTCGTGTGCTTTCTCTACGAACTCGATGTCTTTGATCCTTAACTCTTCGCTGATGATCTCCAGATCGCGTATGGGGTCGACATCACCCTCCACGTGGATGATCTCCGCATCGTCAAAGCACCGCACCACTTGAAACACGGCATCCACAGCGCGAATGTGAGACAAGAACGCATTGCCGAGTCCAGCACCGGTCGAAGCTCCTCGCGTCAGGCCAGCAATATCGTAGACTGTGAGATTGGCAGGTACGACCGACTTGGGCTTGTACTGCTCCACCAGCCAGTCGAACCGCTCATCAGGCACAATGACACGAGCTTCTTCCGGATCGATGGTCGCATACGGAAAGTTTGCAGGATTGCCGAGCGAGCATTTTGTGAGGGCTTGGAAGAAGGTCGATTTGCCTACGTTGGCCAATCCGACCTGTTACACCTATTAGCCGTCGTCGAAACGTATGCGCAAAGCACGCACATGTTCGCTGGACGTACGATCCCACTCTTGAGGTTGTTGCCCGGCCGCCCCAGAAGTATCTTCTCCTCCTTCACCTGCTTCTTCGGAGGCATCTTCTTTCTACTCTTGGCGTATGATCGAGTGCTTGTTGGGGAAGGATTTGGGCAGCGCCTGAGGATTGATGTCGATTTGAATGCAGAACCTGCTGCACTCGGTGCTGAAGACCGAGTTGAAGAGAAGAACAGAAGGAAGCACCTAGGATGCGACAGTTTGGCGGATGTCAGGACGACTATGACCTGCCGTCTGCTGGGTGGGTTGTAGTGGGATGGATGTGTGTCAATATGAGGTCTTCAGTGGTCGCTTTTGCGAACTTTTTGCGTCCGTGCGTCAGGCTCACATGTGCATGCCTTATACCAACAATCGCCAGTAACACGATCGCTTCTGCACTTTCTCTTCCCAAACATCGCAATTTATTTGTAACAAAAGCACTACTATCTTCAGATTGGACAGCCTCACATGACATAAGACCGCCAGGCAGCAGGTGGGAGGCTTCTCATCCCTCAGCTGGAAGATCGAACTATTCACGTATGTCCACAATTGAATTGATGGGAACGTGGTGTGCGACACATGGTTGGACAGTGTCCATGTTAGATAGCAGATACAGATAATCGGGTTCATGGGCATTCTGCTCGCACACAGTCAGGCCTCGCAGCTCGTACGCCGCTAAGAACACTTCTGTGGCATTTGCAATATATTCGACGATGCCACTGTCAAAATCATCCTGCTCCACCCAACCCTGTACGTGCATGCCAGGCCCCTTGGGAAAGCCACTGCAGCTCCGTCAAGCGCTCCCACGTGCAGGACTGCACACCGTAGGTTTCGTCGTGCTTGGAGCACTGGACGTCAGGACCAGGGCGGCAAGGAGGCACATCGAGTTCAACGAAGGCAGGCGAAAGGCATTCCCGCACAAGCCAGGGCAGTAAGCAGAATGGCAGAGCAATGGACAAGATAGATGGTATGCCAGGCTGCATCAGCGTGTTGTTATACAATCTACACATACCTACCCATTCATCCACCCCATAACCCGATCCCCCCCAAACCGCGCCGCGAACCGCAAACCCGTCGAGCCCATGGGGAAATAGCTGATCAGATACCATGCCAGCGCGACGAGCTGCACGATCGAGGACAGTAACGTAAGTATGGTGCTTCTCAACTATGCACGAAGTCAGCGTTAGCAATTGTGTGGAGTGATGGGGGAGGAGGAGGAGGGGGAGGGACATACACCGAGGGCGAACCATAGCGTGAGAGCTATACTGCCAAAGTATGTTGCGGTGAAGGGGAGGCGTTCTTGGGAGACGAGGTGACGGACTGTGAGGTGGTTAGCGATGAGGTTCGGGCACGATGCGACATGCAAGTGAGTGTGGGGTGTGTCGGGGAGAGACTGGATCTGGATCTAGACAAGGTCGTGCGGTATTCACGCCAGTGTGATCAACGTGCATGTGCATCGATCTTCTCCATGCAGTAGCTCATATATGCAACAAAGAAAGAGTCGAAAGAGTTATACGCACCATAAACCATCGGCCCCATCAGCACCGCCCACGACCCCAAGAACATTATCGAAGCCATGGTCCATCTGCCAGTCACAAGCAACAAGTCAGCCGCACCATCACACAATTGTCAGCGGCAAGCAAGCAACAAAGAAACAATCAATCAAATGCAGTCGTCATTGTTGTATCTCGTCCAGACCGGGATAGAGATGGATAAGGTAGGTGAGAAGCCGGGGCTCCGCAGATCATCGCTCGTGTGTGGAGAGCTCGAGCTTGATTGCAAAAGCGGGACCCTGGCGCAGTTCGGGTCAGGCGCGCACAGCATAAGCGCCCGCTGCGAGGGCGATCTGGAGATGGTGGTGTGGCGGATGGAGGATGTCGAGTTGAAGGTCGTGGGGGTTGGATATTGTGTAGGTGTAATCGTTGTTGATGGAGCGGACGAAAGTCCGGCGGTAGCTTCATGAGCAGAACCACGTGAGAAAATGTCGAAAGGACTTACAATATCGCAAACTTTGTCGGCCGCAGACTCAGCACGGGGAACAGGGTAAAGCAAATCACGAAGAGCGCGACAGCCGCGAGGTTGAGGCCGCCGAAGATGAGCAGGCGATCCCACCGACCCACTGCCAGACATCGTTAGCTGGTGTCTCGGATGCGCGAGGCGAGTCTTTTGCGGTGCATGAAAAGAAGAAGAGCTGCCTTGGAAAGTGTGCATGTGGACGCAGGAACTCTGCTGCTATCACGGCGCTGCTGCTGGTGCGGATGCAATGTAGGGCAGGGTGACCTGCAGCGCCCCGAACCGGTTGCATGTCCGCGATGTAGGGCATCACACCCCACGCTGCGAGTATTGATGACGCAGACATTGCCTTCTCATACGAGACGGTGTAGGAGCGGTGTGTAGACGATGGAGGAATTAGATGGTGTAGGCATGACTTACGCGCAAACCACCCCTCTTCCTCCTCCCTCCGTGACCGAGCCGGTAGCGGCGCGCCAGGCCCTTCCTCGTTCTCGTGTATGGGCAGCCGAACATAGCCTTCACTGTTGAACGGGTTGAGCTTCTGCAGTGTGCCATAGACCCCACTGGGCTTGCTTGTGCTCGTCGCTGGTTGTTCCCTTCTCGACCATCCCAAGCTGTTCATGTTGTCTCTGAAGGAGGACGAGGCCATGGTGATCGGTGGTGAAGTTCGGTCACCGCCAAGCTAGGTGTCCTCTCTCTGTCTCGTGTGGAGGGCGGGAATGGTTTGAGAAGTGAGACGAGGGCTATAGTGGTGCCTACTGAGTCGGCCGCGTGTCTTGGTGTGCACGATCTCTGCCGTGTCAGCCGATTGGGGGATGATATCGAGGTATGGCTGAGAGCTCTGGAGCCTCAGCACGCAGCCCGGTAGCTTGAATGGGAGGGGTGGCGGTCTCGAAGCGGTAGTTTGAATATTCGAGCTATGCAGATGCGGACGTTGTAGAAGCGCAGCTTAGCTCCTCGGATGGCTCTAACCGACACCAATGCAGAGGTTATGCAGGATGGCGTGCCAGGCGTGCAGCAAGATCGACGAACAGGGTTGCGGTCAAGATGCAAGATGCCTCCAAGCCTCCGCGGTCTCTATCAACACTGTCTCTCCACTCTGTCGCTCTTTCGTTTCGCCCGCGGATGGTGGGATGGGCGTCCCTTGACGTGCAGTCTCAAACGGGTGGCGCGTGACGCGGATATCCAGGTGTCAAGGGCACGGCAGGCGGAGGAGTTGGAGACGAGCGAAGAATGGTTCGGCGCAGACAACAACAGCTGCAATGCCCTGATTGGAGTAGCTGTCTGAGACTGGGAGTGCGATGCTCGAGCACGAAGAATGCTCTGGGACGTGCAGGAGCTGTCAAGGTCGAGCTGCATGTCTCACTTCTGCATCTATGTTCATTCAACCCTGTGGCGCTGCCTCGTCTCGTCTCGTCCCGGCTCCGAACGGGACGATGAAGCTATAATGGAGTCTATCTCACAACACCACCACCACCACCACCACCATCACGACGCGCAAGGACATGTAATCATTGTGAGGGTCTACGCCCGCCGGCCTGGTTTGAAAAGAGTAGTGGGTGTCGTGGCGAATTGACTCATTATAGCATTTGGCCTCGCAACGGCTGAGACCACTGCGCAGCCGACAGATGCCAGGCCTTGATGATAACAAGACTCAAGTCGTCCGTGATGTGTGCATGCTCTCGCGCTGCGACCATATATGAATGCGGTCATGCCCCTCGCTGTGCCAGACATTCTGAAGTCCTTCCATCACTTTGAATAGACTGATCGTCTGTTCTAATCACCGCTCTTCTTCGTCCCCGACATCGCGCACTCGACAACCACACTTTGTTCCCAAAGCGAGCATTGCCCAGTCTCGCCCTGCTCCGCGCCCAGTTGCGAGCCGTGTGGGCCGGAAGTGTAGCAGCACATTTCAGCCAGCAGAGAGCAACGGGATCGTCATTTCTGCACTCTGCACCGCCTCTTCCGTCGCCACCCCACCTCAGACCGCCGTGCGCCGAGAAGTCGAAGTGAACCTTGAATCTCTCTTTCAGCAGCCTCGACATCACTCTCCTCCCACACACCACCACCACCACCCCGGAGCACCCCCTTCAATCGAAACACGCTTGTCCGGATCAGTCTTTGACAGAGTGGTCGTACAGAGAGCGCGAGGACCAGCCAGACACACCTCCCGCGCCCTGGCGAGCGAACAACGAGAGCCCCGCATAGTGACTTTCACTCAGGCGTGACACACAACCCACTTCCCCCCAACAATCAGAGACAACTCCTTTGTGCCGTCTCCACCAGCTCTCCAGCGACTACGCTCCTGTTCGCTACATATACCAGGATCACTTCGACTGCTGCTTCTCAGACCCGCGATCTCCAGGCTGCCTGCAGCGTTGTCTCTCGGGGAGAAGACGGCCAATACCAGTGACACCGGCCTACTGCAGCGATCCGTGTCTCGAGCAAGCTCTGCCAACCGCTTTGCCTCTTCCGATACTGGCTGTCCGGTAAGTGCGCACCATCCGCCCCTCCCTTCTGGCGATCTTCCTCTAGCGAGTGGTGGCATGGGCGTGAGGTCGGAGACGAGCCGTGAGCTTGCAGCATGCTCGAACGAGGCGGCGCACAAGGCGTGGAATGCGGCGAGACTACCTCACCTCATCGCATGAACGTGCCATCAATGCGGTCCTTTCGGCCAGCCACGGCTCTCGAATTTCGCTATCATGCACCCTGCCGCTCATTCGGTTTTCAGCCCTTCCAGGCGCATGCTAATTCCTCCTTTGCCTTTTAGGTCGTGTCAGTCCGTCTCGAGCTCACCCACATTCAACCTCGAGAACCTCTTCGGCCCATCGTCCCCCAGCCTGCGGTGACACCCCGACGAACACGCCTAACCCCAACCCTCTGATCGTTGATTGGAGCGCATCCAGCTTCGTGCTCTCACCGACCCCCGCGCCGAGCACACGTTGCCTCGAGCAAACATTTTCAGCGCGCAGCGCCAGATATTGCGTCAGTAGAAGCCAGATCTACGATTGGTTTCACACTTCCCACTCCGGTGTGAACATCAGTTCGCAGGCACAACATCCACGAAGCTGGTCGTTTTGAGGAAGTAGGACAACGAATACCGGAAACACAGCGTCTCATGCGGTAGCCACACAGGGTCGAAGCGCAATCCGTAAGTATCGGCCGCACACCTGCTGAACCTGTTTTTTTCTTAACAGACAATTTCACCCCCTTTTCTTGGTGCAAACAATGGCTAGCCATATTCACCACTGCATGCGCGTTCGAGTCGCTAGATCTTTCGAGCAATGGCAGGAACTGACTCTGGATCAAGCAGCAACCGAAGATCTGCCCTTCTTTCTCTCCTACAATAAGCAGCGGCTGTCGGACGCACCGCTTGTGGAGTCACATCTACCGTTCGGCTTAGAAGACTGCCGCCCCGCGGAGCCTCGCGCAATGGCGGGCTCACCCTTCATCAAGACAGAACCCAACGACTTCAATAACCCCGATCTAAACCAATATATGCAGTACAACCAGGCAGCTCGACAACAATTCAACACCAATCAAGGCATGAACGTCAACCCTATGGCCCTCTCAAACAACATGCAGCAGAACTTCGGGCAAGGCGGCATGGCGCCCTCCTTCAACACGGCCAATTCAGGGATTGCGGATGACGAGTTGCTGGACCTCGATTTCAACCAGAACACCCAGCAAGGGCACGACTGGAATCAGGGTGTGCAGAACTTCTACCAGCAGCAGCAGATGATGCAGAACAACAACAACATGTACTCGCACACACCCGACGGTGCGCCAATACAGTCGCCATTCACCAACGGCAGCTTCAACTACGGCCAGTTCCGAGGGGTGGGCGGTGGTGACCAACAGTTTGGCAGCACCAGTATGCCGCAACAGGCCGCGATGCGACCGCACATGCAACAGCACATCGATCGCAAGGTCTCTGACTCGAGGTCACCCGCGACGCCGAATACTCCCAGCTTGAACCAGATCACCATTCCCGAAGACTTCAGCACACATCCAGGTATGCAACAGATACATCACCAACGACAGCAGCCATCTATGGGCAACGGCGGGTGGGACAGTACACCAGATCATCATAGTTGGAACGACGGCTCGCCTTTCCCTTCACCTATGAATGGCCACCCAATGCATGCTCAGATCTCGGAAGTTCTCAAGACCAGCAACCACCACCACAAAGTCGCATCATCACTACCAACGAAGATGGAGGGCGGCCCACCACAAGCATACCATGCGCAAGACGCCAAGCGACGCAGACGAAGGGAATCACATAATCTGGTCGAGCGTAGACGCCGCGACAACATCAACGAGCGCATTCAGGATCTAGGCACCCTCGTACCACAGCATCGCCTGGAGGATGAGAAGGTGCGCAAGCACTTGCAGACCAACGCACCGCTCTCGCCATCGATCACCAACGCCAGCAGCATGTCGCCGCCTAATGCTTCCTCCATGCTCTCCGGCGCTACAGGTAGACGCTCAGGCACCATCACTCAAGGTCTACCAATGGAAGACAAGGAAAAAGGCCCGAACAAGGGCGACATCCTCAACGGCTCTGTCGCATGGGCTCGCGACATCATGTGGTACATCCAGCTCAAGATGCACCAAGAAGAGCAGCTCAAGAGGGTGCTGGAGAGCCTCGGACAGCAATGGCCCTTTGAGCAGTCGGAAGAGGAGAAGCGCATGCATAGCGAACTTTGCGAAGTCATCGGCAAGCACCGCCAATCCGGCGACATCGCTTCTTACTCCCGCGCGTCTGGCTCTGGACTGCGGGTTCCGGGGTTCACGAACGTCGCGGGAGACAGTCTCAACGGCGATGGTGTACAAGGCAACGGATACTCGAACCCACAGCAGATGAGCCCTGGCTTCCAGTCCGGCGGGAGTGGTGTCAGCAGCGAGCAGATGTCTGTGCAGGGGAATCGTCAAGACCAGTTCTGGAACGAAGGGTTCAAGGAGGAGGAGGAGTTTGACCTTCACATGCAATGAGGCGGCCATCTACACCCACATCATCCTTCGGCATATTCTGCTGGTTTGCGAAGACTGGCTTGTTCTGGACCTGGCGGTGGGATCCCTTGCTGAGCTTGGGTCTTGACTCAGTCTCCGACATCTTCACACCACATCATTCTGAACCATCGACTACACTACCGGACTCGATACATCAAACCACACCACACCAACACATCTCCCGGCAACCTACGACACCCCCCTACCTACACCACCACCACTATCTGACAAATCTACACCACACCATCTCCTTAGAACCCCTCCCTCAACGACTTACCGAACCCCCATGATCTTCTGGACGACCTTACAACCTACGATGTTGATGACCCCACCTACCAACCTACCAACCTATCTACCTACTGGCGAATCGGCGTGCTTATTCTATGATACCACACATCGGCTTCCTCACATTCCACGGGCACGGGCAGATCTTCGCCCTCATCCAACGGCGTTTTCCTACTGCAACGGGACGGAGGCAATACTCACAGAGTTTGCATGACATTTACCCTTATCATTTGCTGGACGGGACTCTTTTATGCGAATTTTGGGACGGGATTGCGTTGTTTTTTGATCACGGCATAACATACCCCCCCTTGCTGTTGTTGGTTTCTTTCATGATGGTCATGATGGGCGTTGCAGTTGGGATGGAATTTACGACACTACTTGAGATGAGCTGGGATGGCATAGCGGCTCTGTCTGTTTTGGGAAGATGAGATGTGAGGATTGCTGGTGAGACTGCTTGATGTCCTGGCGATATGAGAGTAGAGCTTTTGGACGGGCAATCTATTTATTACTATCTTGATCAAGTCCTTTCGAATTCCTCTTCAGCCCCCGTCGACAGCTATTGTGCTCTCTCAATCCTCTGCTTCAGACTGCATGGTACCCTACCTTGTTGTTGTCGGCCTTGTTCGTGGCATCTAGAAGCACAGCGTCCTGAGCTCAATTGCTTTTTTTTTCAAGGCTGAATATACTGTTGGCCGCCATCCGACGCTTCCTGCCGCGCGGTGGGCGTTGCTTCGTTTCTGGTGTTCTCCAAGGAGTGGGCAGGCTGGACGCTTTTGGTTCTTCATCCTGATACTTTGCTTGATGTCCGTCCGCATGGTTTCGACAGCGGCAGATGCACTACGGCTCCAGTCCAAAGTCGATTGCGTGTTCCAGCCAGCCTGAGCTGTGTGGAGCTGTGGCATAGTGTCTCTCAGACATCCTCCAAATCCATCATGTAGCTCCCAATCATCCTCATCAAATCCTCGGTAACCTCGCCCTCAACCCTAATTCCCCCTCTCACCCCTTCTGTCCCTCCCCTCCCTCCCCCACCCCACCAGCACCACCCCTCCGCCTCTCCAAATCCTCAAACCCCAAATTCCGCATCGAATCCGTCGCCATCAGATTCCGCTCCATCCGGCACTGCAAGTACCCTTTACTCAGCTCCCGGCACTCGTCGTCATTGATCCCCTTGTGCGAGCGTATGCAGCGGAGGTACGACTTCATGACGGCCTGGCACTCAGCGTCGTGGTCGAGGGGGAAGGAGCCGCGTTCGGGCGGGCTGGGTTTGGAGAATTTTTGGAAGCCGCCTGGGGAGCCGGGGGTGGACATTTTTCGTGGTGTGGGTTGGGTTGTTTGAGTGTTGCTGGGTCTTATGGGCTGTGTGATATTTGTTCGTTGACGTGATATGACTGCAGGTGATTGAAGTCGGATGCACGAGTCAGGCTACGCCACAGAGCGGAGGAGCCACAGTCGGTGAACCATGTCCGGGCCCGACGACATCTGTCGAACGGACAGCAGCATCTGGATTCTGCGATGTGGAAACACTCACCGACGTACACCGGCGATAACGGCAGCCCATTGACGATGCGTATCTCGCGACACTCACTACAATCCAGCGAACCCACTCATTGGGGAGCACGAAGGAACATGTTCAAAACGTAGAGGATCTCTACTAGCCGTCTGCAGGTCCATCCTCCATCCTCCTCGCACGCAACGTGGGCAGCGAGCGGGGTATTTTCCGTCTAGACGGCGACATAGACATTCACCGATCTAAGGAGCGCTGCTACCGACACGATTGCTAGAGGGGACCATCATCATCTGGACGGTGTCGACGCATACCACTTCACCGCAAAACAGCACTTGCCCAACAGCGCCGCAGTCAGGGCCCAGCTAAAAATACGTGTACCTTACATATACCGTGCAGTTACTCTCCCGCCCGATCTCATCCCAAACTCCACAGCAATATCGTCGCGCTAAACATTCCTTCAACTTGATAGCGACCTCGACTTCACCTCTGCGGAACTCTCGCCGTACTGTGCGGCAGACTGGCCATCCTTCGCCCAGTATCGCGCCCGCACTCCCCACGCCTCTGACTCTTTCTATATCTTCCCAACGTGCGTGCCGTCAAACCTTGCATTGGCACGATGGTATCAATGTCTTCCTTCGGCCAGGAACCGCTCCATGGCGCCGGCTGGTCGCAGTATGGCGCTGGTCGTGCGGTGGAGATGTGTGTTTCATCAGATCCAACTGGCAGAGGTGATGGCGGCAGAGTGATGTATGGCACGGATGGGTAGCAGGTGAGGTCGAGAGGATAAGTAGCCCTCGCCTCTCCCGCCGGTTCCTGATTCTTCTTTCCTCATCATACTTTCGCTTGCTTCTTGGCCCTCTCCAGATACATACAGTGAGAAGGACTACGAAAGGGGACACTCGCTTCGTCCTCCATTCGCTCCACATACATCCATCGCAAGCCAAGATGAAGTTCTCAACCCTCATCCCCGTGGCCATGAGCCTCGGCCTCGCCATTACCGCACCCATCGAGCCCACGCTGGTGCCGTACGAATCCGATGTCACGACGGACGGCAACCCGACCACAATGGAGACCACAATGGAAACCACAGGATCACCAATGACGACCGGGGATACCACTTCGCCAATGACGACGGGAGAGACCAGCCCGATGACGACTGGCGAGACCACACCGATTACTACTGGCGAGACCACACCGCTGACCACTGGCGAGACCACGCCAATCACCACGGGAGAAACCACACCAGTTACTACTGAGGAGACGGCGCCGGCTACCTATGGAGGAACGACGCCGATTACGACTGGAGAGACCACGCCTATCACCACCGGAGAAACCACACCAATTACCACTGGAGAAACGACGCCGATTACCACTGGTGAGACGAATCCAATTATGACTGGAGAGACCAGTCCAATTACTACTGGGGAAACGATGCCGACTACCTATGGAGGAACGACTCCAATTACGACTGGTGAGACGACTCCAATTACCACTGGAGAGACCACTCCAATTACCACTGGAGAAACGACCCCAATCACTACTGGAGAGACCACATCGCCGATGACCACTGGAGGAACTGAGTCTTCGACCTTATCATCATTGCCCCCATCCACTACTGGGGAGATGACATCGCCTATGACGACTGCAGACACCACCTCGCCTATGACCACAGGGGAGACCACTTCGCCAATGCCGACCGGAGAGACCACATCACCCATGCCGACGGGAGAAACGACCGCAATGCCTACCGGAGAAACCACCATGCCAGGCTACCCCACCACCACCCCAACCTACCCCTCACCCACCGGCGTCCCCTGCGCCGACAACGGCGCCCTCCTCTGCAACGGCCGCAAGGAGTTCGGGCTCTGCAGGAAGGGCCAGGTCGAGTTCCAGCCCGTGCCGAAAGGCACGAAGTGCAAGCACGGACAGCTCGTCGGGGCGAAGGGCAATAAGAAGATGGACCAGCCGGCGCCGATGGAGACTTATGCTACTGCGTAAGCAAGAAGGGTGGTGATGGAGAGTTATGACTGTTTGGGATGAGCCATGATGATGTTGGGGGAGACGGTGATGAATGAGGTGTAGTGCCGGCGTAAAGGTTGCTCGGGGTCGTCGTGTTGATTCGGTGGTTTGATGCGACGCACACTGGCTTTACATGCTTCAGTGAGGCGGCTACTCGATGGATAGAGACGTTCCATATGAGAGCAACACATTATATGAAATCCAATCGAATTCAATCCCATCATGCTGCGAGTCGGGTCACCGTGATTCAGTTCCCACTTCTGCCTGTAGGAATCCGGGCAATAGAAGTCTGGGTAGCTGATGATCACAATTCATACATACAAAGTAGGATAGCTAGATACTACCTGCCAATACATAGTGGAGTCGAGACGAACGTCAGGCAGAGACGCAGTGGAGATGAAGATGAAGATGCGCAGCCGTCATGCTCCAGTCCCTTCGTCGGAGACACATGCATGTGCATCAAGTCTAGTTCTACGCCACAACACAGCGCCACAGTCGGCGGTCCTTCTCCGAGGGAGACCGACGACACCTCGAACAGACCGCAGCATCAACTGATATCAACTGATGAGATCTTCGATGTGGAAACATCCGCCGACACACTCCGATCACGACCGTGGCTCGGTGATGATACCGATGGCTCGCGACGATGATACCGAACCCACTGCCCGGGCGAGGGCGCACGAAGGAAGATGTTAAACACAGAGGATTTGTGAGCTACATCCTCCTCGCCGGCAACGTGGGCGGCGAGCGGGGGGGTGATTAGACGAGCAAATCCATCAGCTTGATAGCAGCACCACCACGACGACGATGGCTAGGAGAGGCTATCAGCAACATGTTGGCGCATACCACCTCATCGCCATTGCGGCCAGCAGCAGGGTCCAGCTAAAAATATTCACCGCGCCGCAGCAGCGCAATCTGCAGTCGCTCTCTCTTCTCACCTCACTCCATCTCGCCCAACTCTCACGGTAAGATGACTTGCAGCCTCGACCCATCAATCCTTCGTCCAGAACTGCATCCGCCCATCTCCACGCTACTGACGCTCTCAACGCACGTATCGTCGGACCTTGCATTGGCACGTTTGGCATCAATGCCATCCTTCGGCCAGGGCATCGCCTCCATCGCGCGGGCTTGCGTAACGCTGGGCCTGCTGCGGACTCGTAAGATTGGGATGCGCAGGTCGGTCTAGACGGTAGGAGGATAAGTATGCTTTCTCTTATCCCGTCCTTCCTGCTTCTTCATAATCCATCCTGCTTTCGCTTCCATTCTTAGTCTCTCTCTCTCATTTAGAGGACTGCTGGGAGGAAATTTCGCTTCATCCATCCATCTATCACATCGCGAGAGCAACCAACAACACACCACCATGAAGCTCTCGACTCTAAGCACAGCTGCCTTGACCCTCGGTCTCGCCACCGCCGCTCCCCTCGACACGAAACCATCGCCGTACAAAGCTCACTCAACTACAGACGCCATCATACCAGCAACCATCAGCACCGAAGCCACGTCCTGCGAGCCCCAAACGATCACCATTGTCTCCACCGCGACCGCGACCGCGACCGCCACCCTAGCAACAATTTCCCTCACCCAACCCATCCGCAGCAGCACACCCGTCAACAGCACTAGCACCCCGGCCGCCAGCCCCAGCACACCCGCGTCCCCCTCTTCAGGTCCAGGCACGAGCCTCACCCTCCTCCCAACAGGCACCGGCCTCCTCCCCACCGGCCATCCTCCACGACCCACCGGCACAGGCATCTCTCCCAGCAGCACAGGAACCGGCATCTTCCCCACCGCACCTTCGCCCACCGCTCCCCTACCAAGTGGCACTTCAAACCCCAGCGCGCCATCCTCCCCCAACCCCACAAACATCCCCTCCTGCCCCAAGAACGGCGAACTCCTCTGCAACGGCCCCTCCGAATTCGGGCTGTGCAACTGGGGCAAAGTGGTTTTCGTGCCCGTGGCGGAGGGGACGAAGTGTGTGGGTGGAAGGATCGTGGATGCGAGGGGGGCTTATGAGTATGAGCATGGGCATGAGAGTGGGCATGGAGGATGGGGGAAGGGGCCGTGGCAGACGTATGCTGCTTGAAAGGGCTTGATGGGTTGGAGTTTGAAGTGGCTGGGAGGTTGGGATGATTTATGAAAGGCGTTTGCTTGCTTGACTCACATGACTGGACGGCTGGGTTAGTGATGCTGGCGCAAAGGAGACTTGGGAGGGCGGAAGCGCTCCGCATCGACGAGACTTCTTTTCGGCCCGCGCCCGCTGATGATGCTTCAGCGAGATGGTCCTGATGTACATATACCTCCATTCTTACACGAGAGCAACACCTTGACCTTAAACCCATCCGTCACACTGACCTGTTGTCCACATTTCGCTTCACACCATGTACTTTTCCCGGACGCTTGCTGAGGCTAAGGAAAGGAATCTGGGTGTCTGATGATTGAACAACTCATACACAAGCACTTCACCATTGGTAGTGGCTATGGTAAGTGCAGCTAGATAGATATACTAATACAAGAGTGGAGTCGAAATGACTTTGATGTAAGAGGCTGGGTTTTGTGCCTCTCCTCTCCTTCCCTTTCCCGTTCACGTGCAGGTCGCTCAAAGCAGAAGATGGAAGATGGAATGCTCGATGCTCGCTGTACAAGATGTGACAAAGCCGGTACGAGGTGTGGTGACGGTTGATGTTAGAGGTCGGCTGGGCGCTTTCGATGGGCCCTGAAGTGTGGTTTGCGATGGGTGGGCGCCGGCCGCGTGTGCGCCGACGACTACGTGGTGGCATCATGGTCGAGGGATCCGGTGCGAGCGTGCATATCGGTGGAGAGACGCAGCGCCAGACGGAAAGGCACCGAGCAGCACTCGGAAGCAAAGTCTCGACCAGCCCAATCCAACACGAACCCTTCGTGCCCTCGGCCAACATCGCCCTACCGCCCACCGCTCCGAAGATTTGAAGACGAATCAGATATAATCCCTCCCGCTCTTCTGCAACTCAATCAACCTCCACCCCCTCGTCTCGGGATTCGCCACCTCCTCCGGCACGCGCGTGACCCCAATCGCATACGTGACCTGCTGCACCTTATCCTCCATCCCGGCGGCCAGTTCCCCGCCCTTCTTCTTCCGATACACATGCACCTCCTGCGTGCGGGCCATCAGGACGAAAACCGGAATCTCCCCGGGCTCGAGGATCCGCGCGGATAAAATGTCCACGCCGCGGATGTCGAGGATCTTGCCGTCGGATTGTAGGCCAGCGGTGGTGTATTGATGCATGAGCGCGGAGTAGACTTGGAATTGCGCGGCGGAGAGCCAGAGTTTGAGCGTCTCGACGTCGCCTTTGACGTACGCTTCGAGGACTTCCGGCAAAATGTACGTGCGCATTTCGGTCAAGAAGGGCTCGAGCTGGAAACTCGGGTCCATCTCGCGGAACTTCTTAATCACCATCGCCGTCTCGTTCTCGGCGAAGAAGCCGGCGATGCGGTCGCTGACGCTGCGCGCGGTGCTGATCAGAGGGTTCTCCGACTCGCGGTAGGTGGCGCCGACGCTGAAGAGGCGCTGCATGACGGGCGAGTTGTCGCGGAAGTCGCGCCAGCCGGCGTGCCAGGCGGAGTCTTTGTGGAGGGTGACGTTTGTGCCGGCTTCGGGGTCTTCTTCGTGGACTTCGACGGGCCGGCGACCGGAGCGGGCTTCGCGGGCTTCGCGTTGGCGGCGTCGCTCTTCCTTCTCCGTCCAGCCTCCGTAGCGTTGTGATGAGCCGTCATCTACCACGTCTTTGACGTTCTTGTAGGCTTCTGTTTCTCGTAGGGGCCGGGTAGCTTGTTCGACGCCTGACCCAATGGCGGTGGCACCCTTGCGAAGGCCGCGCACGACGGTGGTGTCCCATGTCCAGGCCGCGCCTTTGCCAATTGCACCAGCAGACCCGAGAACGACTTTGCCAGTGGTGGTACTGGCGACATCTGCAGCTTTGCTGTAGGCGGATCTCGCTTTCTGCACGTTGGGGTTCTGCGTGAAGTCGTTGATCTGTCCGCTCAGCTGCTTGGTGCTGTCGTTCCACTCCTTGCTCGCTTTGAACTCCGAAGACAGAGTCTCGGTGAAGACCTGCCAGGGCGTCTTGCCGCCGTGAGGTGGTTCAGCGGGCTCATCCTTCTTCTTACTCTTCTGCTCGCCCTCCTTGGCCTCACCCTCTCCCTCGGCTTCACCCTCACCCCTAGCTTCGCGCTCAGCCTGCTCTTTGGCCTCCTTCTCCTGCTGCGCTTGAAACTTGGCCCATTGCTTGTCCTGCTGTTTCTTAGCCTGCGCAAACGCCGCCTCTGCCTCGTCAGCTACTTCCGGGTCGGGTTGATGCTTCGCTGTAGGTTCTGCTTTGGCTGCCGGCTCCGGTTCTGCCTTTGGCTGCTCCTGCTGCTGATGCTGCTGTGGTCTTGGCGGCGCTTGCCCTGCGTTCTCTCGCGCCCGCTGTTCTCTCAGCTCCTTGAAGGATATATGCCGTACCGAAGCTACCGATGAGGATATGGAGGGTGGGAGGAAATGTGAGCGGAGTGGTAGGAGGTGTGGCGAGGCTCGTGGATTGGTCGCATCTTGTCGTGATCGTAATGCAGCTTCACTGTATTGGCGTGATGGTGCTGCTATCCGTCGGTATGCCGCTGTCCGGCCATATGAGAAGGAGGGAAGATGGGAAGGGTTGCTGCGCACGAGACCGCCTCCTGCTCGCTGTGAGAGGGCGCGGAGGGAAGCTGCGCTCATGCTCTGGTACAAGCCGCCGCGATTAAAGTATTGGTAGAAGGAGCGGTTAGATGGTCGTGGTCGAGAGAAGGGAGTGGCGGACGAGTGACTGCTTGGATCTTTGATCTCTCGCCAAAAGAACTTCGGAGGAGCCAGCGTTCGCCGCCGATGCCGATCCTTGCCGGGTTGGGCCACCCTAAGCAGCACCTCCAACATCCAGCAGTCACGATCACATGCTCGAGTGAAACAGAAATCCATTTTCAAGCGGCGTAACATCGAGACAGCCGTAGTACTTATAAAGTCTACCAGCCAGCAGGGGATCCGGCCACAACGATGGAGGAATTCGCGAGCGACACCGACAGCGACTACGCCAGCTATTGGCGCGACTGGGTGAGTCTTTCTTTCTATACATCTCCTTCAGAAAGAATCGAGGATGAGACGTTGCCGTTCATGCTCTCGGATTGTTCTGGTTCCACAACATCCGTCGGGAAGACCATGAGAGATCAATGTGACCAATATCATGTTAAGCCACCGCGACAATCGATCGAACATGGCCCATGCCACCCACGCACGTGAGGGACCATGGAGGAGGCAGCTACCTGTTCTAGTGCGTATCAAGCGTCCGACAGCCCAAGCACTCGACTGCTCAGCTCCATGCTCACTTGGACCACGTCGGAAGTCCAGACCCTCACGAACCCGTTATCTCAGGAGCAAATATTCAGAAACCGGATACATGTTCGTAATGGATCCATACAACCTCATCACGGCCTTCTCCTCGATCTGCTCCTCTCCTTTACTTTGAACACCCGCCCAGCCCAACATTTTAATAACTGATGTCCCCCAGTTCATCTCCTCCAAAGGCAACGAATACTTCTGCGAAATCGATGAGGACTACCTGACCGACCGCTTCAACCTCACCGGCCTCAACACCGAAGTCCACTACTACCAGCACGCCCTCGACCTCGTCACCGACGTCTTCGACATGGAAGTCGACGACGACATGCGCGAGCAGATCGAGCGCTCCGCTCGGCACTTGTACGGGCTGGTGCACGCACGGTATATCGTGTCTACTCGCGGTCTCGCGAAAATGGTACGCCCCTCAACCCCACCCCCCTTCTTTATCCCAGTTCACTAACGAAGTATGGTAAAAAAGATGGACAAATACAAATCCTCCACCTTCGGCAAATGCCCCCGCGTCATCTGCGACGCCCAACCCCTCGTCCCGGCCGGCCTGCACGACACCCCCTCCCACTCGCACGTCAAACTCTTCTGCCCCAAATGCGAAGACCTCTACAACCCCAAATCCTCCCGGCACAACTCCATCGACGGCGCATACTTCGGCACCTCCTTCCACAACATCTTATTCCAAGTTTACCCTTCCTTAGTCCCCGAGAAGACGCAAAGGAGGTATGAGCCGAGATTGTATGGGTTCCGGGTGCATGCGAGCGCGGCGTTGATGCGGTGGCAGGAGGAGAGGCGGGAGGAGATGAAGGAGCGGTTGCGGGGGCAGGGATTAGAGACGGGGTTTGAGGTTGAGGAGGAAGGGGAGGAGGAAGAAGAGGAGGAGGAAGGGGAGGGGGAGGAGGAGGGGTTGGATGATATGTTTGAGCTTGGGGGTGGGGCCGTGGGGCAAGGGGTGGTGCAGTGAGCGAAGAACTTTACGTTAGGATGGATGATGATGAGTGAATGTTAAGAAGTTTTGTTTCCTTCCGAGCCAGCGTTCGATTTCGAGCTATGTGTGCAAGAATACTACTAGAATGGCCCAGAACTTTGGGCGGAAGCTTCCACCCAGATCATGATATTACACTTGTCATCCCTCCCTTCTCACTCAGAGCATCACAGAGCACCCCACCAGAGTCCCTTCCGCCCTCCTCAAACCAGCCCACGACGTTACACCACACTATAGCGCCCCATCGGAGCCCCCTTGCTCAACTCCCCCTGCAACGCCGAAATCGTCCCCGCCCTCAAGAATGACGTCAACTCCGCCATCGCGCTCTCGACCTGCCTCTCCGTATCCCCTTCGACCAGAATATACAACTTCGGCGGATCCCCCACCTTCGGCTCCGTGCCCTCCTTGTAGTAGTTCCCCTTCGTCGTGATGCTCGTCCCTGTCAGCTCGAGCACGCGCGCCACGTTGGTGCGGTTCGTCACGCCCCAGCGCGCGCTCTGCGGGAAGTCGTTGATCTCGAGGATGGCGTGGTACTCGCCGGCGTCCGGGCCGCGGTTGTCCATCGGCGTGCCGGATTTCGTGCCGCCGGACTTGCCGAGGCGGGTGCCGATGGTGGCGGCGGCGGCTTTGGCCTTGGCGATGCGGTCGGCCACGCTCTCGGAACCTGGCTTGGAGGCGGCGGGGGCCGGGGTCGGGGCCTTTTGGACCTGCATGGCGTTCTTGAGGAGCGTCTTGAGTGCTGCGGGAAGGATACTCTCGTCGGCGGTAGTCTCCTTTTCGCGCTCTTTGACGCCCCCTCCCTTAGCCTTCGCCAACATGTCCTCGACCTGCTTCTCTTGCTTTTTCTTCTCTGGGTCGTCTTCTTTCTTCTCCTCTGGCTCGTCGCCGGTGGTGTACTGCCGCTTCTCACGAGCACGCTCCGCGTCACGCGCAGCATCCAACCTCTCGACACCTCTGCCCCCGAACCCGGATCCGACCTTCTTCGCCTCCCCGGATTTGACCTTCTCCTCGTGGGCTTGCTGAAGCTGCACCAACTCTTCTGGAGGCTCCTGATTGCTGTCCTTGAGCGCCTTGATGAGGAATGGAGCGAAGCGGTCCTGCTCGGGCGTCACAAAGGTGACTGCAGTGCCCGTATTGCCAGCACGTCCTGTACGACCAGCGCGGTGCACGTAATCCTCGATGTGGTTCGGAGAGTCGAAGTTGACGACAAGCTTGAGCTGCTTGACGTCCAGGCCTCTGGCAGCGACGGACGTAGCCACCATGACTGGCGCGATACCGGCCTTGAAGTCGCTGATGGATTGATCGCGGTCGATTTGTTCGCGCCCGCCATGGACAGCTAGGATGGGATATCCCTTCTGCATGACGTCTCTCAGCATCCTGTCGGCTGTCTCCTGTCTCTCGACGAAGATGAGAGACCGCGCATCTTCGTCCTTGTCGTGGAGAGCGCCGAGAAGCTCGATCAGACGCTTGAACTTGGTCTTCTCTTCGCGCACTTCGATGACCTGAGTAATCTCTGGCGGCACAACGCTGCGCCCACCCACGATGATCTCCACTGGCTTCGTCAGTGCCTTCCGAGCCAACGCCTCCATGTTCCTTGGAAACGTAGCCGAGAACAGCACAGTTTGCCGATCTGGGCGGATGTTCTTGAGGATCTTGGTGATCTGAGGCTCGAAGCCCATGTCGAACATGCGATCAGCTTCGTCCATGACCATGTACGTGACGCGGCGCAGGTTCGTAACTCGACCGGCGTTGGCGGCCAGCAAGTCGATGAAGCGGCCAGCAGTGGCAACGACAATTTCAGCCCCACGCTTGAGCTCAGCAATCTGGTCCTTGATCGGTGCTCCGCCGTAAGCACAAACGGCACGCAACCCCATGGCCTTGAGGTAGGGCTTGCATTCGCGGTGGATCTGAGTGACGAGTTCACGTGTCGGTGCAAGGATCAGTCCTACTGGCCCTTCGAGGTTCTCGATCGGGCGCTGGTCTTTGATATGCCGGAACATTGGCAGAATGAAGGCGAGCGTCTTGCCGGAACCTGTCTTTGCAATGCCAATGACATCGCGGCCAGACATGATCGCTGGGAGGGCTTGCGACTGAATGGGTGTCGGCTTCTCGAACTTCTGCTCGCGAATGACGTCCACAATCTGAGCTCCAAAACCACCTTGCGACCACTTCATGATCGGCTTTGGAACATCGATGCCGCGACACTTGATGTTCTCCAACTCCATGCGGAGCTCCTCGACGTCGTCCGGCGACATATCCGCCAGCTCGACCGACTCAGAGTAGAAGTTCTTGCGGAAGTCGTCGTACTTGATTGCAGAGTGGTCGATGTTCGGCATCTCTTTCTTCTTCTTCTTAGCTGCGAGATTGAGGATCTCGTCATCGTCAGCGTCGCCGACTGCAGCCATGTTACCCTGCTCATCGTCTGCATCGAAGATTTGAGGGGCCTTCTTGCCGATGGCAAGATTGACACGGCTCTTGGGCGCGGAGGGTACGAGTCCTTCCATGAAGGCATCGAGTGGATCGACTTCGTCTTCCTCTTCACCTCCCATCTTGACGTCTTCGACAGCCCCACTGCTGGTTTCAGCGTCGGCAGGATCCGCATCGCCGTCGGTCATGGGGACGTCTTCCTGCTCAGCTTGTGCTTGCTCGGCCCGCTTCTGAGCCGCCTCGCGTAAATGCTCCTCTTCCTCATCTTCCGAGCGGATGGCATCGCCTTCCTCCTGAGCGTCTTCGTCATTAGCGAATGCAGCATCGCTGACATCAGTCATGGGCATGTCGGGTAGCTTCTCTAACTTGCGCTTGGATTCTTCCTCTTCCTCCAAAGGCGCAGCGGTCCCTTTGCCAGCAGCACTGAGCTTGTCTGACTTCTCAGCAGCCTTGCTCAGACCGAAACCAGAGATCTTGGCGTCCGCTCGTGACATCTTGGGCTTGCCCATCGATGCCGGCTTGCTGTTGTTAGCCTGCGTTGTGACACCATTCGATGGCTGGTTCACAGACTTTGGTATGACAACGTCGCCGCCGAGAGAAGCAGCCTTTGAACGCTCCATTGCTGCTGCTGCACGCTTGGCAATAGCCTTGGGGTCGAACGCCTTCTTGCCGGCCGCGGCAGGGTCGAAGTCGCCAGCGTATGCTGGGCCAGAAGCCGGTGCAGGCGAATCTTTGCTAGGAGATCCGTGATTGGGAGGTGACGAAACGTCTGGTGTGGGTACCTGGGTTGTGGCAGATGGAGACTCAGCTGCTGGTGATGCGGCACCCTTGCCTGACTCTACTAGACGCTTCTGCTTCCAAGCCGCCACTTTCGCCAGCTTGGCCTTTTTCGCTTCCTCCTCAGCTTCGGCGGCGGCTTTCCTTGAGGAGTCGGCAGTGGACGGTCGAGAAGACTGTTTGTTTAGCACAAATTCGTCAGAGAAGGTGGGATCGAATTCACGTACCTCGCGGTCTTTCGAGCTCATCCTATCGTTCCTTGGACCTCTGTCGTCTCGGCGGTTGGCACCACGCGAAGACTCTTCTTCAAACCTTGACCGCTTCCTGGCGTGGTCGTCGGACCCATTGCGATCTCCATCTCTTGACCTCTTCCTCTCCCTCTCCCTCTCCCTGGGTTGAGAGCGCTCACGGCGATCATCGTATCGGTCGCCCCGGCGTCGGTCGTCGCGGTCGTGGTAGCGGTCTCGGTCATCGTTGCGTCTGCGATCATCGTACCGATGCTGGCCCCTAGATGAGTGTCCGTTGCGTCCACCTGGTGGGAATTGCTCTCTCACATTGCGATCACGGCTCCTCGACCTCTGGCGGTAGCCGCGATCGTTGTCCCTGCTTCTACGGGGTGGTGAGCGGACCATCTTGCCGCTGCTCACACCACGAGAACCGTACTCAGACTTTCCCTTCCAACCTTCGCCCAGCTATGCCCCGCTCACTGCCGCCTGCTTGCCTTCACGTTCACGCGCACTTTCGAACTTACGAGGTGTTTGCTTCTAGTCCGTAGACTAGAGGTCGTCGTGGGTACACTTCGGAGCGCGGAAGAAAGTTGTCGGACAATGCGGAATGCGCGGTGGTGTGGAGTATGGTGAGTCGATGTTGGAGGTGGTAGAAGCAAAGTGACGAGCTTCGAAGTTGATGGCCGCCAAGACCGCTAGCGGGGGGTTTAGAGTTTCTCCGAGCCGTTCGGAGCTGGGCCAGCTGGGGGAAGGCGCATCCCAGCCTCCACGAAACAGAGACAGGCCTCACGCGACGACCCTCGTTTCAAACGGGCAACAACACGTCTGGCTCTCGCTGTATACACTCGCTGACACCCACGTTCCCGTCGCATAACCCCATTGGAAGCCTCACTAGAACGACAACACCCAACATGCTCGGCCGCAAGGTGGGCAGCAGCCTCCCCCGGCTCCCCCTCTATGCGCGTCTCCCCTTACGACCCTCGCCCTTCCAATGCCAATCCGATGTCGTCCCTCGCTCAGCCATAGTCCTCTCCACCCGCAGCTACGCGTCACCCGGCCGTCCGCGCAAGACTGTGGGCGAACCATCCAAACCCGTCAAGCGAGCCGTCAAGCGAACAGCCAAAGCAAACGACGGTCCGGCAAAGAAGCAGGTCGAGGCGAAGAAGAAGACCGCAGCAGCCAAGAAGAAGAAGACCACGCCCAAGAAGCGGGCCCCGAAGGAGTTGACGGCGGAGCAGAAGGAAGCGAAGCAGGCCCGGCTCGACAAGGCCAAGATCGCAGAGTTGAAGAAGGCCGCGTTGAAACCGCCGACGCGCAGGTCGGTAACGGCGTACAACGCCTTTTTCTCGGAGAAGATGAAGGGGATAGACGGCAAGTTGATCGGTGGTCCCGATCGGGCTGCCAAGATGAGGGATGTCATGAGGCCGCTCGTGGAGGAGTACAGGTCGCTGTCTCCCGCTGAGCTTGAGGTACCCTATCCCTCTTTCACGCACGATATAGCCAAGCTAATTTGATTTGCAGCACTACAACCACCTCGCGCACAGCAAAACCGAAGCCATCAACGCTGACTACAAGCGCTGGGTGGAATCTCACACCCCTGAGCAGATCCAGTTTGCCAATCTCGCACGCAACAATCTACGAAGAAGACTCGGCGACGCCGTATTCCAGACGCAGAAATACGGCCTGATCCACGACGAGCGGCACGTCAAGCGTCCCGCCTCCTCGTTCGCCCAGTTCAACGTCAACCGCCAGGCTAGCGGCGATTTCAAGAACATCGCCTTCACGGAGCGGATGAAGTTGATTGCGCAGGAGTGGAAGGCGTTGAGTGAGAGCGAGAAGAAGGTATACTGACTCCACATTCTCATCTGGGGAGGCGGAGAAATGCTAACATCAAGGTGATGAAGAAATACAAGGACCTCGGAAGCCAAGAGAAGACCCGCTACGCGTCCGAATACAATGACGTCTACGGGCACTTGCCGCCTGGCGCCCACAGCCCCGCCACAGCAACAGCGGCTGCTTGAGGTCCGCGTCCTTTCGATTCCGTATGTCATGATGCAGCTACAGCGCGGATGGAGTTTGATGGCGTTCGGTGGACAAGCGGTGCGGATGAGAAGGTTGGGAGGGGGTTTCTGTACGTTCTTCTTTGTGTAAACGCGAGACGTGGGTTTGCAGGACAGTCACCCGTCCTCATGGCCTCGAAAGGGCTTTGTATGCTTAGTATAGTGCACATATACCACCGTCTCCTTTTAGCGCTGCGGACCTAGACGACGAGATTATGCGCGACGGCCTAGCTATTCTATCCCGGGCATTCCAGCTCGTTGACGCTTCATTGTTTGAACGTATTCTGCATCTGGCAGGTAAGCGCCCCGGGAGTGTGGTCAACATTTCGCACTACTCGCTGATCGGGGTCTAGTGTCAGGCTCCGCTGAGCCACGGAAGGTTTGGCCATTTTGCTGATCTTGTTCTATACCACCGTCAACAGCCATGGGCTTCACCGGGTTCTCACCCGGCTCGGCCGCTATAGTCAGATTGACGCCGCCGGGACGACTCTTGAGTGGCATCTTGACCTTCCAGCCATACAGCACCCAGGGCGTGCCGACCCAGAAGTTAAGCACCGCCGGCCGCGCGGTCCATAGTGACTGAAAATCATATCGAAGACGCTTGCCGTCTAGGACCGCCAAATCTTCGATTGGCGTGCCAGCGTTCTCGCCTCCCATGTCCTTCCAAGTCCTACTAATCTCACCCCGAACTTCTCCCCTCTGGTGTTGTTCCATCCACCCGCTCAACAACCGTTGTCACAGACTTCGCTGCCCGCAACGATCCCTGAAGCTCCGCCCGGACACCGCCTGGAGGCAGTAGTTGTTCCTCATTGCCCAGCGGCAGCTGCGCGGAGAGGACGAGCGCAAGCACTCGATCCGCGGCGCAGCAACTCTGCCCCCGCTCCTACGATCTCCAGAGCGTGGAGGTTTCAAGAGTCCATCGTGCTGCTGCTGTCGGTGAGATCTCGCGTAGTGCATGCTCATGAGATGAGCGCGACTTTGTCATGGATTAAAGACGGCGCGGAGAACGAAGCATTTTGCATCGCGGTGAGGGACAAGAGGCTGTCTTCCGCATAACGTAGGTTAGGGAATGAACGGGACTAGTATACTCTTCTGGCTGTATCCGCACCTGAAGAGAATCGCAGGACATTGATACCAGAGAAGACGACCGTGGAGAGGTGAAGCAAGGTTAAGTTGGAACCGCAGCCGGACTCACCACTGTTGATCCAGGGTCCTCTTCGTAGACCCTGCTTCTCGACACCAGACCTCACCTCACCTCATACCACGCTTCACCGTTTGGACAAGACGTGGAAGACTTATCGTGTGCGAACCACAAAAGTCATATCTGTGTTCAGCCTACGTATTCTCCCCCTCTTCACCCTCCCGGGCACCACCCGCCCTCATGTGCTCTGGCACCCCCGTCACTCTTCTCCTCCCGCATAGCAAAACAGTTGGATTCTCATCGCTGAAGCCCATTTCCACCCCAAAGTTCGTGACGGCGTCAAGCGTCTATGTTCCCCGTCCCCTCTAGAGTCGTTACCGCGCCGGCCGCAGCAGCAGCCTTTCCTCCCTGCTATGCGCTCGCCCGGCCGTCCCACGCTGAACATCATCAAAAAGCAAAAAGAAAATGGGTATATTGCAACGCGCAAAAAAACAAAAACCGTCCCGTTCTTTTCCGGCCCCAAAGAAGAATGTGTGATGAGAGTTGAAGCTGGGGGTTGTGTGCTGGTGGCGGGGGTGCAGCTGCGCCAGGTGGTATTATAGTGTGTTCGTCCAAGCGGTGGTAGAGGTATTTCACGTCTGCTCGGATGGAGTGCCATGCGAGTCCTGGGGACTCTGCGCTTCCTTCTCTTCGGACAGACGGCGGTGCTCGCTAGCGGCGAGAGCGAGACTGTTCAGTCCGTTCGACAGGCCCGGTGATGGATATGAGTAGTGGAGATCGCTGTTAGGGTCGCCACCCATCGCTGCCATCGGGGGTACGTAGTCGAGATTAGTTGTGAAGTTTGCTCGGTGGAGTTGGGGGCGCATGTTCAGGTCTGGCATGACGTTTGGTAGTGCTGGAATGGGACCGGTGTCGTTACCGTTGAGGAAGTAAGGACCACCGCCTGGCATCATGAGCGCCTGGTCGAGCGCGAGGTTATGTGGTAGCTGACCCTGTGTGGATTGAGGCATCTGGGACGACATCGGCATTTGCATAGGCTGTGCTTGCTCTGCGAGTTGCTGCTCCACTGCGGCCTCCAGTTGCTGTGGTTCTGCCTTGACAGCTGACTTCTTCGGCGTCTTCACGGGCTTCTTGACCTTCGCTTCGTCACTACTGGTAGGAGCAGTCCGCGCTGCCGCGCCACGACCGTTCTGGTGTGTGCGCCGATGCTGTTCCATGTTGTCCTTGCGAGTGAATGCCTTGTTGCATTCCGGGCAGTACGCATCCTTCTTGCCGGTGTGCTTTTTCGCGTGTCGCGCAGCATGGCCGGAGGTGGTGAAGAAGTCGGCGCATCCGAACTGCTTCGCCATCGGACATGGGTACTGGTTCTTCTTCGGTTGGGGCTTGGCGTTGGACGTGGTGGAGACCGTCGATACGCGCGATGGTTCGGAGTGGGGTGAATCAGACGAAGGGTAGATCTGTTGCTGTTGCGACTGTGGCGGCATCTGTTGTGGTGGCATCTGCGTGGACACGGGCATGGGAGGATAAGCTGATGACATCACACCGGTCGTCGCATCCGGGATGGGCGGATACATGTGCGCGTTCGGGTCGTCCATTTTCGAGTAGGAGTGTGTGCGAATGAAATATTGTTGCTGCTGCGCACGTTGCGACTGCGCTTGGTGGCCACCGTCAAAGCTATTAAGAGACGGAGTGGTGGGCGAAGGGGAGGCCAAGTTGCGAGAGTCGCTCGAGTATGACCGGGAAAGGTGCGGCGTTTGTGGGGTAAGGCTGGGCGTCGAGGCGCAACTCGAGGGCGCGCGGGAACACTCTGTGAGCGGAGGGAGGTGTATCTTCGCGGTCGCCGGGGCTACTTCACCACTGTCGTTGAGTAGTGATATGCGTCGGCCCGTGCAGTTTCTACCGTCCATTATGTGGCGGCCAGTTTGTCCAGTGCTGTAAGAATGGGGGTGATTTGGTCGGCTACGGCTTCTGAAGGCAGGCGTGACTGCTGAACGGTTTGAAGCAATACAAGTCTCGTGGGATGATGTTGATTGCTTGTTGACTGTGACGAGGGATCAACGGTGGATGGGATGTGTGGAGAGTTCGCAGCGAAAGCAGGGCGCGTGGGAGAGAGGGGACTCTTTAACGCGAGGGCACACGACGGATGCAGGGCGGGCAGAAAGCAACCATTGTATTGCTTCGTAAGACGCTCCGAGGAGAGCAGGGAGTGGGAGGAGAACAGGCAGACCCTGAATGCGCGAGCCTGACAGTTCATACTTAACCCGCCAGCCCGCCGCCCTTGGCCCAAGAGCTGCCCGTTCCCGAATGAGACGGACGTGAGAGCGTTGCTGTGGCGCAACTCCGATCGCCCCAGACCCCTGCTCGACTGGTGTCATCGGCGATGAGAACGACTGCAGGGTTGATGAGGCCAAGCTTTGTGTGAGCCACACGCCCTCGAGATCAGGCACATGGGAGGGGGAGTTGAAGGCGGGCCTCGCGGGGTGTTGTCCGAAGACTCTGCGTGTTTTTACATCTCCCTGTTGCTGTGTACTGTGTTACGAGCGTCCAAGTCGCGGTGCTGGCTGCCATGACCATCACAATCGCTGGATGAAACGCAACGTCATCGATCTCTGCGCGGTCGGTTTAGTGCATCGTGAGATCGAAGATCCAGCGTGCTGTCCTCCGCTCATTTCCTCGCATACCCGCCAAGGCATCTGGCTGGTGAAAATGAGTTTGTCGAAGCGCCGGGCGACTATTGAGCAGGGGAGCTGTGTACCGTGTGACCACTACCGGCAATTTCGCGAGAGCTAACTGTTTGATAATGCGCTTTTGGGCTCGTCCCGCTTACAAGCCATCCTTCCATCTCATCAATCCTTGCGGCGTCGAGGGCGTGAAGTTTCTTCTAGGTTGGATGGAAGCCCGCGACAGATGACATCCACAACACGCCGACTTGACCTCTGCCGGTGAAGGCCGAACGCTATTCGAACGAAGTAGAGAAGCCTGACGAACCATTTCATGCCGCGCTGTTCCTTGACACACGGCAGTCCAACGTCCTGCCCACCCCCATCGTCTGCCGGCCGGCAATTCTGCACATCGCCCACTAGCCACAATGCCTGCGACGATGCAACAAGCGTGACCCTGCGACCTGGAAGAGCGGCTGCGAGATACTGCAAACAGCTAGCGGAGCGTGTGGGAACAGCGTGGTGGGTCGTTCGATCGCCACGCTGGACCCCGATACGCCTCGCGAGTCTTTGGCGCACCGAGCTGTCAGCCTTTCGAGCCTTTCCTTCCACGGCCCCAGCATCCCTGCTCTTCCTTCGGTCTCGCCTCCGTCCCCATGCCGCAACCAGAGGTCATCATGCGTGCGATCGACGATCTAGCCCCCCACCGAAGCCCTCGCTGCCAATTTCCGCCTCGTCCCTGATTTTCCGTGGCGTTCCTAACGGCCACCGATCCCTGCTTCGTCGCGTGGTGTCGACCCAAGATGAAGACCCGCAGGCTTTCTGACATCTGTGCTGCGACAGCCTCTTGCGTCGTGGCTTGCTCAGGCTCAATGCCGCTACTCAAGAACGCGTGCCCTTGGCGATGATGCAGACTATCGTGAGATTTCTTGCCAAACCGAGCTGGAGTATGGATCCCTTAATCCTCCATCAAGCTAAGGCTATTCACCCCACCGCGAAACAACTCTCTCTCCAGCAAACTCTGCACGCGAGCTACACTTTATTGGACCTGCTCCTTGGGGATCCGGAGGCATGGAATCCGGCTACCAATGAGAGAGACGGCCGTCAAAAGGGCTCCGTGGTACCTTTCCAGTCCGCCTCTGCTTTGGGTAGTTCGGCACACATGACCCAAGAGAATCGGATCGAAAGACTTCTTGATCGCAGTGCAATACACTACTCCTCTTGACATGAGGATCTACAACTGACAGCTAGGGAGTGGAAATAACGGAGAATGCAGCAAATTGCGGGACACTGTTATAGACAAGGATTGTTCCGCAGCATCCACTTAGCAGGACAACCTTCGGAGCTCGCGAAAGGCCCTGAGCTCGAGTGACTATCGGCATCCCGAAGGCGCAGACTGCCGGAGAGTACAGCGAACGACATATCGATGCATACCTTGACGCTGCTTACTCGCGATGCCTCGCTAACTCATTTGCATCAGGTGTGCATCACCATGTGCTGAGCGCATCTCGCGGAGCAGCAGAGCGTTATCTTCCACAGAGTCCCGCCTTCAGCAAGGGAGTGTGCATTAGGTGGCTGGATGGTTGCTCCCATGGCCATCGGTACGGTCACCGGTCGGTCAACACCACCAACCAAGGGTCTTGTAGTGTCGAAGAAATGGTGGGGGTGTGGGGCGGGACATCATGCAATAGTGAAGCATGCCTTGCGCCGTGCTCGAACGAGCGTTGACCATTCTCGCCGTCAAAGAGCCGCTCTTACCGTTGGAATGATACCCTACCTCCGCTCCGCCGACACTGAAGTATGCGTGGTGCTCTTGGGCTGGCTTTCCGCGGCCGTGCGAGGAGTAGTCTCCGGAAACGATCATAGGCATATATCAACTTCTCTACACACACATCAGCAATTCTGGTTCTCACGTCCGTCCAAACTTCACGAGTCTGTCCAGATTCGCATCATCAGGATAGTCACTCGACGACGTGAAGTCCAACCGTTTCTTGACTCTGATGCCACTGGTGCGGACCTGACTCCAGCGCAACCGGTCCCTTGGGACGATCGTGGACTTGCGCAGGGACTGTCGAAACGTGTGGAGGTGGCTGACTCGGGCTAGATGTCCGTCGCCGCGACATTTTCAAGCCTTTTGCGTGAGGAAGTACTTTGGTACCTGCAACGTTCGGACGACCTCCCGATGTGCTGCTGTAGGTTGTGTCGAGTTGACTTCATGTTGTTCTCATTCTGGTCTCAAGTTCTTTCGCTCTTTGATGCCGGTGGGATCAGTACGATTCCAAAGGCACAGGCAGGTCACAGCCACTCGCAGCGGTCTTCATCGAAGGACAAACGTGCTTTCGGAAGCAATTAGTGATTGCAAGCTTGAATGAACAGTGATCCCGTTTCATGACGATAGGATAAGGTCTTGCTACCCAGATATCTCCTTCTATTGACAGCTATCAACAGCCCTCTTCGAGAACACAATCGCTGCCACAACCAGAGCATCCTCCTCCTTCACCTCGCGCTTCATTCATCCATCTTAAGCAGTCTCAACCCTTCCCGAAGACCAGCGCCCCGTCGTATCTGATTCATCCCCACCACCAGACCCATCCCACGCCTTTGCAACTTTCGTCGCCATCAGCTCCATCGTCGCCAAATGCATCGCCTCAAGAGCATCTGTGCTATCTTTCCGCGATGGCCCCTCCGCAACAATCGTCCCGTCCTTCACCACGGCAAACCTCATCATCTCGTGCTTTCCAGAAGCGCCCTCGACTAGCATCGACACTAGCTCGTAGCAAGGCTGTTGGTTGTTCTTGTACGAGGTCGGGTTGAGGTTGCGCATTATGACGTCTGCGTTACCTGGGTCACGGTCAGCGAAAGCGAAGGGGATGATGTGGTTTGAGTGGCTTACGAAGGATGGTCTTCTCGAGACGAGCCATGTCTCTCCCCATGTCGAACATGATGACCTCAATCACTTTCGTCTTGGTCTTCGTTTCTTCAGTGGTGGCGTCCGCTTGCGCAGCGGATGGTGTATTGGTGCCAGCTGATGATGGGTTGGTCGCAGCTGATGATGTATTGGCGGCGGCCGATGGTGATCTCAAAGGCAATGCATCCGTAACTTGGTTTTGCTGGACGGGCGGTGCTGCATTGGGCGAGAACGGGGCTTGTGCTGGGAAGGATGAAAACATGTTGCTGTCTATCGGTTCTGTGGGATGCGACTGATGTCGCTGCGGTGGTATTCTGGCCCGCCCACCCGTCGGGGTAATCCGTTATATAACCCAGCATGTCCTGCGGATTGTTTGCTTGGGCCCAGGCATGATTCTGAAGCAGCATGTGGGTCTCAGTAGTAAATGGGTTGAATATGGTGTTTGTACAGTGTCTTGGAGTGAGAACAAAGGTATGTCGTTAATGAGGCGATGGTGTCGTTCACACAGCTCTGCTGTGGTCTGCGTCTGTGGGAACATGCTGGCAAGAACCATACCAGCCGACTGCCACAAATATCCTAAATCAACGGCCGATGGCATGATCCCTGCCTGTAAGTTGAAACGAAATGTCTTGAGGACCTATGAATTTGTGATTAAGATAAGCCGTGGACCAGAGAATGAAATGAACTGTGATGTCTTACTGCAGACGCACGGTGAGTCTCGGTGAGACAAGCATATCCATCCATCTAGTGCACGCCTGCAAACAGCCATATTCAAACACACGGTCGTGGCGTTCCAAAACACTTCAGCATGGTGGATGTCTTTGTGCTTTGATGGTTTGTTCCTAAGATGAGACTGACCTTAGCAACGCAAAAGAACAATCGGCGCTCCATTTGAGCTCCAAGCGCTTTGGTATGCATTGTGGTTCACGAAGGTAGACCGGAATGGGTTTGTGAGTTTTCGTGAGTAAATGTTGAACCGATAAAGAGAAGGTAGGTATTGAGAAAGAATCAACCCTGCTCAGGGCTGGCGTCGTAACCTAATACCATGTTTTAGCTTGACAGGCTTTTGTCATGCTATAGTCATCCCCGAACGCCACGCTATGCATCATCCCCTGACACCCACCCAGATAGATTCTCATTGCGCCTCGCCCGGCAGAAGGTTCCCTCTCGCACCGAACATCTTCCCAGAAACCACTGCCGAGAACCCATCAACCTGCCTTGCATACTGCTCCACCTGTCTTCCGATCAGCAGACTCTCTAGCTTCGAGGGCTCCTGCGGCAGCTTGAACAGCTTCTGCCACTCATTCTCGTCCAGTAAGGGTTGCTTCTGTTGCTGCCGGAGCTGGTTCTCCTGCTTTCGTTTCGCCTGCCACGCCGTAATCTTTGCCTGCTCTCGTGCGAGGGACCTCTGATAATACTGCGCGTTGTTCTGCTCTGTCTGGTGGGCCTCGATGCTATCAAGCAGGAGATCGCAAGTCTTTTCCATGAAGGGGTCAATGCTAAGATCCAGGTGGTCGAGGTTCGGTGCTAACGGGTTTGATGAGACGTTGGGGTCGTGGGAGAGGTCTGCGAGTGACGAAGGGAAGTCCAGTGCGGTCTGCTTTGGCGGGGCTTGTGGTAGATCGTGCAAGAAGGATGTGAGCAGGTGTGAGTTGTGGATCTGGATAGGGATTTCGACGAGGATGTCCTGGTAGCGGAGGTTCGACTTTTGCAGGCTGCGGATATAAATTAGCTCTCTTCTGCAAAGGTTGCTATTCATGGACGTACTTCTCGGTGTTGAACTTGCCCTCGCGATAGCTGGCCATAAAGCTTGGGCTCAATCTGTACGCCTTCAAGCTCAAGCTACCCGCCGAGCTTCTGCTCACGTCGAACACCAACGCCACAGTCTTCTCGTCCGCAGCCTTCTGGTAGAAGAACTGGTTTTCGATGAAGTTCAGATTCACAAAATTGCCCATGCTCGTGCTGATGTACCATCCCACGCTCTGCGCATCGACGTTAACCTCGCGAAGGTACTTGATCATCTCATTCTGGTAGTTGACGTTGCTCTTCGCTCTGGGTGCACCGGCTGCTAATGTTGCGGCATCCGTGGGTTGCTGGTAGTAGCCGGTATCTTGTTGTGTCGATGGCTGGTCTGGGGCTGCGGCCGGGAAAGGAAAGCAGTTGGTGATCTGGAGTTGCGTGCCACTGCTGGCGGCCATGTCCATTCCTAGTAGACATCCAGTTGCTGGTGTTGGGAAGGCGGAAGTGCTGTGCTTGATCACGCGCATCACCACGAGCGCCTCAATTTGTACCTCCCGCATAGGAGCGGTGTTGGGTACTGTGTCCGCCATGTTTGCGCCCGGTGTCGTATGTTTGAGCTGTCGTTGTGTTGCGAGCGACCTGAACTTTCCGCTGAGGTTGACGTTGGCTCAGAATTTTGGCATGTGCGTGCCGAAGTTCAGCCGGTACATGACTCGTGTCTGTTGTTTTTCACGACACGACATCTTCTTCACCTCTTTACGTCTCCCACAACTAAGACAACGAAGAGTTATCAGCGGAACCGGATCAGAATTTCCATACAGCTCTCACAAGATGAAACTAGCAAGACACAGAAAAATCAACCAGCCTGGGCCAACCTCTTCATGCGCCACCGAACGCCACTGTCCAACAATGCGTGTTACAACCAGAAGACTGATGAACTCGCAACCCCAGTAGGCGCCCCCGATCGCGGCCTGGTCGCATGTGTCATGGCGCTCCAGGCTCCCAAGCGCTAAACAACCGAAGCACTCGAGGAACCTACTCCGCTCGTCTCGAGTGCGGCGAGGTGACGCCATTTCCATATACAATCGAAGCCGGCTTCGCCATATGACTTAGGCTTCGGCTCATGCCCGTGTCCCTTTACGTTCTGGGGACCCAACGCCTCGTCATGTCAATCGTCGAGCAGCCCAGCAGCAGCTCTTGCTTCGTCTTGGATGGCAACTCTATCCCAAGGGGCAGCTTGGCAGACGCGATCTTTTCTGGGTGCTCTGGTGGCATGTTGAGAAGACGGGGATTGTTGGCAAGCAGGGCCAGTTCTCTGTCGAGATTGGCCTTGAGGGCCGCCGGAAGGGCCTTCGAGGTTCCCAAGGTTGGAGCAACATCCGCGAGTTGAGTGAAACCCTTTGCCGCCCCGGAAGATACTCCGGGGGAGTCGCTGGCGTTGTTGCTTCTGAACGCAGCGGTAGGTTAGTTGGCTGTTCGTCAAGACAACCTGGTGAATCTCGCCTGCACTCACGAGAGGGATTGAGACATCGTTATAATGGTACAATGCTATATGGCTTGTAGTGGTTGGGTCTCGTGTACCAAAGTATATTGACTTGGTAGGAAGGCTGGCGAAGTCTGTTGTTCGAGCGGATGGAAGAAACAGCAGATCAAGGGAGGGACGTCGCCATTTTGACTGACGTAGTACACCACAACGGCTTTCGCAAGCGGCAATATCTTCCTGGAGTCCCCATGCTAGCGTTTCTGCTCGCTATCCTGCTTGATGGATGAGGGATGCAATGGTCGAGATGGCACTAACAGACCACGAATCACGACCGGAATCTGCGCTCAGTGCAATTATCTCCGGGCCCTGCATCTCGACCGACCACGAATTACACTGTCTGCAATTTTGACCGGAATCACTTGTCGATCTCTTAAGAGCTTCGGGCAGCAATAAGTGCATCGAAGGCAGATTCGATCCACTCGCTTCCCAGGCTTGCACAGCGTGCAGCCATCATGCGCATCCATGACAAGACGCTTGTGAGGCTTGCCAGCGCACTCAGGCCCGCGTTCGCGAGGTGGAATCATCTCCAGCCTGTGACAAAGACGGGCGGCTCCACGAATACTGCTATTGGTTCGGTCACTGCCCATGGAGCTCGACAGCAAGGTCATCCGCAACAGCTATCGCGACGTGGTGGTCTGCTGATACTACACAGTGTGCAAGAGCGCCGTTTTGATTTGCACACGCTGCAGCTCCGGTGCCTTGATTCGTTCAACCAACACCACCACTGCGCTTCTGTCCGGCCCAGACTCTGCTGTGCATCGCGCGAAGCTCCTAGCTTTGACCAATGACGAGTCGTGTTGGGCAGCACTCCTGGGGGACTGACCGTCACGATGGGCATGGAAAGAAACTGCGCTCTGTGCAAGAACTCGCGTGTGCAGTTGCGTGGTGTGCAGGAACATTGACCGGTGAGCCAACAACATCGTGCACGAGCTGATGCCTTGCTATGCCTTGCCTTCGACAGTGACCGAGTCGGCACCTTTATCCATGCAGACTTCAGATGCACTACGTCCGTACTTATGGCTTGCATACAGAATCTCAACACTTTTGTCCCGCTGCTAGGTGGCTGGACTACTGCACACAGAGTTTTTCGAGATAATGTCGACACCAGGAAGCACACGCGGTGACGATGTCTGTGCACCCCCGCGTTTGGCCTGCGCTTCAGTCGGGGCCACTTGTGCATGCTTAACAAGGTAAGGCTGGCGGATATCATGACGGCGCATTGAGACTGGTTGTTACCCGAGCTCTATTTACGTTTTACTTGGACTATTGTAGGTAATGTGCTCACTGAGCTTCTGCCTTGAAGAATGGCAGACCACCATGCTGCCTTGTCCTCCGAGCAGACATACCTCGCTCCCCTAGCGCTTCGCGCTTACCCTTCTACCCTTCCCATCCACCAGGCTATCCGACAGGCCGTAGTGCGTCGAGCGCATCGAACTTCTCGAGATGACAAAGTCTTGGAAGGATGTCAAACAGGAAGCATGTCATCTATACACACAGGGAGCCACGCTGCTGCAAGTTCAGGCCAAACTAGAGCAGAAGTATCAATTCCGAGCCTCGTGAGTGTCATCAATGATCTAGACGTGGACGCGGGTTGGTTGACCGCGATCCAGCACTCGAGCATTCAGAGGGAAGTTCAAGGAATGGGGAGTTACCCGGTCCTCCCAGTTGGTGGAGCTCAAAGCCCGGAATGCTCGTATGCCGCGAGTGCTCGGCGGTGCTGAGCTATCATACGAGATGCCGGAGGCGACGATAGTTGGAAGGTCGCATTCGGAGCCTTTGGGATCAGAGGTGTTTCAACCAGCTTCAAGGGGTACGAATCGGCCGTCCTACCTTGACGACCACGCCTCGAGGCATCCGTGGCTTGAGCACGACGCTTCCACCCAGATTGTGGACCAATTCGAGTTTCTGTACCACGAACTTCGGCAAGCGGAGACAGGGCCAGAGATTTCTGAAATATTGAACCGGACACGCTTCGTATCTGGCGAAGACTGCATCCTTCACTACACAGCAGCCAAAGCCGAACTCTGGGCACTGGACTATCTGATGGATTACATCAATATCAAAGACATCAGTATCGACCTCGAAAACTCTCGACGCCGAACAGCCTTGGAGTATGCCATTCTCGCAGGCCAGAAGTTTTCAGTCGAGCTCCTTTTGGCGAACGGAGCGTCGGTGGATCGCCGCAATAGTTCTGAGCAGCAGCCGCTTCACTGTGCAGTTCAGTCTCTTTCGCCCGATATATGTGTCATTCTACTAGAGCATGGTGCCAACGCAAACGCACCCCTAGCTGTGAAGCAACAATATCGTAGCTCACTCGATGTCACATTCGAGCAACTCTCAAAAGCCCAGATGAAAGAAGAAAGGGACAAGCTGGCCAGGATTTTTGAGATACTGTTGACGAACGGAGCTGACGTTGCTGACCGCGGCAGCGAATCTGAAGTCACCCAGCTTGAATTCCTCAAGAGATGGTATCAACAGGACCCGCGATCGTTCCAGCCAAGTCACTACCTTCGAAACAACTTCCACCCGCTCTGCTGGATATCTCGAAAATTGTGCCCAGTAGGAGCATGCGGTTCGCTTGCGTCCTACATCTTCAGCCACACACCCGGAAGTGGATTGGCTAGACTGCTGATACAGACGGTCGACGTCGAAAACCATGGAGACGACTTATTGCACGCCATGCTTTCCCCTTGCATTCAGCAGGCCACAACAAACTGGGATCCCACAACTTACGAGCTCTTCCACGAGTTGTTAGAAAGGATGCATGCGCGAGGCGTCAAACCTCGTAAGGATCCATTCATCCTGCATCGGATATGGAGGGATGCACCTCATCATGAGAGACTGCTCCTCATCGAAAGCGCTCAACGTTCAGCTCTGGCCACAGCCGAGGAATCAAGAATGGTCCTGGTTGAGCTTGGCCCAGAAGATGGCAACTTCGGACTAGACATGGCCGAGTCGCTGATGTCACAGCCCGAAGTAGTCTCTGCCCAGCTGTGGAACGAACTTGTGGTCCACTACTATGGCAAATCTGGAATGTTTCGGCGCAGTTTCAGCGTGGCGGACGAAGGCTTCCATCATGAAATTCAGCTGAAGATCTTCACTGCTCTGGGGCTGGACTTGCAACAAGCCGCGGGCGCCGAAGAGCATGTTGTCAGGAGCACAATGCATGTGTTTACCAAACGGCTGCTAGAAGGCAAAATACCTGGCCATAACATCTCGGCGCAGCAGCGAGTGTTTGGCGTTACTCCGCTGAGAGAGAAATATGACCTGCCTGAGCTGCCTGTGCCGAGCTCAATGATCCTTGAGATGAACTCGCACATCCACCGGGGGCGGGTCGACGTGCTATCCGCCGAGCAAGGAAGTGACTACTATTCGTCTCCCGGCACTACGATGAGCGACGGCCACTCATGATAATTGTGTGCCCGCAGCTTCGAATGGAGCTCTTCCTTATTCTGCCGCTGGGATTATACGACTACCCGGTATTGCTGCACTCACCGAGCAACTCGACCGCAATCCTGAGAGGACAGTATGGCTGCGTTCTGATGAGTGCATGATCAACTTTGCGTTCGAACGGCAGCTTAATGCAACGATCAGTCGACAGATAGTTCGGTAGCAGTCGTATGCTTTTCACGCACTGCCTGGAATGCTAGACATCAGAATGTACATGTATTCAGTAATCCAGCATCACATTTCAGTGATTGAATGGTGAAAGATGTGCCTCCGAAAAGTGCACTCAGCGCAATGCCGCGGGGTTTCTGAATTGCATCACCATCATCCATCGACCCTTCTGCCACCCACTCCACGACATCCGTACGTACCACATGCGATCAGCTTTTAGAATTCCCTACACGTTCCCCTTGCACAGCTGGAAAGGACGTTTTTGCGCAGCGATTTCATCCAATACCAGCCCGCGACCAGTCTGTGGCCGGACCTTGCAGTCCCCTCCACGCAGGAAAGCGATGTCGACCAATGGAACATCAAACGGCCAGAAGAAGGAGCTGGATCCCAACCAAGGCGGAGACTCCACGAAAAAGACCTACCACAAGCAACCAACTGGCGAAGCACTTAAGACGGCGAACGCTCACTCGGCGGAGAATGATTTGAAACTGTACGGTTCCTGCTTCTGCCCTTTCGTCCACCGGGTCTGGATATCTCTGGAACACAAACGCCTTGATTATCAGTACGTTGAGGTTGATGTGTATCGTAAGCCGAAGCTGCTGCTTGACATTAATCCGAGAGGTCTGGTTCCGGCGCTCAGACATGGAAATTGGGGCTGCTATGAGAGCACGGTACTTATGGAGTATCTGGAAGATCTGAACAAAGGCGAGCCGCTACTACCGAAGGACCCTAAGCTCAGAGCACATTCGAGGCTGTGGTCGGATCATATCAATCGAAATATCATCCCAGCGTAAGCATTGCCCGCTGCACTTTGATTAAAAACTTCTGCTGACCATGTCTTGCTAGCTTCTACCGCTACCTCCAGGCCCAAGACCAGAACGACCAAGTCAAGTTCGCAGACGAGCTCCGCGAGCACATCGCCAAACTAGTCGAGACCGCCGACCCAGCCGGCCCGTTCTTCCTGGGCGATTATATGAGTTTCGTCGACGTCCAGATGGCGCCGTGGATCGTTCGATTACGGAAAGTTCTCAAACCCTACCGTGGCTGGCCGGATCCAGAGCCGAACACTCGATGGGCGTCGTGGGTGCAGGCGATTGAGAACGCCGAGCCTGTGAAGAAGACCACGAGTGATGATGAGTTGTATCTGGACTCTTATGAGCGGTATGCTGAGAATCGGCCGAATACTTCGGCTGTTAGAGAGGCGATCAATTCGGGCAGGGGATTACCATGAGATCAAAGCCATTCATCCTCAAGGTCTGATGGAACAGCTTCATGGGTCACGATATAGCCACCCAGGTCGCCTCAGACTCACCGTCAAGGAATTGAAGCAGAGGCCAGATGTCAATATCGAGACTCTTGGAAAGAACAGGGCGTCAAAAGTCCATGTATGCGCAATCATCGTTTCCACTGTGCCGTGAGACCTCTCCAGCGTCGGCTCCTTGAAACCACCGTGAAGGGAAGGCCATAAGATGTACTGGTGCCGTTGGTGCAGTGGTATTGGGATAGGTGGATAACTATGTAACGCAATGCAGCATTACAGGTACACAGCAGCCTCTGACAATGTCCATAACGCTGCAGTAGCTGTTGACAGTGCAGCGAACACCCGTTAGCTCAGTCCTCCGTACGGCCAATTGCACCCAACCATGGACGGCGAGCTTGATATTGCATGTGATCGTGCACGTCAGTTGTGACCTTGCATTGAACACCCGTTAGCGCCCACCTCTGCCAAGCCAGTAAGAACGACGAGCCGCTTCTCGAGGATCGAAAGTGACCTGGTGCCACTGCAGAGCGTGAAGATTTCTTTTGAGGCTCCTGCTTTTGCGGAGAAGCTTTCAAGCAGTGCAGACCGGACCTCGCCCTAACCGAGTGTCTCGCTCATTCGATCCGGAGGGTCAGCCTCTGGACCTTCTCCAAGACGGAAAGTCGACGACCTCCCTGAACATTCGAGAACTGGCGAAATTGAACATCAGCTAGCGGCGGCTGTCCCCGAGCGAATGACAGGCTTCGCTCAAGGCGCCGCTTCTCCTTGGGAGTGAAAGAATTCATGCTGCTGTAACGAATGAGAATTCCAGCTCTCGATGTCCGAAAGCTTCGAGAAGACAGACTAGGCTTGGCGGCCGCCACAGCGAGCAGGCAGTCCTCCGGCTGAGAATTTGAGCTCGCAGTCGATGCGCCTCTTCTCCAACAACCAGGAGCGCCGAATGTATGTCGGCAGATTTCGAACATCCACTTGCGCGAGGCCTTCAGCAGCCAATCAGAGGGAGCAGGAGGCAGAGTGAGAACCTAGAAGTGGGTTGGTAGCGAGGCATCAGTGATAAGAAAGCTGCTCACAAGTGGTACTGGATACAAGTCTAGCCTGGGTGACCGCCGTTCTATCTGTGCAATGTCCGCGTGAACGCCTCGCTGGATGCAACGCAGGTACCAGCCATGCCAGGTCGGCAGCTGGTAAAGGTCAAGGATGCCACGCCGTAGTCCCTTTCCATTTCAAGCCTAAGCATCCCCCCTCATCTTACGGAAGAAGTCCATGACGCCGGTGAACACGACAAGAAGGATACCACCGCCAGGTCCCAGTCTCAGCACCTTGGGCACGAAACCCTTGTACAGCGCTCCGAAGCCTTCCTCCTTCATGACCGTGCCCAGCGCTGGCCACGCCCAGTTGTACTTTGGTACTCCTCCAGGCACCTTGGGCGAGTTTTGGATTCGGCTCTTGACGACGTCCATGGGTGTGTTGAGAATGGTGCCTACCGTGCCTCCAATAGATCCCGAAATCAGGTCATTGCGGATTTGGATGCTCTTGTCTTTGGTCGGGTTGGCGGGGAGCATGGCGCGGACCTGGAAGATGCAGCCGAAGTAGCCCGAGTTCCAGAGAACGTGACGCCAGATAGTGGATTCGAGACCTTGGTAGAGGGTGAGGAGACCTTCTTGTCGAACGATCTTCTGCACGGCGTCGAGCATGCCGTTGTACTTGGCTGCTTGCGCGCGGTCTGCATTTCCACATAAGTCAGCTCCCAATCCTCATATGTACGTCTGAAGGACGCTATTCACCTTGTAACCGAATCTTGACCAGCTCGAACGGCACCACCACGAACGCCTCTGTCGCGCCAGCCGAAGCCCCAGTAAGGATGGACAAGCTCTGGTTCATCTGTGCGACTCCGAAGAGGTTGCGGTATACCTTGCCCCACTCGTCGTTGGCAGCGAACTTTGTCGCACGCTTGGGCGCTTCCATGAGGATAGGCGCAGTGATGCCACGGTATAGACGGGAGAAGCTGTGCGCGTCCCGTCAGCTGCGCCTTCAATGGCATTGCGTATGTGATATGTACCCTTCGTTCTTGATGATCTTCCTGAAGCAGTCCAACATGCCGTCGTAGCGATCCACGCCCGGCACTGGGACATTGGACTGGATTTGTCTGCGCGACATATCAACACATGTTCCATTTCATTGCTTTTTTGGTATGCGCTTACACTCGCGTCTTCACCACGTCCAGCGGGTACATGACCAAGATCTCACTCACACCAGCCACGGCTCCCGCCGCGAACTGGTATACGAACGGCAATGGCTTCTCGGTCGACATCTTGGGCGGACTTCGTAGGCTTATCTAGGTGTTGCTTTCGTAGTTGGGAAGAGCAGGTGGGTTGGTGGTATTTGGGTGCGCTGTCAAAGAATGAATGCTGTTGATTGAGCGACTGACTGCTCGGCCGGTGAGAGAAAGGCGTGACTGAGTCCGGCGACAGCGCGAGGAAGAAGTCGCGTTGTTGTAGACTTCACCTCGAGCTTCGAGGGAGTAGGAGGTACCTTGGGAGCGAGATCGCTGGGCACTCGGACCACCACCCAATGCCAACCTCACCTTATCAATGTGACATTTTCCTTTTGACATGACAGCCTTTACCAGGTCCACAACATGAGACATCAACGCCATTGCAAATCACATACTATTGGCATGAAAACATCTGGGAGCACCAGGACAATACTCGTGGCAACGCCGCATGCAACGCGCATGGCCGCAAAATCTGGTGTATGAAATGGTTTCAAGAGAGCTGAGATAAGCTTCCAGTTTACATGGACTGCAATTGTATCAGAAGCATGGAGCAGACGTGATGTACACGGCGCCGAACCCCAGTCCGCATGGTGTTTCTATAATGCTTTGCGTTGCGATGCCATGAGAGACAATGTCAACAGAACATGAATTCACGGAAAGTGTACAGAGCATGCTGTACTATTTGCTAGCAGACTGCTGCCGTATATCTTCTACAAGCAATCAATAGGCGGCATTTAATTTGTTCGAGGCAGTGGTTCGTTCCGGATACTGCAGCCCTCGATAGTCAACATTCGATCTCAGAGCCAAACACCATCATGTCTACTTCGAAGAACGTAGCGCCCGGTAGCTCATCAGTAAAACAGAAGACCCGAGCCAAAGACCCATTGCCAGACCCGCTCGCAGGTCTCGGCCTTTTGGACCTGGACATTGATCTCCCTCCACCACCACGCAAGAACGAAGAAGGGGTGGACATCAAGGCCCTGACCTTCCTCGAGAAACGGATTTTGGGTAATATGCCCTACTTCACACCCTTCAGCTGTGTCCTAATGCTAACAGTCTTTCCAGAGAACGCCCGCCTAATGTTTCCCGTGCTCTATCCGAAGCGATACGAGGCCACGTCGAAAAACACCTTCACGATCTCCCTCCTGTACGACTTCCATACCAAGCCACCGACCGAAAAGCATCCCGAGCCTGACCCTGAACGTGGCTCCTACAAGTGGACGGCCTGTGTCACATGGGGTGAGGACTCGCAGCCTCCCTTCAACCGCCTTTTCTGTGGAGATCCGAGCAGATCAGCCACCGAAGCGCTGGAGAATCTGCTCACAGCCTCCGGAATGGTGATGTCCTCGTTGACGAAGGCGGGCATGTTCTTCGTCAAGCCTGAGCCGATGCGAAAAATGCGGGAGGAGGGCGGAGCTGAGAAGACCGCCTGGGAGAGTCTGAATGCTACCTTGACGAAGTCCGGAGGCAAAGCGGCAGCACCTTGACGGTCTTGGCTTCTCCCCAGGTGATTGCTGCCGTGCATAGGGTGTTGACCTACCCCTGTCGTTAGGTTGGGTCGGTGCGGAATGGTCATGTTGCTTCGGCTATGTATGTTATGGTGGACCAACGGTTAGTAGCTCAATCTGGAATGTAAGTGCTTCTCAACTGATATCACACATGCTGTTCCGAGTTCCCAAACAGACGAAACGTCATGGCGCTTAAAGCCACATCTGCTCACGAAACCCGGTTCAGCATTGCGCTTCCGAGACAGGCAGCGGCGAGAGCGGTTCCCACCAGAGAACTTGAAAATGAAGCCGACAATGACTTCAAGAACAAACCTGAGCGGTTCGCCGTCATGTTGCATCACTTCCTTGCCAGACGTGGGAAGCCTCAGATCCCGTCACCGCATGCGTGGACCAAGTACAGAAACCTCACAGGCGGCCCCAATCTCAGGAGAAGCAATGAGCTCTACTGCCGCCGGCCCAACCTCGGACTTGAGCCATCACTCTTGGAGCTGAGAGTGAAGTAATATATTACACTCCAAAAACTCTACTCTCACCAGCCCACAAGCGCCAAAGCCCATAAACGACCAAAGTCAAAACAGCACGTGATATCATCACGCAACAGCAAAAACAAGGTGTTAACTTGAGTCGAGTTCGATTCCTGTGAAGTCTCAAGACAGAAAAAAATGCAATCGATCCTTGATTGCTCAAGCAGTAAAACCGCAAAGACAGGGTCGACAAGACAGACCGCAATGACAGGGTTTTCTCACCTCGAGAGAGCGTTTCTTTCGCTGTTTTTCTCGGTCATGTCCTTTGGGCTGATGGGAGACGTCTGGAGTGTCTTGTTGAGGTCTCTTTTTACTTCCTGTCGTTTCTCTCTGCTCAACGCAGCTCGATGCGGACTGTGCGGTCCTCGAGTGCTGAGGAGTATCTCGCGATCTGATGGTTGGCGCTGAATTCACATGCTACCTCTGGCAAACCAGAACGAACTCTGAAAGATGTTCTGATCGCATCAGACCGTCACCCGGCTCCGGTACACCCTGCTGGTGGCCCAACCAACCGCCTCAGATAAAGGTCACTTGCAGGACACAGCAATCAAAGCACATCATGAGCGCTCGGCCGAGTTGCTGGAGCTCGACTCATCGATTCAAGGGCAAGCAACGGTCCTTAAACTCTCCGCTCGTGGTCCGGATCTTCTTCTTCTTGCCATACTAACCTCAACCATACTATCACTTTCACAATCCCCCATCTTTTAGCACAATCGAACCTATTCCTACGAAATCTGCTGGCCATGAACTGGCCACCGCAAGACAACGGGCCGGGGATGCAATGGGGACCGAGTCAGATGCCTGGGGGACCGATGAACATGAAGGCGGGCTTTAACGGTCCACCACCGGGCTATGGCGGACCTGTCCCTCCAGGCGTAGGGCATCCCAGTGGTGGTGATCCTAATCCCTTCCCAGGGCCCCCGATGCCTCCACAGCCCAGGACGCATAGAGCGCCACCGACTACACCAGCGGCCGCCACCCCACAGACGTACGACATCCGATCGCAGATTCTGGACAACGTGCGTGCAAACTTTCCTCTACGGAAGGAGAAGTTCGCCGACCCTTCGATCAAGAAGGCGTTCCTCATTACACTTGCTCGTGCGCACTTCGACCTCCACGGCGAAGGTGATCCTTCGCCTCCCTTCAGTGAGCCCTCACCAACGTTCCACTGGACAGCGATGGTCACCCGGGGCTTGGAAGGGGAGCTGCCAAAGTATACACTCGAAGAGAGCGACGAGTGCCCAACTGCGGCCGCGGCGCTCGAGTCACTTCTTCGGCGTACGGCGTTGGAATTGGCTTTGTTCTCCCGGAAAGGGTTGTTCAATGTAGAACGCATTCAGGAGGATGATAGGCACCCAAGAGTTCTTCAAATCCTCAGGTCGGCCAAGAAGGCCCAAGAGACAAGTGAGAAGCCAGAGGAGCCTACGAAGACTGGTCAAAAGACTCCAGGAAGCAGCGCCAAACCCACACGGAAGGCATCAGTGAGGTCTGAACCTGAAGAACGACAGGTGTAACTCGCCAAAGTCACACACGTCGAAGTCGTCGAACCAAGGCTGTGCGGGTTGCTGTCCCCCCCTTAGATCAGGCTGCTGCTTGACTATGCTGCAGTATTGCTCCCGGCAATGCGGTGTCCCTTACTCAGTGGCTCGAAGTGGTTAATAGCTATCTCCTCTATTTAAGGACATTTCTATCATCGCTCCCTCTCTCAGCATCCCCTCGCCTTGTGGGACCATGTGGATCACTGTCACATGGAAACATCTGATTTCGACTGTGCTTACTGCAGGATAGTGATCGAGAGCATGGTGACGATGTTTTCTTGTCAGCATGATCGTGTTGTTCAGTGAGCAAACCCCATCCTGTGGACCTATGTATAGCCCTCCTTGCCTTGGATCTTCCTGCTTTCTCTTAGTACTCTGCACATCACTCGACCAGACAGCACCACATCTTGACCAACGATATGAACTCCGACGTCATCGGCCTGCGCGAGCAGATCATCGGAAGGACATGCCCATAGCCAGCGTACCGCTCCAGTGTTGAGGTCCAGTACTGACATCCACAGTCAATGCTCATATAGCCTTCGCCTCCGGCTACGGCGACCGTGGAGATTCGAAAAAGCTGCAAGACGTCGACGACATCGAATTCGAAGTCGTCGTGTGCAGCGATCCGAAGGCCGAGTCTTTGGCGTTTATCGGCGAAGTATCACTCCACTCCCAGGACGTCCCCAATGAAAGCTGACTCTTGCTGTCAGGTGATCTGGCGCACTCGAGCCGGCTTCTGGGAGCCCTTCATCATTGGAGGGACCGCTCCAGAGCCGCAAGAAGCATTGCAGAAACTGCTGGTGGCGTCGGCGCTGGCGTTGGAAGTCTTCAAAGACCATAGCTACTTCACTCCCAAGGTGGAAGACAAGTTTGAGAAGCTGCCGGGCGGTGGCCGTGTCAACACTCAGCCCAATGAGCTGGAGAGTTGAATTGAGGTTTGAGAGATGGTGACCTCTCCGATGCGAGGGGTCCAGGGCAGTGATTTGCCATTCAACCGGGTCAATGGGTACTGTGTTTGATTTGGAAATGCAACCAAGTTGTCTGCTCCGAACACCATCGTTAGGACCATGCGCGGATGCGACCTTATCCTGGTGATGCACCTGCAGATCGCACTCATCGTTGGCTGCTGCGGATGTAGTTGGCCGCGCTCCCCACCCCACCACTGCTGTCATTAAGAGCCTGCTCATATCTCGCCTTGAGCCCATCGTCGAAAGTCTCTCGTCCAGTCTCCTCCGCATCTTCGTCTTCATCGTCCGGATCCACAAGTCCCGACAACTCATCCTCCTCCTCTTCAGCATCGCTGACCGTCAGCGGCTCCTCCTTTTCCATGCCCTTGCCCTTCGCATACTTTCCCGTCCCCTTCGCTTTCGACGAGACATCCATATCCTGCATCATCCTCCGTACCTCCTTCTGCCGTAACTCCTCCTTTTGCTTCTCTGCCTCCTGCACCCTCCTCTCCAACTCCGGTCTGTACTCCTTTTCGAATTCTGCCCGCTTCTCCTCCACAGCCTCAAAGAAGCCTTCCACACCTTCTCCAGTCATACTGCTCACGCCCACCACACTCAGCGCGTTGTAGAACTCTTCCAACACCAGGCTCATGCTGTTCAACAAGCTCCCCATGTAGCCACTGCTTCCTTCACCACCAGCCATCTCGTTCTCTTCGTCCTTCCGCAAAGCCGCCTGGAAAGACTCGAAGTCCCGCATCCAGTCTACTGCTTCGCTCTCATCCTTGACATCTGTTTTGTTGAAAACCAGTATCATGGGCAGTTTGGTCTTGTAGAGGATTGAGATGGCGTACAGCATATTGGACATGAATGTGCTGGTGTTCTCCGTGCTGCGCGGAGTGTCGATGATGTAGGCTAGGACTGTAGGGAATGTCGAGGCGAAAGAGGAGAGGAGGATGGAGCCCGAAGCAGACCAAACAAAGACTTCGATTTGGCCGGGTGTATCGACGAGGATGTAGGGCGGTATTGTAGCTTGAGAAGAGGCCGCGGGCTGCTCTTTGGGCAGACATCGCTTCTCAAGTATCCCAAGCACTTGATCGATCTTGGTGCTGAAGAGGTTGAGGCTGGTGAGGATGCCGCCGTTGGGGCCGAGGTTGTACTGTTTCATGACCTCCTTGTAGTTGACGCTGTCGCGGATGTCGATGTTGCTGTCGAAGGGTACGCTGCGAACTGCCGGGTCGAGATTTAGGACGTAGGGTGGTGCTGTGTTGGAGGGAGAGGACTGGTGCTTGGTGTGGAGATGGGCGTTGATCCTTTGCATGAAAGTCGTCTTGCCTGAACCGGCCATGCCTACGCAGACAATAGCGACAGGCGGCTTTTGGGTGGGGGAGGTCGCCATGGTGGTGGGTTGGGAGATGCGCGCGACTCTTAATCGGTCTGTGTGGTTAGGCGCGGACCTCTGGAACGCGGCGAGTGTTATTGTGCATCCAGTCAAGCTTGTATGCGCGCGGTGTGTAGAGCTTGTATAGGTCCGTGTGTTTCAAGAGGTTTGAAGATTCAGAAGTGACGTCGAATTCAAGAAAGCTCGGACCACTTACATGTGAAATTGTTAAAGCTCGAGCTCTTGCGATGACTTGACTCGCGATGACTTGACTCGCCGACATATAACTTCTCAATATGGGCCTCTCCGATTTCGAGCGCGAGCTTGCTGAAGAGAAGAGCGAATCTACGAAGCACAGGAGCCGGAGCGAAAAGGACGGCGGCAGAGAACGAAAGCATCGACATCATCACCGGTCACACAAGCACCGCGAGGACGACAAAGACCACGACGAGGAGCGAAGGCGTCGACATAAGCGAGACCGTGACCATGGAGAAAGTGAAGATGGTGAGCGCCGACGCTACCACAAGCGCCGGCGCAGCACCCCACCCGAGCCGAGCAAGCAGGAAGACGTGAAGGTCTTCGACAGTGATGGAGAGGACGAGTGGGTGGAGAAGGAGGCTGTGACCGCACCGCCTGAAGAGGATGTGCTTGACGAGCGAGGAAGTAATCTTCAGCAGGAAAAAGTCCAGAGAGATGCTTGGATGCAAGAGCCGAGTGGCCTGGACATTGAGTATACGCAGAGCAGGAAGCACAAAGCGCCGCAGAGCCAATTCGTTGGCGCGAAAGAGGATCATGGGTTTAAGATGCAGACGAGTGAGGTTAATCAGCATTTGAGGGATCTGGAGAAGGACTTTGACGATGAGGACGACAAGAAGGACGAGGCGGCTGCGGTGGAGAATGAGCCGGCGCAGCACGAGGTCAGCTACACGTTCGGCAATTCAGGAAGTTCCTGGCGCATGAAGAAGCTGCAGGCGATCTACCGTCAGGCGAAAGAGAGCGGGAAGAGCGTGGATGATGTTGCGCTGGAACGATATGGCGATCTTCGTGATTTCGATGATGCGCGGGAGGAGGAGCGAGAGATGGACAGGAGGAAGATGTATGGCAAAGAGTACGTGGGGCTTGAGAAACCTTCTGGCGAACTATTCCAGGAGCGCAAAATGAAGGCTGGGGTGCGGCGCGAGTCTGGCAATGAGGAGAGCAGCCGACAGGATCAAGAACTTCCTCAAGGCGAACGAGTGCCAGACACTTCGTCGCCTCCTGCAAAGACAGCACCGCTCGATTCGACTGCACTCAACAAGCTCAAAGCCCAGCTGATGAAGGCGAAGCTGCGGAAGGACCCTAATACTGCTCAACTCGAGAAGGAGTATAATCTCGCAGAAGCAGCTTCTCTGGCTAACACCAAGCAGAACGACGTAGTCGTGCTAAACAACATGGAGAATCGTGCCCTTGCCTCTGGTCGTGGTGGTGAAGTGACTTCTCGAACCGGCAAACGCGCGCAGGAGCGTGGGCTGGTGACTGAGAACGAGGACATGAGCATTGAAGACATGGTCAAGCAAGAACGTCGGAGTGCACGCGGTGCTGGAGGTGGCGGCTCAGGACGAGAGTTCGCGGAGCGTATTGCGAAGGACGGCAAATTTACCAACAACCTCGACTACATGGACGACAATGCCACCAACCTCAGCAAGAACGTCATCAAATCCGACTCGCAGCTTCGCAACACCGCCATTGAGGACTTCCAGCGCATGCAGCGCACTCTTGATAGCTGCCCTCTCTGCCACCATGAAGACAAACCGGACCCGTTGCCGACTGCACCGCTCGTGAGCCTTGCAACCCGCACGTTTCTTACGCTCCCCACGGAGCCGGAGCTCGCGAAACTCGGCGCCGTCATCGTGCCCATCCAGCACCGTCTCAATCTTCTCGAATGCGACGACGACGAATGGGAAGAAATCCGCAACTTCATGAAATCCCTCACCCGCCTCTACGACGCCCACGACCGCGGCGTCCTCTTCTACGAAAACGCCGCCCACACTTCCTCCCGCAAAGGCCACGCCGCGCTCAACGCCATCCCGCTCCCCCACCACCTCGCCGAGACCGCGCCCATGTACTTCAAGGAGGCCATCCTCGCGCAGGCAGAGCAGTGGTCACAGCATAAACCTATCATCGACACTCTCGCACTAAGCCAGAAACCCGGCTACGGACGGCAGGCTTTCCGGAAGGCGATGGTGAAGGAGATGCCGTATTTTCATGTCTTTTTCTCGGTGGATGGAGGTTTGGGGCATGTGGTGGAGGATGAGCGGAAGTGGCCGAAGGGGGATCTGTTTGCGAGGGAGGTTATTGGAGGGATGTTGGACAAGGGAGTGGAGGTTGTGAAGAAGCAGGGACGTTGGGAGAGGGGGGATAGGAGGGTGGAGGGTTTTAGGAAGACATGGGGGAAGTGGGATTGGACGAAGGTGTTGATGGAGGGGTAGGGAGTGGGTTGTTTTTACTTGGTCGAGTATTGTGGAAGGGACAGCAGGCCGGCTCTAATGCGGGTTCTGGGCAGGTGCGTGGCCATGGCATCTTGCAACACCTCCAAATTCTGTTAGAGGTGGTCAGCCACATACCGATCGACATCAGCTACCAGGAATCATTCAATCACTACAGCATCAACTATCGACATAAGATCACCACAAGATCACGAGACCGCGGTCGTTCGGCCACCACGTCATCAACCTACTGGCCCAGCACAGGCCTCAGCACCACCATCAAGCACAATGCCACCACCAACGACCGAGGAGTTCCTCGCGGTCGCCCATGCCGAGAACTTCGACATGGGTGTTGAATCGTGGCGCCGCGCTCGTCGGCACGCTGATCTGCGTTGGCTCAGCGAGGGACTAGAGCAATTGGTGAGATCCCAAAGTCCAGCTATGGATCCATGCGGAATATGTGTTGATGCACAAATCACCTGCAGGCGCAGCATCGAATCACGCAGTACATCTTGATACTGCAGTCCATTCAGTCCATTCGTCGACAACGTTTCCTCGCGCTGCGAGCAGGTGATCTGGAGGAGGCCGCCAGACTCGGTGCATTGCTGGACTTTACCCCACACGCAACTTTGGTCGAAATCTCCACTTATTTGATCGAGATCCAGTGGAGGGCGAGGCTGGCTGCGGACGTGGTGGCGGGGTTCGATGGTGAGAGACTGGCTGCTGAAAGGGAGCAAGCTGCGGCCGTTGCAAGATGGGCAAGATGGAGGGATCGCATGCTTACGCGAGTAGAGCATGAGAGGCAGAACGATCAGGCCGCTGGTGGGCAAAACCAAGCTCCTGGTGGGCAACGCAGTCTTGGGAGTCCGTTCCAACCCTCCGTCCCACGCCGGCGGCTCTCGGATGACTCGTGACCAGACCCAGGATCAGTGAGGGCCCATCGTTGTGCTTTCGAGGGGGGAGAACAGGAGAACATTCATGTAGTAATACTGCTAAGGACATTATGCCATACTGCCTCAACGCCGTGTTGTCAAAGATTGCTTTTGTAAATGTCTTTGCTTGTCGAATGTTGTTGCGTAGGTATTAAAGGCAAGATGTTTGCCTAGCGACGTCACGTGAACCGCGAAGCAGACGCGGTCGTGGGGCAATTTCAGGCGCGTCCCAAGCCAAACGGATGAGACTCGCAACAAGTCCATCTTGTCTGGAACAACAACACGCCTTCACGATGGAGGAAGACGGTCGCGGACCGTTGTTCGAAGGCGTGGCACACACCATCCTACCCAGCGACGAAATCGATTCGGATAAGACCCAGGCGGTAAGTTGCCGTGCCATGATAGACACTCTTCCACTTGCTAATTATACCACCATCACTTGTAGCTCATCGAAGCTCTCCACACCAATGGCGGCCGCTACCTGCCTGTCCGTTCTGGCGATCAGCGAATCATGAACCTTGACGACCTCACGCATATCATTTCTACGACCATCGACTTCCCGGAGTACACTGCAGCGCTCGAGCACGGTATCAGCGTGGTAAAGCCCTCATGGGTAACTGCCAGCGTACAGAAGAGGAAGCAAGCGCAGCCGCGCCAACATAGCCCAGATCCGAGCCAGTACTTTCAACATGTCGTCCTCACTTGCGCGTCACTGCCCGAAGGCGACCAGGATGCGATCATTGCGGGCGTCATCGCGCTGGGAGGGCAGTACAGCAGTCCACTAAGCAAGCTGGTCACACACATTGTTACGGAAGATATGGAACACCCAAAATGTCACATCGCGCAAGACAGAGACCTGCCGTGTAAGATCGTGTTGCCGCACTGGTTCGATGACTGCTTGAAGCTGGGCAGGTTGATCAGTGAGCGGCCATATCTGCACCCTGATCCGGAGTACCTGCGCAAAGACAATACAACCAAGGTGCGCGATTCCAATACTGGAACACTGGATGGCGCGACCGTGGCCAGTCCACCTAGTGGCACGCCGCTGTACTCCCCACCTTGCTCGCCATCAGAGTCACGAAAGAATCTCAACGCGCTGGTAAGCAGGAAGGTCAAGCTCGGAGAGGACTTGCAGCTCAGTTCTCGACTTCGCGTGACTCTGGAAGACCTCATCAACCACGCAGGCGCGTCGACAACCGACGATGTGGAAGAAGCGCATGTCTATGTCGGCAACTACCGAGATGGTGAGGACTACGTGAAAGCCTCGCGTGCTGGCCTAGAGGTTGGCAACCTGTCCTGGCTGTACCACGTCATCAACCGCAACAAATACGCATCACCGCAGGCCAAGCTGCTGCACTACCCAATCCCTCGCAATGGCCTGCCAGGGTTCGCAGACATGCGTATCAGTATCTCCAACTACACGGGCGACGCACGCATTTACCTCGAGAATCTCATCCGATACACTGGAGCAGAGTTTACGAAGACGATGAAGCAAGACAATACCCACTTGATCACCGCTCACACCAATAGTGAGAAGTGCGAAGCGGCGCAAGAATGGCAAATTAACATCGTCAACCACATTTGGCTGGAAGAGAGCTTTGCCAAATGTGCTGTCCAGCCTCTGACCAACCCCAGGTACACCCACTTCCCAGCAAGGACAAACCTGGGCGAGGTTGCCGGTCAGACAAGGTTTGACATGAAAAAGGTCGAGCAGATGTTCTTCGCGAAGCCACGAGAATCGCCACAGAAGGCTGTGCGGTCGCCAGACGCTACTGCGAAGTCGAGCAAGCCCGCATCGTCAGTTGGTGCCGTGCTTGCAGGGTCCAAGAATAACAGGACAGACATGCCATCACCCGCTCAGGTTGCCAATGACACCGGCTTCGATGAGCCTTCCACAATCAAGAAAGGCCCAGGAAGGCCTCGTAAGTCAGTCTCGACCCCTCGTTTTCGGGAGGATGAGAAGGAGAACGAGTCACCTCTGCCAAGCACCGGTCGCGCTTCCAAGATCAAGGCTAGTGAAGCAATCCACGGACACGCCGATGACATCGCACTGTTCCAGAAGGAGATGAAGCGGAAGGGTGGTGTTACGCACGGCACAGGGCGGCGGCCAAGCCAGACAGACCTCGTCTCGTCACCCATCCCGGCGCCGAAGCCACGCAAGAAACGTACGTCCGACGAAGCCACCTACGACGCAACTAAGCTGGGCAGCGATCTCAGTGATGGCGAGACTCAAGCTCAAGACCTGAACACCAAGGCCGCGAAGAAGGCTAAGCTTACCGCTCCTGCAGAACTGCCGCCGGTGCGCTACAGGATGATGGTGACTGGTGATGAGCGCTGGATGAGCAGCAAGAGGCAGGAGGACGCCGACCGTCGTTCGCTCCGTCAATTGGGCGTGCTCGTTACGATCGATCCAAGGGATGTCCAGATCCTGGTCGCACCACAGATCAAGCGGACGCGCAAATTCGTCTCTGCTCTCGCCTGCGCTCCTACAGTGGTGAACACATCCTACCTCGACCACGCCTTGAACGAGAACGGGTTGATAGAAGACCCCGAGCTCCTCCAAGACGACGAGAATGAAGAGCGCTTCGGCTTCACGCTCGCTGACGCCCTCGAGCGCGCAAAGATCAACAATCGCAAACTCTTCCACGGCTGGACCATCTACGTCACCCGCGATGTTCCTGGCGGTTTCGACACGTACAAAGACATCGTCGAGCTGAACGGCGGCAGCGCGGTAGTCTACGGTGGCCGGAAAGGTCTTGAGCTCGCGAAGCGCGCACAAGACGACTCTGACGCTGGACCGGAAGTAAAGCACCAAGGCGGCAAGGAGGAATTTGGATGCGTGTATCTGGTCGCTGGTGAGTCGGCAGCGGAAAAGCATCTGTCGAAGCTTTTCAGAGAGTTGGCGGCGAACCAGGGACTGGAGGCGAGGGTGGTGAAGCATGACTGGTTGTTGAATACGGCGATGAGTCAGGAGGTGGTTTGGGATGAGGAGAGGTATGCTCTGAAAGATTGAATGTGTGGCATGAAGGAAAGACGGACTGCTTGGTGAGGTTCATGAGTATGCGGTTTGATGTCACTTTAGCATGGCGCTGGTTGGTATGTTTGGCTTTGCTACACGTAATGATCGATATCTTCAATGACATTGGTTTCACAAAGCCTCTTAGTCCGCTCATCCCGCTGCATCACAACTCTGCATGCTATAACTCCATCGCGTCGCTCTTCGTTGTGCCGGACAAGGGCCGGCAACGTCGACTCGCGGGCCCCTGCCTCTGCAGTTCCAACAACAATGTCTATCTTCACCTCTTTTCCATCCCAATAGATCAGTGCCACGAGAAATGCCCCAGAAGGTACTGCCTAGATGGCTCAGCTATTTCGTCCTTCATCTCGATCACTCCGGCCTCACGGAAGCGGTCGCAATGAGCTTCATGTTTTCTATGTTGTTCGCTGCTTTGCGGAAGTACGCCATCCTTGTCCAGTACTCCTCGCCGACCTCTCTCTTGAGGTTCTCAGGCTGGAGACCCCGAAATGGGGAGACCTTATAGGCCGGTCTGCACAATCTCGAGAAATGCCTCCAGTCGATGCTCATTGTTGACATGGCCACCGCCAAGGTCAATGTCGCAACCGTCTTGGGTGTCATCCAGAGATTTCCGCTTGGTGTCGACGTACTAATCGACAAGCTGGATGGGGTAGATCGTACGGGCTCGATGGGAAGTTCCGTACACCACGATCTTGCTGTTGGCACGGAGGGCTTCCCTGAGAACCGCGTTCCTCCAGAAGTCGCTGAACTCTCCTCCGTTGTTCAAGAGGGTGTTGGCAGCTGACGAGGTGGTTTATGCGACTCGAAATGACTAAGAGGAGTTCCTCTTTCAGAAGAACTTGACACCCTCACCCTCCGCCTGCCCAAACACCTGTGCCTTCCCACGCTTCACCAAAACACCCAAGACCTTCCTAAGCATACCCTCTTCCATTCCTCTCCACTCCCTCTTGCCTTCTCCCTCCCGAATCTCATACACCGTCAACACGCTGTTCCTTTGCCCCGTATCCTCTACCCATCCGTAGATCGCATCTGCCCACTCCGCTGGCGTGCGCCACCACACGTAGCAACTCTCACTCTGCACTGCCCCTTTCGTAGTGAGCCATTCAATTCTTCCGCCGTTCTCAGGCTTTGACATGTGATCCAGGACTGCGCGGATGTCGGATGGTTTTAAGCTGCGGGTTGAGGATGGATTTGTGAAGAGAGATGCCGGTGGCGTGGAGAGTGAGAGCTTGTAGATGTGGTGGTGAAAGCAGTAGGATGTGATGAGCGAGGTCCATAGATCGAGTTGGCGTGTCCGGGTTTGGTGATTGGGTTGAAGGGTGTAGAATGGAGGGAAGGTTGTGTATGGCGGTAGTTGGAATGTTGAGTCGGAAGATTGTTGGGATGGTGGAGAGGAGACGGACGGGGCGTAGAGAGTCGAGCCTGCGATGGAGGACGCCATTGTGTGGTGTGCTTGTGTTTCGAGATGGAGAGGTGAAGTCGGACGATATTTGATCGGCTTCGATGGATATTGATTGAAGCTGAGTCAGAATTGATGGCCGTCCTACAGCTCTCAGCTTCGCTATACGAACCTCGGCCGCACCTCTCGATGTAGACGGCATGCTTGAGATGATATAATATTGATCTAAGACAAAAGCACAATCGACTCATCTCAATCATGACGGCCTACTTCAACGTCCAGGAGCACCGCATCCCGACGACTCACATTCGCGAGTATCCACGGGCTCTGGCTGATGATCAGGATGATGTTCTCCAACTAGCTGTCAAGCAGTACACGCCGAAAGAGAGTAAAGGTATCTCGCAGCAAGCTGTGACTTGCATAGGAGCGCATGCCAACGGCTTCCCTAAAGTGCTACCACCCGTCTTACGATAACAGAGCACTTGCTAATATTCCCCAGGAGTTGTACGAGCCATTGTGGGATGAGCTATACTCGCGGCTCAGAGAGACGAACATATACATCAGCAGTATATGGATCGCTGATGTAGCACACCAGGGTACTTCTGGTGTGCTGAACGAAGAGAAACTGGGCAATGACCGTAGGTGCTATCTTGACCCGTCACCAACCTGCATCAAAACTGAATGTCTCGCAGCATCATGGGCCGATCATCCCAGAGATCTGTTCTTGATGATCAACCATTTTCGCAAGCACATGCAGCGACCATTGATCGGCATCGGGCACTCGATGGGTGGTTGCAACCTGGTCAACTTGTCTCTGATGCACCCTCGCCTTTTCACTACCCTCATCCTGATAGATCCGGTCATTCAGCGCTTGCCGTCTGCGGAGGGCAACCTGGGTCCCGCCAGTGCCTCAATACGAAGACGAGAGGTTTGGCCGAGCCGAGCAGCCGCAGCTGAGAAGCTGAGATCATCGCCCTTCTACCAGAAATGGGACTCGAGAGTGCTGGATAGATGGATCCAGTACGGACTTCGGGATACGCCGACTTATATACATCCTAACGCAGCATCTTCCCGGACAGCAACACCGATCATCAGCGCGGATCCGATTGCATCCACGATTGAAAGCGACAGGGAGGTCACGCTCACGACAACGAAGCACCAAGAAGTGATGACCTTTCTACGGCCAAACCTCCCAACGAAGGACTACCCACACCCTGAGAAGGACCCCAATCCCCTCACCCACCCGGACATTGACCCCTCAGCATCACCCAACTCACCATTCTACAATCCGGTACCCATCGCCACATTCCACAAACTCCCCTTCGTCAGACCAAGCGTCTTCTACATTTTCGGCGATCCAGCAGCGGGTGCCTTCTTGTCAGCTCCCGTTATGAAAGCGGACAAGCTCGCGCACACCGGCACAGGTGTCGGAGGCTCGGGCGGGGTGAAGAAACTTCGAGTCAGTTCGGTCACGTTTGATGGAGTGGGCCATTTGATCCCCATGGAGATTGTTGGGAGGACGGCGGATGCGTGTACGAATTGGCTTGTACCTGAGCTGCAGCGGTGGCGGAATAACGAGGAGAGGGCGAGGAAGGAGTGGGCTGCTGTGCCGAAGAGGCAGAAGGCTATGTTGAGTGAGGAGTATGTTAAAGCGATGACTGGTGACCTAAAAGGGAAGGCGGGAGGAAGGTCAAGGCTGTGAAATCTTGGATGGTTTTATACAATGCCACAGACGCTCTCGGCTGCGGCGTGGAGTCTAGGCAGTTCGGTGCTATCTTCCTGACTTGCTGCACAAGCATACTCCGTAACTCGGTGCGTGTGGCCTGCGCGGGGGCTGGGATCCTTGTAGCACGCCGGGGATTTGGTGACTCGTGCTGCAGCGCTTCAAGTGAGAGTCTTATAGTTGTGTGAGAAGGTTCTAGCGTTCATTCTTGAGCCGCTGCCGAAAGATGCTGCCAGTGGTTCTGAGCGAGCGGTTGAGTATACGAGCTGGCTCGAGCTGGCTTAGATCGTCACCGTGGTCGTAGAGCTGGAAGCTGAGATCACAAATCCTGGCATTTGGCACGCATTGGAAGCCTTGCATGCTGCGCCAGTAACCGGCAGTTGCTGGATCGTAGAAGCTGGTGCCGGTTCCGAGGGACGATTCTCGCCGACAAGAGCTCCGGAGTTGCCATTGTCACCAGCGTTGCAGCAGCATGTGCTTCCTTTGCCTATGGGCTGCCATTCAAGGTCGCCCCAGCTGCAGAGTGAGCGCCGTCGTACCACGATGATGGTTGAGCCGCACGCTACTGCCCTCGAGCGCACTTCTTCATGACTTAGATGTGAACAAGCAGCGTTTGCTTGTGACGCCGACATCTACGGACCCACGGCGAAAGCATGCTGATGACTGTGCTTACTGTGGCAATTCAGTTGAAATGCTGGTCGCTCCCAGCCAGTGGATAATAGCCGCCTCCAAACTCCAAGCTGGCTTCGCTGAACGAGTCTTCTCTGACAAGCTGCCAAGGACTTAACCACCCGCTCTCGTATATCTTGATCTCGACAGTGGCTTGAAAACTTTGGTTCAAGTAATTCTCCCGGTGGCCGTCGTCGAATGGTGGGCTGAGTGGGAAGAATGTGCCTTTCGGTGCAACAGCCTTCACCACGATCTTCTGCCGGAAGCTCTGAATGCTGAGCTCGAACGCTCTGTTCTCCCAGTCGGTGGTATACGACATGAAAGGGCTGAGACCAGCGATACGTGTAGCGAATGGTGGTCGAAAGTCGAAGTTTAGATCTTTGCTACGGTAGCCAAGTAGGAATGCTTCCATGCCCAGGATCTGACCACCCGCACAGCAGAAGCCTCTGCCCCCATCCCGGCATTGGACCCACATGTGCGCAGAAGGAAAGGAGAATGCATAGTTCTTCTCCTCGTGTACAATGGCTTCGCCAGACACATCTTCTGGTGGAAGCTTGTAGTCGCGTATCTGCAGATCAAATTTGCATTGAGAGCCCAGCGATTGTACGTGCCAGTGTAACGGCAGCGGCAAGTACACCAAGGGTCCTTCGGGCGTGTTCGCGGTGTCAGACCAAGGAACCCTGGAGGTCGTGGTGGCGTGGAGCGAGAAAAGCTCATGATCGAGTTGGAACTCAGTCGTCGAGTCTTCGAGCCATTTCACGTGTCCTATGCCTGGTGCATCAAGGATGAAGGCGTCACCCTTGGGTCCAAGCCGCCGCATGTCCAGGGTTTCAGGGAACAGCTCTTTGTGGTAGATCTTCGAAGCATCTTGAGGTACATAGACGCATGAGATCTCATTGGGTCTCTTGTTCACCCCTCTGACTTCGGAGATGATGATGAGCAAGTGAGCCCCTGACGGCAGCTTGAATTTGTTGTAGTATCCTTCAAAGACAGCTTTCGGGTGAGGTGCGTGGTGCTCCATGGTAACTGGGCGTTTCGCTTGCTCGGATAGAATGTACTGCCAGACCGAGCTGCTAGGATACTGGTTGTCAGTTGGCAGTCAATGTGCAGTGACACAGTCATGCCTTTTGAAAATTCCGTTGGTGTCGTGGCTTCCAGGCTCTGAACCATGATGCTTGCATTCACCCAGCACGGGCCATACGTTCCACCAGCTTTCCAGGCACTGATTGCTTTCTAAGAACACCCATCATGTCGGCTACAAATGTCTGTGAATACCATGGCGCATTGGTTCATCGTGCAGATTTTTGCAGCCATCCTCACTCACAAAGCGGCACACGGTATGCAGGAACCTGGCCGCTTACTCAAGACCCAACACGAACCCCTCGCTGCACACGGTTTTATGGCATGGCACAAAGAGGGCTTATTAATACCGGATGATCTGACATCGAATATCGGGCGCAGGCCTGGGATTGAAGAGTATTGACAGAGCAGGCAGCAGAGGTATACGTTATTACGCAGTCGGTGCGTTTTCTTGCACTCCTCCAGGCTCGACACATGCCGCCGCTTTCTCTGGTCCCGTGCGTCCATCTTCTGAGCGGAGAACAAGTACGGAGATAATTATGAGCATGGCACCCCCACGGGGCCACTCCGCAGGCCAAGGTCACGGCGCGTGTCCTGAGCCTCATCAACGCGCTTGCCCATTGGACTGAAACCGCCGACGTACCTTGGCTGATGACAGTGGTCTCGAAAGCTCCTTGGATCAGCGGCGTTGTCTTGCACGGCCATGGGATTACTGCTCCAGAGCGGAGCACCGAGGGAAATCATAAGTATACATCTTGCTTTCCTATACATCTCTTCTTGTAGCTTCATTCTCGCATGCAAGATACTTCTGTCATCACAGTGCCAGTCGGAACCACTGAGCCTTGGAGAAGATGCGGTCCTGCTACGGTCGAGGTGCTCCACTGAGGGCTGCGGTGTACGCTGCGTGTTTATCAGCGTTCGTATTCTTCGGTTATGACCAGGGCGTGCTATCAGGCCTGTTGGAGAACGAATATTTCCAGCGACAGTTCGGCAATCCGGTGAGCAATACTTGAAGTTGCAGTTCACAGTTTGTCACGCTCCGCCAACGGCGGATCAGAGGCCAGCGGTCATAGGCATCACAGTTGCCAGCTACTGTAAGTATACCTTACTCTGTCCCAAGCGATCAGTACAGCCTGGCTGATTTGGACTGCTCTCGTTAGGTCTCGGCTCATTGATCGGCTGCGTGATCAACTTCTTCATTGGCGACATCGTTGGTCGCCGGCGTATGATATGGCTTGCAATGGGTTTGATCATAGTCGGCGCTACCCTACAGACATCGGCATTTTCTCTTGCGCACTTGATAAGTGGTCGCATCATCACAGGATTCGGGACCGGCATCGATAGGTATGGCATCCATGAGACTATGGAGGAATCTACTGACCTTTGCTTCTCCCTGCAGCTCCACCGTCCCTATGTACCAAAGCGAGCTGTCCAGGAAGGAGTGGCGAGGGAGGATCGTCTCTTGGGAGATCTGGTTCATTGGTAGACGCGAGATCCAGATCCAGACACATTTTTGCACTTGCTGACCTTGAGCCAGGCGTCGGGATGTCACCGCCTGTCCGTGTAGCCCTCTCTGCGCCGGACGATCAAATGCTGACTTTCATTGCAGACTGGATCGACTATGGGTTCTCATACGTTCAGAGCGATGTGTCCTGGCGCACTCCAATCGGTCTGCAGCTGATCTTCGCCATCACCGTCACGTTCATTGTCTGGGGCCTGCTAGAGTCTCCACGTTGGTCAGTGCTTCGAATTCGCTGTCTGTGTTGTCTCTGAGAGCCTCTCCGAAGCTAACATTCCGTCCGGCATCGCAGGCTCTACAAGCGTGGAAGGAAAGAAGAGACAATTGAGGTCCTTTGCGCCGTTCATGACCTACCACCGGACGACGAATACATTGTCTCCGAGATGGAAGCAATTCGGGTGGCAGTCGAGCTCGAACAGGCCGAAGGCTCACAAAAGGTCATGGCGGTCTTCAAGAACGATAACTTGCAGACTGGAAGACGAGTCTTGCTTGCATGGTTTGGTCTTTTCATGAATCAGATGCCTGGGATCAACTTGGTGTCAGTGCTGTCCTCCCCTTGGCGAAGAGCACGCTGACGGAACAATCTAATGCAGCGTCTACTACATGCCAACAGTCCTCGTTTCCAACGTCGACGTCGAACCAAATACGGCGCTTTTGATTGCTGGATTCGTGCAGCTCATGTTCGTTGTAGGCAACACTCTTCCCGCATTAGCCCTGGACCGCATGGGACGCAAATGGACAATGATTTGGGGTTGCGCTGCGCTATGCATTTGCATGATGATGATCGCAATCCTGCTCTCCTTCGGTGGAGAGAGCACTTCTTCGGCATCGATTGCTTTCTTCTTCTTGTACATGCTGATCTTTGAAGGGACAATCAATGTCGTGCCTTGGGTGAGTGGAGCCACAGTCACATAAGCCCATTCTCTGGCGATCCGTCGCTGACTCTGACTTCGCGCCAGGTCTATGGACCGGAGATCTTGCCATTGGAAGCAAGGACAAGAGGCACATCCATTTCTGTATCCGCACATTGGTTGTGGAGTGAGACTTGCGGAACAATTGTCGAATGACAAGTGCTAACGGGGCATAGATTTCTTCATCGTGATGATTTCGCCAGTCCTCATTGACGGCATTGGCTGGCAAACCTATCTGATCTTCATGTGCTTGCTGGTGAGTGACTGTAATCCAACGACGCGATGACTTCTGCTAATGCATCAACAGGCCTCGTTCTGCCCGATCATCTACTTCTATTACCCGGAAACGTCGAACCTTGGTCTTGAGGAGATCGATCAGATCTTCCTGCCCGAGTCGATGGGCGGGCTCAACGGCAACGCAAGGATTCGCTTTACCCCCGAAATGGCCGCCCTTAGACATCACTCCGTTGTCGAGAAAGATGGCGAGGGAGTGCAAGGCGCCAAGACCGTCGAAAAGGTCTAAATACGCCACCTCGAGAACAATACATGCGGGAAGACGATAAGCAACTGTGCACAGCAACGACTACTCTACTACGGTCTACAGCTCTTAACTTTCGCTACAAGTCGTGGGTACTGATAAATCAGCATTTTGCAAAATGCAGCTGCAAGTCGAAGACGACTCGCGGCCTTGAAGTCTTACTCTACGTCGCTCTTCTGACCATACACTGTTCACGCTTGCTTTAAGAACTCGAGGACTCAAAAGGTTTCGTGTCGTTTCGATCGACCCTTCGCCTAAGCACTAACACACCCCACGTGTCTGCGATCCCCGGGCATTGTTATGCATCTAAACCCATACCACCAATGGGGATGCCTCATACATGTTATCTCCGCAGCGCATGACGGCTGTTTGACCGCGAAGTCAGCTTCTGCGAACTGCTCCCTTGTCTACAGGCGCTGCTAGTACGATGCATCGACCCTTGGCGTGAGGAGATTGCACCAAGGTGAAGGCACAAGAGTGAAGACACCATGCCACGGCAAGGCGCCGTTGCCTTCGCCCTCGCCCTCAGTGAGCTATCATCGTGGACGGTCAGTCAGTAGGGTGGGACCAAGAGCATCAAGGCTACGACCCAATCAACGAATAAACAACAGCAATGCCATATCAATGATACACTAGACCTATAGCATACCAGTACACCCATCTTAGAACTCGCAACACATACGCCAAAGATCCCACACCTCCAATGCATTTCTTGTGAAGCTAGGTATCATACCCTCTCCATCGCAAGCCTTTCCAAACAAAGTCTCAAAAAGTCGTAGCGAGCCGGCGCCAGGCCAGTCTCGCATGCCCGCATCAGCGGCTGGAGACGCTCAGCGCCGCCTGAACATACACAGCAACCCGCTCTTGCCCAGGAACCAGATGCAGCCAAAGAAGCGAATCATCGACAACGCCGCCGTAGCCAACAGCAGCGCGTGGAAGAAGTTCGCCGTCCGTGTCGTCGCACCGCTGGTGACACCAAACTCGTTCGTGTCGTCCGAGGTGATACCGATCGCCAGCAGGGCGTTGGAGAATATCCAGAACGTGACGAGCTTGGTGCGGAAAGACTTGTACGAGTCCTCGAGCGTCTTCTTCGTCTCCTCCTTGGGCGCGACGTACGGAGTAAGGGCGCGCTTGACGGTCTGTTCGAACTGCGAGTCGATGTCTGCCTGTGCGAGGTCGACTTCTTCGATAACGTTGGATTTGCCGTCCTTTCCTTTCTGGGTCGAAGCGGAGGGCAGGGCGTCGGCTTTGTCGGAACCTTTGGTACCCCATGAAACGTCGTGCCAGTTGCTGAAGGCGTAGACCATGAGGATGTTAATATAGGACGACATAAGGAGGAGGTATTGGCCGAAGGAAGTGAACATGTGCCACGGGTCGAGGTAGAGGAAGGAGGCGACGTAGTAGAGGCCGAACGTCGCAGCCAGAGCCACCAGGATGATACTCGTGCCGCCGGAGGAGAAGAAGGACTCGGCGATTTCGTCTGCGTCTTTACCAGCGAAGCCTAGACCGTTGGAGAAGGCATTGACGACCAGGTAGACAGAGTCAATGATGACGTATGTCTGAACCAGGGCGAAGAATACGAAAGAGACGATGTAGCTCCATCTGCTACCCTTGGGTCGGTTACCGAGTGCCAGGATGAATTGTAGCAGAACGAAAGCGAGGTAGAGATACTCGATGACGGTGTTGACGATGGGTGTTGCAGTGTTGCCGAAGGGCCAGCAATTCATGTTGTTGGTCGAAGATGGCACACCACCGACCAAATCGAGAATGACTTTTGTAGTCAGCCAGTACGAAGCTGTGTGTGATATTAGCGCTTGTCCTCATGTTCCAACGACCTCTGCTGTACTCACCGAGAGTAAACCATGTCAGGAATGTCGAAAAGGTGTTATACAGGAATTGAATGTGGAAGAAGATCATCCGGATGATGTTGTGGCCTGACCGGTACATGCGCGTGAAGTGCATGAGCGAATAGAGTGTGGCCGCGAAAGATCCGTTCAGCCATCTTCGGCGTTGGCCAATGAACTCTGCAGCGCCTTCAGGCACGTCAGTCTCACCCTTGGCCGCCTTGACGTACGTGAGATGCCACTTGCTGCCGGCTTTGGCAACCAGTTCGAAACACAGAATACGGTCCTCGGCCAAGAACATGTTCTTTTTGAAGATGTTCATCCCCTCAATGCCCTTAGGACCGAGCTGCTTGGCGAGTGTGTGGTCACCGTGGAAGTACTGCTCGAGTGGCCGTCCCATAATGGCGCGGAATCTGTATGCTGAGAAAGCACCTGGAAGCACAGACACGTACCCGAAGGAGGATTCCAGCGGCTTGTCCAGGATGTTGGAGATCTTGTACTCGAAGTTCTGTGCAGCCACAAGCGGATTCAGCAGATTCTTCCAGCCGCGCCCGAGAAGTGCGTGAATTTCACCACAAGCACCACCAAGATCCTTGTCGTTGTAGAAGGCTTCCCACAGAGCGAGAAGGGCCTTGTGGCCTGGCTTCGTTCCCGCATCGAGCAGAATGCAGATCTCTGGGTTCAGAATGCGCCCGAATCCAGTGAACAGCCATCTGTGGGAGTTGATCTTCTTGCTGTTCTTCTGCTTGAGACAGAAAATCATCTGGACAGGAGGCAGAGTCGATGCGCCATCGTCCAGTGGCCGGATGAGCTGCTGGTTTGGCGTCACCGACAGCTGTGTGGTGTACTCAAAGATGTGCGCAACAGTCTCTTTTCCATCAATGTCCCTCTTCATGATACCGTCCTGGTAGATTCCAATGGTTGCAAGCACGTCAAGAGTGCCTTTGTCGCAAGGATCGATACCGTCGAACACCAGACAGACCACAATCTTCTGCCACGCTGGACCACCCTTGTTCCAGAACTCTGTTCGCTTGATGTTCACGATTTCGCGGATGTTCTGCATCACACCGTGCAAGGTACGGGCAGTCAGAGTCTTGTCCTCATTGTAGTATGTTATCGCAATGAGCAGCTCAGTGTGCCTGTTGTACATTGCCGGCCGAAGATTGTACCCGTTCTTAAGCGTGAAGTCGTTCGGGTCGCAGGTAGCGGCCGTGTAGCGCAGGTGCGTGAATTCCTCGCTGCCACTCTCCAAATCATTTCTATATTTCGCTTGGACGGCGTTCTGGATGGCTGAAGGCACTGGGTAGTCGGCGCTGAGCACGGCGCCCTGGACCAGCTTGACCTTGCGAGTAGCGCTGCGCTTCATTGCTCCCGCGCTGCCTGGACCCATGTCGGGGTTGGCGCGTTGTCGCCAGGCTTCAGTGCTCGTCTCACTGGGAGCGTACGGGCTGGGGGCACGGTCCTTGTCTCCATAGCCGGCATCGAGTTGAGGACCTCCGTAGCCCTGCTCGTGGTAGCCATTGTATGGTGGCACGTGCCCATTCCCACCAATATACGACTCCTCAAGGCTGTAGCCGGTCGTATCGTGAGCGCCCGGAGTGCCCATTTGGTTGTGCGGATCTTCGAATGGGCCCTGATACTGGCCGGTCGGGTTGGTGTGCAGAAGCGCGTGCTCCTGATCATCGTCGCTGTCATGCCGCCTCAACGGGTAGCCGTGCTGCAAGTGAACATCAGCATACCACCATCTCCCGCGCACGGTGGCCGTGAGCGTGGTCGCCTACTTACACTTGGGTCGCCGGCATACCCTCCACCACCTTGGTATGCCATGATTCACGTGCTTCTTCCCAACAAAATGAGTGTCAAAATGCGGCTCACGGCGTGCGGAGCGCCTGCTTGTACTGCGGTCTTCGAGAAGGTGATGGTAGGAAAGCAGGTTCGCGACAAAGGAATCTCAGGGAGCGATGTCAAGGGAAGTGTCTTCAAACAATGAAGTACTCCACCCCCAGGGTCCGTCTCCTCGTCTCAGCCAAGGACGGCCCCAGCCGCAATGCGCCACCGTTCGGGGGCAACTTCTCGGAACAACGTCGCCTGTCAAAATTTGAAGGTTCACATGAAAGCGACTACACGTACATACTTCATCTTCGCACAATAACATGACTCTCCGAAGGGAACTCACGACCCTGGAATCGAGAAGTCCCTTATCGATCTATAGACTAGCTTCCAGAAGCATGCAGGCCTCCTCAGAAAGCGCCAACGCTGCATACGAGTCCATTTTTAGCAGACGCGGTGCTCCCAGCAGAGCCTCGTGTTCCTTGCCACCGCGGTACTACCGGTTACCCGTCTTGACCACGCGACAAATATCACCGTACTCGTGGACTACACGTCTCGAACGCGCCGGTGACATATTAACGGGTCCTCAAGTGTCAAACAACTGCGCAACAAGGCTGATCACCCCGAGATCCTCTTGAAGGCTGAACAAGTCCTTCCCTCGAAATCGTCCCCAGCCCTACGCCGCCCTATGGTGGGCGATCGTAAGGATTCACTTCGGCCGCCGAATAGTATTGCGAGATATTCATCTGCTCTTCCCACTCCCCGTCCACAGCCTCGACAACACACCAGGTTTTGCAGCAGCCATATCCTTCTCTTCTTCCTTGTCATGCACCATCTCATCCCCAATCTCCATCATCTTCTGCTCCAATAGCTTTGTCATCCTCTCGCGCACTTCCCCATACTTCTCTTCGCTCCATACGTTGAACAGCTCCAGCGGATCTTCTTCGCAGTCGAAAAGCTCCCACTCCTTGTGATCGCCGTCTGCCGGCCTCGCGCCTTCGGCATCGAGCGGTTCGTTGTACCAGTAAATCAACTTGTAGCGCTGGTCTCGACATCCGTAGTGGGCGTACGCGAAGTGCGTGATGTCGTTGTGCATCCAGTAGCGGTGGTAGGCGATCTGCTGCCACTTCTCGACCTTCTCGCCTTGAAGGAGTGGTAGAAATGAAATCCCCTGCATGTAGGATGGTGTCGAAACACCAGTAAGCTCGAGAAAGGTAGGCGCAAAGTCGACATTGCTCACAAGATCATCGTTGACCGTTCCAGCAGGTATCTTCGATGGGAAGCGGGCAAGCAAAGGCATCTGGAAACTCTCCTCGTACATGAACCGCTTGTCGAACCAGCCATGCTCCCCCAGGAAGAAGCCTTGATCCGAGGTATACACCAACAGCGTGTTCTCCTTGAGCTGCGGGTCCTTGTCGAGATAATCAAGCATCCGCCCAACGTTATCATCAATACTCTGAATCGTCCTCAAATACCTCTGCATATACCGCTGATACTTGAACTTCGCCAACTCCTCCTTCGTCTCGAACGTAAACACCGTCCCATCCTCCCGATCCATCAATCTCATCTCCGTCACGTCCTCCGGCGCAGGAACTTTACGATCGTAGACGTTCCAGAGATCCGTCATCTTCTCGCCAACCCTCTTGCCACCGTCCGGCTGCACCAGCCCGAGATCAAAGTACGTCAAGTCCTCTGCCACCCGCATCTTCGCCACTCTTGCAGCGCGAGCGCGGTGCTTGTAGTTGTCTGTGAAGTTCTCGGGGACTTTGATCGGGTCCTTGTATAAGTCGCGATGCTTGTCATCGCATTCCCAGCTCCGATGGGGGGCTTTGTGGTGGCACATCAGGAAGAACGGTTTCTTTTTATCCCTCTCGTCGATCCAGTCTAGACACTTGTCCATGATGATATCAGTCACGTACCCGTCAACCTGCTTCATCCCGTCCTCCTCGATGAAATGCGGATCCCAGTACTCTCCTTGGTCAGGAAGCACGCTCCAGTAATCAAACCCGGATGGTTGATGCGCTTTGCCTTCTCCAAGATGCCATTTCCCGACCATGGCAGTCTGGTACCCACCGCTTCTGAGTTGCTTCGCCAGATTGGGAAGACGATTGTCGAGTTTCGAGTCCAGTGTCCGGACGAGGTTGACGTGGCTATGGGTACCGGTCAAGATGGCAGCTCGGGAGGGTGTGCAGATGCTGTTGTTGACGTAGCAGTGATTGAAGCGCATGCCGTCTTTGGCCAGTCGGTCGAGGTTGGGCGTGTGGTTTATACCGGCACCGTAGCAGGATATGGCTTTGCTGGCATGGTCATCGGCCATGATAAAGATGATATTGGGTCGGGTCGAGGGAGCCATGGCCGGACTATGTCTCTCTAGGCTGCCGGTGGCTGATTGTTCTGTCGTTGATGTACTCTTACGTCCAGAAAGCGTTATCTTGGGGAAGACAGGGAATGGAACAGCAGCTGAATGTTGTACACAGTCGCTGCGTCGGCGATGAGCCGCGGGTGGGAGGTTGTCTGTTTCTGTGATGGGCTCTGGGCAGTTTAGGATCTTGCATGTGGAGCTTGTGATCAATGATGAGAGTTTGAAGACGTCTTCAACGGTGCAAGGACTGGCACAAATGTGGGAGGTGCAAAGCCGGGTTGGAAAGAGCAAGGATATAGAGCTCTTCTAGAGCGCACTTAGTATTCCTATCAAAATTCACAGACTACATGTATGAGTCCGTCAATAACACCCCAGCGCCGCGCTTCATCAGTTGATATGAAAGCCGACACTTTTCGACCCATCCCATTTCCCACCCCATGCATGCTCACGTTGTTGAACGTAGAGCGAGGTATCTCGAAAGCAAAACCCAAACGCCTCATGCAACAGGTTATTGAGAGACGGCGTCTAGAACAGCCCGTCAATCTCGCCCGTCTCTCCATCCACCTCCACGTTCAAATATCCAGGCGCGGTAGGCAGACCGGGAATCGTCTGAATATCTGCTGCCAAAGCGTACAAGTACCCGGCGCCAGCAGCCATCCTGACATCCCGAATGGGCACGGTGAAGCCGGTTGGTGCGCCTTTGAGAGAAGCATCGTGGGAAAGCGAGTATTGGGTCTTCGCGATACAGATTGGCAAGGAGCCAAAGCCTTGCTTCGTGTAGGTGTCGACCTTCTTCTGCGCCGTCTCAGAAAACTCGACTTTGTCGGCGCCGTACATCTTCATCGCAATGGCTTCGATGTTTGCCTGTACGGAGCCCTCGTCGCCGTACAGGAGCTTGAACTCTTCTGGCTTCGATCTCTCCGAAGCAGTGATGACACCCTTCGCGAGATCGACAGCACCCTTGCCGCCTTCGGCGAAATGGTTGGCAGCGATGGCATCTTCGGCACCGGCCTTGAGAGACTCCTCGCGGATGACCTGAACCTCTGCGTCGGTGTCCGTCTCGAAGCGGTTGATAGCTACCACCACGTTGACGCCGAACGACCTAGCGTTCTGAATGTGCTTCGCTAAGTTGACACACCCCTTGCGAAGAGTCTCCACATTCTCTGTGCGGTAGACCTCAGCTAGCTGCTCGCCAGGCTTGATCTCGGGACCGCCGCCGTGCACCTTGAGTGCGCGAACGGTCGCGACAATGACAGCCACGTCTGGCACAAGACCCGAGTTGCGACACTTGATGTTCATGAAGCGCTCGCCACCCATGGTGAAGTCGAAGCCAGCCTCGGTGATGACGAAGCCGACCTTCTCATTACGTTCAGCCTCTTCTTCAGGCTCGGTGCCAGCAAGCTTGAGTGCGACTCTGTCTGCAATGACACTGCTGTTGCCGATCGAGATGTTGGCGAATGGTCCAGCATGTACGAACACTGGAGTACCTTCCAGGGTCTGCATCAGATTTGGCTTGATAGCATCCTTCATCAAGGCGGTAAGAGCTCCTCCAGCGCCGATGTCATCAGCGGTAATGGGGTCACCATCCTTGCTGCTCGCAACCACCATCCTGCCGAGACGGTCACGCATGTCTGCTAGCGATGTCGACAAGGCCAGAACAGCCATGCACTCCGACGCCACAGAGATGTCGAAAGCTGTCTGCCTTGGCTCGACCTTGTTTTCGGTCGGTGCTTGACCGACAGTGATGCCACGGAGATGGCGGTCGTTGACATCCAGCACCCGGCGCCAGGTGATGGTTTCGCGATCAAAGTCCAGTCTTGCGAACCTTCGCTGCTCGTCCTCTGTGAGCTCGTTCGGATCGGTCTTGTCGATTCCGAGCTTCTTGAGGCGCTTGAACATGACAGGCACAAACTCCCGCTTGCCCTTCTTCTCTGGCACCAGACGTCGGAAGAGCGGTCCATCCTTCTGCGTAGCCTCGTGGTACATCCTGGTGTCAATGGCAGCGGCGAGAAGGTTGTTGGCTGCAGTAATGGCATGGATATCGCCCGTCAAATGCAAGTTAAACTCGTCCATGGGAATGACTTGGCTGTAGCCACCACCTGCTGCACCACCCTTGATACCGAACGTTGGACCTTGAGACGGCTGCCGAACGTTGGCAAAGGCAACACGACCAAGCTGTCCGGCCAATGCCTGCGAAAGACCAATAGTAGTAGTGCTCTTGCCCTCGCCGAGTGGTGTTGGCGTGATGCCGGCCACAAGAATGTAGCGACCATTGCGGCGGTGTTGGAGCCTCGTCAGTGTCTCTAGTGACACCTTCGCCTTGTACGCCCCGTAAGGCTCAAGCTCATGAGGCGCGATTCCCACCTCAGCCGCCAACTTGCTGACATGCTTGGGATGCTGAGCCCGAGAGATAGCAATGTCAGATGGAATTGGCGTCTTGAGCTCCAGCGGCAATGGCACGACCTTGCGAGTCTTTTGCCGCTCACGCTCTGCATCTGCGGAATTGACCACATTCTGCATGAGCATTGCCACGGTCATCGGTCCAACGCCTCCAGGCACAGGTGTAATCTGACCTGCAACCTTGACTGCAGCATCGTAGTCCACATCACCAATCAGTCGCTGTCCAGACTTCTTCGACTCGTCCGGAATGAAGTTCGTGCCCACATCGATCACGACAGCACCTTCCTTGATCCAGTCGCCTTTGACAAATTGAGGCTTGCCAATGGCAGCAACGAGGACATCGGCATTCTTGATGACCCCAGGAAGATCCTGTGTCTTGGAATGGCACACCGTAACTGTAGCATCGGCATTCTTCAGCAGGTAGCTGACGGGTGCACCCACGATGTCGCTTCGTCCAAGGACGACAGCATTCTTTCCCTTCAGATCCACACCAGCCTCTTTCAGCAGCACCATGACACCTTGTGGTGTGCATGGCACGAACAACGGCTTGCCACCCTTCTTTGCCAGCTCGCCGATATTGGGCCCTCCAAATCCATCAACGTCTTTCTCATCCGCCACTGCGCTCGTGACTTCGTACTCGTTGATGTGGGATGGCAATGGCAGCTGGACCAGGATGCCGTGGACGCTAGGGTCATTGTTGAAAAGCTCGATCTTGCGTAGGAGTTCATAGTTGTTGATGGATTCGTCGTAATGCTCAAGCTTGCATTCGATGTTCGCCTCCTCGGCCGCCTTGAGCTTCATCTTCACATAGGTGCTGCTGTCGGAACGCCCCCCAACCTGAATGATGACGAGCGAGGGCTTGTAGCGAGGATTCTTCGCTTGCTTCTCAGCAATGTCTTTCGCCAACCTCTCCCTGATAGACTTGGCCGTGGCCGTGCCGTCTATCTTGGTTGCCGTCATGGCTGATGGTGCGACGTGTAAGGAACGACGGCAGAAGTGTGGATGAGGTCGAAGAAAGGCAGAAATTCTCGAGCTTTGAGAAAAAACACGGCCTCGCGAATGATGCACTGAAATGCCCCGCTGGCGCGAGCACAGCGAGATGGGGGCGCGAGAAAGGAACGGGACAGCATGCATGTTGAATGCCTTTCTTTCCTTAACGCCAAAACACCCAAATGCTTGCGTACGGTGACTCTAGGAGAGAAAGATGTTTCAATGACTCTGGCTCCATTCTAGGATAAATTTGCAAAACGCTCGTGCCTCATCGCGGCATTCTGCGGGTCAAGCGGACGGCAGGAGCGGTGTGTTATGGACAGAACGAACACATTCACTTCACATCACTTCACCAACAGCTTGTTGATTATGGTACCTTTTAGGATATTCCATAACGTACGGATGCGTTGTACATACACATGAAGCTCTTCCCGACAATGCCTTCTCAAAGGGGCAATCGAGTCCCCGTCGATTACGTATTGACTCTGTCGAACCATTCCATCCGAGATGACCAAAGGCATTGCATGGTCCCGTGCTTCCTCACCTATCTAGGTACTCCTCAACCCCGTCGAGCTTCTCCGGACAGGCTGTCTGATGGGAATGCTTTCAACGTTCTTCCGTTGCCACCCGCCTTCCTTCTCGAACAGGGGACCGATCGTTCTGGCAACGTGCAACAGGTGTCTGTCTCGGAACCTGGGTGCAACAGCTGTCAACCCGATGGGCAAGCCGTTCTCGCCAGCAAAGCCCGGTATATTGAGTGCTGGTGCGTGTAGCATTGTCCACATCGAACAGAATGTCTGCATACCTTTAGCCTTTGTCAGTGCCCAACAGCTTTTGGACGAGCCTACCATATTGCCAGTATTTTCCAATCCTTTGGGAGCTTCATCCGGTATACTAGGCGTGATGACAAGATCACACTTGCTCGCGATCTCGTCCCAAGTGACCCTCAGCCTCGCACAGCTATCGTATGCTTCAAGCTGGTCCTTCCGAGATACGTTCTTCCTGTTCTCCACATAGCCAACGATATCGTCGTGAAGCAGCTTCGTATCCGTCCTATACTGACCAAGGAACGACGTCTTGCCTTCTGCGTTCAGCACGGTGTTGTGCCATTTCAATGCATTGTCGAAGCCCATGTCTTCCGGCAGATCAACAGCTTCCGCTCTGGCCCCTTGCTTCTTCAGAAGCTCGACTGCCTTTTCCATAGCTTTCTCGGTGCCCGGGCCGGCAGCAGGCCAGTTGTGCGTCTTAGCGAAGCCGATTACTGCGCCTTTGAGACTGAAGGGCTCTTTTGGTATGGGTTCATCGTCCATGACTTGGAAGACGTCAAGAATTCGTTCCACGTCCTCGACTGACCGGCAGAGGAAGCCGCAGGTATCCAAGGTCCAGCTCCACTGGGCTATGCCTTCTCTAGAGATTGAACCCCAAGTCGGTCTAGATGCAATACTTGTCAGTAACACAGTGATTATGTCAAAGCCGAGGACGGCTCACTTGAAGCCATAACACCCATTAAACGAAGCAGGTCGTATGATAGACCCTCCCGTCTGTGTCCCCAAAGCCACCGGAATCTGAAAATCACCCACCGCTGCTCCCGATCCCGAAGACGAGCCGCCCGGTGTTCGCTCGAGATCATGGGGGTTCGCCGTGTGGTTCTGATGCCAGTTGCCTTGCTTGCTTGAGGCAAACTCGGTAGTTGTGGTCTTGCCAAAGATCAAAGCTCCAGCCTGTCGTAAGGTGATTATGCAGTTCGCGTCCGCGTTGATCGGCGTCTCGCTCTGGTACAGTTTCGAGTTGTATTGGGTAGGCATGTCCTTGGTCAAGATGATATCTTTTACTCCCACAGGCAGGCCATGTAATGGGCCACGCTGAGCTGAAGGTATGTCGTCCAGTACTTGAGCCTGTTGTAGGATCTGGCTAGGACTAAGCCATACCCATGCCTTGACGCTTTCGTCTCGCTGGTGGATTCTGGTGAGGAGTGACTTTGCGAGATCAAGGACCTTTAGCTCTCCGCTACGTAGAAGAGGCAGTACTTCGGCGGCTGTGAGCTTCCATGGCTCCTCGTGATCAGATACGGCGGACATGCTGGGGCAGCAAGGCGTCTGGTGTTCTCCTCGAATTGCGCTGCTGGGAGACCGAGAGGATAAAAACCAAATTTGTCCAGAAAATTAAGGTAGTGAAAGACGTCCTGGTCAACCTACCTCCCAGCTAATATACATCATGTGCCCTTGCAGATATAGACTCCGCTCCTGTCGAGCAGTTTTTGATAGGTAATGGCAACCAATGCTTTTGTTCGGCCAAGGTTGTTGTCGGGCAAGGGTGGGATTACAGGGTCAATGGCCTTTTTGAACTTCACTCTACAGCCCTTACTACCTTACCAACCATTCTAGTACTATAGCCGTAAACGACAGTATACAGGTAGGAATGGCACACCCGGATGTGCTTCAATGGTTTACGTGACAAGGGATAATCCATCGAGTATGACCTTCTCCAACCAGTTTTCGGTGAGACTCTCATTACATGTATCTCTCGAGTGCAGGCTCCGTAGCGACTCTCTTTCATCATTGGCATTCATCTCTTACTCACTCCTACAGATCGCTTGAGTGCCCTTGTTGATTGTTACAGCCGTGCATCTCCATTAGGACCCACCATTCAACAAAGACTGGCATCAAGCGTACCACTGCCAGCCTGCACCGTTGTATTATGCCGTGCAAACTCAGCCAAAGTGGCTTCTCCAGCTTCATACGCCGGCCATGAGAACGACGGCACGCTTGGCGGCTTGGAAGGGTCGGCGGCAAACGAGAGCCACAGGCCTGTATTGTGGATGTCAGCATCAGTGCAACAAGGGAAGCAGACAAGACGAGGGTATTACCTTGCATGGTTTCGCTAACGGACCATTCGAAAGCTGTAGAATTGCCACGGTACAAAGGATGCGTCCCGAAAACCAAAGGGAGCTCGGCTAGATGTGTGTGAGTTGATGGCGCATGCAACGATAACAGAGGGCGGGTGTACTGACAGCTATGATAGGCACCCATCCAACTCACTGGCGAGACGTTGGAGAAGTTGCCAAAGTATTCGTACCGATATGTGGTGGAGTTGGAGAGCATACGATCCCTGTAAGAGTCGAGTCAGCCTTGACATCTCTTCGCGGCGGGATAAGGACTGCTCACGAGACACCAGTCGCGACTGAGCATTCGATACCCAACGAAGCCTCATCAAGCGCTTCATCGCCGGGCCCGTCCGGCGTGAAAGGCACGAAGCCGGCTCCCTCGTTGGCATTGTTGCCCATGATCATCGGCTATATCATATGTAAGTGTCAGCAGCCGATCCTGTCGCTAGCACATCCGGAGGAAACCCACCACATCCGCCACCAAACCCTCAGCAGCCCTCTTAGTGTAGTTCCCAAAAACTACCATCCCATCGGGCGTCGGCCCAAAGTCCAGCCCTTCACTCGTCGACAGCGCATTCTCCAACGTCCCCGCCGGAACATTTCGCATACAGGTCAGCGTGGCCGCGTCGCTTAAGCCTTTGCATCCGACGACCGAAGCGAGGGAGGTGAAGTTCGTCTGTGCCTTGTCGATCTCGCCAACGGAAAGGCCTGCGGCACCAGAGTCGGCGATCAGGCCGCTGACGATGGGATCTGAGCGCCAGGCGTAGCTGTACATGGAGGTGCTGGCGCCGCCGGCGGACTGGCCCCAGAGGGTTATGCTGGGAGAAAAGGGTCAGTACGTTCTAAGCTTTGGATTGGAAGGGGATAAGGTACCGCGAGGGATCGCCACCGAACGCCGCGATGTTGTCTCTGGTCCACTCGACACTAAGACTGTCAGCTAATCAAACGATCCACAACTCGTCCAAGACTGAGAGAACCGCGACTTACACCATCCGCTGGTCCAACAGCCCCAGATTGATATCGTCTAATCCCTTCGCATTGGGAAACCCGAACACGTTAACGCGGTAACTACACCCAGATCAGCCATCATTCCGCCCCTCAGAGCGGATATCTTCCCATACTTCATAATAACAAAGACCACGCTCTGCGTCCTCTGAATCAGCTGATCCGGAATCTTGTAGACCGAGTTCGCTCCTCCGCTCGAAAAGCCGCCTCCAGGCACATACACAATCACCGGTAAGCTCTCCTCGGTCGGGGTCCCAGGAGCCCAGACGTTAATGTACAGACAATCCTCTGAGACTCCTCCGTTGATCAGGAACTGTGGGACTTCTTCGGTGTATACCGTCTTGCCGCTGCTGAACTGCTGCATGCATGACGGCGCGAAGGTTGTAGTGTCGAGCGTGGAGGTCCATGGTTTGACGGGACGAGGGGCAGCGAAGCGGAGGTCAAGGGTTGGAGGGGAGGCGTATGGGATGCCGAGCCATTGGCGGACGTTGGGGGCGGTGGTGTTGATGAAGCCTTGGATGGGACCAGTTGTTGTGTTGATGAGCAGGCTGGAGGGGTTGGAGGAGGGTTTGGGAATGGCATGGGTGGAGACGAGGGAAGGGAGGATGGAGAACAGGAGAGTAAGAGGTGGTATGTAGCTTGGTAGTTGCATCTTACACAATTGAAAGGCTCTGGAGTGTTAGGGCTGCGGCCGAGCGAGCAGTGCGTGCCCATTGCTTCTTTTATTCCCATGTCCAGCAGAGCAGACCGCTAAAGAAATGATCCAAGGAAAACGAGCATACCTCACCGCTTACCGTGTCATTCGAGGCAGCGGAAGAAGTTTGAGCCAAGCGAAATGCTATGTGAAAGGTAAATGGCGATCAGTTCATAACGTAGAGATGCTAGGAACGATCAGTAAACAGAGCAGAGTTGTGGGAACAGGGCTCTGCCGGCTACATGCTGATTTCGACCCAAACAGCCAGCCCCCGCATCGCGAGCAAGTGGGGAACACGACAACCCCATCTCCGGAGTAGGTATCTGTATCGGCTGGCGTATCTTCTGCCACGGGGTCAGGTCAACGTACGGTAACTTGGAGGGGACGGACGTGGGGCCGTCGCGGTCGTCCGGAAGGTCGTTTACTTGACATCTGAGCCCGTAACAGCGGATGCTTCTGTTACATTCGGCGGCCAACATGCCTCTCGCAAGTAGAGGGCCATACTCGTTGACACGCCGGGACATGATGGTGATGCAAAGCTTCTGTTGCCTTGCTTGATCCGTTTTGCTGGATGCACGATGCCTAGAGTAGAAGATGGCTTGTAATAAATGCCTACGAGCCCACGTATGCATTTGCCTTGGTAGACAGACTGCGCTCCTTTCGAGCTGTTTTTGGTACCTACCTAAAGGCAGGGAATGGCAACCACTGCTTTGCTTTGGGCAAGGATGTTGTCGGCCAGTCGGCCAGACGACGTCAGCGAAGTCGGCCAGAGCTTTTGCTTTGCCGTCGAGATCTCTGAGACGTGCCGACCATCAACACCACACGATGAGACCGCCTAAGTCTTCTCTCCCCCTATACTTATGTCTTATAGGCCTGGCATGTATCGCTGCGGGACAGCATGGACAGCGGCCCCTCCAAGCAGGAGCCACGGCGCCCAACGTCCTGTTTATTCTCACCGATGACCAGGATCTTCGGATGGACTCGCTGTCATATATGCCACTCCTGAAACATCATATCGTGGACCAAGGGCTGTCTTTTAACCGCCATTACTGCACAGTCGCTCTATGCTGCCCGTCGAGAGTGTCTATGTGGACAGGTAAAGCGGCGCGTAAGTATCTCGTCGGCTGAACCAGCATACTATTATGCTGACGTTGCCGCAATAAAGACAACACCAACGTCACTGATATCAATCCACCATACGGTAGGTGAAGTACTCATACATGTTTCACTCCGGATGCTTCATCTTTGCCGCATGTACATCCACTAGTCTTCCTTCACCGTGCTCATAAGATTACAGGAGGCTACCCTAAGTTTGTCTCCGAAGGCTTCAACAACAACTACCTCCCGCTCTGGCTCCAAGAAGCCGGCTACGGCACCTATTACGTCGGCAAGCTCTTCAATGCCCAGTCTGTAACCAACTACGATTCGCCGCACGCTGCTGGCTGGACGGGCAGTGAGTTTCTGCTGGACCCCTACACCTATCGGTACTTCAATGCAACTCTCCAACGCAACTTCGACAAGCCAGTCAGCTACGAGGGCCAGTATGTCACAGATGTCATCTCGGAGAAGGCTCACGGCTTTCTCGACGACGCTCTGCAGGCCAGGGAGGAGACTGGGCAGCCTTTCTTCTTGACCGTTGCGCCTACTGCGCCGCATAGCGATGTCAATATCAAGCGAAACAACATCGACGGCGACTTTGACGAGAACACGAACGTTCAGTCGCCACCTGTACCAGCTGATCGGCATAAGGATCTCTTTCCAGATGTCGTTGTACCTCGAACACCAAACTTTAATCCAGACGAGCCTGCCGGTGCTTCGTGGATATCGCGCTTACCGAAGCAAAACCAGACGAATGTCGACTTCAACGACCACTTCTATCGAAACCGTCTACGCTCTCTGCAGGCAGTCGACGAGATGGTCGACCACTTGGTGAAACGGCTTGAGGAGGCTGATATCCTGGACAATACGTACATCGTCTACAGCACTGACAACGGCTACACCATCGGCCAGCACCGTCGACAGCCGGGAAAGCAGTGTGCGTTCGAGCAGGACATCAATGTTCCACTTATAGTACGCGGACCGGGTGTACCAAAGGGTATTTCGACGGATGTGGTGACTAGCCATACTGATCTGGCGCCGACTTTCATGGCTCTGACGGGCGCGCGGCCGCCGATTGATTTTATCTTGGATGGGCAGGCCATACCGCTGGATGGTGTCAGGGTTGAAGACCAAAGGCAGGAGCATGTCAATGTTGAGATGTATCAAACCCATGTTTAAGACGCAACCGTGCTTCGACCATTCGCTGACCCTCTTGCTCTTCTATTCGTAGGTGGGGCATCATCATGTCGGAGGGCAAGTACGGCAGTGTGTTGTACCCGAACCATACCTACAAAGCCGTGAGAGTGGAAGCGGAGTCGTACGGCTACCTGTATGTGGTGTGGTGTAGCGGAGAGCATGAGCTGTACGACACGAAGGTAGGGCTGTTCGGAGCCAATTGGAGCGCCTGTATAGGGCTGACAGCATGCAGGCGGATCCGTACCAGCTGAACAATCTGTACCAGACGGATCATTCGGCGCATTTCAACGCGTACCTCGATTCGGCAGAACATGCGCAGGCTGAGCCTTTGCTCATGGCCGAGCCTGTCTCGGTTTCCAACACCTCCGCGTACCGGAAACGACAGAACGACGCTGAGGCTGTCGCATCCGGGGCTACCGTGGCAAGGCTGACCCTCCGGCTCGATGCCCTGCTCTTGGTGCTCAAGACCTGTTCGGGGCGACAATGTACGCACCCATGGGAAACACTCTTCCCTCGTGGTGAGGTGCAAAGTCTCGCAGACGCTCTCGACCAGCGGTACGAAGACTTCTTCGAAACCCAGGTAGACACAGTGCAGTTTGAAAAATGCGAGAAGGGGTATATTGCAGAAAGCGAAGGACCGGTGTGGAGCGGTAGCCAAGTATATGGCATGAATCACGAAATGGCATTCGAGTAGAAGTGCTGATGCCAAAACCGGTTGCTGCATGCTCAAATTGGACGAGATCGTGTTTTGTTTGGGTTTGATTGAAAGTCCACAGCCGTCTTGGTCCATCGCATGACACGCAAAACGGTAACCAGAGCTGCGGTGGTAAACTCTCCCTCGCCCAGATGCTGAGCATACCAAGTCAATAGTGGCTGGCTTGTGCGTCCAGATTTAGGATCTCGGAGAAGAGGCGCACGTGGCTTGGTGTACGATCTCTCCACTCCAGACTCTCGGCTTCTCCTTGCTACACCTCACCGAGACCGTCCAGAGCGCGAGCACTGACATTGTTTCCGCCGCCTCTGCTCGGCGACAAGACATCTGGCGAGCGGAGTCGATGGACCCGTGGGGAGGAATTGATGAAAAACGATGGAAATCTGGTTGACTCCTTCGCCCAGTACCACCAACCGCCGGCTCTCCGCTGTGCAATCTGGGCGCTGGGCGCGACAAATAACCATTGTTAGCCTTCTGTTTGGCTGAGACTTGACCTCCTCGAACTCTCCCCGTTCAAGACAACCACAGTGGGCTGCCCAGGTGAGCCAAGTACTGTCGTTCCAAAAACATCTCCAGCCAAGTTGCCATGGTCGAGAGGCGGCATCGAGATTCCTTGGACGACAAGACTCCGAAAGGGGGCGAAACCTCTTGTTTCCTGCATATATCTTGCTGTCGGCCATGGCCCAGTCGATGATCCTGTCTTCTCATCCGCAGCATTCCTGTTTTCAGCGCATATAATAACCTTCTTCGCAACCCCCAATTTCGTTCTTCCACGAACACCACACTCGCTTTTCGCAGCCAAAGCCAAAAAGTAAAAGCAAACAAAACCACATCCCTCACCATGCGTACCGGAACCATCTTCGCTGCGGCGCTCGCGTTCGCCTCGTCCGTCATCGCCACCCCAGCACCAAAGGGCAAGGGCGTCGGCAAGCCCAAGCCCCCGCCTTGCAGAGCCGGCATCGACCGCCCTGGCTGCGTCGGCAAGCCGAAGCCCAAGAAGGAGTGCAAGACCTGCATGTCCGAGGAGGATGCCCAGATCGTCGCCAGCTACTTCCAGGACCTGATCCGTGGCTACACCATTGAGCAGGCTCTTGCCGGTCTCACCGAGGACTTCGTCGACTACTCGTCGGCCGTGTCGATTGTCATCAACAAGGGTGCCGCTGTCCCCAACGACATCACCCAGCCCATCTTCACCAGCCGCGAGCAGTTCATGGCTGGCCACGGCAAGCAGAAGTATGTCTTCAACACCGCTCGATTCACTATACACTCGTGCTAACCACACCCAGGCCCATCCCATTCGAGATCCTCGACGTCTGGCACAACTGCAACGGCACCGTCAGCATGCGCTGGGTGTCCACCCGCTCCGCCTACCTCCAGCCCACCGAGGCCGCCGCCATCCCCGTCCCGGCTCTCGTCGTCCTCGAGACCGAGCCAGCTGAGGAGGGCAACGAGTACAACTACCGCATCCACACCATCTACTCCGTGAGTTCCCACCAACACACACCCGCACCTCTCTAAATACAGTGCTAATCTCCCCACCAGGAGTTCAACGCCGCAGCCTGGCTCGTCAACCTCGGCGTCTTCAAGCCCGAAGGTGCCGTCACCCCTGTCCCAGCCGACGTCCCAGAGGGCACTGAGGGCGAGGCTGAGGCCGCGCCGGCGAAGCGTGAGATCGCTGCTCGCACCCCCGAGTTCCAGGACTGGACCGACATTGGTGTCATCTAAGCTCGTTCAACGATGGTATAATAGATGGTCGGGGTTTTAGCATGCACAGGGGTTTTTCCGGACGGGGATATATTAATTCTGTGGATCCGTATCGACGGCTTGTGTCAGGCGGCCTGTACGATGTCGAGATATGAAGTGATTGTATCTAATGTATATGATCATGTTTATGGCTACTTTGCCTGTTCACTTCTTCAACAACTTCCTCTTCGACTTAGTCTTGATGTTGCATTCTGCAAGTCATCGTGCCTCCGAACAGCTACCTTGTGTCTTCTTCACGAGCTTGTACTGAGTCGAAACTTGATCATGTCTATTTACCAGCGAGCAGCCTGGATGGCATGTTAGTGATGGAAACTTCGTGATTCTGTTGCATTTGCTAGATGTGTTGAATTTACATTTCACGTATATTCTCAGCTACATACAATTTCGCCAAACGCATTCCACTCCCCACGGCCATCGCCACACTATTTCTTAAACTGATCCTCAGTAACCCCCTTCCCCATCGCACTCGTCGAGCTCACACCCCCCTGCACCAGCCTCAACATCTCATCCACATACTCCGCCCCACTCCACTTCTGATGCGTCACCACCTCCACCCCCTGCTCAATCTCCGGCTCCTGCACCGTCTCGCCATACGCCCGCATGCCCCTCTTAGCGAAATCCTTCGCAAAGGCGTTGGAGATGAGCGCGGTGCTGTGCAGGCCGGCGAGGGTGATGAACTGCCAGCAGTAACCCATGGCGGCGAGGCGCGCGATGTAGGTTTCTTGCTCGGCGGAGGGCATGGCGGTTTTCCAGTTGAAGGAGGGGGAGAGGTTGTAGGCTAGTCTGTTTGTTTCACGAAGTGGTTAGCAAGGAGATGGGGGCCGGTGGTGTAGGACTGATAGACGTACTTTTGTTCCGGCCACACAGCGTGCACACCGTCCGCGAACTCCTTCGCCTGCGCATAGTCCGGCATCTTGCTCTCCATCCAGATCAAATCCGCATACGGCGCGTAGGCATTCGCGCGAACCACAGCATACGGGCACCCGCCCTGAATGCGATAGTACCCTTCCCTCGTCCGCGCGGCATCCCAGTCAAAGTGCACATCCACGCCCGTCAGACCTTTTGCAATCGCGCGAGCTTCGGCGTTGCTCTTGCCCTTGGACATTGTCTTGAACTCCTCAATCATGCCTGCTTTGTCGACGTGTACGCCGGCGTTGATGGTGTCTGCGACAGCCTCGGAGTACAATTTGAGGCCCGCTTGCGCCATCCAGGAATCCTCAATCGCCTGCAGCTCTGGGCCGTTCTTGCCGGCTTGCTCGGCGGCGATCATCAAGTCGTTGAGCGGTTGGAGCGCTGGGTTCGTGCATCCAAGAACGAAAGCATGGTCGCGAGGGTCAATGGTGCTGGTGATCAAAGTCGCGGCTTCGGAGTCAGTACGGGCAATGGCGAGAAGGTCGGTGCCCATGATGTCCGCTTGCGCGCGAATGGCGACGAGTCGGTTGATGTGCTCGCTAATGGGGACGAGGACCTTGCCAGCCATGTGTCCACACTTCTTGGTACCTGGCATCTGGTCCTCAATGTGGATGCCGGCAGCGCCCTTCTCAACAAAGAGTTGGGTCAGCTTCATCACAGCCGTGAGACCACCATGGCCAGTGTCGGCATCGGCTACGATGGGGTTCAGGAAGTCGGTGTTCGCGAGTTTGGAGCGCTCTGAGGCAGGGGCGCTGAGCCTCTCATGACGCTGCTTGCGGTCGTGGAAGAGCTGGGCTTTCCAGAGATGCTGAACCTTGTTCGGGACAGTGTCGTAAGGGTAGTCTGCAAGATCTGGGCCAGGCTCATCGGTCGCCGAAGCAGTGCTCGAAGATTGCCAGCCAGACACATAAACAGTGTCGAGATACTTGGCCATCTGCGTGACCATTACCGGATCCAAGCAGCCGTAGGTAAAGCTCACATCGCGTTCCTGGCATCATCAGCGAAGCTCCGTAAGCTCCATCGTATTCTGTACTCACAGCAAACCGCTTCTCCACAGTCTTCCAGAGCTTCTTCGCCATAGCATTGCTCGGATACTCGATCTTCAAATTGCCTCTCTTAGTAGCAATCTGCTCGGCAGTGTACGGACGCCTCGTGTACCGCCATCTCGAGTCCGACCACCATTGCTGCAGCTGCTTCACCTCGTCCTGGTACTTTTGCTCCTCTGCATCGGCGCCAGCCATCTTGGGATCGGTAGTCTCGACGTTGTGCGGGAGAATGGAAGATACGGCGGCAGCGACTTGCTTCAATCTTTCTGCCAGCTTGACGAGGGCTGGGGAGGTGTAGGAAGGTAGAGATGACAAGACACGGACAGACCCACAGCGAGGTTTGTTGTATAGATGCAAGAAGAGAGGAGAGAGTCAGAGTAAGAGTAAGAATGTCTATACCGACACAATGATCACGTCACGCAAGCTCTGGGCGAAGCGGTGGTTTAAGACATTGGTTCCTCGGCGATGTGAGCAAGACCACCTGCCGGTAGCCCTCCGGCCTCGCCCGATCTCGTGTGAAAGGGAGACATGCCTGTCATGGCTGGAGAGCCGAGCACCTTTTGAAACCTTGGCCGAGGAAGAGAGAGGCTGTTCGAAGTGTCGGATGAAAGGACGACGGGGATTGGGTACGAGTGAGGTAAGAAACGTCTCCCGGCATCAGCCGAATGAAGCGTTTCTGGGGAAGCCGAGGTTGAATATCACATGTCTGGCTTGGAGAGAGGCTGTCTTCACATGTTCCAAGCACCACAAGCCGATACCGGTGCAGGTATGTAAGTAAAGTGGAAGGTCTAGATGGTCAGAGGTAGGTATCAAGGAAGACTGCACATCCAGAGTAGCGCCATTTCTCGGAAGCCTCAGCAGCGATAGCGATAGCTTAGACCTTCTGCTTGTGATCGTGCCTATGCGTACTATTCCCGTGCACACGCAAGTACAAGAGCAATCAACTCTTCGCCCTCCCTTCGCCCTCCCCCTCCGCCTCCGCCCCCATCGCCTCAATCTCCCTCTCAACCATCCAGCCCCTCACACTCTCCATAACCCTCCCCAACGCCTCACCCCCCTCCATCACCTCCCCCAAATTCCTCACATCGAGCCCACTCCGATGATCGCTCACCCGCTGCTGATTCCAATTATACGTCCGCACCTTATTCTCCCTCCCCGCCTTGCCTGCCCCGGCCACTTTGCGCAGCTTCGCCTCTTCCTCCTCCCTTTCCTCGCGTCGCTGCTGCGCAATCCGCGAGCGGAGGATTTGCCAGGCTTTCTCGCGGTTTTTGAGCTGGGAGCGCTGTTCTTGCATGTTGACGACGATGCCGGTCGGGGTGTGGGTGAGGCGGACGGCGGATTCGGTCTTGTTGACGTGTTGGCCGCCTGCTCCCGACGCACGAAGGACGTCTGTTCGTACATCCTTGGGATCAACATATGCGTCGCTCTCCTCCGCCTCCTCGGCACCCATCTCAGTCCCTAGACTCGGTAGAACGAGCACGCTGGCGGCACTCGTGTGCGTACGCCCTTTGCTCTCCGTAGCCGGCACGCGTTGCACGCGATGCACGCCCGCTTCACACCGCAATACCCCATACGCCCCCGGCGTCTCCACCTCGAGTATAGCTTCTTGCACATGCAGCGCTCCCCCTGCCCCCGCGTTCCCAGAACTATAGTCCGCAGTCTCGAGCTTCATCACCGTGCTCTTCAACCTCTCGCGCGCGCAGAAACCCTCATACATCCGCAGCAAATCCCCGGCGAATAGTCCTGCTTCGTCGCCGCCGGCGCCGGGGCGGATCTCGATCAGACATGGCAGATGCGCGAAAGGATGTACGGGCACAAGGCTCGATCTCAGAGCGTTGGAGGCGTGCTCAATGAGTTGTTCCGTAGACTCAACATCGTCTTGTGCCAGTTCCTGGAGCTCTTTGTCCGGGGAGCGGAGGAGGGAATGTAGCTCTTTCAGCGAACCGACAGCTTTATCATACTCCTTCAACGCCGCCGTCGTAGAGGACAGCTCGCCTAAGCGCTTCGCTGCGCGGGCGTCATACTCGCTCGCTAATCGTTCGGTGAGAGTGGCATGTTCGCTCGCAATGGCGCGCGCTCGAGTGAGGAGAGCGGGAGATACGCTATCGGTTATGGAGGTTATTGTGGACTGCCATCTTCGCCATGTTATAGGCTGGCGAGCTTTTGAGAGGCTGCGCAAGCATCTTGCACAGATCCAGGGTGTAGAGAACATGGAAGTGTCGCGGAGTGATCGCGAGGTGGAGTTTTAGTGCAAGGGTTGTAGCGTGCATAAAGTTGTGCGAGCCATCACAAGTGCTATATCTGAGAGGTGAAGCGGAAATGTTACATGTCGTGACCAAACATTCGTCAATCTATGGATCGTAGTAGTATCATAGCTCATTCCCAGTCATTCAGTGCTATTCATGCCATCCAGGGGATATTCCCGTGCGCAAGCTGAGCTGAGCAGTCCTTCGAACGCCGCATAGCACTTCCCATCAGACTGTTCATTGCAGCTCGAATTGCCTGCCCTGAACTCCATCCCAAGTAGAACGCCGCGCAGGAAACCCATCGTCTGCAGTACCATATCATCAACCTGCTTGACCCCACCATCTTCTTGCTTTCGAGTCATCACCTTCTCTTCCTGTCTTGTCACTCAGACTCTGTTCGCCTCACCAATGCTTCCTGCACCGTGACGAGCCTAAGCAAGCCACTCAATCGCCCTCTCCGCCAACGGCGAGCACAAGAAAGCCATCGTCGCCACACCTCCCATGACCATACCACCCACGGTACCGCCAGCAATTTTCGCAGCCGTGGCGACTCTGCTCTTCTTCTTCGTGACTGCAATCTTCTTCTTTGGAGCGGTCTTGATCTTCTTCGCCGGCGGTGCCACGATGTCTGCGTCGCGAACACTTGTAAATGATGTCAATCCAGACGGGTTGGTGGGTGACACCGGGCTGGCAAGCTCGTCGAGGTTGATGGATTCGTTCGGGATGGAATCGGCCATGTCGTCGGCCGTGTCGTCGGCCTTGCGCTTTTTACCGCTACTACGCGCTTTCAAGGCCTCAGCGGCAGTAAGAAGGGCCTGGTTGAAAGCGGAAGCGGTCATGGCATTGGCGTCAATAATGTCGGCGCGGGCACCGGCGAGGAGGTCCCCAACGGACTGTGCTGGCTTTGCAGACGGCTGCGGCTCAGTCGACATCTTCGTGCTGGTGTTGTTCTCAACAATGTCGGAGATGTTGATCTTGTTGGAGGTGGTGGGTGCGTTGGCTTCTTGCGACTGAAACGCTCCCGCAGAGCCGAATGGACGCTGAGTTGGGCCGGTTGCCATGTCATAGGCCGGACCTGTCCATGTGATGGGCCCATCGAAGCGATGGCCGAAGACGTTCGGCTGGATGCTGGTGACGTTTTCAGGGGTGAGGGGACTGAACGGCGAAGTCTTGGGGCGTGGTGCGCCAGTGACGCTGCCGAAGCCGAATGCAGGTTGACCGTAGGAAGGGGCCCTGTCGTCCTGAGCGGCATAGGGTCGGACCGAGAACGCAGATGGCTCTACATCCCAGCGGCTACTGTTGCGATAGTCAGTGCGAAGTCCAGAACCATAGTAGGCACTGGCATTGAAGGCCGAGGGTGGTGGGGCGTACGTGTGCGAGGGCGCCGGCTTGGTTGCTGGCTGCGACTGCTGCGACGCACTCCGCGTGGCGAAGCACCCGTATGAGTCGGAGCGAGCTGGCCAGACTCCTGGGTGCGACTCGCGCGTTGGATAGGAAGAGCGAGCGAAGTCATCTGGCGAGCCAAGCTCTGGCGACGGTTGCTTCTCGACGCACTCGTTCTCGTCCTCACTCACATCCCGCCCATCGTAGAGGTTCCCGTCTGAGGAGTAGTCATCGAAACCCGCGTCAGATTGAGAGCCCCAGTTCGACTCGTCATAGTGCTTCTCGGGCTCTTCGTACGAGCTGAGCAACGGAATGTAGTTCGCCGACTGTGGGTCGTGCACCGAGGCAGATTGGTAGTAGTCGTTGTTGTCCTCGAACGTGTCAGGAACCACTCGGTTCGAGTCTTGGTGGCGAGGGATAGAGATTGTAGGACGAGGGGGAGACTTCCGAGTGTGTGAAGGCTGCGAGAGGAGGATCTCTGCATCCGTGCGGGAACCGGTGGCTTCTGGGCGAGTTTTCACCGCATCGTCGAGGTTGATAGGCTGTTGTTGCGACCCGAGCTTCACCTGTCCCTGCTCTGGAGTGGTCTTGGCCGAGGACGATTGATTGCGCTCGCTAACGGAAGCACCGCCAACGCTATGCACATCAGAGTCGTCTGCCTCGGGGGATGGAACACGGAAGGTGCCGGTGGGCTGGCTGGCGCGCATCGTGTACGAGGTCTGCGAATCGCCTGGATTCATCGAAGCGTAGATGAGCTCGACACCATCGTGAGAATCTGTGCGTCCGAATATATCAGCGATGAGCCTTGGAGTGTGACAAGTGAAGTCAGAGATCGTACCGTCACCGCGCGTCACCTTCTCGCCGAGCTTGATGCGGTCACCGTTCTTCAAAAGACGCTCTTCACCCTCCTCCAAGATACGGTCGTTGACCTTGGTTCCGTGCATGCTACCGATATCTTTGATGATGACTGCGTCGTCGAGAGGAGGCGGTCTTCTGATAAGCTCGAGATCTGCGTGATAGCGGCTGACCACGGGGCAGTCAAAGAGTGTGTTGCTAGGTGAAGGCTCCAGATTCTTGTCTCTGGAACGAGAAGCGCGACCGATGACAATGGGATCGTGTCTGTAGAGCGTGATGGTGCGGACGTCGCTTGGGCTTTTGGCGGCAGTGAGGGTGATGTCGAGAGCTGTTTGTGCGACGTCAGTTGCTGCTGCTCTTTCGGAGGGTGCGAGATGCTTACTGGGTCTCGGCGGTAGAGGTGGTGGGGCGGTGGTAAGGTGGCTCTGAGAGTGTTGCAAATCGATCGGCATCGTGGAGAAGAGGGAGGTCGGCGGCAGCAGGAAGGGTGGCATTTATGGTGAGGGAGGCAGTGAAGTGTCGATGTCACTTCACGGGTGTGTCAGGTGTCGCCCATTCACGCCGCTGCTATTGTCGTCGGAGCTGCTTCTGGTTCGTCGGCTGGTGACTGTGGTAATCGTCGTGAAGTGGTGATGGAGAAGGTGGTGCAAGGTGTCGTGTCGTGGAGCTTCGAGGGTAAGCTGCGGGGCTTCTCCGAGAGCTGATGACCGCGTTGAGCTGGCCGGTTCGTAGTCAGGCGCTCGTGGTGACTTTGGCTGTGGGAGAACACCGCCAGACGCCTCGTAGAGGAGATGTAGTAGTGGTGAGGACAAGGCCGACGGCAGTGTGCAGTGGTGAAGATCGAGGAGAGGTCGACGGTGTCGCTGTCGATCATGGAGGTCCAGGCAGCATCGACCCCGCACTAAGATAACGATAAGCTTCACATGAGTCAGCAGTCCAATATCAAATTTGACATTGAGCAGTGAAGAACAACCATAGACACGCCTGGTCATGACACAACACAACCCCGACTTCCGATAGCACATCGCCCGCCATGGACTACCGCGGCGCCATCATCTCCAAGGATCAGGTTGCCACCGCCGTGCCGAAGAAGGTCAAGGCTCTGAAGTTTGGCCTGCTATCCGCCGAGGACATCCTCTCGCAGTCCGTCTTGCAGGTACAAGACCGCAACCTCTTCGACGTGAACCAGGACAACAAAGCGACCCAGAGGAGGCTCATCACTCAGCACGGACCCAACGATCAGCGACTAGGCACCTCGGCGAAAGCAGGCAAATGCGAGACTTGTGGCGAGGGCTTGAAGGACTGCAATGGCCACTTTGGCCACGTGAAGCTGGCTCTTCCCTGCTTCCATTATGGCTACATGCGAAAAATCATCGAGGTGCTCAACTGCGTCTGCAAGGACTGCTGCCGAATTCTGATGCCCGAGAACGAGCGGCGGACGGCACTGAAGGCAATCCGACGTCCTGGACTGGACAACCTACGAAAGAAGACCATATGCAAGAAGATTGTTTCCGACTGCAGGAAGATGAAGCTGTGTCCTCATTGCGGCGCGCACAACGGTCCAGTGAAGAAGGTGGCAAAGCATCCAGTCAAGATGACCCACCACCCTTTCCAAGCCTACATCTCCTCCAACGCCAAGTCGAAAGTCAAGCCGCACGAGATGTTACTGTTCGAGAGCTCTTTCAGAACGGCGCGCAAGAGCTCTACAGACGCTGAGCGGTACTGGCAGAAGGCGGTCGACGACATGCATCCACTGCGCGTCATCAGTATCTTCCGCGGAGTGCCGAACGTGGATGTTGAGCTCTTGGGTATGGACCCGCACAGCAACAAGGGCAGCGGAAGGCCCGAGAATATGCTGTGGACGCATGTACCCGCCCCGCCCGTGGCTATCAGACCGAGCGTGGCGCAGGAGAATGCGAGCACGGAGGACGACATCACCAATAAGCTCGGCGACATCATCCAGATGAACAACCTGGTGCAGGCTACGCTCCTGAAAGGTCAACCGCTCAACAAAGTGATGGAGCTGTGGGAGTTTCTGCAGGTGCAGATTGCGATGTACATCGACGGCAACATTCCCGGACTCGGTCAAGACCAGTACTCCAGTCGCTCTCTCCGTGGCTTCTGCCAGCGCTTAAAGGGCAAGCAAGGTCGCTTCAGAGGGAATCTGAGTGGTAAGCGTGTCGACTTCTCTGGCCGAACTGTTATCTCTCCGGATCCGAACTTGGGCATCGACGAGGTTGCTGTGCCTTCGAGGGTGGCAACACATATGACGTACCCTGAGAAGGTCACTCGATACAACATCCAGAAGCTGAAGAATCGGATCTTGAACGGCGACAAGGTTCACCCAGGGGCCAACTTCGTCATCAAAGGAGCGGACAAGCGGCGCATCGTCCTCAAATTCGTGGGCGGCAGAGGTGACCTCGACAAGATCGCAGATAAGCTAGTCGTCGGAGACATTGTCGAGCGCCATCTCGAAGACGGTGATATCGTGCTCTTCAACCGCCAGCCCAGCTTACACAAGCTATCAATCCTCTCACATCGCGTTAAGGTACGGCCATGGCGGACTTTCCGGCTCAACGAATGCGTGTGCAACCCTTACAACGCAGACTTCGACGGTGATGAGATGAACCTTCACGTCCCACAAACCGAAGAAGCGCGCACGGAGGCACTGGAGCTTATGGGGGTGAAGCACAACCTGGCTACGCCAAAGAACGGTGCTATGATCATCGCTGCCATCCAGGACTTTATCACCGCGACGTACCTTCTCAGCCAAAAGGACCGCTTCTTCAGCCGCTCGGAGTTTGTGCAGATCGCGAGCTCTATGTTTGTCGGCATGGAAGTCAGAGACCCTTACACAGGGAAGACGTGGCCTGTCAAGCTACCACCTCCTGCGATCTGGAAGCCGAGAGCGCTCTGGACGGGAAAGCAGGTGTGGAGTCTGCTTTTGAAGCCCTGCGAAGATTACCCTGTCGACGTCAACCTTGAAGCAAAGGGAAAGCAGTTCTCATCCGTTGAGTTTGCGGAGGCGTATGGGCCGGACAACGCCGCATTGGAGGCGAGAATGGCCAATGATCTCAAAAGCGCGAAGACAGAGCTTGATCAGATGCGTGATGACAAGGACGACTTGCTCACTGAGGACACAAAGAACAACATGTACCGCAAGAAGGAAGAGCAGTGGCGGAAGGACTTCTCAGCAAAGATCGCTCCCGACATGTCCATCACGGACTCCTACCTGGTCATTCGCAACTCGGAAGTCATGTGCGGTACGCTCGACAAAGCGACGGTTGGTGATGGCAAGAAAGACAGCGTCTTCTATGTCATTCTTCGTGACTTCGGGCCAGAGTACGCCGTCGAAGCGATGAATCGTCTGGCTCGTCTGTCGGCCCGTTGGCTGGGCGAGCAAGGCTTCTCCATCGGTATCGGCGACGTCTACCCCTCGGATCTCCTGCGTGCAAGGAAAGATGGCTTGGTAAGAGCGGCGTACGAAAAGTGCATCGACCTCATCGGGCAGTTCAACCGCGGCGAGCTGAAGACAAATCCCGGCTGCGACGAAGAAGCCACACTGGAGCAAGAGATTTCGAGTCTGCTGTCCAAGGTGCGAGAGGACTGCGGTGCGGCTTGTCTGGCAGAACTCAGCCGCTTCAACGCTCCTTTGATCATGGCCAAGTGTGGTTCCAAGGGCTCGAACATCAACGTCGCACAGATGGTCGCTGCAGTCGGACAGCAGATTATCGGCGGCGAGCGTGTGGTCGATGGCTTCGAGAACCGCACCCTACCTCACTTCATCAAGGGGAGCAGAGACCCGCCGGCGAAGGGCTTCGTGGTGAACTCGTTTTTCTCTGGCCTTAACCCGACCGAGTTCATCTTCCACGCCATGTCTGGTCGCGAAGGTCTGGTCGATACTGCGGTCAAGACGGCTGAGACGGGCTACATGTCTCGACGATTGATGAAGTCCATGGAGGATTTGAGCGCAAGGTACGATGGCACAGTGAGAGAGTCTGGCGGTGGCGTGGTGCAGATGAAGTTCGGTGACGACGGCTTGGACCCAGTGGATATGGAAGGCAAGGCGAAGCCCGTCAACTTCGACCGTACATGGTCTCACGCTATTGAGAGCACATGGAACAACGAAGAAGCTGGACTGGAGCCCAAGGAGATTGACGCACTGGTCGAGGAGCTCCTGCGCCCTCAAAGAGCTATTGAACAAAAATCGCACTTCGGTCCTCCCAAACGCACCAGCCACCCAGCAAAGAAAAGGAAGGAAGACGAGCAAGAAGATAATTCTGGCCTGAAGTTCCTCGTCACAGTCACCGATTATATTCAAGCCAAAGTCGACGAGCTTGAAGCTTCCCAGCGCCACCTCCCCGGCTCGGACCAGATCTTCAAGCTCACCCGCCCCGCCCTTGAGCGCTTCCTCGCACTCTGTCTTCGCAAGTTCGAGAAGAGCAAAGTCGAAGCTGGCCATGCTGTCGGAGCCGTGGGCGCTCAATCCATCGGCGAGCCGGGCACGCAGATGACGCTCAAGACGTTCCATTTTGCTGGTGTTGCTGGCATGAGCATTACGCAGGGTGTGCCGCGTATTAAGGAAATTATCAACGCGAGCAAGACCATCTCGACGCCGGTCATCACGTGCAAACTTGAGAGTCCGTATGAGGAGATTGCTGCGCGATTTGCCAAGGCGATCATTCAGAAGTCTTTCCTCAAGGACATTGTGGCTTTCATTGAGGACTGTTGGTGGAGGGAGGGGTATTGTGTCAATATGCGCGTCGATTGGCAGCAGGTGGAGAGGCTTGGGTTGCGGTTGACGCTGGAGGACGTGGCTGATGCGATTGAGCGTGCGAAGGTGTTGAGGGGCATGGGTGTGGTGGTAAGGAGGACCGGGACGTCGCACGTGCGTGTTGCGCTCGACGCAGGCGCTTTCGGTGACTTTGAAGACGAGGACATCGGACCACGCAGGAGAGGGCAAAGGAAGAAGACGCCGAAAAAGTCCACCGGCGCCGAAGATCCCGCCGCGACCTTCGAAAAGGTACAAGTCCTCAAGCGCAGACTCCCCCAAGTCGTGGTAGGCGGCTACCCGGACGCCCAGCGCGCCGTCTTGCAGAAAGGCGACAAGGTCCGCTTGCCGGATGGCTCCTCCCGCGTCCCTCTCTCCGTGCTCGTCGAAGGCTACGGTCTCGCCGCCTGCATGACCACCCCAGGAGTCGACGGCACCCGCACCTCAACCAACAGCGTCATGGAGACCCGCGCTGTTCTGGGCATCGAAGCAGCACGCACAACTATCATCTCCGAAATCTCCTCCGTCATGAGCGGTATGGACATCGATCCACGCCACATGCAGCTTCTCGCGGACGTGATGACGTACCGCGGGGACGTGCTAGGCATCACCCGTTTCGGCCTGGCCAAAATGCGCGATTCAGTGCTCCAACTCGCCTCGTTCGAGAAGACTCCGGACCACCTCTTCGAAGCCGCCATCGGCGGACGCAAAGACAATATCGAGGGGGTTAGCGAGAGCATTATCATGGGGCAGGGAGTACGACTAGGGACTGGCGGGATGGGGGTACTGAGGGATTTGGGGGATGTGAAGGGGGAGAGCGATAGGGCGAGGGGGGTGAAGAGGGGGGTGAAGGAGGGAGAGGGGAGTTTTAGGGTGATGATGGGGCAGATTGGGGTGGAGAGGAGGGAGTTATTGGTGGCTATGGCGCAGGGGCTGGGGAAGAAGGGGGCTTGAGGAAGGGTACTTGAGGGAGGCGGAAGCATTGTTGGCGCTGGTGCGAGTATGGTAGATACCCATGCATATCAAAACGACATTTGCTCACTGCACCACCTACTCTGTCACTTCCTGAACTCCATGTGCAGCCCGTGCTGACTGCTTACTCTGCTGACCCCTGTACACCTCACGACCTCACCTCTCGCACGTATCAGACGCACAGCATCCTTACAGCTTCCAGAACGGTACGACAGTCTCCCTGTGAAAGACGCTTGATGCACGGCTGACCGCTACACAAGCTGAGGTGTCCAGCCGCAAACGGTGACCGGTACATTGTTCCGTTCTCGAGGTTTGTGCCTCGGATAAATCGGCTTCACGGCACTGTGGCGGTGTTTTGAAGTCTTGGAGATTTCGCGGATGGTTGTTCTGGAAGGGTGTTGGAGATGGAGAAGAGGTGTCAATGAGTTCAGGTCAGTCGAGTCGAGTTGTTGTTTGGTTTGAAGTGGCCAGCAACAACGAGCGGTCCAATGCCTGACTCAAACATCACATCAACCTTCGAGTCTTGTCTGTGGCGTCGTTGAAAACGATCTCCCCCAGCTGCAGATTGCTTGGTACTTCGCCTCCCCACTTCGCTCCCCAGCACGACTGAAAAAGTGCAGCGAAGAGACCTATCGTTCCTTCCCAGGACCGCATTGGATCTGCTATGGCGGAATTAGAGTAAGTAAGCGGCAGGCATTCTATCTTCACTTCATCACCACCTACGACTCCTAGAATTCGTTTCCTAAGACCCTATCATTCGACCTCACTCACTTTTGTATCTTGTCGGCTATATACCTTCGGTCTGGGGTTGACACCGCTATCGCTGTTGCTTACCGCTCGTTGTTCATGTGGCGAAATCGGAGGTGTTGCTGGTGAAAGAATTATACAGATACCAGTCGTAGACGGCACATTACTCTGAGAAGCGTACACTCTCTACTCTGCGCGGGCAGCACTGCCATCCATCAGCCATGGCTTCCACATCATCAGACGAGAAAGACATGGCCTCCGAACCACAATCAGAGAAGAAACAGCCCGGCATCTCATCTCGTCGCGCCTCCAACATGTCAATAGAAGAACCACACTCCCCCGCCTCCAACTCTACCGACAGCGACCACGAAGAAGAAGAGGAAGAAGATGACTACCAACCCGAACGCCGGCAAAACCAACTCCGCCCCTCCATCTCCCACACCTCCTCCATGAACCAAGTCGGCAACGTCATCCCCACCCTCGAACTAATGCGCACCTGGACAACTCGAACGTCCGGCACCGCCACTGATCCAGCCTACGAAATCGACTTCGCCCCGGGCGAGAAAGGCGACCCCCAGAATTGGCCGCTGTGGTACAAAGGCATGATCCTGGCTATAATGAGCTACTCCACCACCTCCGTCGTTCTCTTCTCCACTTCGTACACCTCCGCCATCCCGGGTATGGAGGACGCGTTCGGCATCTCCAACAGCGAGGGGATTCTCGGCGTCACGACGTACCTGATCGGTATGGCCGTCGGGTCCGTCATATTGGCGCCTTTGAGCGAGATGTACGGACGACGGCCAATTTACATCATGGCGTTGGGAGGGTTTGTGGTGTTTGTGATTCCGTGCGCGGTGGCGACGAATATTCAGACGATTCTGGTGACGAGGTTCTTTGGGGCGTTTTGTGCGGCGGCGATGATTTCGAATGCGCCGGGGACGGTGAATGATATTGTGGATGAGGAGCACCGGGCGCTTGCGTTTTCGATCTGGTCGATTGGGCCTATGTACGTGCAACTGATGTGTGGAAAAGGCTCTCCGATATACGTTGAAGGTCCGAGGACGACGTGGCGTTCTGGGACCCTTTCCATGCTTGTTCAATTGTCGAGACATCTGCTGACCCTTCTCACTTTAGGAACGGCCCGGTAATTGGCCCTGTTGTGGGAGGATTTGTTTATCAGTACCTTGGCTGGCGATGGACTAACTGGGTCGTCATTATTGGTGCTGGTGTCGCTTGGGTCTTGACTTCGATTATCCAGGAGACGTACGCCCCCGCGATCCTGCGTCGACGTGCGGCCAAGAAGCGGAAGGAGACTGGAGATGATGCGTGGTGGTCTCGTTACGACGAGAAGTTGGAGTTCTTGCCGCTGTGAGTATATTTTTGACGTTTTGGCGGTTGCCATTTGCTGATCATGAGTTTCCATCTCAGGCTACGGATCAACTTGTCCCGACCCTTCGTCATGACGGTGACGGAGCCAATCTGCATCTTCTGGGATCTCTACATCGCGCTCATCTACGGCATCTTATACCTCTGCTTCGTCGCCTACCCGATTGTCTTTACCGATCTCCGAGGCTGGTCGCCCGGCTTCACCGGTCTCAGCTTCTGCGGTACGTCTAGAAAGACTCATCACACTCGTGTCAGATTGCTAACATCCACGAACAACAGGCATAGGAGTCGGCTCGATGATCACCATCGTCGGTGAACCCCTAATCCGCAAATGGATCAACTCCCACAAGAACGATCCCGAAACCGGTAGTCCTCCTCCAGAAGCAATGGTCTGCGTCGTCTGTTTAGCAGCTGTCCTCATCCCTGCTGGCGAGATCATCTTCGCCTGGACCTGCACGCCAAACGTCCACTGGATCGCGCCAATAATCGCTGGTGTACCGTTCGGCGCAGGCAACGCAGCAGTCTTCATCTACGCTTCCAACTACTTGGTCAGCAGCTACGACATCTACGCCGCCTCCGCCCTCGCAGGCAACGCAGTCCTACGATCCGTCATGGGCGCCACACTCCCCTTAGCCGGTCCATCAATGTACAAATCCCTCGGCGCCAACTGGGCGGGCACACTCCTCGGGCTGCTGGAGGTGCTGTGCATCCCCATCCCCATAATCTTCTACAAATACGGACACAAGATAAGACTGAAATCCACGCTGATCCGGGAGATGCGCGAGGATCGCGAGAAGCGGGATCGGCGGCAGAAGAGGTTTGAGGAGAAGGCGAAGCGGAGGGCGGAGACGGAGGCGCAGATGGGGGCACCGATGGATACGGGAACGGCGGTGGTTGAGTTGGGGGTGGAAGGAGATTTGGAGAAGGGTGGGGTGGAGAAGGTGAAGTCGTGATTCATTTTCTTCTTGACGGCACAGCGATGGAGTTGGGGCGGGCAAGGCAGGATACGGATACAGTAGAGAAGAAGGCTGAAAGGTGGCTAGCTATTTTTGGCCTCAAGGCCGTGCGCAAGCCGACCAATTGGTGTTCCGGTCCCTGTCGTTTTCATTTGGTTCTCAACGTCGGTGGTTCTCGTCTTGTCATTCCCGTTGTTGAGAGAGTGGTTGAAGAACGACTAACATAAAAGCAACGGAACGCTTGTGAGTTCCAGTTGATTTGCCAGTCGAAAGAGCATCCAAGCTCTAATCCATCGACAACTGCCTCACTGAACCAGTGAACTACGGACAACATCCATTCGGCAATGGCCAACATGTCCTATCACGTCTCGCGGTATTTCGTCTCAGAGACTGCAAAACTCTCGTCACTCCTGGACGTTGTCGCGGCTGAGGCAGCCGGCTCGGACAACACTGAGTGCCGACTTCAATGCACACAGCTCACAACCATCATCAGCGAACTACTACACCAAGCACAGGTGTTCAGCTCCTTCACACCCCAGGACTTCCAAGGCCGATGGCAGGACGTTCAGCTTTTCGCTGGCAGGAGTCAAGCCGTGCAGAGTGTTGCGGCAGGATTGCAGGAGACGACGGCGAGAAACTCACCATCCAAGAAACGAGTCAGGTCTGGAACGCTTGAGGTTGATGCCAATGCTGGTCTAAAGCGATCTAGAAGCTATCAAGACACGCGAGAGATGGAGGAGGATGTGGTGATGAGGGATCTGCCGATTCGGACTGCGGCACCGCAAAGTTGGAGGAGTGAGATGGTGTGTGATTGAGCAGAAAGCCACCTTCAACGTGCGAGGCAGTCAACCACCGCTCTCGATGACCCAGTCGGTGCCTCAATCAGTTCTTCTTATGCCGCCACAGCGAAACCGTAGTCGACTTCTCCTGCCCCTCAAAACACCGCTCCGGACTCCACGTCTCCACCCTCACAAGCGCACTCTCCGTCGTCTCGCCACTGCGATCCGCACACACGTGCCCGCTGATGTTATACCGGACCTCATTCCCCGGCTTCGCGAACAGCTGTTCGTACAAGTCGTGCGTCAATCCATGTGGTGGACCGCCGAGATTCGGGTCCTTGCCGAGCGGAAACTCCATGCAGACCAGCGTGCCGGTTGGCGACAGCAGTTCGCTCATGCGTGCGGCCCATCGAGGGCGCATCGAGGGAGGAAGGGCGCAGAGGAAAGTGTAGTCGTAGATGAGGTCGAAGGGGCCATCGGACTTGGAAACGCCAATCTCGGACAGGAAGTCGTCTTTGAAGAAATCGGCCTCGATAAATTTGGGCTCGCCGCGGCCAGCCTGGACATGCTGGACGGGAAAGATCTGCTCCTTGTCTTGCTCACGCAGCAGCTCTTCGGCGGCTTTGATAGCGGTAGCAGAAACATCCAGACCATAGGCATCGAACCCGTATGACGCGAACAACAATACATCATACCCTCTCCCACAGCCCGGCACGAACGCCTTCTTCCGCATTTTCCCACCATCCCCACCACTCTTCAACGGCGAAGCGAAGAACTCGCCCTTCTGCGCCAAAGCATCAACCAGCGCAGGAGTCGGCCTCTTCCGATCCCACGGCGTCACTTCCTTCTGCCACATGTAATCCCACCCATTTACCTGCTTCTCATCCGAAAGCCTCAGGAAATGTTTGCGCAGCTCCTCCCGCTGCTCGTCGACTTTGGGCTGCTCCATGTTCAAGCTCCAATCTGTGACGGTGATTTGGTAGAAGTAGTGAGGAAGCATCGTGATGGAGGGTTTGGTGAGATGAGAAATAGAGTGGATTTGTGATCAGCTGACGTTGGAGGGGAGAAATGAATTGGAATTGTTCACCTTTCACTGCATTTTGAGATGGTGCGGTGGAAGAGGAGACGGGGGAGCGACATCCTGCTATTGCTGCCACACTCAGCTGTTACCTGGTTCACTACGCTCTTACTACCAGAGTTGTTGCGAGCGAACGCGGTTTTGACGACCCCGCCTCGAGAACCAGAGTTTTGACATCTGTGGCGGTGCTGTCCTTGGCCGACCTCGGCCGTTGGAGAGGTATACGGCTATCCGGCACAATGTTGCTACTGCAGTGAGCGTCAACACCGCAAGCCTGCAGTGCCGTGTGCCGTATAGCGCTGATGGAAGGGTAAGATCGATGTACTGTTGTGCGCCCTTTGACCTATCCTTCCCATCGACATTTGATTGATCTTATCTCGTTTCTTGGGCGTTCGCTATTCGCCACCATGCCTTTATACAATACCTAGAATGCCTACCTAAATAAGACGCACCATCTCCTCCACTCGTGCAGGTTTGGCATACCGCAGGATCATAAAACATGTCCAGAGATCATGATCATGACCTCGAGAAGGGCGACCCGGACAGCGAGCTTAACAGAGAGGACACAGACTCGACTACAACCACAGGACGAACACAGGTACCAGCACTTACGAAGGAACCGGACATTCCCACAACAGCAGCACCCTGCGCAAACAGCGAAGACATCCTAAAGATCCCACAACGCGGAAGGCAAGACTCAAGATCATCACATTCATCATCCAACTCCGCACGAACTCTATCTGATGACAATAACAACGACCCCCACGACCACCATAGCGACCGCAGCCGCGCCCAATCATCCAACCGCTCCGTACAACGAGATGCCGAGAAAGTGCCCCGCGGGCAACGTCGAGGACTCCTCGCCCGCTTTGCTGTTGTCGCTGAAATCACAGATGCCCACGACTACCCGCGCAAGACGAAATGGCTCCTCACAGTCGTAATCGCCACCGCAGGCGCCGCAGCACCCATGGCGTCTTCCATCGTCCTTCCCGCTCTGGTGGATATCGCGCGATACTTCGACACCACCGCCACAGTGGTGAATCTGAGCGTAGCATTGTACATGCTCAGCATGGCCATCTTCCCGCTTTGGTGGAGCTCGTTCTCGGAAACTTTGGGGCGGAGAACGATCTACCTGACCAGCTTTGCAATGTACGTGCTGTTCGCCGTGCTCGGAGGCGTTTCGACGAACGTGGGCATGTTTTTGGCGATGCGGGTGCTGAACGGGGCTGCTGGGGCGAGCGTGCAAGCTGTGGGCGCCGGGACCATTGCGGATATTTGGGAGGTGAAGGAGCGAGGGAGGGCGATTGGGTTCTTTTATTTGGGTCCGCTGTGTGGGCCGTTGCTTGCGTAAGTGGAGGCAGAATGCTTTTCCTTCCGTGGTGGCCTTCATACTGACAGCTTGCTTCTTGCAGTCCCATCATCGGAGGAGCGTTGAACCAGACTCTCGGCTGGCGGTCGATACAATGGTTCCTGACCATCTTAGGAGGCGGCATTCTGGCCTTGATCGTGCTGTGTCTTCCAGAAACTCTCCAGCAACGCAGCAATCCAGTAGCAGCCCTCGCCGAAGATGAAGCCGCAGCGGAGCTCCCAACCGACGAAAAGACCGGTGTGCCCGCGCGACCAGCCCTCTCCCGAACCACGACCAGACAATCCGTCCAAGTCAAAACCAAAACATACCTCACCGTGCTCCAGCGCTGCTTCGTCGAGCCGCTGCGGATAGTCCTATATCTTCAGTTCCCCGCCGTGGCCATTTGTGTCTTCTACGCTACCACCACCTTCGCAGGCCTCTACATGCTCAACATCTCCGTTCAGCAGACCTTCTCCACCACTCCGTACAGCTACACGAGCATCATTGTAGGACTTTTGTACATCCCGAACTCAATGGGATACTTCGTGACGTCGATCTTCGGCGGTCGATGGGTCGACTGGATCATGGCGCGAGAGGCAAGGAAAGCAGGCCGGTGGGATGAGAAGGGCCGACTGATTTACAGGCCTGAGGACCGAATGCGGGAAAATGTCTGGATTGCCGCGGTCATGTTTCCGGCTGCCCTTATCGTGTACGGATGGACCGTGACATATGGTGTGAATGTTGCCGTGCCGCTTGTGGCGAACTTCTTCTTTGGCATAGGTTCCATGCTGTGAGTTGTCTCCAATATGCGATCAAGCTGGCCGCTGACGTGACGCAGTGTTTTTGCAGCGGTGACGACGATGCTGACAGAGTTCATGCCTCGCAAAGCAAGTAATGGCGTTGCTTTGAACAACTTTGTGCGAAACATATTCAGCTGCATTGGCGGTGCCGTGACTGATCCACTGATCGACGCGATCGGCAACGGGTGGATGTTCACCGGTATGGGCGTGATTTGCCTGGTTAGCGGAGCGTTCTCCATTTGGGCCATGCGACGGTATGGTGACCACTGGCGTATCACAATGGATCGCAAAATAGACAAAGTGCAGGGCAAATGAAACAGTCGGCCGCGCCAAAAACATTCCTCCACCGCGACCATGCTGCAAACGAGGCTAGATTCGGTTGTTGACAAAGCTCCTCAGCTGCGGCAGGTTCAGCGCTTGAACCAGGTCTTCGCCTTGGAGCTGTTGGCCCTCGAGTCCGACGTCGTCTGGCAGTCTGTATGCCTCATTGAAAGTGCTGGAGATCTCTCTGCTCCAGGCATTGAAGGGGTTGAATTTCTCCACCTCCGGCGTGGGCTCGCTTGGATGCAAGCTCTGTGGGGACGTCAGAAGTTAAAATCAGACTGGAAGGAAGGCGTGGCATACCTCCAAGAAGCGATAGCATCTTGCCATGCTAGGGTTTTGGTGGCTATGCCGGTAGCACAACCCTTTGATACGGCGGACCGCGTCTTCTGTCTCGCTCAAGGTTGGGTCGCCTTCATTGCTCATGACAAAAAGCACCAGACAGGCGGCGGTGAATGACACAATCAGTGTGGTGAACCAGTGCGCTTCGTTGAAGAGGTTGTATGACTCGAGAGTCTCGGCGAGCCAGACGACCTGCATCGAGGCCTTGATGCAGGAGCTACCACAAGCATAGGCTTTGAGGCTAACTGGGCTATTGCTCCGCATGTTCTTCAAGGCGTGATGCAGGAATGGTCGGTACAGAACCATCTGGACATGGGCGTAGGCCAGACGCAAGAGCAGCTGAGATCTGTGAGCAGCGGTCAGCATAAATTAGTTGGAAAAGCAATAGCAGCTCTTGCATACCGCATCAGCATAGTGCCTTCAGGTGTCGCTACATCAGCCGGATTCTGTAGGTTGTTGAACCAAGCCTCCAGCTGTTCTTCGGTTGTGGTTATCTTGCCATATTCAACGCCATAGAATCCGTTCTTCTGACTGATGGGCCGTGTGACTGGATGGTTCGACTCCACAGCGCTGGCCAAGATCTGAATGAGCTGTGCATGCGCGTAAGTGCCAGCCATCGGGTCATTCATGCCTCGTGGCGTCGATGGGCTGGGCATGAGGTGATCGGACTTTACGTCGCGAAGCGTACGTGGAAGGCCAAGTGCGGTGGTGACGTAGGTGTCCATCATATTCAGCACTGAAAACAGCTGCCTTCGATAGAGCCTCTCCGGCTCCGGAAGCTCTTTGGAGGCCACTTCGGTGAAGAGGCCCATCTGAAGCGAAGCAGCGACTGCCATGCAGATGTATGAATAGCACGTGCTCATCATTGACGACACTTGAGTGTAAAGTATCATGCAGAGAAGTGCTTGCAAGGAGATCAAGTCGTGGCAGTCTGCAGGATCCAGCATTGCTCGGCTTGCGCGAAAGAATCGTATCCTGGCTATGTCAGCCGGCCATAATCAGGTAGCATGTGTGACTCTCAACGTACCCTCGAGTGCCTTGAGCGGGATCGCCAGATTGTGCAGGCTCAAACCGGCGAGCAAGCGCCAATACTGCGTACAGCAACGCCAAAGGCTTACGGCTGTAATGTTTGGAGTCTTTCTCCGTCTCGGCATAGACCTGTCGTGCTATTTCTTCGAGGGTAGGACGGTCTGAAAGTGGGCTAGAGTCAGTAATCACCAATCAAATAACGCATATTAGGAGTGCGTACCAAGAAACTGCATATTGCAGCATGCTTGATTCACTACAACGTCAATAGCCCGGTCAAAGTTCGCTCGGGATGGAAGCATGGCAAACGCATCCCAGGGGATTGACGAGTCGTTCTCGGGCGAGTCAAAGTCAAAGGCATGGATGAAATCGTCCTGCAAGGTCTCGACTTCCGAGTTCTTGCGACTTGCGGAAGCATCCTTGCATAGGTCGTGCACACGCCGAAGCAAGCTCAAGCCTGCAAAGCTGCCTCGATAGCGCTCGAAGGAGCTGGCGTGCGGTGAGTCGTACTCGCCGGCGCCGACCATCGTCTCGATGACGTCCTCATCTGCAGGCGTTCCAGATGATTTTCCTGCTTGCGGGGCGTCGGCGTGAGCTCCGTTGGTAAAGGGTGTCGAGGAGGGTGGTGCTGGTGGTAGTGGTGGTGCGGAGGTCTGCGGTGGTGGCATAGAAGCTTGGCTGGCGGTGGGGGTATCTGTGGAAGAAGATGGACCATTGCGATCACTGCGGATGGTCATCGGTGATGCTGGCGAAGAAGAACCGCGAGCGCTTTCGCGGTCCAGAGCCATCTCCAGATCCTCGACTTTCCTCTCCAGACTTTGGATGTACTCCACGGCGGTCATTCGCCGGTCGGGCTCGTCGTAAGAGCAGGCCATCTCGCCGATGCGACATGCTTCGCAAGGCATACCGCCATCGCAACGCGTCTTCCTGCGTCCTACATAGATTGATGATTAGCTTCGCTGTCCGATACCTCCAACGCGGAGTGTGCGATACTGCAAGCGGCGCACGCCCGGCCTGTCCTTCTCCGTTTCTTCGGCGGCGCGGGGCCATCGCCTTTCGTCTTCTCTCCTAGGTCCGACATCGTGCCGCGATGGTATGTCGTGAAGTCAAGTTGGTGCTATGTAGTGGCAAGGCGGCGGAGCAAGGGTGATGACAATAGACGAGGTCACCGGTACCGTAGATCTTGGCCTCGAACTACGCGAAGGTTTGCGATGCGGGAGGTGGTCCGAGACTGCGAGCTACAGGTGCGAGCATGACGAAAGTTTAAAATAGCACTAGAAGAGACGGAAGCTTGTTGCGATGGAGAAGACTGATATGTCGGGCGTGTGCAGGTCTCGCTCGCGTGGGCGCATCCAAGGTCGAAATGTACGACGCTGGCGGATGGTGCACCAACGTCCACAACCAGTCGCAGGTGCAAATTGCCCCGCGGCCCCACACTGACGAGGAGGACAAGACAGGACTATGAAGCGAGATTAATTCGATCAACACACGGGAGAGATCATGACGGTCGGGATATCAACTCGGAGTGTTCTATTCACTTAGTTCGGAGGAGGATATGAATGTTATCTGTCTCAGTGACTTTGCTTCTCCATCATCTCCTTCCTGCAGGGCGAACAGTCAGCGATCCGAACGTAACACAAAACCGGTGATTCTTGCTACGGTGAACTCACATCTGGAACATCTTCTTCTGCCTCTCCTGCTCCCACCCGTCGAAGCCCATAGACTGCTTGACAGCTTGTACCGGCACCTGTTCGTTGTCCTTGCCGGACTTGCAAAGTCCCTCAAACGCCTCTTCGGTAAACTCCTTCAGCGGCATGCCAATCTGCTTGCCCTTATCGCCAAACTCGTGGTCGTGCAGCTCCGTCTGCACAGCGGGAGGAAACAGCTCGATGATCTTGACGTTGCTCTTCGCGTCCCGAAGCTGCTCGCGCATCACCAGGATCATGTGGTGCAGGGCAGCTTTGGAAGCGCAGTAGTTGGGACAATACATGATCGGCACCAGCGCGAGTCCTGAAGTGGTATAGACGATGCTCGTCTCCTTTGGCGCTTGCTTCTGCAGGAGCGGGAGGAATGCCTTGGTAAGATGCATGAATGCAGTGTAGTTTGTGAGCATCTCGGTCTCGATGGTCTCGAGGTCGACGCTCTCTGGCTCGGCCCAGTTGATCTTCCTTTGCAGGCCAGAGTTCAGGAAAACACAATCCAGGTCTGGGTGTTTCTTGATCATATCCGAAGCGAAACCTGGGATTGCCTGAAGGTTTGTGATGTCCAAGACCGCCGTGTCGACGGTGGCGTTGCTCGCGGAGCCATGCTGTTTGGCGAAGTCGTCCAGGCGTTCTTTTCGTCGTCCGACGACAATGACAGACGTCCCTGTTTCGACGAACTTCGAGGCGAGAGCCCATCCAAGGCCGGAGGTGGCCCCAAAAACCAGGACTTTGCGGTATTGAAGTTGCATTTTGCCAAAAGGGGGAGTTAAATTTGAGAAGTTCAAATACTGTATTGGAAGACGAAGAGATGGGATGATAGAAGACAAACAAATAAGATGAAATACCTTTCCTTTATTACCTACATGTACCGAGACGGTTTGCCTGGTAGAAAATGTATGATGATGATGTCAGTTCCTCAAGATTCCTCCGACTGAACCACAATTGCCGGGCCGGAACTTCCTGTGTCACTGTCGATGGTGAGGGAGTGGACGTATTCTCGTAAGAATTGTAGGGAGTAATCTATACTGATACGAAGAGTGGCTGTACGCTTGCAACGCGCCGAAGGATAACTGCAGAGGCAAAACGTAAGGTGGAAGAAGGCGTGCAGCTTTCGGCAGGAGCGAGTCTGACGCGATCGTGAATCGTGACGCGAAATTGCTGAATACTACATGTACCATAATTGCATGTACCTCAGCACCTTACTCACCTCAGCGACAAGACAACATCCACGCGACCATCTTCTCGCGATCTCAACCATCTCCGTGACGCAAACGTGGCCTTTCTTTTCCACCACATGTTCAAAATGAGCGACGTTTGCCTTCGCGCTTGGGCGACAGACCATGCATCCTTGACTTCATCGTCCGAACAGCCTGGAATAGCTGCAGCATCAAACGTCCAGCGAATACTTTCCACGCTGGACCTTCAACAGTCCGTATTTCCACCAGCGGCTCGTCTCAGCCTCAGCGCATGGCTCGTCTGAGACAATCTGCACAGCAACCCGTGGCAGAACCTCTGGCTCAACCGCAGCCACCCCAGATACGGTCAAAAGTCTTCCACTGGCATCGATGGCTTCAGCGACTGCTCCATCGACTTTCATGCCCTTAACGTGCAAGGCGGTTTCAAAGCTCGTCCGCTCGACCTCGCCTAGAAATGCTCGACTGCCGAAAGCATCTGTCTGCTCGTAGAAACGCCAGAGCTTCGTCTCCGTGTCGCCGTTCCAGGAGACATAGATGCTCGTTCCCTGCCCATTCTCCAGGGAAGTAATAGCTGGCACCTCGTGTGGCAGACCGGTCCAGTTGTATCTGAAGCCGCGGTAGTTCTCGACTCCAAGTCCGAGAGCGCCGCTGTCCATGTATGCGTGGAAGATGGGCGTCCCGTCTGGAAGGTACTCAGTCATCGCGCCTTCAGAGCCCCAGTTCACGAGGACGTTCTTGTTTGGCAAGATCTGAGTGCTGCCCTGGGATTTGGAGAGTAAGTCGTCGGGCGGGTAGAAGCCTTGCACGAGTTCTGCTTGCCATGATGTTGTGTTGAGCTTGAGGATCTTGCCACTGCTGGTTGGAGCGGTGTGGACTTCGTTGCCGCCACCATTCTCTGTGCCCTGTGAAAATAGAGAAATTTGGTCAGCCTATGTCGATACATGGTATCTCAGAGGCGGACTACATCTTCGACACTTACATGAGCGCTGTTATCGTAGAGCGAGATGGTTTCAATGTCATCGTACTGCTCGTAGAAGCGAGCATGGTGTTGGAAGCAGAACTTGCTATTCGGGCCCATCTCGAAGTCGCTCTTCTTTCCGTTGAGACGCCAGATAATCTCGCCGCTAGTGCCGTTGATCTTGTGTACGGCGCAGGCATCTCTGGCAGAGACGAGGTAGTTGCCACTGTCGTCTTTGTCGACGCTGTTGATGTGGAAATAGTCCCAAGCGTCAGAACTGTTGTATCCTGAGCCTGCTTGGCCTGAATGGAATAAGAACGAATCAGCAATGTCTCAGATACGGAAGGAAGAACTGTCTGGAATCATACCAGGATTGATAGGCAGAACGGCCTCGTCAGGATCAACATGATCGAGACTGGACCACTCGAAGAGGAGCTTGCCGGTTTCAATGTCGAGTTCTAGGATAGTCAGATATTGTCTTACAGCAAGCGCTAGTGCTTCTTCGACAAACCTTGAATCATAGCATTGACAATCCACTGCTGCTCCGGACTAGCTCCCCACGGCGTCAGATCACGAGGCACGGGCTGATAGATCTGAATGAGCCCAGTCTCCTCGTTATGGAGGTGGAACTCATGCTTATCCGTCAACTTATGGTTGCCGGCGCGAAGCTCACGAATGGTCTCATAGTGCTGGTCCATAAACGTCGTATGCCCGTGGCCATGACCGTAGCCCGCGTTGTGATCGCCTTCAAAGCTGAATAGGACGTCCTTGCCTTTCCAGCATGCAGCTTGGAAATTGGTAGACCAGATGCTGTAGATGCCGTATCCACTCCAGACAAGATCACCGTTATCACGGAAGATATACGGGCCAGCTTGTCGAGGACCGTGTTGCTCCGATACGGTGTCGTGGATGCCTGCGAATGGAGCTACAAACAGGTAGCCCTTCTCGACTTCGCTACTCGCAGGGATGGTGATGTTAAGGCGTGGCGGAGCGAGATCCGTCCTCGACTTGTACTGCCAGTCAGCCAGCGTCAGTGGAAGGCTGGCCACGGTAGCAAGAGCGTGCAATGTGGTCTTCATGTCGCCGGTTTTTATGGTCACTGCTGTGATCAGCCTTTGATGTATTCATCATGTTGATAGTGTGGGTACGTTGACCTTGTCTGGTTTTCCGCACTTGTATGCGTTTTCGGTTTGTTGCGAACTGGGTCGGCTCCGGGAGATGTTGAAAGTAGATGGAGGAGAAGAAGACAGGAACACTGAGAGGATAGCTTTGAAGATTGCGTGATCGGAGCGTTGGCGACAGCTCTTATGCCAAGCGGAGGAGTGTATCAACATGACTCTGTAAGATAGGCAAGGTAGATAACAGGTCTTGGTAGAGATAGGCAGGCTCATCTGGTTCCAATCAAGGAAACGGGTCGAGCGGGTGTCGGAAGGAAAGGGATGCGATGCGGTAGGTACGATTAGGGACAACGTCTTCCGAGTATGCAGCCAGGGCGCACAGATCCGGTCGTGCATGGCACTTTCGAGACATGCGGCGCTGGAGTTCTTCGTCAAACTGTGACAATACCTGAAATTTGATTTTTCACGTTGTATGCTCGTCCATGGGGCGTAGCGACAAGATTGGGACACGAATGGAAGAGCTGCCAGCGAAAAGGTGTAGTAGCCAGAACGCGGTGAGGATAATTGATCATAAGTCGTGAAAATCTACTACCAACGAGTGTCCTCAAACGCAACACCACCGCCATCACTCATCTCATCTCCCCTCCTCTGCTACCACCATCAACGGCATCTCGATTTCGAGGCTATTCTTTGCAGCACTCTACCCTAGTGTGCGAACAGTACCGCCACAGCCTTGCTCTTCTCAGACTCTGGCAGGCCGGCAAACTTTCGCATTGCGACTTTGTTGCGCCAAATGTAGAAGAATTTGGCTGCGACGAACAGAGCGATGTTGACAACGCAGAGCGCCGTCATGGCCCGGTTGCCAGTGTAGTAGTAGGGCATGTCTTCCTCGCGGTAGACGTTCACGGCGATGATCGATCCGACTTGATAGCACATGTTGTACACCGCTGCGGACACGGTACGAGTGGCGACACTTTTGGCGTTGCGACTCGTCATGCCTACGAGGATGGAGTGGGTGTACGGAATGCCGTTGACGCCGGTCAGGAGCACGTATCTCACCCATGGTGATGCCGTGTCGGGAATAGCGATAAGGCCAATAAAGAACGGCAGCATCCAAAGGTTCGATCCTGACGCAACCAAACAGCGCTCGTCGAGTTTCTCAGACAGCTTCCCGAAGACCAGGATGTTGATGGCAAAAAGTGCAAAGCCCGGGATGGCGAGAATGTTCGACATGAAGACCGAGTAGCCCATGTTGCGCAGGATGAGCGACAAATAGTTGGCGGTCGGCTGGAAGGGGATGTAGGCGGAGATACCGAGCTACAACGGCCTTAGTCTTTTCGACAACAGGATGCAGGTAGGCACGAGACTTACAATGTAAATCGGCCAGAGGTCGATGTTGGTGAAGGCGGACCACAGTCCCCTCCAGTCAATGCCCTCACGGCTATTCATGTCCCCTTTCGTGGGATCGTCACGCAGGATGCGGTTGACGAGGACCTTCTCTTCATTCTCGCTCCACCACTTGTTCGAGCCATCCTTGCGCTTGAATGCGAGGGCAGGCTCGCAAACAGAACCCGGCATGACGAGAAAGCTGATGAGGCCGACAACGACGCATATGAGGCCTTCGACGAGGAAGCTTGGTCCATCAGCTGTCACTTTCTCGCCGACTTGACCTGGCCGAGGAGTACTTACAGCCATTGCCAGCCCGCCCAGTCTTGAACGCCCCTCATCTCCAGCAGTCCCGCCGCCATGAGACTGCCGTAGATCTGTGTCAACGGAATGGCAGTCCAGAAAATGCTCAGGCGGATGGGAAGCTCGTTGCCTTTGTAGAAGTAGCTGAGGTACAGCACCATTTCTGGAATGAAGCCACCTTGACAGAAACCGAGGACCGCTCGCAACGCCCAGAAGCTCGCTCGACCTTTGATGCCGGCTTGAGCAGCACAGAATGCTCCCCAGAGGACGATGGCAGCTGGTGTGTACCGATACGGACCGATCTTCTTGCTGATAAGACCACCCGGCAGCTCGGCGAACAGGAAGCAGATGAAGTATATTGTTTGACCGGTGTTGTAATCGCTTCGACCTTGGTAAGCGTGCCGCAAGTCACAAGGGTCCTGACAAGCAGATGCTCACTTGGTGTTGACGCCAATGTCGTCAAGCATGTTATCGGATATGGCCCGATTGATGTTGCGTCGGACGAGATCCAACGCTGAGAACATCACCCAAACCCAAAGCATAATGCGCCAGTCCAACTAGAAACAAGGTCTGATCAGCCTGGGTTCAACGCTCACAATACTCACGCTATGGCAGGAAAGGACAATATCAAAGTCCTACTTTCCTTTTGAGAAGACGCTCACTCTGTCCGGTCCAGGAGAAAGAGGGATCGAATCTATGGCGGCCCTCGTATTGGCTCCGCTCGAAGACCTCGCGCCAGTGCTGCTCGCGGTCCGGGTGGGAAAATACATGTGGGAACACCGCCCCGTATTGAGCTGTTGGTGGCAGCTGGTCCAAGTCCAGGGAATCGGCACTGACAGTCTCAGGGGACTTTTCAGCATCTCTCGAACTGTCGGAAGTAGTGTCTCTGGTGAGAGCAATGCCTCCAGGAGCTGAACGCTCGTCAACAGTGGGTCGACCGGTGGCAGACATGGTTGCAGTGAGACAAATGTTTCGACAATAAAGATATTGGAACGTTTCCCTCGTCAGCAACGTATATCTGCGAACAGCTCGATTCTTATACCCTTTGCCACGTGGACGATACGCATTACCGATGACCTCCAACAAGCCATGGACGTTATCAGTTGTCTCCAACACGTGGACACGCCACCTATGCCTTCGATAACGTGCTCGAAAGGCGGAGACATGTGCATACCGGCCAAGCAAACACTCAAGGGTCTGGTGGCAGATAAGGACGATATCAGGCCGGTCGTTGCGCAGCACACTCTTGGCTATGTGCTTATCGAACGTGGCCGGATGTCGCTCTTGCTCCTTCGAAACTGATCGACCGGAGACAGGCGTGACTCGTTCCAGAGAGAGAACTACGAAGATAACACTGTGCTGTCGGATCTACGGGAAGTTGGACTGATAGCAGCTACGAAGCGTACCCGGGTGCGAAGCGGATCTGGCACAACGAGCCTCTATCGCAAGGACTGAATCGCAGGCCGCCCTAGGCAAGCCTCTTTTCAACAGGCGGAGGAACTTCTCAGCTTCTGGTACTGCTCCACTGAATCAGAGGTCGAGCTTTCGGTGCAGTCTTACGGCTTGAATTCATAGGGGTGTTACTGGACGGCTGATGGGATGCAACAGCCCGTTCGACTTGAGACTCTGATACAGAAGAATTGCTCGCCCGTGAAACCCATATCAAACATGTATCAACTTCTATATGATGAGAATCGAAAACTTTTCCTTGGTCAGCATCCCCGTCAAGAGCGCGAGGAAGGCTGTCCGATCGCGTTCAATAGTTCTGGGGTATAGCACGGAACCCAGTTGCTGTGCGGAGGTCGCTTTCTGTCATGGTGCCGGTCTTCTGAGTGATGGTGGTCGGATCTAGACTTCTGGTTCCGCATCCTTGCCTTTGGAGCTCGTGCTTCGCAGTCCTCGGCCTTTCACCAACAGCGATACCACTGTCCCGATGGCCGCAATGATCGCTGATGCCATGAAAGAGTACCTGATACCGTCGTAATAAATCAAGCGGGCCGTGAGTTGAACATTGGCTGGTAGGTCTTTGAGTGCAGTCACGGAATGACGTATCGCATCGATGTACTGGATGGGAAGGAGTTGTCAGCATACAGAAGTTTCGCAAGTGCATTGGTTGCTTTGGAAGCGTGAACAAAGGGGCGTACTCTCCATTTGTCTGGTATTTCACTCAGAGCCTCTGGGAGTCGAACGCTGAGAGTGTTTTGCAAGATGGCTGATGTGATAGCCACGCCGTAGACACTTCCCATTGAGCGGATCAGGTAGACGGTCGAAGCGGTCACTGCGTGATCTGCGGGAGTGTCAGTGCCGCAAGGGCGTATTGAGCCAAAGATTACATACCGGCATGATCGAACGCAGCCAAGCTCGTGAACAAGATAGCAGGGTAGACGATGCCTTGTCCAATGTTGGCCGGAAAGATGAAAATAAAGTATTTCCAGCTTTGATCATGGAATCCCAATGTCGCTACCAATGCATTGCCGAATGCCATCCACATTGAGCCGGCTCGAACCAGACCGATCAGTCTCCCCCAGCGAGACATGATTATGCCGGAGATGAAACTGCCGAGAGGAAAGGCTAGGGATGGGATGGCGAGACGTGCGCCAGCCTTTGTCGCCGAATCCTTCAGTACGACTTGGAAATACAAGGGTAACATGAAGAGATACTATTTGCTTGTTAGCTTCTGCGGCTCCCTTTCTGCGATATTCGTACTGTTCACTCACGGCATATGCTGCAAGACCCGCGCAGACATTTGCAACCTGGATAGAGATCGGCAATTGGCCTCGTAACATCTTGAGAGGTATGATCGGGATTGCGCTGGTCTTGGCTTCTACTACCAGGAAGAGGGCAAGGAGTCCGAAGCTTCCGACAAGAGATATGATGACCCATGGGTTACTCCATGGCAGCTCATTGCCGCCTAGACTTAGTCCAACAAGCTGGATGGAAAGTCCACTGACCAGCAGGAAGGCTCCCGCGAGATCGATGTGTTGCCATGCGTCCTTCAAACCGCCCGTAAGGTCGACTCCAGTCGTGGACGGAGGATTCCGGATGACCAGCCATCCCAGGAGCAGAGCAGTGACTGAGATGGGCACCTGAAGCAGGAAGCACCATCTCCAGCCGATCGTGTCAGCGATTGTCCCGCCAAAGCTCGCACCACAGATGGCACCAAATCCATATAGCCCATTCTGCAGAGCCTGGTACATCCCGCGTTGTCGGAAAGGGATCATATCCGAGTTGACAATTGTCGCCATCGTCATCAGTCCACCGCCTCCGAAGCCAGTCAGCGCACGCATCACGTTCAATAAAGCGACGTTGGATGCCAGACCGCAGCCTAGACATCCCAACGCGAACGTGTTTGTTGCGGTAAAGAAGCAAGCACGTCTGCCGAAGATGTCTGAAAATCGGCCGTACAAAGGCTGGAAGGCTGTACTCGTGATCAGATAGGACGTTGTGATCCACGAGGCGGTGTTCGCGGCGTCGAAATCCGAGCTGATAATGGCATATGTTGCAGCTGTGATTGTCCCGTCGAAGCCATACAAGAAGACGTTGGTCATTATGGCGGACTCGATCCAGACGAAGCCTGGCGGAGCTTTCCATGCTGTTGATTGCGGCTCGTTGCTTGCTATCAAAGCTGTTTCTTCGTTGGCTGCCTGGTCGTGGTTTGCTTCGGCTTCGAAGGGCCCCATGGTATGGTGGTGAAGAGAAATCGAATGATGAGCCTTCCCAGGTATCTCGCTGCTTGGATTCTCAGGTGGGAGGACAACGAGCGAAGATGAACGGGTGCAGTCCGGGAAAGGCCAATGTCCACGCTGTAAAATTTGCTCTCAGCCGGCGGATATGCAGAATGTTCGACGAAGTAGCAAAGGTTCCGAAAACGCTCGATTGCCAACCATTGCCCTATCTCCATTCTTCATGGCGCCAAGAGACTCCGCTATGGTTGCAGGATTGCCCTATCTCCAACGAAGCGGGACCGTTGAGTATGGTGTGATACGACGGAGCGGTGCTCTGACTCGTGTAAGGTAGTGCTCAAGTACTGCGCACCTTGGCTGTGTGGAACAGCTGGAGAAGATCCAAGAGGAACAGGAGTTTACCGATCAAATAGAAACAGATTCATCAAATGGAGACATGATCTCACCTCCGCCGACGCGTCCTTGCTGATGTCAAACTTTGAGCATTCCTGCGATATCGAGCCACTGCTTTCGCGCCAATGCTTGCGGGCTCGCTGCTGTGCTGCAAACTGAGTTCGGCATAGACAGTAGGCCTGCGATATCTCTCAAGCATCTGTCTGGTTCTGCGAAGGGAAAGATCAGAAGCAAAGAAAAGGCAACAAGCGCACGCGGCAGAAGAACGAGCTTCGAAGCGATGACCATCTCGTGATCCTAGGGAATCGACACATTCTCTTGTCGCTTCTTCTACTTCGCACCACCATTCCATGGCCCGGACGCTTATATCATCCATAGAAGCATGCCGCAGTCGCCTCCCAAGTAGAACAAAATTATCAAGGGGACTTTACTGGCCACAACGATGTCTCCGCGGGTCTCGAAAGCACCCGCAAGAACGACTAAAGCTTAATATCCCTCCTCACCCTCCCACCATCCTTCCACACCCCAACCAATCCCTCCCTCGCCGTCCCCAAAATCGGATCCTTCGCAGGCTTCGGCACACCCCACACCTTCGCAAATCTCCCCACATCCTCGCCTCCCACCGCAAAGTCCCACTCTCCGCCTCCATCCGGATACGCCCCAATCATAGTGAACCCATCCAACTCAATCCCTTCCAACACTCTCCTCGCATCCGCTCCCGCCTCACCGATCTGATGCGCACCACCAGGCGTTAGCAGCTTGAACTCTGCCTCCGGCTGCGTGTTGAACGTCTTATGCGCCGTTCCAGCCGGCAGCACAAAGACATCTCCCGCCCTCGCCTCGATCTCTACGCCCCCGCTTTCTTGGGCAGAGCCATGCGTGCTCGCGTCCAAGTCTTCAGAGGTGTCGGCGACGCCAAAGCGGATCCGAGCAGAGCCGGTGAGGACGCACATGCATTCGTGCGCCTGGCTGTGGTAGTGCGAGGCTTGTGTGTGGCCGTAGCGGAAGATCCATTGGGTTTTCCAGCCGTTGGAGGCGTAGAGGTCGTGGACTTCTGCAGGTGGAATGGCGCCTGACTTCGAGCTTGCGGAGGTCTTTGATCGTAGCAGGCTGGGGTAGTGGAGTAGTGGATGAGGAGAATTGGGCATAAGTTTTGTTGGGGGGAGGTGGTATGTCTTTACTTCGACCATGGTTGCGAAGGGGCTCTGTAGTGGCGAATGCTCCTAGTCTGCGAAAGGAGGAGCAAAGGCCTGTTCAATATGAACGGTGAATGGTTCTTTGCAATGCTTGAGGATTCTAAGGGGAATATTGCCAACGGGTGAGGTGAGGTGGAGTTAGAAGAGCGACAACAGAAGAGAGCTCCTCTTTCGGGCACGGCAATAATCGCCAAATAGGGAAGGAGAGAGCGAGAAATATGAGCTGAGCCCCGCATGGCTTTAAAGCCGTCACAATGCGAATGCAAAGCAAAACACAGCGCCGTAGATATGACCCTACCTGCCTGAACGATGAAGCTCGGGAAACAGTCGTGCACCGACCGGCTGAAGAACGGTGATATGCCAAGATGCATCTGCCTGTCTATGTGAGCATGCATTCATTCCTGCAAGTGCTGTGCCACATCGAAATTAAGACAAACACCTTCACCGGAACGTCAAACGCTGGTTGTGAACGAGACAAGTCGAGCAAGTTCTCCCCAAATATCCGGGGCTGTTCCTAGAAGATGGAGTTGACAATGTTGCCTCCAATGGTTGCGCCGGCACCGAAGATAGCAGCGTTGCCCAGCCTAGCAAGGAAGAGTTAGCAAGTCGATACTCCGTCATACGCGAGTACTGTATCTCAAGAAACTTCGGACAACGCACTTCTTTCCGAATTTCTTGCCCGCTTCTTGCCCTTTGCCAGGCATCTTGCCTTCGCCGTCACCCATCTGCGATACCTGATTAATATGTTAGCTATCGTGGAAGTTGCCTCAGTTTCAACATATGCGGGAGACACACCTCCAATGGTTGATTGCCATAACCGCTCTTCTCCTCCACCACCTTGACATATGACCTCGGGAAGATACCCTCCTGCCCCGTCCTCGACGACTTGCCCTTCCACCATTCCGCGTTCATGTACTCCGTCACAGTAATGTTGTCATTGGGCTGTAACTCGAGATCGCCGGCATCCGTAGACGTGTAGGCGTAGAGAGCAGTTGCTTGCGCGAGCGGGGGCCAGCTCGCTTGCGGAGGGGGCGAGTTGTACGCTGGAGGCGGTGGCCCTTGTTGTGCCTGAGGTTGAGGGGATGGTGACGGGTAGTAGCTGTCTTGCTGTTTCTCGTTGTTCCTGTTGCTGTTGACATTTAAAGGAGCAGGTACTGGGTTGTTCGGCAGTGGTGAAAAGGGTGTGCCAGCATTCTGAGCAGGGGGAGGCATTGCGCCGACGGATATGGGTGCATGGAGGGCTGTCTGCGGCGGGATACGGGATAGGAGGTCCGAGAGGGTGGAGGGAGAGATGATGGTGGAATCGCAGAGGAACTCGAGTTCGGCCTTGATCGTTCGTATGGAGCGGTTCACCTGCGCTTGGTGCAATTCTTCGAGGTTCGCCATCTTGTGTTCTTTTCAACTTTGTTACAGGTGCGCGGCAGTTGTTCTAGCAGAAGAAGAGGTGAGGTGGTGTTCAATGGGAATGTGAGGTGAGCGTGAGTTTGATCGTGGCTGAGCAGGCCTCGCGTTGCATCCTTCCTCCAACCTTAGGCCCAGGTATACAAAAGACATCTACACACTTCCAACGCTCCGGTAAGGTATTATGGACATCAGGCGAAGTTAACAGTTGCTTTTCATGCTATCCGATCATCTCACTTGAACTCGGGCAAGAGCAACTCATCCTCACAGACCGTCAGAATTTGGCATCCTTGAACCCTCAGACCAATGGCACTCCCAGCAGCTACCATATCCTTTCCTTCTACCTCCATTCCTACCTTTCACGATTGTCTTGAAAACTCCCATCGCATTCTCGCCCTCCTTGGTGCTGGACTTTCCGCACCGTCCAACCTCCCTACCTTTCGAGGGGTCGGCAACAACCGACTATGGCAGAACCACGACCCGGCCAAACTCGCCACCCCTCGAGCCTTCGCCGACGATCCCATATTGGCATGGCGTTTCTACCAGGACCGCAGACGGCAAGCTCTTGACGCTCAGCCCAACGCAGCACACGTGGCGCTCGCTGAGCTAGCGAAGCATATGGGCAACGACTGCTGCATGCTCAGCATGAACATTGATGGTCTGAGCCAGCGAGCAGGTCATCCATCTGACGACGCCGGAGGCCTACTAGAGTTGCATGGCAACTTGTTCTCCTTGAAATGCTCCAATCGCGAGTGTGACTACGTTGAGAAAGACAACGTCGACCGCAGCTTGATTCCTGAGCATGTCCCTGACACTGAGATTGCCCTTCCCAAATGCCCGAGATGCTCTTATCTGCTACGCCCGGATATCGTGTGGTTCACCGAGCCGCTATCATCCTCTGTCACCCAGGGTGCCGACCGGTGGATTGCCGCTGGCCCTATCGACCTTGTTCTAGTAGTTGGAACGACAGCGCAGGTGTGGCCCGCTGCAGGGTACGTCGACTCGGCCATCGAGCGAGGCGCTAGAGTGGCTATGGTGGACATCGACCGTGGGGACCTTGTTCCTGGTAGCGGCGAACTCGGACTGACCAGTCGAGATTGGTTCTTTGTTGGGGTTGCTGCTGATTTGGTTCCTGCTATGTTGGAGCCCATCCTAAAATGAGAAGGAGCTGCTCTGTCCACTTGTGTAACTAGGTCATCCGGACTGCCGTATCCATTTTATGCGCATGTCAAGATTCAAGTGCCACTCCTTCTAAACGTCCAACCGTATTTTCAGCAAATCCCCCTTCACAACCTCCCCCCGCCTCCCTTCAAGCTCGTCAACATCCCAATTGGCACTACACAACCTCCCGCTGAGCCAACTGCTGCCGTTGCCTTCCTTCGTCAACCAAACGCAGAAAGCTCCACACAACTCCGGACTGTCCACAAGAGCAGACTTGAACATTCCCGGCGCCGTCTCCTCCGCCATCTCTGTGGCCACTGCGCCTGGATGCACTGAGAAGCTCTGCAGTCCTTGGGCAGAATATTGCTCGTGCACATGCTCTATAAGCTTGAGCTGCGCGAGTTTCGACACACAGTACTGTGTGTTCGCTATCGCGCCACGGATTATCACAGCCGCCAAGCTGCTGACTACGATGAACGCTTTCGCTCCTCTGTCCGTCTCAAGTAGGAGGGGGATGAGATGCTTCGCGCAATGGAAAGTGCCGACGTAGTTGACCTTGATCGCTTGTTGGAACGTCACCGGATCCGTTTCAGTCAGAGAGAGTACGACCGGTCCAGAGTAGCCAGAATTGACCACCACGACATCCAGTCTGCTGAACTTGTCCTTGGTCGTCTGTGCGAGAGCGGCTACGGAGTCGTTGGAAGTGATGTCGCAAGCGACAATTTCAGTCTCGACGTCCGGTTGCAGGGCTTTACATTTCGCTGCCGTTTCCTCCAGCCCAGAGACCCGTCTTGAGGCTAGAACGAGACCAGTGGCGCCAGCTTTGGCGTAGCTGCATACTGTTCCGGCGCCTATCCCACGGCTGGCTCCGACGATGCAGACGACGAATGGTTTGGGCAGTCTCGCTCGTGATGGATCGATGGCGGTATACGGCTCGTGGTGTGATTTCGTTATGAAGCTACTGGCTACTGTTGCGCCCCATTCAGACGGAGGTATATCGACATGCTGCAAACTCATGGCCGGGGCTCTTGAGTGAATAGCGGCGTCCTGTCTGAATGTTGATACTGGTTGAGAGGGAGAAGGAGAAGGAGAATGCATTGAATGAGTGCTTCTGCTAACAGAAATCAAGCATACGTGACAAGGGACGCCGCAAAGCGATGATGGACTTGCCTTCTCTTCTAGATTTTCACACTGATCAATGTGTCGTACCTGTAGTGTCGTTTTCCCAAAACCTTGTGACACAAGATGGCTCATGCAATGTAGTGGGGCCGAAATCACAGCTCGATCTCGAGAACCTCACCGCCGAAGCGAACCCTGCACATTGCCAAAGCGAAAGCGCCAAACATGGCTAACGCTTCGCCTAATCCCAACAACGGTCGTAAGACTCATCTGGTCATCGTCTGCTGTCACGCGACCTACACAGGAGATGGCACAGATACGTCTGAGCGCAACTGGATTCTTCAGCCCTTCCAGAAATCAGACCCAACTACCGGCAAGGCCAGCGAGCACGAAACGTACATCACTCACATCCTGGCTGGAGCGCAAGCGATAGATAACGACGAGAATGCCTTGCTTGTGTTCTCCGGCGGCGTCACGGCAAGCGCTGATGTCTCCGAAGCCCAGGGCTACCGGCGGGTCCTCGCAAGTCTGAAAGACGGCGAAGACTGGCACGGAGACGACGTCTGTACTGAAGATGTATCGACCGATAGCTTTCAGAACCTGCTGTTCTCGATCCTCAAATATCGTCAGCATGTGGGCTCTTTTCCCGAGCAAATCACAGTCATCACGCATGCCTTCAAGGAAAAACGCTTCCTCAATCTGCACGCACTGGCGATCAGGTGGCCAGCTCATCGCATCCGTATCAATGGCATCAATCCGCCATTGACGAGGGAGGAGCTGTCGCGGGCCGAGCGAGGTGAAGCGGCGAATGGCTATGGCGCTTTTGAGCAGGATCCGTTTGGAGTCCACCCGCCGCTGAGCAACAAGCGCAAGACGAGGGGATGGGACGAGCGTTCATGGGAATCGGTATTGTTTCCTGGCCTCGAGGCGGAAGTCGTGGACATGTTCAGATGGGTTCGGAATGGGGGCGTGGTCTTTCCGAGTCGGTTGCCGTGGGAGGAATAAAGGCTCGCGGTCGAGCCATTTGGACCTCAGGACTTGCCACAGCACTTGTGCGTGGGGAGTGGGGCGGAGCAGAGTCAGGGGCGCTCCAGATCTAATTCATTCGGCCAGCGCAGCAGTATAATCAACCAGTACCGAGAGGCTTCTGATATCGCTGCGCAGCGGTCTGATACCTCTCGAGCTTGATAGCGCCAGCAGACCATATCATCGTCGCATCTACAACAGTAGCCTCAGTTCGGCGAGAGACTTTCCACGGATCTTCATCCGCCGTCATGGCAATGGACTTAGACAGCTCCCTGACGTTGCCAACCACGTTGAGCCAGGCTCCCACTTGCAGAAAATCGTTCTGACCGTCCGAGAGCACGCTGTCGATGTTCACCAGTGCGGTTGGGGTTTCAGGGGCAGTCGCCGGATAGTGGTTGCGAAGAAGTAGCTGACCCTTCTCGCCGTAGTATGCATGCACGCTGCTCCCGTCAGTACGATGTTCGATCGCCAGAACGGGAGACATGCCATCCGAGGAAGCGGACTTTGGTGCCTGATGCCATAGTGTGCAGTTGTTCCAGAAGCACAAGGCGGCTGGGATCAGGCATTTTCGTTGCCTTCTAGAGCGAAACGAAGCATAGATGGAGCGTTGTTCTGAGCCCACTCGGTGACATGATCTGTAGTCGTCCAATCGGTCAGATATGTCATGTGTCGTGTCGCGGTCAACTTCTCGTGATGTTGGTGTTGTCTCAAAGATCTCGCGCCTTCTGATTCAAAGCGCTAGTGCCGGAACCACCCGCCACCACTTTCAACGTCATCCGCCTCGCCTGAACGTGCCCTCATATCTTACCACAATCACCACCACAAGGCAGCCAGAAAATCTCCTGCGACACATTCCACCACTTCTAAGGCACCTACATAGTGACGTTCAAAGCCTGCGACAAAGTCTCAGCGAATACCGGGAGCAGCAGTCCGGCGAGATTAGGCAGCTGGGAACTCACGAGGGCTTCATCTTCGCCTGCGTGCAAGTACTTCTAGTTACCACCTGGGGTTGATCAGCCACTGCCGTCGCCATCATGGCATCCAACGGCTGGGGCTGGGGCAACCTCTTCGGCGGCAACGCCAAAGCGACAAAGGACACCACCAAGAATGCGATCTTAGGGCTGCGGGGCACGTTGGATATGCTGGCGAAGCGGGAGCGACATTTGCAGAATCAGATGGACGAGCAGGACAACGTGGCACGGAAGAACGTGAGCTCGAACAAGGGAGGTAAGTCTGGTCACGCCAGCTCGGCGGTGGAGGCCATGAGATGCTGAGACGATAAGGCCTCGAACGCTGACATATCCTACGTTTGTAGTCGCAAAAGCAGCTTTACGGCGGAAAAAAGCATTCGAACACCAGTTGGAGCAAACACAATCTCAGATGATGACTGTGGAGCGGGAGATCAGCAGCATTGAGACCGCCAACATCAACAAAGAAACGCTCGACGCCATGAAGAATGCACAACAGGCCATGAAGAAGATCCACGGCGGACTTACGATCGACAAGGTGGATCAGACGATGGAGGAGCTGCGGGAGCAACATGCGGTCGGAGAAGAGATTGCCGAGGCATTAACACAAGGAGCGGTTGGGAACGCTGTGGACGAGGACGACCTGGACGAAGAACTGGCGGAACTGCAACAGGAGGAGCTGGACAACAAGATGCTGAAGACGGGCAGCATGCCAGTCAGCGATCAGATCCAGCGAATGCCAAACGCGGCAGTGGGAGAGCGTAAGTATACTTCCGTCTGCAGAGTGATGCCAGCGCATTGCTAACACTTCACACAGCCAGGTCACGAGTCGAAGAGGACGACGAGGAAGAAGAGCTCAAGAAGCTGCAGGCTGAGATGGCGATGTAGCGAGCCGGAGGGAGCGCATACATGTGGTTCTTTGGAGCGTTCGATTTCATGGTGTTATAGCAAATGTTCAAAGCAGACATCCTGACGAGCTAAAGTTTATATCCGCGACACGACTACAGAAATCTGTGGGCCCGCTCTTCAAGACGGATAAACGGCCGTACTCTCGAGTTCTCATCCTGTTCCAACGTTGTTCATGTGCCTCTCACGTCTCCGGGAGACCTTTGAAGCTGGGAGAAGGTCACTCCGTCGTCGAGGCCGCATCGCTTTGCCTAAGCATCATCACAGGTGGCCGCTCGTAGATGTCACGTCGTTGTCTGCCTCTTCGATATCTTCCTCGCAAAGTGCGCTGGCGGCTTCTCCAAGCAAAGTTCAGGGGCTGGGAGAGTGAACAGAGGGTGTGGTGGCGGTGAGTAGCTGGAGACGGGTGAGAACGATCACTACATCCAGGCGTTGGTCTGTACGGATGTGCGCCGCTTGTCCACGCACAGAATACCAGTTCAGATGAATGACAGTGAGTGTAGCAGCGGGCGGCAGCTTTAAATTGGTAGAAATGCACGCTACATACGGTCATCACTCATCACTCATAATCTCATTCACCCTCCACTTCCACCGGCAGCGTATCGAAGACGACCTGGTTGTTCTCGTAATGCTCCAAGAAGCCACTCTGCAGCAGCCTCTTCAGAGCATTGAGTCGATGCAGCTTCCACCACTTATCAATTGTCATCTTGCCACCGTTCTGAACATTGATCTTCAACCTCGACCCCATCTCGTACCCATCCTCGTCGAGCGCCGTGCTGTATCGTGGGCCGCGTGTGGGCTTTTCGACGGTGTGCAGGATGTCGGTGAAGGTCATGTGGAGCGACTTGCGATCCTTTTTGGACAAGCGCTTGGAGGAGGCTTTAGCAAGTTCGGCCAGCTGTTGTTCGAGCCGATGCTTCTGGCGGTACACAGTGTAGCGCTTGATCATGACGTCGCGGTTGCCGTTGTTCGCGTTTCCATCGGCGAAGAGCTGATTTTCGTTCTCTCCTTCTTCGACCTCGTCGTCCGACTCAGCTTCCGTGTAGCTTTTCTCGTACAGAAGCGCGATGTTGTCGCCGGCAGCGGTGAGCACGCCGGCATCGCCACTTTCGAGTTGATCGACGAAGGTGTCCATGGCCACCTCTGTAGATTCTTCCAGGTCCTCGAGTTGTGTGGCAAGGAAGCCCCATTCTTCAAGGGCAGTAACGACTACTTCTGCGTTGTCCGCTTCTTCGATGGAGCTGCCGTCCGAGCTTGCGATTTCCAAGAAGAAGTCCATGATTGACTCGACCTCCTCCATACTGGCACCGCCATAAAACGTGGCCACACTCAGGACATGCATCGCAGCAATCTTGGCCGTAGGGTGTTGCGCGTCGGTGACAACGGTCTTGACAGGCCCAGACACCGTATCGTAGAAGTCCTCCGAAGGATCAGTGACCAGCATGAGCGCCAAAGCCTTCAACGCTAGCACGGTCTCACGCTCGGTCTGCCCGCTCTTTACACTCTTTAGCAGGCTCGGGACCAGCTCGCCCATCTTCCGCTTTATCTCCTGCTTTCCATAATGCCGTGTCAGGCCGGCGATAAAAGCCTGCAAGCTGTCTTCACGTCCTTGCACGCTCGAACGTTTTCGATCGCAGATCTCGTTCATCTTCTCGTCCAGAAACGCGGTCCAAGCGTCCGGAGTCTTGTCGTCTTCCGCGCTCGCGATGAGGTCGTCGATACTGTTAGTACTCCACTGTGTAGTGTCGCTCATGTCGGCCTCGTCATCGGAGTGGTACGGCGTGTTGGCTCGAGAGACCTGTCTGCTGGCATTTGGTGTGCTCGTCCGTGATTTCGCCTTTCTACTGACAGTCTTGCCTGCTAACAACTCGCGTCGGTTCATTTTGACGGTTGTTTTCCCTTTTTGTTGTGATGTGTCTTGTCACTGTCGCACTGCTTAACGCTGTGGCAGCATACGTTGCTGAATGTCACTGTATGGGTGGGCGCGACCGGTCGTAGGAATCGCGATGTGTGTCGTGGATGAGTCGCAAGTCCATGAGGTAGGTGATGGGGGATATGGTATGTTGGAGGCTTCTATACGCCGCCTAATGTCGTCTTGTCACAAGAGTAAAGTGAAGTTGTCCGGTGACATGTGAAACTCTTCCTCGTCGACAGAGCACAATTGCCAAGCCCGGAACGAGCCGAGAACACGTGCTCTACCTTATCTTCCAAAAACTCTGGCCTCTTCACAAGCTCTGTCAACGCAACCATATCCTCTGCAGGACGATCGTAACATGGCCGAACGACCCTTCATCACGTGTCATGTCCTCGACACCATCATTGGAAAGCCTGGCGTAGGCATCGAATGCGCACTTGAGGCCATCGACTACGCTGCTGGCGCTACTCCGCCAACCTGGAAGGCGATGACCAACAACGATGGTCGTGTCGCAGCGTGGGACAACCTCAGTGGAGGACTCAACGAGTACATCGCCGAAAGGAAGTCCAAACTGGCAGAAGGCGAACACGTTGTGCTCAGACTTCGATTCTTTACTGGAAGCTATTTCGGGTACGACAAGACGTTCTACCCTGAGGTGGCCATCACGTTCTCTGTGAAGAAGGAAGAAGAGCACTACCACTTGCCTCTATTGCTTGGACCGTGGAGTTACACGACGTACCGGGGGTCGTAGAGGCTCTGAGGTGGAGGGCGTTGAAGCTTCCGCCTGAGGTGCGGTGTTGGCACGGGGACTTGCAGGCTACTCGCAGACTGCGTCAGATCTCACTCGTGGGAGATGTTCATCTGTGGTTGGCATCTCACATCTCTTTTCATCACTCCTTTCCAAAGACCACCAGCAGCTATCAACTATGGACCCCATATACTCACCTCTATTCGGTGTCGCATATCGGCTTTTCTCGAAGCTGTTGTGGTCGCAAGATTCCCTTCCATGGTCGAGCTCTGCGGTTCTGATCAAGATTCTCATGCTCATCTTCTGTGCTTGGTACACGAGAGAGTTAATCAGAAGATGGGTTAGGCTCATCACCACTACTTTTCTGGTCTTTACAACTCGGCATCAATCCAACATAGAACGGGAAATCGCAGCCACTCGGGGAGCCTACGATAGTCTAGGCTGGGAGCATGTTCAATAACAGCGAAGTAACAATCAGCAGCTCTCCATACTCAATTCGTGGAGCACAACAGCTCAATGCAGTCGACCAGCGAACATCCTCATCCGCTCGAGCCGGTAGTCCCGCATTTCCTGCTGGGCACCTAGGTCCAAAGCGCCACCACAATAGCATGATATATGTTCAGGCTCGCTCGGAAGATTACCAAGATGCAGATTAAACACCATCTCTCCGCAGAGCGGCCCTCTTCGGTCTGGCCTAGAGGTATCGTCTGACCACGCCAAATGCTACCAGCAGCAGAGAGCCAGCTGTCGTAAACACTCTCCGACGATGCTCGTCTCCATCTTGAGTGACGCCCAAAGCAACCGCGATGAACACATTCAGCGGCAGCCGCATGAACCCGTACACCTTTGCCCTCACTGCGTCTTCAACCACTTCCGACTTCAGACGACTCATGCTCGGAAAGTACAGACCCACGCACATTTCGAACAGGGCGAATGACCAGAAGGTTGCGCCTTCGGATCGCTGCAGTACCGGTATGAGGAGGCCCCACGACGCCAGGGCCAATATGCTGAGCGTGAGGTGTCCGGCATCCCGGGCGTTCTCTGGTTTGACAGTGCTGAAGATCATGCTTCCAAGCATGATGGCACACATGAAGCAGCTGAATATCAATCCGAATGGCAGCGGTGTCTCTGCATTGGCCATCGAATGGGCCGAAATGAGCGTCGGCGACCAGAAGAAGACGAAGAGGTACATCGAGCCCTCGAAGAATGTCGTCGTGGTAGTCAGTGCCAGTATTCGACGATCAGACAGCAGCGTGCCTATACCGCCTTCGGTTTGCTGCTTTTTGGTCGCCTCGTCGCCATAGTTCTCACTCCAGAATCGTTGGATGCCGACGAAAGCCGCAGCCAGGCAAGCAAAAGCAGCCATGAATGGACTCGTCTTGGTGCCTGTGTATCCGACAACCGCCTCGCCGATGACTCCCGACAGGATGGCAACGATGCTGCTCAACGTCACCGAAGTGCTGAACATGCTCCCCAGGCTGAGACACCCGCTCAATTCTCGCTTGTGGTACTCTGCGATCATCCATGCCTCGAACACAGAATACAGCAAAGTCGTGCTCAAGCCACCCAACGCTCGGCCGACGAAGAGGACGAAGATGTCGTCACTCAAGACCGACAAGCAGGAGAGGCCGTAGGTGACGCAGAAGGCGAGGCAGCCGTTTCGCCGCCCGTACTGATCCGCCAACGATCCAACGAACGACGCTGTTATGCCTGCTGTTACGAAGCCGACAGTGAACAAAGAGGCGACTGTGGATTCCGGTACACCCTTTTCATGCTTGTAAAGGGTGTACATGTATGGACCCTTGGAGCTGTCAGCGAGATTTTGGATGCATACGAGTGGGCTCCGCTCACCTGCAGCCAATCTGCGGCCATCACCAAAGCATACAAGCCAAAGTACTCTCTTTTGAACTTCGATGCCGCGCCCTTGCTATCACTGGATGGTAGAGCGAGCGTCTCTTGCAGCGGAGCATGTTTGTCGGTCTGGTGGCGATGTGCGGCCAAGGCGATGTTGAAGCACACTAATGCTGCGAAGTAGATGCCGTACAGCTCCATGTCGTTCCACAGTCTTCACGAGTTCTGAAAAAGATCAAGATGAGAAGTCTCGAGCTCGTCAAGCAGCCCAGGTTCATTCCACATCGCGTTGCCCTTGCGCGACATTTTCGAGCGTTCCGGCGTGCGCAACCTCGCGTCACATTCGTGTCTTAACCTGACTTCTTCTGTTGCAACACAACACTTGGGAATCACATCATCTTTTTGCGATAATCGAAACATGTTTGCCGCTCAAGCGAATCGTCTCCCTCTTCTGCTGGCCGCCTTTGGGGTGATCCTACTTGTCGCCACCCTCTTTCACCACTTCGATGGTGTGCTGGAGTCGTGGAGGAGCTCTCTCAGCGCTGATGGAAACCAGAAACATCATGAGTCGGCAATGTTGGTGTCCAGTTCAGCGAAGCACGACCTTCGACCTACTGATTGCACTCCAGTCACACTGCTTCGAGACCGTCGTTCTACGAAGTCGCTCTGTCTTATGGCACGGACAAGGTGACTGCTCATCACTACCACCACATGTATCAAGTCAGGATTCTGGATCAAGACGACGCCGTGCATCCCTGGCTAACCGTACGCAGAAGTACCTTTCAACAATGCGAGATAAGCACATCAAGATGCTCGAGATCGGACTGGGCTGCGACATGAGCTACGGCCCTGGAGCATCGTTCTACACCTGGCTCGAATACTTCCCTTATGTCGACCTGTACTTCATCGAGTACGACGCCGCCTGTGCAGAGAAGTGGGTTGCCAACACCACCGAAGCCACTATCTACACCGGCGACCAAGCCGACGTGGACTTCCTGAACTCTTTCATGGACGAAGCCGGAACCAACTTTGACATCATCATCGATGACGGTGGCCACCGCATGAACCAGCAGATCACCAGCCTCGAGGTACTGTGGAAAGCTGTGGTGCCTGGCGGCGTCTACTTCTGCGAGGACCTCCAAACGAGCTACTGGGACAACTACGGTGGCGACAAGAGCAACAGCGGGAAGAAGAAGACAATGATGGGAATGATCAAGGAGCTGCTCGACGATTTGCACGTTGGACCGGGCGGACACAAGCGGAAGCACGAGGTCAGCGTGGACATGGCTTTCGTCGATTGCATGAAGGAGGTTTGTGCTTTTGTTAAGAGAGAGTCTTGAGTACGTTCTCTATGGTCGAAACCTGTTGATTGCCACTACAATCGTTGTCATTCTACCCTTCCAGCAACCAATCTGGTGAGAGACCCCACGCAAAAGATGCTCGTCAAGTATAGTCTCACCACTCGAAAGCTGCTGACAACTACTTCCTGCTTCTCGCTTACTCGCACGACACAATGTCTGAGACCTCAAAGCCTGATCATGTCTCACCGGGATGCTGGATGCTTGCTATAATTTTTTAACGCTGCATGTGCTGCTTGTTCTGCAGCTTCCACGCCATCCTTCACCGCATCAAAGAACATTTCGCAAACTTTGACTTCTCTGATTCAAGCCCATTTATACCTCGACGCAACTGACCATGTTCAACGCACGACCACACAATCAGGACACCTTGCGAAGCTCGATGAATAACTCTCGCTCTTCACCACCTGCTGCCGGCCAGTGGGCTGACGAGGCCACGCCCAGTTCCTCCAACACGCCTCATCAACAGAATCAACCAACCTCTCCTCCCACCAACCAGCAATCCCAAACGCATTCTGAAGCTCATAGCAGCCACGCAACCGATACAACAACTGGAGACCAATTGCAGACTCCGACACCTGTCCAGCAGCCAACGTCTTCCCAGGACGGTCGGGCTGTTGTACGCACCCAGCCCTTCCATAACCCACCACTCCTTACCAGCCAGCAGCAAAGAGTTCTCCTTGCCGCTGATCGTAGACGACCGGCAGCACGTCAAGGACCTACGCACACCGAAGGCGCATCTCAAGAATCGACTGTGGCGTCATCTTCTGCGGGTCAGCATCAGGCTTTTCCAACGCAACAGCCGATCCCAAGTCCACAGCAAGGTACTGGATATGTGCCTGCACGACCTCCGCCACCGGTACCACAGCCGGCGGTACAGACTGGACTACCATTGCGACCGCATGAGAATCCTCCTGGCCCGCGTCCAACAGAGCCTGCCCACGAGCAGGAAGTCGAACGAGAGGTACAGTTGCCCGTGGCGAATGTACCGAGTGGTCAGCGTCTGCGAAATGCTGCGCTTGCTACTCCCCAGCCTCCACGCCATACTCCGCAGCCAACCAATAGCTTCGTCAGACGGGACCCATCGTTCGTACCCGATGCTCCAGAGCCAAGGGGTCGAACGCTGTCAAGACCTTTGCACAGCGATGGGCAGGGGAGATGCTGGGCCCCGGCAAGTCGATGCTCGTCGTGCGATCACATCATCACTGATGCTCACTACGAGAACTCGTGGTCGAGAGAGAGGAGAAAAAAGCGCATCAGCTTCGGCACATGTTCGATGTGCGGTCACGAAGCCAAATACCCATTACTGACGCCGTGTGGTCATCTTTTCTGCAGCGGGTGCCTGGAACCTGCGTTGAGGCACGAGCGCCCTCCGCAGTGTCCAGTCTGTCAGACCCCGTGCTCTTCGGTCGATTCTGCGATGATCAGTGCTGTTTACCGCTCACCAATTACCAGAAGTCAGCCTCCTCCTAGCTATCAGGGGCAGCATTTTAGTCCACCACAGCCGGACGAACATGCAGAGTCAAGCAGCGGCCCTGTTGCAGGTACCACGAACACTCCAAACCGCACTCAACATGTCCAGGCATCCAACAGCAGTACCCGTGGCCGCAGCGATAACACCACCACCCCTGCTGCATCTCGCGTCTCAACCACAGCACCCAGTGCCAGCAACGACCAGAGCACCCAACGCAACACAAGTCCAGTCCAGCGTAATGCCAGAATACGAGCGAACGATCTCGCGATTCGGAATTTGTGAGACAGCATCATTCTCAACCGCCATTTGATAGAGTCGGCGACTCGCGCTCGCGACGACAGCCGAAACAGATCGCGATCTCCTCAGCGAAGAAGCTGGGACGCAACTATGGACCGTCACCGCCAGCACATCTCGAGAGCATGGGAAGCTTGCAAGCAGAAGGAGGAAGAGAATAGAGAGCTGAAGAAGATGACCAGGGAGCAGTTTCGGGAGTGGAGGGGTCGTCAGGAGGAGTTCCAGCAGGGAGGTAATGGAGGTGGAGGTGCGGATACGTTGTTGGCCCTTTCTACGAAGAAGACGTGCAGTACTTCGTAGGCTGGAGATGGTGTCGTAGGTGCATCGCCACTTTGGATGAGGATTTTCATGGTATTGTTGTTGGAAGCTCGTATGTTGGGTTTGCACACCGAGAACGAAGAACGCATTATCAATCCATTAGGTTGACCTACTAGCTGTGTTCGCGTTGTAGTCCAGGACGCTTTCTTGCCTCTGGCTTTGGCGGCCCTTTATGAGAAGACACATTTGCTGATCAAAGCCGTTTGTTTACTCTAGACAAGGCCGGGGCGGAATTACCTACGGTATACTCCATATGCGCGGTGTAGCTGGATTTGACTGGTCGGCAGCAGCTGTTCACCGTGAGTGTCTTTACCCCAAAACACTCCTTCAATCTGAAGAAGTCGTGTGTGCGATTTGGGCTGATGCGCAGTACTGGTGACTTAATCTGCAGGAAGCAAATTCGGAGTTGGGTTGTGTTCGGTGAGGGAATGGGTGGCGCTTAAAGGTCAAGCCAGTTTTTATTACCTTGCATACATGTTCCTCGTCGTACTTCAGTTCTCCGTCCGGTTTCCAATGCAACTAGAATGCAGAACGAAATACCTGTCCGCTCCAAAATCCGGGGAATTTTAGCAAAGCTCGCAGGCCCTTACTAAATGGTAGGGTCTTGGCGTATCTTGGCGTACAGCGGTATCGTCGTGGAACTTTACCCCCTCCTCTACATTGAATAGTCGACATAGGTAGGCAGTATATATATTTCTAGAGAGCTTAAAGCCTAAGCTATTGCTAGTTATTACAATGTTACTATACTACCTAATATTTATAATACCATATTAGATTTTCTATAGGTAGAGGAATAGATAGGTGTTTCGTTATATATTCTATCTCGGTAGATACTAGATACCAATTCGGAATACCAAGTACTAGTAACTAGTAACTATAGGTAGAGACTATCTAGAAGAGAGAAATATAATTATATATTTCACATATTCTACTTTAGCGTACTATTTATAGCTTATAATACCTCTCTCTATATCTTTCTTTATATCTTAAGTAAGCAATTGGCGGTATTATATAAAGACAACATATCTATTATATGTCTAAAGTCTACTAAGCGGGCGAATAAAATCAAGTCTATAGTTCAGCTAATTAATAAGAAGTAGTGTCTTGCCCTTCTAGCCGCTTAGGCATTAGCGATATCGCAGCCGATATTGCTAGCCTTCGGGTGTTTTGACCAACAGTCATGGCATGTTATCACTGAGTTTGGAGGCGGGACTCGCTCCACGGTCGGGCCTGCAATGAATCATGCCAGCTTTGGGTGCATGTCCATCCCTTCGAAGGACGCCCCCTGAAAACGGGCGATTTGGACGGGCGGGCATGGATGAAACATGAATCTCCAATTCTACTCCAGATGGCCTTCTCCATACCCAAAGGTCAGCCATCGTGGCCGCGGGCTCCACATAGTGTTGATAAAACACCAAACGCCTCTCCTCGCCTTCACTCCAACGGCGTCCAGGTTGTCTACCAACAGCATCAGTCAGCAGAAATTGGAGTCCGGTCCTCCTAATCCTCCACCATGTTCGACGATCTACGCGGCCGACCTTTGACATGGAGTGTTACTGCAGCTTGTGCAAGCGCTTACCTCCTCTTCGGCTACGACCAGGTGAGCGAAACTCGCGCCTGTCATGAGATCTACGACGCTGAAGACCCGCCAGGGAGTCCTTGGAGGTCTGGTCACCCAGCCTACCTTCCTCAGTGCCATGGGTGACCCGTCTTCCCTGTATCTGGGAACAATCGTTGCCCTCTACAACATTGGATGCCTGGCTGGCTGCGTGGTGGCAGCGGTATGGGGCAACAAGGCCGGCCGCAGGAATTCCGTCCTGTGGGCGTGCGTGGTCATGCTCATTGGTGCCATCATTCAATTCACCGCCTATGGCGCTCCCCAAATGATCGCGGGACGATTGATCTCCGGAGTGGGCAATGGTATCTCGATCGATCGCATTATGACAATCGCATACTGGCGCCGTAGCTTACAATTCGAATAGGCGTGAACACTTCGACAGTCGGCATCTACATCTCAGAGATCTCTCCAGCTGCCCGTCGCGGCAGAGGAGTGGCTGCCCAGCTATCCTGCGTTATCGTGAGTTGACACCGCCAGCTGACTCTCCCCTGATTCGCACTAACGGAGTCGCAGTTTGGCACGGTGATGGCGTATTGGATCGGTATACGCACCACTCAGCCTTGACACGGCGTTGGAAATCGACTGATAACGACCAGATTACGGCACCATCCGCAGCCTGTCGGGCAGTGTACGTAGCTCCCGGTCTTCGACGAGTTTTCTTTATCCCCGCTAATCGACCTATAGATCGTCTGGAGGTTCCCGATTGCGTTCCAGTGCATCTTTTTGATAGTGACCATCATCATGCTCACGTTCCTTCCGGATACTCCCAGGTAAGTCATCTAGTCGCATCAAGAAAGCTATACGTGCTGAAAACCTACAGGTGGCTGTTCGCAGCTGGTCGCAAAGTCGAGTCAGTGGATGTTCTATCCCGTCTACTAGACCTTCCGCCAGATAGCGCGGAGGTTCGGGGCATCGAGAACGAGATGCAAGCGGCGTGGGAACTGGAGAAGATGAACGGCGAGTTCAAATGGTCCAGTCTCTGGCGGGAAAAGAGCGACGTCAAGAAAACCAGACGACTCGTCCTCTGCTTCATGATCTATCTGTTTCAGATGTTCACTGGCATCAACGTCATTGCCTTCTATGGTAAGTTTTGCGTTTGCTTGAGCGTAATCGCCAGGGCACTGACAGTTTCTTATCAACAGTCACTATTGTTTTGGAGGTGTATGTCGGATTTGATCGCGAGACGAGCAGTCTGGTCGCTGGTTGCATCCAGATTGCTTTCTGGCTTGGCACACTTCCGCCATTGTGGACTCTCGACCGATTTGGACGCCGAAAGACTATGATATGGGGCGGCATAGGCCTGTCTGTGGCTTTGATCATCTTCACTTCCGGCATTGCGGTCGCCACCCCCGCGTCAAGCCGAATGGCACTGGCCTTCTTGTTTCTCTTTGAGATCATGTTCGGCATGTCCTGGGATACCATTCCCTGGGTCTACGCTGCAGAGATCACCCCGCTGGACATCCGTCACATCGGTACAGCTATTGGCGCGTTCTCTGAGTGGCTCTGGACATTTGTGAGTGTACCTGAGATAATGGTTGGAAGACTACAACCGCTGACCCCTCGTAAGGTTGTCGCGATGATCACTCCATATGCGATTGAGAGCTTGGGGTGGAAGTACTACCTCCTCTACTGCATCATGACCGTCCTTGCTGTGGTCTTTACGTACTTTTTTGTGCCAGAGGTATGGAAGAGAAGCAATTCTGCATTGAACTCACGCTGACTTTGGACTTCAGACCGCAAACAAAACACTGGAAGAGATCGATTACGTTTTCTGCAAAGACGGAAGTCCTCCAAGTATCCATCAAGGCGGCCAGATCTCTGGCGAATCCCTCATGATGGGGAAGCAGCAAACTTCGAGCGGAAAGTTTGAGCACGGAGCAGAACAGGTGTGATGGGAGTGGAAGCAAAATCCGACGGCTCATGTGGGTAGGGGAATGGCACTTTGCATGGCAATGGACTTGTGTCGATATCAGATCCCGTACGATCCAACCTTTAAAGCGGCAGCTGTGTACGATTTCCCACCAACGAGGTTGTTCAGCAACTATCACCTTGTATACACATTATTGGACTTTGGATCTACCTAAGTCCCTTACTGATCCGCTCATGCTTTTTCACACGCCGAGCAGAGCAATTTCGACAGCTCGCACATCGCAGTAACGCCATCTTGTTGCACAAGCGGGAAGGAACCATTTCCTAGAGCGTCAGGCGGCAGCAGAGATGCCTAGCCCCGGCTGGCCTGATGAATACGGCGGAGCCGTTGCCGGTGCAGAAGACTTGTGTTGCTAGGCGTCATGTCATGATAGGTACATGTAGCTGGCATGGTTCATGCCAAGTGTCTGCCTTGTTTCCTCGCCCAGCCAGGCGATCTTGTCTCCGCCAGTGAGCATCACCGGTTTGGTGAAGGCCGTAGCCGTTTCTCCACAAGCACATGCATCTCCGCGGTGCCAGCCGGGCAGGTGGGGGGTGGGCCAGCGACACCAGCGACCTGCCCCGAGACGGTTGGGGCGGGGGCCCGGTGGCGCGGTTGGAAGACTGCATGTGGCTACAGGTACGGATACATGTCCGTCACACGTGCAAACCACAAGCCACCCCCATCCCCCCTCCAACTCTCACTGCTACTCCTCCGCTCCACCCCGCGGCGCCCCGGACCTGGACCTAGGCGATGCGCTGCGGGGTGCAGGTGGGCCGTGCAGCCGAGGATCTTTGCAAGGGCTACACCCGGCGAGCAGTAACCCAACCCTCCTCTCTCCATCTCCCCCTCGTCATGCCCACGCCCCCGCCCCCGCCTCCGAGCGACCACCGACCTGTGCTGGCCGGGGTTGGTGAGCCGACGATCAAGCCCAAGCAGCGCCGGAAACCCCGCGCTGTCTCCCACCTCGAGCCGGAACGCCTACAAAGGAAGAGACAGGTGGATCGCAAGGCGCAGGCGGCTCTGCGTGACCGCGCAAGGTCGCGTGTGCAGACGTTGGAGGCCGAGGTCGAGCTTCTGAGCAAGACGGCGGAGCAGCGCGAGCGGCACCATGTCGCGCAGGTCACGGCGTTGCAAGAGCAGAACACGCGGCTGCGCGAGCGACTAGACAGCATCGCGCATTTGATACTTCACGGCGAGAACGACATGGCTCGCGCGACACGTCCGACCCCCCAGAGTCCTTGTGCGTCATCGGAACCTTTCGTCCCCTCTGATTCCTGCCCCTGCGACTTCGCGGGAGGAGTCCCTTGACGGCCAACCCCGCTAACGCCACACTGCACAGCTTGTCACGACGACCACAATCTACTCCGCACCCCCGGTGAGGGCTCGGTAGGCGACGCGCCCGGTCACAGCGGCATGCAAGGCGGATCGGCCACGGGCAACAACGACGACGTTACGGCAGGATGTCCTTCAGGCGACCACAGCATGGCCTCGAATGGGACAGACCCGCCGATCTTCTCCGAATGTCCATCCGACCAAGTCTCTGGGAGTCACAGTGACGACTTTCGGCGTGGAGATGTTCCCCACTCGCCAGAGGCGCCCATTTCTGCGGACGGACAATCATACTCTGTAAGTCCCTCGGAGCTGGGAGCACCAGATCAGAGCCAGGGGTTGATGGACGGCGGAGGAACCAGCGATGCCATTCAGCGAATGCGGAACCTCGACTCAGACGCATCAACGTCTGCAAAAAACGCGCCGTCTCCTGCGTTCTGCCAGGGCCCTGCAGCGATCTCATGTACTCATCTGCAATCAACCTGTATACTCGACACCATTCTAGTCAACTTCTATTCCGGACAGCGAAAGCTTCTCCAGGAGGGCGCCTCCCTTCTCACGGTATTGGGGCCTTCTCGTCCATACGTTGCGACCATTGTCCATCCAGGGTCGCAAAGCAACCATCATCCCATTTGTCGAATCATCGAAGATGTGATGTCTACGTTCGGCCAGATCCAGGCGCCGGAGAAGCTTGGTATTGTCTTTAAGATGCATGCCACCCTCAGGGTAAGCCCTCGCCTTTCGTGGACAACCTGAAGTGGAGGAGTTTCGAGAACCATGGTTGTTGCATGAAGCTAAGTGTGATGCAGTGGCTTATCAACAATACCGTGGAGAATTATGAGTACATGCCGCGATGGCTGCGACCAACCGCCACACAGATAACAACACCTCACGCGGCATGGATAGATAATATACCGTGGTGAGTCGACTCCGACCAGCCATCTAGGCATCTTCTAACTTGCCGGAGGCCTGCAGTCCGAGACATGCTTATCGAGAACCCAATCCTCTACCGCTTCGAAGTCTTCTCAGAGGTCTACTCGCACACCGTCTCGGTGAATTGGCCTTACGATACTGACGACGCATTGGCGACGGATGAATGTACTGGACATCTCGTCATTGCCCCGATCTTTGAGAAGCATGTGCGGAGACTAGGCAACTGGACGGTTTCCAAGGAGTTTGAAGACTACTTCCCGGACTTGGCGAAAGCGACCAAGGTGGGATCATGACCGGGGACGCTGGACGGTGTTAAGATCGTCCGATCATCCTGTATCCATAGCGAGTCGAAAACGTTCTTGCAGGAGTTTGCGAGGGAGTAATACCCTCAGATGCAGCCTCGAACACCGTAAAAATGACACTCGTCGGGCTCGCTAACGTGTGTATCCCCAGAGCCTTCCAGAGATCATAAACAGAAAGTGGTCCCGTCTTCCCCTGTCTTCTGCCAGACGAAGAAGTCAGGCTTCTCAGATCCTGCCCCTCTCATAGAACTTGAGCGGAATGTGGATATACTTGCATCGAAGGTACTCGGCCGCATTCTTGCCCAGGACATCGTAGGTAGAGCTGGATGAGACACCGCGGTCCAAGTGGTCTTTCAGCAGAAAATGGACGGCTACATTGATGGTCAGTATGTTAGAGAAAGACGTTCCATGGGAGGGAAGAAGGGAGAAATACCCCAGATGTTAGACAGCTCAAACCTAAAGATGGGCTTGCCGACATAGTCCTCTCCCAGCATCTGCTTGATCCGGTCGACGGTCAAGGCACTGCGGAGCCAATCCCACTCGTCTGCGTAACGTACGAAGAATCCCACATTGCAATCCGAGCCTTTGTCGCCGGACCGGGCGTGGACGACGTGTCCGAGGGGTGCTCGAATGGCCGGCCCGAAGGTCGACAGTTCCACCGGGTCTTTCGTCTCGTATGAGTCCTGCTCGAACACGAAGTCGACAGTGTCGGTCGGTGGGGGAATAGGGATGCTCGCGTTCTTATGGGGCACATGACACGCGTGCTTCACTTCGCTCTGAGGCAGCACGGTGACCCAATACTCGTAGTAAGGCTTGGGAAGTGCTTGGCGAGTGTCGACGGCGAAGGTGGCACCGGGATAGCTCTGCATGATCGAGTCCGTACACGGCCGGAGGAAGTTCTCGACCGCGAGTGCGGAATGGTGAGTGCTTTGCGCGAAGATGCGGAAATCGACCGTTGCTGCGTCTTGGTTGGAGGGCTCTGACGGGCAGGAGCCACTGATGCGGAACTTCAGCGTGTGGTATTTGGCGACGTCCAACGCTGCGCGGATCTGCGCTTCGATCATCCCTGCCTTTTCCTTGATGTCCAAACCGCAGAGAAAGTAGTGGACCTCTGCTTGAAAGCCGCCCGGTGCTGTTAGGCCGACTTTGGTCGTCGGAGGTGGCTTCTCGTAGCCAACGTTCGACACCCGTCTGGACGAGACACGAGTCAGCGAAGGAAGAAGACTAGGAGCCCACTGAGGACTGTACTTACACCAGATCACGACCGACTTGTTCAATCTTGATGTTGTCGAGCTTGGCCATCACGTCCGAGTTGTAGTAGAGCGGGCCCTGGATCTCATAGAGAAGTTGGGCTTTGCATGTGTCGACCGTCACCATCCCTCCTCTGTTCTGCTGTTTCGAAATGGTGAACACACCATCCGCATCAACGGTTGCAATGGGAAAGCCAATGTTGGTCGCCATCCCCGACGGCAGACTCTTGAACCCCGAGAAGTTGCCGCCTGTCACGTAAGTGCCGCACTCGATGAAATGTCCTGCGACAAAGGCATGCGCCAGCGGTGACAGGTCGTCCCTCGTCCAGTTGTGATGATACGCAGCACAAGCGATGACGGGAGACGCATCCGCAACCCTAGCAGAAACAAAGTCGGGATATGTTAGCGGGGAATATATAGCACGTACGGCCGGTGTGAAACGGGTACCTTCCACAAACGACGATATCAGCGCCTTGCCTCAAGCCTTCTACAATCCCGAAAGCACCGAGATAGCACTGAGCATATATCGGTTCGTAGGCCCAGCCGCTCAGTTTCTTGCCTGTAGTAACGTCTTCAGTAAGGCTTAAGCGCAGAGTTAAAGCAGGAAGCTATTGACTCACCAGTCGTCAGACTCGTGAAGCCCTCTCCAGAGTCAATGGCTTTAGTAACGGCGGCCATTACCTCGTCGCCTTCTACCCACGCAACCCGAAGATCGAGCTTCTGTGCATCAATTTCGGCCTGAAGGATCTCGTACAGCTTTCTTGTATCACTCGCGCCGGCGTTCACAGCTACTTTGATGCGGCGCTCGGAGAGGTGCGGCAGGGCGGGGAGGATGGACTCTAAGAAGCAGTCCTCGTACTCGGTCTTCGCGATGTCGCTGCTGCTGCCAACGGTTTTCCCTCCGCCGCGCGTCGTCATGTTGTACTCCGACATATAATCGCCTGTGATGTACTGCACATCTTCGTGTGCCGCAATCTCCGCAAATTCATGTCGTCGGTCGGTGACAGAGCCAGAGACCGATGCAATGCGAGCTTTAGGAGGAGATATGCTGCCCATTGCGTTGTATTCGCGTTCTGTTCTGTTCTGTTCAGTCGGTGAGAATAATAGTGAAGGAAGCAATGGTATGGCGCAGGGAGGCTATGTCGAATAATCTACCGCGTTGGCAGTTTGAGCACAAGGCCTGGTGAGGGGCTTCGAACGCTACGTTGAAGCAGATATGCTCAGATTGAGGGCCGTTGCCGGCCGCCGCAGCTGCCGGCGGCATTCTTCCCAGGCATAATGGCATAGCAAAACCATGGCGTAATCACTGGATCATGTAAGGGAGAGAGCGATAAGCATGAGTCAGAGGCGCAAACGTGTATGCATCCCCCACACAGCAAGACTTACTCATGCCTGTAGAAGGATCGTCTCATGCCGAGACAGCCACCTTACTAATACAAAGAGGATGACATTACTCATGCCGAGACGGCAACTTTGTACCTTGCCTCACCGGATGTGCTCGAATTCACACTTCCTAGATCTATCTCTTCGACCGATCCATTGAGAACGTGGGTTGGTGTAGCGGACCATAGAAAGTCCAGTATCAATGTTTCCGTAGCTCACTCCAGCATTGCGGCAACCTGTTCAGCTTTGGACTGCGTCTATCCCTGCGCACACTCTCTACAACTTCGAGTACAGTGCGCATTCGACATTTATCGACCGAGCTAGTAGGTTACATTGATCAAGACTGTCTTCGGCTCCGTATATGCTCTTAGTGCATATTCGCCACACTCGCGCCCCACCCCGCTCTCTTTCGTGCCTCCAAACGGCGTCGAAGGATGGATTGTGCTGATGCAATTCACACCCACCACTCCCGAGTCGATGGCCGAGCTGATGCGCAGGGCACGATTGATGTCCTGGGTGAAAACGCCCGCCATCAGTCCGTACTTGCTGTTGTTTGAGCGTTGGACAATCTCGGCCTCGTCTTCGAACTGATTCAGCACGGCCACAGGGCCGAAGATCTCTTCTCTGTAGATAAATGCATCATCTTTTGTGTTGGTGAAAATGGTAGGTTCGATATAGTAGCCCTGAGGCATCTGCGTTAGAGCTCTCATCCAAGGTGTCTCGTGAAGGGCCGATATCGTCTTACCTTGGGTCGATCTCCCGGGCCGCCTATCAAAAGCTCCCCCGATCGCTCGCTCGTTGCAGTGTGGATGATACTGTTGATACTGTTGATACGCTCGTATTGCACCTTGTCGACGACTGGGCCAACCTGCGTTCCAGCATCCTGTGGATGGCCAACCGCTTTTGCCTTGGCTTCTAAGGCGCTTCGGTAGGCCTCAAGGAACCGGGGAAAGATGCCAGCTTGCACGTATAGTCGTGTGGCGGCGAAGCAGATCTGGCCAGAATTTGTCGTGAGTCCGTTGACGCACCTGCACAAATGTCAGCCAAACCTCTCAGTTCCGGTATCGGCGCAATGGTCAGGCCAACACACCACTCGACCGCATTCTCGAGGTTTGCATCATCGAATACCACCGCCGGGCTCTTGCCACCAAGTTCCAAGGTCACGCGCTTGAGATTACTGTTGGCGGCCATGATCTGAATGGCTTTGCCTGTACCTATGCTGCCGGTGAAACTAATCTTGGCCACATCAGGGTGACTGGCAAAGAGAGCGCCCGTGCTGCCATCGCCTTGAACCACCTGGAATACACCTGGGGGAAAGCCGGCCTCCAAAACCAATTTTCCAAGCGCTGCCGCAGCTAGCGGCGTCTTCTCGCTTGGCTTGAGAATGAAGACATTGCCAGTTGCGAGGGCAGGAGCTGCTTTCAGACCCGTGGACGCGATGGGGCTATTCCAGGGAATGATCCTGTACCCAAAATCAGTACACGACAGTATCTCAGCATGATGTGAGCAAGATACCCTGCCACTACGCCCAAGGGCTCGTTTCTCACGATCTTGTACAGCCCTCCGTCTGCGGGAAATGATTGACCAGCGACTTTATCGGCCCATCCAGCGTAATCTAGCTCGATGTTAGTTGCTGAATGCCATCGCTAACAGTGGGTCCTTCCGAGGCGGACGTACACCGGAATTGGCCAATGGCGGTGTCCACTTCAGCCTTGCCAAAGGCTGGAGCGCCGAGTGTTAAACGCGTTAGGCGAGCTAGTTCATCACGGTGTTTCTCGAGCAAGTCGGCGAACCGGAGCATAACGCTTGCCCGGTCGACTCCGGCGAACTGCCGCCACGGTGCGTTGTGGGCGAAGGCGGCAGTGGCATATCGCACTGCAGTATCAACGTCCGCATCTCCGGCCACGGGTATGGTATCGCTGACAAGATCGCCGGTAGCAGGGTTGGAGACTGTCAAGCTATGAAACGCCTGGTTAGCTGTGAAGATGCAGAAACCCAATGCAGCGAGATACTTACGTTTTGTTTGATCGACAGTGGATATACTGGATACAAGACTGTCAGCGAATGCATGCGGTTTATCGAGCGCTGGGTCAATACCTCGTTGTTGAGAAACAGTTATGTGATATGCGGCTGAAACTCCATGTTTGCTGTTGCTCGAAGACACAAGAAGTATGTCGTTCACAAGAAGGATGAATGGAGAGTCGAGTGATCGAACAGAGGACCTGCGGTAGTATTCCTTAGCCAGACTACATGCTCGATTGGTGACAAATGCTACTGGGACCCTCAGAGTCCACATGCGCAGGAGACGAATCATGGTCTCATTCTAGAAAGGTGGTGCCCCAGCCAGGAACGTCACGAATCAGCGGCTAAAGCCTCCGGGATAACACAACTGTACTACCCGAATCTGCGGGTCTGGGAAGAATACAGGATAAACCTCGTACAAACGGCACGATGAAATGGTGCAAGAGCTGGCGATGTTTGTTTAAGGTTTAAGGTTTTCGGATTTCGTGGCATCTGCAGCATGCCAAGCGCCTGGCTGGAAACTTGGAAACCAACACTGTACCTAGATAATCTGCTTCTCACATAGATCAATAGAACGAGTGCTTTATCATGATGTTAGTCGCGGAAGCAAGATGTATCTAGCACGTGTCACTCCGTCGCTGTTGGGAGAGCTCGAAGCCGTTTCCTCTTCGCTCGAGATACCAGCTGGAGCATCCGTAGGTGCATGAATCATGCCAACGAGGACATCCGGCAGCAACGAGGCGGCGACGGCATGGTGCGGTGCCGGCATTCTCCCGGCGGGTGAGCCAAAACGAGCAGCGTTCGTTCTCGATGGCTACGAGAGCGAAGAAGCGGTTTCCTTGTTGTCTTCCCAAAACGCGATCCCTACCCCGTTCCAGTTCGCTCCTGAGGGAGACACCCGACCGATATGTCAAGCGCACCGGCGACCATGCGCGCTGCGCAGTACAACAAGGCGAGTGAAGCATCAGATATTCGGGCCAACGTCGCTGACCTTGATATCTCGCAGCTTACCAACAAGGCCGAAGTCAATACGCTGCCGGTTCCTCAACCGGGCGAATATGACCTGCTGATCAAGAATGCTTGCGCTTCGCTATGCCACTCCGACCTGGCAAGACCACATCCCTGGATGCCACGGTTCTTTGACACTAACAGCGATGCCAGATGCTTTTCTGGGGTCACACTGCCGAGGAGCCGCCGATGGAGAAAGTCACACTGGGACACGAAAACACTGGGGTGGTCACGGCAATGGGATCCAAAGTGCAGGGTTTCAACGTCAACGATCGTGTTGGCTGTCTCGGCTGCAGTTATGCGTGTTGTGAGTGCTTCCTCCACTATTAGAAGTAGGCATCTATACGCAGCTGACACGACGGCGCGACGATACAGACTCATGTGAAGGCTGCCAAACTCACAATCTTCTCTGCGAGAGAGGCTCTGGTCGCATGCACGGCTTCACCACGCACGGTCATTTCGCCGAATATTCCCTTTCTGACTATCGCAACGCCATCGCGTTGCCTGACGGCATGGACATGGTCGCTGCGGCGCCTCACTTTCCCAATGACTGATCGTCGAGCCTGTGTTGACACAAACACTCCCAGCTTATCATGCAGTGTCCAATTGCGACCTAAAACGGGGACAATGGCTAGCAGTCATTGGCTGTGGTGGTGTGGGTCATCTAGGTAACGCAGAATGGAACGCTTGTCATGGGCTACCTGCTCGCAGACCTGTGCCCAGCTATCAAGTACGCCAAAGCACTAGGTCTTCGAGTCATTGGCGTCGACATTTCGACGGCGCAGCTTGAGGCCGCGACAAGCTGCGGTGCAGACGATGTGTTCAATTCGAAAGATGACGCCAAATAAATCCAGGATATCAAAGACCTCACGTTCGGAGGTGCACATGCCTCGGTCGTATTGAGCGCTTCGAACATCGCTTACGAGAATGCGCCAAAGCTCTTGAGGTACGACATGCTTCCTCTTCCTGACTTGCCATTCGGAGAACATACAGTGTTCCCGACCCTTGTCCCGTCTCTTCGTTTTCGCCCCGGACGGGCATCTTCTCCTTCTCGCCCCTTTGCTTTCTGCCGCCTTCGACAATGCTTTCGCTTCCCCAAGCTCGCGCCGATCGAAACAAGCGGCCGCCGGAGCGTCTCTTACTGACTCTTCAATGACAGAGTAAACGGCCTGCTCATGATCGCAGGGATCCCCAAGAGCAATCTCTCCATCAACGCTCTGGACATACTACTGGGCAAGTACAGGATCAAAGGGTCTACCAGTGGCACCCCCGATCGTTTGAAGGCAGCGATCGATTTCAGCCACAAGCACGACATCAAGCCTAACCTCAAGATATTCCACAGTGTTGGTGATATTCACGAGATGATCAATATTATGCAAGGGGGTGAGACGGGTGGGAGATGCGTTGTCGTTTTTGGGGCAGATTGAGATCTTGCAAGGACAGTCAACACTAGATGAACGAACCTCAATGCTTCCATCAACTCAACTGCCAGCGTTGGCCTGTTGGCCCGCCTGCCGCTTCCATCCTGGAAGCATTAAACATCCTCTGAAAGAAACAATAACCCAAAATCGCCTCAAAGTGATCTGAACAAGTTTCTTTGTTTGCAGAAGTCGCCCGTAATGATCTTTCGCGGTGCCCATGATGGGACCAAGGAGTCCGTATACGATTGAAAGTCGCTTTCGCCAAGTGCGTTCGTTCCACGCGCGCTCACCCGTTACCATAAGGTACATCAAGGCTCGCGGTGCTCTTGCTTGTAAAAGGAGATTGCCCGTATGGTGCATTGGCATAGAAACAAGGCGTATGGCAACGACGGTTAGCCGGCGGTCTTCTTCGCTGTCATTTTCAAGGTCATGCGTCTTGCTAGTTCTGGGCCGATCATCGCATAACAGTTTAGCAGTGCGTGCTGCAGAACCAGCAAAGCGAACGTGGCAGTAACTCCCACCTCAATTCGACTTCACCCTCCATTTCTCCACAAAGTCATAGTACTGTGGTAGCTGCTGCATCTTCGAGACACCGACTCATTGCGGGCAAGGCGAGCGGGATTCACTGCGCACGTAGCCCATGTTTATTTGCTTGCGGTGTTCCCCATGAACAATCCACCACCCCTGCCGTCAAAATGCCCTGGGACAAGATGCAACACGACTTCACCTTTCGTCAACTCAGCTACGACGCTACGCCGAACTTCCAGCCATGTATCAAGGTCTCAGTCTTCTTCAAGAAGCTTGATTCGATCGATCACGACAGTTTCTTCGGCCACTGGCAGACTGTCCATGCGGATTTGGCCGTAGCAACCCAAGCCTTTCGTTCCAGCATCGAGAGATATGTTCAGGTGAGCGGCGCTACCCCATGTGGCCTGGCATCCCTCCGTCCCATCTGATGACTGTTTCCCTGTAGCATCATCAGACTCCAGAAATGAAAGAAAGAGCCAAAAGTTTGGGCGAAGGATTCATTGACTACGATGGCTGTGCTCAGCTGTGGGTGAGGAGTTGGGATGACTGGTTGAAATTTTACAACAGCGAGCAATACGCGGCCGCGCTCGGTCCCGACTGTAAACCGGTTCATGAAATTGCCGATGACCTACATGGTAGGGTGCGAGAACCTCGTTGTGGGAGATGCGTCACGCGCGCTGGGAGGAAACGACGGGATAGCCAAGAAGGATTTGTAGAAGCAGGAATCTCCAATATCCCCGTAACCATTGTTCGCCAGCCTTTGCGAGTTTGTCGTGTCATGTTGCCTGCGCTCTGGCAGTATATCGCATGTTTGAGCTACGGCTCTCGATGGCTAATTATACCCTTCAAGCTCGCTCTTCACATCGAGATCTGTGCTTCGAGCAATTGCGTCCTGCTCCTCAAGGACATCAAGCGTCTCCTTGCATTTCCTGCGCAAAATTTCGAGGCAGTCAGATCCAAGAAAGAGGCGGAAGGGCGTATGTAATTGGCCTGTGAACCAGCCTTCTTCCCTCACGAGATCTGCCACGCGTTCAGCTGCTGCGGCAGGGTCGCCGGGCTGCTTGTCGTTGGTGGCAGCTTGTCTGTCATCGAGTCGCCGTAGCACAGAATCGTAACCTGTCGAAGGGTCGCCAACGACCTTGAACTGTCTTCTTTCAGCGCCCAGAATGCTGGTTCTGAATTGACCCAGGACGACGAGGTGAGTGCGGATGCCGAGATCCTCCGTCTCGTTCTTCAAGCATTCCACTGCGCCTACTCCGTGTTAGCTGTACCAGGAGATGTGGCGTGCCATGCGCAACGACACAAAAATACGGGACGCTTGCCTTCGAGTGCGAATTTAGACGCGCTGTAGGGGCCCCCAGCGGCAGTGCCCACCCAACCCGCGATGCTGCCCATAAAAACCAGGGTACCCTGACCACGTCGACGCATGTGTGGCAAGACAGCTTTCGTAAGACGAATGGCACCCCATACGTTGGTATTGAATTGGTTGTGCCAATTTCGCTCTCTGCGTTCGGGTCAGCAATCAAGCAGCATGCAAGGTGCGTCAGAATATGAAGATACTCGAGATACTCCCATACGCCTGAAGCGACGTAACCCGCATTATTGACCAGACAATCAAGCCGACCGAACGCGGAAACAGCATCGCAGACTTTGCCTTGCAGTATATCCTCGCCAGCCGTCACGTCCAACTGCAAAGTGCGCAGGTCCCGGTGAGACCCCAGACTGGACAGTGCCGCGATGTTGCGGGCTGTTGCGACCACCTTGTCGCCGCGTGACAAAGCCGACTGTACAAGGAGAGAACCCAACCCAGACGAACATCCAGTTATGAGCCAGACCCTTGCCGATGTGCGCGAGGATGCCATGAAGGGTGAACGTCAGAATCTGCTCGTCGCCCTTTCCCGTGGGCTGGAGCATGATCTGGACATTGTGGCCTGACAATGCCTTTTCCGAATCTACACCGGTTTATAGAAAGCTCCGAGAGCAACTTGCGTTGCGGATCTTGGACAGGGGCCGTCGCGCGAACTGACTCATTGGCCTCGGCGAACCAGACATTGAGTTAGTTGGCGCGACGACCTAACTCGGAGGCAGTGGAGCAGTCATGCCTTCATCATCCTCAGTGGCCATGACAGGATACGCCGTAGACCGCGACCTACAGTCGCTTCCGGGGTCTCGAACGAGAGGTACTAGTGGAACAGGATCCGAAGCCGTACTGAACAGACCGAGTAATCAACCTTCCTCCATGGCGCTGGGGGCGGCTCCCGCTGGCGCCCTTCAACATATGGGTGGAGCCGAAGGCGCAGCCTTGGAAGGAGAGTTACAGAGGGAGGTATGGCAGTGGCTAACCAAGACAGTGAAGACAGCGGGTACATTAAGTATATCCCGTTTCACCCGCTGCAGGAGCTATAGCATCGAGAAGAGAAATGTGTCGAAAGGTACGCTGGAACAAAATCTTGTATTGGTCGAAGGTGTCATGCCGCCGCCGTATTTGGTGTGACCGCTGTATACTCCTTGCTGAAAGGGTAGTCGGTATAGCCGCCCTGTTGCTCAGGCACATAAAATGTTGCCCGATCGTATCTACTGAACTCGAGGTTGTTTCTAATGCGGTACGGCAAGTCGGGGTTGGCGATCGAGGCGTGGTGTCTTTAATGGCTTTTTTCCGCTTCAACTTCACAACCTTACTCTCTTACCGCACTGCTATTATAGTCTACGAGCCACTACGAGCCGCTATTGTAAGTAGCTACGAGCGCTATTGTTTCATTGTTATTAGTTAGTTGTCCTATTATCGTCTTGTAACAATAAGGCTAATTTCCTATATCTATAAGCCGTTTATATAGCTCGTACTTAACCCTCTTATATAGTTATTAAAAAACACTATCTAGCTATACTAGTTATAGTATCCTTTAGTCTAATTAATTATACTACTACCGTATTAATTAGCTAGTTTAATTAATTAACTAGCGGTCCCCCCCCTCCTCTACCCCCCTCTAACGCCCCCCTACTACTACTATATACTATAGTATACCGCAAGCTAGAGTCTAAAAACCTAAACGACTTCTAGTTCTATAGTACTAGGCGTTAGTACGAGCTACTCCACGAGTTAGCTATAAAGACGAATAAGGCCGAAGTAAGTCTTCCTATAAGGGAGTTAAGAGTAGGTAGTATCGATACGAGCAAATAGTAGGTTTGAATAGTTACGAATATCTAAGGAAGAGAGAGGACTCGGGGATAGGAGTTACTTAAGTAGCGACGGACTAGCGGTAAGCCCCCGGTCCGGTAACGGCGAGGTAGTATTACGTAGGTATCCTCTTATAACTATCCCCCCCTTATAAAGGCTCTACCCTAGAGCCGATCTACTATTTCCATATTTATATAGTAAATTTACGTTTATCTAGAACGACGCCGCTTTACTTGTTATAGTTTACTCTCTATAATTAGTAGCGCTTTATAGCCTAAGATTTATATAGGGTATCTCCGCTAGTATACTAGGTATTATACGGCGTATAACCGGGGTCTATACGTAGGCGGTAGTAGTAGGTTTAAAAGCGTAGCGTTTCTCTCTTCGAACCCTTTCTATAATATTAACCCTCTTCTACCGGTATAGAGCTCGTCTAGGTAACTTCTTTCTATAACTTAGTATATTACGCCGTAGTAGTAGTTAGTAGTTTCTACGGCGTTCGAATCGTACTACTAGCCGTAAGTTCCCCGGCTCCGCTACGGTACCTATACTAACCGTAATAGTTCCTCCTTTACCTCTCCGCGTAGAGGGCTCTTATTAGCCTACTCGTAATAGCTTCCGGACTTCTAGCTCTTACTAGTATAGTACTAAGTACCCTCCCGTTACCGACGCGTAAATAGACGAGCTCGGCGGGTAAATAAACCGTAGTATATCTAGTAATTCTAGAAGTTAACCTCCTTCTATCGGCTAAGCGAATCGTAGTAGCGCTTTAGGAGCTCGTACGCCCTCTAGGCCTACGCTAGGCGAGCGTTAGGAGCGGCGTACTCCTTCTTTCTCTCCTCTTACCGATAGTAAGTAGTAGTTTCGGTTTTACGATATAGGCCCCTCTCCTTAGGCTACGGGTTATATCTCCGGCCCTAGACCGGCGCCTAAGTAGGAGCGTTCTTAGTATTCTACGCGCTTTTAGTACTAAGCTCCTTCCGACGCCGGCGCTCCGCGTTCCGAGAGTAGTCGCTCGATACTTTCTAACTTCGAGCCGAATACCCGTCTTATAACTCGTAGTAAGCTAATTAGAGATACTCCGCCTACGGCCTACCGGCGGCTATTTACTACTCCTAACCGGCGTCGTAGTAAGGATATTCCTCTATACTCCTCTACTTAGAACCGCGATTACGGCGATTACGATAACGGTCTACTAATACCTAGCTCTAGCGAGCCCCTACTATCCTCTACTTATAAGTCTTAGCGCGCGCGCGAGTTTACTCCTAGGTCGGCTTAGAGTATAATTAACGCGCTCGATAAAGGCCGTACCCGTACCGCCGCCGCTTAGTTTACGGCGTATATCTAAGTCGAGGCTAATACTTCTTCCTCTCCGCTAGAGCTCGTAAAGCGGCTACCTCCGTAAATCTAGCCTCGTCCGGATCTACGTAAGTTAAACTATATTAAATATATCCGCCGCTAGAGCCTAAAAGGCGCTCTCGCTCCTAATAACTTTTATACCTACGAGTCCGATATTAAGGGCCTACCTTATTCGAACTATAAGACGAACCCTAGTAAGAACAAATATAAGTTTACCTATAGTATAGAGTTCTTCCGGGCTACGAATATCGTTAAGTAGCTACGGCGCCGCTACTTACGCGAGGGCCTAGTAGACGTAGTCCGGGACCGGTTTAGGGAGGAGTTTCGCGACTACTATACTTAGTTTATATCTCGGTTCCGCTAGTAGAAGGCGATAGTAAAGAACGACTATAACGGTAACGTTAACGAGTAGCGCGGCCGTTAGCGCGTTTCTTACGATCGTAATCTAGAGAACTAGAAGAAGAAGATAGGTATAGTAGGTAGTATAGAGCTAAATAACATTATAGTAAACTTATCTTTCGAGTCGGAGGTATTATCGTTAATAGCTAACCTAGTAGAGTAGAGACTTATCTACTATAGTATAGGAGCGGCCTAAGCCCGGAGTAGTAGCGGGGTATATATAATTTAGAGTTAGCTTTTACTACTTATTAATAGAGTATATCTTTAGCTATCGGCGGATACCTTATAACTAGCGGTACTTCTTTCTAAGTTAGCTTTTACTACTCTATAGAATAAGGTACGTCTTTAGCCCTTTAGGCGAATACCTCTATAGTAGATATTCCAAAAGCGATTAATATTAAGAATACTTTACTACTTACGCCTTTTCTTAGGCCTTCCTTTCTTCGTAGGGGCTACGGTAGCTATCTACGTCTACTTAGGGGGCGGCGCGGCGCCGGTACCCTCTTAAGCTATCCCCTTTTCTTAGAGATAATTATTAAGCGCTTCTCCTATATCCTTAAGCTACTCTTCTAATATTTCCTAGTCCTCTTCTAGAGAGTACCCTAACTATCGTACCCTATATAGCCTTCTACTATCTCGGCCTATCGTGTAGCTAACTACCTTCTTAATCTCGTACCGGTCTCTATTATTATCCTCTAGCTTATCTACTAGCGGCGGCTAGTAGCCGGGCTAGGCCTAGTACGGCTCTAGTAGGGAGACGTAAAAGGTATAATATAGTCGACGCTAGAAGGTTAAGCTTATATACTTACTTCCTAATATACTCTATAATAGTAAAGGGCCCTAGGAACTTGTTATCGAGCTTCTTATAAGGCCTCTTGCTATAGATATTACGTCCGGATAATAGTACTTAAGTACCTACGTCAAACTACTTTACTTCTATATAGCGGTTATAGTATTTAGCTTGTAGCTATACTACGGGCTCGAGGTAGTTCTTTATATCCTCGAACTTACTTTAGTAGGTCTATAACTATTCCCGTACTTAGTCCGCTAGCTTGGCGGGGCCTTTCTACTCCCCCTCCGTACGGTATTCGTTCCGGATACTATTAGGTATAGAGGGGATAGTACCGGTAGTAACCTTAATAGGGGTTTTACTATACGACGCGTAAACCTTAGAGTTATACGTAAACGCTATAGCGTATAGTAGTCTTACCTAGTTATCCTACTCGTAATTATAGTAGATATATAGGTATAACTCTAACTACTAGTTTAGTCTCTCTATCTAGCCGTCCGACTACGGGTAGAACGTAGTACTTAGCCGGCGGCGTACCGTAAGCTAGTAGTATAAGGTACTCGAAAACTCGCTTGTAAATACCGATCCTCTATTGGATACAATATCGTCTAGACTTCCTATAAATAGTATAATCTTATTATATATAAGCTCGGCTAGTACCGGGGTATCGATTATAGTATTAACTAGAAAGTACTAGACTATCTTGCTAAACCTATTAACTATAATAAGGATAGCGTCGTAGACGCGCCTATTAAAGCCCTTTAACGGCGGTAGTCCGGTAATAAAGTCTATTAAGATAGACTTCTACGGTCTAGTCGGCGGTACTAGTAATTATAGCTTACCGTACGGCTTATAGTACTTTAGCTTCGTTCGTTAGTAGATATCGTAACCTACGATATATTCCCTAACCTCTACTATAAGATATAGCTAGTCGTATTTTCTAGCTAGTACTTCTTATATATAATTACGACCGTAGTACCCTACTATAGGGTCGTCGTAGTTCCGTCGAAATAGCTCTTACCGAAGCGTAGTATACCGGGGTATATATAGCCGGTCGCCTTTACGTATTAGGCTACTAGAGTCGAAACGATATACGGCCTTAGAGGACCGCTATTTCTCCGTACCCTCTCCGGAGTTAGATTAAGCCGTAGTAGTACCCTATCTATAGATATCCTAGACGAAGGTATCCTTTACCTAAACCTCCTTAATAAGGGCCGTTAGGCTCTTAGGCGGGTCTACGTAGGCTAATTCGTCTACTATAGCTATAGCTACTATAGATCGAGGTACAAGTAGGGAAAGTCCTATAGTACTAGTAAGTACCTAAGTAGATACTATCTACTCCTCTTACGTTATAAAGGGGTCTAGCTCTAGGGTCTCGCCGGTAGCGGCGAGGCCTAGGGCTATAACTATCGGTTAATTATACCGCTTAGGATATAAGACGTCTCGCGAGGTACTTTACGTACTATCGCTATAAGCGCTAGGCTAGCCTAGTAAGGGTCCTATAGGGCTACTCTACGCCGAGCCTATATCTATAATCTTTAGCTTAGCTTAAAGTATTAGTAGTATACTAAGAAGTTAGTCGCGCTTAGTAGTATCTTTAAAGCCGGCGAAGTAGTCTAGTCTTCTTAATAGTCTATCTAAAGGGTTAGCTAAGCCCTTCTTATATTCGATTTCAAAATCGAAGGCGGTAAGATACTCTACGATTCGAGCTTACCGGCCTATTAATAACTAGGTTGTTATAAAATACCGTAAGTTATTATAGTCGCTTAGTACCCGAATAGGGTACGTAGCGCCCTTATAGTAATATCGCTATACCTTAAAGTATTTAGAGATAGTAGTTAGCTCCTTGTCGTAGGTAGTATAATTAACTTATATACTAGTAAAAGTCTTCGAATAGTATACGATAGGATACTAGTACCGGTCCGAGGCCGCTCTAGACGCGGACGGCTATAGAAGAATCCCTACGTAGATAGTATCGCTAGCGTCGGTAATTATTATAATAGGTAATACTAGGTTAAAGTATTACAAGACGGGCGCTTTAGTAAAGATATCCTATAGAGCCGCGTATTATAATCCTACTAGGTAGTCTTATGTAATTAAGGTTAATTATACTTCTTTAGAGAGTTAAGTAACGATTAAATAAAGGTAAGGATACTAACTTAAGTCTAATTAGTTATAGACCTTTTAGTAAGATTATAATATAAGTTAAATATAAGAATATTAGAGATATTCTTAGTTCCTATATACCTACCTATATTCTACTCGCTCGAGTAGCTACGGCGAGTACTCGTTACTCGACGGTCGTCGAGCGTCGAGTACTCGCTACTCGAAAGCGAGCGAGCGTCGAGTACCCTAAGCTTAGGCTCTTCCGGCCCAATTAGCTTACGTACTCCTTCTAATAGTAAAATCCCGTAACTTTTCTACTATATTCGTAATACTAACGAAGCCTATAAATCGGAGAGAGAGCTAAATTCGTACTCTTAGTAGTCTTACTACCGGCTTATAGAACCGTCTACTCCTCTAAAGTTACTTACGCGTTTACGATATTATTATAGTACTTCCTTATATAGTTAAAGAGGTAGCGGCGGCTAAAGTCCTCTATAAGGCCCTTATTAAGCTTCTTCTATAGAGCCTAACGAAGCTCCTCCTCTATTACTTTATACTAACTAGTTAGGAGCCGCTTTATAAGGTCTATATCCCTCCGGATACGGAAAACTATCTAGGTAGATACGTTAAACCTATCGATCTTTAGTATTTATACGATTCGCTTATCTAAGAGTTATAGCCGGTAATAGTAGTAGTAGATCTTAGCTTATATTACTATAGAGTCCTATTAATTAACTACAAGCTAGTTAATATAGACGTCCTACTATAATAGGTACCTCTTAAGGAGCCTAAGGCTAACGACAATACCGTACTTAGTAGAAAGGAGCTCTAGTATAAGCTTACGACTCGTACCGCCGTATCGCTACTCCTTAATAGTAGCCTTATATAGCTTAAGGTTAATAGGACGGCGAGGTATTATTAACGAGCTAGTCCGCAAGGAAGTTTTCGTCCGGTCTAGTAATTACGAGCTAGTAAACTAGTAAGCTAGTATAAGTCTAGTAACCGAATCGAGCGAGCTAGCGAGCCGGCAAGCTATATGCTAATTAGTAGGGCTCTAGTAGCGTAGAAGAGGCTTACAAATGTAAGGAGCGGTGTGGTAAGTAGTGTGGTGGTTAAGGTATTGTGAAAAAGTGGTTAAAAAAAGCCATTGAAGACACCACGCCTCGGTCGTTGGCCAAGAAGACGCGACGAAAAGCCACAAGAACAGTACAATTGCCATGCTTTGTGACACTGTTCTCTGCGGCCTCCGGCGTGAAGCCTCACGCCAGGATGACTGTCCCTTTGCCTGCCTAGATGTCCACCAAGAAATCCACTTCCTCGTCGGCTGCCTCGATGGTGTCAGCACCGGAAATCCGAGGTTCGACAACGTGCAGGTATACCAGACCAAGCTCGCTGAGGCGCATCGCCAGGTAAGAGAATTGTGGCTTTGGATCCGACATTCCCATCCCTTGGAAAGGACTCCAAGGACTGATGCGGTATTCAATGCGCTCAGGCCCGATGGCGTCGGCGACAGCACGTGCTACTTCGATCCCAAATCTTGCACGACGCTCAACGTCTCCACCCCAGGCATCGTCTCTGCTGTTGCTATTGGACTGCGTGAATTGGTCCGGTAGGTAGCCATTCGCACCGTGTATTTCGACGCCATCAAATCCGGCCTTCATGGCATTCATGGCTGCGGCAACGTAATCCTGTATGAACCCAAAGATGTCCCCCTCAGCCATTGCCTCTGGCTCGGGAGCATTATCTGACATCCGTATGTTACTTGCAGATAGTAGCCGGTTCCCTGAGTCTTGCAGAGCCTCGGGGTTCGCTGCGCGCCCTAGCCCCCAAAGTTGGCAAAATACAAAACTGCCCGCAGCGTGTACGGCGTCGGTCACATCTCTCCATGCCTTTACTTGAGCCGCCGTATAGATTCCGGGAACATGCTTGAAGCCGCCAGCTCGCGGCGATATGAAGGTGCCTTCGGTGATGAGCAGAGTGCCGGGTACGGCGGCTCGCTGGGCGCAGTACTCCTTGACAAAATGGAGCGGGACGTTGTTGGCATCTGCTCGGTATCTTGTCATCGGCGCAAGGACGACGCGGTGCTGTAACCTCATCGCCCCCACGCTCACAGGAAAGGATAGAGTCGCCATGATCATGCGGGCGGGTTCGCTGGGTTAGGGGTGCTGACGAGGCGGTCGTGGAGGCTTGCGATCAAGTGTGTCATAAACTACCCTCTTCATCAGTCGAGACATGGAGACTCTGATGGGAAAGCCCCACAGTGGGAGTAATATCGTCCCATTGCCACGAAACACTTGCTCGTTTCGCCATCGATCGCATTGCTTCCATTCTTCGACACTGACTCATGACGCTCTTCGAAATTTGGGTCAGCGAACACCTGGTGTCATGTCCCAACGTCGCTCCACACAGCACGTGAGATCTGCTACGGACCGCAGGTCTATTCGCCGCCGTGTCATGGTGCCTCGCCGAGATCATCGAGGAGAGAAGCGCCATTCAACTTGGCCCTTTTGCCGCGTCTCAAAGACAACTTCGACTCGCATCCGGCCGGGCTACTGTGTCAAAACCCTTCCAGTTTTGCAGTTCCTAACCCCCTGGTGTAGCAAAGACGGCGGCGCAAGTCATACGTCTCACGCAAACATCTCAACTGGCCAGGGCGCCTCGTCCGAGGTGGTTATGCGGCGCAAGAAGCAGCACTTCGCGCCCTATCACTGTTGCGCGAACGACCAGGACGGGCCGCAGTGCCGGCATACACTCCAGCAGTATTTTGTCGAGCAAGCAGCAGATTGAAGACGGCAGCAGTCTCGCAACAAAGTTGTCGCTGGCAAACAAAGTGACTGTTATTACCGGTATGTTGCGGACTTGGTGCTCCCCTCAGTCAATGACTACATGTACATAACAGAGCGGAAGACCCAGTGCCCGGACAGGCTTCCGTAATAACTATGAAACAGGTGCCTCTCGAGGAATTGGACTCGCTTTCGCAAACGACCTTGCCACCTTGAAAACAGATCTCGTCCTGATGGATGTCGCGGAGCCATCGGAAGACATAAATGCGTTAGCGCAACGTCATGGTATCCGCGTCAAGTACTACAAGTCTGTTTGGGACCAGCTCGGTCGAGAGACACACTTGTCCTGAGTGCATTGTGCTCACTGGTGCGTTCCCAGGACCGACGTTGCCAGCGAGGAGAGCATCGCAAGCAGCTTTGAACGTGCCAAACAAGATTTCGGCCGCATCGACAATTGGTAATTTCCTGTCATCTGCTCCACGAGATCCTACGCCGCTGACAATGTTGCAAGCATCACCGCAGCAGGCATTGCGCTCGAGGGCGACTTCCTGTCGCACGACTGGGACCGAAGCCGCAAAGTGCTGGATATAAATGTACCGCACCGCGTCGAGTGACCTCGGTTTGCTGCTTGCTAACAGCTTCAGGTGCTCGGCTCCTTTTTCTGTGCTCAGCACGCTGCATCGTGCACGAGGCAGCAAAACAGTCCAGGAAGCATTGTGATGATCGCTTCAGTGGCCTCACACTGCGCTCTCCCCGGACAATTCGTATCGCTGTATGGTGCCTCGAAGGCTGCTGTAAAGCTCCTAGGCAAAACGCTAGCGGTGGAGCTGGCGCCGTACAACATCCGGGTCAACACCATATCGCCGGGCTTCATCGAGACGGAGATGAGCGGAGCCTTGGCCGTGAAGAAGCCAGAGCTGTTCGAGGTATTCCGTAAATCCCCGCCACTCCTGCGCATCGGCCAGCGGCAGGACCTTACGATGGCTGCAGCATACTTGCTCAGTTCAAGTGCATCTTACGTTACAGGTGAGGACATAGCAGTCACCGGGGGGTTGCATGCGGGGCGCATCAAGGTCTCGGATACTGTGGAAGCCTAACCGGTCACTGGACTTCGTAGTCCATGTAAGGCTGAATCGCAGTCTTATCCAATGCTATCGTGATGTCGCCGGGTCCGATCCACGGCCAAGTCTATCGATGTTCCATGCCGCAATAATGTCTCTGCAAAGGATCTCATGGTGAACACTTGTCAAGACGACGGGATTCCAGATGTCAGAATTAGCGTAATCTCAGATGGGGACCAGGCCCACTGTTCCATTTGTATCTCTTGATAGGATTGCGAACACAACGCGTGAAGATGTCATGGCCGGTCACAGAACTGGCAGCTCGAGCAATAATCGAACGGTGTTGGGTTCGACGCCTAGGCAACCTAGCTTGCCACTTTCTCTTGTACTAATAGATCATTCTCTCTTTAAATGCCTCTCTGTCCCCAAGCAGTGAAAGCAAAGTGCAAACTGACGAATAGATGAAACCTATGTGTTTTTGTCCCGAGCAGTTCCAATTTCGCTCAGCCGGAGACCAGAGCAGACAACACAGCAGGTCGCTGGAATGTGTACGCTGCGGCCGCTGTCGCAACCACATATAGAAGCACGTGAGAGCCAGCGTACTTCAGACGCCTCCACCCCTGCTTCACGAGCCAGGTGCTCGACCCTCCTTCCATCGTAAAGTCCTGCCATTTCGTGAAGAAGGTGGCTTTCCAGTACGACGATGCAAGACCGGGCCACGCTGCCGAATTCCTTCCTGCCTTGTTGATGTACCAGTTACTGCAGCCCGCGGCGAAGACGGTGGTCTGCAAGACCTCATCCAACTCTCGGATAGACTTGGCTTCCGCTTCCTGCCTGACTTCGATGACGTCTGAGTACCCGTCCATAATGGGTTCGATCAAGGTCCGTGCAATGTATTCCACTTGAACCTCTATCGAATAAATGACAGAATTGAATGCCGGGAATGTGTTTGGCCCAAAGCTGCGTGGTCGTCAGTGTGAAGTTGAGACGTTATGGGATAGGCAATCGCGACTTACAGTACAGCAAGGTTGGGATGATTGTGAACGAAAGATCCCATGTAAGCCTGTGCCCCTCTGTTCTCCTGCCATTGATGCTCGAGCGACTGTCCCTTCTTGCCAATGATCTTCATTGGCGTGAGAAAGGCCGAAACTTCGAAGCCTGTGGCAAGTATGATGGCATCGAACTCCCTTTCGTCCCCACTCTCGCTGACGATTCCATTCTCGGTCATTCTTTGCAGACCTTCTGGAAGAAGTTCGACATGCTCGTGGTGTAAGGATTCCAGATAGCCGGGATCGTAGATGCGCCGCTTGCAGCCGAGCGGGAAGTCTGGCACAATGATCGAGTGATACTTCTTGGGCGTTTCCCTGTAGATGTACTGGCGTGCGGTCTCTTCGATCGCTCTTCGCTTTCGGACCTGCTCTTCGCTGGGGCCGTAGACAGTAGCTAGTTCGTCGGTTTGGAGGAAGAGATCAAGGCGGTGCCATCGCTGCCAGAGCGGCAAATAACGAAAGCAGAATTTGTCGAACGTTGAGAAGGTCCGGTTAGGCCGCTCGTGATACCATTGTGGGCTTCGGGCATACTGTGTGAGACTCTGAACTGCCGGTGCAATTGATGGCACGACTTGTGCAGCGCTGCACCCATTCCCAATGACTGCAACCCGCTTGCCAGTATAGTCAAAGGAATGGTCCCACTCGGCAGTGTGAAAGATCCTGCCCTTGAACCCCTCCATTCCAGGGAACTTCGTTCGTCTGGGCCTGGAGAAGCCGCCAACTGCGGTCAGGAGGATCCGGCATCGCTTGGTAGTCGTTCGGCCAGTGTTGTGGTCAACGAAGGAGACGATCCACTGTTTGCCGTCCCACTTGGCTCCGGAACACTCCTGTCGGAGACGAAAGTGCGATCGCAGATCGAACTTGTCCACAGTCGCCTCAATGTCTGTACCGCATGCCGGTCAAAAGAGAACCCTCGTTCAACGATCGTTAAAGCTTCACTCACAACGCAAGATCTCTTCTTGATCGGCCAACGCATGGGTCCAGTCGGGGTTGAGATTGAAGCTGAATGAATACAAATGTACTGGCACATCCGAACCACTATTAAGAGCGTCAGTTTCGTACACTGGGGACCGCGAAGGAGATGTGAGAATGGATGGGAGACTCACCACCCAGGGTAAGTGTTCGCTCTCCAAGTCCCTCCAATGCCGCCGCTCTTGTCATAGATCTATTCTCACATCATCAAACGGAGCACGACACACTCACTTGCCTCGCAGCGTTCTTACCTCAAAGTCCGTGACGCCAAGCTTGTGCTTCAATGTATGTGCCATAGCTATGCCCGCCACCCCGGCACCGACGATGATGACATTCTTCTCGTCCATTCCGAGCAAATGTTCCGGATGCAGGACGTTCAAGTTCCAACTTTCGGCTTGGAGAATCCAGCGACCGCGCGATAGGGAGAAGTATGGCAAGCCTATCGTCGTCGAGAAGAAAGGTGATGAAGCGGCAGTTTTGAATCCAGTACCAAGGGCAGTAACCGAATGGACGTATGGGGTACGAAAGGCAGATATTCGCAGTGTGAAGGGGAGACATGGCCATGAAGTGATAGCCACGGTCCGAGATGCGTGGAGCGATGCAAAGTGTCATGCGATACTTGCGGCTCAAGCGTCCTTGTCCGACTGCTCCCGCCCTGAGGGCTGCAGACGCAGAGTCCAGAATCCGATGCCTCCCCAGCTAAGAGCGAGAGGAACGAGAACAACAAGCAAATGAATCATGCCACAACGTCGAATGTCGCGGCTCGTACAACGCACAGACGCGTTACTTCCATGTTCTTGGAGGAATCCAATTCAGTAAGTGTTAGATCTTACTCCATACACTATGCACGATACTTGTAATCCCAAGATTCGGTCTTCCTTATATATAGCTTGTAAACTTGAAAATTCTGAACTATAATAGCTATAACTCAAATACGTATATTAACAAACGTCTAAATACATTTTGATAAAGTTTTTTATCTCTTTAATCACTAGCTTGGCTACTCTACTCTGTTGAAATCCCTACTTGCTTGTTGAAATAGCGTTATCTATAGTCTGTATAGGCGGATTAATAAGGTTGTTTAGTAAAACCTCTAACAGTTAAGTTATAGTATACAATATAATATACAGAGTGGTAGGTAGCAAAGACATGAACTTCTAGATAGCTATATATCCTTAGCATGCCCACGCTCCACCTTTCTTCCTAATCGGAATGTTCAGCTCGGATCAGTCGTATTGCACCCCACCTTAGACAAGCCTACATGTATGTTGAATGTTGCTATTTCAAGCCGACGCCACTGTGGCCACCCACGCTGCGGCCGGGATGCAGAGATGATCTAATCTCGCTTGATGACTGCCGCAGCTTGAGATACAATTGACAGGTGTGCTGTTCGACCTGCTCAGCTGAGAAGCATGAGAGGGCGAGAGCGCGGTGGGGGTGTCCGCTGATACTTCGAGGAAGACGGGTCCTTTGGTATGCTATGCGTTGGGTTGTTATCTTAAGAACAACCATCGCCGTTAAGAGAACGGCTAAGCAGCAGCGTGGGGCTTTGAGATCGACAACGGGGGCGGTCCCTGGAAACACTGTCTTGACCTCGCGCGTTGCGTCCACGATGCGAGAGGCTGTGTTGTCGAGGCTAACTGATATCTCGACGACCTGCAGCGTCTCGTGAGCTGATGTTCATCTTGCTACTTTACCAACTCCATCGTTGACCTCGACGTCGAAAGCGGCTGCCTTGCGAGTGTTTTGTTGCATCCGCGCGTTGCCAAGTAGCAACCGCCGGACGTCGATCATTTTGAGACGAGATACATCGTGCTACCTGAAACATCAAGACGTTCGCTCCAACTCGTCGTATCCCCAGATCGCATCCCCGAGGCGACGACGTAACGGTATCGGAGAGCATCAGGCGCATACGCGTTGCAGTTCGCAAGTGCTGAGGACGTAATCGAAGATAGACTTGGGAGGCTGAAGTTTGGGCTTGATCAACAAGATGGCGTACAATCAGTATGGTGAGTTTGAGACGACCTTGAGACATGCAAGAAGGCGGCGCGAGTGAGGTCAAACGGATTGTATTGGCGAATGTGCGACGTTGCCCGCATTCCACGGCTGTCCGCATGAGCTGTTGCAATGCCTCGACCTCACCCGCGCCCTGTCTCATTGTCTCACTACCAGCGTGACCTCAAAACGCTGACGTCCTCCAGGTGGTTTCACCCACCCCGACCAGCACGACCCCGACGACGACCAACACAACCCCTTCATGGATCCCCGAAGACAATCGCCCGAGCGCTACACCTCCCCCGCCTACCAGCTCGACGACAGACCCTACATCCACGATGAGCCCCTTCGGATCCCCATGGGTCCCGGGCCTGGCGCGTCAACAGATCGCCTACAAGCGCAGCCTACGTACTCGGTAGAGAACATGCCAGGCACCTTCGGTCACAGCGAAGCATACGAAGACGCGCACGTCCACCAATACACACCCAACCCTTTCCAGCAGGCGGCGCACCAAGGTACGGGCGATTACAGTCTCAGCCCTACGCACGACCACAACGCCTACTTTGACCACCAGCCATACGGTTCAGAGGTGCACGACCACGACTTCGATGCCCCGCAACACCCTTACTACCAAGAGGACATGGATCGGCCTATGCTTGCGCCAGGCAACTCGTACGGCCCAGATCCGCACAACATCGAGCAACACCCGGAAGGAGGAGATTTGGAAGCGGGCTACAACGATGCTCCGCCCGTTCCAGCGGCTGCGCCAATCAGGAGATGGAAGACGGTGAAGGAGGTGCAGCTGTTCAATGGCAACTTGGTGTTGGACTGTCCGGTACCGCCGCGGTTGCTGAACCAGGTGCCACACGCGCAGCCCCCAGAGAGAGATGAGTTCACGCACATGCGGTACAGTGCAGCGACATGCGATCCCAGCCAGTTCTACGACAAGCGCTTCACCCTGCGCCAGAGGCTGTTCGCGAAGCCACGCCATACCGAGCTGTTTATTGTGATTACGATGTACAACGAGGAAGATGAGCTGTTCGCACGCACGATGATGGGAGTGATCAAGAACATCGAATATATGAACTCGCGGACCTCTTCGAAGACCTGGGGCAAGGAGGCATGGAAGAAGATTGTGGTGTGTGTGGTATCAGACGGCCGCGCGAAGATCAACCCAAGGACGAGAGCGGTGTTGGCGGGTATGGGAGTGTATCAGGACGGAATCGCGAAACAGCAGGTCAATGGCGAGGATGTCACGGCTCATATCTACGAATACACGACTCAAATGTCGCTGGAAATCAAGAACCACGTCGTTTCAGTGAAGAAGGGTCAGACACCGGTACAGATGCTGTTCTGTCTGAAGGAGAAGAATCAGAAGAAGATCAACTCGCATCGCTGGTTCTTCCAGGCGTTTGGCGAGGTCCTGGAACCTAACATTTGTGTGCTCATCGACGCCGGTACACGCCCTGGACGCAGCAGTATCTACGACCTCTGGAAAGCTTTCGACCGCGAGCCCATGTGCGCTGGTGCTTGTGGTGAGATCAAGGCCATGTTGAGCAAGGGCAAGAACCTCATCAACCCGCTGGTTGCAGCACAAAACTTCGAATACAAGATGAGCAATATCCTCGACAAACCACTTGAAAGCGCCTTCGGCTTCATTACCGTACTTCCCGGCGCTTTCTCCGCCTACCGCTACGTCGCGCTCCAGAACGACAAGACCGGACAAGGACCACTGGAGAAGTATTTCGCCGGCGAGAAGATGCACGGTGCCAACGCCGGTATATTCACAGCCAACATGTACCTCGCCGAAGACCGCATCCTCTGCTTCGAGCTCGTCAGCAAGCGGAACTGCTCCTGGATTTTACAGTATGTCAAATCCGCCTCAGGAGAAACGGACGTACCGACCGAAATGAGCGATTTCATCCTCCAGCGGCGTCGATGGCTGAACGGCTCCTTCTTCGCAGCTGTCTACGCTATTGCGCACTTCTACCAGATCTGGCGGTCACATCACTCGGCGATAAGGAAATTTATGCTGTTGCTTGAATTCTTCTACCATACCGTGCAGATGATCTTTGCGTGGTTTGCGATTGGAAACTTCTTCCTCGTGTTCAGGATTCTGACGACGAGTCTGAGTGATCCGGAATTGCTGGGCACCGCTGGGTTGGTGCTGAGTGTGTGCTTTGAGTGGCTTTATCTGGCTACGCTGGTGACTTGTTTCGTGCTTGCGTTGGGCAATCGACCGCAGGGAAGTAACAAGTTTTACATGACGCAGGTGTACTTTTGGGCGATCCTGATGTGGTATGTCTTCTCCCTCACCGCAAAATCTTTGGTGTCCGTACTGACGACGTGCACAGCTACCTCCTCTTCGCCTCGATCTTCATCACCGTCAAGTCAGTCCAACAGCAAATCGAGGAAAACGACGGCTTCTCCTTCGCCATGCTCTTCACCAATCGCATCTTCTTCACCCTCATCGTCAGCATGCTCTCCACCTACGTGCTCTACCTCGTCGCCAGCATAATGTTCCTGGACCCATGGCACATGCTCACATCCTTCGTCCAATACCTCCTCCTCACCCCGACCTACATCAACATCCTCAACGTCTACGCCTTCTGCAACACCCACGACATCACCTGGGGCACCAAGGGCGACGACAAGCCCGAGAAACTCCCGGCTGCGAACTTGAAGCCAGGCGGCAAAGTCGACGTCGCCATCCCCTCCGACGACGCGGACCTGAACACGCAGTACGAAAGCGAACTCCGCGCCTTCTCCTCCAAGTACATCCCGCCGAAGAAAATCATCGGCGATCAGGAAAAGCATGAAGACTACTACAAAGGTTTCCGCTCGGCCGTCGTGCTGGCGTGGATGTTCTGCAACCTGGCCCTCGCAGCTGTGGTGCTCAATGTCGGCGGGGTGCAGAGGTTTCAGGACGAGAATGGAGACGAGCAGATTGTGCAGGATCCGGAGGCGGTGGAGAATGAGCGGGCGACTACTTACATGGCCGTGGTGCTGTATAGCGTGGCGGTGTTGGCGGCGGTGAGGTTTGTGGGGGCAGTGTGGTTTTTGGTCGTTAGGATCTTCAGGGGGGTATAGAGTTGGGTGTTAGAGGCAGCTGCGCGAGCATTGAGAAGGTTGGGCATGAGCATGAGCATGGGCGTTGGACGGTTCAATTAAGAAGGGAGGTTCTTGAGGATATGGGAATGTTGGATTTCTCTCTTGTCACGATGCGCGATGTGAGTGATACCCGAATGAAGCTTGTTCTATTCACTGAGATGGGAGCATATGGTGCGCTTCACTGCCTTATCATCGCGCTCATCACTTCTGTCTCATGTGCTCGCTTCACTGTTGTTGAGGGGTCATGTGCTTCATCAGCTCCCCCTTATCACGTGCACTTGTTCGGCCTCCAGGCCGGTATATCAACCTCAATTACTCTTCTATCCTCCTTCCCTTCCTCTCACATCACCACCACCACCTTGGTCGTTCGAGCTCGTCGTTCCTCTTCATTCTCATCTCCCCATGCTCACCCGAAAGGAGTCGTCAACCCCAGCCGTCGCACCTTCCCCAACCCGTTCCTGCCTCATCCGGAAGCAACCAATTAGCGCCTCTCCACTAGCGTGTTTGAGCTGTTTTGGGCGAGCCATAACCCAGAAGCTTCCACAACACAACACACCGCACTGCGGCAGAAAACTCGGGCATTGAAGTTCAGAGTTCGCTGGTGAGTATACTCCTTTCTTTTACCTTACATTCACAACATCCTTGCATTGCAGTCGTCAGCGAGAGATTGAGAGCAGTTGAGAGCAGTTGCTGACGCGGCGAGAGAAGAGCAGTGACGTGTTGTTTTGCTTGCAACATTCGACCTCAACCACGACCTCAACATCAACATCGACAAGAGCTTCTAGCTTCATCGACCACCGCCACCTATACCTTCACACCTTTCGACTTCACTTCAAGACGACCACAACACAACAGCAAGGATGCCTGGTCTTGATGTCTGGGAGTCCGCTCCGGCTCGTGAGTCGCACCTACCCCTTAACATTGCCCTCGCTCGCTTACTGACCTCCTTCACAGCGACCGAGGCCTGGAAGCCGGACACGACCGCGGACGCTGGCGGGGACAGCTGGCAGCCTGATGGCGCCGCCGCTGACGACGGGTTTGCTGGACTGGACAACACTTCCAAGCACGCTCGCGGTGCTGACGACGGCGGATGCCGCAAGTGAGTTGCTTCCCACCTTCAACATTGAACATCCTGTTCCACATGCTGACACGGCTACAGCTGCGGTGCCGACGGCCACTTCGCTCGGGACTGCGACCAGCCGCGTGCTGAAGGTGGGAACTCAGGGGAGTGTTACAACTGCGGCGAGATGGGACATAACAAGGCAGATTGCACCAACCCCCGTGCTGAGCGCGAGTTCACGGGTGACTGCCGTGTCTGCGGGATGCCTGGTCACCGCGCTGCGGAGTGCCCCACGAAGCCGCCGGCGACGTGCAAGATCTGCGGTGAGGAAGGACATCTCCAGGCTGAGTGTGGTGTCAACCGCATTACTCACGGCATCGCGGCTCTTAGCGGTGAGGATGCGTACCTTGCGCTCCTCGAGGCTGATAAGGAGAGGGATGTCGATGATATCAAGAAGGTACCATGACCCGCCAACATCTCCTTTACGACGCATGCCATACTGACACCCCCTTTGCAGGCCCTGCTCGCCTACGCCAAGGCGTACCCCGACGTAACGCTCCGCGAGATGGAGGAGGTACTGCGCTCCGAGAACATGGCCACACACCTCATCGCCCGGCAGCAGGAGGTCTCCGACACACACACGATCGTGAACCTGCAGGGCCAGCAGGATCAGAAGTACACGGTTTCAATCCAGTTCTCCGCCAAGCCGCGTCGTGCCAAGTTCGCCGAAGGGTACCCGTCGACGCCGGCTGAGAACCTGGAGCGTCTGAAGGAGGCTGGCTTTCCGATGGATCGCATGGTCCAGAAGTGCTCGAACTGCAATCGTGAGTCTCTCGACTGCTTTAAGCTTACCAAGCCTTGCTAACATATCCCACAGAGCTCGGCCACGGCTCGAAGGCCTGTCCAGAGGAGCGTCGTGAATTTGACAAGATCAAGATCACGTGTAACAACTGCCAGGAAGAGGGTCACCGCATGCGCGATTGCACCGCTCCCCGCAAGGTCCGTGGCGGCGATCGTACCTGCAAGAATTGCGGCGAGGAAGGGCACATTGCCAAGGAGTGCGAGAAGCCTCGCTCGGCTGAGAACGTGGAGTGCAAGAACTGCGGCGAGAGTATGTCTCCCTTCCCGAATCCTCCTCCACGAGGCATGCTAACATTGTTCTCCAGTGGGTCACTTCTCGCGCGACTGCCCGTCCCGCGAGCCCGAGGTGTGTCGCAACTGCGGTGAGGAGGGTCATCGCAAGAGTGACTGCACAAACGAGCGTGTGATCCAGTGCCGTAACTGCGACGCCTGGGGCCACTCCTCTCGCGAGTGCGATCAGCCCAAGGACTGGTCGAGGGTGGAGTGCTCCAACTGGAACGAGAAGGGGCATGGTGTGAAGCGCTGTCCTCTGCCGCCGAAGGAGGAGGAGGCTGAGGCGGATGGTGGCGGGTGGTAAGCTCGCCGTCTCCGAAGCACTGCTGGACTGCCGGAGTTCTTCTTGAGCTGCGGCTTCTGGTGGTGATGGTGCGCTGCTTGCGTGCGTTACGAGGGGCTGGTGTCACATGCTGAGACACTGCTGAGATGATTGCGACTGCTTCTTGTCGAGCACCGTTGTTGCTTCGCAACTTCTGCAAAGCGCCGACGATGCTTGACTTAGACAAACGAGACTGATGAATGCGATGCTTAAGACTTCAACTTCTCCTCATTTAAGTCTTCGCGTGAACACACAGCGCTATACCGACGAGCACCAAAGTCATACCCAGCCAGGTATCTGCTGATCATGAGTCTCTTATCCACACTACCAAGAAGACGAAGTAACAAACCTCTCGAGATCACCTTCCCCTCCGCCCACCACTCCCCTAATACCGTAAACAGGAACGCCAACGAATTTGTGATTGGCACCGTCAGACTCAACTCTGCCTACCTGTCAGTCTCTCACCACATCTAAACATCACATGGGAAAGCAAAAGAAATCATACCAGCCTCCCCCACAAGCAAAAAGAACCACACGCTCCCCGTCACATTCACCAGAAGCGGGATCGCATATTTGGGATTTCGCAGTAAATCCACCACGGCATACACGCCGCTTAGGACTTTGCGTTTTAGCCAAGGGGCGTTTGGGTCCGAGAGGGCAGGACGAGCTGGTGGAGAGGGAGTGGAGAGGGCTGCGAGGCGGAGGAAGGGCGTTGTGAATCCCCAGGAGACGGAGACTAGGAGGTAAGAGGTGAGGATGCGCCAGGTTGAGGGTGAGGAGGGGAGGGGGGTGTCCATGGTTGGGATTCTCTGGATGGTGAGGGAGGGAAGAGGGAGGAGGGAGGTGAGGTTGGGGATTGGTGGATTTAGTGCCGAATTAGGAAGGAGTGGAGGTGGGGTGAATGTTGGAGATTATGTCTTCGTTTCCCGTATCTCAAACCTCGTCGGACAGCTACGAACTCGATCATAAGGACAAATAGCCCATCATGGCACCCTCCCGCGTCTCACCGCCCCCCATCAACTCCAAATCAGGCCTCTCGCAAGACCAACTCTCCACCTTCCACCAAAATGGCTACCTCATCCTCCCTGACGCCCTCTCCCGAACCGAAGTCGCATCCCTCCTCTCCCAATCCCAAGCCATGCTCAACGACTTCTCCCTCGCCGACCACCCCATGACCCGCTTCTCCACCGGCGAGAACAGCGACCACGTCGGCGACGACTACTTCCTCACCTCCGGCGACAAGGTGCGCTTCTTCTTCGAGGAAGACGCTTTTGATGCGAACGGCGAGTTGACGAAGGAGAAACATCTGGCTATTAATAAGATTGGACATTACTTGCACGAGTTGTCTCCGCCGTTCAAGTCGGCGTCGATTAATGAGAAGAACGCCCGGATAGCCAAGGCGTTGGGGTTTAGGGATCCGAGGGTGTTGCAGAGTATGGTTATCTGCAAGCAGCCCGAGATTGGAGGGAGAGTGCCGCCGCATCAGGACAGTGTGTTCCTGTATACGAATCCTCCGAGCGCGGTGGGGTTTTGGTATGCACTCGAAGACTGCACCGTCTCCAACGGCTGCCTCTCCTTCGCCCCCGGCTCGCATAGACGGGCGCCCATCAAAGACCGCTTCGTTCGCTCAGCGGATGGGAAGGGGACGACTTTCACTGCGAACACTGGGGCAGAGTTCCCTGAGGGGTTACAGAGTGAAGATGCGAAGGAAGAGGAGAAATATGAGTTGGGAGAGGTAAAGGCAGGGACGCTGGTGCTGGTTCACGGCAACGTGCTGCATAAGAGCGAGAAGAATTTGAGTCAGAAGGGGAGGATGATTTATACGTTCCATTGTATTGAGGGGGAGGTGGAGTTTGATGGGGGGAATTGGTTGCAGCCGCCTGAGAGGGGGTTTACGAGGTTGAACGATGTTTTGTGAGGAGATATCTGAGGGGGTGGTGCGTTGCTGTCTGTCTTGAGGGAAAGCTGTGGCTACCGGCCGAACACGGGTGGAGAGGGCATGCTTGCAAGGCTGTCGACACAGACACAGTCCTCTTCGACAGCTTCACATCCAGCCCGGTCTGCTTGTTGAACCAGAAGTCATGGCTCTCCCACGGCCGCTCATGCGTCAGCTCCATGTCAAAGGTCATGAAGAGGGTGGGTAGCATTTTGTGGACTTCGGCGAGCGAGATCTGGACCATGTCAGCTTGAACGAGCGCACAGCGGCCGACATCCGACTTACGTTCTTGCCGATACAAGTCCTTGTGCCACCACCAAATGTCAGCAGGAAACGATCCATGCCTGAAGCGTTCGGGCTAAGCCAGCGATCCGGGTTGAACTCAGCCGCATCGCTGCCGAAAATTGATGGGTCGTAATGAAGGACGGCAGGATTGATTCCGACTGTGGTGCCCTCCGGGAAGAATTGTCCGGCAACCTCACTTCCACCAGCAGGGACCAGTCGGGGCATGGTCAATCCGACGGAAGGATGCAGCCGCATGGCCTCCTTGATGCATGCGCAGAAGAAGGGCAAGTTCTGCTGAGCCTCAGAGAACTTGACAGGCAAAGACAGCCCGCCGTTCACCATAGCAGACTCAAGCTCCGCTCGAACACGACGCAGTGCTTCTGGATGCGTCAGCAACTGGTGCACGATCGCTCGCATCGCGATCGCCGTGGTATCACTACCAGCAGACGTGCCAACCCAGCCTTCCTGCTGCACGTCAGCTGTGTTGAAGTCCTCTTTCTCGCCTTTCGTATCCCGGAGCTCAAACAGCTTCGCCAGCATATCCTTCCGGCTGGTGTTGACATTACTGGCGAGATCGCCTGCCCCCAGCAGCCGATGTCGCTCATTGACCCGGTCGTCCACCCACGCCGCCATATCAGCGAAGCGCTTCGCTCCATCGGAGTGAGCCATCCGCAACGATTTCAAGAAGTCATACGGCCTCCGCCACATTGTCGACATGTTCGCCACGTCAAGCCTTGCTGGCATGGATTCATCAAGCGTCTCGATCCAGCCATCAGGATCGTCTCCAGCTTCGAGAAAGCCGAATGCCGAACCAAAGTACAGCTCACCGATCACGTCAAAAGCGTACATCTGCAGCCACTTCCCTAGATCAATGGACACGCCTCGCTCCGCCAAAGCGCTCAGCTTCCGCATTAGCACCTCAGAGCAGTCATCGATATACGGCTCGCTCTCCAGCACGGACGTCATGGAGTACATATTGCTCAACAGTCTCCGGCGAGCGGCATGATGCTTTTCATCCCGATCAGTGAACTGGTCGAAATGCTTCGTCCCGCGGTTCGGTCCTCGCCAGACATCGTACCAGTCTGTCTTGGTGAATTTCGACTTGATGCCGTAGATAGTCTGGACGGCGGAGGCGTCGCTAATGGTTACTTCGTTGGGGGCGATGCGGACGATAGGGCCTAAGGAAGTTCAGCAGCGGGTTGCTATGGGTAGGAGGACGGTATGCGTACCGTAGCGCGCATGCAGCTTGCGGTGGGTCTTGTCAAAGTTGCCCTTGCCGACTTCGCGGACGTACCACCATCTTGTCACGGAGGCGGCGAATGGGCCTGGGAACTTCGCAAGAGGATGGAAGAAGCGCGTATATATCACCCATGCCAGAGGCGCAACGAGGAGTGTTGCTATTGCGAGTGAGGACAGGGTGGGCAGATTGGCCGGTAGGAGGACGCTGGTTATCAAGTTCAATGGCGCCATGTTCGAAATCTCAGACTTGCTTTCAATCTACAGCTTTGTGTCGGTGGACATTTGGCTAGCCTACATATACCATCTTTCGGCAAACGTTTAACGATCACTACAGCCACTTTCGGCCTACGCTCATGTCTTTACTCCAGTCTCGCCCTTATAGCGGGCGCCCGGAGTAAAACATGCTTTGCTCGGCAGTTGTGTTGGAGCCTTTCCCGTGGGGTTTTCTTGGGGGAATTGGGGTGGCGGCAGAGTCTTGAATAATTTAATTTTGATTGTTTTCGATTTTTCGCAACACCAGAGGCGAAGGTGTTATGACACTCTTGTATGCAAGAACACAGATTTGGCCCCTGAGGTACTCTCCTCACGGTGACGGTATCTCCTAATGCGGTTGATCAGCATGGGTTTGCCCCAAAGTGGCAGGTGCTCTGGGCTACGAGGGCTGTCTCGAGGCTCTTCTCTGTCCTCTGCTGACGACCTAACTTTCTACACATGAGCAGATTCAAGGTGATGTTTTGAAAGAGACCGCAGCTCAACGGTGCAATCGAGTCAAGACAGACACGAGGTCGAGCTCCTGAGGCCACGCCATAACCGCACCTGATCGCCGGGCCTTTGTCGTCGACCAGCTCACTCGTGTTACGGAAAATATGGACGACTGGGAGATCGTAGCCCCGATGGGTGACAGTCGCAGTGGCCGATTGTCTGAAAGCCACGAAGAACACAAGAATGAAGACGACACCACTGGCATCTTCGCCTCCCTCCTCATCCCAGGCCGGGGCGACCCTATGAAAGACCAAGCAATCCTCTGCTCTCGAAAGACGGGCAAGATCATCTACGTCGGCCTCTCTTCTCGCATCCCGCCAAAGTACTACAATGTTCACCTCGAGAAGATCCCGGTGGTAATGCCCGGCATGTGGGAGTGCCATGCCCACTTCATGGGAGCCTCTCCAAACAAGCCCATTGACTTCGTGAACTTGGCCCTTACCAGTCCTCCAGAGGCAGGCGCACGTAATGCAAGGGTGATCAAGGACACGCTCTATGCGGGCTTCACTTCGGCTGTTGAGCTGGGTGGTTATGCTACGGAGCTGCAGCGTGTGATTGAGGAAGGCTCGATCCTTGGCCCAACGTTATATGGGTCTGGCGGCGCGATTAGCATGACTGCTGGGCATGGTGATATCTTTGAGTAGGTCCACGCCCCAAGGTTGCTCATGGTCGGTCGGCTGATCTTCTGTTAGACTACCATACGGTTGCAGCCGTCAAAAGCTCAGCGTTAACGCCCCTGGTACTGACGGTGGCGCTGCTGTCGTGGTGCAAGCTGATGGCGTGGACGAATGCCGCAAAGCAGTGCGACTGAACCTCCGCCGTGGTGCGAAGTGCATCAAAGTGCTCACTTCTGGCGGCGTTACTTCTCGCGACGACAGGCCCGAATACCAGCAACTCTCCGACGAAGAGCTTAAAGTCATCGTGGAGGAAGCAGGTCGCATGGGCATGATCTGTGCAGCGCATGCAGAGGGAAAGGCAGGCATAATGGCCGCCATCCGTGCCGGCTTCAAAGTCATCGAGCACGGCTCGTACGCTGATGATGAGGTGTACAAGGAGATGAAGAAGAACGATGTCATGCTGGTCGCTACGATTACTCCGCTCGAAAGCATCCTGGACAACAAAGACAAGTACCCACCAGCCATGTATCGCAAAACTGCCGAGCTGGCGAAGATACACATGGCCGCCTACCGCAATGCAGTCAAGGCCGGCATAAGGTGCGCACTTGGCTCAGATCTATTTGGCGGACCTGGCAGCGTTCTCTCACCTGGCATGAACGGCAATGAAGTGCATCTTGCTGTCAAGACTGGTGGCATGACGCCGCTTCAAGCCATCGAGGCAGCAACGGCGAACGGGCCGTTAACACTGGGTCCGCAGGCCCCTCAGAGCGGACAGATCAAGGAAGGGTATGATGCGGACCTGCTTGGCTTGGACAAGAACCCGCTCGACGATATCGAGATGATGAGGAAGCCAAAGAACGTGAAGTACATCTGGAAACAGGGCAAGCTGGTGAAGGCACCTGGGCTCGATCCGTGGGATGCATTAGATATATAGCGTCGTTGAGGTATAGTCTTTAATGCCGCTGGTGTGGTACTTTCTCGAGCATCGGTTGATCCGAGGTGGACTTCTGTATCGCATCAGCCCGCACGCGACTGCATGCGGCCGCTTCACAAGGCTGTCCACAATTCCTCTAACCTCACTGGCGATTTCGCTCAAACGCCTAGGGCTCAAACGGCGACCGGATCTCGTTTCTTCTCCGAAATGCGGATGCGCAAGTGGAGCAGAGCGAGCTGGGCAGCCGTGCTCTAAGCACACAAGAGGAACATGGTGATTGATCTCGAGCCAAGATGTGTCCGATTGGTAATGAACATGGTCCAAGCGAGTAGGAATGTACGAGCGAATCCACAAGCACCGAAGTTCAATTCACTTGCCTGACTAAAGCGGATTGACGAAACTGTCCGGCTCCGTTGAGACGCCTTTGGACAACGGTACGGCGACATTCGTCTCGTTGCCGCAAACGGCCATACATAAGGTACGATGTCTATATAAATGCCGTCAACCCAGCACTGCAGCGCCTTGTCTTCGTGCAACAGCTCCCTCAGTTCCAAAGCATACCCTCCCAGCCAACGAACCCAACCGTTTTAAGCCATGACCGACGCTCTCGCAACACTGGCCTCGAAGGAGATCCACGAGTCTTACCCCTTCATTGCTCCAAAGAAGTACAAGGGAAAGCTCAATGGCAAAGTGGTAAGTAGAGCAGATATTTGCAGAAAGCAATCCGTTGACCACGCACTCAGACAATCGTGACTGGAGCCTCGTCAGGTATTGGAGCAGGCCTTGCCAAAGGTTTCGCAGCGGCCGGTGCCAGGGTTGCTTGCATTGCTCGCCGCGAGGACAAGCTCAAAGCTGTAGTGGATGAGGTCAAGGCTGCCGGTGGCGAGGCAATTGCGATCGTTGGCGATGTTGCAAAGCGTGGTGGACCAAAGGAGATCGTTTCGCAGGTTGAAAGCCAGCTGGGACCGGTCGACATTGTAAGAGAGATATCGTTGTCGTGTTTTGGAAAATGCTGACTGGTCGCAAGCTCATCAACAACGCGGGTATTACTCGGTTGGGCCTCTTCTGGGAGGAGGAGGAGGACGTAGATATTTGGTGGCGTGTGCACGAAGTCAACGTGCGCGCTCCAGTAGCAATGGTAAGTCTTGACCGAGCCTCCAACGGGTCGAGATACGTCTCTCACAGCCAATCTCGACGGGTACCAATCTGCAAGAGCCAAGCTGACAGTCGTTGGCCACTAGTGTCGTGCAGTCCTCCCCTCTATGATGGAACGAAAGACTGGTGTCCTCATGACCGTGTCGTCCGCGGTGGCTACTTTGACCCTTCCAGCGATGACGGCGTACTCGTCCTCGAAGGCGGCCATCTCAAAATTCCACGAAGGACTAATCCAGGAGCTGGACGGCACTGGCGTCCTGTCCCTTGCCGTGCACCCCGGTATGGTGGAGACGGAAGTCGCGAATCCAGTAGATGCCATCAACAAGACATCGCTGGAGCACCCCATCGTGCAAGGCTTCATGGCTTATTATACAGATCCCAACCTCAAAAGGCAGACCATGGAGCTTCCAGTGGACACAATGGTGGCGCTCGCGGCAGACGAGAGGTGCAAAGCTTTGCAGGGCTTGCACATCAATGTCACCGAGGATCTGGAGGCCGTGGTGAAAGAAGCGGAGAGGGAAGGCCGTGGACGAATCGGCACGGACAGGTTGTACCTAGTCACCGTCCCGACGTTATAGACGGGGCTGGTTTGCGGCAGTACATCGCAGGTGGCAGGAACCGTCTCGGAATCTTAAGTTGAGTTCCTAGGACTGGCAAAGCAAATTGCATGCATTTCTTTCTCGTGATTCTCGCCGAACCGAAAAGAACCAGTGCCATACTCTTCCCATCCAGCTCGCTGGTATAGTCTCAGCGCTGCTTGATTAGCCACGAGTACGAACAGCACGAGGCGTGTCCCGTTTGCTCTGCCATATGCCGCTGCCGCTTCGAGTAATGCCTCTGCGATGCCTTTTCTTCGAGCATTGGGGTGGACATATAATCTCTCCACCAGACCTATGTTGCTGTCACCAGGACGCACCCGCCGCCATGTGCTGACAGCGAGGTCGGTTGGCTTCGCATCTGCCACAGCAATATGGCCAATGATGTCGGTGTCGAGCTCGCCCACCCATGCCTCCCGCATGCCATAGGTGATGAAGTGTCTGAAGTCATTCGTGCCGCGTGGATATCCTTCATGGTCATGTACACGATGGAGTAAGGCGACGCACTCTTCGACGTCCTCGTCTCTGCGTTGTCGGATGGCCGCCATACTCTCCGCCATGAGAGATGACTTGTATGACTTGTATTTCGCAAGCAAGGCCCGAAAAGCCAAGATGCAGTTCCGAGACTCCGCCAGGTCTGTGCAAGAAGCTCCGCCACCGCCCCCAATCCTCCCCTCCCGCACCCCATCCAGCGACTTCAAACAATCAAAGCGCTGCTCTGGGCGCGTCCTCCTCGGATCCCGAAATTTGATATGACCGCAGTCCAACCAGGCAGCTACGACAAATATAGAATCCAAACACCATGACACGGTAAGACATCCTCTCTTCTCTTCTTCATCAACGTTCAGTCGTTTCTGTCATCGTTTCTGCTTCTACTGTTGCTATCCGTTATGCGACCATCGACACTCGAGGGCGTAGCCGCCACTCTGGCTCTCGCAACCACCGCCAACGCTCTGCAGGTCGATGTGAACAACGTGCAGTCCATCAGCACCGCCGCAAAGACAATCGCTTCCAACATCATCTCCTACTACGAAGGCAATAGCACTGCTTCGATTCCTGGCCTGTTTCCGCAACCGTACTACTTCTGGGAGGGAGGTCTGGCTTGGGATTCATTGATCAACTACTGGGCTAAGACTGGCGACGACACCTACAATGATCGCATCGCTCAGGCCATGCTGTGGCAGGTTGGAAGTGACGACAACTACATGCCCGCAAACCAGACCAAATCGCTTGGGAACGACGACCAAAGCTTCTGGGCTCTCGCGGCCATGACGGCGGCAGAGAACGATTTCCCAGCTCCAAAAGCCAGTCTGGTGCCCGGCAACGGCGACGTTCAATCGTGGGTCCAGCTGGCGCAAAACGTATTCGACACTCAAGTACCTCGATGGGACGCCGAGACCTGCGGCGGTGGACTGAGGTGGCAAATCTATTCCTTCAACAACGGATACGACTACAAGAACACCGCGAGCAATGGCAACTTCATGCAACTTGCTGCTCGTCTGGCCAAGTACACGGGCAACTCCACATACAGCGACTGGGCAACAAAAGCTGCCAAGTGGACTTTTGATGTCGGTCTCATTGCAAACGAAAGCTACTATGTCTACGACGGCGCCACAACGTCTGATGATTGCAAGGACCCAAATAAAGTCCCGTGGACTGGGAGCGCCGGGACGTACCTCAGCGCATACTCGTACCTATCGAACGTCGAGTCTAGCTCACCCTACACCTCGAAGATCCTAGACAGTGCATTGAAGATCTTCACCGACGACAACGACATCCTGGAGGAAACTGCTTGCATGAGTTCAGGGACTTGTAACACCGATCAGTATGCCTTCCGGGCCATTTTCGCGCGTGCGCTTGCGAACTTGAAGTACGTCGACAGTGGAGATAACATCGACACCGACGCCATTGATGCCGTCTTGAAGGCGTCTGCTGAAGGAGCAGCGGCTCAGTGCACGGGTGGCCCGAGTGGGAAGTATTGTGGGACTGACTGGAGCGCGAAATTTGATGGCACGACTGGACTGGGTCAGGAGTTGGGTGCGCTGGAGATTCTGCTGGCCAACATTCCGAGCAATGGGACGCAGACTGCGTCTGGTAGTACTTCGTCAACGAATTCTACGGGTACGACTCCTGGAGCACCGTCTGGCACTTCGCAAGGTGCAGTGGCAACTGGAGAGGCGCGTCTTGTGTCTGCGTCCACTATTGGATTGCTTGCAGCTCTGGCCATGGCTGTTTTACTCAGTTAGGTGTGGTATGTAGTTGTATTACTATGTCTTGCCGGAACCGTCCTGTCCAGCCTCACAACAAGTCTTGGTGGTCCCAATACCCAAAGCCGCCCAGACCAGCTTGCCCCGAAAAACGGGATGGGTGGAATTTCAGCCCGGTGTCAGGCACTGATGTGATGAGTCGGTGGTGTTCTGGTCTCGGCCTGGAGAGGCGCATGTCTAGGACGTCTTCAAGAGCCAACACACAAGGATATCTCCTGCCCTGGCGCCGTATATTCGTTGCGGCCGTCCAGCCAACAGCTACCCGCCGTTCCTTGACCAGAGACTCCCTTATACCTCCTACTGCAACGAAATCATTCACCGTCTACAGTTGCTCTTACCCCCTACAGCTACACATCTCGTTGTCTCGCAAGCACTTGACATGGTCGCCGGACCCTCAACACCTCGTCCATTGATGGCCTCCACCCGCCGCTGCCCCATCTGCCTCGACACCATCACCAACCCCGAAAGCACCCTCTGCGGCCACGTCTTCTGCGCCGAATGTCTCGACACCTTCCTGGAACCCTCCACCAACCCCTGCTGTCCCATCTGTCGCCGACTAACAGATGCCGCCGAGCTAGAAGACCCCGACCAAGCCATCGCCGCCACCCTCGCCACCTACGAACTCGAGCCCAACCGGACCACCGAGCTCGAATGCGTGGACCGAGTGATCGCAACGAGCCTGGCAAATTACGATGATGAGGTCCGGAGCGAGTTCAGAACTGTCGTCAGGAACGCCAGAGCTGATTTGTGGATCGTGTAGCGGAGCGACCTGCATAGTCCGTTGGTGAAGGATAGAGCGGAGAAATCGTGGAGTGCGATTGAAGGGTATCTCGCGAGTATGGAGAGGAGAGAGCATGATTCTCAGGAGTTGAATCTGAAGCGGATGCTGGTGAAGATGGAGGGGTGGAGTATTCGGTGCACGAAGGACTTCCTTGGCAAGCGGGCTTCCATATGAAGTGAGGTCGTGGTGGGACTGTAGAAGCGTTCATTAATGGTCGACCGATACGGGGCAGCTACCTGGTCGAAGTAGTGGGAGGACAGCAGCAGGGTTTTGTGAGGCCTGCAAAGGGGGGAATCTGGAGAAAGTGACATGTCTTCTCTGCCACAATGTTTACTTGCATATAGTCGCTCATCAGCATGAAAATAGGAGGTCGACTCTTGAAGAAAAGCTCATCAAACTGCCCTTCGACTGTCCCACTCAGCCACCGCCATGCATACGAATCGTTCCTCACTCAATGTCCGTCAGGTCACTCTCGCTGTCTTCTTTTTCCGACTCCTCCTTGACAACCGTCTTCCTTACTTGAGGCGCTTCTGCCGTCGTCGCTGCCGCGTCAGTAGCTGACCGACTGCTCCTCGTCTGGGGCGCTTCTGTCGTGGTCGTCGCCGCCGCCGTAGCAGACCGACCGTTTGTCAATTCGGGTGCTTCTGTTGTGGCCGTCACCGACGCCTCTACTGATCGACTGCTCCTCGTTTGGCGCACTTCTGTCGTCGTCGACGCCGCCGCCGCTGCCGTAGCTGAACGACTGCTCCTCTTCCCTACGTCTTTCTCAACCAAGGTGAAGTTGGAGGCTCCGGTGGTCTTCTTAGCCGGCTTGGAGACACGCCCTAACGCAGTCGTCGTCGGTTTGGGTGGACGACCCGGTTTGCGCTTTGCGGGCTGCTTCAAATTGCCTACGGTCCTCTTCGTCGCACGTTCCTCAACCTCATCGCCCACCAACCTTGGGCCGTTGATCTGGTAGTCGATGCGCCTGTCGAGGAGCATGGTCGGGGTCGATCTGATGCGCACGTTGGACGACTGCACATTGATCTCAACGACGCGCTTGTTGCCGGGCTTGTAGGATTCGAAATCTCTGAACATGCGTGGTGCCTTCCAGCCGGGCGATGATGGGTAGCTGTAATATCCAGGGTCGTAGAGAGCCCAGTCTACAAGCACGTACGTTAGAAAGGTAGTAAGAGCTGCCATGATGAGGGTTGACTCACCAGATCCCTCCTTCAAGAACAACGGCTCATAAGCGTCGTCTCTTTTGCGCTTCTTTCGCGCGCGCTCAGCACCCTCCCTCTTCAAGCGTGCTTCCTGAAAGACCCCTTCCTTACTAAAGAGTACATCCTTCCACGGGTCGGAGAAAGGCTGCGGCTGCTTGATCATCTGGTTGGTCTTCTCTTCGCCGAAGCCGATGCCCAGAAGGTCCTCTTTGAGCGCATCGTCGGTGACGCCGGGCAGGCGCACAAAGTCTTGGGGTCTCGGTAGCCCCGTATTCACTTCTGGTCTCGTGTCTGTTGTAGCTGCATCGTTGGTGGCGGCATCGTTGGTGATGGCATCGTTGGTTATGGCATCGTTGGTGGTGGCATCATTGGTAGCACCATCATCTGCAGAGTCGTCGTCTGCGGCTTCATCGTCGGTAACACCACCGTCTGTAACGGCATCGTCTGGAGCAGCAGATAGGCGCTCCAGGTCTTCAGGTTGTGGGAGACCGTTGTCCATGTTTGGTCGACCGGCGGCCATGGCGGATGTTTGGTGGTTTGTGTGAGGCGGAATATGAGATAATTTTGACGTGAGGTGGAAAAGTTGTGAGAGGAAGGAGATCTGAGATGAAGGGAGAGAACACATAGAAGGAGCGACGCGGGAGGGGCCGTTCTTATTGTTGTATTGTCGTATTGTTATATCGTCGCATCCGGGTATTGTTGTACGGTTGTGCGAATGCAGGGGCAAGTGAAAATGAATATGCCTACCTGTCTCCTTCGATCGCCTATTGATGAGCGTGCTATCACATGTCATCTTTTTTGGGTGGCTTGCAGAATCATGTGCCCTCCGCGCACTTTCTCATCTTGTCCATGAAGGAATTTCCTGCCTTGACACCTCCAGCGATGTGAGAAAGACTATCTTAGAGTTCAAGGTGCAGAGACCGCCACTTCTATTGCCATTAGCGCTCGCTCATCTGGAGATGCCTTGGTGTGCTGAACATACCTTATCAGACCCTCTTTGGAGTCGAGAGCTTATTCAGGACTTACATATGACTGCTACGCGGACTTGTAGAGCAGCGCAATCTGAAGCTGTTGCAGTGATACAATCCCAGCGAAAAGATATTTCTCAATACCGTCACCTCCTCCCACCTTCACACCCTCTCACTAACCCATATCGCCCCTCGACAACCCGCCCGAATCACCCCATTCAACACCTCATACGGCTTCGCCATCTTCGCATCTTCCTCCACCGCATGATCCAAATGCTCCAGCTCCTCATCCCGTATTCTCCTAATATCCGTCATCAACGCCTCTAAATCCTCTCCCAGCGTCTCTCCCCTCGCCTTCGCCTCTTCGTCCCACTTCAGCAGCTCCCGCACCTGGTTGTTGTAATGCTCTCCAATCTCGGTCTCCACCGCCTCCGTACATGCCATTGCTGCTTCCCGTCCCATCACGCCGGTGCTCCAGCCGAGGAAGGACGCGGCGGCGTGCCAGACAGGGTACATTGCTGTAGGTCGGATGCGGTGTTTGGCGAGCAGGTGGTTGAAGGTCTTGAAATGGCCGGCTTCTTGGTCGTACATGTGTTTCATGAGCGGGCGGAGGTGGGGGTGGGCTTTGACGATGGGTGGGGTTTGGGAGGTGTAGATGAGGGTGGCGGCGAGTTCGCCCGCATGGTTCACGCGGAGAGCGGACTCGAGGAATTGCTTCTGCTCTTTGGTGAGGGACTGTAGTGGTGGGTCCGTTGGAGCTGTGTGTGCCTGGGAGGCTTTTGGTGTTGATGACAATGCTCGACTTGAGACATTGCGACTTCGAGACTGCAATTGGAAGGCCAAGGGAGTAGTCCGCGCCTTGAGTGGCAGGCTGGGTCCTCCTAGAGCACTGTAGGCGGATCTGAGGGCCATGACTACAATTTCAATTGGCAAGGAAAGAGCAGCAGAAGTGTATGCAGACGATAGGTATCATGAGGTCTGCTCGTCATCAAAGTCGCAAGCCACAGCTTCCCGATCGAGCTGCTGATCTTGCCTCTTCCGGACAGAGTCACGTGAGTCCGAACAACTCCACTGCCCAGATGTATACCACCACAAGCAGTCCCAACAAATCATGTAGCAAGAGCATTCATTCTAATAACTTCACGTATCTCTTCCTGGCTCTGTCGCCCTGCCCATACCTCCTGTGATGTCGTGCCATTGCACTTCGGGCAAAGCCGTTGGCTTGGCGCCAGTTAACAAGGGTATATATTATATTAGAAAATTTGCTACTTCTACAAACCAGCAAAATGGACACCACAAACGTGGTTGCGTAGTGTAGGGGTTATCACATCGGATTCTGATGCTGGTACAACAACCAAGTTCATGACTTCCGGGGGTAACATACGCCTTGTGACTTGATACTTAGAACTTTCCGCTGACTCTCATTAAGACCCCGGTTCGATTCCGGGCGCGACCTTGCTACTGCCATCTTTTTGGCCGGTTTTTGGGAGCGTGGCGCGTTGCCTGAATAATTTTTTGGCGGATTTATGCTATTTCTTCTCGGTCCAGAGTCAATCCTGTGAAATGGGGTGGCTCTGCGCGTTGAGAAGACGGCGTAATACACGCGACAGGCCTTATTCATCTCGTGTTACCCATAACTCGCCAACGATACACATACGATGATCCACGGAGTTGGCATCTTGACGTGAGGTATACCCCCACTAGCGGTAAGCATTGGCTTCCAGGTTGTTCTTAGACGTTTCCTTCCCTCAAACACTTTCACATCACATTGAGACAATTCCAGCTTGAACACCTCCTCACCACATTGAGCCAAAAATATCATTGAAGGCCATTCTACCAGCATGCCACCCACCACCCGCTCCGAGGACATCCCTTCCTCTACCACATCCACCGCCAAACCAGTCTCCATCCTCTTCGTCTGCCTGGGCAACATCTGCCGTTCCCCCATGGCCGAAGCCCACTTCCGCCACCTCATCTCCCACCCCTCGTACCCCCTCATCTCCAACATAGACTCCTGCGGCACAGGCGCCTACCACCTGCACTCCCCGCCCGACCCGCGCACCCTCTCCACCCTACGCCGCCACAATGTCGACGGATACACGCACTCCGCAAGACGTGTCCGTGTCCCAGAAGACTTCCAGGAGTTCGACTATGTGCTGGGAATGGACGAGGAGAACGTGGAGGATTTGAAGGATATGGTGGGACGGGCGGTGAAGAAGGGGGTGCTGGGGAAGGAGGAGGGGGAGAGAGCGATGGGGAGGGTGAGGTTGTATGGGGAGTTTGGTGGAAAGGGGAGGGAGGAAGTTCAAGACCCATATTACGGGGCGGGCCAGGGGTTTGAGATTGCTTTTGAACAGATGGGGAGGTTTGGGAAGGGGTTGGTGGAGGATATTGAACAGAAGGCGAAGAAAGGGGACGCTGAGGGGTGAGAATGCTATATCTGAACATCGAGCAGATCGTCGGAGCAGCATTACGAGGAGGGAGACACAACTTTACGCAACCAGAACAATGCCTCGAAGTTCGGTGTTGTTGGAGATGCAGACCATATGCCGGAACGGCGCCGACCTCCCAGCCTTCGCACCGCGTGCAGGAGCCCGCTGCCGCGCAACGTTTCACTGCGCAAGACTCAATACCGCAACGTCCTCTGGATCTACAGCGCTGAATGTCAACCAGTTGCAGATCTGATGCTCGGGATCGACATTCTTCGTTCCTGGTTGCACAGACTGGACTTCAACTTCATGATTCGGTCTATTGCACCGCAGTTTGGGATTAATGACTACAAGCGATTTATCGGTCCCACCGAGACGTATCGGCCTTTGGAGTGTCAGGATGAGCGTATACAGACCCGCTAGAAGGTCAAGATCTAGATTTATGACGTATCTACGGCCGCTGCATTGGATTCAAGTTTGCATTCACTCGACCCCGCCAACCCCACCATGATACTTCATGCCGCGGACTTGAACAACACGATACAGTTTGCAACCCATTGTCCTTCTCCAAATACGACACAAGATTCTCGAGACCACAGCCCTCCCAAAAAACAACCAATAGCTTCAGCATGTCGGAGACTATCCTCTATGACCTGCCCTCGCGAGGCGACAAACCAGCGTGCTGGGTACTCCCCCATCAATCCTCCTCCCCTTCAACAGCCCAAACTAATTACCTCCTCTACACAGTCCTTAAACCCATGGAAGGCTCGTATGGCCCTTAATTACAAAGGCATCCCCTACCGCACCGAATGGACCGAATATCCCGACCTCGCCCCTACCTTCAAAGAGCTCGGCATCGCTCCAAATGAAGAGGGCAGCACCTTCGAGTACTCCGTACGTCCAGCCCACGAGACACCCCATTCTCTCCCTCCGAGACACGTACTAACCACCCCCTCAGTCCCCCGCCGTCAGACTCCCCGACGGCAGCTACGTAATGGACTCCCGCAAAATCGCCCTCGCCCTCGACATCTACCAGCCCGAACCCACCCTGCACATGGGCTACGCCGACGTCATCGACCGCGCCCAGAACGCCGTGAGCGGGGTCCTGGGAACGCTGGCCCCTATAGTACTGCCTAGGGTGCCGGTGATGCTGTTGAACGACAAGTCTGCCAAATATTTCAACGAGACGCGGGAGGCAAGGTTCGGGATTTCCTTGCCGGAACTCGGGGTGAGTGATAAAGCGAAGGGGGCGTGGGAGGAGGCGAAGCCTAAAATGGAGGAGCTGAGGCAGGTGTTGACGGAGAAGGAGGGCAAGTATGTGCTTGGTGATGAGGTTAGCTTTGCGGATTTTGTGGTTGCGGGGTTTTGGGTGTTTATGAAGAAGGTGGATCAGGGCGGTGATAAGGGTGGGGATATCTTTGGGAACGTCATGGGGTTCGACGATGCTTTCCCTAGGCATATGGAGGCTTGTTCGAAGTGGTTGGAGAGGGAGGACTAAGTCTCTAGGTGAAGATGATACAGTCGAATAAAAGCTCTGCTACATTACACGATGCGTGAAGAACCGAAACGCTCCTGTGTCCATTTGTACGTCCGATGGTCTTGGTCGTGGCCGGCCGTCATGCAGTGATGCAGAATCCCATTTCCCTCATTAGCCTACAGAGTAGATCATCCCATCCCTAGCCCATCCCTGGCCACGTCTGACATCGAAGCGTAAGTGCAAAGCGCCCCTTCTCCGCCATCCCAAGACCTACCCACCGACCTCTCGAGCCCCTGCCCAACCCACTCCGATTTTCGAGACCATTACGCCGATTCGTAGACGACCTCACTTCTTTCCAAACAGCTTCCCAAAGAACCCCGTCGAGGATCTCTCCTCCAACACCGGCCGCAGCGGCCGACTGTCGCTCTCCCTCCGACTCCTCTCCGAGCCTCTATCAGCATCTGAGCGGGAATGGTGAGATCGGTGTCGACGATGACTCTTACTCCCGCTCGAGCTCGGCGGTCGAGTATCTATCTCGCCACTACGTCTGTCCGGGCGGGGGTCCGCTGAGTCGACTTTCGAGGACGTCACTTTCGAGGGTCCGCTCTCCTTCACTAAAACCGGCTCCGTAGCCGCTCTTCTGGTCTTCGGGCGCTCCTCATCCCTTTCCCTCCCAATTTCCCTGTGTCTCCTCCGCCTCCTCTCATCCGCTTTAGCATCCGCCTCCGCCTGCTTCCGAATGGACCTCGCCTTCTCCTCCAGTTCCTCAGCCTTCCGCTCTAACCGCCTGCTGCGCTTCTCCCTCTCCTCATCCCTCCTCCTTTTCTCGTCCTCTTCAGCTTGCGCAGCTTCCCTCGCCTTCCTCTCTCTCCTACGTCTTCGACGCTCTTCATCTTCCTCCTCGGTAGTTGAAGTCCTACGCCTGCGGTCCCGGACGCGCGTTTCGTCTCTGTCTTTGTCTTTACTACTTCTGCTGCTTTTGGTCCGGCTGCTGTGCGGGCGCTCGAGCACTTTGGTGTCTTCAAAGGCGTGGTCGAGGGAGCGGCGGGTATGCGGGCGTTCCCAGTGGGTGGGTTTGCGTTTCGAGGAGCCGCCGGAGCTGGTTTTGGAGAGGTTGGGGGATGGTGGTGCTTCTGGGATGGGCTCCGCGGGCGGTGCTGCCTCTGGCTCTGGCTCTGGCGCTGGCTCCTTGTCAAGCGGCTCGGCAGCCTCCTCATTGGGAGCGTCTTCTGGCTTATCTTCTGGCGGTGGGTCGTCGGCCGGTTCAGCTGGCGGATCTGCGGCCTCAGTAGCAGGCTCGTCCTTTGATTCAGGGACTTCAGCCTCCTCGACCGGTGCCTCCTTGTCACTAGTAGTCTCAGCAGGCAAGTCGGTGTCAGCGGCCGGGTCCTCAGTAGCATTTTCGACGATCGCTGGCGCTGGGGCATTGTCTGGCTTATCTTCACCAGCAGACTCGCCTTCTGGCTCAACCGGCGCAACGGTCGCAGGTTCAGCCTCTTCTTCCTTGGCTGGAGACGCTTCCTCTGCGCCTTCATCGGTAGCTTCTCCAGGTAGGTCGTCAGCCACTGCAGTGTCGTCTTTTGGCGCCTCCGCGTTCTCGGCTGTGGTGCCCTTGTCACCATCTCCCTCATCATCATTGGACGCTTCGGGCACTTCTTTTTCGTCTTCTTTGTCTTTGCTATCATCCCCCTCCACGCTCTCGGTAGGTGACGGTGCGTCGATTGACGTGCCGGCATCGTCAGTCACAGGAGCGTCATCCCCTGCTTCTGCTGGTTCCTTCGCCTCGCCCTCCATCTCAACACCGCTATCCGTCGGACTTGTGGCTTCTTCGGTAGAAGCCGGTCCATCGTCCGCAGAGGACTCACCACTAGCCACAGCGTCTTCGTCCTTGTCGCCTGCAGTATCTTTGCCCTCTTCGACGACATCAGCAGGGAGGTCTCCTTTCTCTGCTGGCGCATCGCCGGCTTTTTCCTCCTCGGTGGAGATCGCTGCCGGGGTGTCTTCTTGCTTGACTTCGACATCGGCATCATTCGCCGTCGGCGGATCTGTTTCTTCGGCTTCGGTCACGGCTGCGTCCTCAGTGGACTTCGTTTCGACCTCTTTGTCCTGAGCGTTGGCTGGGGCCTCTTCCGGTGGCGCTTCAGCGTCAGCTGGAATTCCCGCAACATCGGCGGGGGGCACTTCGACTACCTCAACAGTCTGCTCGTCAGGCAGAGGTCCAAGATCCTTCATGATATCGTCGAAACTAGGCAGCGTCGCGGCATCGATGCCAGGGTCAGCTGGCGGAGCGGCGACTTCCTTGGACTTGCTCTTCGATGATTCCTTTTTCGACTTGTCTTTGCTGCGTTTGGAGCCCTTCTCCTTAGGTTTGGGTTCCGACGCTTCGGTGTCTGGTGGCGGCGGTGGAGGTTCGATGACTTCTGGCTCTGGCGGTACGATATCTGCGGGCTTGTCGGGGGTAGAGTCTTCGACTGCCACGTCCTCGGTCTTGCTGTCGGCTGGTGTAGCGTCTTCAATGGTGGTTTCAGCTGGCTCCCCAGGCGGTGGTGGAGAATCAATGGTCGCCTCTTCTTTCTCGTCGACAGGAGGAGGTCCATCATCTTTAACCACCTCAACCGGTGTTTCCGCTGCTCCGAGATCTTCCCCAGAGCTGCCAGGTAGTTCGGAAGGCTCATTGTCCTCCCCTACCGCAGGCACATCGATGATATCAACCGGCGGTTCCAGATCCAAATCCAACAGATCAGGCAGTGGTCCTGATGGCGGCGGTGGCGGCCCCAAACCATCAAGCCCACCATCAATCATCGCCATCACATCGTCCGGTAGACTACTGATCGGGACTGACATTTTCTTCTTCTTCTTGCTCTTGGTGCCTGTGGCCGACTTCTTCTTGCGAGTGGAGGTTGGTTCGGGTGTGCCGGGGGCGAAGGAAACTCGACGCTCTTCAGTGGGTTCGGAATCTGTAGGTGGAGGCAAATCGTCTAGGGGAGGCAGATCCATGACTGGTTCAGGTTCCATGTTGACCGGATCTGGAAGTGGTGGTGCGGCGTCTGCCGGTGTTTCGCTAGCAGACTCTGTTGGCATGTCGTCTATTACAACTACGGCGCTCGACTCGACTGGTGCTTCGGGCTCAGCGGCGGGTAGAGTGGCGTCTTCGAGTGCTGTAGGAGGATCTTCAGGTAAGTCGTCCAGAATGGGCGTTGGCGCTTGTTCTTCGTTCGTTGCTGCTGCAGGACTGTCGTCGATCATTTGAACTTCTTCAGATAACTCTGCGTCAACGAGTACAGGAGTGTCGGGACCTGCTCCGTTATCCTCAGACGCAGGCTGTTTTGTAGTGTCCTCGGAAGCTATTCACTATTAGCTGGTGTCTCAGTCACCAAGCAAACACGTACTTACAATCTAGGTCTTCTGACTTCGCGTCTTCTTCATTCACAGATGCTTCATCATCCTTCGGCTCCGGGAGATCGTATACCCTATACTGCGGAACAAAAGGTCTCACTACATCCTCGGGAGACAGTTGCGAAGCCGGCTTCCCTCCCCTCGAAGGATGGACACTTAAGTACGGATCCCGCCAAGTAGCGATAGAGATGTTTTTGAGCTTGTAGCGCTTCTTGATCTCGTCGTAAGTAGACATTGTGCCGACGACAGGAAATAGAGTTGGATGCAGCAAGCCCCGCGTACTACCGGGTAGGAATGGCAAGGCGAGCTAGGGAAGGGATGGGCATTGATAAGGAATAGAGGTTGTGTGACGTGACACTGGGATATGAGGTAGGGATGCACACGACTTGCCGTTCTTTATCGTTCTTTCTGATCGCGGTGGGATGTACAGGTACCTATTGAATGACACCACGCATTTGGGCACCTGGGATCAGCATCAAATTGTCCCCAGCAGAATTGTCGGTGCAGCCATTTGGCTATTCTGTGCCATGGGGGTGGGATGGCTGACAGGATTCGACCAAGCCTCTCGAAACGATGGGAGCCCGAAAGTGACCCGGTATTCCAGTACGCTTCGTAGCTACTAATTGCAGACATCGAGATGACTGCAGCGGGACGAAGGTGGCCAGCGGGTAGGTGCGATGAGGTGCGTGAACCACTTAGTGTCCGCCGGGTCACTTGTGGAACCACGTGCGTCGACTCGGGAGGGATGTGCTCAGCGTTGGAGGTGTTGTGAGGCTCTAGAGACGCAGCTTAAAACCAGAACAGTATGGTCGTGACCCAGCGTGAGGTGTATGGTGCTAGCGTTGGGTACCTCTGCAGCAGTAGGAGCGAAGTCCCATAGGCTTAAGAGGAGAGCTGCCGTGCCTTGCATTTACGGGGAATATGAGTGGTCTGTTTGTGCCAATGGCAGGTATGGCGCTTCTCGCGGGCCGATGGAGAATACTGTTGACGAGGAGTGTACCCAATGGCAGGTGATGGCGCCCTGAGACGAGGGATGAATGGCTCCGGGTATTGATGGCTCGAGGTGAGGTGCAGGACAACGCATACGCCCGTGCGGCTCCTCCCTTTCTTTCGGCCCGCAGGACTACATCCACGTGATCAAACATCCTGATTACACACACCATGTACAGACACCTCGGGAACAGGTAGTTTGTTGGTCAGAAAATCATTCTGATTGTTCGCATCTCTATCTACCGCCAGCAGGAACGTATACTTGAGTCTGACTCCACAAGCTTCTAGCAGTCTATCTTCCCGTCTTCCCGTACGAAACGACTCTCTAAGCCTTCAACTGCTCGGAGAACTAGAAAGACAGCAGGTACCTCATACTTTCAGCAACTTCACCCCAAGGACACTCCCAGCGAGAGGTGCATCCTTTGGTAGCCTCAGCCTCTCGCTCATATTCATCGTGAGTCTTGCGCGTCGACGGATGCGAGGGTTCTCAACGAAGCCTCCAGGCGGCAGAGGGCGGAGGCTGAGGTCCTCCATGCAGTGTGTCAGGTCGACATCTCCCCGGAGGCCGACGATAACGCCTAGGTTGGCTGGTGGTTCGTTGGAGATGTTGCCGGTGCGGAAGGGATGGTCGAAAAAGTGGAACTGGAAGGCGTGGTCTGAGAAGTCGCTGTCGGCGTCTTTGTCGATGCCGGCGGCGCAGGAGCTTTGCTCGTCTTCGCGTTCTTCTGGTTGCTCGGGATGCTCGTGGAAGTCGGGCTCAACTGTGTCTGCGTCGGTGATGAGGCCGGCATAGACCATGAAGAAGCAGACGGCTACCACCAGTGCAAGACGGCCCATCGTCCCACTCAGAAAGGGGTTGAGGAGGTCGCGTATGGTCTTGAGGTCTGCTTGACTGTGGATGGCGACGGTCGCGTTGGTAGTGGTCTGGTTGAACATCTTGATGGAGATGCGGCCGAATTTTGTTTGGAGTCCGTTGGATTAGGTCTCATCCGACCCTCAAAATGGCATATATGGTACGTCTCGTTATGTGTCTGCGGCCGTACACAACGCAATTGTCCACGACACCCTATCTTTGAGCATACAACGGCATTGTTCTCGGAATGGTGTCGGGAGGACTTCATAGCTTGCGAAGATCTTTGTTCAACGACCCTTGAGTGTACGGGACTGGTGCTGTCTCATAGCCGATAGTAATGGGAACGGATTAAAGAGGCAAGAGAACACGGTTCTGCTAATGAGGAAGAGAAGGGACTGAAGCTGCGAGTTGATGTAGGAAGTCGGGTATGTCGGCTGAAGCAAGACAGCGAGCATCTCAAACCTGCAGTGGTATGCATGTTGAACGGGTCGACTTCGCCGCGTTCTATGCTGAGCAACAGCCCCGAGATCTTGGACTGTAAAACAACCGAGTATCTACTTGCCTTGAGAACTGTTAGCCTCCTAGTAAACAAAATGATCTTTTGCAGCCTGACCTTGTGACGTTACGTGATGTTCCAAGACAGCGGAGATGATGTTGTCAGCATTGGCAGCGTTTAAAGAGCGGATGAATGTCTACAACTGCATGCTTGTCTCCCTGTGCTCAGTGGCCATCTTTTGATCAAGTGACAACGGCAATAAACAGCCTTCACATGCGATAGTACCCCGTGGGATTGTAAGGGTTTAGGATCCATTCTGGTGGGAAACCTGCTCCTACTCCACACCAATCTCGCAGCGGGCCGGCACATCATCATGCAGTGTTGATGATCCTCCCTGATTCTGGTTGTCGTTCTCACAACGGTTACGCAGACGTCCAACAATCTCGAGCGGAAATGATGGTGAAGGATGTGCATATAAGATGACGGGTGGAGCAACGATCCAGAAGGTCCCGCATTCACAAGAGCCAGGAGCAAGGGAGCGGTGGTCGACGTTGGAGGCACCCCCGCGGCCATCCGGTCTGACATTACGAGGGCGGAGGATTGTGGCAACAGTGGAAGAGGTAGTCGGCTAGGCAATATGGCGACGGCGATGCTGAGCAAGGAGGAGAGCGCGTCGCCTGGCAATCAGTCGCGCGAGGTATCGCCACATTCGAGCCCGATATCCCACGATCAGGATGGCGGCATGGCGAAGAAGAGCAATGGCTACATACAGTCGCCGCTTCGATCGTCGCAGCGTATCAGCAGCACCATCACGGCCAGCGACTTACCGGATGTACCCTCTGGATCCGTCGACAGTCCGCGACCTAAGACAGGAACGAACAGCATACACTTCGGCAGTGCAGACCTCTCTCCCCACGCGCAATCCGGCTTTCAAGATACAAAGTCGGAGGACATGAGGAATGGGTTTAGCAGTGGGGAGGTGTCTCCCAAGCGGGTGCCGCGTAAGAGACCACAAACAGCGGGTACAGCAACCCCTCCCGAGAGGAAGAGTGTACAATTCGCACGAGGGAACACAGACGAGGAGCCCGCATCACTTGCCACGAGGCCGACATGGGAGACAGATGATGAAGCAGTCGAGGAGATGCCGGTCAAGGAACGACAAGGCAGCTTCTTTGGCAAGCTTAGAGCACTAGGTTCCTCCTCCCACATCCGCAACCCAAGCAGCACCGTGGGGTCACCGACTCCGAACGTAGCGTTGTCTCCTCAGTCCGAGCGAAGCGAGCCTTCGTACCCTATGGAACCCAGCGAGGGCGCCGAGGCCGATCTAGAGGAAGAAGCCGAATCCGAGCGTGACGAGGAAGGCGACAACGAGACTGCTATACAGCCAAGGAGGCGGCGGAAGAGCAAGCGCCCTCGGATGAGTGGATCAGAGTCCAATACTTCTACACCGAAGCAGAATCGTTTCGAGGCACGCTTTGCTTCCTTTTTACGAGATCAGCCTTCGTCGCATGACCCCCAAAGGGGCGGTAATACTCTTCGAAGACGCAATACCATGTCCGACGACAGTGGTGCGGAAAGGGAGAACAACGCCGGCGTCTCAGAAGATGAAGGCAGAGACCGCATACGAACTGCGTGGCGAAGAGGCATCGAAGGCGCAAGAGGACTTAGCTATGCCGCTCGCAAACCTTCCGAGACTCAATCACCGGACGCGCGCCGACCAGGAGGTCATCTACGGCGCATCACTGGCTTGGGAGGTGGGAACGTCGATGGAGCGGCCGACTCGCCTCTTCGGTTGAAACCAGACCGCCAGACGACGAGCAGCGCTCAGAAATGGCGACAAGTCAAAGCAGGGCTCAAGATGCTGGGTCAGAGGAGGCGAGACGAGAGACTGCGGGTAGACCATCAGAAGAGCGCACAGCTCATGGCAGAGCTACTGGCGGGAGCACCGGCAGCATTGGTCTTTGCAAGCATGTTCCAGCGCGACGAGCACAATCACCGCAAGATCCCGGTGCTACTAGAACAGCTGAAGATCAGGATTCCGGACTCAGGAATAAGGAAAGAGAGCAGCGGCGATCGACATTTGGTGTTCAAGGTCGATCTCGAATACGGCAATGGTCCAGCGCGCTTGAAGTGGACTATCTGGAGAACTCTGAATGATTTCGTCAATCTACATGTCAAGTATCAGGCTCAATCTGCGAGAGACAGAGTGATACACCCAAGAGGTGGCGCCGGAGACAAGAAGCGGGCGAGAATGCCACATTTTCCAAGAAGCGCATTCCCTTTCGCAAGAAGCTGGCGAGGGCTGTTCGACAATTTGGTAGACGAGGAAAGTGAAGAGGAGCACGAACCAGAACAGCAAATGCCAATGACTCCCGGAGCTTACACGCCAGGTATACTCGGTATGGACGCTTTGGAAGGCTTGCCAGAAAGTCCTACGACTCCTGGGGGATATCCATTTACACCGGGACCCGGACTACCTCCCGCGACGCCTGGGCCTAAAAACCCCATGCAGACACCTGGTTTCGGCCCCCCCTCAGTGATGAAGCACAAACGTAGGAAGTCGTCCGTCTTCGCACCCGCTGCGCTTCGAAGGAGTAGCACAGCGGAACTCGGGCCCCTGCCAGAGAACCCTGATGAGCTGGATAACAGGCAGAAGGAGCTTTACAACAAGAGGCAACGGCGAAAGCTTGAGACATATCTCCAGCAGATGATTCGATGGCTCATCTTCCGCGCTGACAGCACTCGATTGTGCAAGTTCCTGGAGCTGTCCGCGCTGGCTATCCGCCTGAGTGCAGAAGGTGGCTTCCAAGGCAAGCAGGGGCTCTTGACTATCGCCAGTCGACGCCAACAGGAGCTCAGGCATAGACCGCTGGCTCCGAAGGCGATCGCTGATCGGCATCGGCCGAGATGGTTCCTGGTCAGGCATTCGTACATTGTCTGCGTGGATGGACCAGAGAGTCTGAACCCATACGACGTGTTCCTGGTCGACTCGAGCTTCCGGACAGAAAAAGAGAAGAAAAAGATTTCTGACGCGAAGACGCCCAACCAAATGGCCAAGGTCGCTGTCGAAAAGAGCGGCGAGGCTGCCGCGCGTGTGCCTGGTCACACAAAGCACCTGATGATACGGCTGTACAACTCTGAGCGGAAGCTTAAGCTGCTTGCCAGGACGGAGAGGCAATACATGCAGTTCCAAGAGAGTCTTAATCTGATGATGGAGGCGACTGTGTGGAGCAAGAAGCAGCGCTTTGCTTCTTATGCGCCTATCCGAAGCAATGTCTGGTGTCGATGGCTGGTCGATGGGAGAGATCACATGTGGCAGGTCTCGCGCGCGATCGACAATGCGAAGGACTTCGTCTACATTCACGACTGGTGGTTGTCGCCTGAGCTGTACATGCGAAGACCGGCTGCGATCTCGCAGAAGTGGCGGCTGGATCGGTTGTTGCAGAGGAAGGCCGAGGAGGGTGTCAAGATCTTCGTGATCGTTTACAGGAACATCGAGTCTGCTATCCCTATCGACTCGGAATATACGAAGTGGAGCTTGCTAGACCTGCACGAGAACATCTGCATCCAGCGCAGTCCGAACCAGTTCCGACAAAATCAGTTCTTCTGGGCTCACCACGAGAAGCTGGTGGTCGTTGACAACATGATGGCGTTCGTGGGCGGTGTGGATCTCTGCTTTGGTCGATGGGATGATCCATGTCACTCGCTGACGGACGACAAGCTTACTGGGTTTGAGCTGAGCCACGAAGGTCCGAGAGACAGCGAGCACTGCCAAGTTTGGCCTGGCAAGGACTACAGCAATCCACGCATCCAGGACTTCTATGCTCTCGACCGACCCTACGAAGAGATGTACGATCGGACGAAGGTGCCGAGAATGCCATGGCACGATATCGCGATGCAGATCGTTGGTCAGCCGGCACGTGATGTTGGCCGACACTTCGTTCAGCGGTGGAACTACATTCTGCGGTCGCGGATACCATCCCGACCGACACCTGTGCTAATTCCACCTCCCGAATACGAACAGTTGGAGCTCGAGAATCTAGGCATGACCGGTACTTGCCAGGTGCAGATCCTCCGCAGCTGTTCTGCTTGGAGCATCGGCACGCCTGGCAAGACAGAGCACAGCATCATGAACGCCTACTGCCATCTCATCTCGACGAGCCAGCACTTCGTGTACATTGAGAATCAGTTCTTCATCACTTCCTGCACGGTCGAGGGAGCTACGATCCACAATAAGATCGGCGACGCCTTGGTCGAGCGCATCATCCGTGCTCACGACGAGGGCGAAGACTGGGGCTGCTGCATCGTCATCCCGCTCATGCCCGGTTTCCAGAACAGCGTCGACAGCCAAGACGGCACGAGCATACGGCTGATCATGCAGTGCCAATTCCGCTCGATCTGCCGTGGCGACACGAGCATTTTCGGCAGGCTGAGGGATAAGGGCATTCATCCTGAAGACTACATCCGCTTCTACTCGCTTCGGCAATGGGGCAAGATTGGGCCAAGGAAGTGCTTGACGACTGAGCAGTTGTACATTCATGCCAAATGCATGGTTGTAGACGACCGATCTGTCATCATTGGGTCTGCGAACATCAATGAGCGGTCTATGCTGGGTTCGCGTGACTCTGAAGTCGCTGCTATTGTCACCGACATGCGCATGCTACCGTCGTTCATGGGTGGTGAGCCATTCGAAGTTGGCGAGTTCGCGCATACCCTTCGCAAACGCCTTATGCGAGAGCATCTCGGTGTTGACGTGGACGCTGTCTACCGCCGCGAGCAAGCTTCACGAGAACGCGAAGAGCAAGACGCCGAGATGGCGCGCATCTACCGGGAGGAGGTGGTGTCTCACAGTGAAGAGGCACTGGACTACTTTTCTGCTGGCAGGCCTAGCCATCTTGCAGTGCCGGAGCAGCTGGCGCCAGCGTCGCGAAATTTGGAGACCAGCTCTAGCTCTGAAGGGAACGTTAGCAACGGCCTCGACGGCACGACCAGGGTTGGGTCCAAAACGAGCTTGGGAACTCACTCGGACAAGGAGCGGCGTGGGAATGTGAGCAAGATGGAGCATCAGCACGATCTGGATGTTGATGGCTTTGGATTTGACAATATGAGGGCTTTGAACGATGCGGGCGATGTTGGTTTGACGGATTCGTTCATTGATGCTCGCGGCCGTGAGATCCTTCTCAAAAAAGATGCGCCTGACGCTGAGCGTGTCCGCAATTTTGAGAAGCATGAGCAGACACAGACTGCACAGCAGGAGGAAGAGAAGAAGCTTGCTGAAGTGCCATCCATACAGCCGCCTTATCTGACGGAGAGAACAGACACCTACGCCCTGGGTTTGGCTCCTCGACACACACTGCCGGAACTGCCTGCAATGGACGACACAGACATCGGCGGCCCAGCACTCACGCGCGGCGAATCAAGCCTAGCCAACCGTGGCAAATTCATCAACCCGCTCTTCCACACCCTCCGTCGTCCCGAAGTCAACGAAGACTGCATGACCGACCCCCTAACCGCAACCTTCTACCACGACATCTGGCACGCCGTCGCGGAGAACAACACCAAGATCTACCGCGCCGTCTTCCGCTGCATGCCCGACAGCGAAGTCACGGACTGGCGCACGTACGAGCGCTTCAACGAGTACAACGAGCGCTTCATGGCGGCCCAAGGGCTCGGGCAAAGCACGCCGAAATCCCCTAAGGACGCGCCTGATAAGAGCGGGCCGCCTGGTTCGGGGGGCACGGAGACGCTGAGCTCATTGAGTGATGTTGCGCAGAACGTGGCGTCGAGTATGGCGAATAATGATAGTAGTGGTAGGGTCAGATCGAAGAGTGTTTTGAGTGGGCTAGTGGATAAGTTTAGGCCTGGGAGCAGGAACGACGAGTTGACGCATGTGGAGGAGATGCATGAGGAGGAGAAGGCGAATGAGCCTTTGACGGCTCGCAGCTCACCTGCTTCGGGGGCTTCGAGTGTACCCACCGCTGTGCCGTCGCCTCAGCCGGGGGCGGTGGACGAGAAGGAGGCGCAGAAGGTTGCTGATCAGGCTGAGCAGCCGCAGGAGTCGAAGGCTGCGCCGGAGCAGATGGACGAGAAGCAGGCTGTCAAGGAGGAGGATTTCGCGAACGTGGAGCGCAAGCGGACGGTGCAGTACTCGGAGAACGTGAACAATGCTTCCGAGACCACGGCCACTCAGTCAAATCCCATGGGCAGCCAGAAGAGGCGGCGACGTGGGACGACGAAAAGTAATGGTCGTCCGACTGTCGAGGAAGTCATGGGGAGGGAGGAGGCGGAGGCGCTGTTGAATATGATACAGGGGCATCTCGTGCTTTGGCCTCATGAGTGGTATGAGTCTTTGCCTTTCCGAAACTTGACACGATTGCTGACTACGCTCCAGGCTCGAGAAGGAAGAACGAGGCGGCAACTGGCTTTACAACATCGATCAACTGGCGCCGTTGGAGATTTACGATTAGTCTTGTTATTGGCGGGGTAGTATAGGGAGGCTGGAGTCGGGTCTGCATTATAGCGGGTTCCCATTGCGTTGGGCTAGTTTCTAGACATTGGGCATGCATAGCGAGGTGCCGTGGGAGCGAGATACAGCAGTGTAGTGTGTATAAATCTGATACTTCCAGCCGCTCATCGTGTTATTCTCCCCAGACCTCCTGTATCGTCTTCGAGGCCAGCAAGAACTTGCGAATAGACATGTAGGTGCTGTAGAGCGAGTGGTCGACATATCGAGGCCTTGGTCGGCCACCCGAGAGACCCTTCAACCAGCACAATGAGATCACATGAACATGACCAACTGGAAAGGAAATGAGGGATAGTTATTAATCACCTCACAGATTATACTGAATGATTGCAAAGGTAGATCTGTCGGTGAGAGGTGAGCCAGACGGTGTTCTTGAGGACGTAGAGTCAGTCGTCGTCTTAGCGCATGTCTTCGTCGGCTTTTGTTTTGTATCACTCATCACGAGTGATCAAGTCCACCTTCGTGCGGCCGTAAAGCCGAAATTGCAACTCCAAGATGTCCTGATGATCACTGATATGTTTGATGTAGAAATACGTACCATGCTAAGCAGGCGAGCGGGGACGTGATGATTACTTACCCAACGGACATGTATATGTTGCGAGCGATCACTTGCTTAATGGATGTATCCACTGCATTCCCATAGCCCGCCAGCAACCCCTTCTACACATCAAACCGCAACAATGACTCTCATCCTACTGACCGGCGGCACGGGCTACATTGGCTTCCGCACGCTCCAGTATGCTCTTGACAAAGGATACCACGTTCGTGCAGCCGTACGTACCGACGCCAAAGCCAAGGCACTCCGCCAGAAGTTGCCGAAACACGAAGGAAAGCTCGAGACCATCCTCGTGCCCAACATCCTCGCTCCCGGCGCCTACGACGCAGCCGTGAAAGGCGTCAAGTACGTCGTCCACCTCGCAAGCCCTCTCCCGGACGGCGACACGCCAGTCGACGATTACAACGCCGAGATGTTCCGACCAGCAATTCAAGGCACACTCGGCATCCTCGAATCCAGCCGCAAAGAATACAGCGTCAAGCGCGTTGTCATCACCAGCTCCATGGTCGCCATCGTGCCTTTCGCCGGTTTGATGGGTCAACTGGGCGAAGACGTGGTTATCACGCCGGACGACCGGGCTGAAGACATTCCGCCTCCCTATCCGAAGCCCATCGTTGCGTATGTCCAGTCGAAGATCGCTTCGCTCCGGTCAGCAGAGGCATGGATGTATAGGAGTCAGCCGAAGTTTGACATGATCACGATCCATCCAGCGTTCGTGGGTGGGCGCAACGACTTCGCCACTAGCACGGAAGAACTTCTGACGGGCACGAACATGGGTTTCTTCGCTCCCATCCTGGGCCAGGAGGTCGTTGAGAAAGTCGGCCCGAGGGTGGCTGGTTTGGTGGATGTGGGAGACGTTGCCAAAGCGCATATCGAGTCCTTGGATGAGAAGGTTGCGGGCAATCAGGCCTTTTTGCTCACCAACAAAGGTGGGGACGTGGCGTGGAACGATGCGAAGGCCGTTGTCCAGAAGAAGTTCCCGGACGCTGTTGGCAAGCAGTTTCCAAATAATGGATCTGTCGAGCCTCACTTCTGGAGTAGAACGGACATCGAGAAGACGGAGAAAACGTTTGGGAAGCTCACGAGCTTCGAAGAGACGATTGAGGGACTGGCCGGGCAGTATTTGGAGCTGCTGGCGAAGGAGCAGAAGTAGGTAGACTAGGTTTCGATGCCTTGTGCGCAATGATGTAGATTGTGATGGAATGATAAGGGGGTAGAGTAATTCTACAGACAGTCTTTCCGTGAGAGATTGAGTGAGACAGCCTCGGCTTCAAATATCATGCCGAACACGGCGCCCAAACATTCATCAACAACTCCCTTCTTCCATCCTATCTGTATACATCAACATTCAGCCTCATCTCTCGCCCGTGGCCACTATTCATCGGGAACATGGCAGGCGGTAGCACGTTCACATGGAAGCATGCCCTATCACTCCACTCAACACTCTCACCCTTCGACTCTCCCGTCCCAATGACACACCCGGCTTTTAAGAAAGTCAAGCCTGTGTCATGGCGCCGAATGAACGTCTCTGGGCTACTGGTAACCATATACGGCCTGGAAGAGCTACCTGAAGATTCCGGCGACATCGTCTGCTTCTGGCTCCTTCATGGTCGTGGCGACACGCAAGACTCAATGGGATTGGTAGCCGGCGCATTCTTAGAGACCTGGAACTCCAAACGAAAACCTGGCCAGAGCAGAATGATATGCGTCTGCATCGATCAAAGGAATCATGGCTCACGCATGCTGGACAACCGGGCCAACGTGTCTTGGAAGCAAGGCAATCCTACCCATGGCCCGGACATGTTCAACACGTACACCGGGACTGCACTAGATGTTTCTCACCTCATCACGCATCTACCCTCATATCTCCCGTTCAAGATCAACGAGCACATCTGCGGCGGTGTCAGTCTCGGCGGCCACGCAACCTGGACTCTGCTCATGAACGAACCGCGAGTCAGAGCCGGCATGGTCGTGATCGGATGTCCGGACTACGTACGTCTGATGACAGACCGAGCAGTACGGAGCAAAGTGCCTTCAGCGCTCGATAACAATGGCGAGCCGAATTTGCGTAACTTCCTGGGGTCGCAGGAGTTTCCTCCTTCTCTGCTAGAAGCTATTGAGAAATATGACCCAGCCGGTATTCTATTCGGCGAGCTGGACTTTATCACTGGAGACGACCACTTGCATCCGCCGTCAGACCCGGAGATGAAGAAATTACGACCGATGATGACAGAGCGACTGGCTGGGAAGAAGATCATCTGTATGGCTGGGGCGAACGATGGTCTTGTGCCGTACAAGCAGGGCGAGCCCTTCTTGACCTGGCTAGGGAAGGCTGTGGATAAGAAGGACGGCTGGTTCAATGACCAAAGTGTTGAGCTGGAGAGCATTGTCGACGCGAAGGCTAGACATGAGTTCTCGGCCATGATGCGGACGGAGGCGGAGAGGTGGCTTTGCGATTACCTGGCTGGCGGCTCAAGCTCGCATGGGCAGAGCAAGCTATAGGATGGCTGCAACGTCTGAGCCCATCATTTTTGGCCGTTAAGAGCAACGCGAGATGGGCTGTTACCGAAGGCCTGTCACTGACCAGAGCTGCAACCCCTGCTGGTGCTCACATGTTCCACGCTGTGTCGTCGTACAAAGCTCCGACAACTTCCGAGCTGGTGGAAGGTTGGGATGGACAAGCAGAGCGCTACGACGCATGGACATATCGATGTCCTTGACTAGTCCGCAAGCATCGGCCGTCTGGGCATACAACGACTTGAGATGAAGCATTGACTGATTTCGATGGATGCGTATATCTCGAGCGAACATCTACGTACGACCCAAAGCTTCCCAGCACATCTCCAACACAGACGGCTCGTCCCAACGCCCCTACCGAATGCAGACAGTTAACCTTCCACCTTCCCAAGGCGCACCCGCAAAGCCTTGCCAGTATGTGCTGGTGTTGACTCAACAACCTCTCCCGAGGCAGCATTTGTCGATGCTTGCCTGTCCCCTCGCAACATCCTCATCCCAAAGTCCAAGCTGCCTGCCGGTGCTGCGCTCCCGTAGCTTGAAAGAGTGGCCTCTGTCCTGCTGAACCCCCCAGATGCCGCCGGAGCGCGTATGCCACGAGCGAGGCCGTCTGCTGCCGTTTGCGGGCTCAGCGTCTTCGAGCGGTCCGCATTGAAGGAAATCGAGCCGCTGATGTTCAGCAAGCGGTCGTCGTCTTATTTGTCTTTTCATGCTTGAGATAATGATATCGTTGTTCTTCGTCGGCGTTTCCTTCACTCAGTGCTTCGAGCTGGCCTCCGATTTAGGATTCGACGTGACCGACATCGAAGACGAGGAGCTAGTCGAGCTTGTCCTGGATTGACTACCCGACCTCCGCCTCTCCTCCTCCTTCGCCTTCTTGAAAGCCTTCCACTTGGCGGCTTGAGCCAGCTCATCGGCACCCATCACGTCCGGGCTGGATGGGCGGGAGTTGCTGGCTTCGAGGTATTTGTCGAGGAAGTGGTCTTCCCAGGCCATGTCGACGGTTGATAGGTATACGGCGTTGTTTGAGACGGTTGCGAGGTCTTTGAGACTGGTCTGGTTTTCCTTGAATGTGCTAGAAAGCGATCAACTGCTGTACTTTGGAGGCAGGTAGCTCGTTCAATATCTATACGCACCTGAAGTGATCGGCAGCCCGCGGTATATATCACTAGACCAACACCTCCCGCCAAACCACACATCTGCCTAAAGCCTAAGTTCTAATCGCAGACCTTAGGTCCAGCCTTGTCCACCGTTGCGTGTCCAGTGTCCATCGGACGATCATGCCGCTTCACATGCAATGCAAGGCGCGCTCACAAAGCATTGCACAGCAGACGTGCATGGAGCTAATGCCACTACAACACCTCCTATTGGTGGAACAGAAGTTCAATCGAAGTAGGCGTCTGCCGACGAGGCGAAGGCGGTGATGACTGCAGGCTCGTAAGGCGTCGATGGGATCGCGCGGGCTTCCGAACAGGTTTTTGCTGGTTCGTTTGATCGTGTTTGTTGCAACGACGGTCGAGGTGTTCTCGTATCTGAGTTGGGTTGGAGAAAAGCTCTTGTTGTTACACAGGCTACTGCTCGTTCATATCTCCATGCCATACCAACATGACAGAAGACGCTCCCAGCAACAGTGCTTCCACCCCCGGAACCACACATCACAAACCGCTGACCCATCCACCCGCACCTCACCCATCCTACATCCTGCATCCTGCATCCGGCGCCGACGCCAGCCATCGGTCGACCGTCCGAGTCCTCTCGTTAAAGTACCGGCGGTAAGGCATAGCGTCAACTTCAGCACCATACTACCAATGCACAGTAGCATCGCTTCCACCATCCCCCTCGTTCCCGTGTCCCGACAGCCTTGCGAGTAGTGCAGCTCTGCCAGCCCTGTGGGTGGAAAGCCCCGGCAAGCGCATAAGGCGTACTGTCCCAGCGTACTGTCCCAAGTGCCCCAGCAGAGATTTTTGCTCCAATCTCGACCCGTCTCGTATCTTCTTGTTGTTGATGGACGGGGTGTGACGCGCCACCGTTTACTCTCCTACTCTCCGTCCATACCGTCGAGAGACGTCCGTGTCATACAGTAGCAGCCGTCGTCGTCACGTCGTCATGTCGTCCGGGTAAATGCAATCTTATCACCATCGTCACCGTCCAGACCATGCTATCCCGTCCGCCGTCATCACCCTCGTCAGAGACTGCCATAGCCGCACGACCGTCGCGAGGTGCTGATTTCGAAGCTGCGAGGCTGTCTTGACAATCAACTCCTCCCCACCTCCAACCCAATACGACGTTGACAATTCTCTCCTTTCACACTGGAAGAGGAAGTCCGGAGATAGCACAAACGTAAATACGACTGACAACCTCTCCTCAAGCATCTAGTCGCCATCCATAGGCCTGCTATCCCTAAAAAGCACACCACCTCTAAACCCACGCTCTAGAACGGAAACCATCAGCAAAAAGACTTTCATGACCGCCTGCAGCAAAGCAACCCGTAGTCCTCCCTCGTCATCAAAACAACACAACGCCATGCAGTGGTATCATATCATGCCATCCCGCCCATCCCATTCATCTATGCCATCCCACCCAAACCATCATCACAACGTAATACTCAAACCTCCCGCTCCCTCTCCTTCTTCTTCCTGAGCGCAGACACAATAGGCGTCTTCACCCTCCGTCCCCCCCTCTCCCTCTCCCTCTCCTTCTCCCTCACCCTCGCAGCTTCCACTTCCTGCTTAATCTGCGCCTTCGCCGCTTCACGGCGCTCTCTGTGCCGTCGTTCCCGGTCGTAGGAGGGGAGAGCGGTCGTGCCGGCCGAGTGCTCGGTGTCGGAGGACACGTTGCTAGCGCTCGCCGAGGGCGTGTCGCCGGCGTCGGAGGCGCGGGAGGTGGGGAGGGCGCGGCGGAGGGAGTCGCGGAGGGATGTGACGACGCCGGAGGAGCCAGGGCGGTTGGCCTCGCGGTCGCGGTCGCGGTTGTGAGTGAGGGAGGGGTCGGAGGAAGGGGCGGAGGTAGCGGTGGAGAGGGAGGGGGTGATGTTGTAGAGTCTTGTCGCCAAGGCGGGATCCTCCTCCTCCTCCTCCTCCTCCTCCTTCACCACCTCATCATCCGGCGAAACGACCGTCCACTCCCGTGACAGCGACGAGAGATGCGAAGTCGGCGCTACCCTCTCCGCCAACGTATCCAGCGAAGAACCCTGAGGCGTCACCATAGGAAACTCATCCCCGCTATCCGGAAGGCTGTTGCTCGGCTGCAGCTGATCAATCAGCTCCTCCCAGCGAAACGACAGAGCGCTATTCGGTCGTTCGGCCCGCTCGGCGCGGCTGAGACATTCCTGCGTGCGCTTCGACAGCTTGGTGCAGATTTCGTGGAAAGCGGTGAGCTCGCCTTCGGAGGCCTTGATGGCGGCCATGAGCTCGGCGTGGGATTTCAGACTGGCTGTTGATCGTGCGGTTTCTTCTGTCGTCGCTTCGAGCCATACTTGCACGAGCTCTGCGAACGCTCGCGCTTGGTCGATAAGGTACGGTAGGCTTGGGAAGCCTTCCCGGCTCGTAGGAGGCAGCCGCTGCATAATCGTCATAGGCGTGGTGTAGCTCAGATTCGTTTCAGCAGAAACCACACCAGGCGGGTAGGTAGTCGACAGCTGCTTCGCGGTAGAGAACGTCGGACCCGAAACCGGGACAGGGACATAGCACATGTCGTCGATGAACGTCTTGAAGCTCTCCCGGCTCTGCGTGAGAAAGACGTTCATGTGCTCCATCCACGTCTCCTTGGCGCCGAAGGAAGCCATATTCGACAGCGTCTGCAGCGATTTGGCGATGAGGGTGAGGGTGCGGCGTGCTTTGGGTTTGATCTCTTCTGCTTGATCGTCAGCAAAACCCTCTGTATCCCACTTCATGAGGAAGTCTGACCTTTCAACAGCCCAAACAACTTCGGATTCAGAATCGCCGGGCAGAAGAATCTTAGAAACAAGAACCCCGACACACTGCTATAACTCACACTCCGCAAGAAATCCCCATACCTGTCCTCCGCACAGGCACGGATATGCCTAAAAATCAGCCTCAACTCCACGGGACACTGGTCCTTCGACGACACAATCGCCTGCCACACCTCCTTCGTCCAGTGCAGCAGCCGTCTCCAATTACGCTCTAAATCCGCGGGCGTGTTGACACGATTCGGATCGACTTCGCAGTCTGGTTCTTTCTCGTTGATCTCCTTGATCTTCGACGCGAGAGCGGCTTCCAGATACTCTTTCCCGACGCGGCGCATATGAATGTCCAGGCTCTTGGTCAATAAAGTGTTGCCGCGGAAGAGTAGGTTCGCTTCGAGAGTGGCGTTCTTGTTCATATCCCGCACAATCAACTCGCGGTCGGCGTGCAGACCCAGGCCAGGGCTGTCGTTGCTCGCGTCTGAGGCGACACGGCTGGTGTACCGCAGCCGAGTGATTGGAGTTTCCTTATGAATGCCGTCGATCTCGTCTTCGACGAGCGCCATCAGCCACTCGCCGACTTTGCCCGAGACTTGGAAGATGTTGAGCAAGCAGTCGCTCACGCGCTTCAGCTCGCTCGGGACGATCTGCGCGACTTGTAGTGTGAGACCGTTGCCGAATCGATGGAGCATCTCGCTGAGTGGTTCGTAGTCCTTCTCCATCAGGATCACGCCCTCGTTCATCCGCGTCTTGAGCAGGATTTCGCCGACCCGCTGGTTGAAGCTGTTGACGATGGGCCACCATTTCTCCACCTCCTTGTCGCCTTCGAGCTCGTGCAGGTAGACCTCCACTTTGCCGCAGGTCACATCGAACGTAAGTCCAGTGAAGCCGCCATGCTGATCGCTGGTAAACCCATACGCTTCATGCACTAGCTTACTCGCCGCCTGCTCTCTCGCATGTGCACTCTCAGGCGGCCGTCGCTTGATCAACACACTAACATTGCTGAGCACCGCCGGCAGGTCCAGAAACTCGAAGCTCTCGCCCCACAGCGGCGTCAGACCGTCGTACTTCACATTCGTCTTCCCTCTCGTCTCATCATCCAACAAAACTTCAGCGTAGTATCCATGTTGCTCTGGCTTCACATTCGCCGCATGCGCTCTCCCACCAGAAAACCCAGCTTCCGGCCCAGGATTGCTCGCAGTAGGCGGGAAGATCTTCGCCTCCACGATCCTAAAGTTCAGCGTACGCTCTAATCGAAACATGTCGGAGATGGTCGTCGCCAGCTTGTCATCCAGACTCCTCGTCGGCTGACTCTCCTCCTGCTCGTCCTGCGGTGGTGGGCCGTACAGCTGTGGTATCGTGAAAGCCCTCAGCAAGACGAACCAGACTTCGTACAGCACCCGATTCTCCAAGCTCAAGAAGATCGGCCGCACGAATCCCGGCTGGCTGTTCGAGTGTCCAGAAGTGTACTGCGGGTATATCGCAATGCAGTACTCGTTGTCCAGCACACTCGGATCCAGTCTCTGGATCGCACACCTGCTTAGCTGACTCAACTGCACCACCGATATCAGACTGTTATCCGCATCCGCATGTAACTTGAGCTCGCCATTCTCGCGCAACTGCCCACTGATCCTCCTCCATCGCCGTGAAGACTGCGATTGCATCCTATACTTCGCAGGTCTCCCACTCGCCGGCGAACCCACCGCAGCAGATCCAGGAGTGTTGCTGTACCCGACATTCGTGTCCCAGTAGATCATCGTGCCAATCTTGATTACCGGCGCCTCCTTCGGCGTGACGACAGACTTTCTCCGATCGCTGCGATTGCTATCCGCGCGATCTCGAGGTCGATCTCTCGCTGAAGAGGTCCTAGGCGGTAGTTCGGGCCTCGAATGATATCCAGCCGAAGTCGCAGAAGGCGGCCTGTGGCCATTCGCGCGCTCCGTGAGCGAAGGCTCCTTGTACTGCCACCATAACAACGCGGCGTACCAGGACTCCAGATCCGCCTGCGTCAGGAGCTTGAAGTGGATCTCCGTGTCTGAGTTGGGCAGCGTGACTTCCAGATACGACTGCTCGCCGTCCGTGTTGGGTCTCACGTTGCAACCTCCCAGCGCCGAGACAAGCGCGCGGTCCGCGCCATCGCCGCCTTTCGACTCGTACATCAGCCGCCCGGTGTCTTGCTCGATGTAGCAGTAGAGCTGATGCCAGGGATGGTCCGAAGCCCTCCTCAGCGATACGTGCCCGCTCATGCGCCCCTTAAGCACATTGCACAGGTGTTGTATCCTTCGCGGAGGGTTCGAGGTGGACGTCATGGAATTGTTCGCCGACGAGGTGTCGGAGGTCGAGCGTCTCCCTGTCTCACTCGGAGATTGCACGGGTGAGCTCAGCGACAGGATCGAAGGCGCTTCCGGCGGAGACGTGCTCGCGGGCACCGAAGCCAGATACTCCGCGCCGGAGCTCGGCATGTTGTTCACACTCCCAACCCTATTGCGACTGCTCCTCAACATGTGCGCGGGCTCACGCTCTCTCCTCCGCTCATCCAGCGTGCGGGTGCGCTGTCTCGGGACGCCGTTGTACGCATCTCCGTCGTAGATGCTGGTGGTGCGATTGCCATTGCTTGTTGGTGTTATTGTTGAAGGAGAGGAGGTCCCGCTTTTGCTCGAGCTCCTCGCCAGCATGCCAGTCAGACCCGACCCGTTGTGTCCACTTGGCAAACTGCGCGACTCCCGCTCCTTGACCAATCTCCGACTATGTTTCGAGGAGCGCACCCCTGGCGCCGCGGGTCCGGTGAGGGCAGCCGGGCCTCCGATAATCGTCGTGGTTGTCGTGCCTAGTATCTGCCTCCGCCGTGCTGATGCTGACGCGGTGCGCGGGAGGAAAGCCTCCTCGAAGCTGTCGGTGCTCCTCTCCGGCAGCGAGCTCTCCTCGTCCATGGCGGCGTCGCTGTCTTCGGGTGTCACAGGCCTGATTGTCGCGCCCAGCAGGTCGGGCTCGTCGATGCTCGTGGAACCATTCTGCTGCAGGGCCAAGCTTTGACGGCGGGTGGTGTCTCGTGGGCTGACAGCGCCTGTCGTGCGTTCGGCGCGCAACCACTCGGCGTAGAGGGAGTCCTCGGGTCTTCGTCGATTGTCAGCGTCGTTCCACCGCCTGCGCCGCCGCTCAGAGGCCTCCATCATCTCCCGTCTCTTCTCTCACACACGCCTAACCTTATTGCTGACGGCGCGGGGAAAATGGGCTGGCATTCAGCCGCTCGCTGATTGGGGCTCCTGCCGATCCTCACTCGCACCTGCCGTTCGAAGGTCTGGCCGGGTGCGCATGTCGTAGCGTTCAATCACGCCTACACTTCTCGCAATACAGCAGACAAGTATCCAGGCAACGTGAATATCTGAAGTTGCATTCAATGGGCCCACAAATCCTCCGGGCCCCGGCGTGCTGGCGTGCCCACGACTCAAGCAACATGCTTGCTTCCTTGCCCTGCCCGTGGCGCAAAAGAACCCAGTAGAACTACCCACATGCCCATCCCGCTCCACCTCCAACCGACAGCGAGCCCTCATCCCTACAATCGCAAGTGGTGGCCCAACACTCGCGCCACCAACGCAGGTACGCCCTGCCTTCCCATGGCTCAACCCCAAGCCAGCGACAAACCTACCACTCTTCGGTTCTCCAAGCCAAGGATACCGCCCTGAAACCACAAGCTCGCCAGAACAACAGATCGTCTCGGCACTGCAGCCAAACGAACAGGCTAAGCAGGCCCAATCCCCGCCTTTCGAAATCACCGCCTCGACAGGGGGGATGGGGATGCGATGGAAACGCTGATCTTCTTCCGCCACTCTCCACTCTCCACGTTTAAGTTCTTGTTGGTTCTGGTCTGACTTGGTTCTGGCTGTGCTGGCGGCGAGTGCGGATTGCCGAGAACGACGATGTTGTTTGCTGAAGATGAATACGTATCGTACCCGTTCGGCTCCGACACGCTGTGACGAGGTACTGTACTGTTCATTCCAAGGCAGTCAAGGCAGTGAAGACGGTGTACGATGCAGATCTGGCATTCCGTACAACGATAGCCTACGAGCCTACGAAGATAAGATATAGTAGGTAAGCTTGTAAGGTATTCTCCAAACACAGATAACCAGACGAAAACACTCGACCGCAGATCATCCAATATCCATCCCGCCGCCAGCCCACGCCAGACCGTTGAAAAGTCGGGGAAAGGCCTGCAGGTACCTAGGTATACATGTACTTGCGTGACCTGGGCACTCCATGGCATGGCATGGCATGTATGTTGAACGCAAAGACACACTTATCAACAAGGTCTCGATTGCTTGCTTGCTAGCTAGCTAGCTAGCTGCAAGAGATAGATAGCATAGCCTGCTCAGCTATACCCATCCAAAGTACCAAGGCCACATCAGTTAAGGTAGCCAAGTATGCAGCCATCCAAATCATCCCAAGTCTTCTCGAAATTCCAACAGCCTTTCATTTCCAACATCCCCCCTCTCACCTCCCCTCAGGTCCAGTTCTGGTCCCAGATATCCACCCGTAAATCATCCTCACGAATTTCCCCGACTCCGACTCCCCCCACCCACCTCCTCAGAAGACCCCACCGGACTCATCCCCGCCCCTCTCCCACCAGCCTGCTGCAAATCCCCACTCGCCGTCTTCCTAACCGCCTGCCGCATCGTCTCGATCGTCAACTCGCTCTGCTGCGGCGGAGAACCCTGCTCCACTCCACCACTAACACCAGGCGGAGGGGTGGTAACACCTCCCCCACTCAAAGTCCGACTCTGCATCGACCCCGGACTCCGTGGCGAGCGTAGCGGTGACGCCGCGCGCGCTTCGTTTTGGAAGGACGAGGGGAGGGAGGCGATGTGCAGACTGTCGCGATTCCCGCCTGCGTCGGAGAGGGCGGAGCCGGAGGGCGCGGCGTGCTCGCTCTGCACGACGTCGGCGAAGGAGATGAAAGAGAGGCGGCGCACGTCGTTGGGGTCGAGTTGGCCGTAGTTGCTGGCGCCGTCGTCATCAGCGGCTGCGGGGGCCGGGGCGATGCTGGAGTGGTGTAGCGAGCTGGCGTGCTCTGAGTCCTGGGATGCTGCGTGCTGTAGCGGCGGGGTCTGGAGCTGCGTGAGATCCGCTTGGCTGGACGAGCCTTCCAGCACAGCCGGGGCGGCCGGTTGGTGCGACGCGGACATGACGATGCTGACTTCGTCTGCATTCAAATTCTCGCTCGTGATGGCCTGCGCGGAGGCTTCGAGGGCGGGCGGGATGTGGTCTTCGGTGATGACGTGGGAGGGGATGTGGGCTTCGGTGTCGTCGGTTAAAGTGGACATCTGCACCGGCTCTTGCACGCTGCGCTCGAAGATCTCGCTCGACGCCGGGGAGTGCAGGCGTGGGGAGCCAGAGCGGAGGCGGGAGGGGGATGCGGCGGCGTTGGCGACGGAGGGGTAGGGATGGCGGGAGGGGGTGGTGGGGATGGGTGGGGGTTCTGCCGACTGCGGTCTCAGGTCGGCTGGTGCCTTGCCGGGCGAAGGCGGTCGCATTGTCGACTGCTGTGCCGTGGGCTGGAGATTTGAGCTGGTACTCGACGATGTTGCCGCCGCCATGTCCCTCTGCTCCTCCATCTTCCTGCCCAGTCCCCAGAACTTCCGCTTCCCAGTCTTCGGGTCTTTCTCTTCCGCGGCACCGTCCTGCTCGCCTCTTTGCTCGGATATGATCAGCGGCGTCGCCGAGTCCTGGGGCGTGACAGCGTCGTACTGTGTTGGTTCTGGAGGCATGGCCGTGGAAGCATGCGACTGGTATTATTACCTGGGTAAGTCGTCCCCGCGGAGCACTGTGCTTCTCGATCAAGCGAGAACAGCTGGTAAAGGCTCGCGCGTCGCTATAACTGCTGGATAGCCATGTGCTGCTAATTGGATTGTCCTGGCAGTACTCACTGAGCGAGCGACGGTGACTACAAGACTAGGTCTAGTCGGGTAGAAGGCGAAGTGAGGAGGAGCACCGCCATTGAGGCAGGTGACCAGAGTGACGTCGTGCCGCATTCAGGGTTCAGCGTGTTGGCCACAACGGGACTGTGGGACAATCTCAAACACTGTCGATCTTCCTCTACCTCAATCTCGCATTTGATACGAGCGTTTGATCGTCTTGCGACATGAGTCGCAGTGTAAGAAGGGAAGAGAAGGTGGGTGGTATGAAGGTGGTATTGCTTCAACAGCCAGCTAGACCAGCGTGAGTGGCCAGCCAGGCCATGCTCGCTATGTAGACTCGCTCAAAACGCAGTGTAGCAGCAACGGCATCTTCTTTGAATGCTTGCCATGCCCATCAATGCTCAGTATCATATCTTCATCTCCTCGTAGCCGTGTAGCGCCGCCCATCCAGCCGTGTCTAGCAGAGGCCATCCTCCCCTAGCCTAGCACGTCCGCCTTGTGGTATACGCGCTCAATCAAACATCTTCGCATAAGCCTTCCTCTCCTTCGCCTTCCGCTCCGCCGCCTTCTTCTTCACCTCCGCCAACTCCCTCTGCACCGCCCCATCCCCGGGCACCAACCTCCCGGCCTCCTCCAAACACCGCAAAGCCTCCTCTTCATTCCTCGTCTCCTTCGCCGCCAGCGCCTTCCGGTACAAAGCCTTCCCTTTATCCCCATCCGTAATACCTTCAACCCCGATCGCCTTGTCCGCCGACCCCGCCGCGTCCCGGTACTGCTGCAGCTTCAACTGCATCTGGCAGCAATTGTTGTACAGCGCAATCTTCAGCCTGCTCAACTGCTGCGCCATATCCGCCGGATCCCCCTCCAGCGGCGTGGGGTACTCCTGCAGATACCGGATCGCTTTCTGGTACTTCCCCAGCGCCAGCTTCGCATCCCCCCCTTTAAACGCCTGACTCCCCATTCCCTTGACCTCCGTCGCAATTCGCACAATCTCCGTCCCCTTCCACTCCTCCCCCGGCCCCAGCTGATCGTCGGGGTAGTCCTCATACGCATCCCCCGTCGCATCCGGCGTCTTCTTCACAAACTCCCCCACATCCTCTCCCTCAGGCACCTCCCCACACTCCTCAATCACACACCGCGCTTCGGGAACATCATTCGCTCCCACAGCCGTGTTCTCCACCTGCCTCACCACGCTCTTCCCCCCCACCACCTCGCCAAAAACAACATGCTTCCCGTCCAAATGCGGCGTCGGCACCGTGGTAACGAAAAACTGACTCCCATTCGTCCCCGGCCCCGCATTCGCCATGCTCAGCAAAAAAGGCTTCTCATGCTTCAGTTCAAAATTCTCATCCTCAAACTTCTCCCCGTAAATACTCTCCCCGCCCGTGCCGTTGCCCTCGGTGAAATCCCCGCCCTGGATCATGAAACCTTTGATCACGCGGTGGAAGGTGCTGCCGGCGTAGTGCAAGGGTTTGCCGGACGCGCCGGGGCCCTTTTCGCCGGTGCAGAGGGCGCGGAAGTTCTCGGCGGTTTTGGGGACGACGTCGTTGTAGAGTTGGAAGAGGACGCGGCCGGCTTCGGTGCCGCCGATGGAGATCTGGAGGGGGTGGTTAGTGGGTGAGGAAGGTGGTGAGGGAGGGTGTTGGTGGGTGTACCTTGAACCAGACGTGCGAGCGCTTTGCGGCGCCGTTGGTTGCCATTGTTGCCGTGGCAGTTGGGTACGATGTGTTGTAGAGCACGTGAGTGAAGAGTGGTGTGTACGCAAGTGAGCGTGGTGTATGGAGAGGTTGGTGTTGTAGTGGTTGTTGTCAAGTGAAAGTCAAGGCAGATGTTTCGAGAAATCTTAAGTGGGGCTTCACATGCAGGTACATCGAAAGCACATGTGGCAGCACTGAAACTGTCAGCCAAAATAATACCTTTTGATTCTGCCAACTAGGTCCTATTCACCACTGGTCTTCACTCTGATCAAGCCCAAAGGATGCATCAAGCCGCCCAAACACTCGTGATATCAAAATCCCCCACAGCCGTGAAGCTCTTCCAACACATGCCGCCCAAGAACGAATACTTTTCATCACCGCCAAATCAATGCACACCCCCACTCTTCACTTCCCCAGGCCCATGATGCTCCTTCCTCTCCGCAGCCCCATGCGTAGCCTTATGCCCACTCTCATCCTGATGATTATGCGGCAGCTTCGGCGACGACACACCCGCAGCAGCGAGATGCACATGCTCGGCAACGTGCACCTGGCCCGCGCCCTTGTCGTTCATGTGCGCGTGCTCCAAGATCTGCGCCGCCTCCTTCGCGGAGCTGGCCTCGGTCATCCGCTTGAAGTCGTCCCACTCGGTGACGGCGCCGAGGGCGCGCTTCATGTGCTCCGTGACGATCTGTAGACCGTAGACGTAGGAGGCGTTGACCCAGCCGAAGCTGCAGTACCAGTCAGTATCAGCATCAAAGATGAGGGGTGATGGTCCAACGTACCCTTCCGTAGCCACACCCTTGAAATCCGCTCCTTGATTCCCATACTCGGCATCGACGACATGCGAGTTTGTTTTCTTCGTCACGTCGTACTTCTCCACCACCACACCGTTGAAGTCGACAAACGCCTTGGTGCACATGTAGATCCATCGGTAAGCCAGCCTCTGCGCGTCTTCCTTAAAGCCGTATCGCAGCAGGCCAGTCCATGCCAGGATCTGCTGTGGTGCCCATCCGTAGGGGTAGTCCCACTGGCGGGATGGGCGGTCCTTGTCAATGCGTCCACGTGACCTGAACGTACCGGAGACCAGACCGCCGTGGACTTCGAAGAGAGGCAGAGCTTTCTGGACCATAGTGAGCGCTTGTGCGGGCGTGGCTGCACCCGCCCACATAGCCCAGAAAGTGGTGGCGGATTCGTAGCCAGTCTGCTCCCTCTTGACGGTGTTGTAGTCGAAGAACATGCCCGTGTCCTCGTCCCACATGAGCTCATTCATGGTTTTGCGTCGCTTGGCGGCGCGGCGTTCCCAGACTGCAGACGTCTCGATCGTGGGCTTGCCGGGCACCTGCCACTCTGGTGGAATCTCCAGCCGGTCGCCGAAGAAGAAGCGAATGGTGCGACAGATATCGGACTCAATCTTGTAAAGCAGAGAGTTCAGGTCGACGGTCGCAAGGTGGGCACTAACCTTCTCCAGGCGGTAGGAGGTGTCGTGGCCGGACTCGCGGACGGAGCGGTCATGGAGTAGGTACTGGTCCAGCTCCGGCTCGAAGACACGGCCATAGTTGTATGCCTCGATGAACTCTTGGAACGTCATTCCATGCTTCTCCGTGTATTTTCTGAGGACGGGGTAGAAATGAGTAGACTCGGTCTCCGGGGGAATGCCGCGACCACCTGGCACGTATCGGGAGAGACCAGAGACCGGGTCATAGCGTGGCTTTGACATCCATGTTTTGTAATAGTCTTTGATGGCGGCGAGCATAGCGGTCCTGAGGAACTCTGTGCTTCGAGCTCGATCCTCTTTGATGTGCTCGTAAACGCGCAACGCCATGTCGGAGAGGAAGGGTGGCTGCGAGCGACAGAGGTAGTATGTCCGGTTCGCGTTCAAGATCTTGCCGTAGTGGCGGATGCAGAAGCAGAAGTGTCTCACCATGGATTCACCGAGCTCCGGCTTGCCATTGACGAGTAAGCCCAGGGTCTCCATGTAACTGTCCCAGCCGTACAGCTCGTTGAAGCGGCCGCCAGGAACAACAAACGGCAGTCCTCTGTAGTCGGGCTTGCCTTCAGGCGTGTCAGCCACCCGCTCCATCTCAATCGCGAGTAGACCGGGAGCTTCGTTCAGATCTCGGACGTAGTCATCGTCGCCAGGTTCCTCGGCAAGCCACATCACTTCCAGCCGCTCCTTAGGATGCTCTTCTGCGATTCGCTTGTAGTAATGATACTGCTCGGGTGCCCCACGAGGGATGTATATCCGTGGTCGAGGCTCTTTCGTCCAATCCTTGGGATCGCTGGCGACCTGAAAGACGTTCCTACCATCGATGCGCCTCGTGAGATTGGCCCAGAACAAGTCCTTGATCCGCCGCGACAAACGGTTCACCGGGTTCTCGTTGAGCCTGACCTCATCCAACTCGATCTGCTTGCGGCCGTACTTTTGTGCAAGGGACAGCTCTTGCAGTAGATTGCTGAGCATGTATGTCCCGCGAATGTCGAAGCGGCGATAGCCTTCCGAGGAGACCGTGGGGAGCGAGAACGACTTCGGTCCACGGTCTTCTATGGTGATTTGATCATTGTGGTCTGTATCTTCGTGCTTCCTCAGATTGTCGAGTGTCTCGTCGACGTCGAGCAGGTAGCGACGAGGTGCTCCGCCCGGCACATCTGTCCTTACGATTAGTATGGTCCCTCAGCGTGAATACGCATGCGGCAGCCGTACCTTGACTCCCTCGTCTACCCGGATGCCGATAGGCCTCTACTCTAGAGAGTGCTGGATCGTGCTATTTGGGATCATGTGTCAGTGACTGACATGTGACATAGCTCCTGGTGGAGAGGACTCATGATAGACGTACCTCCGAGTATGTACGGCTCTTGCCAACCTTCCGACCGCCATACGAGGTGCTGTAGTACTTGTCTGGCGCTGCAAACGGGTCGAACTCGACGGAAACCTTGCGTGGTTTGCTCTGCTTGGTCGTGGCTCGAGGACTGGTAGGGGATCTCTGCACGCTCATGCTCTGGGAGGGCTGAGGTAGAGTCGGTGGATTGGAGGTGATTTCGGCGGGCTTCAGAGCCTCCGCGCGCTCGGTGTACCTGCAGTAGGTCTAGAGGGATGATGTCAGGTAGCAGAGGTGTTCTGGACCGCGAGGTGGAGTTCCCCGCGAAAGTTGGGAGAAGGACAAAGAAGTGCAGAGTAAAAGTCGGAACAATGAAAGAGTCTGAGGCAATCTTAGTGGTATAGTGAGGCGGGTGACGCGGACTGGGTGGCGGCGGTGACTGTTGTTCTCGAGGCTGTCCGCTGGTGAAGAGGGTCAGCAGGCGCAAGGCCACTCCTACATATCATCACTCCTGCTGCTACATTCACGGCTGGCTCGAGGGCGAGGCAGGCGGTGTGCTCGTCGGCAGCTGCGTCGACCCCTCTGGCAACTCCTTCGTCGCAGTGAGGAGCCAATGGCTGCAACCAGCACCATCCCAAGGTCCCGATAGGTATGATGTTGATGTTGCGTGACACGAGCCCGCCGACGCCGAAACATTTTTCTCGGCCCATGCAGGGTCTCGGCTCAGACAGCCCATTGTCTAGCCTCCACCCCTTCTAAAGCCCCTCTCTTGTAGCTGTGACCACCGCGATCTCATCGGCCCACGAGCATCTGGCATTGGTTTGGGAGAAAAAACAACCACAAAGCTGCTCAAGGATCCAAAACATGCAGCGATGCAGATGCCCGCGGAGCCCTTCCGACCCGCCAGGATGAACGGGGGCGTCGACTACTGCTGTGTAACGCGAACGCCGCCACTCTACTCGCCTACGGGCCCTGCAAAATGCAAAACATTTCCAATGCAATGGCCATTCCGGGGCTCAGAGGCGGTTCGCTTATGTACATCCGGCGAGGGTCAGAAAATGCCGACGACACGAGCGTGACGGGGAGAGTCGACCTCACTTCCACCTGCGCCACCAGCAGTATTGGACACCAGGACGATGCACGGGAGGTCTGCACACCATGTCAGAACGCCTGCGGACGCCTCTCCGGTAGTTCATACACCAGCTGATAGGCAGACGCGCGAGACCGTCGAGCATGCGGCTACTGCTGAACCAGATCTTGTCAAAAAAGTGAGATGGCTGAGTACCCGGGCTACTGGACTAGCACGCCTTCACTTCAGTATTTACATCATGGCTGACCGCTGAGGCGGCATGGTTCGATGCTGTCTCGTTTGGGCATCCAATAGCTACGACAACCCAGCTGATGCAGCGCTGCGTGTGGCGGTGAGATCAGCGAGCGCGTAGTGAACAGAAGCAGCAGAATGAACCGAGTGCGTGAACTGGGTCGGGCCACCAAAGATCTACCATCATCCTGAGGATACTTCGGTCATTACGGTTCACACACCTGCTTGCACGATCTCAGCAGGCCCGAGGTGAGGAATTGTCGCTGCCCGGACAAAAGGACGGTACGTGTATGTTGCTTGAAAGGCTATATGAAATCTTCTCGAGTTTCACCACGCCGATCTTTCGTGCTTGGGTAAGTGTAGGTGAAAGAGCAACCTGAGAGCCATCATCACGTCTCACTGTCTGCACACTACTCGCATGACGACCTCCTCCACGCACTGAGCAACAACCCCGTTTTTCGAACTAGCAACAGATCACAGCACGCACAAGCTTACGCGGGTCTGATTATTCGTTGAGATACTTCTCACTTGAAAACTCCAGCACTTCCAGTCTCCAGCGGACCAGCCCTCACCACCCCATGGGTAGACCGGCAAAGCCTCCGTTCAAGACGATCAAACTAATGACCCCTTCAGCCGCGTCACCATATCTGGTACCATGTCCAACCACTCTAAAGGACTCTCGCCATACACATTCTCCAAGCCAGTTGAGCACACGAAAGCGAGCGTTTGCTAAATACTGAGGCCTGACGATGGCTTGCGATTCTCACATGCAGCGGGAACGACCAAGGTAGGAACGAACAAATAGGTATTCTGAAAATCATCTGCATTCTCTCTTCTACAAATGAGGCTTGATGTTTTTCCTTCAGCGCTTCTGTCCAGTGTCTGGAGCATCGTCATGCCATCAATCGAAAGCTCCGGCGACTGCCAACATCACATTCTTCGGACGGAATCACAACGTCAGCTTTCCCATCTCCCGGATCCCCTCCGCGAATTCCTTTTCTCTTGCCAGCCTCAGACCCTCGCACGTCGGGACAGCGAACCTTGGACGAGTGACCATTTCAGCCTTCCTGTTCTTGACGAAGTCGCCGGAACCAGGAGGACGGAGACTCGACCGCTCCATCCCCCAAAGCCTTCCATGAAGTCATCCTCCCCTTTCCACCTCGGACTCTTGCTGGTCGTACCGACCAATCTTGAACGAGACCTTGCCGAAGCCTTCTTGCTCTTCACGACCCTACGTGGAGAAGGAGATCGAGTCTCCTCTCTCAACAGCCTCATTCTCTCGCTGTTCGCCATACCTAGTCGGGATCGAGACGGTGCCAGCGCCTTCTTGTGCTTGACGTAACCACCCGGAGGCGGGGGGTTCAGGCTCAGCTGCTCCACCCAGTCAGCCAGGTCGTAGTATCTGTTACCTGAAGTGGTGTAGCTCGGTGGGAATCGCTGTTGGTCCGCAATATCTCCTCCTTGACCGTACGCTGGGATGATCTTGACTTTGGCAAGCATCCCAGCTAGACTTTTCGGTTCTTGCTTAATCTGAGAGGTGTTAGCGTGGATGAGAGCCTCTTCGTCCTCCTCGTCCTTTCGGTACGGAGGAACATGATTGTCCTCAGCCTCCATCGCGTCGGTAGTGAAGCCTATATACATCATCAAGATGCAGACGAAGAATATTAAGGCCAAGCAGCCTTTATGACCGACCAGGCGGGTCTCGATGGTTTCGATCATGGTTCCCAGACTCGTCTCGTTCGCGCTTGTTTCCGTTGCGTTTGCGGTGGTTGGTGTGAACATTTTGATGAGATATTGTCCGGTATTTGTTTGTGGTTTAGAGAATTGAGTTCCATCTTGATCACTCGAGAGCGTATATACCGTCTGTACCAGAGCGTCGAGAGGAGTTGACGACATAGTCCACGAGCCTGCATTGTGGATCCAGTGAACGACAGTCTGCCTCAAAGCGATTCAATGGCATTGTGGCCGACTTCAGCTGGCTTCGGCATCGCAGTGTGTCGTGAGTACTTCATCACGGTCTCGGAGAGTATGCATTGAAGGCTTGGTGGTCGACACAATGGCATTGTGCTCGGCTGGCGCTCGGCGAGGTTGTACGAGGAAGTTCTTTGTTCGACTTGAATGTGGTATACGAAATTGAAGAACGGTTATAGCTGGAACGACGAAAAGCCATGTGGAAGGTGTAGAAAGAGAGGCTGATGATGAGATGCAGGAAGAGAGAGTAGGAAAGGAGAGTGTGTTCACTGCCAGAAATTTGAACACAGGCCGGGTCTCAGACATCCAGGTTTGTAGTCGCAAGACGTTGTTTGATGACCCCAAGTATGACTGATCGACGAATCAGCTGCTGGCACCGCCGTGGCCGATTTCAAAATACGGCGGACATGCCACTGCATCTTGCTTGCATGTGCTCAGCATGTGACAGAGTCTCCGCGAAACCCACACGTGCACAATACTAAAAGGTAAACTTCCTCGCCGGCTTGCTCGCCTGAAGCAGCGTCAAAGCATTCGCCGCCTCCGTCTCACTCGTCTCCCACCGCCCACCTTCCAAATGCCGTGGGTTCAACCGCGCAGGCTCCAACTCCTGCAATCGTGACATGAGGCCCCGTTCGTTAGCCCGTCCCAAAAACTCCGAGCAAGGAATCCTGCTCTCCGCTCCCATACTGCGAGGACTAGGAGTCTCGGCCAACGCTGCCATTCTACGGCAAGCAGCTGCTTGGAGCGGGTTGGCGAGACAGTCGTCGCATCCGCCGGCTTGAGGTGCGCTCGGGGGCTGCTTGGCGGCTATGCACGCGCAGTTGTTGACGTCAGTGCAGAAGCCGCAGGGCTCGCTTACACCTGATATACGGTTAGTACTTCGTCCACGGGACTTGAAGCAATGGCGACTACTCACTTTTGTATTGAGTGGTGAAATCCTTCTCCAAGAAGTCTTCCGAGGTATCGAACCGGGCGCCGCTATCTGCTCGATCGGCCGGAGAGGAGTTCGATGCACCGCGAGGCGACTGTGCCGCGTGAAGGGGTTGGAGGCGGAGGGAGTTCACCTGGTTCTGGAGCGAGTCCACTTGCCTCTGCAACTCCTCGACCTGAGCTTCGGCCGCGCGCCTTGCGGATTCTGACTTCTGGAGCTGCTCTTCGGCTTTGCGTCTTGCTGATTCTTGGTTGTTACGATCGGCCCTCAGTTCGGTGTTCACCTTTTCGATGGCGTCGAGCTTCTCATTGCGTCTGTCGCGATATCGACGCTGAGACTCGCGGTTCTGCCCACGGCGGCGGTCTTGGCCTGCTACTACTGCATCCGGCATTGGCTTCCGCCCTGGCCTAGTCCTGGCCGGCAGCTCCACAGGCCGGGCCATGGGACCACTCATGGACATAGTCGTGGTGGGATCTCCTAGAGGTTGGTGTGTTTCGCAGGGCGGATGGACGGCAGGTACTGACGCGGAAGATGGCCTCCTGGAATGCGAAACGGCTGAGTGGTAAGACTGTAACTGGCGAGTCTAGTCCAGTATTGCGGCCCTGGGAGTCCCCAACAGTGCAGAGAGACAAAGTATTAGGTAGGGGGTGTTCCCAGATGCAAAGCTCTGCTCAGCTCTGCTCAATTGGAAGGCTCGGAGTGGGCGGGCTGCCCTCTGTTACCGGCGCGTAGCCGTCGAAAATGCCTTATCTCGTCATTGTTCTGGCTGTTATGCTAGTAGTCTTGTGATGGCGAGGTGAGATGTGATATTCCAGAGGCAAAATCTAATCAGATTGATAAGTGCGAAAGTGGGGGCCGACAGCGGCGTGATTGGCAAGAAGTTAGATGGCCGATATCGCTACGGATTGCAATCCAGACACCATTCTTCGACGTTGATAATTCTGTACGGTAACACGATTGATTGGGCTTGGGAAGTGTAGATAGTTTATGATAACTTCTCAACTTCGTCGTTGCAACGGCACCGAGTTCTCTTGACTGCACCAGAGCGAACTGACGATGTTATTCGATGGACCAGCTCATCTTCTACTGAGTGGCCTGGATTTCTTGCTTGCCTTTCACTGCACATTCCTACACCTACAGATCCCACAAGCACAAGTGTTGTATTCAAGGCATGCTGGCGGGACCGGTTGAGTTCAAGGCCAAGTATGAAGTATCTCAAACTTCAGACACCGCGCTGTCTTCTCTGCCGTGGTTGATGCGTGCTTTATTTTAACATGGCCATGATCCCCAATCCCAAAGCGAGAGTGTTGGCGCCGATTTCGTCTGGAAGAGATGTCATAGCCAGTATTGTATCAAGTCTTCCATGCTTTGATATTCCTTCTCCAGTGCTAGTTCGGACCAACATCTATCCATCTCACCTTTTGCCATTGCAATGGAGCGAGTCCTGCGCCATCGTAGTTGTCGCGATCCGCATCGAGACATACGGAGGACACAACAGTATAGTAGGCGATGGAGCGTCATGATTGATTCATACGAAGACTGGCGGTCGTTCCCAAAGTGGGTTTTCTACAGATGGCTTGTTGCGATCGCGGCTGGTCTCCAAGGGGCGCCAAGCCAGGGCTCAGGAGCTATACCGCGCTTTGAGTCCAGTTTGACGATTCGACCGTTTGTCGTGGTCGCACCGGTTGTTCCATATTGACGTGCTCCACGGACAGTGTCGAAGCCCAGAAAGAAGAAAGTGGCCACACGCTCCTGGTCACTATGAACACTGTTCACGCATGCTTTCGCCCCGTGGCCGTGCCCATGGGTTGATGATTCTTTCCAAGTTGAGATGCGATGTAATAGGAAGGAAGAACAAAGGATGCAGTGGAGATTGAAGTCGCGGTTCATCTCGAGACAAAGCTGAAACAAGCTTTCCGGCCTCTCCCGCGACGTTGCAGTTCCAGACTCCTTACCCGCACACCACCACCACCCTCACCTCCACCACCACCCGCTGGAACAACACCGCATCCCGTACCACATTCCTTTCGAGTCGCTCGCTACACCCACCCCTTCCACTTTCATTTCATACTCATAGCCGCAGTGTTGGAGCGGCATTTGAACTGGAAGCCAGGAAAGTTCGGACCTTGGACAGCCGAAACATACGCGCGGCAGCCTCAGCAACAGCAACACAACCAGACGACAGCTACTTGCAGTTGGAACCGCGTTGTGACAGAAGTTCTTGAGAAACATCGTTGCAAGAGCGCCACACAAGCGGCTGGCCGCAAGCATGGCGACGACGGTCAAAGGCAGACTGATGTCGAGAGGTAACGCTCCGCTTACCCGCAATGGATGATGCCGAGATGCTAATATTCAGCAGAGGTCGAGCACACACTCCGAACAATCTTCAAGCGATGCGTCCAATGCCCTCCAGAGACTCCATCGTGTCCATCGTGCGGCGACGGCGAAATCTGCTCGCTCATCCCGCAGAGCTGCCGGAACTGCGCCCACAATACATGTATACCAGATCCCAACCAGCCAGTCCATCATGGACCAAATGTTGGCGCGATCGCAGGTGGAGTCGTGGGAGGTGTGGCCTTTGTTGTGATAGTCGTGCTATGCATCTACTTCTTCTGGATCAAGAAGAGGCGGGCTGAGCAAGACGCAGAGTTGGAGGAGGAATGGGCCGACGAGATCTCGAGCCAGAAGCGCTCGACACAATTCACAACAATGGGCGATGCGGCTTCGACGCGGACTAGAGGATCGCTTGCAGCCAGCATTCTCAGCCGAGCGAGCAACATCATTCAGATTGCCTACATACCTGGAGTGACGAACCGCAATGGATCAGACCACAACAGCATACACGCGCCCGTCCCGCCCATCCCTGCTGCGCACCGGTCACAGCCACCAAAGAGTCCGCTCAGCAACGAAGGCGATGCACTATTCTTCCGGCCTGGAGATCTCAGAGACAGCACATGGTCTGGCACCTCATCTATCAACTCTGATAAGCGCGACACACGTTACACAATGACTTCTATTTCGCCATCACTCATGCGGGATTCCATGGCCTCCGACACTTTCATGGATGACGCGTCATCCCAACCCATGCCTGCTGTCGCTGCGTCCCGGCTCGCACCCCGAATGGTGTCCGTCAAGTCCAGCACATCTTCAACCTCGTTATCCGGTAGTAGCACTGGAGCGCCAACGCCGGAAGAGTCCAGTGGCAACGTGAAGACACTACAGGTCGTGATGCCAGGGCAAGGAGCAGGTCTCTCGCCCAATCCTTCAGTCCGCAGCGCAGGCAAAGTCAAGCAAGTCACAGTTGGCGGCACGAAAGGCCGATTCCCGGTTCGCCAGACGAGTGACGCATCAGGCGCTTCGACCGGCAAACATGCGCCCAATGTTTCGTCGCCGCTCGCTGAAGTAGACGAACCCGAGACTGCTTTGACCTCGGCGCAAAACACAGACTTCGTGACACCTCCAGCGGTGCAGCCGACGGAATCTCCATTCTTTGACGCGACCGAGCAACCTTCTGCAGCTGCAACAGCGGCATCGAACATGCGACCTAACCCGTATGCCTCAATGGCCAGGACGGTTGGATCCAGCACAGATGGCCCTGCGAGGAACCGCGGCAAGAGTATCGGCGGGCTAAGCGCAGTGGAGGAAGAGGCGATGAAGAGGGCGAGTAGGACCTCAGAAGTGGATGAGAGGGCTGGCAAAGATGACGCGAGCCCGTTCTCAGACTTGCACTCGACAGGCTGAGCAGGTTCAAAATGATCTTGTGAAAGCTAGGAGATGGGATGTTTACGAGCTCATGCATTTAGAATTCTGACCGCCAACTTGATGTGGCAGGCTTCGAGCGACGGGCTTATTAGCCGGCTTTTATGGATATGTATCATTCCTTCACAAGAGATACGATCATCTTTTCCGTCTCTATTTCAACGCTCACGGTCTTGTAGTCTCCGCCCTCCTGCTCTGTTTGCTCGAGCATCGCTATGTCTCGGCTGCGGTATGCGATTGAGACATGCATGAGACGAAGAGCATGCTGTCTAGCAGCACTTACAGGATTCTTTGTGGCAACCGAGACACGGTCAAGGTCTACACCCGAGCAAGGAGAAGTTGTCATTTCTTCCTTCGATCTCTCTACTTCCTCAAACCAACATGCCGTCGAAGATGTCCCAGCAAGCCTTCACCACCATGCCCAGCAACATCACCCTCTTACATCCTCTGACGGACTTCGTTGAGCATGAACAAAGCAATCCACGGCTCAACACCTGGCATCAGGCCTTCGTCTCCCTGCAGAATCACATGGCGGACACCACCTTCCAGACCACGATATCGGCCACAGCAAACCTCTCCGCCCTCCTCCTCCTCATCGTGCTCACATTGAGCCTCAGCTACCGCTCCCTCTCCAGCCTCAATCTCTCAGCCAAATACCTCTGCCCCCTGACGACATTCCACGCTCTCGCCACGGAAGCCGCGCAACTCCTTCTCGCCCTCCTTGGCATGGCCATGACGGTCATCGTCTCAACCTCCGGACTACCCTTCCTGCGCAGCGACGATGGCAGCGTGCAAGCCGTCTGGGCCCTTCACGCAGCGGTCTGTCTGGGCGTCGTGCTTGTCTGCTGCGCGGTTGTCGATGCGGTAGATATCATTGAAGGCTGGGTGGTGACAGGGGGGTGGGGGCATCGTTATGGTGGTTCGTGGTTCGTGGTGACGCGGTGTTTGGTGTTTGGATCGGGACAGGGTTGGAAGGAAGCGCAGAGGGCAACGGTTTCAGGCGAACTGTCAGGGAGAAGAGACAAGGCCAAGGGCCAGCCAGAGAGAATGAACAAGATGATGACTGAGGACAGAAATCAAGGCTATCGTGGTGATGATCGACTGAACCGATTCGAAAGGAGCGCTTGGAGTACTTTGGCGATGGATGGGAGTCGGGACTTGCCTTCGACAGAGCGTACTTCCTCTCGTTATGCTACGCCTGCAACTTCGGTCGTTGCTACTGAGATCGGAGAGCTGGACATGTTTGCAACGATGGATGCTCATTATGCGGTAATACCAGGAACCAGGCGGCGAACAGAAAGCAGCGTTTCTGTGCTGCGGAATCACGACACCTCTCGCTTGGCCGGCAAGTCTGTAGCCGCACAACTTCCAGTGGCCCATCGGAGAAGCAGATCTGTGCCATTGATCATTGGGTCCGTCCAAGGCGGTACACTGGAGACCATGCAGCCGCGGGACATCGGCGTCTATTCGAAACCATCGCCGTCTGCTATTGAAGAAGCAGCAGCCACGATCCAAGATATCAAGGAAGATGTCAATTCAGCTCTACCATCGCCGCCTGATTCTGCGAAGAAGGTTTCAACCCTACAGGTTCAAGAGATGGAGGAGCAGGAGCGCTTCGGTACGCAAACCGAAGTTCAAGGGATCACAGGTCAATATCATGAAGAGGAGGCCCACACCTGCGACAGGGAGCGGGGTCCACCCAACGCCAATCAGGAAGTGAACGAGCACTCTGTCCCTACGCCGCCGAGCTCAGGCGATGCAGAGAGCTCAATGCAACGAGCGAAATCGCCAAGGAGTTCTTCGACAACAACAAAGCAAGAGCCTAGCTGGCGGACATCAACCACGACCAGCTCACCGCATGCGCCCATTGTGTTCAATGCGCTGAAGGGCAAGATCTCCCCCGTCACAGCTCAGGGAGTGGCGATGCCTTGATTGCATCAAAGTCTTGGTCGTCGGACTGTCGCTGTCGAGCTTTGCCACTGGCATGCCGTGCAGAACACGATAGGGTTTGGGCATTCAGATATGTATAAAATGATCTACTTTGCTCACAGATCTACACCTTCCAGATATCATACCCCACCTCCCTCCCCTTCTTATACCACTCCTGCACATAAGGCAGCGCAACATGAGGTCCATAAATCTCCTCCTCCCACTGCGGTCTCGGCGCCTCAAAGCCCGTCTCCTCTTTACACCTCGCCACCAACTCCTGCATACTGCCTCCGCGGTCGTACAGCGGTGCTTCCTTGCCTGCTTCAGCTTTCTCGATGTCTGCTCGCAAGGTCTCTGTGGCGGCGGTGTCGAGCTCGAGAGTGGACGGATCGAGGATGACGCCGTAGTTATTCTTTGCGCCGGCGACGGTGACGAGCTTGCGCTTGACCTCGAGGGCGACGCTCTCGGCGGGGCGGGTGAGGGGGTCGCCCAGGCCGCCGCCGCCCCAAGTTTGCCATTCGAGGAGGTCGCTGGTGAGGATATTAGCATCTACATCAAGTCGGGTGGGTTTGCAAGCACTTACCCAGGCTTGACCTTCACATGATCGCACTTGGACGGCAGCAGCGTAACCTCATACCCTCCGTCCTTCTGCAGCCGATGGATCGCCTTCTTGCTCCTGCTCCCGGGCTTACCACCCCGAACACCCCAAGGCATGGTAAACCAACGATCATCATGCAAGCTGAACTCCCCAGCCGACAAGAACCGATACAGCGTCTTCTGCGCATTCCCGCCACGATGGAAACCAGCACCACCACTGTCCGCTACGGCCTCATTAACCTCCAGCCTCACCGGGAAGTTCAGCTCAATCGACTCAGTCGGCACACTCTTAATCGCCGGGAACAAGCAATGGCAATCCGGCCCATCGCCCTTCGGCCTCGCTGGCACACCGCCAAAAGCGATCTGGTAGAGCTGATACCACTCGCCGTTCGGTTTGAAGCCAGAGTAGAAGAAGTGCGGGCTATCGCTGAAGCCAGCCGCGGTCATGAAAGCCGAGTTCTTCTGCCCGAACAGCGCTTGCATAACGTCCATACTGCGACCGAGGAAGTGGGTGCGGCAACTGAGCGCTGCGGGACGGACGGGCTTGATGATGGAGCCGAGGGGGATGTCGACTTCGAGGAGGTCGTGGAAGCCGTCGTTGGGGATGGTGAAGGGGGCGTGCACCGTGAGGAGGTAGTAGCCTACGAACATCTATGTACGACAAAGGTTAGCGGGCTGTCAGTCAGGTTTAAAGGGAGTACGTACCTTGAACATAGTCTCGCTCAAGTAGTAGTTGATACTACTACTCGCCTGCGGACTGCTGCCGCCCCAGTCAAAGCGCAACTTGTTCTTCGCAGGCTTCGTAAGCGTGCACTTGATCGCGAATGGACCTCTGCCGTGGCCGTCATCATCCACAAAATCGACAAAGGTGGACGGCTCATCGCTCATATGGTCTTCGATCAGCTGGCTGACGGCCGAGCGAGTCCGGCTTAGCAGAATGTCGGTCGATGCAGCATATACTTCGGGACCAAAGCGTTCGCAGAGTTCGCATACTCTTGTCGCTGCAGTGCGGCATGAAGAGATCAAGGCCAAGAGATCTGATCGAAGCCAATCGGGCTGCCTGCTGTTGCGGCACATCAGCTCGACGATGGGCTTGTTCATTACTCCACGGTCGAACAGCTTCATGGTCGGAACCTGGAGGCCGTCGTCAAAGATGGTTTGGGCGTTAATGCTCATGGACCCGGGCACTTGGCCCTGGACATCGGTCACTGCAAGATGTTAGCAGAAGACTGCAGTACGCTTTTGTCGAACACTCACAGTGACCAAAGTTAGCAGCCCAGCCCACCAATTTATGCTCGAACCAAATTGGAAGCAGTACAATCACATCGTTGAGATGAGAGACAGCGCCCTCGACTTCGTACACATCGTTCGTGACGAACACATCCCCTTCGTGAATGGGTTCAACATCGCCACGGTTGACTTTATAGGTCCAGATCTTCAAAAATTGCCCGATGAAAGAGCCAAACTGCCCAACAAGCATCTTGCCCGAAGAATCAGTGATAACGTTAAACTCATCTTGCTGCTCGCGGATAGCCGGCGACATGGAACATCTCAGCATCAGAGTGTCCATCTCCGAACGGATGCTTGCCAGTGAGGAGCCAATGAGAGTCGGCACAGTGGGGATGTCTTCCACAATCTTCTTCGCCTCAGCAGCCTTCTGCTCGTCCGTCTTGCCGGTCGAGGCGAGACCAGTCTTTGATCGGAAGGTTGGCATCTCGTTGCCTGGCATGGGGGAGATGCAGATGTTTCCAACGGTGTCGATCTCTCCCCTGAACCCTGGCTGGATCAGTGTGTTGGAGTCCATCTCGACGATTACGCAAGGGCCGTTGACGGTGGACCCAGCTTTACTGATGGCGGTGCGGTCCCAGAAGGTTGCTTCATGCTCTTTACCTTGTACCACAATCGTCTTCTTCTCGATGACTGCAGAGTCTGGTGGGGCTGCGGAGTCGGCCTTGGGAATTCGAGGAATCTCAATGTCCGGAGAAGCGTCAGTCACAGTGACAGTCAACCTAGTCAGCTCCAAGGCAAAGGACTCCAGAGTATAGCTGAACTGCTGCTGGTGGATAACGTCGAACTTGGCACGGGCGATCTGTTCAAACTCGTCCATGGGCTTCGCGATCTCCTCAGCAGTGAGGCTGATTGTGAGTTCCAACGCTTGTCCTTTGTATCGGAGAGCAGCTTGATACACAGTGGCGAGCTCCGGGTCTTTCTTCTCCAGGGCGTCCTTGACAGTCTGTACACATCGTTGTTCCAGGCTTTGATACTCCTTGCTGATGGCTTCCATGCTCGTAGAAGACAGCAAATGAATGAAGGAAGCGGACAGCTCGTGGCTCATCTTGGTTGTAGCATCGCCCTGTGCACAGAGAATGCCAGGTGCTGCAGGGACAATAACCGGCCATGCTCCGAGTAGCTTTCCAACTGCGTTGGCGCACATGGGTCCTGCGCCACCAAAGGCAACCAGAGCGAAGTCTGCCGGGTTGTGGCCACGCTCGACAGAAACCAGTCGCAGGGCTCCGTAGATTGTCTCGTTGGCCAGGTCGATGATAGCCTCCGCAGCTTCGTACATTGTCTTGCCCATCTGCTTTGCCAGATTCGAGACTGCTGTCCTTGCTGCTTCGACGTCGAGTTTGAACTCGCCGCCTAGCAGAGTCTGCGGTAGGTAGCCAAGCACGAGGTTGGCGTCTGTGACTGTGGCCTGGGTACCTCCCCTTCCGTAGCAAGCAGGTCCTGGATTCGCTCCAGATGACTCTGGGCCCACGCGAAGAGTATTCGTCAGTGGCTCGAAGAAGGCCAGACTACCACCACCGGCGCCGATCGTCCTGACGTCGACGGAGGGAGAGCGCACAGTGAGGTCGCCAACCACTGTCTCTCGGCGAAGGGATGGTTGGCCATCCGGAATCAGAGCGACATCCGTCGATGTACCTCCCATATCTAGGGTGACCAAGTTCTTGTGTTCTGTCGACTTTGCAATGATGCTCGTGATGCCCTTGACGCCGCCGGCTGGGCCAGACATGAGGATGTTCACAGGCAGTTCGCCAGCAAGATCGAGATTCGTCAGACCTCCGTCGCTCTTCAGGATGCTGACGTTCGCGGTATCCTCCCGTAGCTTCTCTCTTAGCCCGGCTAGATACCTCTTCACTTCGGGAGTAACAACAGAGTTGGTAGCTGTGGTCACCGTACGCTCGTACTCACCGAGCTCTGGCAGAACCGCGTGTGACAGAGATACCGCAACATCATCTCCAAGCACCTCCTTCACCACGGCAGCTACCTCTTGCTCATGCTTGCCGGACACCCACGAGTTCAGCAAGCTGACAGTCACAGCTTGGACCTTGCCTTTCACTCTCTGCAGCTCCTGGCGCAGAGCATCTTTGTCAACCGGCTTGACCACCTCTCCATCTACACCAATGCGCTCCGGCACCTGCAGTGTTCGCTCGAGCGGGATGATCGGTGGTGGCGGGCTCCACTGAATCCAGCTCGCAAGGCCGCCAGGTATTTGCGATCGCCGCGCAACAAGCACATCCTTGTGGCCTTCTGTCACGATGAGTGCGGCCGGCACGCCTTTGCCTTCAAGCAGGGCATTGGTTGCGACAGTCGAGCCATGGTGGAGCGCGCCGAACTTGCCATCGAAGTCTGGCTCTGCCGCTTTGATGATGGAGCGGAGCTTCTCAATGCTATTCTTCACGCCAATACTCTGATCCTGCGGCGTCGAGGGGACCTTTGCTCTGAAGATGCGACCTTTGGGGGAGAAAGCACACGCGTCTGTGAAGGTCCCGCCTACATCGCAGCCGAGGTGGTAGGCGTCGGAGGTGATGGAGGTTGCGGCAGCCATTGCTTCTTGCCGGAGGATGTTTGAGGAAGAGAAGAACAAGCGAGCAGTGTACCTACATCATATAGCGAGAAGGGAACCCTTCGCCAAACTCTTGGTAGACCGGCATCACGCCCAACAAAGGCGCGTCAGTTGCTAGGCCGGTGTTTCGCCTGATTGGCAACTCTCCACTTCCACGGTAAGCCGATAGTCGAGCTGCTGCAAGGTACAGCTTCACGAGTCGTGGGCCTTATCATCATCGGACGTAGCTCGGTCGGCCACGTGAGGTGGGCGAAGGGGAGAAGTGTTGGAAGAGGGGCCGCGCGAAGAAGCGCGGCTGCGCGGTTCTCGGCGATTCTCCACGGTGCTTTCCTAATCGGGTGAGTGAATGTTTGGCGGCGACATCGCCCAGCAGGAGCGACCCAGCGCGCCTATCGCTTATCATCTTCCTATCAACCATCCCGACGGCATCTTCCTGCTTGCCCGATAATACCACTCCACGCCGTTGTGGAGTCATAGAAGCGTGATGGCAGCACATGTTGGCCGTTAAGCCGTCCCAGCGTTGCCATCGAGTCTCTGCCCTGCTGAGGTGAGTGAGTCTTGATCGACTCTACGGAACGTGTATTTCATTGCCAACGAGTCTGTCAAAGTCATTTTCCGACCATGTCTATCGTTTCATTATCAACGGGAGAGCCAACAGTCACCGCGGAAGATTTGAAGAGTATCAGTCAAGATGCCGGCTTCTCCATCCCGTCGGGAAACGTCAATGAAACCGAATTCCTGCTCTTCGCAAACAGCTTCGATGCCGTCTGCGAAACCGTCCTCAACCTCCCGGAATACCATGATCCGAGGTTGAAGCCGGCCACAGTCCAGGAAGGCGAGCGAAAGTATGAGCGACCCAGCAAGAAGGACAACCCGCTCAACGCCTGGTCGCATCGGACATCGCTGACATCAACCGATGCCAACGTATCAAATGGTCCACTGGCTGGCAGAACGGTCGCGTTCAAGGACAACGTGAGCGTAGCGGGACTCCCGTTAACTCTAGGCGGACACCCATCTCTCCTGAAAGGAGGGAAATATCCCATCAGTCCTATAGATGCGACAGTCGTTGGGCGTGTTCTCGGTGCTGGGGGATGCGTAAAGGGGACAGCGACATGCGAGAACCTGTCCATGTTTGCTTTGAGCTATACTTCGGATACGGGCGTGGTGCATAATGCGTGGATGCCTGGTTACGCCACTGGCGGGAGCTCGAGCGGTTGCGGTGCGCTGTTGAGTATTGGCGATGTGGAGGAGGCGAGGAAAAGTGATCAAGATTCAAGGCAGTATGCGCTTGGCGAAGGTGTAGATCTGGCTATCGGGGGAGATCAAGGGGGCTCCATCCGCTTGCCAGCGGCCTACTCTGGCATATACGGCTTGAAGGCGACGCATGGACTGATACCTTATACTGGTATTGCCAGCTTGAATCCTCTGATCGACCATGTAGGGCCCATGGCACGGACGGTAGACGACACCGCTTTATTACTTTCGGTACTGGCTGGTTACGATGGCATAGATTGCCGACCGACGCCAGAATGCCCGATGCCATCTCAAGTCCCCCAATACCACAACGACCTCCAAACCTGGATCGGTCAAAAGAAAGACGCAGGCGAATGGAACTCAACATCAGCAGCCAAAGGCCTCCGCATCGGCATCCTCACAGAATCATTCTCCGTCGCCGGACTAGACCCCAGCATATCATCCACAGTCAGAACAGCAGCCGAACGCTTCGAAGCCCTCGGGGCCGACGTCAAAGAAATCTCCATCCCACTCCACAAGCATGGCGCCTCCATCTGGACCGTGGCCGCGCGCCCTGCAATGCCGTCAGGCGTCGCCAACAACCCCCCTGACACCCTCTCCTTCCCTATGCCGCATCTGGATCCTGAGCCAGTAGGACAGCACTATTTCACCACTCTCTCCAACCGCAATCCAGCGGCTGTCAACGTGCTGATGAACGCTGCGCATCAGCAGCAGAGATATGGGCCTGCGCTGCACAGGAAAGCTTACATGCACGTCTACGAGCTACGCGCGGCCTACGACAAAGCGCTAGAGGACGTAGATGTCCTCCTCACACCTCTCAATCCGACAGTCGGACCAAAACACCCATCCGGATCGATCAAGACAGAGCAGAATCCTAAAGGTCTCAGCGAGCGGATGATGGATCTCTTCGAACCCGCCATCGGGAACACGCTCAACACGTCGCCGTTCAACGTTACCGGACATCCTGCTATGAGTATGCCGGTGGGCTGGGGACAGGTGAAGGATGGGGAGGGGAGGCTCCCTGTGGGTATGCAGGTTGTTGCTAAGCGCTGGGATGAGGCGAGTATCTTTATGGCAGCGAAGGCGTGGGAGATGGGTGTCTCGTGGACGGGGTCTTAGAGGATTAGATTGACTTCCATCCAAGGGTCGCGAGACACGTTCAACTACACCTCGTTAAGAGTTTTGCCACACACTGGATTTCACCTTGGTCGACCCCTTCTCTCCGAGCCTGTGCTCGCCATTCCCGCCCCATCTCACACAAACAGCACACCCCTCCACTACTCCCCCTCCCCCTCAGACTCATAACTATCAAGACTCTTAAACTCCTCCTTCTCCAGCATCCGACAATTCACCGCCACCCGTGGCTCCGTATCGCCCACCACCGAATAATGCGTCATACAGCCGCACTTCTTGCAACGATTAAAGCTCAGCTTCTTCTCGTTCCATATATACCCCTCCATGGCATCGCCGTCAACTTCAACCTTGACTTCGTCGGGCTTGTAGTACGCCCAGCGGGCGCCGTAGCGCCGGCAGATGGAGCAGAGGCATTCGAGGGCGGGTTCGCGGAGGGGTGGGAAGGTGAGGCGGATGGCTTTGCAGTGGCAGGTTATGCTTGAGGGGGCTTGGTGTGGGGTCGCCATTGGAGGAGATATGGCTTGGCTTGGTCGTTGATGAGCTGGGCGTCGATCGGTTTCGTTGCGCGGTCTGACTGGAAAGATGACTCGACTTCAAAAGACTCCGAGGGAACTTGTGCTTGCGGAGATGTTCTGTTGGACGAAGCGATGCAACAGTCTTTCGAGACACGAACGTGAAGCAGTATTTGTACTTATGTCCGCTGCGAATGCGGGACGCCACTTAGGCAACATAACCGATCTTATCAGGACAACAAGTCAAGCACGCGTCGAGCTGGATACGCGTAGAGCACCTTCCTAAACGGAGACACACCTTTGGGAGCAGACGAGACGGGAGTTTTAACTTCTTCGATTTAAATACTTCTCTTCATGGTTCGAGATGAAGTGATACTGCCAACCACCACGCAACCGACCAGATATCATGAGCCCTTTGCAGGAGCCGTCTCACTCCATAACGTGGTATAATCCACCATCGTAAGGTAAACCACAAGAAACCTTCCAACCCAACTCCAAACATCCTCCCACACTCATGAGTAAAACCAATACTCCGCCGCATACTTATAACTCAACACAGCATCCCCACTGCTGCAACCCTGCGGATCAGGAGCGCCACCAGCAGTGTGGATGCGATAGACCTCCGACAGCCCCTGCGAGCGATTTGACCCATCTTCAGGGAGGAACAGCCAGTCCACCGCCCCAAAGCCGTTCTTGCCACCATCATACGCAGATTCCGGAGCGGTAACGTCTCCAATCTTTTGTGCTGACAGGAATGCTTGATCGTAGATGTCGAAGAACGGGACTCCAGCGCCATTGGGTTTGCCGAAGTAATGCTTGCCCAGTACATCGAAATCCATGAAGTTGACGGCCTCCTGGCAGCTATCGTCACTCAGGTCCTGGGATGCTTGACACGCTTCGCGGTTGTACGCTTTGAGGTACTGCCGGCTCAGCTTCGATGTCTTGGGGTTCCCGCAGTCGCGCAGGTAGTCGGTAACGTCAAACAGAGTGGCGATGGCGCCGATGCTTTTGGGTGTTGATGTCGTGCTGGCGCAGCTGTAGTTTTGGAGGCCCACGCCGAGGCCGATGTATTGGAGGGTTGCATTGTTATTTGCTGGGAGGGCTTGCGTGGGTTGTCTTGATTGTAGTTGGTTGACGGTCATTTGCTGGAGGCCTTTGAATCTGCGGTTGCATTGTTGGTCTGGGGGGATGCAGTAGGCGGAAGTGAGGAGTGCGCTGAGGGCGAGGAGGGAAGCTATCCGGAGGACCATTGTGTTGGATGTGATGGAGAGGGTTTGTGTTGTGGCAAGAGGTAAGGAGGACGAGGGTGGGAAAGGTGAGATAGATGAGACGTCTATAACTGAGAAGAGGCACGAGACCTTATATTAAAGCAGCACTTACCTGCCTCCATCTGGCGTAGACCCAAAACAGTCTTCTAGGTTCTGCGAACTAAGAACCCGGCATTAACCTCAGGCGTATTCTCTGCAACCGTGCCGCCCGCCGCGGTGAGAGAGCCGCGAGGCGCATGCTTGTTCTACGCCGTATGCAAAAATGGACGTCGAAGACAGAACAACCTTGACAAGGTTCGGCTTCAGGACCATGCTCGCCGCGCCAACCCTGCTCGTGAGGATGGGATACTGCCTATAGCGGCTAAAGATGAGCGTGTGTAGGGGCGAGAGACGACTAAACGCCCAGAAGAAGGTATTTTGGGACCACGAGGTGGATGTCGACTGAACTGCTTCTGGACGTTGTGGAACACGAGCACTTCCAGAAGGGATCTGCCCTGCCGCCGTGGAGGTGGGCGTGGAGATTGGGGCAGACCTGCGCATGCGCCGCAGAGAGGCTGGTCGAGGATGGTAAGCGCTGGGTGGTTGGTGGTTGGCTTGACGGTGCTGGCTGCTGTCCAGAGAGGGCGGTACCAGCCACCGTCGCCGCCTTCTTCTGCCTCCACCAACACACAGCGAGGAGTGTCGTGCGGCGTGCCATCGAAGAGGGCAATCAACATGGCGAACTTGTCCAGATTTCAGGACAAGGCGATGGATCCGGGAAACGCTTCCGTAGAAGCCGTGTCTAGCCCAACTCGAAATGCTGTTAATTATATCCCAGGTGGAGAGTATCTCGAGCTAATTATGCTAGAGATGGAGTCAAAAAGACAGCTAAATTTGGACATCCCCTTGCCTACCTCCAGGATCTGGGTTCTCAGACCTCGAGATACTGGAGCTGGTCTCCACACGAACGACAATCGTAGAATACAGGAATGGAGTTCTCGGACTACATTATCCAGAATCTGGAGTGGCAATCGGGACGTACAGCGAAGGATCATGTGCCCCGAGACTGCGCGGTTCTTTACTGGGTTGTAAGATCTCAGATACGGGTCTCCGAGATGCCAGAGACGATGCCTCTCGCACATGCACGTATGGCTTGCAATCAGACGTACGAGGGGCTCAGTGATCGGTGAGATCGTGTTACTGGAGAGCTCTCAGAAGGGGCCCAACAGCCATCCGCACTCTTTCAGCTGAGACGGCAGAGGACATGGTGTTTCAAGACTGTTTACCGGCAGAAAAGGCAGGCGAGCTTCATCACGCTCCTGCCGAGAACCGCCCAGCAGACCATCGCTGGCTCAAGAGTCCATGCAGTCGGCCCACCACCTTGTCCGCTTCCTGCTCCCTGGCCCAGTACTCTCGTCCGGCCCTGGAGCATCCTGCGCATCATCCTCCTTCAATACCACCAGCCTCCAGAAGCCGTAGCCGGAGAAGACGATCCGAAGGAAGATATAGGTGCCACGGAAGACGATGTAGAAGCCGTCGATGTTGTCAGCTTTCTCACCACTGAGCCATCTAAGCACGAGTGCTGTTCCAGCTACCACTTCTTCCCTGCTGTGCCCGATGGATTCCCAGAAAGTGTCGAAGATGAGGGTGAGGAGGACAGTGGCATACTGTTGTCGATGCTGAACACGCTCAGTACGACTGATTCTGCTGCAAATAATGCTTACGTACCATTTCGGTGAACTTCAAGCAGGGTTAAAGGAATCGTCGTGTGCAATTGATCGGCGCAGAATTCTAGGAACAAAGAGATCCAATTCATCGAGTTGAAGTTCGTAAGGTCTCCTCGCGGCACAGTCAGAGCGGCAGGTGCACGGCGCTTAACTGGATGTTGAACCAACTTAAAAGCGCAATCTGTGGGCCAGACTGCTGTGCCTTCACGCAGGCCTGTCGTATCCAAAGACGTGCCTATTTGAGCCCTTCGGTGTTGGTGTTGTTTGATGGCGCAAGTTCAACCAGCAAAGAACTTCCAGGCATATCCGCATAACGCCTCCAACACGTCTGCCACAGCCTGAGCAGTGTGATGGCCCGAGAAGAGAAAGCCACAGTCCAACAATGCCGCCACAACGTGCTGGATCTGACTTATCGAGGGTATCTTACCGGACGATCACACCTGGCAGAGATGGCCAACCATTGCCAAACCAGGTCTGATCAGGGTGTCCGTGGTATCTATGCCAAAACCCTGTGCCGCGCACTTATGTACTTGCTGAGAGTGCGACACCCTGTGCCCGCGAGTCCTCCTATAAAGGATACGGGAGTCTGAGCGTTCCTCTCACGCAATATCCAACTCACTAGTCGATCTGCGGCCATGGTTACAACACATACGCAGCCTTTGGCTTCAACTTGCCAAGAACATGACACGCTGAGGTAACCTCAGAGCACTGGCCTTTATATGCCGCAACGAGTGTCTTCGGGCTTGAGTCTTCCTGGTATGCTTCACCAGTCTTGCAGCGTGAGAACAAAACCGCTGGCGCAAGGCTGGGACTCTTGGAGCCTTCGCAATGGACGCCACAATGGTAGGATGCCGCAGATGTCTGTGTCTGCCACACCAAGATCATGCTGTCAACTTTGCTTCGCGGACAGCCGCTCAGGTAGGCCGTTCCGACTCTGCCAGCAAAAGTTGTAGCATCACGTGCGTGACAATGCTACAATGAGACAAAGCTGCCTTGTTCCCACACAAGTCATTCAGGTGAACAAAGGCATCCATGACGACATCCCAGAATCCACTGACACCAAGTACGAAATCTTCTTTATACCACATAATGCTCACAATGAACAAAGATTCAAATTAGAGCCAAGTCTGCTGCCATATACCCTCAGCCTTCCTTCCTCCTTCCCAATTTCATCATTCTTACGCTTCTTACGGTTTCTTCCCTTCCGGCATCCATTTCCTTCATCAACATCTGCAGGACAGATCTCAGTTTCCTTTTCTCATCATTTGACGAAATCACGACTCACGATCTTCCCCCACAATGCCTCGCAGTCGTTCGAACAGTCCCGACTCTGGGTACGGAAGTGATAATAGTAACGGACGTGGTCGACAGAACAACGGTCGTCAAAGTCAGTCTGGAAACAGAGGCAACCGCCGTGTCCATTTTGAGCCGAACTCTGCTGACAATATGCATGTAGATGCTAACAACGGCGTACCGGTCAACAACCAGCCCGATCACCGGCGTGGCTGCTTTCACTGCGGCCAGGCAGGCCATACTTCAAGAGGCTGCCAACTTCGAAACCAGCATCTTCAATACAACCAAAATCAGAATAACAACCAGCAGAATCAGAACAACAACCAGAACAACAACAACCAGAACAACAATCAGAACAACGGTCCCAACAACGGTCCCCAGCAGCAGAACCGTCCAACCTGCACATACTGTGGCCTCAATGGCCACGCCCAGCCCCAATGCCGTCGTGATCCTTCCAATCAGCATAATCGGAACAACAAAAATGGCCATAACCATAACAACAACCAGGCAGTTGTCGTCCCCCAAGCCCCCGCAAACCATGCCACAGCCCAAAGATCGAACCTCAGCGGCGGCCTCCCCATGGCCGGCTGGACCTTCGCCACCGCCATCCCCACCGTCCGCCCCAACGCCCACTACTGCGCCTCCTGCAACACCACCGCCCACTACGAGCGCAACTGCCCGTTCCCGGGAAACTGCTTCCGCGTGCAACGCTCCGTCATGACGTGCTGGAAGTGTGGCTACCGCGGACACACGGGGGATGAATGCCAGAACCCCGAGCCCGTGGAGTATAGCAAGCGCTGTGGGGTGTGTCGGGCGCAGGGGCATCGGACGGAGCAGTGTGGGAATGTCGTGCAGCAGCGAATGTGTGATGCTATGGTCACAGGCCAGGGGGTTGGGCAGAATAGGTTTCGGTGGGGGGATGTGGCGATGAGTGGGACGGCGCAGCAAGGGCAACAGGTGCCGCAGCAGCAGATGCCTGCGTTCCCTGTCCACCAAGCCTCTACGCCACTGCAGACCCCTCCAGCTGCTAACGCCGCAGCGAACGCCTCACCAGCCCACCTCACCGCCCTCCGCCAAAAAGCCCAACGCTCCGCTATGCTCTACCACCTCCGCAACTACAACCTTTTCATCGCCAACCACAGCTCGGAGATCCAGTCCACGCTCCTCAACCAACGTACCTGGATGCTGCTAAGCGCCAAAATCGCGCAAGGGTACCAGTTCTGGCGGGATCCCCGAGCGATGCACGCGATTGCTACGGGAAAGAAACCTTGCTGCTACACGTGCCGGCAGGAGGGTGTGATTCTTGATGGGCAGATGTGTGGGGTGGGCGGGAAAGATGCGTTGGACGTGGAGGACTTCGCGGAGTGGGGGGTCTTTGTGATGTTTGGGTGTAAGTGTTGCAATGGGGGGTTTGATTATCGGTGAGTTTGGTGCAAGGTAAGTGGTGAGGCGAGGTGAGTGAAGAGGTAAGTGAGTGAGGTGTCTTCTGGTTTAATGTTTGGGCGGTGACAGAGGTAAGTGGAGGAGGTATGTGGAGGAGGTAAGTCGTGCTTTTCGTCTTCTGATAGCGTTTCGTATACCCCCTATATCAGCTGCCTCTGGAAGGCAGATTTATCAGCCCTTGATCTTTCGACTGCTGGGCGGAGTCTCGATTACCATAATACCTGTGGTGTTGTTCGGATCTGAGATTCAGTTCTTGAACTCGCATGCGCAGTAGCGTACACAACATCAATTCAAATGATTGCACAAGAGGGGAGGTCTTCCTGTCAGGCTTAGGGCCTCTGGTTTATACTACACGCTGAGAAGTCAACCGAGTCACTCTGAAACGCTCACAATTCCAAACGCCGCGCTCAAAAATCGTAACCGTATCTGTACACTCTTCCATTGTCTCACCACTTCGGGCTTTCCGGGAAAGGAGGGTCATATCTCGATCTCCCGATCCTTCCTCATCCCCTCAAACACGGCTTCCAATCCGCCTTCTCGTAACCGCGTCAGCACAACTCCCATGCCCTTCTGTGCTTTCGGCTGGCTGCGCTCTGTACGCTGCAGGCTGATGGCTTCGATAGCGGAACGCACTGCGCCAGAGCTCCACGTAGAAAACCACCCTCCTCTTGCTGGCGCCTCGTCTGCCTCATTTCCGCTGGCAGCCTCCCCGTCCATCTCGCTTGTTCTCCCCTCCCCCCCTATTACGGAAGTCGCAGTCGCCTGCTCGCCCCACCGTGCCCTTCGCTTCCTAAGCTGCTCTCCGATGCGCGACTTCAGCGTCACTGTGATGGCGACGTTGGTTTGCTCGGATTCCCTTCCTTCGCCGCCGTCGAGTGATAATGAGGTTGCCCCCGGCCGCGAATAAGTCTGCCGCTCAATCACACTCAACACATTCCTCCAGTCCAAATTCCGACTCTCCGTCTCCATCCACCCTTCCCTCACATCGACCACGCTCCTCTCCAAAATAAAGCTCTGCGTGCTGCCATCCTCGCCTGCACCTTGCGTACTGCTCTTTGGCAATAATCTTACCACGGCTGGAGGTAATCGAGATCGTTTGAGATGCAGACGGACAGTGGTAAGGCGCTGAGTCTCGGGATCGTAGTGGCGGGAGATGGTATCGGTGGAGGCGACGTGGCGGGAGTAGGGGTTGGGGTAGCGGAGGAAGTAGGCGAGGGAGACCGTGGGGAAGGGGTGGTCGTAGGTGTAGGCTGTGGAGTAGAACTTGACCATGGTTGATTGATTACCAGAGTGTTGGTTGGTGGATGTCAAGCGTTGGTTGGTCTGGATGCTACCGGAGTAGTTGTTGGGTGGGGAGATGGTGAGGCATCACAGGCTGGTTGGATCTGAAGTCGACGACGGTATGCAGTGATACTGATGTTGAAGCAGAAGGAGTTGTTGTAGGTCTGACGAATGTTCTCGCAAGGAGGAACAGAGCGCACGTGCTGATGGCGTTTCTTCCCCGCATTCTGCGTGGATGCGGCCTAGCGTGCTCGAATCGGACAGCGTCTCGCTCCGGCTTCCGCGAAGCTTGAAAGAAAGAGCCATTGACTCTAGTCATTGTTCGAGAACTCCCAGCTTGACACATATACCACCTTTTGGACGACCTGCTGGGAACGGAACGATTAGAAGAAGGAGCTACTAGGCATACAAATTATGGCATCCGCCGAGGAGGCACTCGGTGTAGCGCCGGAAGTCAATACAACAGCTGAAGCAACGAAAACAGTCACACAACAGATCGATCCATACAATGTCGCAGGCGAGGTGGACGAGACAGGCGCAGTCAAGGCGATCGACTATGAGCGGCTAATAGAGAACTTCGGTGTACAGCCTCTCACACAACAACACCTCGACCGCTTCGAGAAGGTGACCGGGAAACCAGCACACCGTTTAATGCGCCGGAAACTGTTCTTCGCACACCGAGACTTCGACAAGATCCTCGACTTCTACGAGAAGTATGGCAGCTTCATGTTATATACCGGGAGAGGGCCAAGTAGTGGGAGTATGCATCTCGGCCACACCGTTCCCTTCCTCTTCACCAAGGAGCTGCAAGAACTGTTCGATGTGCCGTTGGTGATTATGTTGACTGACGACGAGAAATACCTCTTCACCCGGAACAAGAATGACGGTGTGCAGAAGCCAGGCTCTGCTCTTGAAGACTTCCTGCAGTACTCCCACGACAACATCAAGGACATCATCGCGCTGGGCTTCGATCCGGCCAAGACCTTCATCTACACCGACTACGAATACCTCGGGGGCCACTTCTACTGGAATACTTCAGAGTTTGAGTCCCTCGTCACCTTCAACCAGGCGTCAGGAGCTTTCGGCTGGAATGGTAGCACCAACATTGGTCTCGTCTCGTACGGCGCCAAACAGTGTGTCGCTGCTTTTCCATCCTCCTACCCCGAGCTTTACGGATACTCAGACTACCGGCCGCCACAATTTGAACCCACTGCGAAACGCCGCTACAAGCCGCTCGCATCCATCCCAACTCTGATACCCTGCGCTATCGACCAAGAACCCTACTTCCGCGTCCTTCGAGAACGATGCGAGCGCATGACCGACCCACATCCAAAGACCAGCCTCATCCTCTCGCAATTTCTCACCGCACTCCAAGGCCCAGGCGGCAAGATGAGCGCTTCCAATCCCAACTCCGCGATCTTCATGTCCGACACTCCCAACCAGATCAAGAACAAAATCAACAAGCACGCCTTTTCCGGCGGTCGAGAATCGCTGGAGGAGCACAGGAAACTTGGTGGGAATCCCGATGTGGACGTCGCATACACGTATCTCTCGTACTTCCTTGAATCAGACGATGAGTTGGCAGATCTGGCGAAGCGATACCGGAGCGGCGAGCTGTTGACTGGAGAGATGAAGTCGAGATGTATCAGCGAGTTGCAAGGGTTCATAGGCGAATTTCAGAAGCGGAGAGAAGAGGTGACGGATGAGGTGATGAGGAAATTCACCACTCCGCGGAAGCTCGTGTTTGGCGGGAACCCGAATCATGGTGGAAAGGCTTCGGATCAGGTGCCTGGGGTGTTTGGTAATGCCGGGCAGAAGGCGAATGACAGTGCTGCAGAGGGAGACAAGGCGGCCCCTGGCGGCAAGGATGGCAGGGGCACAAAGGGGGAGAGAAAGGCTGCGAAGCTGGCGGAGAAGAAGGCGGAGAAGCTGGCTCTGAGGCCGAAGAAGGAGGATGGGGAGGGAGGATCATGAAGTGCTGTGTGTTGTTTGAAGCGTTCTAGCGTTTGTTTCCTGGTTGCATCATAGTAAGGGGCACAGCCGCTGCGACGATGCTATGACGACTGATCAAAACGCCTTTTGCGAACTTTCCTTACTACCAGATGCCCAAGGCAGATGCTATGTCTGTGCGCATTGTCAATCCATCATCTTCGTAGCATGTGAAGATCGATGTCACGTGCACTTCCAGCAGTTTTCTTGGAGCTGAGCTCTGATTGGCCGAAGTCGCTGCAGGCACGTAAACTGGCCCGCGTCGTGCTTGCATTTCAGAACAGCAAACTCTCGTCACCCCCCACACACCTCTTCCTCCTTCCTCTACACCACCCCTTCACGCGCCGACGTGGTCGTTCATCACCAACACACTTCGAACCATCACCACGACCACTGCACGCGTCGGGGCAGCAAGGATACTGCTTCAAGAATTGTTTCACCCAGGTCATATCAGCCTGACGCCGAGCTTGAGGCCATACCGCGAAGGCGCCAGCAGCGCGCCCTTCTGATCTTCCATACACCACTTCACACACTTCATTCACACACCCAACATGGACAGAGCACAGATCCTAGGCGCCGGCGATGGCGCGCCGCCAGACGTCCCCATGGTCGACACCCCCGACTACACCGACTCGGAATCACAAGCCACCGGCACCCGCGCAAGCAGCGTGGCTCCCAACGGCGAAGCATCAGCGGTAGATGGCCGCAAGAAGCGATGGGAGGGCAACCAGCTTCGGAAGAGCATGTTTGGCAAGAAGCACGACCGCCTGGGCGACAGCAAGGAGGACGATTCGATCAAGCGTTTCCGCTACCTACTCGGCTTGACGGACCTCTTCCGCCACTTCATTGACAGCAATCCGGATCCGAAGATTCGTGGCATTATGGACGAGATCGATCGGCAGGATCAGGCAGAAGAGGAGGGCAGGTCGGCCGGTAACAAGCGCAAGGGAGGTGCAGCAGGGCAGAGGAGGAGACGCACTGAGAAGGAAGAGGATGCGGAGCTGCTGCGGCAGGGCAAGCAGGATGGCAAGGCTGAGCACACCATCTTCCGCGAGAGCCCGACGTTCATTGAAGGCGGAGAGATGAGGGATTATCAGGTCGCTGGTTTGAACTGGCTCATCAGTCTGCACGAGAATGGTATTAGTGGTATCCTCGCAGATGAGATGGGCCTGGGGAAGACGCTGCAGACCATCGCGTTCCTGGGGTACTTGCGGTTTGTAGCGGGGATCAGCGGACCTCATCTCGTGGTTGTGCCCAAGTCGACGCTCGACAACTGGAAGCGCGAGTTCGGCCGCTGGATCCCGGAGATCAACGTGCTTGTTCTGCAAGGTGCGAAGGAGGAGCGCCACGAGCTCATCAACGACCGCCTGATCGATGAGAAGTTTGACGTTTGCATCACCTCCTACGAGATGATCCTGCGTGAAAAGTCACATCTGAAGAAGTTTGCCTGGGAATACATCATCATCGACGAGGCTCACCGCATCAAGAACGAGGAGTCTTCACTGGCACAGATCATCCGCATCTTCAACTCCCGCAACCGGCTTCTGATTACTGGCACACCTCTTCAGAACAACCTCCACGAGCTTTGGGCTCTGCTGAACTTCCTCCTACCAGATGTCTTCGGCGATTCGGAAGCCTTCGATTCGTGGTTCAAGAATCAGGATGCGGACCAAGACACAGTTGTGCAGCAGCTTCACCGTGTGCTCCGTCCTTTCCTGCTCCGCCGTGTCAAGGCCGACGTCGAGAAGAGCTTGCTACCAAAGAAGGAAGTCAACTTGTACGTTGGCATGAGCGACATGCAGATCAAGTGGTACAAGAACATTCTCGAGAAGGATATTGATGCTGTGAACGGCGCGGCTGGCAACAAGGAGAGCAAGACGCGACTGCTGAACATTGTCATGCAGCTGCGCAAGTGCTGCAACCACCCATACCTCTTCGACGGCGCAGAGCCTGGCCCACCTTACACCACCGACGAGCATCTGGTCGACAATGCGGCGAAGATGGTCATGCTCGACAAGCTGCTCAAGAAGATGATGGCGCAGGGGTCGAGGGTGCTTATCTTCTCGCAGATGAGCCGTGTTCTGGATATTCTGGAGGACTACAGCGTCATGCGAGGCTTCCAGTACTGCAGGATCGATGGTTCAACAGCGCATGAGGATCGTATCGCGGCGATCGATGAGTACAACAAGGAGGGCTCGGAGAAGTTCTTGTTCCTACTCACGACTCGTGCCGGTGGTCTGGGCATCAATCTGACTTCTGCTGATATTGTGGTTCTGTTCGACTCCGATTGGAACCCTCAGGCGGATCTGCAAGCCATGGACCGTGCTCATCGTATTGGCCAGACGAAGCAGGTGCATGTCTTCCGCTTTGTGACTGAGGAGGCCATCGAGGAGAAGGTTCTTGAGCGCGCTGCACAGAAGCTTCGTCTTGACCAGCTGGTCATCCAACAAGGTCGTGCTCAGCAACAGGCCAAGCAGGCTGCTTCGAAGGACGAGCTCCTTGGTATGATTCAGCACGGTGCTGAGAAGGTGTTCGAGCAGAACGAAGGCGGTGGCGTCTTCGGCAAGAAGGGTGGGGATATCACTGAGGACGACTTCGACCAGATCATGCGTCACGGCGAGGACAGGACCAAGGAGATGAACGCGAAGTACGAGAAGCTGGGTCTGGACGACCTACAAAAGTTCAGCTCTGACGCTACTGGCACCTACGAGTGGAATGGCGAGAACTTTGTCAATGCGAAGAAGAAGGAGATTGGCATGAGCTGGATCAATCCTTCGAAGCGTGAGCGCAAGGAGCAGAGCTACTCCATGGACAAGTACTACCGCACTGCTCTCTCGACCGGCGGCCCACGCCCCGACCCCAAGCCCAAGGTCCCTCGCGCCCCCAAGCAGCAGGCCATGCACGAATACCAGTTCTTCAACCCCCGCCTCGGCGACCTGCAGGAGAAAGAAACCGCCTGGTTCCGCAAGGAGAACGGCATCAAAGCCCCGCTTGCCGAGGGCGACGAAGAGAGCCTCGAGTCCCGCCTCGAAGACCAAGCGCTCGAGCAAAAGATGATCGACGAAGCCGAACCGCTGACCGAAACCGAGATCGCCGAAAAGGACACCCTCGCAGAAGAAGGCTTCGGCGACTGGAACAAGCGCGATTTCCAGCAGTTCATCAACGGCAGCGCCAAGTACGGCCGCCACAACCACGACTCCATCGCGCTCGAGGTCGATAGCAAGGACGTCGGCGAGGTGAAGACGTATGCCAAGGTGTTCTGGAAGCGGTACAAGGAGATTCCGAACTGGGAGAAGCACGTCTCGGCCATCAAGGAGGGCGAATCGCGCACCGCGCGGGTGAAGGAGCAGCGGGAGCTGTTGAAGAAGAAGTTGAAGATGTACCGTGTGCCGCTGCAGCAGCTGAAGCTGAGCTATACGGTGAGCACGACGAACAAGAAGGTCTACACCGAGGAGGAGGATCGATTCTTGCTGGTGATGCTGGATAAGTACGGCTTGGATTCTGAGGGGTTGTATGAGCGGATCCGAGACGACATTCGAGAGTCGCCGCTTTTCAGGTTCGACTGGTTCTTCTTAAGCCGGACGCCGCAGGAGTTGAGCAGGAGGTGTGCGACGCTGATTACGACGGTGACGAGGGAGATGGAGGGAGGTGCGGCGGGGAAGGAGAATAAGAGGGTGGTAGAGGAGGAAGATGAGGAAGAAGAGGAGAAGCCGGCGGTGAAGAAGGGGCGAGTCAGCGGTGGTGGTGCGAAGGTGAGTTGATTAGAACTCTGAGAGATGAGGGATAGTTGCTAACGCTGTGTTGCAGAACAAGGCCGTCAATGGTGTCAAGGGCACGCCTAATGGCAACTCGCGCGCTGCGAGCGTGGATACTGTCGACTCGGCGCCTGGTAGCAAGTCGAAGGCTAAAGGGCGGAAGAGGTAGATTTGATGTTGTGCCTTTTAGCTCAGTCAAGACGGTGGGCGAGGCGTCTTTGGTGCTCTGGCGACGGTGCGCGGAAGTTACTGCATGGCTATGCAAGCTCACTGGCTTCTACTGGGTGTCTGGGAGTTTGCTGGGTTCTTGTTCTGCATGAGCTATGGCGTCTGATGTTTACTGCGTGTTGTGTTTGAAGTCTGGTCTTTATACTCGCTCAGGAGGGAGCGTGGTGTAGCATAGCATAGAAGACAGCGAGTACCAATTGTGAGAAGTTTGCAATGATAACGTTCTGCACCCTCCGTCTCACGCGGACACTGTCAATACCACCTTACGCTAGCTGGCTTGTACGCCATTCGCCTCGTCTCCGGGACACGATCGACTGCCATCCGGCACCGTGAGACCTCCACCGCCTCGTCGTCGCCATGGAGAAGCTGTCCGGACATTGGCTATCGAACGACCACTCTGAGGCAGCATGAAGCACTATGAAGCGTCTCGAATCCTCTTCATGACTGTCTACCAGCCGCGAGAAGGTACCCAGACCAGAACACTTCTCCGTAACACGATAGAGTGTCACGGGGCGATACAAGACGTTCTCAACTCAGTTCAATCTTGGAGAAGGCATCTCATTTCGAACAAATGGCGCAGCATTCCAATTACTACACAATCCATCATGCAACATATGTCCAAGATCCAGTCCAATCATCAGCCCAAGAGTCCCCATATACTCGTTCAGATCATCACCTCGCCTCCTATAAAAGCCGGCATCATACGCCCAGAAACGCCATCGCTACTAAAAAGCAAACATCTTCACCCTCATTTATACAGCTCCTCCGTCCTCTCAGCCTCCGCCTCCGCCTCCCTCCTCCCCGCCTCCCCCTCAAACGAAAACTGCCTATGCAGCCCAAAATCCCTCTCCTCCTTCCCCCCCTCCCCCGTCCCCAACCCCGCACCACTCGCCCGCACAACATCACCCGCATCAACTTTACTAGGCGCCTCCCTTCCCGTCGCCTCGTGCGACATCGCCGCTACTTCACTCGGACTCGGCGGGTTCTCAACCCCATTGTAGACTTTTTCTCTGTGCGCCATGGCTTCCTTCTCGCTCATCTCGTGGCCGTCTTTTTCTTTCACCGTGGGCATGTCGCCCGCCATTTCGAAGACGTGCCGTTCTTTGCCGTCCGCTTCGTGGGAGTCGACGGGTGACAGAGGGGAGACGAGCGATGCGAGCGTGCCGGTGCCGGTGCCGTAGTGCGACACGCGCGAAGCCGTGCCAGTACCGCGGGACGATGAGTCGGTGGAGGAGTGCGTGCCGGTGCCTTCTTCTGGGCCGTCGGTGGAGGGGGAGTAGGCTTCGTTGTTCCAGCGTCCACTGACAAATGTGTGGCCTGAGAGGGCGTTAGGGGTGCGCGGGGAGCGAGTATCGCTTGGGCTGCTGGAGCCATCGCTGAGAGCGCCGGAGACGAAGGGGTTTTGTTCGCCTCCTGATTCGGATTCGGATTGAGCTGGAGGCTCGGAGCCTGGGAGCTCGGCTTTGGGGATGACGACGCTTTCGGTGCCGCGGCCGGGGGAGCTGGTGTCGTGATCGGAGGCGGTATCGCTGGCGGAGCCGAGCTTTTCGTTCTCGAGAGCCCGTTGTTTGGCAGCCTTGCTGCGGCGGCGGCGGAGCCAGATAGCGAGGAGGACAAGGATGACTACGAGGGCGATGACGCCGATGACTATGCCGGCGATGACACCCCCGGACAGACCGCTGCTTGAGCTGGAGTCGTCCGGCGAGCCTACGCCTGGGTAGGAGGATTCGTCTGACCGCATGGAGTATGCAGGTATGGTCACGAGGTTCTGATCTGAGCTGCCATCCCAGGCCCGCTGCGAGACGTTGAACTTCTGGCTCTCGTAATCGATAGCGATGTATGCTTCCTGGAAAAAAACCCGGCCCAGAGTGTATTGCGACTCACCACTCGCACGCCTGAGCGGGAAGTAGTACGTATCATCCGACAACTCCTGGTACGGCGACTTCGCAGTCAGGTCGAAGGCGGCATATGGTAGCTCGATGTTCACGACATCGCCTCCCTTGTTATCCACAGCCAGCTGGAATGTGATGCTAGCGTTGCGCGACACGAGCTGCCGATGAAGGGTGTTGTTAACCAGGTACAGCTCTGTCGCATTGTCGTACACAAGACCGAACTCGTACTCAAAGACGTAGCATGACTCGAGCGGCAACCATATCTGCGGGACAGTTGCGTCGAGATATACAGAGATTGCATTTGGCAGCAGCTCGGTAGCGACTGGTGACGAGTCGTCCCTAGAAGGCGTGTGAACAGACTGTAATGCGACCACAATGTCGCGGCTGTTGTCGGCCGCGAAGTTCCAGGTGAGGTCGTTCGCAAAAAACTTGGTCTTATCATATCCACCAAGCGTCAACGAACAGTAAGGGTTACTCGTGTTATCGTCCCGGTAATGTGCGCCAGCGGTGTATCCAAATGATATGCTAGGGATATGTTCTTGGTCTTTCAGAAGCGTCATATAGCTCGGTGCTCCAGTGGTGTCTTCGCTGAAGTTTGTTGGCTTCGGATTGATCCCAAGCACTCCAAGGTAGAAGTCATCAAGCGCGAAGCCAGCGACTGTAGTATTCCTCACAATTGGTACAGCTCCACCCAACTCTAGCACGTCGAACCCATAATAGCCGTTGCCATCATATCCAAGGTTCTGCAGTATCCTCAACTCGTACAGACCCTGCTCATCCCACGACCGCGACGCCGTTTGGTTGAATATGCCTCCTCTCGCCTGCGCGCATGCATCGTAATCGTCTGCCGCTTCGCATCCTTCTGGTATTACGGCCCATGTCTGATAGGCGTTCCATGAAACGAACGTCCGGATGTCTTGTCGAGGCGTGCCTACTTGAATTGCGAAGGAGGACCATGACCCGTCGATTCCATCCCATTGTTGGCTTGGTGGGATGGCTATCGGTCTTGGTGTCGATCCAGACCCATCATTTTGAGCGGCGACAGCATATGAGAAGGTCAATGCGAGGAGCGCAGCAGGTAACAGCCGCATTTGGTCCAGAAGCGAAGGCATGATGGTGGAAATGATTGTGGACTCAAGTCCGTGACTGATGATGGAACAGTCCGGATGGCCGGACTATCGCAGCGTCCAAGATACCGGCGCAAGACCTTCAGCTAGACATTACTGATACTTCGTAGTCGGATAACGAACGTCTGGTCCAAGAGAGCCTAACAACGTCCTCGCAACAGGACAACAGTACGTACGGACGACAGGTGGGTGAGGTGGTGCAATCGCCAAGCGGCAGACAACCCACGGCGGAGGATGACGAGCAGGGCCCTTGCAGATTCGGTTCTGCCAGTCAGATCCGGGTTTCCGCAAAGCGGCAGAGAGAGTTCCCGCTTCTGGACCTACGGGACCAGAGTAGGCTAGAACACGAGACAAGCGAGGCCACCCAGGCCTACCGTGGCACGAGAAGGGCCCTTAGACGCGTTGGAGCCAGTGGTGAAGATCGGATGGAGCAGACGCGTGCGTTGGGTGACACTGCAGCAGCACTTCTCGTATTCGACGGGTGGTTGCATGTGCAGCAGGTCTCGAGTTCTCAGCTGGACATCGTATCCTGGTCGTCAACATCTACATTATGGACGGCCGCGGACCATATGCAATCGAGGCAATTTCCTCGGGGTGCGGTACGTAACGATCCAGTGCTGTCTGTTATACGAGCGAAGTTGGTTGTTCGCTTCCAAGGCGAGATTCGCAGGCCAAGGCTCCTCGTCCCAACTCTTTCGCTCCTCCCGTCGTCTAATCGGCCCAGTAGACCACTCGACATGGCTTGGCCGTCGTCGGTATCCCGCCACGCTGGCAAACCAGCCGGCAAGCGGCAAGCCGTCTTGTCGTCAGCTAAGCGTTTCGTCATGGCCTTCTTCGCTATCCAGGCTATCTAGCTGACACCACCCTCTACCTGGAACGCAACACGTAAGGTGCAGCTAAGCAAAGGTGCATGGTGGCGGTATCGTATCTACGACCTAGAGATGCGAGTGGGAGAGTCTCGGCCACTGGCTCTCCATGTCCGCAGTGTAGCTTTCCCAGGTAGAGGGGGCGATTCGCAGGCAGTTGCATGTGATTCGATCCGCTTGTCTGCCAGTCTAATGCAGCCTTTCTTGCCAGGCTCTCATTCTCCGCAACCTAATTCGGGAGGCGTGGGCGGGCACAAGCACGACAAGATGTGCCACCACACACGAGAAGGGGGATCCCGAAACATTGGATGAACGATGCAAGGCACGGTAAATCGTCTAGAGGACCAACGAGTGCGGTGTAACCGTCGAGAAAGGGCGGGCAGAGGGTCGTTGATGAACAGTCAGGTCCGCTGTGTTCCTCGGGCAGAGCGGCGACCGGCGAACAGACGCGCGAGTATTTGCAGGGAAGTGATCCGAGGGCAAGGATGTTGCGCCTCTGCTGATCTCCCACCAACGCTCTGTCATCCACCTTGACCTCCTCTCCCTCTCCACCTGCTGCAAAGCCTCCTCCACCGTGCCCATTTGCGGTGACGCGCTCACCAAACTTTCTTTTCATCCTTTGCTGAGCGGCCACGTGCGTTGCGTCCCTCCAGTCTGGTCTTATCTGCCGCTCGCTGAATCACTGCACCGAAGGTTAGGCGTCCCCAGTATGCGGTTGTCCAGCTGAAGAGATTCTTCCGTTGCAACACCACCCACGCTCGCTTTTCATCGTCTTGGAACCGCAGCCACGATGCTTCTCGAGGCTGTGGCCGTCTTGGGCCTGGCAGTAAGCCCGTGTCTTGCACAGGTTCCATATCAGAATGGGACGGCGCCTGGTGTATATCCGCCTGGACAGTCCGGACCACCACAACCAGTACCGGAACCACCAAACTCGACGGTGCCGGCAGCATACAATAGCACATCGTCGACTAGCACAGCCTCGACCTCGAGTTCATCGAGTGTCACGGCCACCAGCTATGTGGACACCACCACCACCACCACCACCGCCTCGAACTCAAGTTCCTCGACTGTTTTAGCCACCGGCTATGTTTATACGACCACCACGACAACAGCTCAAGCCAGTATATCAAGCAGCTCGTCATCGGAGCTGCCGACACATTCGAGCAACTCATCATCAATATTGCCGACATACTCGAGCCGGCCTTACCACTACAACCCCTCCCCAGTTGGTCCTGGATCCGCTCCTGGCCACAATGCCTCGATTTTCCTTCCTACTGGCACCGCACCACACCGGCCCGTTGTCACCAAGACTGCCGACGCATGCACCGGACAGACACTCAACGTCCTTCAAGCCTCCCTCGACTGGTGGTACCAAAGAACGGTCTACAATGTCGTCTCGACGATTTCCCTCCAATTCAACAGGAACGACACGCAAGTCGGTTGGACAGCATTGCCAGCCACGACTCCCTTCGATCTGAACTCTGCACTCGCATCCGAAACCTGCGTGTCGTCTCAGACGTGGAATACGGTCTACAACATGAGCTTGTGGGATTACGACTGCGCGCCAGCTCCCACTCCAGTAGCCGCCGGCACGACAACTGTGGGACAGAAGGCGTACGCGTTGAACGCGACGACGGGCAGAGGCGCCCCTCCGGATGCCATCATTACTCCAGCGCCTGCCGCTATCACCGTGCCGCAGGCCACGGGTGCCTACTCAGCAGGTCAGGCGTTCGTGTTCTTCAGCAAGTATGAGATCGAGTCGAAGAGTTTGGCAAGATATGGCAATGGAAGTTACGGGTGCGCGGCTGTCACACAGACGTATGACATGGCTGAGCCCTTCTCGTTCGAATATACGGGTGACAATGTCAATGGCTCGTTATTGGTCGGAGCAGGTGTGACTGGAGACGTTAATCCAGCGTTCTTGGACGTGGTCAACGTCACAAAAGCAAAGGCAGGCTCCTGGGTCGCTGCGCCTACAGTCGCCATTGTCGTCCAGGATGTCGTGGTTGAGCAGGCTGTGCTCGCCTTATCGCGCGGTCCCAACTTCGGACCTCTCATGACCACCCAGTCGATCCTGCAGACACCTTCAGCAACTTTACCAGACTTCAGCACTCCGCCGATCCCGCCAACCCAGCCAGGCGGCAATCACCTCTCCCCTACGCCTGGCTTCACCGGCAGGATAGAGTCGACGCAGACGGAGCTGGATGTTCCAGCACCGCCTAAAACGCCTACACGCAAGCCTATTGAACCTACGCGCAAGCCCAACCCGCCAGAAGAGCCTAGTCCGCAGAATACCCCACGGCCTGGTAAGCCGACAGGTGGGAACAACCCGACGCAAGTTACCAACCCTACACAGGGAGGGAACCCAACTCAAGGTGGTGCCAATCCCACACAAGGCGGCGGCAACCCTACGCAAGGCGGCAGTCAGCCCGCCACCACCACCGACGGACTTGGTGGCTTCGGTCATGCCATTTCGATCATCTTCAGCGCGATTCGAGGGACGACTACCACCAATGCTCTCTCGGTGCTGGAGTCTGCTGAGAAGACTATTGCTACGACTAGCAATCCTACAGCAGCGGCTATCATGCACGGGGTTCATGGGCATCAGACGACGAGCAGGCCGGAGAGTACTGGCCCGGGAAGCCAAGAACCGGGTAATCAGGGACCGGGAAGTCAAGGGCCAGGGACCCAAGGGCCGGGAAATGGCAACCCGGGCAAACAAGGGCCCGGCAATCAAGACCCAGGGAGCCAAGGGCCAGGGAACCAAGGGCCAGGAAATGGCGACCCAGGCAAACAAGGGCCTGGCAATCAAGACCCTGGCAATCAAGGCCCTGGCAATCAAGGCCCTGGCAATCAAGGCCCTGGCAATCAAGGCCCTGGCAATCAAGGCCCAGGCAGTCAAGGTCCAGGAAGTCAAGGGCCTGGCAATCAAGGCCCTGGCAATCAAGGCCCAGGCAGTCAAGGTCCAGGAAGTCAGGGGCCTGGCAATCAAGGCCCTGGCAATCAAGGCCCAGGCAGTCAAGGTCCTGGAAATCAAGGTCCTGGAAACCAAGGTCCAGGAAGTCAGGGGCCCGGAGGTCAGAGCCCGGAGAATGGCAACCCTGGCAACTCCGGATTTCCTGGAGGCCTAGGCCCCATTGGAGAAGGCCAGCAGAATGGTGTGGGCAAGGGACCGAATGGCAAGCCTGTTATTGTCGTGGACGGCACAACGTTCACTGGCAACTCTCAGACACAATTCGTGCTTGGGCCTGGCGAGACGCTGACTCCTGGTGGTGTTGCTGAAGTGCATGGCACCACCGTGAGCTTAGCGCCTTCACTCGCTGCCGTGGTTGTCAACGACCGCACGTTCGACGCAGCTTCGGCACAGATCACCTCTCCGCCCTCGCTCACCATCGGCGGCGCAGTCTTCGCACCGGTCGGCGGAAGCACCTACAACATCAACGGTCAGCAATTGACACCTGGTGGCCAGATCACCGTAGATGGGACCACTATCTCCCTCGCCCCCAGTGCCGCTGCAGTCGTCGTCGACGGCACCACCCAAACCCTCAAAAACAATGCGGGCAGCATCACGGCCGCAGCGGCACCAGTGCTCACAATCGACGGAACAACAGCCACAGCCAATTCCGGCGGCACCTTCACCATTGCTGGCCAGACTCTCACCCCAGGAGGCGTTATCACCGTTGACGGCACGAAAGTCTCTCTAGCCGCTCCCGCTACAGCAGTCGTTATCGACGGCACGACCCAAGCCCTCAACAACAACGCAGGGAGCATTACAGCAGCCGCCCCTGTCATCACAGTCGACGGCACTACCGCAACAGCCAATGCTGGTGGCACCTTCACTATCGATGGCCAGACTCTCACCCCTGGCGGCGTCATTACCGTCGACGGCACGACAGTCTCTCTTGCGGCTCCGGCCACAGCAGTCGTTATCGATGGGACGACGCAAGCGCTCAACAACTACGCAGGGAGCATAACAGCAGCCGCCCCTGTCCTGACAATTGACGGCACCACCGCTACGGCGAACGCCGGCGGCACCTTTACGATCGCCGGCCAAACCCTCACACCCGGAGGCGTTATCACCGTTGACGGCACGACCGTCTCTCTCGCCGCTCCGGCGACCGCAGCCGTTATCGATGGGACGACGCAAGCGCTCAACAACGCCGGCAGCATAACAGCAGCCGCCCCTGTCCTGACAATTGACGGCACCACCGCTACGGCGAACGCCGGCGGCACCTTTACGATC